AAAGAGACTTGATATGCCTTTTTTGGTTTCACCTCGGTTTCAATTTTCGGCTCAACAGTAATACTCACCCCAGTACTCTGATATTCATCAATACCCTCACTACTCTCATCTTCATTAGTGCTTTGATCTTCGTGGCCTTCGACAAGTTGTGGACATAGCGGGTCGTTGAATGGGGCCAATGAGACCACAACATTACCAGAGGGGTCTATCACGTAGTTGAACATGGTTGTTGCCATTTTTCGCGTGTACGGTCATTGTACGAAATACTTGAGAGGACTCAGAGTCAGAGTGGAAAGGTGAGTTGGTTGCTGGTATCGACTCGACCCACCTTAAAAAAGTGAAAAGTGAACCGGAGAGAACCTCCAAAGTCCAACCTCACATTGGTCTTGGTTGAAGTGAACTTTTCAGTTGCAGCTTGCTCATGATGGAATTTGTCATGTGTTTGCCCCAATTTTTTGCGCTGCACATGTTATTCTCTTGAGATTCAGGACCACCGTGACTCGCTCCTAAGACATCGCACTTTCAAAGGCTACTGTTAGAAAGCGGGAACAGCAAGCAGAAGGCTGTATCCAAGGGTTGTTGTTCTGTTTCTGCGTTGGATAGTCTTCCCATCGTCTCCAATCATTTGGATTAATACGGAGCAGGTGCCTAAACTTGCCTTTGATTGACAATCCTGAATGTCACATCCCTAGTGGAGTGCTGTGTTTGGTTTGTCATGGCTGAATCTCGATGCTCCAAATCCCTCAGCACAGCAAAGAAGAGACCCAAGTTAGACAATATTTGCAGCCATGTTATAGGATATGGCTTAGAAACACCTGAAGGTTGTTGAAGCCAAAAATGGAAGGAAGTAAACGATATGATAGATCAAATTGATCCTGAAATGGAGAAACAGTGACACTTTACAAGTCACTGTCCGGCTTCTTTGACTGATTGTTGTCTTTGGAGCTCGCTCCTGCTGCCACCGCTAAACCGCCCATGATCGTAGCACCGGCCGCTTGTGTATAGCCGATAAGAGTTCCCCAGCCAGCACCCCCCGCCCCTGCACTTTGGAGAGTGGCAAACAGGCTTCCTGCCTGGACCGGGCCGATCGCAGATTGAACGCTTGCAGCCACAGACCCTAGAAGGAAATCGATCATGTTAGTTGGGCAGTTCCCATAATAAGTGTACAGTACTCTGGTCCGAGGACATAACAGCTAGTATCAATATTCTTACCAGCTGCTACTCCTTGTTGTCCAAACCCTGCCAAGGGGAGCAAAGGGTTCACAATAACCCCTGGAGCACACACTCCTACTGCTCCCACAGCTGCCATTCCTGCAGCAACAGGATGGTCTTTGGCAGTTTTCGCGACCTTCCAAGCAAGCACGGAACATGTCAGCAATGGTTGAAGCCATCTTGTGTACTGCATATAAAAGTGAGGTTCGGCCTGTGTCGCGTACCTTTTCTGCTACGCTTTGTGCAACGCCTGAAGCCACATCCCAGGCTTCTGAAAATGTCCTTTTGGCTCGAGTTAATCCGGAACTGCCGCTTCCTTCCAGAAGCCCGTTTGTCAGATGGGCAATTCCAATAACGCCCAAGACAGCCTTGCGGATGCTAACCATCTTTTCACAGCTAGAAATTATTCAAGGATTGGTAATGAAAGGGCTAGAAAAGTATGAGAATTGGGCTGGTAGAATCAGATGGAAAATGTCATAAGATATGTGAGAGCAGGTTAAACCTGAGATGAGAGTTACTGTAACGAAGGACTTGGTCTAGTGCGGGCAGGGATCGACAATCGGTCAATGGTTAGATGATAGCCACTGACGATGTGGGGTGCACAACGAAGTCAATTGATACGTGTAATAATTTTTCTTGGTCCTCACTGTCCTTATGGTAGGGAGAGGAATAATTCAAAGAGAAGTCCTTCATCGTGTCAGGCAGCTTCCTTTATAGAATCTTCTTGCCCTTATGAGTACCTCGGTCTTCCAGGCTTTCCAGGGGTCTTGTCTTCCTGCATTGGCCATCTACCTCCTTCAATCATGTGGCTCCACATATCTCCCGGATCAACCACGCACTTGTGCCATTCAAACTCATTCTATATCTGGTTTCCTTTGTGTTGGCAGCCAGGATGCCCCTTTCATTGGTCTGTCGGGTCCATATGACGGTTAACTAAAATTGTGGGTGATGGGAGAATGAGAAATATCAAGCTGGGTTTGATTACAGATATATCTGCCTGCAGTGCCACCTTCACTGGTTGCATATGCAGGTCTTGTCAGATCATTCTTTATTGGATGGTTATTCCGACACAGTCGGTGTGTTGGCCCTTTTTTGTGTCCATGCATAGTGAACAGGGGTGCCCACAGTGTAATTTCATGTTGGGCAGAAGTCTCACTTTGACTTTCCCTATGTTGATGAAATGTCATGAATGAATGGATATTAAGCGTTCCTTTGCCCTGGTCTTCCTTGGCTCACTTGGACAAGGCCTTGAGTTGACTCTTGGGAATATGGACATGTGATCCATGAATCATGCAGCCATATCAGGATTGGTGATACACAGCAGTAGCCTAAAATGTGAATGCAAGGTATGATGACCTAACCTTTTAAAAATGAAGTTATGTGTTCCTTGAGTCCCCCGACTTTGTGGTACCAACTACTGTCAGAAGCTCAATGTCCATGGGCTTGCTTGTATACATCCTAACGTCATTCCCCGTTGTGAGCAAAGGTTGCTCAGTCAGAGGCCCAATAGGTTGAAGTAATGACAGGATGTAGTATGGTGTAGCTATTGTGTTCAATATGGAGATTTCACTCTCTCTAGATCCGTTGCATCAACGAGTGTCATTTCAAAGTGATCCATTAGGAGTTAACTTTGATAATCTCACCTGCTTTGTTAGATTCCAATAAATTCAGAAATCCCGCGTTAGTGCTAGTTGACTAACAAGTTTGGCCCTTACAACTGTGTACCTTACACCAGATTTTTAATCATCTCTTCCCATAATTGAGTTCCCTTCAAGGATCTGCATCTTCTTTCCCACTTGATCCCTCCTCAGTTTCAGGACCATCTAACAGTAATTTTACAGCCATTAGTGCTTCCGTAAGTGAAAGAGCTGCTCCTACTATCTTACAACCGTTAGCAGCAGATATCAACCCTTTCCCCCCAGCCCCTGCGCTCTGCAATATGCTAAATATGCTCCCAGCTGAGACAGGGCCTATCCAGCTTTGGATTGTTGAAGCAAGAGAGCCTGAATCAATTTTGGACATAAGATATTAGTTTTAGTCCCTGAATCGACACTGAACGAGAATTAGAAAAGATTATGGGTATCTGTATAAGCTCGTAACAGACGACAAAAAATAAACCAAAGAGCTTTACTTGCCTGCAAGCACCCCGTCTTGGGTAAATCCTGCTGTAGAAAGTAGAGTGTTCACAACAGGAACTGGGTAGAAATAGACGATTGCTCCAGAAACAATGACAATAATGATCACGGGATGCTCTTGCGCAAAGTCCTTTGTCTGGTAGAAGATATTAGTATAACATGAACACTTACTCGTGTCTGCCACAGATATTCTAGGATTGGCATGTCTTCCTGCATACCTTTTTTGCGGCATTTTGCACAGTTTGGGTGATCTTCTCAAGGATAGTTTGTAATTCCTCTCTGTCACTGTGGGTGCTAAACGCTTTCTGGAGGTCTCCCAGAGGAAGAGAGAATTCCGCCACATTATTGGGATTCTTAACTAGCATCTGCAGAGCTGCGAGGATCTCCTTGGGAATGTCATGTGGCAAATTGCTCCATAATAGCCTGCTAACGATGTGTTCAGATATCGAGGCTCCTTGAGCTAACGATCCGACTTTCGGCAAAACTTTTGCAGATTGAAGAAGCACTGTGAATGAAGGTTGGTTGTCATTGCTGCGCCGTTCGAGAGAAGGGACTGCCCTGTGGGTTTCAATGGCATCAACAGTAAGGGTTTCCGGATTGAGTCTTGATGTACCAAACACAGTTGAAAGAGGAGTCCTAATAAGGCCTGGAATGGTTGTAAAGTGGACGAAGCGCATAATGAATGTTGTTGAAATGTAAAGGAGACAAACTCTTAGACGGGGAGGGAGCCTTGGAGAATAAAACGACTCAAACCGCAGAGCATGTGAGGAGCAAGGATGCCTCAACATATATGGTAGCCTCCATAGCCGTAACCTAGCAAACGACGTTTGCGTCGCATCAAGCAGCCACTTCTATTGGACATTATGGTGATAAATTGCCACTGCCTGCAGACGACTACAGTGTGAAATATTGTTTGATAATGATGGCTGTCAAATATGCAACCAGTGAGAAGCCAAATAGGACAAGTTAAATTTACCACCTGCACCAATGATAGGAGTCAAATATGCAAGTTGAGCGGATGATTCCAGTGACAACATACGAAGCCGTGCAGAAGCAGCAAACAACTGGATGATTCAGCACACCAAACGAGCCAGGGCAGTTTCAAAGCCAGTTTTCAGGCAATATGTTTATGGGATATCAAAGGTTGTGGAGTTACTGTGCGTTTGCAAGCATCTGCATGTAAGGCCTCAGTGCAGCTGGAAGCTCCGAACTCAGTAGACCCTACTCAGTTGGATTGGTGTGATGGGAATGTATGATCAAACGGTTGGAATGGTGTGATTGGTAGATGAAGCCTACCCTCTTTGATCGTATCTAAATAGGTCCGTTGACATGACATCAAGGATTACATACCACGTATAGCATCGGTGGAAGCGCTTAATGCGATCAAAGGCCTGGAAACCAAGAGATCCTGGATGTTGGTAGGCCTAGATGATGCAGATCGCTATGTCTTGGGATGAGCAGCTCTGGCCCCTTTATGAGGGCTTGGCACTATCTGGGCGAGTTAACACGATGCTTGGCGTCCATGCATTTCTCACCGCCCTGGCAGAATAAGCGCCCCGCTGAAATTTTGAAACGCGGATTCAACGAGGCGTCTTCGATCAGTATAGTGCAACAGCTCTGACAACCAGATACAACTTCTCACCAGGATTCACGATGCCAAAATCAAAGGCCAAGAGCGATAAGAAGGATGGCACAGCTTCACGCATCACTGATCCTCGGTTTGCCAACTTTGAGACCGATCCTCGCTACCAATTGCCATCAAAGAAAAAGCTAAAAACGAAACTCGACTCGCGCTTCTCCAAAGTCCTGAAGGATGAAGACTTCATTTCCACTGCAAAGGTTGATCGCTATGGACGAAAGTTGAAGTCTGACAGCAAGAAGAAAGCACTGCAGCGGCTGTACGAAGGCGAGGACGAGGATGACCTCCCGAAACTCGAAAGTGATGTTGAGGTCGACGATGACGACATTGTCCGTCGCGAGCTTGCCAAGGCGGACAAGAAGTACGACCCTGCTCGTGACGGAGGCTTTTCTTCTTCGGAGTCGGATTCAGACTCTTCTGACTCAGACTCCGAGTCTTCATCAGAGGTCGCAGAAGATGATGAAGAGGAAGAGACCCGCCCTGGCATTCGGCTGCGAAGAGACAAGGAGGTGGTCGAGGAAGGCGAAGTAACACGTCGCTTTGCGGTTGTCAACATGGATTGGGACCACATCAAGTCAGTTGACTTAATGGCTTTGTTTACCAGCTTTCTGCCCCCTGGCGGTCGCATAGAAAAGGTTTCTATTTATCCAAGTGAGTTCGGCAAGGAACGGATGCAGCGCGAGGATCTTGAAGGTCCCCCAAAAGAAATCTTCAAGAAGAGCAAAGCTTCAGACGACTCCAGTTCCAGTGATTCTGATTCCGACAGCGATTCCAGTTCATCCACCGATGAAGATTCGGATGAGGAGGTGAAAAAAGAATTGTTGAAGGAAGGTGACGACCAAGACTTTGACAGTGATGCGCTGAGAGCCTACCAGCTCGAACGGCTACGGTATTACTACGCAGTAGTTGTCTGTTCCGACAAAGATACAGCGCATAAACTTTACGAAGCTACTGACGGCACTGAATATCTCTCCTCCTCCAACTTCCTTGACCTTCGGTTTATTCCCGACGATGTTACTTTCGATGACGAGCCGAGAGATGAGTGCGATAGTGTGCCTGCAGGATACAAGCCGATTGAGTTCGTCACTGATGCTCTCCAGCATTCCAAGGTCAAGTTAACTTGGGATATGCATCCAGAAGAGTTGGCGCGGAAAGAAACCATTCGGAAAGCTTTCACTGGCAGCAGAGCGGATCTTGCTGAAAACGACCTCCGGGCATATCTGGCTAGCGACACCGACAGTGACGATGAGGACATCGGCCCTTCTGCGGATGGCAAGGATAACGAGGAGGCTAAGCTTAGTAAAAAAGAACTTGCGAGAAGGAAGCTTCGAGCTGCACTTGGTCTCCCTGATGACCCTATCGAGTCGCTAAAGCCGTCAAAGGACGGCCCCGTTGGCGAGATGCAAATCACATTCACACCTGCCCTCTCCGAAAAACCACAGAAGGAAGACGTCGAAGAGACGACGATTGAAAAGTACAAGCGCAAAGAAAGGGAGCGGAAGGAGAAGAGGAAGCTCAAGGCTCTTGCTAAGAAGCAAGGCGTGGATCTCGAGACACTGCTCGAAGAAAAAAAGAAGGCCGAGGAGCCCGTTGAGGACCTTGGCTTCGATGACCCATTCTTTACCACTGAGCCCACATTACCCTCCAAATCCGCCCTGCGGAAGCAAGAAAAGCAGAAAAAGCGTGCAGCCAGGGAGAAGGAAGAGGCTGAAGATGCAACTCAAAGGGCACAGCTGGAGCTGCTCATGGCTGATGAAAACGGAGATGGAGCACATCTGGATCACTTCGATATGAAGGAAATCATGCGCGCTGAGAAGAAGGGCAAGAAGAAAAAGAAGGGCAAGAAGGGTGAAGAAGACCGGGGCGGTCTACAGGAAGACTTCAAAATGGATGTTGATGATCCTCGCTTCAAGGCAGTGTTTGAGAGCCATGAGTTTGCCATTGATCCGTCCAACCCTAAGTTCAAGGCAACAACAGGGATGAAGAAGCTGCTGGAAGAGGGTAGGAAGAAACGCAAGGCTGCTCCTGAAGACATTCCTGGTGTTGGCAAGGAAGACAGGAGCTCGAAGAAAGCCAAGCAGGATGATCTTAGCGAGCTTAGCAGCTTGGTGAATGCTGTCAAGAAAAAGGTGAAAGCAAACAAGGTGTAGATAGTAGTTAGCTTGTAGTAATATATCAGGCTGATACCCCTGAATATATAGACAATAGGAGAAACAGTTTCCCGAATGCCGTCCTACAAGACCAAGGCTACCAAGCAAATCCCGCGACGCGACATGACGCGACCCGATGCGCTTCAATTCCGCGCTCTCACGTGCTCGAGTGCGACAGCTGGTTAGACAGTTGTCAAGCTTTCTGCCAGCTGTCGACGCTATCGATCCACGCCACAAAATACCTGTCCCACAGATTTTCTGGGAGCACAAATTCGAAACCTGTTGCCGTTCTCCCACCGCCCGTTGTCAGCTGTCACCAGCATTGTTGTCCTTGAAAACTGCGCTGGCGTGGCCCCAAGGTTATGGATGCCATCTTGCGTCGCATCATGTATTGATATTCTATGCAGGTTAGTACTCTCTCAAGCCGCGCGCAACCCAATTTCACCGCCTCATGTGATGAGACTTTCAAACTACTTCCATGGCTATGATCAATTTCACCATGATTACACCAGTCCACCTTTTCTGATTGGCAATTTCTCCTTGCGACTCAACCGAACATAATTGTGAACTATGCGCTGACATCAAACATTCTGTAGCTTTCTTGAATCTGCTTGTTTGACGCAGTTGACTGTGTCGTTCCTGGGCAGCGATTTGATAGGCAACTTGAGACGAAGATAGCGTCGAAATTGCCTTTTGGCGTGTTGCCATTCACCTGAGGCCTCAAGCAATGTCTTACCTCGGTCAGCCAAAACTCTTATACATCTTGCGGAATAGGTTCCTAGCGTAGCCTTCGAGAATCCCCAATTTCATTTTCGATGTTATTGCTGGGTTTCTCCCTAAGTTCTCTATATGTATCGACTCTCCTTTGATAAGTATCTGTTTCAGTGTCTCGCCGTGCAAACCAATTGAATGGCCAAAAGCAGTTGCTGCTACCTTTGCAGAATCATCGAAGGCGGAGCGGTATTCTCGGTCTCCCTCAACATCTATTGAGTGTCCTCGATCATCCTTGTCCCGACCTTGCTTCGTTGTCTTCCTCCCCACAGATGCCTTGTTATTGCTTCTCGAGCACTTCGCCGCTCTGTTCTTCCTTGATGAATACCCTTAGTTTCGGGTTGTGGTGTCGGAACCTTTGAGATCTTTTGTTGTCTACCCTGCTGGCGTCGTGTCCTCTTCGTGCTTGACGGAGCAGGAATAGAAGCCGAGCTAGCGGCTTGTGCCGCGGCCAGTAGAGCAGTCTGACGAACAGCTATGTGCGCGCTGCGACGAAGTGGCTGCGGCTTTGGCACCACTTGGGACTCCTCAGCCGTTGCCTGGTTCTCGGGCGCGTTGCTAGACCCGTTGAGCACTGACAGGTCGTTCGTCTTGGCGATTATGTCCCGAGGAGCGGCGCTGCCGCCAAAAGCCCTCAAGCGCTTTGACGGCCGTTCTTCATCTTCATCGCTCTCGCGACGGGTTTAAGTGCCTTGTTCCCTGTCTTGATAGGCTCTCTTATGATACTGGTTACAGAAGATTGAAGGCCCTTGTTGGAGGATGGGGTGACAATTCCACAACCTCTTAAGATGGGTTCGAAGGTAGTGGCCAGGTTGTAGAACCTGACAGATCGGGGTCCTCACACAGCAGAGTATGTATGCCTACCCTGCCATTCAGATTATCATCGACCAAGTTCAGGATTATTGTCAACCAAGGTCAGGATTATCGTCGAGGGTAGAGGTGGCTTCCTCATTGGTCCTCACTGCTCCTGTGCGGCTGCTAGTCCACATATGGTCACTTGTCGATGCTATCTCTCCGCTTTGTACTCTGCTGCTGTTTTATAATTCCCTGTTCTTTAGTCCTTCCGAGCCCTTGACTTCCGCCTCAATCTATGGAATCGAAGGCCCATTGAAGAATGATTTTATGCGCTATGACATGCCCCAAATTGCGCTGATATTCCTGCGCTACTTTCCCGAGCTTTCTGGTCAGCCTGTGACGCTCCTTACGCCACTTTCCATCTCTTCTCTTCAATTTTATTGTAGACCTTCTTGAGCATCTGCAAACGTCGTTTTGTGCTCCAACGACTTAGCTCCGGATTAGTTTGGTCATATTGTGACTTTTCCGGGATCTTTTGGCAGCGGCCTTGCCTCTTTCCATACATACGGGGCGCTCTCTTCCTGATGTGCAGCCCCCAACTCAATTCGTGGACCTGACAAGTATCACTCGATCTGTCAGGGTTCAAGAGCATTGCTCTTTAGGAGCTTCTTCCAGGTCTCGTCGCGGATCAACCCAGCGCCGAGATGTTGATCTGTACCGAGGGATATGAGGAAGTGTCCAAGAAGAACCAAGGACCTCAGCATAAAAGTCAAGGTAGATATCAAGCCAAAGACGTCAGGAGAGCGACATCTGCTATCCATCAGAAATGACAGAAAGAGTTCAGTCATGGATGGCGGCGCAATTGACCTGGAATGAGGTCAATTCGAGATTGCAGAAATGGATTGAGCGCGGACAACAGCGTGAGAGACCTGCTCCACTTATTCTGCCAAGTTTGTCGCATACCCAGCCCTTTCCGAGCGTTTATGATCTTCGAGCAGACAAAAGATGGTTCTACTATCTCCACACCGTGAACAGTTGCCGATTGGTGCCCAGTGGAGCTGGTAGCAGATGTCTCTAGTCATCCGGAGAAGTACCAGGTCAGGCTTTTATGCTGGAAGAGGTTTCTCAACGACGGGCACGTATTCTGGCAAGTGTTTGAGGAACAGCATCGCCGATGGCAGGACTTCCGGATCTGGCAGATTAACCACCAGGGCCTCTTTGATGAGGAAGCAGAGTTTGCTTCCCGCGTTGAATTTTTGCGGGAGCTATGTCTCCAACAGGAGAATAAGTCCACTGTAGAAAGCGTCGACGATGAGGAGGGGTGGATTCGGGAGTAGTGGCTGCAGGATCGTCTATGGAAGAAAGAGACTAAGAGAAATCCACAGCGATGGCCCGGAAATATTTTCGAGATATGTCGAGCCAGCCAAAGAGTGCCTAACCTGGCATGGGCTCGGTCAACCATTAGAATTGCAACCAGATTCGGCAAAGCAGGATGCGTTGACAGCAAGGATCGAGTATATCAACTATGAATGCTGGTGGCGTGACAGGCATAGGTCCCGCGTTGAGGAGCTCCCGTTGACGGATGTTAGCTGGATGGTTGTCGAGCTCTGCATCGTTGACGGAGGAAGTGTTTTCCATTGACGGCTTCCTTGCCGCCTTAAGCTGATTCGGTGATGCCATGTTCTCCGTTAAGTATGGGCTCAAGATCTCTGAATGTTTAATCTTTTACTATTGATGTTCTAGCGTTCCCTACTACGGCACTGTATGCGCATGCTCTTGGAAGAAGAGCTTTTTAAGCAAAGCTGGGGTCTTCCGTCCATGAACCTTACATCGCAGTCCACCACCGAATCTCATTCCACATTTGTGATTTACCTTTGAGGCTAGTCTTCGAAAATTAGCCAATACCACCAAATATATAGCGCGGATTGTATGGCAGCAACATGGATTTCATTGCTCGTCTCTACCCCTACTCCGATAACGGAAAGAACGGCGACGTGAGTAAAGCAATCCAAGACGAAAGAAATCTGTTGCGCTACGTTAAAGTATCTAAGCATACAAGCACTTCACCAAAGGATCTCCAACCTATGCCATTTGGTCGAACTGATGATGAACTTATCAACCATGGACCCCGACCACAAACAAACCGACTGCCAGCGCCTGCGTCGTTCAGACGCTGGGACTCAATCTGGAAAATAAGACAGTCAGCAGCAGCTCGAGTGCCGCCGCTATTTTGCCGACCATCGCTTCCCGCTTCTCCTTTGATGACGAGGACTAAACGACAGTTGTCATATGGACACGGCAGTCCAAGGAAAGGGATGTCCCAGACTGTTAACACAAGGGACACCAGAGACAGGATAATTGTGAGCCGCATAAATACGCGGTTGATCCCGGAAGATGTCTAGAGCCGGATGACCGAAGAGAATGAGCCATATGGCCGAGGTATGATGAGGATTCTATAAAGGAAGCTGCCCGGTCCTGATAGACTTCCCTTGGTTCCTCCTCTCCCTGACACAAGGACACTGAGGACCAAAAAAGATTATTACACGTAGTAATTGACTTCGCTGTGCACCCCACATCGTCAGTGGCCATCATCTAACCCATTTGACCTATTGTCGATCCCTGCTTGCATCAGACCAAGTCACCCGTTACAACGGACTATTGCGTCTCCCCCTGGGCTCTGGACTGCAAGGTGTCTTGAGCAATCTCACGTCATCCAAACCTTTAAGGGGGAAACATCTGAGGGCGAAACACTGCACGATGTGCAGGCAAGAGTCCTAACTAGACACATCATCATTGAGAGTTAAAGCAAGCAATTAAAGCTAAGTGTCCCATCGACTGTGAGTGCAGCACAGTAGAGAGGTTTATCAAAATCTACCGTACTTTAGTCTATTTGCTAATATAAAATCCAGAACAAGCGCTTAGGATAGGTCGTTTAAGCATTTCATATCCAAAAAAAAAAACTGTATGATCCAATACCAAACCTCTTCCAGCTGCCAAGATCTTCCACAGATATTTCAAATGTGGCAAAAGACCAAAAATTTCCTCCAAATGCCGTAAAACATGGTAGATGCAAATGTGCTTAGGGTTCTTTGGCTTTAGTTTTTTTTTTTTTTTTTTTTGCTTGTCTCTGATAGTTTCATACAGGGCTCTGATTAGATTTTGGATTGTTGCCGCCGGCACTAATGGTTGTGTAATTGGTAGGTCCAAAATTCTGCTTATCGATCAAGTCTTTTTCGGAACCAGTGTCGTCGATGGCATAGGACTTCATCTCGATAGATTGCTGGACATGAATAGCCATCCGATCGCCAGCTTCATAGTCCAGATCGTCATTTCTAGTCGCATGAGAACGTAGCACGCGGCTGCCAGGACCACTTCCAGTGACGGCACCAGTGGCCCCAGAATGCGAGTCCGATCCGCTGTAGTGCTTCTTCAAGATATAGCGGGTAATAAGTGCCTGTAGAGCAGGCAGAGAAAGGAAGATAATGGCAACGTTAATGTCAAGGTGAGACCAAAGTGCAATGTTAACGCCAGTGACTATGGGGACTGTTAGAATCCCTTGCTGATTGCAGCTTTCGATTACGATGAAGACTTACTTGGTTGATCCACCTCTGGCCCCGTCACATTTTCATGGAGTGCCTTGAGACGGATAATTGACACAATAGTGACGCTGGTAGGGTAAGGACTGTCAGCAACAAGACTAAGCAGTTGTGAGGGATGGTCCCGACATACAAAGCTCCGCAAGAGAAGATAGAAGCGAGGACCAAACGTTGCTTCTTTGGGATCTGAAGCTTCAAAACGAAATAAAGTGGGACGGCGATGAGAAGCAAGTCATTCAGGATGTTCAGGGCAGAAATTGTGTAGTGAAGAACGTCACGATCCATGCAGGTTCCGGGTACGAAGACGTCCCAAGCCTTCTTCACTGGGCTGCAGTAGAAAAGGCAGCCCAAAACGGTGTACATGCCGCATAGCAGGATCCATGCAAACATGATTTTGATCTTGAGTTGGTTTTTCGGCGTGTTGAAAAGACGATAGAGCTGAGTCGCAACAGAGAGTTTATACAGAGTCTGCGAGAGATTGTACAACGGGATCGTCGCATAGAGCGCCTGGTAACCACAATCACAGTTTAGCCATGGCGACAAACGTTCAAACACACTTTGGAAGAACTTACAGCCAGAAACTGAATCAACGTGGCCGGGTTGACAGGCTTTCCTAAACCCCATTTGATTTCTGTCGAAACTAGTCAGCCACTAGCTCTGCGAGATAATCAATGAGGACAAGAGGGGATACACACGGTACATCTCTGCGATTAAGAAGCCGATAGATGCGACCTAAGAGCCAGAGTTAGCGTGATACGATAGCGAGGATCTCGAGCGAAGAAGTCCATGACTAACCATAGCGCCGGCCATAAGCCAGTCATCTGGTCCTATCCGCTTGATAACATATCCTCTGGTGAATAAACGCAGGACAACAATGATAAATGCCAGAATTGTCCAAAAGAACGAGTTGACAACGAGCGCGTGGTTGCGCTCAACCACCTCCATCCCCCCAATATACCACACTGCCATCTTGCCGGTTTTTTTTTCTCTCTCTCTGATGCTGTTTACGTCCGGGAACGGTTGACGACGAGCCGCAGTCGATTGAAAAGAAGACAACACGTGAAACCGCTGACACTAATGCCCAGCACTCAAATGTCAACAGACAAAGCCCGAGCCCTTTATGATATGTCCTCCGCGATCATGATCGTGGAAAAGCACTCCCTTTACAATGCCTGGTCACGTCTGCAGGTGACGAATGGGTTGCAGTCTCATGTTTTTCCCATACTTCTGCTGCTGATAGAGAGAAAGAAAAAGTAAAATTATCCTGCAGCATTGAAAAACAAGGTTACCCGGACGCTCGGGAGAGACCCGGCACAGAGGTCAGCAAGGGTCGAGAGGCGAGGGGCAAAGGATGTCGCAACCCCTGAGCTGCGGCATGGGACTTGCGAGAAGAAAATTGGCTGCTGTATCGTGACAGCGCTTGAGTGGGAGCGGAAACAAGAGCTGAACCCCAGTTGGCTGTCACTCCGAAATGGAGCTGCTATGCAAGGTGTTTATTCCTACGGATTACACATTCCGCAGTTCATATCTACTGACTCTTCTACCGGACGGAGTTTAGGGCTCAGGGGGATTCTTGCCACTCATAAGACCTATGAGCGGGATACACGCCACGATCCAAAGAGCGATTCCAGCGCTTCTAGCGTGCGCAGAGAATCTGGAGAAACTCCAGATGATCAGCAATGATCTTTTATCAACGAGATTTCTCAGATACAAGCTGCTCCATACTGAACATGGGTTTGGAGACTCGTGGGGGCTGGCCTGGGGATCACTGGAGACTGGAGCGGGCGTGGTGTAAGCAACTCAGGTGTGATGGAGATGGTCCGGAACTGACGCCTCCCTTAGGCCTTGGCATTTACTTGGCAATAAGATGAGCTTATCGAGGTGCGATTGGTGTAGTGCATCCCTGTCAGACACCTTCTTGGCCCGCCAGCCAGCAGCTGGTTTTCTTTTTTTTTCCTCAGCCCGACAGGCTCAGTCGTTCGGCAATCGAGTCCTCCGCGGAACATCCGTCCATGGAGCTAAGCTGGGGTGTGCGCCGCGGGTTTGTGCCGCGGATGCGCCAAGGATGAGCTAACCTACTGCTGTATAGCGTAGTGATCTTGTCCAACAAACCGCAGTGCGTCACAGTCCTCAGCCAAACAACGGGCGCGGTGAGATCCAATGCGGTGCAGCCCTTGGTCGATATGGGTCCTGTGGCACCCGCGGCACCATCCTAGCGTCCGATCAGAACGGTACGCTAAGCCCACGGCAGTGTCACCGTAGCGCGACCCCACCAGGAAGCAGCACGCTGGTGGCAGGCAACGCTACAACGTCCACTGGATTTCGCAGTCACAGTTTCGAGCTGGAGGGCGCCCCACGGAATCGCGGGGGCTGTCGTCGACAAGATCCAGGCCTCAAGGGTTCCAGGATTCCAGACTCTCAGAGGCCAAGTGAACTGCCCAGGGCTGCTCAGCAGTGCCGCTGTGACCTAACATGGAGAAAAAAAATTTGAAATCGCCCTCTGGGCCCTGCTGTTGAATAGACCAGGCTTTTCAGCTCGCTACCAAAAGTCGTCGTTTCCCATCTCAGCAAAATAAAACGACGTGACGAGTCTCGCGGTCGGTTCCAGATTTCGGAAAGTTTTTCGGCAGTTGAATCAATTAGAATTGGCAGACCAAGCACTTGGGATCTGGACCCGGTGCTCTGGTGCTCTGGACTGCTAACTGCACTGCTGCAGTTGATTGTGACACATCCATTGCTTCGTGCCATCTGCCTTTGCCATCTCAGCCTTGCTAATTGAATTTCACTTGCACAGTCACACACCAGATCCCATTTTGAAATTCAGGCACTTCAGGAACCAGGCACCACCAACCATGCTCATCCCGCGCCGCAGCAGCCTCTGCATAGATAACTTCATCTTCTCGACCCAGTAAACAACGCAAGCCACAAATTGCAGTCACAGGCCCCACGAAAACAACTTGCTGCTGGCACATTGCGACAAGCAGTTGGTACGCATCAGCAGCGTTGCAGTGCTTTGAAAATGCCGCACCTCCATGATGTCTCTGCAGCCGTGTCGTAGCACAACTGGACAGCAGCGGCAACTCCCGTCCCAACAAGGGCAGTGAGGCTTGATTCCGACTGTCCGATCCATGGTTGAAGACCAAACATGCTGCACAAGATTGAAGATGCGGTCTGAACCAGGCAATGGACTTTTTTAAAGGAGGGGGGGGGGGACTTTGCTCGTCGGCGTATCAGGCAGCGTGGGGGTTGCTCCGGCTGTCTGAAATGAAAGTAAGCGAGACGGCGAGACCCTGCTGAAGAATCTGGAAGTTTGGATGTGGCTGAGAACCTCAGACCTCGAGGCTTCTCGCTTATCCTTGACAAAAAATGACGCCAAGACGATTGGTATCAAGGTAGGATGCCGGAGAGACGAGATACTGCAAAGACCTCACCGCTTTTGTTTGAAAGTACTGATGCATGCAAATCCCATCCATGTTGCAGGACATGGCATCCAGGACCCGGGCTTGCGTTTTCCTCTCTGCCGAAAGGCCAGGTCTGTTGAAGCGAGCCAATAAAGGAATTTGCGCTTGCTCTGTTGACCGCAGATACATTATGCCTCGATTGTACAAGCATTACACTAGGTATGTATATGGCTTTAAGCAACCGTATTATCTGACATCTACGCGACATATCAACTTGAGATTATCCTCATCACTAATGCACAGAATAAATCATTCCCAGGCCCAAATCTACGCCTTAGTCGACTGATTCTCCGAGGCAGAGTACAAGTCCTCCTCCTTCTCGACAGGGGCATCGATGTGGTTGTTGAAGTCTTTGGTGGAATCCAGCAGGAAAACGGCAACTAGTAAAGATCTTGTCAGTATTTCCGATCCTAATGTGTGGCTGGCTCTCCCGAGTCTCCCGAGTCCCCATTTTCATCTTTCCGGGGGGGGTGAATATTCCTCCAGGGGAGTTTACTTTGGGGCCCCAGATATCGCAATAACGGGGGTTCAGGGGGAATACTTACGGATAGCACCGAGAGCCACAAAAGCGGCAGCGGCACTCCAGACATTCCGGAAGCCCTTGGCATAGGTATCAAGGAGGGCACCAGCGCCAGCACCGATGATTTCAGGGTTAACTCCCTCAACAAGGCCTAGGGCAGTTTCGTTTTGAGAGGTTAGGGCTCCAATAAAATCGGGAACAGAAGCCTGAGGAAGACCGGCTTGGATAGCGGCCTTAGCAACGTTGGTGCCCAGGTGCTTCATAGCCTCGATGAAAATGGCATTATCTAGGGAAAATTCGAGTTAGTTGTCGAGGTTCAAGGCAGGGATGTCAGGGTCAAAAAGACTTCGGAATTCACTTACAGATGGCAATGCCAATGGTACCGCCAAGCGAGCGAACGCTGATCATCAGACCGCTAGCAATCGAGATGAGCTCGCCGGTAACGGCCAGTTGACCAGCGGCGACGAGAGTGACCAGGGTCATGCCGAGAGCCCAGCCCATCAGAACAGCATAACCCCAGACAGGGTCATTGGTGCTCTTGGTAGTTGTGGCCATGGCGACAAAGAAAGCGACGAAGATGAGGAAGGCCAAAACAGTGACCCAGCGAACCTTCTTCGTGATACTGCAGTATAGAGCAGTAACTGCAGACCCAACGATTCGTGGCAATGTAGGCAACGCTGAAGCGGACGCAGACCAGCAAAAAGTCATGCTCATACAGCACGTTGACCTGGAAAGCAAAGTAGATGTTGGCAGCGAAGAAGGCGATACCCTCGCAAGCAATGCAGACGAGAGAGATGGCGAAATTGCGGTTGATTTGGAAGAGCCCGTGGTGGAACATGCCATCCTTCTTGACGAAGGTCTCGTACGCCACAAGGATCAGGCCAAAGAAGAGACCGATGGCAAAGGTGGCAGAAGTGTGCGGGTCGGACCATGGGTACGGGTTCTGGGACCACGAAAGGCCCATGCAGAACAAGACCAGGCTGATCGCCAGCAGGATGTAGCCGATCCAGTCGAGGCGGGAGATCTTCTCCTTGAAGGTGAGGGTTGTTTCAAGAGGGCGAGGGAGAGGACGGTAGGCAAAAGAGCAGATGACGGCCGCGGCCGCGAAAATGGCAGTGGAGATGTAGTAGTGGTTGCGCCAGCCATTGGGGTTGTGGTTCCGGTTCAGGGCACCGCCAACGATCAGACCGGCAACGAGACCGATACCGTTGGCAATCATGACGGAACCCTGGGCCCAAGCACGCAAGCGGCGAGGCAGGACCTCGGACGGAACGGCATGAAGGAGAGGTTGAGCGCCAAAAGCCAGACCGACAACGGTGAAACCGGCAATAATCATGGACATGCTGGTAGCCCTCGAGACGATGAGGCAGCCAATGGCACCGAAGGCCGAGAGCACGACCAGGAACCACTTGCGGCCCCAGTAGTCAGCGGCCTGGGAGACGATGGGCCCGAGGACGACCGTGAGAATCGTGATGGGAGCGGTCAGCCATGTGACTTGATCTGTCCGACCAAAGTGTCCAGCGATGATTTGACCTTGCTATTTTTTGTCCCTTGGTCAGCTCTCTCTTGAACTCAGAGGTAAGTGAGAGGAACTAAGTCATACCGAGCCAGCGCCAACCAGGGCAAAGAGCTGGGCGACGTAGATCAAGTTGACGGCAACGACAGCGAGGAACGTCCGGGCATGGAGATGCGGCTGCGGCTCGTCATCGCTCCTGCTGTTGCTGCCCGAGGTGGACGAGGAGTCGGTGGGCTTTGGGGGCTTTTCTGTTTCCCCTGAGGAAGTCATCTTCAAGTTATCCGGAGAAGATGTATAGACAGCTGCTCTGGACGTGCGAGCTGGGCAAAAGCAACACCAGAAAGACAATGAGCCTGACCACAGGCGCCCGGAAGACGAGTTCTAGACTCCAAAAAAGAGATGAATCGTGTGACGGTCGTCTCGGGGTCTGACTGCCTTTTTGTCTCATTCCTCGCAGCTGCTGTGCAACTACATCGCCATACCGCGATGTTCCCATCCGGGAAACCAAGCGTCGGTTAAGTACATAGCGCATATGCACGTCGCGGTGTAGCACAGCATATGCCAGTCAGATTACCGCTCTGAGGCGCGAACAGGGGGTGCCACCAGGGGGTTGATTGGATGGTTTCCTCTTGCCCCTCGCCATCCCGGGTACCGGATCCACGGTTCCGGCTGCAACAACCAGCTCTTATCCCACTTTGACATCTTGCAGACGCTGCCCACCGTGCAATGCTGGAAGAGGAGCTATTAGCGCATCTATAGTGCGTCTGGAACGCCTTCGCGGAAACGATGAAGCCATCTTTCATCCCTGGACTCAATGTCCACTTCATGGCCAGCCCTCTCCCACCTCGTCCACCGCTTCGGGCATGACACGCCACCTCTGGACTCGGCTCCGGCTGGGTGGGAGCCGGGTGGAAGTAGGGTGGGAGCAGAGTGGTGGTATTCCTCAGCTCCCCTTTGTTAAGTAACTTGAGGCCAGCCGGGCTCCTCCGGTCCCAACCGGTCCCATCTTGTTCCCCTCATGCATCCTTGATTGCAACCCCCTCTGAGGGGCTGAGGTATCTCTTAAGACACATACATCTCTGGCAAGCTGGGGGGGGGGGAAGTCAGAGTTTCTCTCCCAAGCCCAAGCCACACCAATCTCACACACACGTTGTATTCTGTCCTTCGAGCTTCATATATATACATTTGCGCTCAGATACCCCCCTCCCCAAACAGATCGCCATGCTGAACGTTGCTATTGCTGGTTCTGGCATCAGTGGTCTGGCTGCTGCCATTTCTCTCCGCCGGAGCGGCCACAAGGTTACCATCTACGAAAGATCGTCCCTCAATAATGAAGTTGGTGCTGCTATCCACGTCCCGCCAAACGTTGGCCGCTTCCTCGTCCCCTGGGGGATGGACCCGGTAAAGGCACGCCTGGTAGAGTGCAAATACATGTCCTTTCACAACCCTTTTACGCTTGAGGAAGTAATCAAGCATGACCATTCCAATGACCCCGAGATGTTCGGTGCCCCTTTGCGAATGGCCCACCGCGTCGACCTGCACGAAGCCCTGAAGCAGTTGGCAACCGATCCGAATGGGCCCGGCATTCCGGCTCAGATCTTTGTCAGATCGGAGGTTATCGCCTATGTAAGTCTTGACTCCGACGATCCCTATCCCCAGAATCCCCACACGCCGATCCTCAGATCATGTGGGTACTAAACGTTTATGCTTGTTGAAGGATCCCGAGAAGCCATCCATGACTCTTGCCGACGGCACAGTTGTGGAGGCCGATCTGATCATTGCTGCCGACGGCGTCCACTCCATCGCTGCCAAAGCTATTACCGGCCAGCCGATGGTGCCTCAGCCGGCACAGACCAACAACTGCTGCTACCGCTTTCTGATTCCCACAGAGCTGCTCCGGAACAGTCCTGATACCAAATGGTTCCTCGAGGGCCATCCTAATGATGGCACTCGCATCTTTTCCGACATACCGGGTCGCAGACGCATCGTCACATATCCTTGCCGCAAGTATGCCGTTGTTCCCCCCGCTTTGCATATCTTGTCTAGACTCGTCCTCCCTTCTGGAGGATCGTCTTATTAACATTTCCACAGTAAGGAATTTATGAACTTCGTCGCAATATGCTACAACGAGAAGATGTCGGCCAAGGAGGAGGGTAGGTCGTTTTCCAAGCCAGCCTTGCAGAACCCTGCTTAGATCGGCGACGTTGCTAAGTTGCTTGGTGCTAACCCCTGTCTAGATTGGCACGCTTCGGTAGACAACTCCGAAGTTCTGGAGCAGTTCGCCGGGTTCCACGAGGGACTTTGCGCTGTCATCTCGTGAGTTTCCATTTCTGGAAATAGATCTGCACTAAGCCCGCTGACTAGACTAACACAAACACAGCAAAGCAACGGAGGTTAAGAGGTGGCCCCTCCTGTTCCGCCCCCCTATCGCGAAGTGGTGGAAGGCCAAGATGGCCGCTATCGGCGACGCTGCGCATCCTATGCTGCCGCGTACGTGCCAGACCCCTCGAAAGCCTTTCCAAACGGGTTATCATAAGACGACTGACACATTTGTTCAGACATGGCTCAAGGTGGTGCCCAGGGTATCGAAGACGGCTGCGCGATTGGCCTTGTCATGTACGGCGTCACAGACCCGTCCCAGATCCCCCAGCGGCTTGCCGTCTACCAGAAGGTGCGGTATAACCGGGCTTCATTCATCCAGATCGCCAGCAACTATGGCTTTGACGACCATGTGCAGTCGGAGCTGGCCAACTACCTGGAGGATCGTACGATGCCGAGTAAGTCTATTCTCTTTAACTCTTTCCTCCGAATGAGATTTCAAAGGGACATCGTGCTAATTCATCTTCTAGAGAGCGTAACGGACATGGTTCACGGCAACTACACCTACGATGTCGTGAAAAAGGTCATTACCGTCATGCGCGCCGACGTCGACCCCAACTATGAGCTGCCCCCTGATTTCTACGCCGCCGCCAAGTCGGCAGCGGCTGCCAACAGCAATGCTAACGGTCATGCTAATGGCAATGCCAATGGTCACGCCAACGGCAACGCCCATTAAGTGAAAGCTAGCCCTTGCAAGCGTGGTAGCGTGGCGCACGTTGGAGTTTTATCATTGGACGGAGAAGATATTTGCCCTCCTTGGAAGAAAACTTGGAGGTAGTTAGTGTAATCTGTATCAAGTAGTTGTGTAAGATTGTACGGAGGATTTTGGGCTCATGGTACATTTTTGGATATAATGGCTGAAGGAAGTGTAACCGCTTCACAGCACTCAACATCTATCGCCACTGGATAGTGCAATTGACGATGGCCCTGAATGGCCGCTGAAATCTATATTTTGACTTACGTAATCATGAGATGAAATTGTAACTGTTTTCCAAGATCATCAGTCATGGTCTAGCAGTTCCTACCACGCTGAAAATTAGACATGCTTACATAAGCCACACCGTCTGCGTTGTGTTCTTTGTCGTCCAAGAGTCTCGACTAGCTCGCGAGTTCCTGAACTTGATGTTTGCGATGGTGGTCTGTAAGGGAAACTGCGTGGTAATGCAAGATTGCACGGTGAGTTGAAAAGAGTGACTTAGAAGACAACCAGGTTGTCCCAGGGTTCACACTGACAAATGACATCATGTTATGAGTTTTCGCTTTACTCTCTCAAAGTTTCTGAGCATCTCGAAATTAAGTAGCAAAGCAAACTTTGTTCGACACTTAGCTAGTTATCATGGCCAGTCTTCATCGTCTCAGTTTCCTTCTCCCTCTCGTGAGACAGGCTCTCGTAGCGAATATCATCCCCATTATTGTAGGCAAGGATGGACTTACCTTCACCCCCAACCTCATCCGCGCTTTCTCCAGAGATGTGATCGAGTTCCGGTTCTTGTCACGAAAACATAGCGTTATAGCCAGCGATTTCGAACACGCCTGCAGACTAGCTCATCGGAGAGGATTCTTTTCTGGCTTTCCTCCCCACGCACCCAGGAACAGTCAACGTGAGTTGCTTACTTTCGTTAACTTGACAACTGTTGGTCATGACATGACCTGTTACTAACTAATCACTTCAATACTAAGAGCGCGTATTTCGTGTCCAGATCAATAACACCCACACGATACTGCTCACCAAACAACAACCAACGCTGTGCCAACGGCATGGTTGCTATCATCAACCTTCCTGGATTGGGTCAGGACCTTCTTACCGCGTGCGCCCAGCTCGCTCGACATGCGGAAATGCTACCTCTCCCACAGGCAAGCCTTTTGGAGGAGTCATTGAAACAGCTACATCTATCAGCAACACCACAACTGACGGCACTACACGCTCAACGTCTTTTGCCCGGACGGAAACTGTCACCAGAGAAAGCAAACAACAACAACAAAGGCCAGGCTCATCGAAACAGGATCTCATCGTGAGGTTGTTACCAGCGCCAAACCGACAGCTCGCAAAATTGAGACGGTGACTACTGAGGATACTCAACCGACGGAGGCAGTGGTTGTGGCGGTTATTACTAGGACGGATGAGTCTGCAACTGACACTCGGACTGGCGAACAAAGCGCTGTTGAGACAAGCAATGCGGGATTGCTGGTTGTACCATTTGCGGGGCTGATCGCTGTAGCTGTTGGTGGTTCCTTTCTTTGAGCTTTCTTCGGCACGCGATCTCGGGTAATGCGAGGTCGCTTTGTATGGATGGGACGTTGCTTTCTAGGATCGTTGGCATTTTTTTTTGTTTGGTCGAGTTGGGCTTAAGACTTGTGGGTTTGGCTCTTGGATTCCGGCCATCGAGTTACAAGACTTCCTGTCTTTTACAAGAAAAAATCAGTCAATTTCAACAATCAATCCAGTGGTTGACAGCAGCCGCGCATGTAAAGCCGTCGTCACTAGTTGCAATTTCGTGCTTATCGTGATGGAGTTAAGACCGCAACCGTCAGCAGAGACGACTGCAGTTTCTTATAGCCAGTCCAGCTTGAACGTTGCAATTGACCCAAGCCATGCTTTTAATGAGTCTATGTGTCTATCTGAATTCAAACCTTCATTCGAACTAGACTTCACCTTGAAGAGAGTTCGGATCGCACTGGTTGAGACGATTCCGAGGTTGGCAGCAAATGACGTCAATCACGATCAAATAGCGATGCTCCTGGCATCTCCACAAAGCCAGGCCAGGCACAAGCTATGCCCGAGACGGTCTAATCTGCCCACCTTCTTATCTTATCGCTGGGCTTATCGCCCAACAGAGTCCTTGGACCCTGTCCAGCCCGCGTAGCCTCGGTGCCTGCCTCAGATATCTGCCTTCCCTGATAGGTTGTAGCGGCGCGAGTGAAACAGCCTAGAGCCCGTGTGACCTGCGGAGGTGATGTGTTGTCGTCTGCCTTATGTTGATCTTTCCCATCATCGTCATCTTCTCTCTTTTCACCGACAATTGGGCCCTTTGCTCTCATCTCTGATCTCTATCAATCAGTTGCTGCTCCAGGTCGCGTTCTGCATTTCTCAATCGTGATCTATTCTCTTGCCTTTCATCGTACCAATCATGAAGGTTTCCAACGCCTCGCTCCTTGCGCTGCTCCTCCCGACGGTCAGCGCGCGCTTTATCGAGCCTGGCGAGACGGACCGGGTGATGCTCTATCCCGATGGCATTCCCGAGGCCCCAAAGAGCACGCAGAAGTTCCTCATTGAGCTTGCGCCTGGCGAGACAAGATGGGTGACGGAGGATGAGAAGTGGGAACTGCGCCGTGTAAGTGCCCTTGGATGACTCTAACCAGTCTGGGCGTAGGTTACTGACCGTCCCATCTGTGTAGGCCGGCAGGCGATTCTTCGATATCACCGATCATCAAGATCTTGGCAGGCTGCGGACTGCTTCCAAGAAGAAGAGCGTCTTCCCGGAGACGGTCACTCAACAAAAGGCAGTCAACCCGCTCCTGGAACAGCTGTCCAAGAAGCAGATGGAAGACCACCTCACAACTTTCACTGGTTTTTACACCCGGTATTACAGAGTAAGCAATGCCAGAATCCTCCAACTAGACCCAAAACAATGCTGACAGCTCCTCTGTCCAGTCTGATGAAGGCCGCAAGTCCAGCGAATGGCTTCTTAGCCAAGTTCGCCAGACGATCAAGGATGCCAACGCCGAGGGATTCGTTCGGGCAGAGCCCTTTCAGCACTCATGGGGCCAGAACAGTATCATTGCCACAATTCCAGGCCAGACCAACTCAACAATTGTTATTGGCGCTCATCAAGACTCCATCAACCTCTTCTTCCCCAGCTTCTTGGCGGCGCCCGGTGCCGATGATGATGGCAGTGGAACTGTGACCATCTTGGAGGCGTTCCGTGTGCTTCTGCAGTCACAGGATGTTTTGCAGGGCAAGGCGCAGAACACGATCGAGTTTCACTGGTATAGTGCCGAGGAGGGCGGGTTGCTGGGTAGCCAGGCTATCTTTTCCGCATATGAGAAGCAAGGCCGGGATGTCAAGGCCATGCTGCAGCAAGACATGACCGGCTATGTTAAGCGCACGCTGGATGCTGGCAAGCCCGAGAGCGTTGGCGTCATTGTGGACTACGTGGATAAGAATCTGACGGAGTTCATCAAGAAAGTAATTAAGGAGGTATGTAGCTTAGTATCCACTTGGAAATTTTGTTGGATCAGAGGGGCTGACACCAAACAGTACTGCACTATCCCCTTCGTCGAGACCAAGTGTGGCTATGCCTGCTCCGACCATGCTTCGGCTTCCAAGGCTGGATACCCCTCTGCCTTTGTGATTGAGTCTGACTTTGACGACTCGGACCCTCACATCCACACAACCGATGACACGATCTCGCACCTGTCCTTCGACCACATGCTGCAGCACGCACGCATGACGCTGGCGTTCGCATACGAACTGGCCTTTACTGACTTTGTTGCTCTTGAAGAAGCCAAATATTTCAAGCACGATGATTCACTGTGAATGATAGTAAGGTTATCGGAAGCGGGTGTTACAGGAGTGTAAAGAATTGCTTTTTATGGAAAGAAGGTCAGGCAGTCATGGTTTATTGGAGTGATGAGATGATGGAACGGTATGGTATATCATTATGCATGAGAATCTATCCATTGTTTTTCCTATATTCTACTTTGAGCTGTTGTATTAATCACGCCGTGCGCCCTGGTATCCAAGCATATCCGAATGGTGAACGGTGCATGCCACACGCCTTCTCATAGAGAGCAACACTAGTACGCCTCGCCAGTGCTTGCGGATGAAACTTCTATCCATCCTCATCACATGCGGTCCTCCAATTGCTTGCTCCTCGTCTTCGCCCAGCTCTCCCGCTCCTTGCTGCCTTGTTGATCCAAGTGCAGACCCCGTTCGACCCACTCCTTACTGGCCATGTGGTTTAGGCGAGACAGGGCACGCGCGAAAGCAAAAGCCTCCTCATCGCCCGTGAACAGGTTGGACTTAGCGAGCTGCTCAGCATTATGTTCCAAATCATCCATCAAATGGTTCATGACATCCTCCACGGCCCCATCATCCAACACTTGTCCATCCTTTCCCTTACTCTTGAGCAACGACTCCCGCACCTCAGCCCGCGACAGGAATAACTCGTTAAGCGGCACCGCCGTCGTGAGCACCAACTTCGCCCGCGACTCATACACCGCGTCAATGAATGTGATGAACCTCCTCGCCAGATCCCGCTCGCGGTACGTCATTCCGGGGACCTCGGTCACGATGAACGCGTCGTATGAACGCATGAGCTCGAGGTAATCGGCTGCGCTGGTTGGCTTGCCGATCAGCTCGGCGAAGGTGAACCACGCGCAGCGCCCGCTCACGCGGGGGACGACAATCTCACGGCCCCAGACGGTCTGGACCTCGCGGCGGGGTTCGGGCTGGGCAGGGTCGCCTAGGAAGCGGAACCAGCGCTGCGCGTGCTCAATGGCTTGGGCGTCGAGACCGATATGATAGACGTCGGAGGGCGGTCGGGGGATCTTGCGGTAGTCGGTGGGTGAATCGAGGTTGATGACGTGCAGGCGGGTCTTGAGCAGCTCGATGGCGGGGATGAAGGACTCGCGCTGGATGCCGTTTTTGTAGAGCTCGTCTGGGTGGCGGTTGGAAGTTGTTACAAGGACGACGCCGTGAGACATGAGGGCTTCGAGCAAGCGGCGGAGGATCATAGCGTCGGCGACGTCGGTACATTGGAACTCGTCGAAGCAGAGGACACTGGATTGGTCAGCGATTTCGGCGGCTACGAAAGGCACGCCGTCGACGTCATTGCCGAACTTGAGCCTCGTTTGGTGCAGGCGCTGGTGGACGTGTTGCATGAAGTTGTGGAAGTGTATTCTTGTCTTGGACCGGATGTTTGAGGGGAGGGTATCAAAAAAGAGGTCCATGAGCATGGTCTTGCCGCAGCCGACGTCACCATAGAGGTACAGCCCCTTGGGAAGATTGCTGGGGATCTCAAGGCTGGTCGACTTCTTTTGTCTGAACCAGGAGAACAGTGACTTGGAAGGCTTGGACGACTCGAGAGTTGGATGGACAACGGGAGGGGCCTGGTAACCCTTCAGCTCCTCGTGAAGGTTTTGAAGGTTGTGAATGATCCCTGGAGCAAAAGACATTAGTCTTCGGCTCTCCTTGGCAGCAATCGGGCTCCATGCTCACCTCTTTGATGAGGATCATCCTTAAGCGTCCCGTTAGCAACTCGACGGTCATACTCTGGAATTGGCCCCGTAGCCCCAACATTTCCTACGACCACATGTCAACAGACCTGCCGAACCATGAGTTTCTCCCATGAAGCGCACCGTTGCTCACAGAGGCCGCTGCTACCGCGGCAGCAGAAGAAACCTTTCTCCTTTGGCCGGCAACGAACTGCGCAGGAGCCACACTATGTTGGACGGTTCGAAGTCTAACGCTTTGGTGTCCTGATGCTCTACTGGCAGGTGTGTGCCCACATGAAGTGCACAGCTGGTGCCGGCGCACACAGCGAGAGCCTGCAGCGGCAGCTTGACGGGGAGCGAGAAGGATATGGCTCCTTGCAGGGAGCGAAGACAGCTTGGCGCGCATAGTTTTATAGAGTCGAGATGCCCGTCCTGTCCGATTTGTGACCGTACATGCAAATATACTCGTCGAATCCTGTAGCACACGACACGTGCGAAAACACAAATAGGGGAGGAGGACTCGGGAAGACGGAAGCCGGCCAAGAAAAGCCGCTCCTGCTCGGTGGAAGACTTGCGTTGGGACGTTGCAGGGATTCCACGACACTGGAAGAGCCGATATAGCAAATAAGAGAGTGACTAGTGCAAATGCAAACAAATAATGAGCGTAGTCAAGAAGTTGGCTCTTCCAGCGCGGCAGGAATGCAGTCTGGCGGGGTTAAACGAGAGGTTCATGGGGTCTCATTCTCGGTCTTCGGTGTCGGGAATTTCCACTCGGGTCCCGAGGGGAGTCAAGGGCACAGGCGGGTTTTGCCGGGATCCACAGAGCCCAGAGCCGCGGCACACCACTCCACCGGACCTTGCAGTTCGCTGAATCTCAGTTATGGGTTGTGCGGGGTCACAATGACGGGAGAGGAGGGAATGACGCAAGGGGCTTGGCATTTGCAACCGCTTGTTCACTTGTTCAGATGATTGCGGCCGAACCCTCTTTAACTTGCCATCTGAGACCCAGGATCCCAACAGTCTAAAAGTGCGGATGATGTGAATGATCTCGGTCAAGATTGAAGTCCTGGGACATCAAGATCTTAATTGGCTTCAACTCATTTTCCGCCAAGATCTTATCGATAAGATGCTTGGGCGTTGAGCGCGAAAGCGTTTTCATGGGCTGGGCATGTGACATAAGGCTTGGCCCGCGATTACCTATCGGCCCTGAGAGTCCGGGGCTTAAATCAACCACAGCTGTTGCCACCGGTTCTCACATTCTTCTCTAGTCTTGGCAGGACTGGAGGTTATTTGAAGAAGTCCAGCATTTTCGGTGTCCCCTCAAGAGGATTTGGATGGATGAGGGATGAATAATAATAATAATATTAATAAAACCTTCTTCTAGATGAAGCACTCGACGATAACGAATCCTTTGTTTGGTATATACCTCAAGGTTTAATTCGCAGAGACAATATTGCCATATTGTTATACCTGTGGTTGTCTTGCTACAAGTTCTAATCCTTCTCCCGTTTTTGTTTCGGTATCAAAGATCCCAGTGAGATCTTTTTTTACCGGCCAACGGTTACGGTGGTGTAAAGTCCAAGCGTCATTGAAACAACGTAGTTCATCATGAATCTCTTCGATGACACGACCTTGAACGATTGCCTCTTCCCCCTTAGCACCAAGCATACTTCTCGTTGGCAACCCAGTTCACCTCCTCAGCCGGCCCTTCGCTGTACCACATTAGGCTGGCAATGCTGTCCTTGTCCCGATTGACAAATTCGAACTCAATGCCGGTCTTCTCGATGAGAAACTTGACCTTCGGAGGAGGGTTCCACACATGGATCTCTTGAGCGAACCATTCAGCAGCCTCGTGCTGAGCGATCCGAATGATCGACCGGAGCCCGTCGACAAGTTCCTCATTCGGCCGGTTCTCGTCCTCAACAACGACCCTGAGGACATGTAGAGTATTGCCCTCCATTTTCTTCAAGCCCCCATAGTATCCCCTCATCCAGATCGCCCACACCCTCTGTCCGGGCTTGCCAGCAACAGCACCCCTGACTGTCGGCGTGCGCCCGAAGATGCACTTCGTCATGAAGTCCTCCCTCATCATATGCCACAAAAACGCATCCAGCTCCGGCAGGAGAGCGACATGCGTCCTGCCATCCCGCCTGCTCGCCAAGTCCTTCCTCAACAACCTCTCATCCACACACGCCAACTCGGCCAACTCATGATAGCCGATCGGCACCGCAACCTCCTTCACCCCTTCTTCTCTCTTCCTCGGCCGAATCGCCACATGGCTACTCTCAAACGGCGCCCACCCATGTTTTGCATAAAACTGCTTCCCAATATCGCTATACAACACCGAGAATAGCGCCCCCTCCTCCCCAGCTTGCCACCCCTTCAACACCCTCCCTAACTCGGACATCATCCTGCTCGCATATCCACGCCCGCGATACACTGGATCCGTAAAAACGCTCGCAATCCCGTGGCAGACCCCCTCGGTTACCTTCCCATCCCGTACACTGATAGCCTTTTTCCTGATACTCTCACACGATGAGAGCACTGGCCTCGCATCCGGCGGCATGTCGCGCACGGTGAGGATCCAGTGCGTGATGCCGCCGTTGCGCGCCAAAGGCACGGTGGTCAGGTAGGCTTCGCGCGCGAGGTAGTCCTTCTCCGTGAGGGCAGGCCCCCACATGGGATGGGTGAGACGCCAGGTGCGCGCGCGCTCGGCGGGCGTGGGATGGGTGAGGATTAGGGAGGGGGAGGAGGCATCGGGGAGCGTTGAGGGGTCGAAGTTTGGCGCTGGCTCGGGGATTGGGACTGGGACCAAGTGGGAGACGTTGTTGTTGTTGCCTTCGCCGTTTGTTGTGGGAATCGCGGTGGAGGGCATCTTATGGACGAGCCAGGCTAATGCCGCCGTTGGAATTTGCAAGGGACGGAAAAAATTCTGTTTTGATGTTTATCGGGAGGAGGGGTGAGCGTGGTTCTGTCAGTGTCCGAGAAAACGAAGAAAGAGCTAACTCCGTAAGATGCTCAGGGGTTACGGCTTATAGAGGTATAAGTCCTTCTGGACTGGAGATATTGATATTCAGATCAGTCATTCAGCCAAAGAAACAGCGCAATCGGACCCAACAAAGAACGAATCCAGTCCTGCCATCCCTAGCAAGTGCCGCTCTATAGTAGAATCCTTAAATATCTTTGGAATCAAGTAGGTGGGTGGATTCCCAGTTCTTCGACGTGCCCCTTCACCGCTTTCAATTGGCCAACTGCCACTCACAAGATCAGGGTCAGATGCCTGCCGCGCGTGTGATCGGCCTTCTTGAAATTCTTGCGGGGCGCGGCCGGGGGGGGGGGGGGAAGGAGGAGGGAGCAGTCGTGAAGGTTGCAGAGAACAACCGAAGCTTTCGGCTTACCCACAGTAAAAGCCGATGGTATGCGGCTCTGCCCTAGGTCGCCCAGCCCAGAAAGCACTAGTCAACAAGGATACCAGCACCTCACAGACGTTAAGCTGCACGTTGCTGTGGATACATCCGAATTCTCGGTTGCTGGCGGTTCTGGGGTTAGGACGATGATAGGCAGGCGAGTGGCTGGCTGTAGGTGGTCGAGGAGGAAGAAGTAGGAATACACAACACTATCGAAAAGGCACCGTGCACACTCCCCACAGGCGGTCAGTAGCTCTCCCTGGCGGTATCTATCCCTACAACCTCCAAACGTCTTTTTACATTATTACAGCTCTGTGTAAATATATTCTAATGATCGTGTCCATCATCTTCCGGCTGCGGCTCTGGATCCAGCTTGATCAGGGTATCAATCCGCATAATAGCAATGCAGGCCTCTGTCGCGCTCTTCAGCTGGCGAATCTTGCTAATACTCGGCTCTACCACACCCGCCTTGATCTCATCCACAACTTTGCCCCTCACCAGATCCAGACCGTAGTTCTTGTAGGCCTTCTTCTTCGCGATCGTCTTCTCGTCCTCACTGCCCTCGCCCTCCTGGATCCGCTGCGACAGGGCGTGCCTTGACCGCAGCTGAGCCACGAGCTCCGAGGCATCCTTGGCCGCGTTGATAGCCAGCGTCTTGGGAATGACAAGCAACGACTGCGCAAACTCACCGATAGCGAGCTGCTCGCGCGACCCAACGGTGCCCGCGAACTCCTCCAGAAAGATATGCAAGGCCGTCTCGACAGCACCACCACCCGGGACGATGCTGCCACTCTCCAAAGTCCTCTTGACAGCGCACAGGCTGTCGTGGACTGACCGCTCCATCTCGTCCAGAGTGAACTCGTTGGGGCCACGGAGGATGATAGAGGCAGAAGAGTGTGCCTTGGTACCCTTGATGAGGATGCACTCGTCGTCGGCAATACGCTCCTGAACTACCTCCTCAGCATGGCCAAGGTAAGATGGCTCAAACTTCTCGTCGCCGTTAAGGTCCGAGAAGGTCGCCAGGAGCGTGGCGCCAGTGGCCTTGGCAATCCGGCGGAGGTCCTCTTTCTTGCAACGGCGAACAGCCATGGCACCCTTCTCGACGAACGCCTTCAAGCAGAGGTCGTCGATGCCCTTGGTGGTTAGAATGACGTTGGCGCCAGCCTTGAGGATCATGTCAATCCTCTCGAGGACCATTGTGGCTTCCCGGGCCCGAATAGCCTCCAGCTGCTCTGGATCGTCAATAGTAATCTGAACACCCAGCTTCATGCGCTCTTTCTGAAGATTCATGTCCAAGCAAGCAATCTTGGCGTCTGTTATCCGGGTCTTCATGGCCTGAGAGGCGACAGTGCAATTGAGCGCATAGCCCTTGATGAGCATCGACTCAGTAGCACTCTTGCCGTGAGCCTTGAGGATGTTGACCGCCTTTACCGGGTACTTGACCTCGTTTTTGTTGTTGGTAGTCTTGACGGCCTGGATAGCGTCAACCACCATGTTGGCGAAGAAATCGGCATCAGCACCGATGATCTTGCTGGACATGGAGGTCTTGGCGATATTGAGTAGCGACTCACGCCCCAGGTTCTCAACCTTGATGCTGACGTGCTCGTTCATGTACTTGACGGCCTCACGAAGGGCCAGGCGATAGCCCGTAATGATGGTGGTAGGGTGTATCCGGTTCTTCATCAGATCGTTTGCCCGCTTAAGCAGCTCGGCCGCGATCAGAACAACTGATGTCGTGCCATCGCCGACTTCCTTGTCTTGTTGTTGCGCGAGGTCGACCAGGATCTTGCCAGCAGGGTGTTCGACATCGAGGAGGCTCAGGATGGTCGCGCCATCGTTGGTCACGGTGACATCCTACACAGTTTGTTAGGCCGGGATTGCTGCCAGGGGGCATGGCTGCGGGGTCGTGTTCAGCGCGAGACGTACACCGATATCGTCGACCATCATCTTATCGAGGCCGCTGGGGCCAAACGAACTCTTAACGACATTCGCGATCGCTTGGGTAGCGAGGACTGTGGGCGTGATCAGCTGTGGTGCTCGACATGGGTGCTTCTCCCGTGATGGGGGACGTTGACTGAGGGGTGACGGAAGGGGGGCCACCAACCGTTCTGATCCCGGATGTCTGCGCCAGAGATCTTCTGTCCGCCAAGGAACAGAGTGCCGTTCCTTGGTTGCTCAAAAATGGCGGCCATCGCGGCGAGTCTGGAGGCTTAAACAAAGCAAAAAGGGACAAGCGCGAGGATGGGAGGAGGTAGGGTTGGAAGACGCGATGCTGGAAAGGGATCGAAGGTTGGGTCTGTGACAGGCTCCAGCAATTTCGAAGCTTCGGCGGTCGCTGAGCATGCAACCAAGGCGGACAGCAGCTCGCCCAAGCCCCACCTTCAGTGACTTTTTCCCGGATGAGGAGATAATCCCCTGCCGGGGCTGGCCAAGCCCCAATATGCGCTCTGATTGGTTCCCATCGCTATCAAGGCCCTGGTTCCGGACTGGGGCCCCAGGCCGCGGTGCCCCTCCTTCCAGACCAGAGCGGCGGTCTCAGGTGCGGGGCACCAAAAAAGAAGTCGGGTTTCAGGTCTCCTCTCCTCCCACCATCGCGTCTGGAATTTTGACTCACCTCGTCGACCTGTGTCACTACCCGTCGGACTTTTACCGTAACAGCCAATTCTTTAATTTAGTAGGATTGCGTCGGCTCGACCCGTTTCCTCGACCTCACTCCGTTTTCTGTTTTCTCCATCTGCCCATCAGCGCAACACCACAGCAACTATGACCGACACCAAGGATCAGTCGAAGGCCCAGAAGAAGGCCGAAAAGCAGACCAAGCAGGCCAAGCAAACCACTGTCCCTGTTGTCGGCGGCAAGAAGACCGACGATATCATCGGCATTACCGTCAAAAAGTCGGAGAACTTCTCACAATGGTACCAGGAAGTCGTGCTCAAGGCCGAGCTGATCGAGTACTATACCGAGATCTCGGGCTTCTTCATCATGCGCCCGGCCACCATGTACATCTGGAACACCATTCGAAAGTGGTTCCAAGAGCGCATCGAGGCAATGGGTGTCGAGGAGACCAGCTTTCCTATGTTCCTGTCCCAGAAGTCGCTGGAGAAGGAGAAGGCCCACGTCGAGGGCTTCGCCCCTGAGCTCGCTTGGGTGACTAAGGCTGGCGAGAAGGATTTGGATGTCCCTGTTGCGGTCCGTCCGACCTCTGAGGCCGTCATGTATCCTTGTAAGTGATCATCGGGTCGAGATGTTTTAATCCCCAAGATTCTCCAGCAGCTGACCAGCGTAAACTTCCAGACTATGCCAAGTGGATTCGCAGCCACCGCGATCTGCCCTTCCGCCTGAACCAGTGGAACTCGGTCGTCCGGTGGGAGGCAAAGCAAACTACCCCCTTCCTCAGAGCCAGAGAGTTCCTTTGGCAAGAAGGACACACTGCCCATCTCACCGAGGAGCAGGCTGCTAAGGAGGTGCTCGAGATTCTCGAGCTGTACGCCGGTATCTACGAGCAGCTTCTTGCTGTTCCAGTTGTTCGCGGCAGGAAGACGGAGGCCGAAAAGTTCGCTGGCGGCTACTACACGACGACAGTAGAAGGCTACATCCCCTCGAACGGCCGTGGCATCCAGGGTGCCACCTCACACTGCCTGGGCCAGAACTTCTCCAAAATGTTCGACATTACTGTTGAGGATCCGAACGAGAAGGGCAAGCACCTTTACGTCTGGCAGAACTCGTGGGGTCTCTCGACCCGTGTCATTGGTGTCATGGTCATGATCCACGGTGACGACAAGGGCCTCGTCCTGCCCCCACGCATCGCCAAGATCCAATCCATCCTCATCCCTGTCGGTCTGACCGCGAAGATGACCGCCGAGGAGAAGGAAGCCCACCTCAAGAAGCTCGATGAGATCCTCGATATCCTCAAGAAGGCCGGTGTTCGTGCCGAGTCCGATCTGCGCGACGGTTACACCCCGGCCTGGAAGTTCAACGACTGGGAGCTCAAGGGCGTCCCGTTGCGTATCGAGTTTGGTCCCAAAGATGCGGCCAAGGATGTGGTTAGCTATGCCCGCCGCGACACCGGCGAGAAGGGCACGATCCCGATCGCCGAGCTCACCACCAAGGTTCCCGAGATGCTAGAGACCATCCAGCAGGATATGTACAACCGCGCCGAGAAGGCCTTCCGCGAGCACCGCCTGCAAATCACCAACTGGGACGAGGTCGTTCCCGCGCTCGACGCCAAGAACTTGGTCATCATCCCTCACTGCCTGGTTCCCGAGTGCGAGGAACAAATCAAGGAGATGACCAAGGGCCGCTCTGACGAGTCGCCCGATACCCCCGAGGGCCAGAAGGCCCCGTCCATGGGCATGAAGAGTCTGTGCATTCCCTTTGAGCAGCCCGAGGGTATCGTCAAGGGTGAGACCAAGTGCCTGAACCCGCAGTGCAGCCGCTTCGCCGAGGCCTGGTGCATGTTTGGCCGGAGCTACTAATTGATACCACCGCCAAAAAGAAAAAAAAAGTTTGAACGACATGGGGCTCGTTTCCATTGCCATCTCGACCGTCTCTGGACCATTTCCTATTTTCTGCGTTCGACGAATGCGTGATGTAAATGGCAGGGATATTGTTATGATGTGACGGGATTGCTGATGCTTCTCGTTCCTTTTTAGAGGGTTAGGGAGCGTGGTGTGTTGCCTGCTCGATACCGTACCTGATGCTTGCTTTCCTGATGACTGATAGACATATGAGAAGCATATTGCCCGGAGATGCAGTAATGAGAGATGATGCGAAGCTTTGCTACCAAAACTCAACGTGTCTTAGTGGTCTCTATGTATTGCCATGTCTGTGGAAGGGGTATCTGAGTATATCCACAATCTTCAAAGAGGACTCCAAACGATCATGCAACCACTGCGAGAGACTAACGCCCATTACATCAAGTTTAAGCCTGCCGCGTCTGGCATCATAACTATGTCACCAATCATGACTTATGTCTTTTCTCCGTCTCCTTGTCTCCTTATCTTCATCCTCACCGGCCCGATGCTTCGAGCCCAACCTTTCTAAAGTCTCCTCCTCGAGGGCCTTGCGCCATCCACATACGTCAGCAAACTCGCACGTCCGGCACTTGAATGCCTCTTGTACCGGCACACCTCGCGGGTCGCGCTCACCACGCCACCACCGCATCGTGTCCTGCAAGTACATGTCTAGCTTTTCGGGCTCGACGAAGAACGTATTTGTGCAAATCACTTCACCATCTTCCCTCTTAGGGCTGGGAGGTCTTCTCCGCTTGGCCCGCGATAGCGGTACCTCTCCAGTGGGTTCTGCACCATCAGCACCCTCCTTCTCGACCTCCACATCTGGCTCCGGCTCGAGGCGATGCCGTCTCCGGTAGCGGTACTCAACTGCCACGATCTTACCGAGGTCGTTGGCACCGTTTGGGAAGGTCAACGCGATCTCTGATTGCAGAATGGAGACAAGACTGCGGAGAGTGTTGTACTTAAAGACGCCGGACTGGGGATCAGATGGTTCCGGTTCCGATCCAGTCTCATCACTGTTGAGACTGAGCTGGGAGAGATTCAAGAGTTTTGAAGGGACCCTATTTCCTAGCCCTTCCACCGGGTGAAGGATACCGTTTGAGCCGCGCGAAGTTTTCGATATAGTGTTTGGGAATGACTCTTGGCTGCTCTGAAAGATTTCTTCGTAGAGTTTGCCGATTTGGGCCATAAAACTATCAGAAAAAGGCTCGTCAGGGTTCAGACCGTACCGGGAGAAGACATAAGAGTAGTCAAGTTTCTGAGCTGCCATCTCCGAAAGAAACCGATGGTACAGGAAGAGCTGAATAATAGCCCCTCGCACTTGTGCCTTCGGTGGCCGGGTAGCGGTGGTTCTTGTCTTGACATCCGTAATGAAGATTTGATGGTTAGTGTTAGATCCGAGTGTAGATTGGTCTCTATAAACCGTCTGAGAGTCCGGATCCGTCACTGTCTGACTTCCCTCGCGGCTGCTGAGAACGTCTTGCTCGAGTTCGGGATCCGGATTGTCGTAGCTCAACCCATCAATGACGCCATTGACGACGTTCCCGTCCACTATTCCCCAGACCTCGAATTCGCGAGTAATGCCTTGTTCGCGCAGGACACGTAGCCCTTGGATAATATTCCAGATTTTGAGTCCAAAGACGTCTTCTTTCTTGGTCACTTCTATATGAACAGGGGTCCAAAGCTCTTCCTCCAGCATTTTATGAACCGCGGAGCCCCTCTTCATAGCAATCGTCCTGGTTCTCTTCCCACCTGGAAGCCTGGTCAAGGTGTAGTAATACTGGAGTTCACACCATGAGCCGGCTACCAGATCGGAAACGGAGAGTGGTTTTTTGGGGAAGGTGCGAAAGCGGAGAAGTAGTGACTTTTCCTTGGGATCGTCAGTAGAACGCCGATCTTCTGGCGCTGGCTGGGGCTCCGCGGCCTGCACAGAAGACTCGGAATGATTTTCAAGTTCAGCTAAGGCCCAGCTCACTAAACGCTTTCCAGTCAGTTAGTTCTATTTATGGGGAATAGGAAACAATCATATACATACAATCGGGGTATGTAACGTCCGGGCCTGGAAGCAAGCTGGGAATAGACTCGGTTTTCGCCTTGATAACGTATGAAGCCAGCGCAGGAGACTTCCGGGAGACAGCTGATGCATCCCTAGGAACAGGATACGCGAACTCGCGTGGGGCTTCAGGGTCCTTGAGAGTTTGCGAATCATCTTTATCGAGCTCGGTAATGTCAAAATCAAGATCACTTTCAGTGATCCCTGCAAGAGTCTCATCCACAGCCTGCGCAGTCTTAGAGTCTAGACTTGGAGCATATTGGTTTAAGGATCCAGAAGCCCGACTGGAAGTTGGAGTAGTAGTATCGTGTCGTAGCGATGGGGCCGAGCGGGACTGCGTTCGTGGCGAAAGTGAGGAAAGGCGGTTCACAATAACGATCAGTCTTTCCTCATCTGACGCTGTTAAGTCGTAGCCATATTCTTCATCACTCTCTGAAACAAAGCGCGCCATCCCAGTAAAACTAAGGCATGGTAGTGTATTGAAAAGCGAGATTAATTGTGAAATTAGCAATCTGGAGCATTTCTTTCAGCAAAAAGAACCTTTGAAGACAATAGAAAAGCCCCAGGAATCTAAACGCCCAAACGAGGGTACCTGCCCCTCAATGATGGGAACGGGTCGATGATTGGGTCAAAGGCGCAATCGCTTCCAAATTCTCCACCGCAGCAGCCATTGCCCCGCCTCCTCGGTCTGGTACGCGTGGTCACCTGACTTGCTTGGATGAAGCCCTCTTATTGGTCAAATGAAAACGGATCCTTCGGGCCTGCCCTGGATATCAGCGTTGGCCACTGTGACCATCATAACAACCCAGGTCCAGAGCTATAGTAAGCTGGAGCTGAGGTCCCCTGCCATTGACATAATAACAGGCAAACTTGAATGTGGCCCAGAGTTAAGAATCTGCCATGGAAAAAAAAGTACAGTTCAAGTTATCTGAGATCCCATTGCGCAGCAAGATCCGTTGGGCGCTTGCTCAAGATCTCGTGTCTGAAAGGGCACAGGAAAGTCTTGACACGTTAATGGGCTTATACGGCATGCTAAAAAAGCCTCCAATCGCTGGTGTGCTCCGATACATTGCATCGACAGCAGGCCAGCAGCATGGTTGCTTTGACATGCGTGGTGTAGCCCTTTGCTATCGATGATTGTTGTTTTTCAAAGCTAAGGAGGTAGTTCTTAATGTCTCCTTGAGCTCGGGCAAGTTGTGCAGCCAGTTAACAAGAAGTTTTATTGGAAGCCTAAGACCCAAGCCGCGATTCAATTCCACATCGCCTGCTGATGGTGACGCAAGAGCACAAACAGCATCACTAAATTGGGTTTGGGCCAGGCACCATTATTTGAGGAACAGGGATCCCGGGGAAAAAACCATCCGCTGGGCTGAGGTCTCCGACAGGGTGGAAGACCACCGGACAGGTCCAAGCCACGAGGATGCTGCCATGTTTCATGTCACGCTGCGTGTTGCGTGTCCCTCCCCGGCCATAGGGCTGCGGTTTTTGTCCATAAATGCGTCAGATTCTCGAGGAGAAACCGATGGCGGCCACTATACCTGGAGTGTGTAAAGTCTTTTTGAGCTCTTGCCCCATTTCCCCACGTTGTCACTGCAGCACACAGGCAACAGCATTATTTCCACGTACATAGCCTCTGCATTCCCTGACAACAACACAACCGACTGCACATTATAGTTCTGAGTCCCAAGTGTCCTGACTGTAACAACAATTGGCCTCTTAAAATTTGTTCTATAATCTAAGAGGCTGCACCGGGGAGTTCCATCCGACTATCACCAACAGCTGCTGCTATGTCGCTGCCTTTTCTGTTAAGGTTGCGTCGACAACCTGCCAACAATCCTGCTGATATAGACTCGATTCGAATATTCAACACATCAAAAAGCCGACATGAGAATGCTTGCAGCCCAACTGGAACTGAGGAGCAGCGCGGACTTAAGCTCATGAGTCTGCCAACCGAACTTCATCTTCAAATTACACAGTACCTTACCTACCCGGATGCGCTCTCCTTAAAACACACGAACCGTTATTTCTTTTACCTTGTTGACACGGGGGTGCGACTCAAAGTTGAATGGCTCATGGAGCGGAGGATGTTGCATCTTGACTGCCCCAGCAATCAACGTTGTGACTTGGGAAGCGACTTACGCTTTTGCAGGGGGAGTGTGAAGTAGGTATACAGGGCCATTCAAATGACTCTACCCATTCTATGGTCTGGTGTTACTAACTTCAACTTTGACAGATTACTCATGCAACGAAGGAGAGAACACATGGAATGTGAATCCCGACCTGGCTTGGGGTGTATCATTTACGGCACAAAGACGTGCCCCCAGGCTAGGCAGTTTAAAACACGACTGAAGAGATGGCTAACACATCTCTCAATGAACCAGACGCAGTTGCTGCTACTGCTTGCTATTGTCCCCCTTCTGGCAGGCTGGATGTGGATGATCAGAACCATATTCTTCTGAGTAACGGACAGCAAGGTGTGGTAAAATTGTTAGCGACCCAAGATCTCATGAGCACCAACCCAGTCATGACATTTCCAATGGCCTCTTTAATTGCCGGTACATTTTTGTCACGAAAAGGACAAGAGAAACCATTCTCCATTTCTGGCCACAGGATGATAAGGAACGATAGGTAATGGCATGGAGGTTAATGTTTAATGTCTCTATGTACCATCATATTATATATGAATGCTCTTGTTACACTTGACTGTTTTCTTCTCACCTGGTGGAAGCATGAACTGTATGAGTTACGGGAATTCTTTCTGGGGCATGCGCAAACAGTTGTCTACTAGTTGGCAATGTCCTTGTCAAGTCGTTTGTCTTTGTGACTTAGCCAGTTAAACAACTCAAGTGTGATTGTCTACCTTAGTCAATCTACAGCAGCAAGCGTCATTAACATTGGGTACATCTCAAATGTGAATTTCTATCCTACATGTTCTGCACAATTATGGTGCATCCCATGGTCTCAGGGATGATTATGCTTTATTTTTTTTTTTTTTTGCAAGGAGGAACAAACACCATACATTTACCACAACAGGCTTCCGTGTAGATGGGAGAGCCAGTTGACAAGGCCAAACGAGATCACTCAGGCTTTTATTGAACTGAATGGTGTTAAGATCAATCTCTTACTTGAGGCTTCACAACATCCTACGCAATACAACCATATCTGTGGGAGAAATTACATCTTATCTTTTGAGCTGTCTGACAAGCTTTCTATAAGAGGACACTTAGTTAAACCTACCAACCTACCTGATGTTATTCTTCGAAGGGTGCCAGTCATTCCATGGCATTCTGTCTGCCTCTATACATAACTGCATAATGTGGATGGCTCTTTCCACTTTCTCAGTCTAGATAAGCATGCACCATGCGTTCCGCGCATGGTTCCTCACTCCTGCTTGCCGACTTTACGCACCTTCCTCGTATGCCACTGAGCAACCACTCGTTGACACAACAACAGCACAGATTACCGGGTTTGGTTAGCTCACGTTCTGTAAGAGCAGTCCTCCATTGAAACACACCTCAATCCATCATTCCTAGGCTGCCATGACTTTAACACTTTTTTCGCTTTCTCCCCAAACAACCAGCTTACTACTGCCAAGTGCTAGCTCTCACAGCCTACGTCAGCAAAGTTGAGCTACAGCACTGCAACTGCGTGGGAAGTCTCACATCAACCTTTGTCTTGGTTTCGTGTTTGCTTTCTTTGCACACTTCTTCGAATTACCTTCCCTGCATTTCCTTGTTCAAGCGAACAGAATGACTCCTTATGTGGTCAATTTCAGAAGCCATGGTCTGTGTGATCTCCCTGTGGAGATCCTCTTCAAGATTGTGGGCTTTTTAGCAACGCCTGTTTATGACATACGTCCAGTGGACCAAAAATCATACTCAGATATCAAACAACTGGCTATGGTCAACAAGTTGTTGAGAGCCATTTGCATTGATGTGAGCCTTCATCGCATTAGGGTTTGGAAGAAAGACGAGAATTTAGCACGTACTTTGGACGACATCCGCAGCACTTTGCCAGGGCTGCTCCGTGTCGCAAGGTTAGTAACTCGACATATTCTTATCATCTGAGCTTTGCATGTGGTAATAACTGACTTCACCAATACTTGAACAGATCGTTGTCTATCCGAACTATCGGTCCTCTCATAGCAAATGACAAGGGCACGAGGGCAGCTCTGTATTCTAAACTTGACACCAGCTTTCACCTGTTTTTATCACAGTTGCCCATGCTTTCAGAGCTAAGGCTTGTCACCCTCGACCGGGGTCAAATGCAGCTTGAGACATTCATCCGGAAATTCTTCACCGGCCGCAGAGCCATTAGCCCAAACCAACGGGGAAAGAAACAAGTGTCTGTCTGGCCCACAATTCGGGTTCTTTATGTCCGGTCACATAGCAGCATGGTCACTATTATCAAGGCCTTCCCTAACCTCAAGGCATTGAATTACAGCCTGCCATCTAAGTTACGGCCAAGAGACCTGGAAAAGCTCCAAAAGTATGTTCCTCCTAGCCTTCGGATCTTAGCCATCTACAAGCTTGGCACTGGTTGGAGGAAGAATCAGATCAGGAGTAAGTCGTCACTCATGACTTCAAGCTCCTTTAGATCGGTCTTTCCTTTTTGAGCTGTTTTTGCCAGACTTTGTACTCACACAATCAGACATTGCCGACCTGTTCCCTGAGATAGACTCTCTTTTCATCGAAGGGACACTTGAGCCTGGACTACAGATCCGTGTAAGTAGCATGTATCATAGAGAGACCATACTCATAACATAAACAGGCTCTAATGGTCTTCTGAAGGAACTTGCAGATCTCTTCTCTCGGCACATCAGGTTGCGGCGCCTCGTGCTTACTGCCCAGTACTGGACACCGTTGAGAAAGCACAATTATTGCGCACTCTCAAACCAGCAACTGAATGGATTCTATGATGCCTGGAAAGCCGAGGCTGCCAGATTCTTCACGGTCATCCCAAATCTTAAAGAATTTATCATTGGCCGCCAGGTCGATTTGAAGGCGTGCGTTTTTCAAAAGACCGAAGCCAACAACCTTCCACAGCCTGGTGAGGATCCTGGCTTCCAGTTAGTCGGGGAATATACCGATCCTAGGCCAGCAGCTAGACTCAACATGCCGCCCATCGGTGCAGTTGACTCCTGGAGATGGGACCGGCACGATGGCAGACGGGGCTGGCCGGGAGATGACAAGATTCTGGCCCGGCCAGATGAGTCGGTTGACGCTGGATCCATGGCAGTCCAGCGCGTCAATCGGGGCGTGACCCCAGCCGGAACGTGGGGCCCGGCTTCGCTTTGGGTCATGCTGAACTATCCAGACATGACCTTGGATCACTGTGAGACGACCTTCTGGGTAGCCGAGTGGTTGCGCCTCGTCAGAGACCCCCAGTTCATGAAGGACTAGAAGGTCTCCCACGACAACAGAACTACCGAGTGTGGTTGAGCCTATGGAAACTTCGAGCTTATTACCATACGTACTGTGAGTACATGCGTTCTGTATCGGGTTCGGATTGATAACTCTGTATAGTTACAATGACTGATCCGAACGAACACTCTGATTTGACACTTCTCGTCTCGGGGAGCTGAATCCGTCAGGCATTTCTAAGCCGAAACAAGCCATGATCTTGTCTGTGAACATGGTAGCCAGTAGCCATAATGATCTATGATGCCGCTAATTTCCATTTCTCGAGAAAAAACCCGCGAGTCGCCCCGTTGAATACCAAATGCGCCATCAACATCAGATAAAACTATATCTTAACCACTACCTTAGGTCTACATCGATTTTTTTCTATCACCCTACCATTGCTGAAGCCTGCCATACTTTGCCATGATGTGAGCCGGACCTTCACTTCCTCTGCTTCAGCAAGCAATGTCGTCCCCACTTCCTTCTATATTTTTCCGGCACGATGCTCCAATCAGGGAGCCACAACGCGCGAGCGAAAAAGTGCGTCCGCTCAGCATCCAAGAGTGGCTCGCACTTGATCACCTCCCACCTGTTCACATCCTTGGCATAGTCCGGTTCGTTCACCGGCAGCTCTTCGTCCTTTCGCTCAGGGTACTGCGTGTCGACGAGGAAGACGCACGAGCTCAGATCGACGTACTTGCTCGGATCCTCCTCATTACGGTCATTCAGCCCGTTGGTCGGCAGCCAGGTGCCGCTCCAGAAGCCAAAGCCGGTGCGGGCCTCCGAAAACTCGCCAGGCAGGAGACCGCGAAACTCGGAGCGGATGAACTTGGCGTGCATATCGCGGGGCAGGAAGAAAGAGGTCGGGAAGCGGTACCAGTCCTTGCCGAAGCACACGGTGTCGCCTCGTCCACCGACCTCGGCGAGGGGCTGATAAATGTCCAGAGGTGCGTGGTAGCCAGAATAGATACCCCAGACGCGGGCGAGACCGAAATCGATAGCGAGCAGGATGCCAGTGACCACGACGGCAAGCTTCGCTTTGGCAGGGACACGCCCAATGAGAGTTTTCGGATCCGCATTCCCGATGATGGCGAGGAATGTGTGAAGAGCCATGGCAGCGTTGAGTGCGAGGAATGGATAGGCAGGGTACATGAAACGCTCCTCTTTATGCGGCTGCAGCGTGAAGATAGCAAGCCACATATAGAAGGGAGAGAGGATGACGAGAGTGCGCAGACCGGACTGGGCAGTCTCCGCTGTGCTGCGGCGGAAAAGGAGTTTCTGAAGCAGGAAGAGGGGCAACGACAAGAGGGCCAAAATGAACCACAGATTGAAGTTTAACAGGAGATTTTTGAAGTAAAAAGTCCAGTCCTCGGTGCCATAGAGGTTGGGACCGCCCGAGGACGAGAAGACATTGTACTTGATGATGTTCCACGGCACGATCTCCCACTTCTTGTAGAAATAGAGATTGATGACAGTGTCGAAGGCCTGGCTGTTGTGTTAGACAACCGTTGAGCTAAACTGGCTACTATCAACGGGGAGGAGCATACCACAAGAAGCAAGGTTGCAACGGCCCCGCGAAAAAGGCGGATGCATGACTCGAAGACTCCCTCCTTGTCACTGATCATGGCAAAGAAGACTTCCTCGAGGACAAACGGAGCACAGAGGGCCATAGCAAAAGGCCAGCCAAGCATGCCGCCCACTGCATACCAGAAGATGCCCTGAGAAGTCTTGATGCCACCGCGCCAGTTAATGAAGGCAGCGGCACCGAGCATGGCCATGTACATAGCAAAGCTTGATGGGAGAAAAGCAGTGCTGGAGTGGAAGTTGCCTGGGCTGAACACCAGGGCTAGGATAAAGAACAGGCCGATGCGAGGATTCAGAGCCAGACAGACAGCACGCCACATCAGTGTCTGGCAGAGAGCACAGGCGAAGGCGAGAAGGTAGCGGAGGAAATAGAACTCGGAAACCTTGTTAGAATGGGGTAAGAGGCGCCGAATGTTGGCACCGATGGCATGGATGCCAATATACAGCCAGCTTCGGATGGCATAGTCCGGGGAGTACTCCCAAGTTTGAAGCCCATAACCATGGCTCAGGTAATGGGCCGGTTCCCAATAGTTGAAGGTCTCATCGCAGTCCTGGATGGGCGAGAACAGGGCGGCAATCATGTTTGCACCCAGAAACATATAGAACGCTGAGATAGGCTCGATGGCAAAAGCATTGCGAATTGCCCTGGGTAACACGATGGTCAGCTCACCTTTCATACATCCCAGACTAAGGGAGACCGAGAGAGCAATGCCTACTTTTTCCTAGCATGCTTCGCTGACGGATGGATGAATTCCCGCTTTGTGGGCTTTGCCGACGACTTGTCTGTTTGCTCTTGGGCCATTTTGTTGCGAACCCCTCCTTTGGCTGCTCTCCAAGTCCAGTCGGTGTATGGGGTTCACCAGATCACCACAAGTGTTGAACTTTGGCAATGGTAAGACTTTAATTGTGGAGTCCGTTTTTGGGAGGGACCCCTGTGTGCCAAGATGCGAGAGAGGCCTCATGGACCCCACCAAGGCACAACTTCCATACGCGTGCTACGCGGCGCCAACCAGCGCGCCTTCGTTAACCTTGGCATTCTGGGACGATAGTAACCTCAGGCAGTAGGGCTTCTGCTGATCAGGATGCCTGGCTTCGGGAAGCCAGGTATATCAAGCAATCAAACAACGAAATATACGTGATAGACCGCCAGTTAGCAGCGATTGTAATGAGTTTTAAATTGAGTCATTCGTGATGTGAACTGACTATGACATATTTATCCTTATTCTAGGGTTGGAGATACAGAAGAAGTCAGATCGAGCCTTGCCTGTCTTTGGTCCAAACCACTGTGGTCTCCCCAATCTCGTCATTCAATCAAGGCGGCCCGTCCATGATGTTCTCAGAACCTCAAATCCCTATTTTTACAGGCCCCTTTCTTGGTTAAGGTCGTACGTGGAGGAATTGGAATCCACCAGGCAGTAAAAAATCTTGGTTCTAGCACCAGCTTCCTGTTTACTTGCAGAGTGTGTTGGGCTGTTGATGCCAATTCAATCAACAACCATGGCGCATGGATTCCCGGCTTCAATAACTTTCCTGTCCGTGTTATTGTGTCTTCAATATTCAACGGGACCATCCTCAATACCTTAAGAACTCGGTAAATAGGTACGTAACTTAATTTCCCAGTAGGTCCTGCTATTGATCTGTTGGCTGACTCTCATCCCAGCCTTGAACCCGTGAGACCGAGGGTTCTGCGTTGATGTGGTCTGTGTTACGTCTGCTGTTACCCAGCCGGCCGGTGCGCACCTCCAGATGCACAAGTGGTCTGTGCATACATGCATGGTGCCCTGGTCTTCTTGGCGCCTAGGCAAATTGCCTGCCGCGCTCCCCGCGGAACCTTACAACCTTCAACCGTGTTTTGCGCGTCGCAAACTTTCCCTGCTTTCCAAATTTTTTTTCCGTACCCTGCGCTGCGCAACCAAAATACTTTCTTCAACCACCACAACAGTTACCCTCACGATACCAATTTCTCCAATCTAAGACATTTAGTCCTCAGTTTTCTACCATCATCTTACTCCGTTGCCCGCGACGTTCCCTCGTTCCCTTTACCCTCTCTTCGTGCCTGGTCGCCCAAGGTCGTTCGCTTACCCCTCCTCCTCCGCGCCCCGAGGTCAGTTTTCAAGACCGCCGCCAACTGTTTGCGTGGAGTCGAGTCGCGCTCATCTCTTTGCCAGCCGTGCGTCCCTGCAGGTGAGTAAAATACCCAATTGCACAGGATACGCTCCACAGAAGCATGCCAGCTACATCCTTCGACCTGAATGCTGATGTTTGGTTAGACTGAATAAAAATGTCAGCTTCGCCTGAGATTCCTGGCCTTGGCAAAGCCAAGCGCAATGAGAACTTGCCGGCTGAGAACTTTTCGCCTGAGGTTCTCGCCAACAGCAACGATGAGAGCGTAAGTCGCCTTTAGTCTCATTTCGCTTTTTTTCTGTTTCTTTTCCACCTCAGACGTCGGTAAAGGCCAGTGTCACAAGCAGAGTGCTAACACTGCACCTAAACAGACCACGATAAAATCGATGGACAGTCAGGACTGTTCTACCGCTACAACCCATCGCCAGTCCTCTGCGACTCTTCCTGAGGATGACAACTCCGAGGCCGCAAAGTCTATTTCGCGCACCATTGACGCCGTTCTGGATGGCATCTCTGCGCACGAAGCCGGCTCAAAGAAATGCGCTGCTTCGCCTCTGAGCATCGGCACAACTATTTGCGACAACGCCAGTGACCACAACAGCGATCAGTCTGACTCGGAGGACGAGAATGATGATGACGAGAATGTTGAGAATCCCGAGTGGGAAGAGGATTCTTCGCCCATCCAGTCGTCTGACTCGAGCAGCGAGGATGACTCAGACGACGAGCTTCCTGAGCTTACGCCCGATCTCATTAATCAGATCCTCGCGGCTGCCGATGGCAACGACGATGAGGATGACGAAGATGGAGACGGTGCTACCAGGCCCAGGGGCATCGGCGCCCCCCTCCGTACCAAGAACGAACTCCCTGAGCCAGTCCCTCCCCGGCCGGATGTCATCATCACTCCTGACATGAAGATTGAGCCTGTCGGCACTGTCTGGTCAATCGTCGAAAACACCGTTTGTGTGATGTCCAACTCTTCGGGTGAACACCAGGTTCTGGACATTGGCACTATTCTTTGCAAGGAAGACCGCACTGTTCTCGCTGTCATCGCAGAGATCATGGGCCCAGTTACAAAGCCAATCTATGTCATGAGGTTCGAGCCTGAATATCTCAAGGAGCTCGATCTTTCTTTGGGCCAAACCATCTTCTATTCGGTAAAGCACGCTGTTCGGGTGTTCACTGCTCCTCTCAAGGAGATGAGGGGCACAGATGCCAGCAACATTCACGATGAAGAGCTCCCCGAAGATGAGATGGAGTTTTCCGACGATGAGAAGGAGCGCCAATTCTTGCTTGCAAAGGGTCGCAAGGGCAAGAAACGCGCCGACCGGAACTTCGGCAAAGGAGACAACGGCCGCTTCGGTAATTCTTCCCGCTCCGGCAATAACGGTCGCGTTTCCTATGACGATGACGACGACGATGGTCCTTACCGGCCGTTATCTCGTCCCAAAGAGCTCACTTACCCAGGCGGTTCTCTCCCCCCGCGTCCGGATACACGTTTCGACTCGTCCCGTGCTAGCTATAGCCAGCGTGGCGACCATCGTGATGACTACTACGATCGCCGCCCCCGCAGTGATGGCCGCCGTGAGAATCGCGACCGCCGCGACCAGCGTGATTATCGTGACCGCGATTACCGGGATCGCGATCACCGTGAGTACCGCGAACATCGCGACAACCAGGAATACTATGATCGCAAGGATCAGCGTGACCGCAGCTACGACCGCGGCAACAACCACCGCGATTCCGGTGACCGCATTGTCCCATGCTCTATCGCTGGACAGCCTGCTCAGCCTGTTGAACGCCCTTCTGCTGTGCCTTCGGCGGGTCAGTGGCATGCTCCCGCCGCTCCATACACCGGCGCTCCTCAGCAGCCAACCGCTGGTCCTTACCCTTACTACCCCTACGCCCCATATGGCTCGGCTCCAGCTCAATACCCGTACCCACCTATTCCTCAAACCGCACCTGCAGCTTCTCCAGAGAGTCAGCCTCAGTTCCCCGCCAATCCTTCGCAGAATACTTCTGCTTGGTCTTCTCAGCATGCTGTTCCTCAACCTGCTGCTCAAGGCACTATCCTCAGGCTTTTTACAACTATGCGTATGGCCAGCCGGCTCCCTCGCAAGTTCTACCTGCCCAGCAGGGTCAACAGTTCTGGCCTATCCCGCAAAACGGGAGCACCAGCTTTCAGCCAGGTCAATAGGATCGGCCTGTGAATTGGAATCCGATCTTTGCGATGCTTATGGCCAGTCAGACTCAACTCCCTTCCGCTAACCGTTTCAACGAGCGCGACCATCCCTCAGCCCAGGGCCTTGTTGCCCTTAGCAATCAGCTGCCTGCTCAACCTTCGGGCGGTCAAGTTAACAAGGCTGTTGACCCTTTCGATGACCTTATTGCGCGCGGTGCTCTCGCAGCGGATCCATCTCCTAGCAATCTCCGCAACCTTGTTGTTGCGCAGAATGTCACTGACGGCGCTGCCAATCCTGGCAGTTTTGAGATTGACGAGGTGTTGCGTCGTCTTGGGATGATCGTACAGCACAGCGCCAATATTGGTAACCGTGAACAGGATGCGCCACGTGATCCCCGCATCGATCAGCGTGATCATGGCTCTGATGATTATGGCGATTATGGCAATATCGCCAAGCGTTCGACATGCTAAGCAACAAAATTACCTGCGGCAACGAGGTCAATTGTCGCGCTACCCCGTCCCCCGGCTATATCGCGGGATATGAGGAAAGTTCTTTCCTTTGCCCATGTTTTCTGGTCACCTCTGTTGACAGGAAACTCTACATTAGCCTTCACGGCAGTTTTCCGATGTCAGGTCTTGTCAGCTGCATCGTATCAGCATCTGATATCATTCGCCCACTCTGTATGGTCACAGCGGTGAGGAAATAGGGAATATTGGCATGCTTCTTTTCTCTTCGCCGGTCTCATGTTTTCCGCTTATGGTTCCCCTAATACTCGAGTTTCAGTCGGTTAACGGGGCCTTGGAATACTCTGCTTTGACAGAGCCACCGTGGAGCATGATACCTTTCTCTTTCTGATGGTCTCTCTGCTTCCTTTGTTCGCCTAGAAATCGTCTGGGATCTTTCTGGGATCAAGTGATCACAACGATCCAACTTCCCATATACTGAGAGGCGTATCAGCGAGGCTGATACTGCTGCTATTGCAGACTCCAAGTCTGCCTGGAAACCAAGAGCAACTTCTCCGAGTTCTCCCCTTGCAGTACGCACCTATCATTGCTCCTCCTCACGGAACAGGGAGGATTGTTTCCACAGTGGGGGCTTTCAGGGAACGGTTAACAAAATAATGTGGTGTTATGTAAATACTAGACCTGTAGCAATTTGCACTTATAGCCATACCAAACTTTTCAATACTCTTTGCAATGGTGACATGGGAACCGCTCCGGAAACTTGAGCAATTGCCTGTCGGCCATGACCTCCGCGTAGCCGCAGCCTTCATGTCTATGGCTCCTTGGGCGTGCGGTATTTGGCAAACGATGGCGTCGCCATCGATCCATTAGACAAAGTATGAACAGCAGCAGCTGGGAGATGGCGTTTGGTATAGAATGTTAAGACACTTTGCTGCTCCCTCCACCAAGCCTATCGCAAAGTAAGAAACATGCGTGTGATTTGCATATCTGGAAATGATTTCATGCGATAGGAAGCCTTAGGTGCTTGACGAGTGTTCTATTCTTGAATGGAGTCCACCCAGAAGCTCCTGGTATCTCCAGATGAACGTGGCTGAAAGTGATAGACCACCAGCAAAGGCTTGAGGGGAGAGAGCGGCACCATTTAGCAAGGTGTGCCAACCAGAACTCAGCGCGTCCGAAGCAGTCTCTACAACAACCGAAGCTCCCCTTAAGGACAAATTCAATGACTGATATGCACCAAACGGCACGATGTATTGGCAAGTGTACGGCCATAATCCGCAGCGTAGGGGCACTTTTCGGTTGAGCACCTATTATGACCTGGTAGGATTCAAAGGCTCATGCCGCTCAGACTGAAAATTTCTTTCGTTTCCCTGCAGGAAGCACTTGAAACCAACGGGCAAACGCCAAGACTGCCTAGCAATTACATAGCTCCCCATGCTATCTGTACTGTATCGAATGCGTCTGTGTGGACCGTGGAAACATGCAAGGCACTAATGATAGGCTTGGCGAGTGAAGGCAATAACGTATTAAAATAGCACACACTCTCTGAGAAGGTATCTAGACTTGATGGTGGTTTGAACCCCAATGCTTTTGTCTCTCACGCAGAGTAAGAATTATCATGCAAGAAATGGCAAACATGGAGAATGGAGCATGAGCAGAAGAACGACTCAAAACTTCCAGAAGCTCAGCGTCTCCACGCGCGACAGCCACAACGCTGAAATGCGGGGGCATGGGGTGACCGAGCCCGCTCTCCGCTCGCTGATGAATGCCAACGAACGCCGAGCATCTTGGACCCTGGCCCTTGGGCTTCAGAAGCTCGTTAACTCACAGACCCAATCAGCGTCCTGCCGACAATCTCGCTTCTCGGCTGACCGAGAAGGCCAGCCAATCAGCACGAGGAAACCCCCTAGGAGGAGCGGAAAGTAGACCCAAGAAGTCCAAACGGGTCCTTGCACGAAGAAACACCAGACGGAGGATCTGCCTGGGCCGACTGGGGTCAGCACCTGCCTGCCAAGAGCGCCGGCGAGGCCAGGGGGGGGAAGACGGGTGGGCGCTGGCCGGCGGTGGGACAAGTGCTCGATGGTTTGCTACCGTCGCGCTTTGTGCTCATCAACTGCCATGGCTGCTCGCAGGCTACACGGCATAGCCGGCAATATCTGCACTGCGTAGCGGCACAATTCATCCTTATAGCAATTCAGAAAGTCAATTTGGACAAAAAGAGCGCATTTATGTACACAGAACGTAATTCGTACGGGTTCGAGCTCATCGAAGTGGCGTGCTTTAGCGGCGTTCATCAGTGGCACAGCAGAGGAAGTTGGGGGAGCCTCCGCTCTGAGCCTGTGAACTTTGCTTTGCCCAACCCAAATGGACCATAGCCCGTGCCCCCAAGCCAAGCAGCCCAACCGCGAAAAGGATGGCTGCAGGCTGTTCGGCACACAGTTCCAACCCTGTTCCCTGACCCTAGCTGGTTAGGTTGATGTAAGCGTTCGCATGTTGCGGTCGCTGTCCACGGATGGTGGGATGCCGCAAGGCGCCTGCAAACCGGGCCCTAAGCCCCCCAAGTCGGAAGAGGGAGGAAAGGGAACGGGAAGAGGCTAAGAGTGCCCCCCAACTGAGGTGTCCAACATCAACCCCCATTGCCTGGTGATCGTGTTCTTCCCCTTTTCCTTCTACACAGCCCCATGGGCGCAGCCAACACGCCCTCTCTGTCTTAAGACCACATAGCTAGGCACTGCGCTGCGAATAGCAGAACAGCAGAGTGAGACCTGGCGCCCACTCGTTGGTCCAGAGCCCTGCGACACACACCACACACTCAAGGACAACCGGAAGCCTAACGAACTTTGTCCTTTGTCGCTCACTCGCTCACTCAAGTCACTCCTACACACACACACACACCCTCTCTCCCTCCTTCGACTTAAACCTGCTTGCTTTGTGTACGCGAGCAGCGGTCTCACGAGGCTCTCCTTTTGTTCCCATCTTGGATACCGCTCAGCGACGGCGAGGACGGTGATGATGATGATGTGCTAACCGTCAAACCCTACCGTCACTTATCCATAATTCAGACCAACTCTTTTTTCCCTCCTTTCAACCTCAAAGTTTCAGAGGCACAAACAAACTCTTTGTCCGCGCGTCATCCTCGTCGCTCTCCTTCATTTATTCTAATCACTCATTTGTTCTCATTGTGACATCTGTGCGAGACACGACCCCACCTCGTCTCATCCAAAACAATTGTGCTGCCTGGGAAACGGGTAGCCTTGATCTCAGAACTGAGAGAAACTGCAAAAGGGCGAAGCTCGGCCTTAGACGGTTGAGCTAGTCATATCATCGACAAGAGGATTGCCCCCATTGAGGGACGGGTCTTCGTTGCTCAGAGCTGATTCATCGCCAACAGTTGTCCTGGCTCAGGATTTCTCACGATCATCTCGGCACCGAATCTCTTTAGAGCAGTAGAAGAAGTCCTTTTCTGAAGTCCTTGGATTTCAATTCTTCAAGATGATCTGGCCAAGAGCTGGTCCTGTCCGAAGGCAGGATCCTGGCTCTTCCAGCACACTACCCCCTATGATTACTGAAGCGCCAACCGCAGTTCCTACTACCGGAGATGTCCTAGTAGTAGCCACCGATCCCGTCAAGCCCACAACATTCCATACCACTTCAGCCCCGTCTGTAACGCAAACTCCACAGTCATCGCAGGCACCGACGTCACAGACAAGTTCCGGGGATGGTGGCGGAGGTCTGACCATGGCCACAAAGGCCGGCATCATTATGGGAACCTTGGGAGGAATACTGGTGATTTTTGTGTTAGTTTGGCTCATCTACAGTGCCAGGAAGAAGGTAGTGGAGAGGAGACGGAGACAGCTTGAAGATGATGAAAAGATCAACGGTCCCTTCTCCGACAGTGCTGCTATTCGCACTCCGGCCACGGCCCCGAGGCTCAGCCTGCGTCCTGTCACTCAGTTCCTGCCGAGCTTCAACACGACGAGCCACACGGAGACAACGGCCAGCCGCGGCATTGCCTTGACCCTAAATCCCGTGGCATCCCCGTCACCAACTACCTCCCTCTCGCCTCTCGCGCGTCCCACTGGCGCCAGCGCTTGGGAACGCCCGACCATCGACTCGATCCAAAGCGCACCCGACGCCTACCGCCACAAGCGTACCGGCACCAACACCAGTCAGCATCCCAACAACCCCTTCAACGACTCGCAGCGCGTCCAAGACGAGCCCGTTAGCCCCATCAGCTCAGTCGGCTCGCTCGAGCAGCGCAACCGTCTTGCTGTGGGCACCGGCGCCGACGCTGTCTCGGCCCTCTCCGAGCCCGTCTCACCTATCGACGACTCCGATAACGAAAAGGATAACCGCATCGGCGTCGCGAAGACTACCCCAGGCAATGGTGCCGTCCCGTCTAGCGTCGGCCGTAGGACGTCTATGCGTAAGGACCTGCCTAAGCCACTTGATCTGACCAAGGCCGCGGCGTCGTCGTCGTCGTTGTCGTCGTCGCAGTTATATGCTGCTCAGCCCCCCAGCCCGGCGGGTACTGAATACAGCATGCAAAGCATTGCGCCGGGTCAGACACCCGTGCCAACGGCGGGTGCGGCTGCCATTGCTGCTGCTGGCGGGCCGCAGCACTCAACTGTGCATCGGGTGCAGCTTGATTTTAAACCAACATTGGAAGATGAGATGGAGTTGAAGGCTGGGCAGCTGGTGAGGCTGCTGCATGAGTATGACGATGGATGGGTATGTTATTTTTTTTTCTTTTTTTCTCCAGTAGTTCCGTTTGTTTGTTCCGCAAAAGCCATGGATTGGATACCTAACCATGACCCTCACAGGCCCTCGTCATCCGCCTCGACCGCTCCGAGCAGGGCGTCGTCCCGCGCACTTGCCTCTCCACTCGCCCCGTCAAGCCCCGTACCAACCCCAACAACAACCCCGGCGCCAGCCTGCGCGGCGGCCCCCCTGTCAACCCCTCCTATGGTCATAGGCACCAGAACTCCTTCAGCCGTCCCCGCTCTCCGCACTCGCCGGGGCTCCCGATACAGTCTAACACGAGTAGACCCTCCTCGCCTGCCGGGGGCTATGGAGGTCGTGGGGGCTATGGATACGGGCAGGGTGCTCCGCCAGGGCAGGCGTATTGATTGGGCGATAGACATAATCTAGAGTACTGGCATATTTTTTTTGTTCATATCTTACTTGGTGTTCTCATTCGTTTATCTTTTCCTCCTGAGGAATCAACATGGTTTCACTTCGATTCTACTGTTAGACAGGCAAGCTGGCGTTCAATGGGAGTGTTAGGGGTAAGGAGGAGCTACCAGGTTGAATGGATGGATGTACGGATGCTTAGTTGGTTGAATATTGAATGAGCGAGCCGATGTCTGTATGTTTGTATACCACTTATGGAAACTGGGAGGCTTTGGTGGGTTTATATGTCTGCTTGTATGTCTATTTTTGATATGCTCTGTAATGGCAGGGTCGGTCCTTAAAACCTGGGCCATCGCCGTTCGTAATGAGGTAGTGTGTATTTGTCATACCCTATACACGATCTATACCCTCAATGTCGTAAGCATCGATAGCCGGCTGGCTCATGCCACATGGAATGGTCAAGTTATGGACTTCCTGAGAGTTTCAAACAGCCTTGGGCGTCTCTCTTGTGCCGGATAGGTGATGGGTGCATAGCAATGCTTGCTTCGTTTCTGAGCTTTACAACCGAGGGTTTAAGTTAAGCAGAAAAAGTCCTTATGACAAGGTCACTATTCTCACACCCGGGACCCAAATATGTCGAAGTTCATGGAGAGCAGCAGCATACTGCACCTCTTCAACAAAGACCCTTGACAACTTGACAACAAGATGCGCCACGTGAATGTTTTTTGGTTGTTTCAATGCTAAAGGCATTGTGATTCATGTTCCAGGATGCGAAAGAGGTGAGCAATGATATCATTGGCATGATATTATTTACATTAACTGTTAGAGACCAGGGGCCCTATGATTAAGCTCCAGATAAGATCTTTTGATTGGTACAGCTAAGCTTTTTTTTTAGCTAGCAGGGTTAGGGTTCAGACTGCCTTCTGGAATCTTCCCGATTTGACAAATTCCATTGGGCGAACCTCCTTGTTGACGGCAACAGATATCAGATTTGCGCGCTTCACAGTGGAGTGCCCCACCCTGGCTTGGGGCCCACGCTCCGTCATCCCACTTGGACCTAGCAGCTCTCCTCTTGCTTGGGAGCAGGCTCCCGTAGCCTGAAGGAAGTTGGTGATGTCCACAAGAGTTGCTCACGCAACCACTTAGTTTGCCATAGGCTTCAGTGTTGGCCTTCATGCCTCTCTCTTTTTGGTCCTTGTAGTATTTTCTTGTGACTACCTCCCTATGTTCTAGCAACTTGTTACATCGCACTTCTTGTCTTTTTTCTTTCACTTTCTTTCTGCAGGTCCATCACGAATATTATCAGCTTCCGGGATCCGGCATCGGCAACTATTTCGCTTGCGCTAGTACTGCAAAATCATCCTAACCGTCTCGACAACCTGAAGTTAGCTTCGAGAATAACTTAACTGCGCCATTGCTTGTAACCCTGCAGTCATCTATCAACCAGTCTACCTACCTAGCGCGATAATGCTCTGACGGTCCACCAATGGATATGGCAAAGTCATTACAACTCAAGGAGGAAGGCAACCGTCGCTTCCAGGCGGGCGACTATGTCAAGGCCGAAGCCCTCTACTCCCAAGCGTACGTCCCTTTTTGTTACAGCTCCCTCAACAGACAATCCAGGAGTAAGGTTAACTAACAATGCTGACTCGACGAGCGCAGCCTCATTGTCGATCCCACCAACCCAACGCTTTATACCAATCGTGCCATGGCACGCTTGCGCCTGGCACAATGGGACAATGCCATCGCCGACTGCAACGAGTGCCTGCGACTGTCGCCCGACAGCATGAAGGCACATTACAACCTGTCCCAGGCCCATCTGGCCCTGCGCGCATACGACGACGCCCTGAAACATGCCCTTCGCGCTCACGAGCTCTGCGTCAAGCAAGCCGATAAATCACTGGCCACAATAACAAACCACGTTCTCAAGTGTAAAAAGGAGCGCTGGGAGGCCATGGAGAAGAAGCGTCTACGAGAAATAAGCGGGCTAGAAGGAGAGGTTATGGCTGTCTTACAAAGGGAACGGGACCGTCTCTTGCAAGACGAGTCGCTCACCGAGATTCAGCGTAAGGAGCTGGAAGATGAGTGGCAGTCCAAGCTGGAGAGGATGCGGGAGGTCTTCGAGAGGGCGCGCCCTAAGGAGGAGAAGAAGCGAGTGGTGCCAGACTGGGCCATTGATGACATCAGTTTCTGTGTCATGGTCGACCCGGTAATAGTGAGTATTATCATCGCACATTTGCTGCGTTCCGGCGTGCTTGATAAGCAGGCGTTTGCATGGCAGACCATAAGAGAGGAATTGTGGCGTATATCTGACATGACCCCTTGCGACAGACTAAAACAGGCAAGTCCTACGAGCGCGCATCCATCGTCGAGCACCTGCGCCGCACTCAGACCGATCCCCTCACTAGGGAGCCTCTATATATCTCTGACCTGCGGCCTAATTTGGATCTTAAGCAAGCCTGCGAGGAGTTCCTCGCTGAGAATGGATGGGCCGCTGACTGGTAGACTCGGATCCCAAAAATCTTGGTGTTTGCCCCTTGGCTGTGGACAACAAACTGTTCTTAAACACCATACCTATTTGGTGATTTACTTTTGCATTCATAAGCGTGGCGTTCGGGATCTGATCCATGTTGGCTTTCTTTTTCTTGTCTTTTCTTTCTTTTTTTTGGGGGGGGGGTTTTACTTCCGGCTCCTCCTACCAGTCATGAGGACAATCTGGCCGTACAATGTAATGGGGAGATCTGGGATGATTGGGGGAAAAACAAATGATAACTTGTTGAATTAGCCCCTTAGCATACCCCCCCCCATCTGCAAACCAACCGGCCTAACCGACAGGCTAAAAATGACAAACTATCGCTTGACAAAGGAAACTGACAAACCATTTGCCAACCCAAATCTTAAGCAACAACATTACCGATCATCGCTATCGACCGTCTGTTGAACACCCTCTTGAACCTCCCGAATACTCCCTTCGGCCTCTGTGACGGTTGTGTCTGCTGTCTTGGTTTGCTTAGTGCGGACGTCTCTGGTACGGCCGCCTCTATTTGTTGAACTGCTACCCTGTTGTTGTCCTTGTCGTCTCCCCGGTATACTGCTGGAGGAAGACTGACACTCCTAATCTCGGACTCCTCCTGTCCCGGATTATTCTCCTGCGCCGCATCCTTCTTCCCTTGCCTTACCCCCGCTTCAGGTTCCTTCTCCTCTGCTGCTTTTGTATGCTCCTGATGTGGTTGATGCAGATGCATGAGGCTCTTCCTCTTTCCCTTGATCCCCTGGTCATCATTTGCCTTGTTCGTATTACGCCGACGCTTCTGTTCGATCACCTTCCGTACAATCGCCTCGAATGCTTCCTCCACATTCATCCCCGTCTTGGCACTGGCCTCGAAGAAGGGAACATGAGCTTGCAAGGCCTGGGCTAAGGCCTCTCCTTCTTTGCTGGTGACCTGTCGCTTGCTATTGGCATGTTGCGATTCCTCTTTTGTTGCTGATGGCCCGGCTTCGTAATGTAAATTTGGCTCAAGATCGGCGGTCGCTTCGGCGGCGTCGGAACTGAGCCAGCTTTCGAGAACTTCGTGGTGGGTATGACATTTGTGGCTGGACTGTTCGGCGGTGGTTTTGACTCGGAGAGCGGGACGCGCTGCTTTCTTGCCCTCGGCAGCACGCCACGAAGATGTTCGTGGCGGCTGGTCGGTACGGGAGTAGGAAGAGGTGTCGGAGAGAACGGAGCGAGTGCGATGCATCATTGCCCGGGACTCGCATTTTGTCGAGGTCGGGCTTAGAGGGGGGAAGCAGTTGTCATCGTCGTCTTCGTTTTGATCGCCAGTTTCCGAAGAGTCGACCTTCTTGTGTGCGACGCCGTTCTCCATACTCCCGTTGACTTCCAAATCAACATCACTTTTGTTTCCCACAACCGCGATGACGACCTCCTCCTCCTTAACGCCGTCATCATGCGCAGCCGCAGCCAAGCTAGCAACCCCAAACAAACTACTCCTCGACCGCTGAACAATCCCAGACTGTCTCCTCTTCTGCCGACTCCGATTTGTCGCAATCTCAGAATGCAACCCAGGAATCGCATCAAACGACTCGCGATTACCAACATCATAAATCAACATCACGGCATCATACTCTCCCTTGGCAATCACCTGCGCCCTGAGCTGCGGAACTCGCAGTCCAGGATCGTTGATCAGCTCGACCAGATACGTCTCGCTACGCCGGGTACTGCCATGCTGAGACTCGGTCGGGGACGTCGCCCAGCACGAGTCCTGCGAGATGGGCGTGTCGACGCTGTACTGGTCGCGCTCAAGGGCTCCGCAGCTGGACTGGAAGCGGCCCGGGTGGCTAGAGGAGCTGGTTGAGGGGGTGCGAGGGGACCGAAGGGAGGAGGTTTTGTCGAAACGGCCTGTTTCTGGAGAATCGTGAGGAGGGGTTGGGGTGCCTGTGCTGCCGAGCGGGGATGATGGACTGCGTGGTTCGTCGATGGGGTCCGGGGAGAGGGTGAGGAAGCGTCTGCTGTTGAGGGTTAAGGCTGGGTCGTACATAGGCGGATAGTTGAGGGTGGTAAACTGGTGTCTGTTAGCATCATGTCACTGCGCTCGTGTTAGGAGTCATAGTCGTGACAACTTACTCTGGATTCTAGGCAGTTCTTGCCCACTCCTGCTGCCCCAAGCATCAGGATCCTGATAGTTGGCTTCGTACTGCGGCGTCCCATCTTTGTCGAGGAGTCTCTTCAGATATTCACAAGGGTGTTGATGTCATTCCTGTCCATTTGACCCAAGTAAGTTGATGGAAACCTAGACTCCTCAGCTACCCAGAACGTGGGATCCGCCAAATAATATCTTCGCCTAGTCAAAGGACTTATCGAACAAAACGGTTGATGGCGTCAATGAAACTCCAGAGATGAAAACGAGACTTGAAGATGCACTCGGAAGCTGAAATGCCATGAAAACACGCCACTGGAGCTACTCGTGATCGATAAGCCACCCTGAGGACTGCATCGGTAAGGTCAACACGGAGAATCTATCCGGAGGGCTAGTCAGCGAGGTTGGGCGGAAACGAAAGGTCGGCAAGTCTGGGCAAGGCGTCTTTGGAATTGAGGTTAGGTATTTGGTACTCTGGGTGGGCATATGAGAGGTAGCAGCCTGTTTTGTTTGGTCCCAAGCCAGACCTGGCTTGATAACGCCTCTCCTTCTCGCTTCCCTTGGGCTGCTATCACTTCTCTCCATTTATCAAGCACGCTAGGACCGCAAATGCCGGCCCTGTTTATCGTCTTTCTTGCCTCCATCATTCTCGTATACCGCTCACCTAGACCTATAACACGGCCAGTACAGCCTAACCCTGGCAATGCGAGCTATCATGGTTGACATGGGGGACTAACAAGGCCAGCAGGCCCACTTCAACGGAAGGTTCCATGTGGGTGAAGGTTAAGGATTAGGTTAGGTTAGGTCGCTCTCAGATGCTCTGATGCCATCTTGGTTGGCTACACGTGCGGCATTGTGTACCGTCACGGGCTTTGCACGAACGACATAGTGGCTGGTCAAGTCTGGGGAAACAGGCTAAATCGGGGGGGCGTAGATGGCGTGAGTTGACACCTGCCCGCCCCGTCCACCCGGAACGGGTTTCTTAATATGGAAAGAGACTGGGGAAGCAAAGAGGGCAGCTGTAACCTCCACTGGGTTTGACAGTTGACATTTCGGGTGTTTTGTGGGTTCTCACCCCGAGGGCTTCAGTGCAGATGGAGAGTGGGTGTGGGAGAAAAGGAGGCGTCTCAACATCGGGGGGTGTTGCAGAATGGCGATCTTCAATCTCTGAGTGGACGCTAGGAGATGCCAAGCCGCGGGAAACTTGCCACGGCAGAGCTTCCCGTCTTGAGGTTGTGATCCCTTGCTGCCCGGAAGGCTTCTATCGGCATTCCATCCGTAGCAGGTCCGAAGAGCAGGGCTGGATTGCACCGGGCCCGGCCGAGAAAGCCCTTGGCGACTAGATATTTGTGTATAGGTTGCCATTTTCGAGGGTTCGGACGATGGAAAATCCTTGATACTTTTTCTCTCAAGAACGCCAATGCCTCGCAATGCTGCCAAGAGTAGCGTTCACTGCACACCAAGACGCTAGTTCAAGCTTTCGCGTTGCTTACATGAAACCAGAATCAAAGTTGGACCACCGTTTCACCCTTTGGCCATCAACAGGTAGCACAAACTATACGTCGTGCACTGCCGGAGGATTGCCTCCTAGAATCTGGGGAACGGCAACGGTACTGGTAGATCGTGGGTCAAGCTCAAGCTGGCGAGAATACGGAGCGCAGATGTAGAAGCCGGCCGTTGGATCACACAGCCCAGCCCAGGCCCTAAACCCTTATCCTGAGCAAGACAAATACCGTGTACTGTGCACACTGCGATGCCGATAACGGCACGCCCACGGATCGCAAACTGAGATTAGGACTGTGGCCGTGTCAGCCGGCAGTTGATTGCAAGCGAGTTGGGGAACAAGGCGGAGAACGGATGTTCAGACCGAAGATCCGAGAGACCCAACCCACGTTCGATTAGGTGTTCGATCTTGCCGTTCCGGCCCTAAACGGTGCTGGTTGGTCTCGGGGCTTAAAGAATGGTAGCGAAAGCTAAAAAGGCCGTCTCTAACGGCCAAGTGACCGCTGTGGGTCGTGTTCTCTGCCATCGATAGGCACGCAGTTGAGGCCGGAGGAGATTCTCCCTCCCCGGGGTCGCCGTAGTAGCATGATCTGTGCTCGGAGGAACCTAAAGACCCCAGACTGTCAATAAAGCGTCAGCCCAAGCAGCCTGTGTTGTGTAGATGACACCTAACGGGCTGTCCCCTGTCCAGCGTTCCATCCTACAGCACGCAATGACCAGGTCAGGCCATCCCGCATGAGCCGCTGGCCATGCAAGACGCTCAGGCGCTATCAAAAGCCCCACGGCATACGGCAAAACTCCAACGCGAGGTCCTGCATCTGGGAAGAAAGAGAAATGGGTCGTGGATCATATCACCTCTCATTTCCTGCTATTCCAATGTTGCCGCTCTTCAATTCTCTTTCAGCCCAATCATAGTATACAGTCTGGAATGCCGATGACAGCGATGCAAGGTAATGACTATTGCCCTCCCACACCATCTACGGCCAGCAACCAGCAACCCGCCCAGACCAGAGGGATTGAGTGACCCGAGAAACCGGCCCGAATGTGCGTTTCCTAACAAAATTTCCCTCCTTCCTTTCTGTATCCGTTCATGTATTACACTATGCAATTGGCCAGCCAATGTTGGAAGTGCTTGAGAAAGACATGTCTTGTACAAACATCATCATGCTTCGATGGGAAACGATCGCATAACCGAACCAGCAACTATCCAAGGAAACAATCATCAACAGGTCGTGCTTTAAAGCTCTTAGTTTTCATGATATATTGTGCATGGGGGTCGTAACAAGTTAGAGTGTGGGAGATCAGATGAACCCGGGGCCAGGTCCCTCGTGTCGCGGTTGTTGAGAGGGCCATTCGTCTTCATCGCTACTGCTCTCAATCTGGTTACGCCGGAACCGTCTCCGGTGCCTCTCGTAGGCCTCCAGCTCCTCTCGTTCCTTTTCCTTCTCATCCTTTTCACTGCCCTCGCCACGAGGAGGGCTCTGGCTATACCCATGGGTGATGCCGCGACCATAGCGTGTTTTTTTATCATCAATGTATTCCGTGGAGTCATCATCGTCGTCGTTGTATTCGTAGACCCGCACAGCGGGTACTCTCTTAGTGTTACCGTCGTTCTTGACGAGGCCGAGCATCTCCTCTTCCGTTGCACCCTTCAACTGTGGGCTCGAGTAGCCGCGAGGAGTCGCCCTGCCGCGGGCTGCAAACCACTGACCCGATTCCACGGCACCATCGCCGCCATGTTCATGCGCATGGAAGCGCTTGAACATATTTTGGAACGAAAACTGGCGCCTGCCTGACTGGCCGGGGGAGCCTGGTGGCAAGCGACCACTTCCAGCGTCACTCCCGCCAGACACGTTGCGGCTGCAGGCTCCAGCAGTCTGCACGCGACGTTTTGAATATGACAGACCCTGTCCGCTACCTTCGCCGTTGCCATCAGAATCATATTCTGGTATACTCGGTGGTTTGGCACCTGCGACAGCCACTGAGGTCAACTGGACCGGATGCATCGGGCTCTGCACCTTATGTGGGGCTTGTTCACGGAAATCGGGATGACCAGGCAGCAGGACGGAACGAGCTCGGCTGCGAATGCTGCCAACCAAGCTCGACAGGGCGGGCGAAACGGGCCGGTTCGCCTGTGCGAGCTCCTCTTCGGTCGGGAAACGCGACCAGCCCAAAGGCGGGTGAGGCGTCGGCGGTGCAAGATGGGTTGGTGTGGGAGACGGAGCTGTCATCGAGCGTGGACCGAACGTGGTCGTTCTCCGCCGCCGTATGCCATCCCATTCGTACTGAGGCGCGCCCGTCTCGCTGGGAGGTGCAAGGCTCTCCTGGAGCTTCTCCTCACGCAAACGTCTCAACTCTTCCAACTCCATCTTCTCCCTGGCTGCCGACAGCCTCCTGATGATGGCTGCAGTCCCACGAATGGCGTCAGCTTTGGGTTCTGTTTCGGGCTGTGCTTGCTCGGCAATAGTGTGAATCTGATCCAGATCACCGGAAAACACGGCAGCATCCGGGACATCCTTCGCGGACTTCGACAGTTGCAACAACACAACGCCAGAGCAAATGGTCAAGAAGCCGTTGACAACCGTAATGATGGATGTCGGGGTGCCCTTAAAGCCACGAAAGAGTATTGCTGAGCTGATTATCGTAGTGCTGGTAAAGTAAACATAGTACGTGGGCGTAACCATGGCCGCGTTAAATATGTTCAGCGCTTTCTGCAGTCAACTGTTTAGCGTTTTTGCTCTGACTTTCATTTGAGTCGACTCTTAGGCTTACATTCAGGTATACAATCTCGGTCAGGAGGGTTGCAATGACAAACACCAGCAGCACATAGAGAAACCACTGATTGAACTGAGGGGTCCCTTGGGCTTGGGCGATAATAGCAGCTCCCAGCCCCTGAGTCGCCACGACACTGAGGCCACCAATCCAACTGCAAATGGAAATATACACGAGCATGTTTTTGTTGCCGTACTTTGGACCCAGCCAAAGCGCCACGATGGCGGAACCAATGATCACAGTGCCGGCATACGAGAGGAAGAGCGGATGTATGACGAACTTTTGCATCTGTTGGATGTTTGCAACAGCAGAGGACTGTGGCGCATTCATAACGATAACGACCGAGCCGACAATGCACAAGAAGCACGCGACCTTGCCGATGACGCTCAGGCGCTCCTTCAAAAAGATGGCCGACAAAATGGTAGTGATGACGACTGAGAGCGCACCTAGAGGCGTGACCAAGATGGCATCAGTGAAGGCATAGGCGGCGAAATTGAGGCCTTCGCCGATGATCATCAAGATCATGCCGGCCCACCAGTAGAGATTCTTGAGGTATCCATATCCCTCGCCTGCGACTTCGTTGTATTTCTCGTTGGCCTTGAGCAAGCCAACCTTTTTCAGTACGAACGATGTCCCAATGAAGGCTCCTGAGCCAACAGCTAAGGCAATGCCAATTGCCTTGAAGATAGGCGGCCGCTCCTCTCCCGTGCTAACGCCGCCGGCACGGGTGACCAATTCGTGAACATGGCTGATGACCTGTGATGAAGTGTCCATGGCTGCTGGGCTTTGATGCGCCACAGGTTGGCGACAGCGCCAGTGTCGTCAATTGTCAAGGCGAATACCGTGTCGTACCTCGGGCGTTTTGTGTCTGAGAGGACGCCGAAAACCTGTGCCGTTGAGCGAGAAGAACGCCCGAGGATATGGATGTCGAAGTGATGAGTTTCGTGGCAAGCTGGATGATTGGCGGCATGAGCTGCGAATGGGCTACAGATGGGTTTTGCTGGCCTTTCTCTTCAGTACCGGTCAGTGGTGACGGATTACGACTAATGGCCGGTCCAGACTCTCAACTACCCCACAAATGATGAGAAACCAGTAAGTGGTCCGTAGGTGGAGCGGCTGGAGATGTCGAGGGGCGTTGGGTGTGTCTCGAGATCAGCTTCGGATGATGATGCACATGTCTTAGAGGTAGCCAGAGGAATAAGAGCAATCCTTGTTGCCTTCAGTACTTCTCCGATGTATCAGTCTGCGGTCTCGTGGCTCGCAGCAGCAGCTGAAGACCCTAAACTTTTAGGAGGGTGTGCTCGATAAGCGAACAAAGAGGAATGGTGTGATGGAGGATCCCTGTAGGTTTGGACCTGCACAGCACTCGATGGCCCGGTCGAGTTGTGAGACACCAGCGGTAGGAGGACGTCGGCGAGGTTGCGCGTGGGTTTTGGATGAGATTCATACGATCCCTGACGACTTCGCGCAAAATGGCCTGGACCCATTGCCGCACAGTGACAGCCCCACCGAAACAAGCGATAAGATAAGGAATGGGAGGCTGGGAAGGGAGAGACAGGATTCAGCCCAGTTCTCAGAAATTTTCGTAGCAATATCCAAACAATTGACAACTAAGGCCAGCGAATTTCTATAGATCAACGGAATATTCAGCACATAATCATGCATAAACTGAGCATAGAGACGACGAACATCTCCCGAAAGACGTTGGGCCCCTGTCCAAGGGGGCGTTTCTTGGCGGCGATCAGTCCCAGCAACCGCCCCGCTGACACAAAACCTTGGAGGGACCCTGTGGGATTTGGGTGGGTTTTTGCCGCTGGCACCAAACTGAAACAAGAGCCGGGATGGAGGAAAGCCAACTTTCGAAGTCCACGTTAACGGCCCGCCCGCACTTCCAAGTTGCAAATAATGCTGTCTTACAGAAGGAAAACGGGGCTGATGACCGAAAGATTTAAAAAAAATCAGTTTAACTTTTGAGTCGAATGAAGCTACCGATACCTAAGGGCTGTCCTTGATCTGTTCCGTTGCTTGCACGTACCTTTGTCTGCTGTTAAATCAACTACAACTCGACTACGGAATGGTGTTTGAAGTTCTAGACGCTTCAAGAAATTCCACCGGGAAATACTCACTGCCAGTTTGCAAATGACGATGATATTTCGTGCCCCAAGAGGCTTAGCGAAGTAGATGTGGGTATAAGAAGTCGATGAGGTCGTTTCCACGAAGCTAGCGGACGTCGACGTTAGGTTCTGGGATGCATGGCTGTCTACCTCTGATATTGCGTGCCATTCCCGAAAATTTTCAGATGTTGTCATGTTGCCATACCGTTGTTGAGCTGCTGCAAAATGATAGGTTCGCGGTAGCTTGTTTCGAGACGTGTACATCATCAGGGGGCAAAGGTTACCCGCCTTCAAGTTGGGGAACAGGAAGCTCCAGACAGTGTTAGGTAGTAGGTAGTTAGGGGTAAGTAGGCAATTTGCTGGCTTGCCGAACACCATCGCGTACACTCATGGTAGTACAAGCGTTTTACACATCGCTACTCTTCAGCGCCAGCAATGTCACATCTCTGGGCCACAGCTCACGGCGGTTATAACATCCCACAGCGTCGGAAGAGCAACCGAAACCCCTTTGTGTGTGGCTCGGATAAACTTCGCAACAGCGCCTGTGCCAGCATCAGACCACAAGCCAAGGTTACTGCGAAACACGGCATAACTGCACGTGCAAATGGTCCGAGATCGACATCTCGTGCCTGGTTAAAACCCATCTTGGACCCCTCACGGGTTTGGTTGATCGACATTTAGGGTCAGGTTTCGTCTAGAGTTTGACAATGGCTTATCGCACACCAGAAGCGGTCTATTTGTCTTCGCAAGGACTACCATGAGGGGACATGCCACCCATCGACCAGCACCAAAGCAAGTAAAAGAGCAGACAGCTTTCAAAAGGTTGGAGCTGAATCTTGCCAGCAAGAACGCAATCTCACACCTATGTACACAACGACAGGCTCTCTAGTGCCATCTTAACTGTGTTTCCGTAGCAATAGTGGTATCCCGCCCCCTAACCAGAACGCCGTGTATGATCGAAAAAGCAAACTGATGGCCTCCCAGAAAATGCCTAAACCTTTGATCGGATTTACTCACCCCGGCCGTCACCCTTCAAGCCTTGACCACCCAACCAGCGTTGACCATGAAATCAAAAATCCTGCCCCCCTTCTGGGAATCCAGACGGCAAATCTCCTTCGCCTGCTTCTTCTTCAGACTCCCATTACCCTTGACTGCCTCCTTAAGGATCTGCTCCTTGATCATAATGTACGGCTTCGGCTGGATCCGTAGAGTCTCGCAAAGCTTGATCTCCTCCGGCGTCAGCAGGTGAAGATCCGGCGCATTGTCCTGGGTAAGATTCATGGGCTGAACACCCGGCACCGGCGGAGGTACATATTTCGGCTTGGGCTGAGAAGTGCCGTTCGCGACAACAACACTACCGCCGTCAACGGTAAGTCTGTTGGCATCCGGACGGGGGAAGCCGTTAGCGTCGATGATCGGCTCCTTGTACCGGGCCGGTAATTCAGGAGCAACCAGAAGTGCGGCACCGCTTGGCGGCTCGGGCTGCTGCTGGTTCTTGCCGCGCTGCGACGTCGCCAGCCTCTCGCGGTCGAGGGAACCCATGGGCATAGACTTCTGAATGCGCAGGGCCTTCTCCTGCTCGTACTTTTCGCCGCTCTTGAGGTCACCGATGCGCATACTACGCCATTCCTGCAGCTGGGCGATAGCCTGACGAAGGTTAAGCTCATCGATAAGACCTTGGCAAAATTGCTCGAAGTCATGGCGGTTCATCATGCGCGCAAAGGGCTTCGCCTTGTTGAGAAGCTCGCGTTCTTCTCGTGATCGCTTTTTCTCCGCCTTGGTGTTCTCCCTGTACTCGAGCAGGTTGTGCTCGAAAATCACTTTCTTCCTCTCAACGCGCTGCGTGAGCCGGTTGTTGTAGATCTCCATCACCGTAAGCTTCAGCTCCATTTCGGGCTCCAGTTCGCCAGTACGCGGGTTGATGCCATCGCCGGGATCGAACGACATGAGCTGTACGGCCTCCTCTGCTTCGTTGCAGTACTCGGTTTCGAATTCCAAACGGCCGGGCATGTATCCCTGGATCTCGTGACAAGCTGGAATGCTAGCTGTCGGTTTCGTCTTGGGCTGAGGGGGGGGAGCATTCTTGGCAGCCTCTCGCCGTTCTTCGATCCTGCGTTTCTTACGAGCTTGGAACTCCTCTCGGGAGATCGAATTGGGTAATTCAAGATCGTACGGGCTGCAACGTTCCGGCAGGGGGAAGTTGGGTGACTCGATGTAGACTTTCAGATAATGGTCCCTAACCTCGTCCTTCGTCCGATAACCGCCAATGTGATCGGCAATGTCCGCCCATGATCCTAAGCCGTATATTTCAGCTCCTTCGAGGAGCAAGAGTTCCTCATCGGCACCCCAGTCTGGGTCAAAGATGGGAAAGGAGTTCTGCTCGATGACTCGGAACGAGTGTGTCGCGGGTTTGTGAGCATTGCTGGAAGATCCATTTGCGAAACACGGGACACAGAGGTCATAATCGTGACAGGCAGGGTCAGCGCACCGAATCCGGACCTGCCGGAAGCTGTGTTAGTGTGTTGGGCGCAATCGGGATCTTGAAGCTCCACTATTCGCTGGACAGGCATCATGCGCCGCACGTGGGACTCCTCCGAGAGGACGACACGCGGTCCCGACCGCGATGACAACATTGCTAAAAAGGGAACATCTGACGAGAGAAATCACTCACCGTTGATGTGATATCAACAGAGCAGACATCACAGATATATTTCACCCCACCTTCGCCGCTTCTGCCCGCAATCTTCTTGCGAATAACCCCCATGTTCGCGATAATGGAGGCCAACCAGACCTAGTGTCGCTGCTCCGCGTGGCCCGAGTATAGCCGAACCACCCTCTGGAGAATCCGGATAACCGGTTCTCGCAACTGTAACGTCGATTCCTGGATGATATTCGTTGTTGTTTTGATGGATTTCGTTGACAGACGTGGTCGATTTTGATGGAATCTTCGCTGTTCGAAGGCGCGTCGTCGGTTGCGGTTGAGGGCATCCCCGACATGTGCGATGCAAATGATCCACAATGCAGGGGGCCAATAAGCCAAGGCTGGGCAAGGAGGAAAAGTAAAGCTTGGCAGCCGAAGATCAGCCGATCAGGTTGGCCAATGCGTCCTATCCAACCCTAACCCTCAGTGAGTGTCCAGGGCAGGCGGAGGGGGCAGAGATGGGAGAATTGAGGGGCAGCTTCCTCCTTTAAGTCGTCAACGCAAAGCTCGCATATCAGTCACATTCTTTCGGCGCAACAATGGGAATCATTGAATATTGCGCAAGTAGATGATCTAATGTGTAACGTGAGACAAAATTTGCAATTTGAAGCCACAGGTCTGTTGTGCATGCTTTTTCTGCTTACTGTTGAGATCTCCAAGTGAATGACCCCGCCTCTTCACCCACCTTGTGATTGATGGGTCAGGCTTTCTATCTTTTGCTTTGTGCGTGGGTCTGGCTCTTGCAATGAATTGCCATACCCTCTGGATTACTCCGTGAATAATGCTGAACCGACCAAATCCCAAGTTCTCGTGAAAGGCTTGATTTTACATTCTCCAAATACATTGGCTACTGCAACTTCCCAGGATTATCTGCTTTAGTCACTGCCATCACTCAAGATGCCTGACGAAGTGCTTGATGATATTTCTCATCGTCGATACAACCCGTTGACTGGGTCCTGGCTTTTGGTGTCTCCTCATCGTACCAAGCGTCCCTGGCAGTGAGTATTATGGCTTGTTTATGGTTAGGCTTTTGATCTAATATGGAACAGAGGTCAGCAAGAGGCCCCTTCAAAGAATGAATTGCCCGAGTATGATCCCAAGGTTAGTCTGCTCAAAGCTTCATAATGTGAACCAACCTATGACTGATATAAACGGACATTACCATTAGTGTTATCTGTGCCCGGGAAATAAGCGAGCCGAAGGGGATAGCAATCCTAAGTACTCCGGCACATTTGCATTCGTCAATGACTACAGTGCGGTCAGAGAAGAGCAGCAAGAATACACTCTTGAGGAGACCGGCGATGATGTCGCTTCACTCTTGCTCAAGGCCCAACCAGTTACGGGGAAGTGCTATGTCTTGACTTTCTCACCCAAACACCATCTCACCCTTGCCGACATGGCTCCAGAAGAAATCCTGCCAGTCATCGAGACCTGGACACGCATTTATGCCAGCCATCTATCGCCATCACATCCCCTTTGTGAGCAGGCAAAGCAGGCCCTGGCAAGTATCCCGACCACTCCTGATGCTGAGGTGACCCCGCCGAAGCACCAGCTTAGATACATGCAGATTTTTGAGAATAAGGGTGCTGCCATGGGTTGTTCTAACCCACATCCTCACTGCCAAATTTGGACGACAAGCACGATGCCTGAGGAGCCAGGCAAAGAGCTGGTTCAGATGGCTAAATACCGAAAGGAACATGGGCGACATTTACTGGAGGACTACGCCACGCTCGAGGTAAAGAAGCAGGAGCGGGTAGTTTGGCAAAACGACAGCTTTGTCGTTGTCTGCCCTTGGTGGGCTGTTTGGCCGTTTGAAGTGCTCATCATTGCCAAGAGGCATGTCCGCGCTCTTGTTGAATTTACTGAGAAGGAAAGGTTTCAGTTCGCCGAGGCCATTCAAGAGGTCACAAGGCGTTACGACAACCTTTTCGAGACGAACTTTCCTTACAGTATGATTCCCCTCGCCGTTGAGAATTGGTTACGTGCCAGCGTTACTGACCCATAGCACAGGCTCCGGAATCCACCAAGCACCGCTGGATTCCAATGAGGAAGAAGCGGAGGCCAGCTGGTTCCATATGCATTTCTACCCTCCTCTTCTCCGGTCAGCGACAGTGCGGAAGTTTCTCGTTGGATACGAGCTTATGGCCGAACCTCAGCGTGACATAACCCCAGAGCAGGCAGCTGCCCGCCTAAGGGGTTGCAGCGGGCCTTTGTACCGTGTCACATTGAACTAAAGAGAGTTGCGAAAGGAGAAGGAGTGATAGACACTTTCCACAATTCGATAATGTGGGAAAGAGTTTGGTTCTGGACTGTCTTGTGCATTTGTCTTCAGCAAGCGACATTACATCATTCCCCCCCACCCCCTTATCTGAATAACCTTTTGATACATGATACCTAGATCTTGAGCATTCCTTTCAACCCATCCAAAGGACGCTTATTGCACATAGTGCTTGTACTGCAGAAGCATCCAGATAGTGCCACCATAAGCAGCAGCAAAAGGGAACGCCTGAGGCCCACTGAACCTGACCGTCTTGTACACCAACATCTCTGAAGTGAAGTGAACAGCAGCAACGACATGCGCCAGAAGAGCGAGCTGGTACATGCCGGCGTTTTCGATTTGATAGGCCGCGTAGACGCGGATGAGGCCGGCAAGCCAGGTGTAGGCGCCAAAGAGGCGAGCAGCCAAAGGAGTTACTTGGTCCTTGGCCTTCTCAGAGTCCTTGCCAGAGGGTAAGGCAGGCTTCAGAATCTGAGTGCTGTCCTCCGGGTTGTAGCGATCAGATGCTGGAGGAAGGGCATGGTTAGGGACGAATTTGCCGTTGTAGATGCGCCGCGTGTAGTGTAGCGTCACATAGTTTTGGAAGGCATTGCCAAGCGCAACGGCGCCGACCTGTAAGATGCGTCGGCATATTTTGAACCTTGTCTAGCGTCTAGAGCACCCTCACGGATGTTACTTACGACAAACAGGTAGTAGGGCAGGATGCCCTTTTCGCCCGAGGGCAGCAATGTGTAGATACGCTCCATCCTGTTCGACTTGGAGACAGACAGTGAGGAAGCGAAATGATGAAGATGGAGCGCAGTGGGCAAAGAATCGGGAGGGGGAGCTGAAGTTGATTGTTGACCGTCTGTCTTCCAGCCCGTCCACTGATGGGCACCTTGGCCCCCTGCCACCCCAAATGCCAAGACATTCAGCTCCAGCAAATTGGGGCAGCACCCCAAGTGCCCGACGCGTCCCCACAGCGGAGCTCGACTCCGACAAAAACTTCCCACGCGGCATCGTTTGCCGAGACTCTAAAAAGCCACCACCGCTCGCTCAAACACCCATTGTGTACCTGATAGGGCCGAACTTGCAAACATCATGGAAGTTGTTCAGGAGCTTGCACAGAAAACTCTCCAGTTCTGGAATACCGTCCCCCAGGGTGCTCAATGGGCCCTGGCGGGTGTCGGTGCCCTTTACGTTGTTCGAAATGTTCTCTCTTTTGTTCAGCTGATCCTCAGCTGCTTCATCCTGAGCGGCACCAACGTGCGTCCTCGCTGCCCCGTGGTATGGTTTTTTACTGATACTGTGTGCTGACGCCTTCTGTGTAACAGCTTCGCAAGTACGGCAAGAAGGGCACCTGGGCCATCGTTACCGGTGCTTCTGATGGCTTAGGCAAAGAGTTTGCCCAGCAGCTCGCTGCCAAGGGTTTCAATCTCGTCCTCGTCTCTCGTACCCAGTCCAAGCTCGATGCTCTCGCTCGCGAGCTCACCCTGCGGTGGGCTGGCCTGCAGGTTAAGACTCTGTCCATGGACTACACTCAGGATAACGACGCCGACTATGAGCGTCTGGCCAAGCTCATCGACGGTCTGGACGTCGGCATCCTGATCAACAATGTTGGCCAATCTCACAGCATCCCCGTACCGTTTCTCGAGACCGCTCGTGACGAGATGCAAAACATCATCACCGTCAACTGCCTGGGCACCCTCAAGACCACTAAGGTCGTTGCCCCTTTCCTCGTCAAGCGCCGTAACGGCCTCATCCTCACCCTCGGCTCCTTCGCTGGCGTTATGCCTACCCCGTACCTCGCTACCTACAGCGGTAGTAAGGCCTTCTTGCAGCACTGGAGCGCTTCTCTGGCTTCTGAGCTTCAGCCCTACGGCGTCGACGTCCAGTTTATTGTCGCTTACTTGATCACCACAGCCATGAGCAAGGTCCGTCGTACCAGCCTGCTCATTCCCAACCCGAAGCAGTTCGTCCGCTCTGCTCTCGGCAAGATTGGCCTTGACAGCATTGAGATGTTCCCCAACACCTACACCCCGTGGTGGAGCCACTCTATTTTCAAGTGGATCGTTGCTACCACCGTTGGCACTACCAGCCGCTTCACTATCTGGTACAACCGGAAGATGCATATCGACATCCGTAACCGGGCGCTGCGCAAGGCTGCCCGGGAGGCTAAGAAGCAGGACTAAGCGTGGGGTAATTGTGGGGACGTAAGGATGGTGACAAGGGAAATATCTTCCCCAGTAAAGTTTAATGTAGTGCAAAGGAGGGGATTTGGGGAAGAGGGTCTGTACACTAGGAATGAACTATAACAATTTTTAGTGCTCGAAGTTATCGCCGTGATTTTCTTACTGCATTCCAGCGAGAAATTCGAGCGAAGAAATCAGATATAGTAAAACGCAAGAGTTACATGTGTCGGCGTGGAGTCTCTCAGAAGTCATTGGCCCTCCATTTTGTGTTCAGTCGCTACCCGGTCCCGAGGGTCCAAACAATGGAAAGGCGGTGGCAGAATCGGACCCTTGTCGATGCCAAGCGATTACAGCGCGTTCCCGTTCCTAGTCGCGCGTCGCCCAAGCAAAGTTCCCCATCTTCGCCAATGACCCTGCTTGGCTTCCCAAAAATTGTTTACGGTGGTCGGTGGTCGGTCCCGCCAGCCTCTTTCTACCGCCGCCAACCATCTTGCATCGCATCGTCGCGCGACGCTTCACCCCATTTCCCAACGACACCCGGCCGACTGATATTTTCTTTTTTTGTAGGGCAAATCGAACGCTCTCCGGCGGTTGTTTGAAATTGCTTTGATGGTGCAATTGCCCTAGGATAAGAGCTGCAGACAGTCGGGCAGCTCCGGACAAAGTTTAAAAGACTCTGGGAGCAGCAAATACACCCGACATCTTCTCAGAGCATCCTCCAAGAGCCTCCTCGCCTGCTCCTGAATCTTGCCTCGTCATCGGCGACCGACTGCACGGCGGCAGCGACCTCATACCATTGAGATAGAGTGTCAGCAGCAGGAGCTGGTTGTTTTTTGAGGTCAAACGGTGCTCCTGCGATCGCTGTCATGGAGCCAATGACGCCGATGCGCCCCATTCCGGGCGCATATGTCAACACGCCAGCCCCCCCGACAGCGAACCCTGCGCGTAGACGTCTATTTACTGAGGCGTCCTCCTCCGGCGCTGCTGCGACGACGCAGCTTGGGGCTGCTCCCGCGCCGCTGGCGAGCACAATGGCTCCCGGCCCCGAGATCAACAGCGGCCTGATGACACCACAGGCTCGCGAAGACCTCCCTCCAGTCGCAAAGGCTGCCCAAGTCGTTAACCAGACCTTGCAACTCGACGATAGCTATCCTGACCTGGACTCTTACTGCAGGCGTAAGTTTCATCTCACTGCTTTTTGTATTCTGTTCCGTATCTGACTCGGAACTCCTCCAGCTGGCGCATCGTCCGACTATGAGATGCAGTCGTCCGATTCATCATGGGCCCCATTCCATGTAGTGCGTCACCACAACATCCCAGACAAAGTGTTTGAGCATCTTAATGCAGGCGAAGTCTTCACGAAGCTGGGCTTGTTCGCTGAGATTGGCTATGCATGGGCTTCGATCGACAGCTCCCTCTTTCTTTGGGACTACACCCATCCCAACCCGGAGCTGATCGGGTATGAGGAGGCAACACACACCATTACTGCTGTTGCGCTTGTGCCGCCGAAACCGGGGGTTTTCGTCAAGACTATCACGCATGTCCTTGTTGTCGCTACTACCTCCGAAATCATCCTCCTTGGTGTCTCTGCCACGCCTACCCCTTCGGGTTCGAAGTCGCTTACGCTCTATTCGACCAGGATGTCGGTCCACCGTGGAGGTAGCGACGTTAGCTTCATTGTCGGTACTAAGGACGGCCGCATTTTTCTCGGTGGTGAAAGCGACACCGATATTCATGAAATTTTTTACCAGCAGGAAGAGAGGTGGTTCTCCAGCCGATGCGGCAAGATCAATCACTCTCACCCTGGCTGGTCTGCGGTCGTCCCCAGCTTGGCTGGCTTGCCATTTGGCTCCCGGCAGCAGGAGTGGCTTCGGGGTCTCTATGTTGACGACACTCGAAACCTTCTTTACTCGCTCTCCAACCGGTCGACTATTCGGACATACCATATGGAAGGTCCGGAGAAGCTCACCAAGGTTATTGAGAAGGACAAGACCAGCTGCCTGCGCGACTTTGCACATATGGCTGATAGCTCCCCGCTTTTCACTGACAAGACGAATATCGTGGCCCTGAGCCCTATCCCAGCGACCGAGGCGTCCAAGCTTCATCTTATGGCTCTTACCGACACCGGCTGCCGGCTCTTCCTGAGCGCAACCAGCTCTGCTTCGTATACCATGGGTGGTGCCACCAGCTTGGCTCCTCAAAGCATGCAGCTTCAGTTTGTCAAGTTCCCTCCGAGGGAGTCGCCAACTCGCATTCGGACCCTTAACGGCCAGATTATCGACAGTCAGCTTGACAAGACCTCGCGAGCCCTTGACCCCAGCGCACTCGGTTTCAGATTCTCCCCTGGATATTTCTTCGATGTTGTCCGCAAGCATCCCAATCAGGATATGCTTTTTGTCTCAGCGCCGGATACTGGCCGGATCAAGGTCACTCAGCCTGCGTCTGCGCTCAAGTATTTCGAACAGGGCACTTGGATTGAGCTGGAGAATGGGAATCGTACCATTGAGATTGGCCTGACGACCGCCCCCTTCGCTGCCGCAAAGCAACCTCTTGGCTTCGGCAACGAGCTAGCCGTTCAGTTCGACCAGGTTCCCGGAGAGTTTGCTGTGCTCACTAACACTGGCGTGCACATTGTTCGTCGGAGGAGACTGGTCGATATTTTCGCCAAGGCTCTCGGCAACTGTGTCAGTGCTAGTGACGACGCGCTTGAAAGAGAAGTGCGTAAGTTTATCAACCAGTATGGCCGTGTTGAGACTATTGCTGCTGCGTTGGCCGTTGCTTGCGGCCAGGGATCTGATCTGAGGACCGGAACTGGCCGTGGCATGGATCGGAATACCGAAAACCTGGCTCGGGCTGCCTTCATCGAGTATGGTGGTCAGCCCAGGCTCGCAGAATCAGATGGCAAGCAATCTGTCTCTGAGTCTGTCAGGTTGTCGTCGCGGCACGATGCCCTAGCGCTTTACCTCACGCGTCTTGTCCGGACGTTGTGGAAGGCGAAGGTCGTCCAGGTTGGCTCGGGTTCAGATATCTCTTCTACTATTCCGACTTCGAAGCTTGTGACGATACAAGAAAATGTTGAGCGCCTGCGCAACTTCCTTGAAGCCAACAAGAGCACCATTCAAGGCCTTGCTCCTCCTTCTGAGCGTCTCTTTGGTCGCCAAGAGGACATCGCCAACCAGAAGGAGCATCAGGCGCTGCATGCCCTCCAGAAACTCATGGAAAGCATCTCGGAAGGCATTTCCTTTGTTCTTATGCTGTTTGACGAGCGCGTCTCGGATATCTATGCTCGCTTGGATGCCGTTTCTCAACAGCAGCTTAAGGACTTGACATACGAGCAGCTCTTCTCTCAGACCCCAGGCAAGGAGCTAGCAAAGGTGCTGGTCAAGGCAATTGTTAACCGCAATATTGCTAGCGGCGCCAATGTTGAGACTGTTGCCGATGCCTTGCGTCGTCGTTGTGGAAGCTTCTGTTCTCCTGATGATGTCGTTACGTTCAAGGCTCAGGAGCAGCTGCAACGAGCTAGCGAACAGGCTCACAACTCTCCTGTTCTGCGTGCCCTGTTGGCCGAGAGCTTGCGCCTGTTTGAGCAAGTCGCTGGCAGCTTAACTCCGGCTAACCTCACAACCGCTGTCGAGCAGTATATCTCGCTCAAATACTATGCTGGCGCCATCCAGTTATGCCTCACGGTTGCCCAACAGAAAGATCGGGGCAATACTGCGCTTTCATGGGTGAACGATGGCAAGCCCGCCAACGACTCGCGCAAGAAGGCGTTCGACGAGCGCAAGATTTGCTACAACCTGATTCACCAGGTCCTTGATAAGCTCGAGAGTGACTTCGCTGGGGAGCCCGAGCTTGTCGACGGCCGTCCCACACTTGCTGCAACAAAGCGTATGGAAGCTTACAATGTGGTCAACGACTCAAGCGACGAGGTTTTCCACTTCGACCTGTATGAGTGGTACATTGAAAAGGGATGGACCGACCGGATTCTTTCTATCGACTCACCTCATGTCATCACCTATCTCCAGCGGCTGGCTGAGACTGATTTCCGCCATGCTGAACTCCTTTGCCGCTTCTACACTACCCGCAGCCGCTTCTTCGAGGCCGCGCAAGTGCAGACTAATTTGGCCAAGTCCGACCTGAACATCAGCCTCAAGGACCGCATCATCCTGCTCAGTCGCGCCAAGGGCAATGCTAGCGTTAATACCATTGGGATCAGCCGTCAGCAACAGCAGCAGCTGAATCATGAGGCGTCGGAGCTTCTCGAGATCGCCCACATCCAAGACGATCTCCTTGAGAGGCTTGTGGCTGACCCACGCATCCCCGAGGAGAGGAAGGCAGAAATTGAGGAGTTTCTCGATGGGCCCATCAGAACACTCACTGATGTAAGTTCTCAGAGCAAGCCATGTATGTGAGGTTCATAGACTAACCTACCCGATCTTTGCAGCTCTTCAATGACTACGCCGATCAGGCTAACTACTACGACCTCTGCCTGCTGATCTTCCACGCTGCCGACTTCCACAACCCTCGTACCATCCTCGACACTTGGAACAACCTCATCAACCAGTCTCACTTCGAAGCCGAGCAGAGGCGCGAGTACTGGGAGATTGTGCAGGCCGGTGGCGACCTCCCCGCGGGCGTCATCGCTCCTATTGCCGAGCCCCCTCTTCCTTACGTCTATGTTTCGCAGCAGATCCAACTCATCGCCCACCGCACTTCTCTTGACAGCCTAATATTCCCTGTCAACAGCTTGCTTCCCGTTGTCTGCGCTTATGCCATCAACAACGGCCAGGATGCCTCTATCGGTGCCGATCCCTGCTGGCCAATCCAGCTCTTCCTTAACTTGGGCGTGCCGCATGCCCTCGTCGTGCAGGTTCTGGAGAACGTCCTGGATACCCAGGAAGCTCCCTTCACTGGCCGTCGTAGGAAGCTGGTTGTCCAGTGGATTGCCATGGCCGTTGATATGTGGGTCAGAGAGGTCGAGCGTCGCGGTGCCATGGCTGCTGCCGCCGCAAGCGGTGCTTCTGGCAGCGAGGCGGTCATGGGCAGCTGGGTGAGTGAATTGTTAGGTCGGGCGGACCAGGTCCTGACTCAAATCGCCGGAACCGGCGCTACGCTTAGGGGAGGCGCTGCTTCTGATGCAGAGGAGATCGCTTCGCTGAGGAGGACGGTCAAGGGCTTGAAGAGGAGTGTGGATATGCTTCTTGGGGGGGAGATGGCTCGTATGAGTTTCTTTCGGTGAGGCAACGATTGATCTGAGCTGAAGGATGGCATATCCCCTTGAGGGAGGATCGCGGCGTTTGAGGTTAGTGGGTTGGGTATTGAGATGGTCTAATCTCCGTCTATGCGGTAGGTAGATTGGAGGGTTGATTGGTCTGATGATTGGCAGGAGGACTTTCCTGCGCTGAAACTTGGGGAATGGTGAGTTAATGGTAAGGAATACTTGGTTGTCATTGTACATAAATGCTCGTTGAGATGGTGAGCGTTCGAGGACGGGTAAAATAGAGTTACGTTGGTCCCAACGCCAATGCCTGTGTGCACTGTGTCGAGTGCAGGCAAGTTGTGATATTTCCTTATTCATCCTGTTAACACCACTGACCGTGGGCTGGCTTAGCTCGCAAGTACATGCTGACCATGGATTTTTCCTGCAACTTTGCAATCCCCACGCGATTTTCATTCAATACTCTCCCATTTTTCTCTCCATCTCGTCACCACAAACTCAACCCTATCCTCAAGTTTCCCCAACATCGCGGGCAGCAACACATACGGCACCTCTTCTTCTTTCAGCAAACCACAGAAGACCCCATTCAGTCTCTTCCACTCCTCCAGATTTGTGGGCATGAGCCTGACCCCATCATCCTTCAACCAACTGGCTGCTTCAAGACCGGCTTCACATATTACTACCAGAGACTGTTGCATCCTCGGCTTGAGCTCTCTGGTCCATTCACCTGTGGCTGCTGAGACCAAGCTCTCTTTCGCAGCGTCTCGGCCTACATAGCGGAGTGCATACGCTATAGGATCAGCGCCGGAGCGGTCAGAGATGAACCATTTTGTATCGTTCGTGTTTTGGAGGTCTGCGAGGATATCCCTCTCAGCCTTGGCTTGCGCTTGGAGGATCAATTTCTGTAGCTCCAGGCTGCGAACAGGATCTCTGACATCACGGGCAGTGAAGTGGTGTTCTCGGAGGACTGTTCGAGCAACCTCGCTGATGATGGCTGGTGGTGGGATGGACCGGTCTGGATTGTCTGTGGTAAAGTGCTTATACAGGGCGTTGACGAGGGTTGTTTTCCCTGTACATTGGGGACCGATGATGTATATACTGGGGATATGACCTCGTGGGGGACACATTGAGTCATTTAGATGGATATTTAGAAATATGGGAGTCCTGGGCGATGAAACGGTTGGAGCAAGGCATGCAATTGAGAGAGGAAGCTGTCAAACCTGCCCGGCATATCATGGCATCGGGACTCTGATATCATGATGGGAACTGATGTCCACAGGCGTGAGCTCCTCAATCATCCCGCACTCTTGCATGCAATGAGGCCTGCCGAATTGTTAACAACACAAGCGGTATCGTCCGTTGTCGGCAGCGATGAGAACCAATGAAAATCGATGATCAAGCTTGGTCGAATGTTGTGTAACCATACCAACAGCGTTTTACGGGCCGCTTTTTGCATGCGTATCTCTTTTGAAATGGCCGACTTATTCAGCGTTTTCCCAGGGTTTTGCTCTAGGATCTACATATATGGCTTTAAGTTTTTTCTTCAAGCAACCAGTTCCTTCACGAATACGCCGGACAATCGTTGAACAGAATTTTTCATATATGGACCGCAGATGGCTCAGAATACCAAAAACAACTCTCAAAAGAAGTCCACCCTTGCATCTTTTAAATACAAACTTCAAGACCGTATTAGTCTGGACGACAAGGAGTGGAAGTACCAAGTTCCTGGGCTTCCATCCCCACAAAAGCTGGACGAACACAGACTGGTAAAGACTGTGAGCTTAATCAACTCTGCTACAAAAAGTGAGATCGTTCTGTCCCTTGAGCCTACTCAGGACAACCGAGCAATCCATTATGACCCCCTCAACAAGTTTGTGGTCGTATCGCTTGCTGAATTTAAGCACATACCCCAGCAGCAATTGCAAAACTCGATGAACTCCAGAGATGCTTTGCAACCGATAACCCCGAGGGAATGCAATGATTATGCGATCAGGTTCCTCAAAGCCGGAATTCACATCCAGGGAGTCCATTACAACTTTTACGGACATAGCAACAGTCAGCTCAAGTCACGCACATGCTTTCTTTATGCAGCATCAAGAGAGCAAATTTCGCACAAAGTCAAGTCGCTCGGTGACTTTTCTAGCATGAAAACAGTGGCCAAAATGGCCAAACGTATTGGCTTGCTTTTCTCCACAGCCCGTGTTGCCAAAGTGATCCCGCCGGACCGTGTCGAGGATATTCCGGATATTGAATCGCCTGATGGCTACGTTTTCACTGATGGTTGCGGGTTGATATCGCCGCATTTAGCCCAGGATCTTGCCAGAAGATTGGGTATCGTCTTCAGAGATCGACGATATACCCCTTCAGTTCTCCAGATCCGATACCGCGGATACAAAGGCGTGGTTACCGTTGATCCGCGGATGACGTCTGATCCTAGGATCCTGTTGAGGATGAGAAAGTCGATGAAGAAGTTTTCTGGGGGTGATGATCATTCTTTCTCTGTCGTTGAGTATTCCAAGGTACTGTATGCAGTCTATATCGGCCTCGTCCCTTCTACTGACATGGTGCTCAGCCATTCACCTACGGCTTCCTCAACGATGAAGTCATCGTCCTGCTCAATGCGCTCGGAGTTGACCGCGAGATAATTAAAAAGAAACAGGACAACCACTTCAAGTTTCTTGCAGATGCGTCCAGAGACCCCCGCTCTGCCTTCCGGTTTCTCTCTGGTCTTAACATGCCAGATCTGGCAGAGAGTGTCCTGGTCGAATCTTTCGATGCTATCCGGCCGAGGATCCGCTCCCTGGTCAAGAATGAGTACGCAAAGATGCTCAACAAGAGGGAGGAACAGAAATGCCGAATCTTGATTCCTAAGTCCAGATTATTATTCGGGGTCTGTGACGCTTGGGGAGTCTTGAAGGAAGGAGAATGCGCTGTGAAAATCACACTGGAAGAGAACGGACTCCCAATGGCACTGAAAAACTGCGAGGTTTTGGTAACTCGGAACCCCTGCCTTCATCCCGGAGACTTGCAGAAGTTTCGGGTTGTTGAGAGACCCGAATTGAGTCATTTGGTTGACTGCATTGTCTTCTCAACCAAGGGCAAACGGCCAGCGGCTGACATGATGTCAGGAGGTGACTTGGATGGAGATACCTGTAAGCAGCCTTACTAACTTCTTTTCCTCCGTTTCTACTAACTCATGTGTTCAGTCTTTGTATGTTGGGACCTCGACCTTATTCCAAAGACTCTATCGCAGCCAGCCAAGTATCCAGGTGTTAAGGAGCCCATCAGATTTACACCGATTACTGACGATGACCGCCTGGAATTCTTCGTCCGTTACACCAACGCTTCCCTGGGACGTGTCAAGAACCTATACTTAGATTGGGCTCGGGCAGGTGGTCCAATGTCACCTGAGTGTCAAGAGCTCAATCGCTTGTTCTCGCAATGTGTGGATGGAAACAGGATCAAGATTCCTCCTAGATTGGAGAAGGCACCATCTCCTCCTTCAGACGCCCCTCCTTTTATTCTCGATGAACTCCACGAAGCAGCAAAACGACTCATCCAACAAGAGCAATTCTCCAATCAAGAGGAGACACTCGATGGCTATGACCTCGATGCTGTGGAACTCCTAATGAGTCGGGACGGGGTTGCCATGTCAGAGTTCGAGATGGTCTGCATGACATTACGATGGTGCCGTAAAGAGAACCTTCCATTCGAAGACTTCCTGCATCTATTCGACTTAAATGTTCTCACGTCACAGGAAAAAGCCTGGCTCATGCAGCAGCTGCCCCCCATGGCCTGGATCCCAGGACTGGTCTTGAATGCTGTATCATCATCTAGTTTGCTGGATCGGGAATCAGCTGCTCGGTTCAAGCTCGATCATCCTAGGATACAATGGAAACGTATCTATGATTCTTCCAGAGATCGCCTTGCTACTTTCATGGATGTAGCCAACAGGTCCATGGCCCTCTTCCACCGCAAGCTGCTCATCGTCCGTGTCGATGACCGATTGACCCTGGCAATCTATGTCCCGCGAATTATTGATCCAGCACGAGACTGCCTGGTCGACGACACAGTTAGGCTCTTTGCATTCTCACATTCCCAGGGCACCGAGAGACAGAGTCGAATGTCGCTTCCTACTAAGATTACATATCGCCTATACTGTGATGGTAACACCTTCCAGCTCTTCGAGGCCAAGCGCTCAAATACGTGGATTTTCATCACAAGAGGTCCGTCTGATGATAGTTCGTATCGGGATGTCCAAAATCTTGGCGATCGTCGTAGGCAGCGGCAAAAAACTCTTGACGAGGGAACAAACGCCGAGTTTCGCGTTAGTATTGCTCTGGACAAGTTTAGTAGGGGGCTTCAGCGACACGTTGGCAGAGTGAATCGGAACAAGCTTTCGGCAGCGGTGCGTTTACACCCGCTCAGGATCTTTGGACGTTGATGACTAAATCAGAGGATACAGGAAATCTACATTATCAGCAACAGAGATGTTGCCTCGATGCAGGTCCTCGATCTTTGGCTGGAGCACATCGATACCGAATCTGTTCTCCCACTCTTCCCCAGGGAAGCCGAAGAATACACCTTGCCAAGTCTCAAGGACGTCGACTGGGCTGCTGAATTTGATGTCATTGTGGAGGTTGCCCACCGACAAAACTTTGCAGCTCTCGAAGATGTTGAGTCCATCAACGAACTGGAGACACTATTTTACTGGCTGCTCGAGAGGGACCAAGCACAGCTGCTACTCCAGAGTTATGACTATCTGCTCTCTTCTATGCGGGAAAGTCGGGAATTCAAGCTTCCTCTCCTGAGTCTCCTTTCTTCCATGGTCGCTTTCCTGAAGGCAGCCCCTTATTTGGCCATCAGCTTCGGGAAGATAAAGCCGCCTGGTCCAGATGATGAAGACTTGGAAGCCTTGAACTACCTTTTGAATGGCTACTCACTGGATATCCTTCGAGCACTTGTGCTTAGTGCGAACGAAGCACAGGACTTGGTCATTGCCCCGTTCAAAACCTTCCTATCACGAGTCCGCGGCCTCACATTTGAGAGTTTTTCCAGCCTAGTTGAACTCATTTCTCTGACCGTACGTCGCGCCGATCTCGCCATGGACCTTTTGCTGGAGTGTCTGGACCGGGAAAGCACGCGCTTGCTTTCTGGACGTCCGGCGCTTATTCAGCACTTTGTTAGGAACAGCATTTCCATTGCTTTGGAGCATATTGGAGAAGCTACAGAACAAGGAAAGTCCAGGAAAGACTTACTAAAGTTAAAACGGCTGCCGGAAGACCGTGATGGGTATCCGGTGGTCGAGATTGAGTTTCGAATTGACTCGGACATTGGAACCCCAGAGAATGCTGCTCATGTACGGCTCACGGTTGCAACACTTCCAGCCAACACACTTTCCACAAAGAAATATTCGATCGATGCCTTGGTCATTCATTCGGAGCTGGGGCGTGCTCGTTTCCAGTGTCTCCATCCACTGCCGCTGTTCTATGAAAAGTGCTCTTGGAAGCTTAGGTACTGTGGCCCGTATACTACAACCAAGACAATGTTGAATGCGGTTCTTGACTTTGCACGCTACTTTGATGCTTGTTGCCAGGTCGCAGATCTCGTCCTTCTTGGAAGAGATGAGATCACAAAGTCTTCAAGAACCTTCCCAAGAATCAAGACAACTCAGTCAGAATTGTCCAATAGGCCACACCTGAACCCAAGTCAAAATGCAGCTATTGAAGCTGCTTTAAACTCATCTTTAACATGCCTCTGGGGTCCTCCTGGGACTGGCAAGACCGAAACCATTGTTGAGATCATTCGTGCTCTCCAGACAAGCTTCGAGGGATCAAGGCTGCTAATCACAGCCCCGACACACAATGCTGTCGACAATGTCATGCGTCGCTACATTGGTCGCTTGGCTTCAACAGGTCTGGCCGACGACCCAAGCCTTGCCCCCTTGCGCGTCTCAACTGAGATCCGTAAGGTCTCCAAGGATCTCTGGAAATACACGTGTGACGCCCACGTCGGGCAGGAGGTTTACTCGGGCCGAAAGGTGCTGGATGAGGCAAAGAGAAGGGTCCAAGAGTCCAAGATCGTGTTCACAACTTGCATTGGCGCTGGTATCGGGCTTCTGCGCTCAGAAACTTTTGACATTGTCATTATCGACGAAGCATCCCAACAAACGGAGCCTGCTTCGTTGGTACCGCTGGTCAAAGGATGTCAGAGGGCTGTCCTGGTTGGTGATCATGTCCAGCTTCGTCCAACTGTCCATCCAAATTCTCTTGTCATGGAGTTTGACAAATCTCTTTTCGAGAGGTTGTTTGTTGAAGACTCCACAAGCAGCAAATCTCTCGATACCAAGAGTCAATCGATCGCCAGGCTCATGCTAGACATCCAGTACCGTATGCATCCTTTCATCTGTGCCTTCAGCTCCAAGGAATTTTATAACGGAAAACTACAAACGGGCATCCCTCGTTCATTTCGGCCCCTACCCAACTCTCAGTTCCCCTGGCCTCTGTCCCGAGACGGTGAGGGCGATAAAGCTCGAATGGTTTTTGTCGAATGTGCCACGCGCGAAGATCTCGGCGGAAAATCTAAGACCAACAAAGGCCAGGCAGACCTATGCTTGCGTATTTGTGAGATGCTGTGTACTCGCCCAGGTGAAGGCAAACACGATTCTGGGCAAGAGAAGCAGTCCGAACTCAAACAATTGATCGCTGTCCTTACCCCATATGCTCGCCAGGCCGAGCTTCTCAAGCAGCTTCTTTCTCCCTTTGCCTCTCGTGGTGTCGAGGTGTCCAGCATTGATGGCTTCCAGGGTCGAGAAGCAGACATTGTAGTGCTGGTGACAGTGCGATGCAACGAGAGCAGGGAAATTGGGTTTTTGAAGGATGTACGGCGGATGAATGTTGCGTTGACGAGGGCTCGGTCGGGTGTGGTGATTATTGGGAATAGGGAGACCCTTACGGGAACTAGGAGAATGCTCAACAATGAACGAGTGAACCCTGGATTGGAAGGAGCAAAAGGCGATGATCGGCAGGAAGCAGAGGAGATTAATGGGAAATGGTTGTGGAAGAGGCTTTTGGAAAGTTTGGTGAGCATAAGAATTGAGATCGAGTCACAGGTGACAGCAGTTTAGCATTCGACATGCACGACACTGAGGGTTTAGGTGTCATCAAAAAGCCAACTTGCAGCTGACATTTTGATTTGTGCCTACCAAAGCCACACAGGGTTTTCCTAAGTTCCTCAGAATTAACCAAATACCAAACCGTCTTTCGTTCCTGACCAAGGAGTTAGGTATATTCAAAGCTCAATCCACCACCCTTCTTTTGATCATCAGATTAGTACTTAGCACTTTAGTGCACGGGATCAATAGCAATCTGCATTTTCTTGCCATCACCAGGCACCTCCTGGGGGTTCTTTTCATCAAAACGAGCAGAGCCCAGCTTCTCATCACCGCCAGAGTTCTCACCACTCTCAGTGACCGGCTGGATGCTGTCACCCAACTTCTTCTTGCGGATCCGGTCATCAATGTACCGGATGATGGCAAGGACCAGGCCGAAGGAAAGGATGGCACAGGCGACAGCAAAGCCACGCATGTATAACGGCTTGTCGTCTGAGCGAAATATCTGCGCGCCATAGATACCGGCGATATTGCCACCCATAATGGCCCTGTTGAGTGTACATGTTAGATAGTGTTTTAAACTTGGGAAAAATTGCTGATAGGGCGACTTTAGACTTACATTGTCATGGCTAGGGCTCTCTGTTCTGAGTCCGTGCAGGTAAGGGACATCCAAGTGATATTGAGTGGATGTGAGAAGGTGCCGAAAGTCTGTGTCCAGATAACACCGAAGTACCGAACACCCTTCAAGCTCGGAGGGAGCGCGGTAAATGAGCGGTTGAAAACGTAACCGACGAGGTGGCAGATGAAGCCCGCAATGACGGTCTCACCACGCATGTTGCTATCATTTTGTCAGCTGAGCTTTAATACCTGGGGTTCTGTGCTCAACTTACTATCTGTCAGAAATATAGCTAAACAGGAAGCCCATGGGTACCTGGAGGTAAAGACCAACGGCGGCCATGGCATTGGACTTGAGGCGGGGGAAGCCAAAGCTGCTGACGATGGTAGGACCATAAGTATCGAAAGCACGTTGAGGACCGTTATTGCAAAGCGAGATGAAGCCATGAATCCAAAGACGCCAGTTCAGGAACTATTTGGTAGAGACAGACCATGTTAGCACTGGTGATACAAATTGGTGACATGGGATCACTCACAGTCCTGCCAAAAGCGCCGCGGTCGATCTTCTTCTTCTTCTTACCCTTCGCCGGGTCATCGAGCCAGACACGGGTTCTCAGGATGTGAACTTCCCGATCACTAAAGATCTTGACGTGAGGCAGGAAGGTGCTAGAAGGCCAACGTAGTCAGTGATTGATAGATCACAGCAGATGTAGATGTGCGCTCACCTATGAGGATTCTTGAATGAGTCAGGGAAGAAGAAGCCGTAGAGGAAGCCCGTGAAGATAGTGAAGCCACCCATGAGCACAAACAGCCAGAACCAACCAGGCTTGCCTGCGACCCCACGCATGTGAAGGATACCATAGGCAATCAGCTTGGACGAAGCCTGACCCAGCTGGTTGCCGAAGTAGAAGATAATGACACGCTTGGCGGACTCTTCACGGGTGTACCAGGTAGACAGCGTCCACAAGCCACCGGGGATGAAGCCAGACTCGGTAATACCAAGTAGAAAACGTGTAGTCAAATAGGCACCAAGACCCTTTTGAAAGGCCTGAAAGGTGCTGACTGTGCCGAAGAGGAAGAGCTGGAGAGTGAGCCACTTGCCGGGGCCGACACGATACAGAATCATGTTGGCCGGGATCTCAGTCAAGACGATACCGAGAGACAGCAGCTGCTGGCCGACGTTGAACTGGTTCTGTGTGATGCCGACATCTTCCATGAAGTGATCTGTGATGGCATTGGCAATGTTGCCACGGTCGAGCTCTGATGTTGTGTTGGTTCACGGCACAGCTGACCTGTGACTTAAAGTTATGGTCACTTACGCAGACAGAAAAAGCCCAGTGAGAGAAGAGGCATCAAGATTAGATCCATTCTGTTATATCAGGTATGTTAGAGAGGTTCAGGAAGAACTTTGGGGAGCAGCTGCTTACTTCCGCTTGGCCCTGATCTCCTCCTCTGGGGTCCAGTCTACCTGAAGGGACAGAGGCTGCTCATCCTCCGCCGGGGGAGGAAGATGGTTCGAATTGACGCTTGTCTTTGCGCCCATGGTCATGCTCGCTGCTCACTGTTTCGCCGAGTAATTTGGAGTTGAGGATCAGAGCTATTCCTGTGAAACCTCCGGGCTCTGCTTGAGCAACTGAATCAGGTGAGACGCCTATGTAGTGGCACCTGGGCAAAGGGCTCTTATTATCTTCGCGACCCTCGACTCTCGACGGTTGGTGACATGGGCAGACATGGTCGACTTGATGTTCCAGGTTTTCTCTTCGAGGCATGAACACGTCTGGACCTCATTGTGAAATGGACGGCCTCGAGCACGCAATCGCTACACGTGGAATATAAAAGGCTAATACAGGGGCCTTTGTGCGGGAGATAGCTGCAAGTGGCAGCCCTCGGCACGGGTTTCCCTCTTCTTGGCCCCCTTGGCGGCGAAAGCAGCCGCAGCGGTTCGTTACCGGCGTTAAGATGACGCATGGGAAGTGTTGCCGCCGCCTCTGTACCTATGCACACTGACTGCGAGAGGTTCGAAGGGGTACTTGGACACTACCATGCCTCTGTCCCACTGAGTATACACTAGTACCCTGTATTTTGGGTTACCGCACAGGCGGGTTGAGCGAGAAGTACCTTCGCATGATGCGGCTCGAAAGAGTTCAGGTAGGCTATTAGCTTGACGTCTGACCTCAACTATAGGTAGGCATGAGCACATTCGTCACAAGCCTACCCGCCACGGGCGTCAATAATGCAAAGGGATGCTGCTCATCCCATTGGGCAGCCGTGGACGGACGGGGAGAACGGAGGGGAATGCTGTTGGTCGACGCCATCTGGTTGTGTTCTCGCATGAAGGATGGTGTCGTGGGCGCGAGCACGTCGATTGCGGCGCGAGTTGCGCCTTAGCTACTGGCAATCCATATACAGGTCCTCCGTAGAGGCAGCTTCAAAGCTATCCTTTCATGAACCGGTCGCTGAATCTAGAGAGCTGACATAGATGATAGAGCATGTACGTAGTTCATGCCTATGTCTATGCCTGCCACCAGACGGAGAACGCCGTCTAGAGTAGATTCTGCACCCTGGAATTTCTCCAAGGAGATACACCACCTGCACACGACCGGCAACATGCCCCGCAGTGATAAGTAGGTAACGCCATGCTGTAGGCCTTCAACCCCGCCCGAGCTCACCAGGACAACCACCATGCAGCCTGGCCAGGCTTGGGAGACCTACCCAGGTCGGCGAGGTTTGGTGTTTTGCCATGTCTCGGCGATCGCACGTGGATCTCAGCTCCCCCACGCAAAGCGTCAAGATAGTCGACGATTGGTCATTTGCGAGATGTCAAGATCCGGGGATCTCGAGCGGGACAAAAAACTTAGAACAGCTTGGCTCGCCAGCCGCGATCCCGCGATCCGCCAAGCCCACGTTCTTTGTGGCTCCCGTCAAAGGCCCAGACCAAAAGTGAATGATGGCCGATTCAGGATCGGGAAGGCTGCGGGTTGCGGGTTGTTCCGTCAACTATATCATAAGAACCAAGCGGTAGGGCACAAAAGGCCAAGAGCCAAGGAGCCAAGGACTCAAGACTTCAGATGTTCGCGTGCATAGCAAGATACTTTCAGATGCAGACCAAAGAGCTTGCAGATAAGCTATATTTCCTAGCAAGCCACTAGAAAAAGTCATAAATGTCCCGAAGCCCGAGTTGGGTAAGACTTAAGGTGCGAGTACACTGGTGATGGGCAGCCAGCCTACATCAGCCTTTACCTCTTCTTGATAGGGACCGTGCACGCTTTCGCTTCCATTGATTTGACAGTCAGTGGAGTCAGCCGAGCCAACAATGGGTCTCTGTCACTGGCCAACCGACTGCACCGGCAAGCGTCATGATTGGTCGGATAAGAATTACAGCATACATGGAACTTTGCTGGTAAGTAACATAATGTGTATCATATTTACATCGTCGTTACGGACTGAGAACTTCCCATGGGCTGCTGCATTTGACCACAGAACGAGCTTCGAGAAATGCACTGACTCAAGTGCCGCACACCAGTTTGTCTCCTGGGACTGCAGAGAAACCGCAAGTTAAGACTATCAATTGGAGCAGGTAACCTACGGTGTGTGATATGCTCATGTGCTCACCTGCATCCGCATGGAGCAGTCACTTGCTTGAAGAGGTTGGCTCAAGCTCGTGATGGACATAAGGTAAAGAGATCAAGATCCAGCAAGAGATTCTGTGTAATATACAGCACTTTCACATGCTTGGATACCTGCTGTGCTGGTATAAATCTAAAGGCTTTTCCAATCAGCCCACAAAGGTATGCATTTGCGTTCTCGCTGCACCCTGTTACAGACCTGTCATGGTACGAGGGGCCGACCGTACCAGACCGACGGGTCGGGCGGGGACACACGCTGCTCTGCCAGCAAAGGGACCCACCCAAACCATGGGGCGCCAGGGAAAATCGACAAATCGATTGCATCTCAATGGCAAATGGAAGCGCATTCTACTTGTCAGTCCGCCAGTTTATTTGTTTTCCCGATTGTGTGCTTCACCATATCCGCATTTTTGTCTCACTTTCCATTAGAATTTCAACTTGAAGTCTCCTTCAGACTTCATTTCTCTTACGATTTCATTCTGCTGCCCTGGAGAAGGGATTGTCTGTTAGAGCAGCCCCAACGCGCAACGGAAGATCCATCCTCCTCTCTGACCGAACGTCTTACACAACCAAGCATCTAACATGCCACCGAGCGCACAAGAGAACTGGGTTCATTCCGGCTGTCCCTGCAAAAATGGGGACGCCATACCAGGCAGGTTTTTCAACGGTAGTCGCTTCTTAACTACCATGCTGACGAATCTTCCAGACGTCACTGTTGTGCCCAACCCCAACAATAACATTGTCGGCCAATGGACAGTAGAGAAGGTCCTCGACACAATCCCGACTGGGAAGCCCGTCCAGGGCTCAACTTCACCGGTCCCATACTTTCACATTCTTGAGCGCCTTAAGACAACAAAGCGCGAAGGATGGAGGCGATTAGGCATCGATCGGTACGCTAAGCCTGATCCTACCATATCCTAGTCACGAGAAAGCGAGTAGTTTGCTAACACACGGTGTTGGTTCTAGAGGCGAGTCTATCTCCGATCATATGTATCGCATGGCGATGTTGAGCATGCTTGCGCCGCCTTCTCTTGCCAGCCGACTCGACATGACGAAGTGCATGAAGATGTGCTTGATCCACGACATGGCCGAATCAATCGTCGGTGACATCACCCCAGTTGACGGCATCGACAAGCCGGAGAAGAGCCGGCGCGAGGCCTCGACTATGGACTTTATCACAAAGGGGCTGCTGGGCAACGTTGACGAGGGCAAGGTCGGCGCCGAGATTCGTGCTATCTGGCAGGAGTACGAAGACTCGAAGACTCTCGAGAGTCTCTATGTCCATGATATCGACAAGATGGAGTTGCTTCTGCAGATGGTCGAGTATGAGAAACGCGGAAAGGGCAAGCTTGACTTGGGAGAGTTCGCCTACGTTAAGACGAAGATTGTACTGGACGAGGTCAAAGCTTGGGCCGAGGAGCTCATGCAGGAGAGGGAGGAGTTCTGGGCCGGTCAGGCCCATATTCATGGGGAGCAGGGCGTCGCCGGCGGCGTCTCCCCCGAGAAGAAGGCGATGCAAGACGCGTACTACAGCAAGGACTAAGATATAGGGAGCAGAATTCTTGGTTGGTTGGGGTACAGAAGGATGGTGCATCGGGATATTTTATCGGGACCTTTTCGGGGTTTTACCGGGTCTATGGCGCCACGGTCTCGGGAGAAGAGAGGGCCGCAAGGGACGGGTTTGGTACTTAAAACGGCTCCGGGCGTGAATGGGTCTAGATCCATGGCATTATGGGAATAGAGTATGTTTCTACGTAGCAGATAGCGCACTTTAATGTCAGGCACCTCTAAGACGTCCAGTCGGTGTTCAGGTATAGCATAGTCTGAGAACACCACGTGCAATGGCAAGATATTTGTCTTGGCAGCGTAAATTACGCTCCTGGTGTGTAAAATTACGCTTGACAGCTGCGGTTTGGACCACCTGTTGGGGGAGAGTGGGGACGCTGTCAAACCAAGTCCACCAACTAAAAGTGCTTCCGCCTTTTTGGTTTCCTGGACGATCGCTTTCAAGCACTCTTCCTAGCCTTTGCTGCAGCAACGGAGGTCTCAACAATAACAACTGCGATTGCCATCCGGGTCAATCCAACGCGAGCCGGAATCCCGAGGCCTTCATCGGATCTCCACTGCCAGCACGATTTCCCGGTCCACGTTCGAGTCGTGGACTTCAACGGCGCTTGTTGTGGCGCCGTGTGGAACCACCAGCCATCGAGTTACACGACCAGCCACGTTACGTCGTTCGGCCGCCGCTCTTAGTTCCTATTCAAGTCCCGTATTCCGTATCCCCGTTATTAAGCTGTACCTGTATACCATACGGACGGGCCAAAGCTGGCTGCTGATCACAAGCTTGCCCGTAATATTCTGACGTCGACCAGTCAGCAACGAGAAGGGCCAGCTCCGTTCCGTCGGCTTTCTGTGCACTCAGAGTTTTGTCCCACTGTGTTGGCGACAAGTGTCTTGTTCTCAAGCTCGCTTGCGATCGCCTGCCTTTGTCCATTGTCGCTGCCCAAAAAATCTCTAAACCTAGATCGCGACGATTCCATCACTTGTACTCTTGCTTGCCGACTGTGGAGCAACGATATTTGGGTATTAAACCCTTCGCTATACTGTTTAAGCTGGCGATCGGCTGGGGATCCATCAGCCTTGTGACACCGTCGGCGGCTTACACCCCACCGCAGGATTGCCTCGACCATCATCCTCCGGTCCCGGGTTTCAGCCTATCGAGGCTCAGGACGTGAAGCCGGAAAACCCTATCGAAAAGATCAATAGTACGGCATCCTCGAGTCCGACAGCGCCGTTCCCAGTTGTAAGGGCTTACGCCCTTGCGGGGACCGCAGGCACCCACATCGCAAAGTTCTGTGCGCTCAAGCATTGCCTCTGAGCAAGCACCCATCTCCGTGACTGCTGGAAACTCGACATCGAACAGCCCGAGCATCGAGAAGAACAATATAGTATAGTATTTCGATCAGTTACCTCCCTAAACAGCCAGCCATGTCGTATGTAGAGCAGTTCCATATGCCTGGCGCATTCAATTTTGACACAACGGTGTCAAGCCAACCGTTACATGCCGACGTGTTCCGACCTCCGCCATCACCGCCACCATCAAACTACAACCTTTCCAAGTCAACTGGAAGCTTGCTGTCCGATATCTCGATGCCAAATGCACCGCAATATACAGGAACGGCAAAACGGAAAAGGGCGTATACGAGGGACTCCATACCAGGAGGTTGGGGTACAGATGAAAAGCGGGATGGAGAGTCCAGGTACACTTTAGCAGGTCAGATCGGTACCACTCCGACAGATGTTCCAGCAGGTGCTGGCAGTGGTCTGGATGACAGTGTCTATTCCGACGTGAATTACAGAAGAGCCCTCGGCCCCAAAGAACCTCATGGAGCGGAGTCCCCAACGTCAACAACGTGTGAAGCAAATCCCACGGCCCTTTCCTTTGCGCCATGGAAGCTATTCTCCCTTCAAACGATAGGAGAGGTGATGGGCAAGGTTTGGGAATTTTGCAAGAACGGCGCATTCAGGGGCTTCCATGCAGGAGGTGGCACGGGCTACAACATTAATGGGTCAACCGTGACCGAGGCGACAGGAAAGCCGTTAAGTTCTGAACTAGACACGCAAGTGCAGTCAATAGCAGAGACGCCCACAGCTCAACAGACCCCAGCATACGTGCCTGATGGAACAGAACCCAGCTTCGCCTCGTACCCCGAGCCTATCAGCCCTGAACCAACGCCTACGCATGCTGTCAAGCGCAGGCAAGTGAGCGCGAACAATGATGAGTTGAGGAACTGGGTTGTCGTGGACGAGCCGGCTCAGCAGAAGGCGAGGTCATTTGGCGCTGAGGTTAAGGCTACCGCTTCCAGAACCAGCGGCCTGGTGAGGCCACGAATGGGATACTACTCGCAGACGTCGCTTAGTAGCCATCGTCGCATCAATTTATCGTCCCCAAGATATGCTGGAGTGACCTCAGGCCTTCCACGTCCCGTTAGCCGCCCCTCAACAGCCATTTCTTATGTCAATACTCCCACTCTCCCCCCTCGCGAGCCGGCCAGCTACGCAAACCCACGACTCTCCCCAACATCACGGACTACCAGCACTCCAAGCCGCATTCCCGTTCCCGTCAACACCTCTCCCCAGCAATCTCACAGCCCTACCTTTTCCAACTCCACGCCCACAGCAACAACCAGCTTCCGCAGCTCCGTCTCTCGCCCCTCCAGCCGCCAATCCGTTCGCCCTACCAGCCGCCAGTCTGTTAGGCACAGCCTCGGTGCGACTGGCCTACTACGTCCCGTATCTCCCACCAAAATCGGCCACCACCGCCGCAATCAAACCAGCATCTCCTCCCCTTCGTCTTTCCTCAAGTCCTCAACGTCGTCCAACCGCCGGCATAGTGGCTTCTTGGCGGGTCCACCCAGCAGCTTTGCGATTGGACACAGTGCCGACGACGATGATGATGAGACGATGGACCTGTCGTTTGACGCGGCGCTGAACATTGAGCGGAGTCAGAGGCTTGATCCGGAGGCAATCGCGCTTGCGCAGGAGAGGTTGGCGGTTGAGAGGGATGTGGACTCGAAGGTGGATGAGTTTAATCAGATGCTGTTGAATATGATTAGGCAGGGAAGAGAGGCGCTGGGGACGAAGGTTGAGGTGGAGTTTTTGGATGATGATGATAAGTGGGTTGATGATGAGTAAGTGTGGTCTTTGTCCAGGCTTCAGCAATGGGAGGAAACTTGAAGATGCTTTCCTAAGGGAGGCTGTTTGAATATGTATATCTGGGAGGGAGATTGCATATTGTTATGTGTGTGCTTGAAAGATGAGGGGTATCATGACCTTTTCTGATATGCCATGTGTGAGGATTTCTGCATGCGCAACATTTTCGGGGAGTTTGGCCAGTTCTTGGGTTTATTCTAGTTCACTGGTCGTTTTGATGGCAGTGATATTTTTGCCCCTTGTTATGGAAACTCCTGTATGAGTTGAGGTACTTTGGCAATAACCTGGGATGGTGATTATGTCTCAGTAGCTATGAATGACAGGCAAACAGAATGTCAAGTCAGCTGTAGACAACACGCTCTTGTTGAGTTTATCCAGTGATCATGATCGTTTTGGGACTTCCAGGTTCTTGGGTCTCGGGTTTCATGCCAAGCCATAATCAGGGTTAGGGTTATCACGCTTATCAAATCACCAAACTTTAGCCCTTGCATTCATAAACTATTGTGTATCCAAGGACCAGGACCTTTTCTTACTGCAGGCTTTCCAGAAGCGTTGTCTCACTTTCTTTGACAACAGGCAAAATGATCTCAAGCATATAAGGTTTCCTATGTGTATAAGACATCAAATTCTGAGCCCTCACGATCATCAGGGCCAGAGGTTACACGAAATTCAAACTGACGCTTGCGTTAACACGCCGCCGGACTCATTGATCCCCTATCATCTACGCCCTCCATCAAGCTCACAGCGCCAAATGGTTTGGCTTCCACACATAATTGCTGAAATCCAATAGTTTACCATGTCCTCCCGCCATAGACACCGCAGCAAGATGCCCGACCCCAGCCGTTCTATGCCCTCCAACGGGCGCAGAACAAGCATCGACTCTCAAGGGGGCGTCGACGCCGAGTTAGGCCATGCATCGCTCACCCAACCCTTCCTCAACGGTGACACCCTTTCAACCCACGACCACGACCATGACCACGATACCCCCCTCCTCACAACCTCCGAAACCAAGTCCCTCAAACGCTCCCTAGCCCAGCGCCGTAGGTCTTTCCCTCCCTCACTCTTCTAAATAACATTTGTTAATGTTTACATAATCGCAGACCTGTCTATGCTCGCCCTGGCCGGCTCAATCGGCACAGGCCTGTTCCTTTCCCTGGGTCAAGCCATCCAGCGCGCCGGCCCGTTAGGCTCCCTCCTCGCTTATGCTGTAGTCGGCTTCGTCGTCTGCGCAGTACAGTTCGCCCTAGGCGAAACCGCCGCTCTGGTACCCGTCACAGGCTCATTCGTCCGCCACGCGGAGATGCTCCTCGACCCGGCGTGGGGTTTTGCAGTCGGATGGAACCTCGTCTACGGGAATTTGGTCAGTGTCCCCGTAGAAGCAACGGCCGTGTGCGTGTTGGTTCGGTACTGGGGATGGGGGATCCATGACGCGGTGGTGATTTTGGTGTTTTGGGTTGCAACCGTGGGCGTGGGGATGGCGCGGGTGAGGGTATTTGGGGAGGTGGAGTTTGTGTTTGCGCTGGTGAAGGTCACATTTGTGGTGTTTTTGGTAATTTTGGGGCTGATAATTGATCTGGGATGGGTTCCGGGGCAGGAGGCGATAGGGCTTAGGTATTGGTCGGATCCCGGGCCTTTTGTTGAGTATATTGCTACAGGGGACTGGGGGAGGTTTTTGGGATTCTGGGCGGTCATGACGGGAGCGGTGTTCTCGTTTGCGGGGGTTGAATCGCTCGCTATGGCGGCGGCTGAGACGAAGAATCCGAGGGAGGCTATCCCTAGAGCTTGCAAGCGGGTATTTGGACGAGTTGTAGTTTTCTATATGCTGGCGGTTTTTGTCGTCGGCCTGTTGGTTCCCAGCAATGATCCGCGGCTGGATGGTTCTGGGGACACTGTGGCACAGAGTCCCTTCGTCATTGCTGCCCAGCAAGCAGGTATCCCGGCTATCGCGTCGCTTGTCAACGCTGTGGTCATTACTTCGGCCTGGTCCGCGGCAAACCAGAGCCTGTTAGCCGGCACGCGTGTGCTCTACGGGCTGGCTCTGAAGGGTCAGGCTCCTAAGATCTTCCTGCGGACAACATCATGGGGCACCCCATACATATGCGTTGGGTTGTTTGCGATCTTCATCCTCCTCAGTCTTTTGAGTCTATCTGAGAGTGCGATCACAGTGTTCTGGTGGCTGGTTTCTCTGACAGCTGCTGGAGTGCTCGTGTCATGGGCAACTATCCTCCTGAACCATATCCGGCTTCTGAAGGCCATGAAGAAGCAGGGCTATAGTACTACGAAGTTGCCATGGCACAACTGGTGGACAGGTAAGTGTTTCTTCGTCCATATCAAGACATACGGCGGTAGTCTGACAGGATTCTCCAGAGTACTCCTCGCCTCTGGCGTTTGTCACTGTTATTGTTTTTCTCCTCACAGGCGGTTTTAGTGTTTTTACGAAGGGCAACTGGGATGCCGCTAAGTTTGTCTCCTCATATCTGTCAGTCTTGACTCACCAAGTCTATTTTTTCTTTGAATGTCTTGACGGCTGACTTGAAGAGCAGCGATATACCGATTGTGTCATCAGCATTCCTCTTCTGGAAGTACACCAAAAAGACAAGTATCGTTTCTCTGGACGAAGTCCCCCTTGAGATGGCCTTCTGCCAAATAGAGGAGTATCCAAACGAACCAGAGCCTCCAGTAAACAAACGAGGGTGGATCCATGCCCTCAGCTGGCTATGGGACTAGATGGTCCTCTTGTCTTTTACTTGTTGTTTAATTTACATTTAGATGATGTTAGCCTTATGAACATGGCAATAGTAGACCCGCAGAACTGCCATGCTGACTGACGTTTGTCTTTCCTATTCATACTCAGCCATGAATGTAGCCTTCTCCACGTCATCCGCAAAGCTCTTCCCTAGATGGGTCGAGTGCGCCCACGGCTTGACCCTCACTTCCTCGCGGATGGTCTTCGCAAAACAGCTGTTCCAATTCCGTCGCGGAAACAGCTTGTTCACTTCTTCCTGGGTCAACTCATGTATCAATTCCTGTTTGGACCCGATATTATCGAAAATGGTCGCCAGCTGAAGCAGCTGTCCCAGAAACGTAATCATCCCTTCACTTCCTAAGTCTTGATGGCGGATGATAGCTTCACACACGGCTTCTGCTTGGGACTTTGAAGCCGCATATTCTGGAGAGAGGAGCAGATTCAGTGCTGTGATCGCACCGTGAAACTCAAACGAAAGGCGTGTGGAGTGTAGGTGAGACGGAGCCGTACCAATGTCATGCAGGAGACAGGCCAGGGCAAGGGTTGAGAAGGAGAGTGTGGATGCGTATGAAGGGAACTGTTGCTGGAGGATAACGACCGCTGGGATTGGTCAGTCATGAGAAAGAGACGAAGGGAAATGGTATGATAAGGTAATTGTAGAAACGACTAGTTTACCCCAGTAATAGACACGCATAGAGTGGTTGTATGTCTCGATCGGAAGCGTGTCCTGAGCATTGCGTTGGGCTCTGACTACAATGGGGTCATCATGAGGAAATTTGATGTCCTTGGCATGGATGTGGACTGGTTTGATCAGGTATGGAGCTCCTGCAAAGATGGCATCGGCATCAAGCGGAATAGCAGTCCAGCCGTGCTCAGATATGGCGTTTGGCTGTGAAGACATTCCCGACACTTTGTTTAGTGCAAAGTGTTTGGATGTTACGAAAGTTGGGGGGCGCTGCATATTCAGACAGTCCTTCGTACCTAACAACCAGGTTTCTACGACCAAGGATTCAGGGTGTTCAAATATCAAGCGTCAAGGTAACAAGTTGTCGTCATCGGTCAAAGAATGGTGGTGGTGGCGTCATGTTGACTCTCTCACAGTAACAATCGCTGACTAAGCTATGAGACAGCTTGGATGGAGCTCCTGAAATTCGAGGCGTCGGAAATTACACAACAGAAGGCAGAAAGCATCCAAATTATATGGATACCAAAGCACACGACAAAACTCTAAGTTCCAACCTGATCGAGAGACTCTTTGCAGGACTCAATGAATCCACATTTATAATTACGGCTCCTAACCACGTTACGACATAGATCTGCTCCAAATCGTCCGGGTCGGCTCTGGGCTCGATCATGCGTCTGGAGCTTGCTGTCCAGCTGGCTCTCGGAAACACAACGGGCAGGGTCTTGGCTTCAGAACATGGGCCGAACCCACAAAGCCAAACCAGTTGCCACGGCGAGCTCCGACCGATCCCTCTGGTCATTATTAGCAAGTTTCGATTTGCCCTGTTTCGTTTCAGCGATCGCCAGAGAAATTGGTCAGTGATCCATCGGTGTTAGTGCGCTCCGCATAACGGGGTCATTCGGCCCGGAGTCACTGTTCTTTTCACCAGGCACGGATGCCCCGATGGTGCGATCCTCCAATTTACCAGCAGAATGTCAAGTCTAGCCGACGATTGGGAATCTCAGAATTCCGATCAGTCTCTCTAGACTGTTTTGAAGTCTCGTGTCGAAGCAGACACCTTCAGGTGTAGTGTCATGGGTTACAAGGCTTCAACAATTTAAGAGGCTTACGGCCTTACAACTACCCCTCCTGGCTTGACAGCTAAGTTTAGTACTAACCCGCAGGTGCCTGCAGCTAAAGTGTGGGTTAGAAACCCCCCTGAAACCGTTAGTAGTAAGCGAAAGCTTGTTTCTTTCCTACCTGACAGCTAATTACGGGGTAGCATGCTTGGTGGAGCGGATGTGCCTGGCATGATCTGCTTACTGAGTTCCTCAGCGTTTTCCTCCGTGCCACGCTCCCGTGGGTTAACTGTTTGACCACCGCATAACTTCGTCAGGCTTTGCTGGATAATGAGAATCGAGTGTGAACATCAGCAATATTCTTATGGCTTTGACCAAATACGAAATGAAGTCTATCCAGCTGCACTCCGGCAGCATCACGGCTGAAGTTGCATTCTTTTGCTCCTGAGCCTGAAGCTTTGCCGGGATCATGGTAAGACTGCGCCGTTGAGGTCCCATCGTCGTAGCCTTGTTGATCCGACCCGGACTGACTATGACGCTCTAGAATGCCACAATGGCCTCCACCGAGGCATGAAAAAGGCCGTGGTGAGTTGACGACGGCGTTGTCACCTTCGTGCCTCTCTCCTTCCCCATCACGTTAGCGCTGCGTTGCTGCTGATGGAGTATTGGCAGTCTGGCTAGCCCCTGTAATTTCCCACAATCTCTCGCAGCCTTATGTAGAAGCAGAAACACCTCCAAAAACAAGAATTGCAGGCTCGGATTCGTGTGCTGAAGAGACTGTATGGTAGCATTGACATCAATTTAGACTTTTTGGCTGGCCAGGTGGCTAATCGTTCACCACAAAATTCTAGAAAGGGTTCAACAAGGCTGTGAGCAACACGATGATAACTTAAATGAATCAAGTGAGCCCGGCTATGAGCCGAATGCTTTTCTCACTCTTGATCTAGACACCATCAATCGCAGTTAGTCGTGTTGCTTTATCTGTCAAGATGAGGAACCAGCTACTGCTCCTTTCTGCCCTCACGGGCGCTACCGGCGTGGCCGCCCGCGACATCCCTTCCAACATTCAAAACTTCTACAATGCCTTGAAGGCTCAAGGCGACTGCAAGAACAAGCTTGGCGCGGGCTTTTACAACGATCACAGCGATACCGGTGCTGGCAGTATGTACATTTCAAACAATACCTCTTCATACGTCTCGGGACCTAACCATCACTTTCGTTTCATAGCCGTTGACTACTGTGGCGATCACCTCTCCGACTACCGCGTCATCTACTTGAAGGGCAAAGGCCAGAACTTCGCGGACATGGACATCGACTGCGACGGCGAGCAGAACGGTATTGGTGATGACGGCCGGTGCAACTTTGACAAGAGCTACCAGCCCATCACTTCCTTCCAGTACATTGTCAAGAAGTACAACAAGGGGATTAACGATCTCAATGCTTACGTCCATCCTTATGTTGTGTTCGGAAACTCAGGCAAGAAGTCTGGCTGGAATACCTTCGACCCCCGCGCGTACGGGGTCGAGCCCCTCTCTATCATGGCTGTTGTCTGCAATAACAAGCTGGTAGGTTTGCTTGATCAATTGAGCCCCAGATATGCTCAAAACTAACCCCCTGTTGTTAGATTTATGGTGTCTGGGGTGACACAAACGGCGATGGCGGCAAGCACGCCGTTGTCGGTGAGGCGTCCCTCTCCCTGGCCACAGCCTGCTTCGGCAAGGAAAGCGTCGACGGTGACCATGGCCATGATCCAGAGGATGTCTTATACATTGCATTCCCTGGCCCTGATGCAGTTCCTGGTGCTGATGGCGCAAAGTGGAATGCTAAAAGCTATGAGGAGTTCGAAGCTTCGATTGAGGCTCTCGGTAACAAGCTGATCCAGCGCATCGGTGGCGGCAGTGATAGTGGCTCCGGCTCTGACTCTGGGTCCGGCAGCGGCAACAGCAACTCAGCCCCTGGCTGCAGCTGGGCTGGTCACTGCGAAGGTGCCACGTGCAGCACCTACAATGACTGCTCTGACGACCTAATCTGCCACAAGACCAAAAAGGTCTGCACCAAGCAGGATTGTAGCTGGCCCGGCCATTGCTACGGTGCTGTTTGCTCGACCTACAACGACTGCGCTGACGACCTTGTCTGCGTTGCCGGCTTCTGTCAGCCTAGCATCGTCACAACCAAAGCCTCCAGCACTACCACTGCGAAGCCGACCAGCACGACCACTAGGACGACCACCGTCACAATGACTCTAACTCCTACCACTAAGCCGACGAGCACCAAGACGACCAGCACAGCCAAGGCGTCTGCGACACCCAAATATATCTGCGAGTGGCAGGGTCACTGCGAGGGTGCCAAGTGCAGCACCCATGATGACTGCAGCGGTGAACTGATCTGCCATAAGACTAACAAGGTTTGCACCATGAGTGGCTGCCAGTGGCCTGGTCACTGTTTGGGGGCTACCTGCTTTACTCATGATGATTGCTCAGACCCATATGGGTGTGTCAGTGGCATTTGCTGGTATGTTTAAGGGATATTTGGGGTATTGGACATAAAGCTTTTCAGGTACTGTATCGCAATTTTGGATAAAAAGGATTGGCGTTATTGTATATAATTCAAGGACGTTTTATATACTTCTTGCCACTAAAATATTCGGTTTTATTCACGTGGACACAATATACCTTAAACTCCATGAAAGAGACGCAATATGAAACAGATATATCCCCCATCTCCTAGTCCCGCCCGCCTTTCCCGTAAAACACCTGGCTTCCTCGGCCCATCGCTACTTCTAACAGTAAATGCCGAGAGTCATTAATGTGCATCATCCACGTCCCTAACATAATTCAGTCAACCGTTGGGTCAACTTGGCCTTCGGTTTCTTCACTGTTGAAAAGCCAACTCAAACATCTCTCTCGCACCCTCGACTAGAAGCCGCATTCCTGTTGCATCATAATACCTCAGTTCCGTCTCCCCCATGCTAAGGCCTTTGCCCAAAGAGCTATTCCTCCTCTAGCATATCCCAATGATTTCCTCCTTTACTCGCACCAGCAATTCGGCGGCTTGCAGCTGGCCATGAAATTGTTATGAAATCCAACGGAATCGCAATATGCCTCTGCGTTGCTGGCTGTACACAAATCGTAGAGCGCTTGAGTCTTGCATTGTGGCTGGCCCCAGTTGGCTGCTACTGCTGAAGGGGTCTTGCCAGCCGTTCCACTTTCAACATCGGTGTCGCTTGTGTTGGTTTCGGCTTCGGCTGATGTGATGTCTGTTGTGGTATTGGTCAAGGAGGCGGCTTCGTCACGAGGTAATAATGGTGAAGCTGGTCGAGCGAGGGCGACTGGGAAAAGGGAGCCTGTGGCTGCCAGAAAAACAAGGGTGATGCCCTGAGAAGGATCTGTCAGCGAGGTTCAGGGGATATGATACAAGGGCTGATGGTGCTGGAAGGAATTCCGTACCTTCATCTTGAACGGATTGATAATGAAATAAGGAAGGATGATTCAGGCGGATTTCTTGCAAAGACTGATAATCAATGCAACTTGATACCCCCCAACTTTTGAGTCCCTTAAAATCCCCTAGAAGATGTTGGTACCGATCGTGCAGAAGAATATCGGATTGTAGTACGTCGATTCCAGGCTTGGCTTGGACGTTATGCTCTTTATTTTGGTTTCCTTGATGAATTCGGCATTGTCGATAAAAAGCGTCGATGGACTCTGATAGGGCCTAAAGGTATTGATGTAGTTCCATGTAGGATTGAAGACTGGCAACGGCACTGAAGACCAATGCACTCAGCAGAGTAAATGCCACACGGAAAAGTGACCAGATGAGTAAAGGAGACCAAAGGCCAGGCCACGCGACGGTAGGATACATGCTTTAATCTGAAGAGTTAAACCTGCATGCGCATTTTCACTTTCAGGCACTCGGCTCGCCGTGGTGACCCCGTACCCGGGACGTGGTGAGTCCGCGAGATCGCTAGAATGGGACGCAAGTGGTGGCTTCGGCGGGGGATAGTTACCGGGCTGAGAAACCAGGATGTCGGGAATGCGAAGGGGCAGTTTCAGCCCTTGGGAAAACAATGTAATGATCTGCAAATGTTTTCGGCAGGTCTGCCACCTCGGTGGTTCTGTGTCACCAGGGATTCTGGTTGGACTAGTAGGGCAAGGTGGTTTGAACCGAGAACTTACCGGAGAGTCTTGATGGAGATGGTTACACCGGAGCCACTGAGGGTACAACCTGAAAGGTGGCCAAATACATCCGTGAAAATAGGCCAGTTCTGGGATGATACCATGTTCCACCCATACAAGCATCTCGAAGTAGTATTCCCAAAGTGAATGGAAGCTCGCCTGTATTTGGTTCATGGTGAATGCGATGCCATAGCGACGATCTAGGAAGTTACTAATGCTTCGGCTGACGAATGTAACATTAACCACTGTCAGTCCTCGCTAGTGATAGACAGCTCCTTATCCCGATTTACTTTGTGCATTTCTGGATCTAGGGCAGCGCCATCAACTACAAAGATAGGAATTTCTAGGTCCGGAATTCAGTTCAGCTGGGCATAAAACCGCAGGCATGAACGTGAGAAACTTGTCCCCGCCAAACGAGACGCAGGCCCCGGCTCACTCTCGGCACCATGCTGTCTTCCGCATGGCCGTCCAATGAATGTCTCAGATTTACAGTAGTCTTCATTTATCCAAATTTTACCCACATCCGAACGAGCCCGATATTGACAGCCCGTTATCGTTTAGTACAAGTCCACGCGCACATGGTCTTTGGTACCCTATGCAAAGTTGTCCGACTTCTGACATGGTAAAGTTAATACCTATTGGAGACAATCTGGCTTGTTCGGAAGAACAGCCGATACTCCTGTACAGCAGGAGTGGCGGGCTTGGCTACGATACTTCTATTAATATCTCTTCATCATGAAGGCCGGTACAAGCAATGACATGTGGAACGGAGATTATGAGAAGCCATGTTCCAAGCTGCCTACCCAGGGGTCCACATAGGCTATCTGCATATAAATGGGGGCTGTATGGGACTGTACCGTTTCTTGGACCTCCATACTTCAAGAGCGTTCTCTCTATAAAGGGAGACAGTTACCGCTGAAACGAACTCGCTGCATTCCATTTCTGCAAGATTTAGATCTCGTGAAAAATTGGATGGCAAACCTTGTCCTGAAACATAGCATTCCATTAGTTTGCTAAAAGACTTCCACAGTGTCGAGATGATGTATCAAGATGATATCATGACACTGAAGCTGGATGTCCTGCATCACAAAGCTCATCGTTTCAAGGCCAAGGCAGTTCTTGTGAGCCTATCGTTATCTTAAGGGCGTATTGTCAAATTTACCTAGTTGGATGGAGTCTGGTTTGCTTCCAATATACTGATATGATGTTTTTGGTAAACTTGAACTAGTAGATTTGGCATTATCTGCTAATTGGTTTTTGATCCATGTAAAAGAACTGTTAATGGATTGAGCTTCACTGACAAAGCCTCATGCAAATTGAGCAATATCATTAAAGAAATTTCAAGCCCCCGCATCACTCTGCCATGCTGAGCTACAAACTGGCCCATACGCCAGCACAGATATCCCAACTCTACCAACGGTGACACAGCACCAACCTTCTTTTGTAGCAGCAACCTAAGTGTGGGTGAACTTTTGCAGCCAAGGATCAAGGAAACATGAATCATGATCCAAGAGATTTTAAACAAGTGAAAAAAAATGGTTGAACACCCGTTAGTCTGTCTTGAGACCCTTAGATTTATCTTCTTGTCTCATTGATAGATGTCCAAGAAGTCGGGCAATTCTAAAAGCCAGTGTGCTGCTGGTCAATGTTGCAACAGAATTAGCCACACTGCACTTACACAGCCGCAGGTAAAGGGTAGGTAGAAAAGGCCAAGTCATTCGTCATATTTGACTCAAGTCATACCTGGGTTATAATAACAACGTGGCTCGAGCAAGGCAGAATAACTGGTGCTTTAGCCACCTGCCCTTACAGTTACTTGTCAGCTCACGGATCAAATATCTCGTTTCGCCAGCTGTGACATAGAATAGGCATTCCCGTGTTATTGCTTGCCCTGGCTCCAATGCCATGATCATTGAACATACCTAATTTGTGCTACCCCATGAATGACAGAAGATTAAGGCAATGTTGGTATGAACCCTCTGGCTTCAACGGCAGCCGGGCAAGACGTAACGAACAAGGAGTAATCGTGTGATTTACATGGTAAGGAGATAATCAGTTTCGTAATTATAAGAATACCTGAACCACCCATATCGCATCTGGCATCAGGTTACAGGGAGCTTCATTAAGCTTCTGTTCACACATCCACAAGCAATAACACTGCTCAAAATTAGTCTCTACTACCCAGCGTTCACCAAACACAATGTCTAACTCCACTTCCGAGAAAACTTCCAGAGATGGCACTGAGTGGCCCGTCTCCCGCCAGTCGACTGCCTGATCCCTGACACTCTTCACTCCTGCTGCTCCCGAATACAGCACCGAGAACCAAGAAATAGCTGCATCTCCACGCTACTTTTACTATAAAAATCGGCGCACCAAACCCGGATGCAAAACCCAAGAAGTCCAGACTCTCGAAGTTCCTCTCTCAGTTCCAGGTTTCTGCCGTTAACCAGGGCAACGCTGCCTGTGAGTGCGAGAGGCTGGCCGACCAACAGGCTGGTATCAAGACATACACCCCAATAAGGACTCCCAGTGGCGGCTCGCAGTGGGCTGTGTGGGGCCTAGGTGCCTAGATGGAGATCTACTAGAGGGTCGAGTTTGCCTGATGACCTTGGCATTTGACGAGCAGAGTCATATGTGGACTTAGCAAACTTTCGCCTGGGTAGAGAAAAAATTGTTTTCTGGCTAATTGTTAACATCACTATAGTACCAACTGCTGCTTTTTGTCTGTCGCTACAAACTGCATTAGCCTGCATGCACGAGGCTGTCTGATGGCATTGAATGAAGAACAGGGATAGGCGTTACTTGGTTACATGCTTTGGGATCATTTGAGGCCAGGTCAACCTTTATACACATGCCTCTGAATAAATGACTGTTTCTCATGTGCCATTTACGGGGTCATTGCACATCAGCACCTGTCTGCGTTGGGTTTGGTGCTGAGAGACAACCCCTTTCAGGGGCTCAGGGGCAAAGCCTAGTAAGGGTTAGGTTGGGGTGTTCCCCAGCAACGTCGATTAGTCATAACCCTAACCCTTTTTGCGCGACGGACCAGGTTCTGAGGTAAGCCACCGGGGCCTCGCCATCACTGACCGACCCAACCATCATTTCAAGTTATTGTTTGCTTCACTGTCATCTGAGAAGAAGCATCCAAGCTTCTGCGATGGCTTCTGCACCTTTAGTATTGAAATTTTGCACCTTCCCCAGAAATTCTAGAAGGCCCGCCGCGTCATGAGGCCGAAAATCCTAGCGCGACGACCGCGCATCTTCCGTTCGTTCCTATCGCGCTCGAACCTCACCAAGCTCTCCCTCGCCGTCTTGATCTGGACTCTCATCGAAGCACACGTCATATACTACCGCATCGCACGCGCTGATCGCGAAGCTCGAGCCCACGCTGTTCTGCATGAGCCCATTCGTGTGTTCATTGCCAGCCTTCATTGGAATAACGAGAAGATTCTACGGAATGGTTGGAATAAAGGGGTAGTGGACCTGGTCAACACTCTTGGTCATGACAATGTCTTCGTCAGTGTTTACGAAAGTGGCAGTTGGGATAAGTCCAAGGATGCGCTGAGAGAACTGGACCAAGAGCTGGGAAGGATCGGTGTGGGAAGAAAAATCGTGCTCGAGGAGACGACCCATGCCGACCTCATTAAGGGGCCGCCAGAGAAGGAAGGGTGGATTGAAGTATCTGAGGGGGCCATGGCACTGAGGAGGATACCGTATCTATCTAAGTTGCGGAATATCTCCCTTCAGCCGTTGTTGGAGCTCGCTGCGAATGGGACTAGCTTCCACTATGTCCTATTCCTTGGTGACGTCTTCTTTACAGTAGGTTTTTGTTCGCTCAGTAAGAGAGTCGTCATATCTAACACTTTGCAGGTTGAAGACATCATCACTTTGTTAAAGACAAACAACGGTCATTATGCCGCTGCCTGTTCCCTTGACTTCAGCAAACCCCCTCTCTTCTATGACACCTTTGCCTTGCGGGATGTCCACGGCCATGAACATGTCACTCAGACCTGGCCCTACTTCCGCGCCTCTAAATCTAGAAGTGCCATTTTACATGGGAAACCAGTCCCAGTATCTAGTTGTTGGAATGGAATAGGTCGGTTTCCGTCATGATAAACTCTAAGCTGGTTCCTTCTAACAACTTCTCAGTGTCTATGCCGACCTCTGCCTTCACTGGCATCCAAGGCTTGAAGTTTCGTGGCATTGATGACTCCCTTGCTGTGTACCACCTCGAGGGCTCGGAGTGTTGCCTGATACATGCCGACAATCCTGCTTCACGAACCAAAGGTGTCTTTCTCAACCCAGCCGTGCGCGTTGGTTATAATCGCAAGGCTTACGAAACTGTACATCCCCCACGTGAGTCTTGGCTTTCCTTACCTCAGATCTGGTTTGGTATGTGGAAGAATCGTCTTGCTCGATGGTCCACAACACCGTGGTTCAAAGAGAAACGTGTTCGCAGACGAGTTCAACACTGGGAGCAGGCTGCCCCTGGCCGCAAGGAAAGGGGTGAGTTCTGTCTTATCAACGAGATGCAGGTACTTGTGTATAATGGTTGGAAACACTTGTAATCATTATCCTCGGACACTGCGGAGAGATGTCTGCAGGCCAGCACCCATATAACTTAATCAGCCGTTAATCACCCCAATTTTTTCAAACCACTAATTTCTTGTTCATCCTTTCTTCTCCTGAGAGGCCCAAATAGCTATAAGGCGACCTCACTTGTTATTTTCGCGTCATTCGAATTAGAGTATAGCAACATACAACTTCAAGAAACTCCTCCCTAACAATTCGAATATGCAACAGAACCCGCCGGTTACCTTCACAGTTGCTCCTCCCCTGGTCTCTCTTGAAAGTATAGTCTCTCCCGGTATGACAACGATTCAGTTTTTAACCACTCATCTGGATGAATGTCTTGATTTGTATCTGGCCTCGATCAAGAGTAACCAGTTTGAGCTCCGGAAGCATCAATAGCTCTCCTGCTAGCGCCAGCCGCCGGCAGAAGCAGCGGGCACCTCTCACGGGCTGATTGAGCTGGCCCTCTACTTCGCCTTGGCCTCTCAGCCAGCCATCGGCTTCACGAACTAGGCAGCCAAGACGTGCTCGGCCACCCTCCCCTTCTCCAGCCGGCCCATGCCCTTGCCTTCCAGCAGCTGCATGGCGTCAAGGAGAGAGCGTGGCCGCGTAATTGTGCCTTGCGTTGGGCAGCACGCTGTCGTCATTGATGTGGTGATGAGGTACGTGACGAGCGCCAGCACCGTCACGGTGGCCATCATTTGGCTGTGAAATTGGGTGTTTGGCAATCCACGAAGCAGTAACTGGATACACAAGCAAATGTTGCTGGTATGGACCCTTGAAATCATTGACCTGCTGGCTAAGTCAAACTGTGGCCATCGCCACCAAACCCAGACCGTTACTGGCGAACAAAATCTCAGCGAGAGGTGTCATAGAGCATCCATCCTTGGTAGAAGGAGCAGAAATCGGCATCAGTCGTGGGCCTGACTATGGGCGGCATCAGCCCGCTGCCACAGTGGGTGAATATGGGGCACACCCGCAGTTGGCGCTAGAAGTCAGTGGTCGACTGTACAAACCCAAACTAACAGTGGGTAGAGGAAGCAAAAGCCAGCAACCGGCAGATGCACTAGCATCAGACCAGACAGACTTAGCTTGAGCCAAGGATGCACCCTTGGCTTAGGCTGCGTCGAACTGAGAATCAAGCCGGCAGAGCGAGAATTTTTTCACAGCGGAGAACCTACACCTAAGCAGTCCTTAGCCTTCCAAAGAAGCCTTCGCTGTTGTGTGAGTGAGGGGCAGTGAGTTTCATAGTTCCAAAGGACTATGCTTATGATAGCTTTGAAAACATAAACTTTCGCTCACAAAGGTACTGACTTCATAGGACTGCTCCCTATTTGGATCTGATGATTTATCTCAGTTTCATCTGTCCACCTTCTAGCCATAACACCCTTCTTTGCCGCGACTCTTGATGAAAGTCGATCGTTATGATAATAAACAATTGGGAATCATGACAATTTCAGTCGTGAAGGCTTGAGACCATGCTCCTTCAACCATATAGCTCACAAAGTCAGTTGAACTCGGTCCTATTACACCGACCTTGCTTATATTGAGCCAAATGTGCTGCCAACATTTGAAAGGATTAGTGGGCCATGACGGAAGTTGAGATGTTAAGGCTTTCATAATGCTGTCTAATCAGCCTTGATGCCGTCAAGGAATTAACACAGGGTCAACATTCTTCCCAGTGCGTAACTGAAGATCTCATTGCCCCCCCATAAGAGAGGCCTTTCTCACCACGAAAACATTGAGCGGGGAGGATGAGCTATTTTTGCTACTGTGATGTAACGTGGAATGCCCGGCGGAGTGGCTGAGCAAGAACAAAAAGTATGTTGATGGGCTATTCGGTTTTTTTTGTCTCTTAGTAGATTTGTCAGCTCTTTTCGCAAATCGATCGAATTTGAAGCTTTACCGCGCCGAAGGAAGGACGCGTGGAACTTTGGACACAATGCCGCCAGTCTCAAAAACTTGGTCCGCTTGCTGTCTTAACTTCTCAGTCCCCCTTTAAGAAATCTGCCTCCAGCTTCTATTGCTTTTCAAAACTCAAAACCGAGCATCCTAAGCATTTGTCCAACCTTACCAATACCGATCGTCTGAAGAAAATTATCATCACGTGCTTTTCCTGGGACCCACACAAAGTAAACAAAGCCCCTGAATCTCCAGATAAGACCACATTCACCACTATCACCAAGATGTCGCCCTCCAACAACACCCGTCTATTTGAGCCCCTTCAGTTGGGCACAGTCACCCTCTCCCACCGCATCGCCATGGCCCCCTTAACCCGCTTCCGTGCCCTCGACAGCCACGTCCCCCAACTGCCTCTCGTAGCCGAGTACTACACCCAGCGCGCATCCATCCCTGGCACCCTGCTTATCACCGAAGGCACATTCATCGCCCAGCACGCCGGCGGCCTGCCCAACATACCCGGGATCTGGAACGAAGACCAGATTAAGGCATGGAAGGTTGTCACAGATGCGGTGCATGCCAAGGGAAGCTTCATCTTCTGTCAGTTGTGGGCTTTGGGGCGGGCTGCAAACCCCAAGGTTGCGGAGGCGGAGGGGTTTAAGGTGAAGAGTTCGAGTGCTGTGCCGATTGAAGAGGGGGGCGTCGTGCCGGAGGAGATGACGGTTGAGGAGATCAAGGAGATGGTAAAGGCGTATGCGAATGCGGCGAGGAATGCGATTAAGGCGGGGTTTGATGGGGTTGAGATCCATGGGGCGAACGGGTACTTGGTGGATCAGTTCATTCAGGACAAATGCAATCAGAGGACGGACGAATATGGAGGGAGTGTTGAGAACAGGTCGAAGTTCGCGGTTGAGGTTGTGAAGGCTGTGGCTGGGGCTGTTGGACCAGAGAAGACAGCAATCCGGCTCAGTCCATGGAGCCGGTTCCAGGGTATGAAGATGGATGATCCAAGGCCACAGTTTTTGGATGTGATTAGGAAGATTTCTGGGCTTGGGCTGGCGTATCTGCACCTCGTGCGGAGCGGCGTCGGGGGTCCGAACGACTTTAATCAGGCTGGGGAGGATGAGACGCTTGACTTTGCTGTGGACTTGTGGGATGGCCCCGTCCTCATTGCTGGAAAGCTTACACCTGAGACTGCTAGGGATCTGGTTGATCATCAGTACAAAGACAAGAAGGTTGTGGCTACTTTTGGGAAGTATTTCATCTCGAATCCCGACTTGCCGTTCAGGATCAAGGAGGGTATTCCTTTGAACCCATATGACAGGAGCACTTTCTACACGCCAAAATCTCCTGTCGGGTACACAGACCAGCCTTTCAGCAAGGAGTTCCAAGAGTCACAGACCTCGACACTCTAGAACTGGGGATAATCTCTTAAAGTTAGAGGTTAGAGGTATCAACACTACATCACATTGGACTCTCCGTGTTGCAGTTCCTATCTACTGGACAAAGCACATGTGCTGCTCATATGTGATAAACAAGATCTAGTCTCAAAAACACACCAGCCCCTTAAACCTGATCAGTGAAGTTGCTGAAGCCTTGAGCCCTCGAGATATCAGCCACACTCAGCCCGTTGTCATTGAAGGGATTGGTCAGTGACCGCTGTGAGTTGGCATTTTGGATGTCGGCGCCGACGACGGCGGGATCGACTTTGGGGACAATGCCGCGAAGCGCTTGGGTGGTTGGCAGGGCCGGGTTGTTGCAGATGGTCGGAATGTTCTGGACGAAGGGATTGAAGTTCTTCTCAGCGGCAACGAGGGCCTTGGCGGCTTCGATGACCCGGGGATTGTCACCCAGGGTTGCCACGATCTCATCGGCAAGCTCGAGCTGAAAATTGTCAGCCACAGTAATTTTGGAGAGAGAGTTGGATTTAGGCTCGTTGTACCTTGGCGCATGCATTGGCACCAGCCAGGAGCACACCGGGAGTCCGACCGGCAAGAGTGCCAGCAGCACCCGGGGGACCAAAGTTACTGAGAGCCTGAACGAGGTTCTGGACAGCGCCCTCCTGGCCAAAGCGAGCATGGGCCAAGCCAGCAATGGCAACGAGAACAAAAGCCTTGGTCTGCATTTGGGTATCTTCAGAAAGAACCGTTCCAGCGGTAGTTGGGAATTAAACGTGTACGTGGAAAGACGGAAACGGCACACCGTTTGGAAGCGAAATGTAAAAGGGAGTATGTGGCGACCGAGCCGGTCGGTCAGGAGCAGAGAGCACCAGACTCGGGGATGAGATCGATCACGATGATGGGATGAATCAGAGGGTAATTATAATGATAGCCACGATGGACAATACCAGAGGCCGGTGTAATGGAGAAGTACTGGGAGGAGTTGCCGGCAGAAAGCATCCCGGCGATCATACAGCATGGTGCAGCAAGCTGTGGCTGACAGAGCTCGACTACTCGACTCAACTATGGAGCAAGACGGAACGGCCAACACTGCGTGTCTGAAGTTGCGAATCAGCTCGTGACGTATTGCGAAAGACGGGAACAAAATATTTTCCCCTTTGGTCCGGACAAGCCGGTTGGCGACAGTTCTATGTTAGCGAGGTTGCGCAGCTGTTTGGGACCTTCAGGATATTGAAGATCCCGCTGGCGAGCGTACGAACTTTTAGGTCAGCCAAATGGGTACTAGGTAGAGGTAGCCTACAACTAATTGTAATCGAGGCATTAACCCAAACCCACAACTATCGGTAGAGTAATGCTTTGCCCTTTTTTCGTGCGCTCTGGCAACGTAATGGTGCGGCTTAGGTCACTCAGTGCAGCAGTGGTGCCGAAACTTCCAGATCATGGGTGGTGTCACGTTGTGGCATCCGTGCGCATGGACGACTCATGAGACATAAGCTATCAAAAGTTTCGATGGCGATCCGTCAAGCCTTAGAAGCAACAGTCAGAGCTTCACAGTTGCTCATCCGCTCATCATGACCTTCGAGCCTCCATGGTCATAACCATCCCATCTCGTACTGGCGATGACATGATTAGGCGTTTAGAACAGAGTCTGAAGTTCCATCGGCTTTCCGCAGCGCTGGTTTGGTGGCTGGTGGCAGCGTGTGCTGGACCTCAAGGTGACGTTCCCATGCCCCCACCTTCGGCATTGACTTGGCCCGGCCCGAGCCCCAGAAGGTTCAGAGAGGGCCCAATCTGACAGCAGCTAAGCAAAGAACCGTCCGCTGCTCAGGGCTGCCAGGCCCAATGGGATCCATGGATATATATCTTCAACATCACGGCTTGTCCACTGTCTGCCACAAATAGCTCACCGTTAGGATACGCCGCCACTGTCGCGATCTCTGAGCCAGCATTTTACACCGGGGTATTGATATTATCTCTTACATGCTTATTAGATACACGACTATTTGATGACATCAACCAAAATGCCCTCCGGGGACCAAGGGCCAGCCGCGTATCAACGCCATGGCCCTGAAGAATGTAAAATGCCAGTTACCTAGCCCTCACCAACGACCAAGCGCCACACCAGTGCCAGGACTCCGTATAAACAAGAAATATGTACACCAATAAAGTGAGCAAATGCATCTAAAAACATACCTACATTACCTACCCAAAACCCATTCCATTCCGCTCCCACAGACGTCCCGTGTACAATCCAAGCATCTCAACTCCTAGATCCGTCGTCGCCAAGGCAGACACGTTTGCAGAGAATCCACCTCCTCGTCGTGACTTGTTATCATCGATCGTGATCGTCGTCGTTACGCCTTTCGCATGGCCCGGTTGGTCGTAGACCCCGTGGCTAGTTCGGTTGTACCAAGGACGTCCCTCATTACCATAATCGGTTGCATCGTCATAGATTACCCAACCCTAATCCACACCCAATTACCGACCTTCTTCGAACACCGGAAGTTCATGAGAAACCGAACCAACCGCCCTTCTTAGCCTTTTCTTCCTCTTCTTTCTTCTTTTGCGCCTCCTCCTCCTCTTCCTTCTTCCTGCGAGCGGCCTCCTCTTCCTCCTTCTTCCTGCGGGCAGCCTCTTCCTCTTCCTTCTTCTTCTTTTCGGCCTCAGCCTTCTCCTTCTTCCTCCTCTCTTCTTCCTTCTTCCGCTTCTCCTCCTCGGCCTTCTTCTTCTCCTCAGCCTCCTTACGTTCCCGCTCCTTCTCAGCAATGATCTTCTTCTGCTCCTCCTCAGACAGCTTAGAGAAGGCCTCGACGTTGCGATCCCATTCCTTCACACACTCGTCGTTCCAGTTGCAGCGCTCGACCTCGCCGTACGCGGGGTGCTTGTAGCGAGGATGTCTGCTGGGCCAGTTGGAAGCGTGGTAGTGGTGCTTGACGAGGGCAGCACGGGCGTCATGGTTACCGGAATTGGAGTGACCCTGGCCGGCGGCAAAGGCCTCAACGGTCAGGACGAGGATGCGGCTGACGAGCTTTGACTCCTGCAGGTCGTGGAACATGTCCCAGTCAATCTTCATGTTGGGGTCCTCCTTGTTGTCGTTCATCTCCTTGAGAATGGCCTCGGTGAAGGCTGACGGGCCAGTGCCGCTGATGATCTGATCAAAATCGAGCTTGACATCACCAATGTCAACCCCTTGCTCCTTGGCAACACCGTGCATCCAAGTCATGATCTGCTCAATGAGCCTCATCATCACGGGCAGCTGGGGCTTGCACATGAAGGTCCATTGGCAGAAAGAACGAGACTTGGGGCCAAGAATAGGATGGTCCTTCCAGTCAGGCTCGTCGATCTCGACGCCAATCACCATGTCGATATCCTTGTGGTCGTACCGATCTGGGATGAACTTGGAAATCGGCTTGAGAGCCTCAACGTCGATATCAGCGTAGACGCCGCCCTCGGCGTACATGACCAAGTACCGCAGGAGATCAGCTTTGACAATGGCCGCCTTGACCTTGCGGAAGAACTCGACAATGTCGGGCCGGTTGAAACCGTCCGGGCCATAGTGCCACTCGACATACTTCATGGCATTGTCGTCGGTGAGAACCTCATAGCGCCAGTCGGGGTTCTTCGCAAGCCAGGTGCGAGCAGTGTTGAGATCACGCTCCTCGAACTTCAGCGGGTTCACCTTCCATGTCTGCCAGATCTTCCTGGGGAACTCATCCCGCCGGACCTTAGGCACAGCTACGGAAACGGAGGGAGCAGCGCGAAAAGGCGTTTGTGGCACCGAGGGGAAGAGGTTGAAGATGAAGACGATCAGGCAAATGGCCCCGAGATAGAGTGGCAGAACTCGTCTCAGCTGCGTAGGAACGCGGTTTCTGAACTGGGCCGCGAGCGTGGGAGAGCCCAGCGGTTGGGCGAGTTTGGCAATCATGCCGGGCAGAAAGGTCTGCTTAGGCTTTAACGCAAATTCAGTCCAGTACGAGCGAGTGACAGATCTACTCCCGAAGGAGAGAAAAAGATATGTATCCAAAGAGGACGCGGGGGATGATAGAGATGAGATAGGGATGATAGAGAACAACGAGAGAGGGATCGAGAGCACGGATGGCTAGCCAGAAAATGAGCGCGGACGCGAGGAAAAAATGTGAATCGTCGCGTGTGGGATGGAAGGGGGATTTTCCATGGAGAAGGATGTCTAGAGGAGTCCCACGGAGTCCAGACCTGGCAGCCCATCGCGAGCCGTCCTCGGCGCTGGGTCCCCTCTCTGCTGCAGTGTAAGTGGCCCAGCCCTTGGCCTGTCTCAGTTGGCGTACCCCACAATGGAAGAGCTTGCTCAGGGCGGCTGGAGCCACTGAAGAGCGACTAGAGGGGCTTCCAGGCTCAGGTAGCCCGACAGGGAACACCAGGTACCTCTAGCGCGGCTCTGCCCACCAGGAACCCAGAATGGAACCCTGCCGAGCAGCCAATCAGCCCGTTGAGAAAGACACTTTCCTAATTTACAGGGGCCTGGGGCCGTTGGTCCACGGGCGCATTGTCTTCGCGGCCAATGCTGCGGGAAGTTCACAGCAGCTATTCTCGGCCAATCGTACAGGCCGACTCTCGGATGCGGGCGATGTGACCGATGTGGAAAGAAGATAGACCATTCCACCAACGCTGCAGCGGCGCCAGTGACCAGCACCGGGCCAGCAGCAGAAAATGGGGACGCGCTCCACTGGTCAACGCGGAGAACGCACCTGATACGGTGTTCCTGGCCTCCAGATTGCATGAAAATCGCCCATGATCTCTCGTCGAGTCTCGGTTGCGATCTCTCAACTACAGTTGGCCAACATCTCCTTGCAGTAGTTTGCCACACGTTGCTGCCCCTGATGCCAACGGCTGAGATTGTGATGGCGTTGTTGATCAGAGAGTCGGTACGGAATATGGGCGATGATAGGTACGAGACGGCTCCTGTTCCAGGTTCCTCCATGCGCGGAGTCGTCAAAAACTTCCTCCATCCCACCACACGCCCGATATGAGGGTACACAGTGTTATCGAAACTGTTAACCTCTTTGGCAAATCATACCCCACCGAGGGGAGCCCATGCCGCCAAATCTTGATCATCCACGGGCCACGAGCGGGCGAGCCAGGTTCGCCATCCTCTTGCTTCACCATATTGGAACCTCTACGTTCTGGATTTGCAGGTTGTTGACTGTCTGGGAATGTAATCCGAATGGCAACGTCCCTCAGCCGCCGCCACCCTTCTGGATGTAATTCCAAATCTTTCTCCGCGAGCAGCCAGCAGCCGGCAACTGGAGACGAGCATCTTTTTCACAGTATACTAGCGTTTGTTGAGTTTTGCCGCCGATCTTGTTCATCTTGCTAAGACTGTCCAGTTGTAGCGCTGCGGGCTAGATGTCGTGGCATCCATCTGTCCCCATAATTCACCCCTGGCTGGGCTAGAAAGTGGACTTCAAAGTGGACTCGCTCGTGGGTTTCATTTAGAACGTGGATACGTGTGCCAAGGCAAAAGAGAAGTCTGCCAAGTGCGCGTGAAAGAGCTTCGAGGGGTTGTGCCAGACCGTGCAAGTGTGGAGTGTGGTCTAGTTCAGGTCCAGGTTCCGGGAAGGTTCCTGTTGTCCTTTCCCCACCCACTCTCATCAACGCGTTCCATTTGGGCCAAGCAACAACACCATCATTTTTCTCTACATCTCTTTTGCAGCACACCCATCCCCGACGTTGACACGAACGCACACAGGAATATCCTCTGGAGCCCACGTGGATGGCGCGGCGTCTTCGATCGCGTTCCCCTCGATCGGCATGATATCGATATTTGGTGCACTTCGAGGCCTGCGACAGCTGCTCTGGCCCAAGAGCAGCGCCAGCGTCCCAGATGAACCCAAAAAGCTAAGGCCGACGGCCTATCTAGACGGCCTGAGGGGTTTTGCCGCCCTTCTAGTCTTTATCCAACACCACGAAGAATGGGCGCACTGCTTTTCGATCCCCATCTTTGAGGGCGGTTTTGGCTACCGAGGCAACTACTACTTCGCGACCTTCCCCTGGGTTCGCATGCTCTTCACCGGCGGCCATGCAGCTGTGGCTACTTTCTACATTATCTCGGGCTACGTGCTAACGTGGAAGCCGCTGTCCCTAATCCATGCCGGCGAACATCTCAAGCTTTTCGACAGCCTGGCGTCTGCCTTCTTTCGTCGCTGGTTCCGACTCTACATTCCCCTGATCGTCACCACATTCTTCTGGATCACATCATGGCATGTGTTCAACTACTGGAACGCTGCCTGCGAGCCCAAGGCCACCTACCGCGAGGAATTGTGGAATTGGTACAATGAGATGAAGAACTTCAGCTTCCTCTTCAAGGATGGAGGAATGGTCTGGGTTACTTTCAACACACATCTCTGGTCGATTCCACTTGAGATGAGAGGCTCCATGGTCGTCTTCATCTCCTGCATTACCCTGGCTCGAGCGACAACCAAGGCCCGCCTGCTTGCCGAACTCGTGCTGATGTTCTATTTCTTGTACATCGTCGACGGCTACTATCTAGCCCTCTTTCTCTCCGGCATGATGCAGTGTGAACTCGATCTTCTTGCGAAAAAGGACGGCTGGTTCCCCGGCTTCCTTCGTCGTCTCGAGCCTCGTAAGACCCTGTTGTACTACCTTGGCCTCTTTGTGGCCCTATATATCGCTGGCGTCCCGTCAGAGAAGGCCGAGGTCGAATATCTTCGAGAACAACCCGGGTGGTACTACATGTCGTACCTAACTCCATCGGCGATGTACGATCACAAGTGGATTTATCTCTTCTTTTCCTGCAACATCATCATGGCCGCGATCCCGCGAATCGGCTGGCTGAAGAGATTCTTCGAGTCCCGCTTCTGTCAGTTTCTCGGCTACGTCTCGTTCGCGTTTTACCTCGTCCACGGTCCTATCCTCGCCTCGATCGGTGACCGCGTCTACTACGCCGTCGGTTGGACACGCCCGCCGAATGATAGGCACGAGCAGGTCGCACACTGGGCAAATCTTTTCCCGCTGCCGAAGAAGGGTCCAATGGGGCTCGAGATTGCCTTCCTCGTCCCCAACCTCCTTGTCCTCCTACCGTTCACGTTGTGGGTTGCGAACATCGTCACCCGGATGGTCGACGAGCCAGCTGTGAAGTTTGCAGCGTGGCTATATAAGCGCGTCCAAGGCGGCGGCTCGCAGGAACCAAAACCAGTCGAACTGGCTCCCTTAATGAGAGTTGAATAGATATGGAGAAACGATGAAAGCTAGAATGGACTAATGGCTACATATTTTTTTTTCTTGGCTTGTTCTCGTTGTCTGGCCCGGGCCTTATATCGCCAGGGATGTACATATTTGCCATATGTTGTGTCCGCTTTACCTGTTTTATCGTCTTGTTGGCGGTTGTATGATATAGACGACATCCAGGGTCTACAACGGCGCGGGGGGGTTCGCTTGATATGTCGCAATATTCTTTTGGTATAATTCGTCTCATTTTGCGATGACTACACAATTGGAGCACTGTATACACACACTCGGTTGTGAACTTCAGCCTCATGTTAAGGTAGGCTCAAATTCTTGCCTCGGCATTCTCGCAGTCAGATGAACACTTTCCCCTCAACCCATCCCATGCCACCATCCCCACTGGGCCCCCTGGTTCATCGCATGTTTTCCCCGGATTTTCCCCCGCAGAGAGATGAAGGATGGATGCTTCCCCTCGATCTCTTAACTCGAACCTCCTCCAAAGTTGACAACTCACTTGGACTAAAATCCGGGGTGCGGAGACGGAGTGATGCCCTTTTCTGTTCATACTTCCTAGCACTGACCACCTCCGGCATTTCAGATTGTATGGTGTAGAGAGCCAACCCGTAGATACAGACTAGCACGTGGCATCGAAACATCGAAAATGGACAACCACCACACAATGTCTATCTGGCACCCAGAATGAGTGCATGAACTCAGCCTCAAAAAAAACATCCGTTTTTCAACATGCTCTTGTCTCAGGTTGACTTCATCCACGGTCCAAGAGTCGAACAAGCCAAGCTCTTGTAATGCCAACCCTCTCTGTAGGACAGCCAGAATTCAAGTGCATGGGTCTCGGAAAATCGGAGTCGTACACAGTGTGCCCCATTATGCCGGATTACACTGTCGGCATGCTTCCTCTCGAACGCAGAGTTGCTATCTATCTGCACCGTAATATATCGGACACCTCATGCCCAGGTTACCTTGCCCTGCATAGCATCTTGTTCATCGAAATCCCATCGGCTTCATGTCAAACCTGCATGCGCCATCCGTCGTCAGGGCTTCTCTGCTGATATCTTTCGTGACCAGTGTAGTGTCGCTGATACAATCAGATGCTGTGAACCTTGAGATGAGCCTGCCGAGGTTCCCTCATGCCACCAAACTGTCCCCAACGCTTTCCCCTGTCGACAGATGATATCATTCTATTAGGAGTACCTAAACTCCAATAAATCTATGGTGCCTGACTGACTGTCTCGACGCGGCTCTTGCGTGGTGGCTGGGCCCGGGCCTTGGCCCGAAAAAGCAGTCTGGCCGCGAGGTTAGTTTGTACAGAATGGAGACGTTCGTTGGCAAGCCGCTTAATCGTGGTTTCATCCAGCTGGCATCGGGATGCAGGAATGCAACAGCAAGACGGAATGCGAGGTTGCGATCTGCGAATATGTGGCGTGAAGTGTGGAACCACAGATACTTTTCCCACGCTGTTTTCCATGATAATAGGATCAAGAAAAATACAGCCCAGCTCTTCACAGCGAAGAACGTGTGCTTGACGGATCTAATCAGTAGACCGTAATCTGGAACACAACACTGTCTCCATCAGTTTTGGTTGCAATTCGATTTATCCTCAATCCTATCCCATGGAGACGTAGAGTTGACAAAATCTAGCTGAAGTCCACCCAGAACACTGGCAAGAAAAAACAAAGCTTCAATCATTCCGCGCTCCGTCTCGTTTGCACACTTCAGTTTTTTTCCATCTCCGTCCTCCATCCCTCTCGGCAGCAGTGCCAAGAGTGCGAACTGCGATTTTCCCGAGGTGGCATGTGAAAACTTCACGACAGCCCTTACCAGAGTTAGATTAGCGTCCAAGCTGCCCTTCACCCACTCCCCGTTCCCAACCCCAACCCCAACCCCAGGCATGTTGCGCTCCGTCTTGGGGACTTTTCTGGGGATGGTCGCATCTCGGGACGGGCTGGGCGCGCCGACAGGCCCCCTCGTCGTTCCCCCACATAACAACAAAAGAGGATCCAAGCAGCACAGGGCATCGGGGTTCGAGGAAAGCCATTTGACCAGGGGGCAACTGGCACGAAAGTGGAGTTCGCGTTTAAACCCAAGTGGGGTTTCTTCGTGATGGCGTCGTGATGATGGAAAAAATCAGGGAAGCACACAACATGAGGTGGATTTTGAGTTTGTCGGATTCATTCAGCCTGGATCGGGCATGTTGGACAGAGATTCACCCCCGGGACACGAAAGATGTCCACAGAAGGTGACCTGCTTGACATTACAAATGAGCCTAGGTGATGCAAATTTCGCCTGATCCTGTATACAACGTCGCTTAAGTACATGCCGATGGTAACCTGATCGTCCTCACGGAGTGTTGAGCATAAGAGCATGTCATGGGAATTTTTTTCACCCACTGCACGCCAGATATCGTTTCTGTATTTTAGGTATGTGCTATAGCCAGATATTGTGAGTGTTCCGACAGTTTGTCACAAGGAAAGGCCAGCTTAATATAACGGAAATTTTATGAGAGCACATGCCAATGATGAATGAAAATGGGAGAATAGCTATCCACGAGTCTAAAAAGGCGACAACAGTGGAGCATTCAAACCATTTGGCTGCTGGCTTTAATAAGGATCAAAAATAATTTGTTCCGACGGTGCTTGGAGGTTCCCTGTGTCATAAGCTCAAGTGCAATCTTGTAGTCCAGTAACATTAGTCAGGATGAACAGTCAATGTTATACTCGCCAAATGAAGGAGTTGACTGGCTCAAGACCCGTTGCCAGAGAGCCTGGATGTCATCTAAGGTCGGCGGTAGTACTCCCGTCCTGGAGTTTCATGAGGCAAAGTTCTGGGGGTGCATCTCCAACGGCTCGAGAGGTGTAGTGCTGCAGGAACGTCCGGTTGGTAAGGTAAGTGCCGACTAAATGCGGTATGTCAATGCAGGATAACCAGCTGTTGGCGATTTGTTTGCTTTTTTAATTAAGTGTTTCAACCACCTGTGATTTATAAGGCTAGCATTGAGCATGAATATCTGAAGACGTGGATAAAAAAATGCACTTGAACAAGGTAGTGAAGCTCATGATGGAGACCCCAATTCGCCAGCGCATCCATGTCATATTCTTTCTGCGGTAAGGCACATCAGCTTTGAGGGAAGCACTGTCTTGCGGTCATATGGCAAGTCACATACAACATAGGGGTTCTCAATTGTAGATGGACTCTGGACGTTACCGAAGTCGAGAGATTTTCGACCATGTATGTTCAAATCGGCAGCATCACTTGATGGCCGGCTAGTTGGTATATATATGGCGATCTATCTTACAAGTAGTCAGATGTACAATTAGTGAAACTACCAACTCCAAACGTCACACAGGACAGGCGCATGAAAGTGGAGCAGTAACTAGCATTAATTAAGAAGCACACAGATTGAATGCATGTAGTATAATACAGGTTGGTACATGATATATCATGAATCGTAGATCCCTTTTCAACGCTCACCGCCACCCCATTGCCTTCCCCGGCTTGATAGCCTGAAGCATGCCAGAGAGGAACGCCTTAGGCCCCAAAATTACATTAACACAAGAGACAATTAGAAAAGAAACCTGGCGTATACGACTATAGGTCGGTGGTTTCTCGCAAAAAAAAAATGAGAAAAGAATGACTATATCTTGATGCCGTCCCTCCCTGCTAACACAATTAACTTGGGGGAGCTACTGATTAATAGCCCTCTTGCGGCCCGTGATGGCCACCACCAAATAGATTACCATTACCGCCGCCGCCATGCAGTGTTCCAGCGGTAGCGTCAAATCCCCAGGCCGTCACTGGCTCAGCGAAGCTGGGGATATCCCCCGTCCCGGGGGCAGTAGTGAACGGCGGGCCTAAACCGCCCGATGTGTGGAAAGAATGATGGTTAGGAGCACCAGTAGTAACAGGATGCAAGCCGGTCGGAGACTGCATCGTCAAATCGTCGGGGAGCGTCTTGTTGCAGCTGGGGCAAAACAAGTTACGACACCGTCCAGGTGGGTGGGCTTCGACCAATGTCTGGCTCGAATCTCGGTTATCTCTCATCCATTGAAGACTGGTGAGGGAAGAACGTGGAGTCGTCGATATTAGCTGGCTCGCATGGAGAGTCGATGTCGAGGACCGGAACCCATCGAGATCTCTCTGCATGCTGTCAGCATGCATGACGTCTCCTTGCTGTTCCGAACTCATGAACGGCTGAACTTCGAGTTGATGTTGATGTTGCTGCACGTCCATGGGGGAGTAGTGCGTTGGCGCCAAAGAAGGGTGTTGTAGGGTCTCGCTCGGGGCGCTATAAGAGACTGTAGCAATAGGATACGTGTTGGCCATCGTCACGGCGGGCGGTTCCCAGGTTTGCTGGAATGCAGGCACGGGGTTAAGGCTCGCCGCGGTCGTCGTCTGCGCCGGCATTGCTTGGCTCGGGAGCACAGGGCGAGCTGGCCGAATGGGAGTGGCTGTGGTCCTTTGAGCTTGTGGAGTACGAGCCCTCTGTATAGGGATTGGTATTTGTGTTGGTGGTAACTTGGGGAGGAGCTCCGCTCTCTTGATCCGTTTAGGAGGAGGGTTTGGCCTCCTTCGAGCAGGCAGCGAAGCTCCCTCAAAACCAGCGGATCCACTTGTACTGGGACTCTCACCACTAGCTGTTGTTGTATTTGCTGCAGGATTAGAACTTCCGGCCTGGGCAGCGACTGTTGGTGTTGGCGCCGGCGAAGGTGGGAGGAGCTTCGGGGTAGAACCGATGCTGCTCTCTGAGGAGGTAGCACGTTCAATGAGGGTTTTGGTAAAAGGAGATGCCGTCCCTACTTTGTTCTTTTCCCAAGTATCTACTACAGTCTCGATCCATCTATAGATGGTGTTCACACTCTTTTCGAGACCTTGGCGAATCTTGAGGTCAATGCCCAAGGCTTGATTGGCGCCACTGAGGACATGTCTGTACTGGAGCTCCAAGAGGTCCCTCAGCTGGTGAAGGAACTTCTTTGACTCATCGATCAGGTCAAAGATTTCCATGACGGGAACGAAATCTGTCTGCTGCATTAGGGTCTTAACTCCCACAAAACAGATGATTGCACCAGCAAGCACCTACATGGATCTGGGATGCTGTCGTCTGCGTCACAAGGGAAAAGAAGCTTCCATAAGGAACGCCAATTGTCGATCTTATTTTTCATGCTCCTCGCCTCAAGGGACGAGATGATCTTTTGGGTGATACCATCCTCTGGGTCCGAAAGATTCCTGTCAGAAGACAGAACGCACGGGTCTGGCCTGCGAAGATGAGCGTCGAAGTCGGCCTTGGAAGCAAAGCCCTGGAGACATCGAGGGCAACCGAATGGGCCAGCATTTCTTTGGACGGGCGGATGATGAGCACGGATATGCTTTCTAGAAGTCATACGTTAGTAGACGTTTCAAATAGCGAGCAGCTGACATTGATTGGTCACATACTTGAGCTGTGACATATCGGCAAACGAGTGAGTTGCACAGACATAGTAATCGCGAACGTTGAAACGAAGAGGATTGCGTTTCCGATACGGACAGCTGTAGTTGGTGATGTTCATTTTGCTGCTCCACGGAGGGGGAGTCGAGGATTTGTCTCGATCTTCATCTCTCTGATTGTCCCGGTCTGCCGGTCCATTGCCATCATCACTACCTCCATCCGCCTTTCTCTTACCCTTTCCACAGAATTCACCATAATGATTATCGTTATTGCTGGAACCCGGAGTACCGCCGCCTCCATAGGAAGATGGAGATTCCTGGCCAGATGTTGCTTGAACAAACCCCAAGTGCCCTTCATTGGCAGCAGCCTCGAGTTCTTGAATGTAACGATAAGTGCAGTCCCAAACAAGGTAGGGAGATGCACAGTCATCTATATCTTTCCCAAATGTGTTCCTCAAGACCCAGGATGAGATCTCATCGATTAGTCGTTCCTCCTCCTCCGTGACACTTTGCCCTTGCCCTTCAGAATTCCAGCTCATGCTCGAACCAGAGCTATGACTAGCACGGGGCGTATGTGTCACACTACATTATATGGTGAGTAACGAGCCTCGGAGGAATTGGGGAAGGGGACTGAAGGTAACTGGGGATAGGAACACGCACTTGCCAACATGATCTGAGGGATGATACTGAGACGCTGGGGGAGTTTCGTTGTCTGAATCCTCCGTCTCAGTGGCAATATCCTGAGAGAATCGAGATTCGGATCGGCTGCACTCAGAATGAGTATTCACATAGGTCGTTGAGGACAAGATGGAGTCAATGGAACCAATGTTTCGGTGGTGCCTGCGAAAAGACTGATCCCGAGGCTTTCCTTCGTCATCACTGTCTTTAGGGGTCGATTTTCCCAGCGTATCAGTGAGGATGAGGTGAGGACGAGAGGGCTTGAGAGAGTCGGGTGTCGCAGTTTTCAGGCCACGGGAAAAACTAGCCATGGTAGGGCTGCTCGGAGGGGTAGTTCCGGAAAGCGATAATGCATCTACCGAGGCTGAGGGGTGTGGGCTCGAAGTATAGTCACGGGTCGATGATGGCGTTGGGGAGGACGAGATGCACGATGGCGTCGGCGTTGGAGTTGCTGCTGTCCTCGCTGTCTTCAGTTTCTGTGCGGGCTCTAACCCAACAGCTGCAGTCTTCCGCAAGTATGCTGCATCTTTCCGAGGGCGATAGGGAATGTTAACGACAGTGTTTCCGCCTAGTTTTTTCTGTGTGACGCGCGCCAACCCAGGGGACCTGCCCCTGGCAGCAGGCTCCATTTTGACGGGCCTCGAGGTTGAGGCCGGTGAAAAACGATCGAACGAGAGAAGGTTGGTCGGATGCGCTTTACCAAAGGGTGCCTCAGTCGCGGCCCGTGGGACGTGTCGACCCGAGCGTCTCGGTGAGTCCTCGCTGAGGGAGCACAGGTTCTCTATGGACTATGCACTAATCTGCGACGCGAATCGCGGTCCTCCGACGAGCTAATGTTTATGCTAGCAATTTTTGTTGACCTTCATGCAAAAGAGCGACGGACGGTGCATGTAATGAGCGAACGTAGTGGAGGAATAAAACGAGCGGCCAGTCGCATGACAAAGGAGAGTACGGGTTAAAGTTAAGGAAGAGATCGGACAGATATCAGATCGTGCGCGAGCCGGCCATTTGGCTTGCGATGCGCGATGCGCGAACCACGATCTACGGGAGTCTGAGGCGAGCTTGACGAGCTTGACGACAGTCCGGCGTAATCCCGTCTAATGGGCGTCTTTGTTGAAGCAGACGCCAGTCCAAGTTGTCAGAGCCCGGACAGAATACCCACAGAGACGTGCAACAACAGCAAGCACCAGGGCTCGTTGTCACAACAAGACGGGCAGCAGGGCACCTGAGGTCGGAAGGTCGGCAAGTCGGCAGGGCAAAACCTGGCGTCGAAACTCGAAATGACGAAACTTTGAAACGAGAGACAATCAAGCAGTCAGGCAAGGCAAGCAGTGGGCGGTGGGTAGTGAGCAACCCGGAAGCTGATCAGGGTCTTCGCGCGTTCTTCTTGGAGCGGCCCCGCGACGGGAACCTCGCTCTTTCTGGGGTTTGTGTTTTAATTTCGATCATCCAAATCGAGCAGTTGCAGGCATGCGCAGCTGTGGCGGCCGGGCCAATTAAAAGAAGCGCCAACCTTAGGGTTGCCATTGGTTCAGGAAGCCGTTCCTGAGCTTAGTAGCCCCAGTCGCCGTGCCAGTTCTTGGCCTTGACCGGGCTGTGATGCCGACGAGATCACGGTTTTAGCGTCGCAGGGCCAACGCCGAGAGGTGCTGTGCCGTTCCTGGACCCTGCTGCAGCTGCTAGGAACCCGAACTCCCTTCTTGGACCCCCTGAGAGGGGGGCCGGCTGTCGCATCGCAACTGTCAGGATAGAAAGAAGCGCAACGGCCGAATTCGGGCTGTTAAGAATCAGAATGTTTTCTCCTCACATCTACGCATCTCAATCTCATGTCATTGTTTCATCCTCGACCTTCTCGCTGCTGGATCGCGGATCGGCTCGCCGGCAAGGGCCCACCCACGGTTGACATCCCGCATCCCGCCCGCGCTTCATGCGAGACATGCAATTCGCAGGTGTGGACACTGTTGCTGCAGGGCCACAGGCTCGATCCCAGGGCATCCAGCCCACCACGACAGCGATCGTTCAATCGTTCAGCGCCAGCGCAACCATCACCGCAACAGTTACAGACCTGCGGCTGGGGCTGGGGCTTGAGCCCCCAAGATGTCACTGGTTGTCCATTGACAACCTACAGGAGGCTTTGACAGCATCTGGCCCATATCTGCATCAAGATCCCTTTTCCGTGGCATTGGCTGTCGGCGACCCCGCCATGACGGTAGAATTCCCCCTCACATCGAGATCTGATCGACGGCTAGTTTCGTTTCCCCTGTTCAGCGTTTCCCAGTTCGACTCTGCCCAGATCCTTCCATGCCGCTCAATCACATGTGCTCAACTTGACGATGCAACCCCGTCCGGTGTTTGTCGACGCCAACAACCTGGCACCCAGAGTGCGTCGACGCAATCCTCCCTCATCCGGGCATTGTCTCGTTGCTGCATCCCACCCTCTTTGCAGGCCGCGGGCCTGATACACTGTAGTACCATATAGCAAAGCTGCGGCGCCCATCCCAAGTTCCAACAACCCCCCGATTGTCTCATCTGCACTTCGGCTTCCTGATCCAACATACCGAACATTTCCGGGCCGTGAAAACGAGACGCCATTAGTATTATCTCCTGCAGCCCCAAGCCCCAAGAAATCGCATCTTTGGTACCGAGTCTGTGCAGCTGCAGCGTCTGCTCACTGATGTAGTGTCGGCTTTGGCTGTACCGTGGTTGTGTGGGAGTTGCCCCAGTTCGGGCAGGCTTCTAGAAGCAGGTTCACCAATCGGGACCAACCTTGTGGGAACTGCTGTGGAGGGGTCAAAAACAAGCCGAAAACCATGCGCCCCCACTTACACCCACAAGAAGTCCCCGCGGACGAAAAAAATTGCTGACAAGAGTGAGATTCGAACTCACGCCCCCTTTCGGAGACCAGGAAGATCTGGGTGATCTGAAAATTCAGGTTGACCTGAACCTGGCGCCTTGGACCGCTCGGCCATCTTGCCTTACAGTTTGCTGGTGATGATGCTCTCGAGTATAACATAACTAGGAAGGCATAGCGGAAAGTTACGCCAACTTTCACACAACAGCACCACTCATGGCAAAGATGAAACACTAGAGAATAGATCGATCAAATTCCAGTGAAATACGGTACCGTAACAAACGAGTGGAGTCGGAGCTCATCTCCGTTTTCAAAGAAATGCTGACTGCAACCTGGACGATAAGACAAAGATCAGCAACCACCAGGCCATGGCCATGTCCCTGTTACATTCAACCGCCAACTTTCAACAACAAAGCAGTGATGCAAAACCCCAGATGAATCCCTAGAGCGCATTCTATGACATATTGGTCGGAGCCCTCAGCCTCATGTTCGCCAGTCGCCAAGAAGGGACATCAGCCCGAACCCCTGCCGGCGCACCACAGCTGCTGGCAGTGCTTACACCAACGCCAGCCCTCCTGCTGGCAATCAGACGCAGAGATGTTGCTAAGGAGGGTGTGGTCGCCGCTCGCGCTGTAGTCATGCACGCCGCCTCGGGGGCAGAAGCCGTCGGACTTGTTTTGCGAGAAGCCCAGGCCGTAGCACATCCGGCACTAATGCCAGCCGGTCTGAATGTTGGGAGTCGGGCCCTTTAGCGCAACCTTGAGCTTGTAGTTGCTGCTGCCCACGCTAATGTGCACCACGCCGGCCGCGCACGATGTGTTGCCGTCGTGGCAGAGCAGCTGGTGGTCTTTGCACCAGTGCCACTGGTTGTGGCCGATCTCGGCCTGAGAGCGTGGCTCGCCGTTGCTGCACAGGACGTACCAGCCGCTCTCCGAGAAGTCATGATGACCGCCACCCACGCACTCCTTCTTCTCTCCATCCATATAGGTCAGGCCCTGGCACTTGCGGTACTGCTTCCTGTTCGGGATTGTTAACCAAATGTCTCCGGGGGAGGAGGGGGGGGAGTTTTTCGAGGATAGGCGACAAGACAAGAACGGAGAGGAAACTGGAGGTCAAACATATCAGCTTTCCAGCCTTCTTTATCATCATCAGAGGCAAGCAGAACGTGGTATTCGCTGCTCTCAGAGATATCGTGATTGCCGTCGGCCTGGCAAGAACCAATCTCGTTGCCAACCCAGGACAAAACCTGGCACTTCTTGCACCACCGCCAGCCTTTCTGACCGGGAGCATTCTCATTGATAGGGATAAAGTAGTTGGAGCTGCCGGACAGGTCGTGGGTGCCGTTGTTGGCGCGGCAGGGAGCGTTGCCGGTATAAAACAGGACGGCGCACTTGGAGCACCACTTCCAGTTTTCTTGGTTCGGCAACATGGTGATGGATGGTTGAAGAGATGAAAAGGTTCAAAGTAAGGTAAGTCTTGAAGGAGAAGCTGTTGATCTCATTAGTCTGCGGTGAGGATGGGCGTCTGATTCTATCCAAGCCCAACTTCCTCGGGTGAATGGGTCTATCCATGTCTTTCTGGACCACTTCTCCTCCCAATATCCAGCCCTCGAGTTCCCCTCCAGCTCGTCCTCGTTCGTCGGAAATCCCGACAGTGGCAGAGTGTTGCATTCCGTCTCCTCCGGTCATGTTGGTTGTTGATGCTCTCGAGGTTAGTGCCATTTCGGAGACTGGTCCCTCAGCAGTGGAGCGTTTCCCGGAGAATCTGTCCAATCCCACGAACGTTACCACCGATACAGTCAGCCACATCCACTATACAGTGGCCGTTTTCAAAGGTAGTGATATACTGCATCTTAAAAATGAAAACTTGATGAAGCCTTTAAGGATACCTTCTCTCCTCCTCACATGGTCTCAGCCCGGATACAAGATGTATCTGGTTTGAGGACACGTGTGATAACTTGACACCTCCAGCAGCAATGTACATCGAGGTAGTGGTCGCTCCTGCGGCCTTACAGCAATGTGCTGCAGCCCAAATTCACGTCTCCATGGAAAGTGCTAGCGCTTGGAGCGTGAGGACTTGTAATAAACGACAAAGAGAATAGGTTTCTGGCCACCTGAGAGAGTGAAGTATTGACGCACTGCAGATGGGCTTACAGTAGCGTCGCATCTTTTGGAGCAAAGGCTGACATGAGAACGCTGAAGAGATGAGATGGTGACGATTTTAGGCGGATATATATGGGGGTTGTCCGTGTGAATGTCCATTCCGACCTTGGGTCGCCCTCGAAACAAACTGCAGCCGAGGTCCCCAAGAATGTGATGATTGTGGTTATTGAGTTTGGTATTTCCGTCGATCCAAAGGGTAACCAGAGAGCTGACAGAATTCTCTTATCATGATGGTTGTGGATTATCATCGACAGCTTTCGGCAGTACAACAAAGATCCCCAACCTCAGATGATCGAGAACCATTTTAATATCGCAAATCGAGCTATCATCTATAGCAGAATTCATTGTGTCATGGTTCTATTTCAAGCTTTCATGGGAAAATGGATGTTGTAAAGTTGAGCCTCAGACAGGGACTATCTATGGTCTAAGTGGCCGCCGATAAAGGCTTGGGGAAGCACCAGAAAGCTGAGGTGTGCTTGCACATATGTATTCATATTGTAAGTGAGAAACACATTCAGGAAGCACCAGGCATCTTTTAGTTATGCGCTGGACTTCTGGATATAAGAAACCGAGGATGGGCCTCTATGGTCTCACTAAACTGCATTCATGGTTTCTATCATTAATCTAGTCGATCTCACAATGTGATGAACATAGCTTGATGAGCAGCCCTCAATGTGAGGTATACTGTTATTCCAGAGCTTAACCAAATTAAGTAGGCTGGGGAAATAAAAGTAATAGCCAATGTGTTTATCGCTTGGGAGGAAATTACTTTCTCCAGTTTTCAATGTTTGTTGTCCTAACGACAAGCAGAGCATTTGAGTTTTTGACATGTGCGTTATAACATAAACACAAACTTTTTTTTTCAAATGAAGGTGGCACTCAGATCATTTGAGATCATAACAATTTCCGAAAACATCAAGCAGGTAACGCTTTGTCACATCAACTTCTCAATTACTATTCGTAGGCTGTGGGCTGTACATAAATTGTTGAGCAGTCTCCGCAATTGGTTCTCCTATGTTGTGGAATTCATCTTGCAGAGAAGTTCTTAGGAACAAAAAACATTGTATGTGCGGAAAGCCGCAGAAGGCTGCTCTTTAACGTGTGGGTGCTGACCATCTAACATCACAGCTTATTCAAAGGAGCATTAAGAGTGCACTGCGCGTTTACAAACAGAATGAAAATGGAGGTTTGGCTGCGCTTCTTCAGAGGATTCATTACTGCACTGGTGCGGGATGTGCAAAGATGAGCCATCCATTTTGAGTATTCAATCCAAAATAAAAGCACTGCATGGTTGTTGGTGGGTAACTGTCACATACAATAGTAAGAGTGAAAACTTGTTACCTGTTACAAGCTTCGCTATTCACTCGGGTTGATCAAGCTTCTTTTCTGATTGTTGTATAGACTCTAATAATTCGACGAAACTACTCAACTGCAATTCCAATTTTTTTGTCCGCAGCCTTGATTTTTTTTCTTCTTACAACTTCTGCCCAAGAGAATTCTACAACTCACTTCTGCTCCCACCTTTCTTCAACTCTTTTTTCCCCTCATCTGCTACAACTTATCCCTTGCCAACACTCACTTGCCTTCCTTGACTTCAACCTCAGCGCTTACATCGCTCCCCTCACAACAACCACCATGGATCCCTTTGGCATTACTGTTGGCTGCGTCGCCCTGATTGGCGCCACCTCTCGTACCAATGTCAGGATTTCTGAGTTCGTTGACGTTTTTCAGATTGAGCTTCCTGAGCTGAACAAAATACGCAAGAACCTCAAGCACATGAAGCATATTTCGGAGCTCCTGATGCTTGACTTTGCAGAAGACCCTCTTAGTGCCAGCAGCAGCACATTCCGCCACCATAGCGAGGATGACACGGCTTATGACCCCATCAAGGATCAGATCAACAACTGCCTCGACGTCCTTGACGTTGTCGAGTTCGTCCTCAAGGCTTATCTGAATGGCACTCTCAACTGGGCCTTGACTGGCAAGGTTGCCATCAAAGTCTTGAACAACGTGGTCAAAGATGTCATTACCGCTCTGCAGCTGACTGTCAATACTCAATACTGGTATGGCACACTTTGATTCTAATCTTTTAGTTGTACAATTTTGAGCTAACTCAGCGACCTTTCTCGCAGGTCCAACCTTTCGGAGATTAAGAGAAAACAGGAGAAGATCCGCACTCAGTTGGATGAGCTCTGGCAGTTCCTGCGCAACAGCGATAAGTATGTTCCGCCCAAAGACTTCGGCCCCTCTGAGCTCGTCGCTCTCTGCTTCGAAAATGGCAGGCGTCTTGATGAAAGGTGAGAAGTCGCAACCGATTTCACCATGTTTCTTGACCGTCGATGACGCTAACTGAAGTTTGCACAGGTATGGCGTCGACGTCGTCGGCCTCGAAAGGATGTTCAGGATGGCGGACGGAACCTCAACGCACTCTCGTTCCTCCAGCTGCAGCTCGAGCAACGACGATGTCCTCTCTTATGCCTGGAGCAATGACTACTGCCCATATACTCCTGAGATGACTCAATGGCTCATGTCAATCGCCTTTCCCGACACCCATGACCAGAAGATTAACGTGCCTACTGTCATCGACTATTCGGTTTTGCCATCATACAATCATTCTATCGCTCCAATGCCGCGGTCATCGAAGTACACACAAATAGGGAGGGAAAAGTCTGCTGAGGAGATTAGGAAGAACTTCAAGGAGATGATTTGGGCTTCAGCGATCAAGCGTGCTAAAAGGTCGAACCCTGTCGCAGAGCAGTTCAAGGAAATGGTCAGGATGAAGGCAGGCATGATCTGAGAAAACTTAAGAAAAGAAATTGGGTAGATAGGGTCGGCTTAGTAATTGAAACATATCAGAGTGGTGAGATGTACATACATTGCATTGATATCATGACCATCGGAAAATAGAAAAATCCTCCAACGCTAGAAAACAACAATGTCTTAAAAATGCCGATGCGTAGATACAAGCGTGTGACTGACTGCCAATGACACCCCAAAACAAATAACGCAACGCGAAAAGGGTGATGACAGCCACATAGGCGTTGTGCAATCGTGCGAGGTGAAACTAGATGGGGGATTCTTTGCAGCAGCAAGGACGACCGCGCGTGGATAGCAGCTGAGAAAACTCCAATCAGGCAGACGACTCGGTTTCACGAGCCTGCAGTTGAGCCTGCTGCTGCGCCTGCAACGCCAACACAAGCTCGGTCAGCCGGTCAATCTTCTCCGTCAGCTCAGCAATCCGCAGATCAACATGAGAGGCCGGCGCTCCGAATGCCTGGCCCTCCTCTGCCTCAGCAGCAGCACGCTGCTGATGGGCGGAGAGAACTTTCGAAGCATCGTCGACAGGAACGGTCTCACGGTCGGCAGAAGGGGGACCCAAAGGCTGGATGGTACCCGAAGTCGAACTCTGCGCGGCCGTGCCCTGTGGAGGATGCGACAGCCTCTTTGAAGCATGGCGCGTGGCGATGGAGGAATGACGAGGGCCTCGGAAGCCGTTGTACTGGGTACCCTTGTTGGACTTGCCGAGGAGCCATTCGTAGAGCTCGATGGCAGCGACGATGGGGAGATGGGTCGCCTTGAGCAGGAGGATGCGAGCCCTGCGGAATTTGTTGTCGGAGGGTAGGAAGAGACGGAGAGGCCGGAAGATGACAAGAGCGAGCAAATTGAACGGAGGGTAGAAGTGAGTCAGGCGGTTGCTAGTCGACGCCTCCAGCACGTAGACGCTGTAGACATAGAGATACTCCTCACGAGCGTGGGTAATGACGCGGGAAAAACTGTTGGATAGCATACCAGTCAGGGAGCCGGTTAAAAGGATGGAACTAAGAGTGATGAAGATGATCATAAGTGGTGGGCCGAAAATGGGGTCAATGTTATGCATTATGTCGAAGCCAACGTAGCTCGAACCGTAGAAAATCTTGGTTAGGAACCAAGTCATTTCCTTCAGGGGATAGACTTCGCGGCCGACGAGAGAGAATGTCGTCAAAAAGCCCAAGTAGATGACGATGACAAGGACCATGAACTTGATGAAGTCTTTGCCCATCTCTTTCAAGCATGGGATGAGAGTCTAAAGCTTATGTCAGCCTGTCCCAAAGAGGGCTTGGACGATTAAAACTTACACCCCAGTAAGGGCTCAGGCTGAGGATCGAAAAGACACGGGGCACCATGAACAAAGCTTCAAGAGATAGAATGTCGAAGGCCAGGTCAACAAGGTGCGGTTTATTGGCCTCAAGCCCGACGATCCCTGTGATTGGATTCGGTAAGCAGCGTTCCTAAACTCTCAGACACTCGTTGGGTGCTTACGAAGCACGACGAAGGCAGCACCAATTCCGATCATAACCACATCGAAGACATTCTAGAGGCAGATTAGCAGCTGGAGTTCGCCAGATCACCAAACAAACAGTGAAACATACCCAGACATCGGTAGCGTAGAAAATTGAACCAGCATCAATCCACTCGCTCAGCTCATCGTAAGCAAATGCGGCAAACCAGAGGTCCAGCAAAATCTCCAAGGGCGTGATGCGTGTTGGGTTGCGTTCGACGAGCACGGCATAGTAGAGGAACAAGAAGCTGGCAAAGAACAAGATCTCGAACGACTTGAGGTACTTCGGAACACGCAAGCGAGAGAAGGGGTCTGCGGTGTTGGGATTGTAAAAGCGAGGCTTCTTCACGGAGTGAACAGCGAGCGTGTCCCAGAAAATGATATCACCATTCCAGATTCCCGTGATAATTTTCTGGACCACGGGTTGACTGAGGAAGCGTTTTGCGTCGGCGATGGCAGCAATCTCAAGAGCGTTGAGGTTTGTGAAATGCGCTGTCGGATCATTATCATCATCATCCTCCTCCTCATCCTCGGAATCGGATGCCAGGCTCATGGTAAGTTTGGAAAGGGACTGGAGGAGTAGGTTTCGTTTGTTGGCCCCTGGTTGTTCAAGAGTTCGGCGCGAAGATCCTCCCGCGCCGTGTAAGGCCTGGCCTAACAAAGCAGTGCGCTCATCGACCGTAGCCTCTTCGTCAGCAGGGCTCGGCTCCTCGTTATCCTTGGGATCAGGAATTTCGTAGAGGCAGTAATCAACGGCTTCCCGTTCCGAGAGATGAGTAAGGAAGCGCCAAGCTACAATCTCACAGGCATTGGCTCTAGCCTCATTGAGCCCCTTATCCTCGTTGATGGAGTCATAGTGCCACTTGAGAGCTCTAGACATGGGTGAGCATTCAGCTGACCGGATCGCCGATGGAAAGATTATCTATTTTCCTTGGTCACATACAGCAGTGCATTTACGATGGCAGGATGTGTGCACGTCCGAGCCAGGTGATCAACAAGTACCCGGAGACCGTCACCAGCAGCAGTGGTTCGGAGTTGTTCAAAGGTGCTAGGTAGCACGACGACGTCCGCGATGTACCTGGATAGCAGCTGTCAACACATGAGGCAGCAGAGACGGCAGGTTGCCTCTTGAGGACGTACTTTGAAAGCTTCTTGACAACTACTCGAAAGCTATCGCTCTCCAGGATATCGGGTAGCTCAACACCAAACCAACCGTATCGGTTCACAGGGCCAGGTGATGGGGGCGCCCCCTCACCCTGGGGAGCACGCGATTTGACACGGATGGGCATCTCTGTATCTCAGCTCAAGGATCTGGAGAGTGCAGTTGCGAGTCGATACGAGGCTGTAGATGCAAGAAGAGGGCAATTGGCGATCTCTACTAATAGAATACTCGCTCTTCAGTTTCCCAATCCCCAAAACCAAGTGAGGGGAAGATGTTGAGGACGGGGACAAGGAAAGGGGATGATGCAAACCAGGACGGCTGATCAAGGGACCAAAGAGGTCCAAGGAACACAAGCTCGCGTCCGTTCATCTTCGGCCTCCAATCCCAGAGTGAGGGGAAGCCGCGCCCAGGCCCAGAATCGTGGATCTGATGCAACGATTGGGATGGAGAAATAACGGCGCTATGCCAGCCTTGGCCGCCCTGGCCGCTGAGGTGACGCAGAAACGCCCCCGCCGCCATTGGAGTGAGCCACCTGACAACGGGGTTGCTGCTGGGCTCGCCGAGCTTTCGTCTGAGTGGGCTCACCTCCGCCCACTGGGGGGGTTGTTGGGGGGGGGGGGGGGGGCGGGGGCGGGACACGCTAACGCTGCTCCACCTTCAGCGGCCGGGGCCTGCCGCCAACAACAGCGCTGGAATACCACCTCACCAATCCCGTGCGACTTGGTATGATCACCAACTGGTCTCTTGACGTGCACAAAGAAAAGTTTTGCAGTTTGTGAAAACTAAACAGACCTTTTGAGAGGCCTCTTGATCGAGTGTTGGAGCGATAACCAAGTCATTGGACCGTATGGGCCGGTATGGCCATTGGTCACATATAAAGACAGAGATTCTTCCAAGCCTCTAACCCGAAGCAATTGCTTGCGAGAGGTCCCGGGTTCGATCCCCGGGTGGCCCCAAACCATACAACCTGCTCTTTTGCTGCCGGTTCTCTTTCTGTGTCCGTTTGTTTACCACAGACTGAGAGCCAAGGAGAATATGATGGGCAGATTAGCTCACGATCCTTCATCCCACGACTCCCTAATGATATATCAAGGGCATACTTCCGGTAGTAGTGAGCGCAGTCCACACTAATTCGCATTGTGCACTCCGTTTTGCTTACCTTTTGAGCCGTTTAGCTCAACATCCTCCATTTGCGGACCATGCCGATCACATTTGGTCTCATGCCGGTTATCTGCACGTACAGGTTTCCCCCCCCCAAAAAAAATCAAACCATGAACACAACGCCATCACCTTTGCCGTATACCTTCTTCCACCCAATGTAGATATAGTCCTACTTTTGCCCTCAGTTGATAACTGTTGGCCTGAGTTACACAATGTTTTACCATACTAATTACGTCGTTTATGTCTTTTCTGTAGTTGACATTGTGCTACTGTAAGTTGACGTTGAGACTCTAGCTTATATCCATGCGTAGACTTGACTCCCATTCCAACCTTGATAACTGTCCTCTGTATAGCCATTGGGGAGAGCGTAGCCGGCTGGCAAGTTATAGCGATGTCCAGTAAAGATCTGCGGAAAAAAAAGCTTAAAAAATCAGATTAGTTCCCATTTGCGTTCATCTTCTGAGCTCATTTGCCATGTCGCCAGGCCTTCCTTTGAAACATTCAGCTGGATATGTACGAGTTCTTGAAACGCGATGATCGTAACACAGCGTGATGCAATAGACAGATGCTCAGCTAACTCTAGCATACTTAGTTTATATCGAGACTAAAATCCTTCTGAAAAGTATGCCAATGAGGTACCTCCAGTATTCTGCTGACCTTTACTGCAAGCAAGCACAATCATCAATCGGACATACAACCCAACTACGAGCTATATACATGAAAATCAACCAAATATTGCAGTCAAAACAGCACCCTTTTGGAGCGATCTACACTTCAGCCCCCCTGGCTTTGCAATATCACCCTGTAATTCTCCATCGGATTTCAAAGCGCAAGTGTCCATTGAGGGCATGTCGTACTCTGCCTTGTTGTTACCCCCCGAGGGCTAGGATATATTGAAGCGACGGAGGATTGCTTACGGGACCAATGTCAAAAGTGATGTCTCTGTAAGACTTTTTCTTCGAAGGCAAGTGGTGAACTGCATCGTCACGATGTACTTCACACTGTGCATCAACCCTTGCCCAAAAAAAAATCGGTGCTCCACCTCAGTCTGCGGCGGCGACGTTGCCGACTATCAATGAAGCTCAGGCGGCTGCGGGGCACATTTTCGGCCAAGGTTTGCGGCACAGCAGGGCCAACGCGTCAACCTGAGTGGAAGCACATTGTCCCTGAGTCTCCCGACCTCAGCAAGCACGGTGTCAAGGCCTCGGCGGGCGGTTGGATACTCGCGGAGGATGTTCTGGTTGTTCGTATATTGCTGATAAACGGTATGGGTTAAAGATTTCAGCGAAGCTAAAGGGGTATTTGCCACCTTCCTGTTAGAACCCCCTCGCCCCTGGCCCCTCCCCCTCCGTCCCACGTTGCCCGATGCAGGACAAGCGCACCGCCACATGGCTGAAGGCCTGACACGCGCGCCGATGCCTGCCCGTTCGTCTAATAAAGAGACTCGAGGACAATTCGCCAGGTATGTTATAGTGTAGAGCAACTGGATTTTTGATAAGAGATGACGACGTTTCAACAGCTCAGTTGCTCAGACATGGCTTTTCGTCTCCCATCGGGTGTTTAGGGTGTTTGATCAAAGTCCGTTGTACTTCTGTATGGAAACACTCTTTTCTTTTTCTTTTTTTTTTGGCTGCATACAATAATGAACAGATAGAACAAAAAGTGCTGTGCCGTACCTAGGCTGCGCCATTGATCTAGGAAGGTGTCCATGAGGCGGCGTCTCGCAGTGCATGCATGCTTGGCGCGTCAATCTGCTATAACACCCGTATCCAAAAGAATCATTAAGCGCGGCAAACAAGTACTTTTCTATCACCAATGTCAATCGACCAGAGGCTTTGCTTCAATGGATGCCGAAAATCCGCCCGGGAGCTTTTGTTGCGCCCATGTTTCAATGCGATTCATGTGTCGAGTTTCAGGAGACCAAAGTTACCAGGTAAAAACTGTGGTCGCAAACTGTAGACAACAGGTAGTATCGTGTATCATTGACGCCGATCAAGACTGGAAGCAAAGGCTAGAGAATCTTTGACGTTGCCCAACAGGCGCTCTCGTCGTCATGACTGGCCTTAAACCTTCATGAAATATCGAAATTCGATGACGCACAATCACCATTGATGTCTCTCCTGTCAGCAGGCCCAACCCTGGGTGGAGGGTTCTTCCGTCCCGCAAGAACCAGGGCTGTCAGACGGACATCGCTGCCGCCCCGTGGACCCGGGCAGAGCAGCCTGTGCAGTGTGGAGGCTGGGGGTCCCACAAATCCATGCCGTCGACCCACAGGCCGGCGTGGGCAAGGCCCTGGGCCGCAGCCCCCTTGCCGGCGCTTGCGTTGCGACGCTTTACATGCAGGTTGCAGATGCCGCGAAGGAAAAGAACACGAAGCTGGACTTCCTCCTTTTCTATCTCTTTCGCGCGACTGTGCCTCTCTTCGACTCTGATTCATTGCGTCGTATCCTCTTCCCTAAGAATTCTCTCCCTGCGGGCTCCTAGCGCAGGATCTCTGGACATCGTTGGACTATTGGAGCTGGACTACTCCGTGCATTTATTCCATACTGTTTTTGTTGCAGATCGATTCAGACCGTCTAGAGGTCTTCGTTGTGTGTCTTCTGGGCATAACAATATTCTACCCCAGGCTCGAGGCCTAGGTGGTCCTTGACCACATACATCACGTCGTACGCATGTCTTATACGCCGCTTCGGCGAATATGACGACGGACATTTTCGAATCATCTCGGCGGCCAGCAACGCTGCTCTTGGTATCAGTCCTCCTTGAGCTTGCGAACGCGCATGTCGTCCATAATCTTCCCAGACAGACTCCGGCGCCGACAATAACCCTTCCATATCATGTCCTGAACGTGGTATCATGGCCTCTGCGACCAACACCCCCTCCCAGACGGGACTTATTCGCACTCCGGCAGCGACAAAGCAACACTGTCTGCGGCTATATTGGCGGTGATTCGGCTCTTCCTGCAACATGCGACGCTGGTTCCCATTGTGTCTTGGATACAGAGCATAATGTGATTGGATGCTGTCCGGATGGGGTCGAATCTTGTACCACTGGTGTCTTCACAGGCTGCGTTGATGGCAACAGTGGTCCACAGACCGAGGCGAATCCCTACGTCTACAGCTGCTCCGGCGGAGCAGTCTGTTACAAGAATGTTTTCGATGGCGGCTACTCTCAATGGGGATGCGGGACGGCAAGTGATCTAGCGACAACGGTCCGGGTTAGCGCAAGCGGAGTCTCTACAGCCCTCGACCATCCTACCGTCACTGTCTCCTTCACCCAAAGCGTCACGTCACTCGATGAGCCGACGACCCTCGGAACCGTTACCAACGTTGAGGTCTCAAGTACATCGAGTCTAACAAGTGCATCATTATCTTCCACAACAACATCATCATCCAGGTTATCGGCGACCACAGCTTCATCTTTATCCTCGCAAACATCGATCACACGACCGTCCTCAACTTCACCAGATACCGAAAACGCAGATGTAGGGGCCTCTTCCACGTCAGCCCCTTCTGCCTCGACCAACGCCAATTACCGTACAGGTGCCATTGTGGGCGGCACTATCGGCGGCCTGGCCGTCCTGATCGCTCTAATTTCGCTCGTGTTCTTCGTTATCCGCCGGCGCAGCTCCAATGTTAGAAAAGGACCAGGACCCGGCGGTATTCGCAGCCAGCGGATAAGTCCGCCAAAGCCCCAGGGAGGCACAGGTTTCGCAGCATTGACTCAGGACGCCGATGCATTCGAGGTTCCCTCATCGCACACACTGTTGCATTACAATCCCAACCCGATGACCATGTCAAAGAATGCCCCCTCATTAACAGCAACAGGGGCCGCCACAGCAATAGCATCTGGGGCACTACCGGCCGAATCGAACAACGCATCCAATAACCCCGATATCCTCCCGCCGATCAACGCCGGCCCATCGATTCCCTTCCAAACTCCCGCAGACGATCTTGACCACGATCACTCGCCCTACGCGTACAGAGGCGCGGAAAGCGCCTTAGCAGGATCTGCCTACCAACCGCCTTCAGGCTACGCTCCGGGAAGTTCTACAGCCTACAGTTACCCGGTGATGGGACGTACTCACGCCGCTAATGACGGCTTCAACTCTCGCCTCGAGTCAGACCAGGTGCCACTGACCCGTGCGGCCGAGTTTGACGAATTCCATCAAGGCTTCCAGGCTGCGCTGGACAGGATCGGCGAGGAAGACGAAGACATGGCGCATGAGCCCTACCGCGACAACCCCACCGGATCAGACAGCGCGGCCGGCAACAGCCTTGTGCCACCGAGCAGCAGGCCGCTCTGGCAACAGAATCGGAGACAGAGTAGGAATATGATGTGGATGTGATGTGGGAAGCTGGGACCGAAAGAGGGCAGTTCTGTTTTCTTATGACCAAAATTCGGGAGGTGTTTTCGTGATGTTAGATGATGGAGTTCTTGGATGGGTCATTGTGCTGAAATGTCTATATGGGAACATCGGCGTCTGGGTAGGATGTCCTCGTCTTTGGGTCTCAAAGATAGACTTCTGTACGATTTTGAGCGACGGTGGTTATTGATGGCGTGTATAAAAACGGAGTCTTGGAACTAAAAACCAAGCGATATAATTATTATTGTATACAGTTTACAATTGGAAACAGCGAGTCCGCAGTAGTTTAACGAGTTGGAATGTACAACAGATCTATTTGCGCTTTCATGTCATGGCCAAGGCTTCGCTATGGAGGAGTCGACTTGGCCCCTTGCATGTCCGGATGATCAGCACAACAATGCATATCACGTTCCTCAGCAGCTTCGTCATCCTGCCAGCCAATCTTCACCGACTTACGGTTGTTAACTCAAATCATTGTCAGGACCTGTGAATGCTCGTTTTAGATCTTAAGGCCACTCCGGCCGAAACGCGGAAAGGCCATGCTCTGGGAGGAATGACCAACCCACTGTTGACGTGGTCCAACTAGCTGAAGCTTTGCCCCTGTAGCCTTGGTCAGCTGTTGACACACAGATGGTACATAATGGGCTTGGACATCTGTGATACCTTGATCATAGTCCGGGAGATCACTCCGTTTTGCAATATTGGTGAGGGAGCCGATGGAGCGGTTAAAGGGCTGCAACATGCGGGGCAGCCGGTTCAATATTACGCGTCTTTGTTGCACGAGATTTTGTATGGACATCACGATTGTCTCTTATGTACTGGGTTTAGGGGATCTTGGGCTCCGTGAATCAGCAGGAAGCTTGATAGAGATATTGTCATCCTATCGTTGAAGGACTGACAGTAACAGATTGCTACTGCCATAGGGGTAGTTTACTAGGAGTAGCAAGCAAGCATTGGTACTGTATCAAAGTCACACTTTGGCTTAGGTGCAGCGATCACATCTTAATGGTGTTGGGTTTGGATGCAAGATGTGACCGTCCATTGCAAAAGCCACGGTTGACTAGGACATGGATTAGAACTTTTCCTAGGACTTCGGCACCAAGCTTAGTAACATGATGAAGACCTTCCCGGATCAAGTGAACTGCGATGTTATGATCTTTTTCGACAACAGTCTTGCAACTATATGGTGTCGTCCAAAAGTTTCTATCAGTAGTACTGCGAGTTAGTGCCACTCGCGGACTGCGAGAACGTTCAAGAGGTGCCAATGGCCGAGCATCAGAGGACCACTCTTGTGCTTGAAACTCTCAACATCCAGGTCTTATGCCCTGAAGTTTCGGCGTTGTTACACCTCAACGCTCGCGGCCGTAGGCATTGGGTCATTCCGGACAATCTCAACGGGTCGCGTGTTCCTTCTCCCATATTCACGGATCCAAATCCTTTTTGCTCGTTCTGGGTCCGTTACACAGCCGGACTGTCCCTCCGGTTTAATTCGGTACGATGACATCACACCAAGACTCCAACTGGTACACAGCGCCACGAGCTTCTAACCCGTAGGAAAACTGTACTATAGGCCACAAGTTAATTTTTTATTTCCCAGTTATCCGGTTTCAAGGACCATGACCGACCCTCCTGAAGCAGCTGCTCATAAACCGTGGGATCTGAATGGGGCCACGAGGAACATCTTGCTAATCTTATGGTAATTCCATCTCCCTAATTCCGTTTGTCGCATCACATAAACATAATCACGTTAAGCATGGTTACCAGCTGACGCATGCTTCTAGAACATCGAGATATAAATAAGGGTCTGGTCCCAAGGTGATGATCAATCTAGAATTGTCAGTTGACAGACCCTATTGCGGCTCTGAAAACTCATTCTGGCGATTAGAAACGAAGCTCACCAACTCTTTAATCGAAACTCTCATCTGTTCAATTTTGGAAACTTTGACAAGACTTTTGGCCAACATGTCTGACTCACCCAAGGTCCTCGTTGTTCTCACCTCTCACGACAAGCTGGGAGACACCGGGAAGCCCACGGGCTGGTACCTAGTATGTCCACATCGATTTGAACCTCTTAGCAACAATTGTTTGTTAACAAGCACCATCGCAGCCTGAGCTTGCCCACCCTTACTCCATCCTAGCCAGCCACGGCTTCGACTTCGACTTTGCTTCCCCCAAAGGAGGCCCAGCCCCGGTTGATCCAGCTTCCGTCGAAAACGCCGACGAAGAGTCAAAGGCTTTCTATGCCAAGAACTCATCCCTCTGGGAGGACACAGCACCTCTCCAAAGCTTCCTAGGACGCGCAGACGAATATGCAGCTCTCTTCTACCCTGGCGGTCATGGCCCCGTCTTCGACTTAGTCGAGAACCCGACCTCCCAGACTCTGATCCAGGAGTTCCTTGCTAAGGGGAAGGTTGTGGCCGCCGTGTGCCATGGCGTTGCTGCGCTTCTGGGTGTCCAGGACCCAGAGTCTGCGGATGGGACACCTTACCTAAAGAGTAAGGCTGTGACGGGGTTCTCCAATGCTGAGGAGGAGGATGTGGGATTGGCTTCTGCTGTTCCTTTCTTGCTGGAGGATAAGCTGATTGAGGCTGTCGGGACAAATGGTTCGTATGAGAAGGCAGAGGACAAGTGGGCACAGAAGGTTGTGGTTGATGGAAAGCTGATTACCGGGCAAAATCCAGCGAGTGCCAAGGGGGTTGCTGAAGCTATTGTCAGGGCTGTGTGGGGAGCTTGATAAGGTTGATGTTGTGTTGTTGGAGTTGGGGTTGACTGAAACTCTCAGATCAGAGCTGGCCACGACAGATCAAAGTTATCGGTGTTTCTCTCATTTCTCTGACATGAAGTTACCACCAGGCAGATGGAAAAGGTTAACTTTCCCTTTGGATGACTTCACACTCACCCTTGATTTAAAGCTTTATCAATGCTACTTATGGTCTGCAGCACCAAAGAACTCGAGATGATGCAGTACTTGTTGTATTTCAATCGTATAATTGAGCCCTAACTAAAGCCCATCTGACCAAGGCCCAATCTTCCAACCATTTACCTGCCTGGTCAGAGAAAAAAAAGAAAAAGAACATTTCATTGTAACCCATCCCTTTTTCTCAATGTCCCTTCAGCTAGAAAATTACAGGATAAAAATTGTAAAATTATTTTTCTTAAAAATAAAGAAAAAGCTTTACGCACATTCAGCGCGAGCGGCAGCTTCCAGCAACCGCTCCTGGAGCTCCCAGGTCAGGTCGACCAGGAGGTCTTCCAAGGGGAACAGCGTGCTGGTGGGCGCGCGCTCGTCGCACTTGGTACACACGGCCACGTGCTTCACCCGCATCTGGACCGCCCACTCCAGTCCGGGCGCGGCCTCTCCGCCGACCACAGGACCCCGCTGCTGCTGCGAGACCGAGGCCAGCTCGGCGTCACTGGCCGTGAGGTATCTCAGGCCGGTGATGATCTCGAATAGCGACTTGGGAAGATCGCCGCGGGGGAAGAGGCCGGACACGAGCAGGAAGTTGTTCAGGGCCGCCATCCGGCCGCTCGTGCAGAGCTGGTTCTTGCACGGGCGGCGGCCCAGTTGGACGGTCCAGCGAGTCAGCGACGCCTGCGCAGCCTTGAAGAACTGGTCGGCGACGCGCTTCCGGGTGTTGACGATAATTTCTGTTGATGATGCATTGGACAGTTAGCGTCCTGTAATGGATGAACTCTTTTCCTGACTGATTGACTCACCGACAACGTCTCGACCACAAATGCTCTCCTCGAGCTTGGCGCCATCTGGGCGCACCAGAACAGTCTCTCCCGTCTCTTTGCTGTCCGGATCGACGGCGCAAAGGTAGGCAGTCGAGGCCACCAGCTCTCTGAACTCTTTGGCCCATCTGAAAGCACGGCAAGCCTCAAGAGCCTTCTCCAGCGCCTTGTCCTTCATGTCTTTATCCCAGCTATGTTTGAAGCTGGGACCCGCCAACCAGAGAAAGGTCGACTTCGATTCCCCAAGCGCGCAGAGTCGACGAACGTGCTCGACGAATTTCTTCATGTGCGCCCGCAGCCAGTCGGCCCATGGCTCGTTGATGCCCAAGCCCGGCCCCGAACCTACGCCAGCAACACTAGGATTGTTAAGATGACCGAGCTGACAAAGCTTGTTGGGAGTAAATATGCCACGGACATCCATCTTGGGGTTGTGGATAACATCAAGAAGCGTTTGGAAAGCGGCAAGATGAGGTTCAGGTTCGAAGTAGGGTGGTAAGGTTTCTTTAGTCGGATCAATCAGGACGCGGCACAAGTCGATGTGGAGGTAATGTCGGTTGGAATCGGCGAGTCTTTCAAACACCTTGAAGATGCTAAGAGCGTCCGATTTGATGAGAAGCTTGCGAGTCTCAGTACCGCAAGTGACAAAGAGGGTAGTATCTGGATTGGGAGAAAGAGCAATTGCCGGAATCTCAGGCTGATTGTCGCCGTGGACAACAGAAACTGAGTCGTGATGGATTGCCGCCATTTGTTGAGCTTGGTAGTCCTCCATGGTGAGATTGATGGCCGAAGTTGTTTCGTCGGGTCGCTGGAAAGATGTGTAGTTCGGGGAACCGTTTGCGTAGAGTTGGCTCGCGGCTGAGTTCAAGTTTCGCAGCAGATGCTGATCATTCATAGAAAAGTTGGTTGGGCGTCGGGAAACAGAAGCGAATGGACTACGCCGAATAGGAGTGTTCGGGGCAACAATAGGATGCCCATGTTGCCCCAGCACTCCGGTGTGGTCCAAGCTGCTCCGCGAGGAAGGAGTGGCAGTCCCGCTGCGACTCTGGTCCAGGTTCATCGGATCGCACACCCGCCTGTCGATAGAAGATCGGTTCACGTTAACCACTATCTGCTCAGGCGCCATCCTTGCGCTTGAGAGAGACATGGGCGAGACACTTCTGCTCGTAAGGTCCGATCTCACCATGGAACCGCGACGTTGGAAAGGGGTTGAAGCCAGTGGTACGCTCCTTGGTCCCATTTCTGTGTTCCACCCAGCCAAATGATGAGGGCAGGTGGCCACGTTGGTCGGATGTATCGAGTTTGTCATCATTGAAGACACGTTGTTTTGTCCAGGCCAAGAAGGAGGATGGTAGCTCCGAAATTGTTCTTGTCTCATCGGGAGCGCCGCTTGGTACGCAAAAGGGGAATCCCCATACGCTCCCCGGCCCCGGCCGCTTGACGGCAGCGCTTCACTACCGTAAGCGTTGGTGTTGAGCGCAGGACTTCTCATTGGAAAGCCGCTTGGTGACGGCTGCGTCCAGCCGGCAGGTGGGTAGTTGGGTATCGGCATATCTCTGCCCACCCGGTTCTGATGATAATTGCACTGCTGTGCTCTCCAAGATGTGATGGATGCCCCGGGAAACGCTGTCATCTGGCTCGGACAAATCCCGCGGCGGACTCTCCAGGGCGGAATAATGGAGCTTCCGTCGGGAGTTTTAGCTGGCCGAGAGTACGGATGGAAGTCAGAGCGAGACACCTGCTGCTTGCCCTGCAAACTATTGAAATGCGGACGAGAGCCAGAGTCGAGCACGTTGTCGAGGTTGGTAAATACCGGACGAGGAGGAAGGTTGGCCATTTTGAATCAGTGAGGTATAACAACTCAGAAATTGTCTTTCGGATGTAAGAAGATCAAAGAATCGTTGTGTGAATAGATCTGTTGGTAGGCAAAGCAGTAGGCTTTTCAGGATGTGCAACGAAAGAAAGTGTACGGTTCAGAAAGCTCGCTTGCAGAACTTTCCTAGGAAAGATTAAAGGTCAGATGTGGGCTTTTGGTTCTGATGTTAACTGTTTGAGGTTATTGTCTTGTTTGGCAGAACCAAAAGCGCTGAATTCACGTTGTTTATCCTATTGTCAGTTACTGCTTGTCCTTGTGCACACCCCGCAGGGTGCTGGCTCTGATATCATCATCGCTGCCATCGCCACACAGCACTGGACATGAAGGCAAGGACTTTCTGATTACACCAGCTGGATCGCTATTTGCACCCCTAAGGCTGTGTGCAGAAAATAAGAGCGGTAAGAAGGGAAGGGCATTCCTGGATACACTTGAGAAAGAGCATGTCCAAGTAAAAAAAGGAACGAGCAGATGTTCCGCAACCTTTCAACAGAGAAGACAAGTTCAACATGTGAAATTCATCCATTACTTTTGACAACTGGCCAAGAACTCTGCAAAATATAGCAGTGCTTCAGACAACATGAACGCAATTGACAGACTCTGAGCCAGAACTCAGCCCACACCAAGGATCTGGGCAAGTCCGCATAGATGATGTGGTAACACATTTCTCAAATAAGATCTTGACTGGAAATTGGGCAAACTCCAAACCAATATGCTGTTTCCAGGTTGTAAAAGTGTGATGATGTTAGTGATTGGCTGCTTGAGTCTCCTGAAGCCCCTTTTCGTTGCCTGGTCACTGGAACATGCACGAAAACATTCTTGGCATGTCACGGGGAAAAAATGGGGACTGCTTAATAAACCGAAGGCCTCCTCCGTGTCTGCATATGGACCGTGCGCGGTTGTAGATGCAGCCGCGCACAGACCCTCTTCCTGAGACTATAAATTATTGCTCACCCTCCCCAACATTTTCTTAGGTTTTCTTCCTTTTTTTCCTCAGCTCTCTTTGCCTTTTGGCTTAGATCAAGTGTAGTATCTGTTCTTTTCAGTTTAATCTCTGAAACTGCTCTACGGAGCAGAATCGTGATTATACTAATTTCTGGCACTCGGCGGACTTCCCTCTGGGCTTGCCCATGGTCGTCTGCCACAGTGTCCCTGGTATTACACTGCCTCCAGGTGACGCGACCTTTGCTTTTTCATTGCAGTCTTGGGCTGGGCTCAGGACGCGAGGAAGAAGTGTCTTGGGAGACTACAATGTCGTAGTTTCGCTCGTGAAGTTTGCTTGCTCTGACCGCTTGCTTTTGTGGCATTGAAGGGGAAAATGACAGGACAGTCTTGTCCCGCTTGCATCACAGTTCACAAGATGGAGTCTAAGTTCACGGCGGCTAAAAGTTTGTTCTACCTTTGCGTGGATGATCATTGCTTAAGACTTTTACTGTGTACTCCCGGTTGCATCAATCACCGGTTGTTGGGTGGATTAAGTATTCAGGGCCCACATAAAACTGCACCCCGCACAAGGTTGACAAGGTTGGGATGATCCATCGGTCCCTTGATTTATCAGCAGTCCCCGAGAATCTTGTCCATGTAAAATCATCTAGCCAGTGACTACGAAAATGGCGAGCAGCATCAGGATGACAACAGAGGATGCGATCTCATCCTTCCAGCTTTCCCATCGCGGAGGGCATAATTATGTCCATGTGCGCCAATGGGCTTCCTTTGAGAAGTCACTTGGCAACCCTTGGACTCCTGAGAACCCAGATGGAGTGTGAGTTCTGTCTTTGTGCCTGCCTTTCTGTGATGAGAATTCTCTAACCTTGGAAAGGGTAAACTTGAGTCTCGCAGAAAATGCCCTAATGCATCAAGAAATCTCCAAGTACCTCAATGAGAATGTGAGCGCGTTTAAAGTACCAGAATTGGTGGATCATTGACTTACCAGCTATTCAGCTTACGGTTGACCCTATATGCCATCTCACCTATGGGTTTGGGCCCAAGGGATCTCCTCGACTCAGGAAAGCCCTTGCTGCCTTCCTAAATTCCAACTTCCGGCCTCGTACTCCTGTTCAGCCCGATGAGCTTGTTGTTTTGAACGGTGTGACATCTGTTGTTGATACCCTTACATGGTCGATCTGCAATGAAGGAGAGGGGATAATTATCCCTAAGCCATTCTACACCGGGTTTGCCGTGGATATTCAAACACGGGCCAAAGGCGTCATTGTTCCTGCGTTGTTCCAGCCTCTGGAGGAATACCAAGGCTTTGACGATGTCTTCAGTGCCAGTCACAACATCAAGGCCCTGGAAAACGCACTCAAGGAGGCCGAAGAAAAGGGAATCAAAGTTCGGGCATTCCTCCTGACTAAGTAAGAAACATTTGCTTCCCTGAACTCTGCAGCTTTTACTAACACTTGTCGACCAGTCCGCATAACCCTCTTGGAAGATGCTATGTAAGCCATTCGAACTCAGCTTAAAGGAACAAGAAAAGCTCACATTTTCTAGCCGGTTGAAGCAATCAAGGAGATTGCACGCTTCTGCAGTCATCACAACCTCCATTTGATCAGTGACGAGATCTATGCCAACTCAGTCTTTGACAATGCCCAGACACCGGATGCCATCCCATTCTCCTCCATCCTATCATTGGATCTTGATGGCATCATTGATTCTCAGTTCGTCCATGTTGCCTATGGTGCAAGCAAGGACTTCTGTGTCAATGGCTTGCGGCTTGGCATGCTGTACACAAGAAATCAGGGTCTGCTTGGGTCAATGGCCAGCAATAGGTAAGCTCTCCTGATGCGTTAATCACATCAAAGGCACCAAATATTAACAGTTGTGCAGCATGCTTCAATGGCCGCCCTATGTGATCCAAGATGTGTGGGCTAAAATTCTGGAAGACGAAGAGTTCACACGTAACTTCTTTGCCACCAACCGGCAACGCCTAGGAACTCAGTTTGCTCGGGCAACCAAATTTTTGGATGACCATGGGATCCCATACTACAAGAAGGCGTAAGTCGCCAATACATTCCGTTTCTGATCTAAATGTTGTGGCTGACAGATACCCTTAGGAATGCTGGCATGTTCATTTGGATTGATCTCAGACGTTTCTTGGTGGGATTGCCTGCTGGTGCAGATGTGCCAAATCTCTCGATCCATCGCCTGTCACCCGAAGAGAAGCAGGAATACCAGCGTAGGGAGAAGGAAATCGGCAGTCGCCTCCGGAAAAACGGAGTGGTTATCGCATTGGGAAGCAACTTCTTTACTGAAGAGTTGGGATGGTTCCGCCTGAGCTTCACAGCAGTGAAGGAAGCTTTAGAAGTCGGGCTTGAGAGGATCTGGAAGACGCTGCAAGAAGTGGAGGCGTCGGGCTGGAATTGAAGCTTTTCTTGGGTTATAGAAGAGTTTAGACTTGGATAGGAAACTTGGGAAAGGTACATGATACGTTGTTGGTTATGTCTTAAATTGAATTTTACATATGACCATCGGTTTGCAAATATTCATTCAAGCCTGTTTGGGAACCATGCAGCGCCCCATGATGCTTGGGGCCTGCCAGGCAAGCAGATGAACAATCGACCCAACTGTCAGGAACTGGACCCACTGGATGAGAAACACTTGGCTGTGATTGGCTGAGCTTCAAGTGGCAGCGGGACACTCACGACGCGAACGCGGGGTAGCTTGGGCATGGATTTGACTACCGACCCTCAGGAATTGCGAAATTCCCCGATCTTCATCAGCATTGCATCACCAACCCTCCAAAGATTTGCTGAGCTTCAAAGTCAACGAATGTGACCTTCATATCCCAAACAGCCCGACCAAGTCGCCGGTCTCAATCGACATGGCTTATATAGCTCCGATTCACAAGCCCACCAGCGTGCGGCTTGCCCTGCGCTGTCAATTACTTTCAGAGGAAGAGGAAAGCCTGGTGCTTGCGTATGAGTTCCCCTTGTCGATTTCCCCTTAGATCCTCGAGCTCCAAATTCTAATCATTAAAGGTTATCAGGAAGGCCAATCGGTTAGAGATATGGCAGCTCTCGGAAGGCAGCTTGAAGCTAGTTCACTCTACCACCGTCCATGGCACTATTTCGATGCTGCAGAAACTCAGGCCCCGTGATTCGAAAACCGACCTCCTCTTTGTTGCCACTGACCGATTTGACTACTTTACCCTGCTATGGAACCCTCAGACATTTCGATTAGAGACTGTGAACTCATACAAGGACCCGGGCGAGCGTTACATGCGGGACAGTCAAAGCCAAGACCGGTGTTTGGTTGACCCGTCAGGTCGGTTCATGATTATGCACCTTTGGGAAGGGGTTTTGAACGTCTGGCGAATGGGTCACCGAAAGAATAATGCAATGGTGCTCGAGTGGATGGAGCAAGTTCGTCTGTCTGAGCTCTTCATCAAGGCGAGCACGTTCCTCTACACTGAAACTGGACACCCAAAAGTTGCCTTTTTGTACCAGACCCGAGCTGATGCGACTGACGCGAAGCTTGCCACATATCGGCTCACTTCTGATGATCGAGACACTGTTGCGTCTCAATTCAACCCTGAAAAGGACAGGGAACTTGATATGGAAGTGCGCGATTCCACTGCTTCTATGCTTATTCCTGTCCGGAAGGTCGAAGAAGAGGTGAAGCGACACAATGTCCGCCATGTTGAGTTGGCAAAGGCACATCTTGGTGGTTTGATCGTGGTTGGAGAAACGCGACTCCTTTACATTGACGAAGTTACCAAGGCGAAAGTTGAGTCGGTCTTGAAGGAGCCCTCCATCTTCGTCGCGTGGGCCGAGTACAATGTGACTCACTACTTCCTAGCCGATGACTATGGTCACCTCCATTTGTTGCGTATCAAGACAAATGGTGTTGTCGTCACCGGCATGGAAGTCTCTCGAATTGGAGAGACTTCACGTGCAAGTACCCTTGTGTACCTCGGCGATAATTATTTGTTTGTGGGTTCACATTACGGCAACAGTCAGCTGCTCCGGCTGGATCTGGAAAACCAGAACCCCAAACAGAGGCTGCAGCTTATTGAGTCATTCCAGAATATCGGGCCTATCTTGGACTTTGCCATAATGGATATGGGGAATCGCGGTGATTCGGGACAGCCTGGCAATGAGTATTCATCCGGACAGGCCCGAATTGTTACGTGCAGTGGCGTACACAAGGATGGAACGCTTAGAAGCGTCCGAAGTGGAGTTGGACTTGAAGACATCGGAATCCTGGCTGACCTCGAGCTCTGCCGCGGACTATTCTCTCTTCGTTCTCATGGTTCACTCAAGACGAACATCTTGGTCATGTCCTTTCTGACCGAAACCAGAGTGTTTAAGTTCGATCACCAGGGGGATATCGAGGAGCTAAGCTCTTTCTGTGGGATGACTCTCGACCAGCAAACATTACTAGCTGTGGATCTTCCGAGTGGACAGATCCTCCATGTCACTCCTGCTGCCGCGACCCTTCTTGATACCGAAAGCGGTGTCGCGATAACATCATGGACTCCCGAAGAGGGCAGGTGTATCATTAACGCGTCTGCCAACGCTGAGTGGCTACTTTTGTCTGTTGATGGCGTTGGGCTTGTATCATTAAGCCTATCGAATGACCTGCGAATCTTGAAGGAGAAGAACCTAAATCAGAGCGATCAGATTGCTTGCTTACATGTCCCTCCCCAGTCGAGCGGCATTGGCGTGGTTGGCTTTTGGACCTCTGGTACCGTCTCTATCATCGACCTTCACACTCTAGAGCCCATACATGGAGAGTCGTTGCGAACGTCAAAAGACGACACTTCGATCCCACAGGATCTTGCATTAGTGCAACTTCTTCCTCCTGAGGTCTCCGGTCCTTTGTTGTTGATCGCAACGCAGGATGGCAATGTGGTGAGCTTCAATATCTCATCAGACTACTCTTTCTCGGGCAAGAGGAGAGTTGTCCTGGGAGTCACGCAAGCAAAATTCCACCTCCTTCCTCAAGAAAACAATCTGTACAGCGTACTCGCCACCACCGAGCATCCTAGTTTAATCTACGGGTCCGAGGGGAGGATCGTGTACTCGGCAGTGACTGCAGAAGAGGCTGCCTACGTTTGCCCGTTTGACTCCGAAGCTTTCCCTGATTGCGTCGCCTTGGCCACAGATTCCCAAATTAAATTGGCTCGCCTTGACCGCGAGAGGAAGACCTATGTGCGGTCGCTCCCCTTGAACGAAATGGTTCGGAGGATTGCCTACTCGCCCAAGGAGAAGGTTTTTGGCCTAGGCTGCATCAAGCGCGAGCTGGTAAAGGGCGAAGAGATTGTCCAGAGCTCTTTTAAATTGGTCGACGAAGTGCTCTTTGACAGGGTTGGGAAGTCCATAGAGCTCGGGTCGCCGTCCTATACAGAATTGGTTGAGTGTGTCACCAGAGCCGAGTTCATAGATTCATACGGCAACCCAGCCGAACGCTTCCTTGTTGGTACGAGCTATCTGCCTGACCCAGACTACAGCCCAGCTCCATCCCACGGCAACCCAGAAGCACGTGGCCGCATCCTCGTTTTGGGCATCGACAGCGACCGCAACCCCTATCAGATTCTGAGCTACCAGCTCAAAGGTGCGTGCCGTTGTCTTGCGGTAATGGACGATGGCAAGGTCGTTGTCGGACTCACTAAGGCGGTTACTGTTTGCGAATACAAGGAGACCTCTTCAACGACTGCACAGCTCACAAAATTGGCATCTTATCGCCCGTCAACTTATCCAGTTGAGATAGCGATCCATGGAAGGACGATTGCCGTTGCAGATCTCATGAAGTCGATCTCGCTAGTCGACTATATTCCGGCAGAAGAAGGTGGCCAGGCCAAGTTGGTCGAGCGGGCCAGGCATTACCAGTCGGCTTGGTCAACCGCAGTGGGCTATGTGCAAAACGGGCTGTGGCTCGAGGCAGATGCACAGGGTAATCTTCAGGTGCTCAGACAGAATGTCGACGGCATTACTGAAGATGATCGGAAGAGGATGGAACTCACAGCTGAGATCAATCTGGGCGAGATGGTCAATCGCATCCGGAGTATCACAGTTGAGACTTCACCCGAAGCATTGATCATCCCGAGGGCGTTTTTGGGCACCGTAAGTTCTTATATACCCCCGATGCACGAGGTCGAGCGCTTGAACCTCGCTAACAAAGTACTCTAGGTCGAGGGTGGCATCTATATGTTTGGCACTATAGCACCACATGCTCTGGATTTGCTCTTGCGATTCCAGGAAAAGGTGGCTGATGTAATCAAAGCCGTGGGAGACAGCGATAATGCCAACTTCCGATCCTACAGGGCATTCAAGAACGCTGAGAGAGTTGGGCATGGTCCGTTCCGGTTCTTGGATGGCGAGCTGTTGGAGAGATTCCTCGACGTCGACGAGGCAATTCAGGAGGTCATCTGCAGCGGATTGGGTCCCACTGTTGAGGACATGAGGAATATTGTAGAGGAGCTGCGGCGCATGCACTGAGACTTGTAGGAAATACCTTGTATGAATTGAGTATAATGTAATGGCTGTGGCACTGGGGGCACGCTGATAACTGAAATACGAAGTTTAATCCGTAGATACGGTTCAGCTAGGACACCAAGGTTGGGTGGTGGCAATGGAAATGGGGTTGACAATGGAATTTGCACGCTGTTTTGAAGATTTTGGTGGTTTGATGTTTTATTTGCCTTCCGGCGACAGAACTTTGGGGTCTCTTAGAGGTTGTCATCCCAACTCTGAGCGGCCCGTGGCGATGGTGATCCTGGAAATGAGACGATGGCTCGACGTGCCAGCAGCTGGCTGACGGCTGCGGAAGATTTCGGATGGAGGGGCAGCCAATCAGGGCGTCGCTAATTGACCGATGATGCCTTAGGCAACGTGCAAAAGAGCTTCCCTCGGGCCAGCTCCACGCCGGGAAATGTGGGAACGCTGGACCCCGTGCTCGGCCCAGAAACGAGCGCCTCTTCCAGAAAAACCTCAGTCCACCGACCTCGACTGGTCTCTTTGTTCTCCGGCGTCCGTCGACAACACCATCCCGCGCCTCCGGTCTGCTATATACTCTCTCATCCTCGCCGACCGCTCCCCCCCGCGCAAATAAGCAGCCCATTCCAGCCGATAGACCTTCAATCGCAACAGAAATCAGGCAAAATGGCTCCCGTCTCGACAGTCTCGCGCGCGCTCGCGCGGTCCGCTGCCTTCCGGCTCCCGACCAACGCCGTCCGCGCCATGAGCACGACCCCGGCGGTCTGCGGCTCGGCTGCTTCGTCGACCTTCCAGAGCCCCTTCAAGGGCGAGAGCAAGACCACTAGGATTCCGGACTTCTCGAAGTACAAGACGTCGGGCAGCAGCACCCAGAACGCGCTGATTTCCTACTTCATGGTCGGCACGCTCGGTGCTATCTCCGCAGCCGGTGCCAAGTCCACTGTGCAGGGTAAGAATTTGCTTGGACATATGATGTCGTGAGGGGTGTGGAGAGTTATGGCAAGGGCTACTGGGCATTCGGGAGGGGGAGGGGCAATGGCGGGGGTATTGGTCCAGGACTTGGTGGCAGATGTCAATTGCGATTTGGGGGGGAAGAATTTGGACATGGGGCTAACGCATTGGTGTCAAACAGAGTTCCTGGTCAACATGTCCGCTTCTGCTGACGTTTTGGCCATGGCCAAGGTCGAGGTCGACCTTGCTGCCATTCCTGAGGGCAAGAACGTGAGGACACCTCAATGCTGTCCTTATATGCTGTTTAGCATAGAAACACTCAGTCTGACGCAACTCTTCTCTTCAGGTCATCATCAAGTGGCGTGGCAAGCCCGTCTTCATCCGTCACCGTACCCAGGCCGAGATCGATGAGGCCAACAGCGTTAACGTTGCCTCTCTCAGGCACCCCGAGACCGATGACCAACGTGTCAAGAAGCCCGAGTGGCTCGTCATGCTCGGTATGTTTTGTCCCCCGATCCCTCAAATAGAAAGAGTGGGATATTGGAAAGGCGTTTTAGAAGGTGGCTAATCCGTGGTTTTGCAGGTGTCTGCACACACTTGGGTTGCGTGCCCATCGGCGAGGCTGGTGACTTTGGCGGCTGGTTCTGCCCTTGCCACGGTTCTCACTATGACATCTCGGGCCGTATCAGGAAAGGCCCTGCTCCTCTGAACCTCGAGATCCCGGAGTACGACTTCTCGGAGGATGGCACCAAGCTGATTGTCGGTTAAACGCAGCCATTTCGTCCAAGAGCCAACTGACGGAAACGGAATGGACGATGTATCAGTACAGTAGGGGGGTCGGGCGAACAATGGTGAGAGAGAGCGTTGCAGGATTCCGGTCACACCGCCATATAGACCATACCACCGCGGAGCAAGCCTGACTGCTGCATTAGTTTGGCATTTTTTTTCCTTTGTTTCCTCTCTTAGACTTGTTCTTCGACCGCGGCTGTACAAAAACGACAACTTCTTGGAAACACTTGTCCCGAGTGATGTGCTTGATGGATGACATATGCTTGCTGATACCATGTGTGCAGAATTGAAGAGGATCGTCTTTGATTCCCAAACCTTGGCCTCTCCAGGTTTAAGCCTTGTTACAATAGATGATCTGCGAAGAACGACATACCTACACATTTCCTGCCAAGTGAGCCAATAAACTTTGTTTGAGTTGCTGACAGAAGGCTTTGGTATCATGGTGAACCGTTTCTTTTCACTTTTGATCCTGCCGGGGGGAAAGCAGGTTCGTTGATCGCTACGTGAACCACAAACCCCGGCCGAGTCCTGGAGACGATCAGACAACTCTCACTCGTCGCAAGCGATCTCCGTTTCTGATGCCACCCTCGGCCAACAAAGCTTCGTGGGTTGCTTAAAGCTACAATCCGGCATATCATGAGGACATGGAAGGACAGTTTCCCTGGGTGATCAACGTTCGCTTCAACTGAGCTTGGGTTCACAATCCTCGTATTACCGACCGAGCCAAGTTCCAAACAGTCATGCAGGCTATCCCGATATCATATAGGTAACGGTTTGGCTCATTCAGAGGGACAGTACGTCTAACATGCTATTGACCTCGTCACCTTTTTAGGCCAATCTGGCTTTTGTGACTACAAAACCAGTGGCAGGTGGCTGCATTAAGGATTCGACATAATTGGTGGTTCAGCCCTATCTCAGACAGCCTGGGCAAGCTTGAGAAGCTGACATGATTCAACCCATCGATAATTGGAGCCGGAACCTCATCAGCCAACTAAATTATCGAATCCTTTAACAAAGGAGCATACATATCTTGCAGGTCCGTTTCTTACAAATCTCCCGGGGCTTTACATCACCGGCCCGATTTGTTGTCATCCCGTCCTTCCACTTCTTCAAGGCCCGGCATGCTCCTCGCTCTCGTCTGATGTCTGGCCTAGCCTCTTCCAGGGTGGCCGGATCTCTCAGCCGATTCCTCCGCGATTGAATAATCCAGCTGGGCCCAGAACAGTCGTTTAGATCAGATAGAGAGCCGCTTACGATGCTCTGTTGCTGCTCATGTCGCTGCTCATGTCGCTGCTCTAACTGTTGTGTTTGAGGAATTCTCCGATAGCTCCAGGCGTCTCACCCCAATAATTGGGCATACAATTTTGCAGGCGATCTGATAAGCGCAGCCGAGAGTGAGTACCCCTCATCAGGGCTCTGCCAAGCCATGAGGTTTACCACCGTTTCTGGAGCGTTGATGCACCCAAACCCCCTGTCAGCCCGAGATCGAAAGTGGGGCTAGCCACAACCCCCTGGGGGGCTGATGGGTCAAGACCCTTGCATGCGGCTCCTGACGCACGCTTCCCACTCTCAGACAGGGTTTCTTTGTCGAACTTGAGACTGGAGATGTGCCATGTTCCGTCTGATCTATGTGTTGTCGCCGAGGGCTTGTCGGCAATGGCAACTCTCGCCAAGCAAAACCACACCGTCGGAAAGCTCGCCTACGATGTCATTGTGAGAAGCGACTTAACAGTCTTACTCTTAACACAATTGGGATTGTAGTTCAATCCAACCTTCCTATCCTAGACCCTATAGCTATCCTGATCCATGTCAAAGCCTGCACTCATTGCTTCAAAGCTGAGGGCTCCTCTCTCTCAAATGGCTGATTGGCATTCACGCAAGATATGCATCCTAATGGGATGTAGGCAGAAGGATAATGTGCACTCAAAATATTGACAAGCAACATCTGTGATCGGATGGCAGCTGTCAGATTGACTGTCATCACAGATCCTAGATCCCATCTCCCAAGACGAGACAATCTCTTGCGTATGCCCTGTCCAGCTCGTGTTACGCCAAGGGAGGACAAAACTTGTGGCACTCTAAACCAAAGTCTCATTCGCAAATGCCTCTAGACATGGGGGACAACGACTGACCGCCGCGGCTGGGCCCGCGCTTGCTGGTGTGATTGAGCATGCCTGGACAACATTGAGCTAGCCCCTTCTTTCCGGAGCTCTCTCGAGCCGACGGCTAGCCGCCCAAAACACTGGCTCTCCAACCTGGCACCGACCGGGGCTTGCTACCCTAGCTTGGTTTGTATGCGTTACGATCACCAAGGGGCATATCCCCTTGGCAGCAACAGGAGAAGATCAGAGCGCTTGTGCCCTGTATCAATGGCACATCCAAGCGGGATCGCACCGCCAAGGTAGGATCAACATCGTCTGCTGGGCCGGCTCTCACTGGGTATATATGGCAGGCTGAATCTGTCCAAGCTCTGCATTGTTTTACCTTTCTCAACACGCTCTCCGATCTTCACTTCGTTCTTTTAAAGTTCTGGGAACTGTTTTGTTTCTATTCTTCGTACGCTCTTTTGCAGTTTCAATTCTTGAAGGCCGGCCCTCCTTCTTTTCGACACTACTTTTACTACATTATCCAACTGTTAAGCGTCGATCGCTAGTCTCTTTCATCATTCATCATGAAGTACGGAGCTGCGCTTCTGGCCGTCGCCGGTCTGGCTTCGGCTCGCGAGTTGCCCTGGGCTCTCATGCAGTTGGGGAAGCGTGAAGTCCCCCAGGAGCACTCGCACGAATCTATCCTCCGTGCCGCCGATGCGGCCCTCAAACTGAACAACCCCCTCGAGATCGTCGACGCTGTCTTCGCTCTTCTCGGCAACGCCGCTGCCGCCCAGGGCGCTCCGAACGTCCAGAACTTGGACTGCCTGCAGCAGATCGTCGCCGACCAGGCCTTCACCAACGCCAAGGCTGCTGGTGATCTTGACGGCATGATCAACGCCATCTTGTTTCGCGCCCTAGAACGCAATACCCTCAAGGTTGGCCTGGCTAGCGAGCTGTGCAACGAGACGGCCACCAACCCCGAGATTGCAAATATCCAGCAGCACCAGGATCCTGCTTCACCCAACGCTGCTGAGATTAACAAGCAGGTCGAGCTGGAGGTCGCCAAGAGCCTAGCTTCCATTGGTGCTGATCCATTGCTGGCTCTCAAGACGGCTACCTTCGCTCCAGGCGACGTAGGTTTTCCTTTAAGCGCAAGTCAACAGCGACAAAGTTTATTAACGTTGCCCAGGTGAACGACCCGACTGCTAAGGGTAACAGCTGTAACGACGAGACTGATCCCGTTGGTTGCATCTTCACTCTGAATCTGGCTGTTCCTGCTGCCACTGAGGAGGAAATCCTGGCTGCTGTCTCTGGTGTCGATTCTGGCGCTGGCAATGGCGACGATACTAATGTTGATGATGGTACCGATGGTGCCGATGGTAAGTCATATATCACTTTCCATGTTCGCCTAGCAGCAACTAACTCGTCATGAGAATGCGAGGCCATTGTCGACGATGGTTCTGGCAACGACACCGATGCTGGTAGCGATGCTGGTGCTGATAACGACAATGCCGACTCCGGCAGCGGCAACAACGACAGCGCGACAGGCACAGTCAACATTCAAGCCTTCACCGGTACCCTGGGCGGCCCTCCGCCGCCGGTCGAGAGCACTCCCGGCGCTGCTCGCCCGTTCTCCGTCAACGGCAACACTTTCTTGAACGCGGCGGCCGCGATCCAGCGCTCGTGCGCCATCCAAAAGAACGCCTGCGCCAACGCCGCCAACTCGGGTCAGCTGCAGGGCGGCACGCAGCAGTGCGACCAGCAGGAGGCCGAGTGCCGCGCAGCCAACAACCTGCGCAAGCGCCGCGTCCCGGTGACTGAGCGCCGGCAGTTTGGCGGTCAGCTGGACTTTGGTTCCTGCGGCAGCCCCGCCATTCGCTTCGCTGAGGGTCTGGACGGGCGTAAGGAGGCTAGCTTTCAGAATGTGAATCTACAGGACTTCAATCACGGGTCGGCGCTCAACATCAGGATTATTGCGGATTTCACCTGCCAGCGGCTGCAGAGCTCGTGTAAGGCGCCTCAGGAGACGGTGCAGGCTTGCCAGGCTGGTGCCCAGGCGGCTCAAGGCCAGAGTGGGCAGGCCGCGGCTAATGCGTTTAACTCTGCTTTGGGTGTCTCGGCTTAAGGGATTTGGGATCGTTTGAAGGTAACAACGGAGGATACCGATGTCATGAGGTTATGATTCATTAAAAGCATTCGAACTACGTAGTCAATGAAAAGAACATTTTCCGGCATTTCAATCCGCTGTATCATTGAAAATTATGAATATGCGGTTGCCGTGCTAAACTTCGCTCTTCTCCACTAGGCACACGGCCATTTTGCGAAGTCCAAGGACTCTCACTGAGCTCCATTATAGGGGATGTTGCACAGATTATCTTGTTAAGCGTTTTTGCCTTACTTGTGGTATCAACAGACCGAAATCATTGACAAGCAACTCCCCGGTGACAATATCTGGGTACCAGTGAGAAGACCCGAGCTGGGAAAGGTGACACCATTGTGCTCTGTACCTACCCATAAGCAGCAGAGAGCTCGGCTCAGATCATGGTATCAAACCAAATGGGTTATAGTTGTGGAACAAGGGGCACAAAGGATAAATTTGTCAAGAGCGGAAACGAAATCTTAGGCTACCCACTATGATCTCAAGCATAATGATACTTACGTCGATCGAACAAGAGATGCATGCGGGGGATTTGCTGGAGATGCGGTTAGAAACGCCTTCGTGTAACTTTATAGGGTGATGAAGTCGATCGCGTAATCCAAGGCTCGAAAGGATTTGCGTTAGTCAATAGACCTAAAAAAAAAAAAAAGTTGGTAACGGAGGAAGCATCGAGTGTGATGATGATCCTATTGAAACAAAGATGGAAGTTAAATACCAAGTCTTATGGTCAAATCTGTGTGTGATGCAGTGTAATGCATGCATGCCGTCTGACGAACCGTCTTCCATGCCACAATTTGTGAAATGGACCTTTAATGGGAATGACTTTTCCAAGGATGGATGGACTTTTGGATCCACGTTGGAGGCGGATGATAGCCGACCTGACTAGAATGACCCAGCTACAAATAACAGAAGGCGGCCGCCCAAATCAGCTCTCCCGTTAGAACATTTCCCACAACGGGGGCGGAAGAACAGGCCGACTGGCCGGGGGCTTGCGGCGTGGACTCTGCTTCTGTTTGATGCCGATGTACACGATCCGGCGCGCAGGGTTGCCGACTGTGATGGACTTGGAATCAAGGCCGTAGTAATCCGAGATTGAGTGCGTAAGCCAGCGCCTGGGAAGGTAGGTGAGTAAAACACACGGGTCACCAAACACAGGGGATATGTAGGAGTGAGGAAGAAGACGCACTTGAAAGCCCCGCTAGCATCATCCTCCGTCTCCAGCACCATCCCATTCTCAACCAGCTGGTGCCCTACTCCCTGCTCCGATGACAAAGCTCCCTGCTGCTGCGTCAACTTCGATGACCCCTCATGAACACTAGCGCCAGCACTACCACGCCTCAGCTCACGCCGTCCCTTAAACACAATCTCATCCTCGTCTCCCCCTTCCGACTCATCCGACGGCCGCTTATTATCATTCGAGACAATTTTCTCCTTCACACTAGCAGCCAACAACCCCCTTTCAACAACAAACTGCCTCACCGGCTCCTCGAGCACACGTAACCAGGACTTCACAGCCGGCGTGCGCTTAGCCGTGGCACGCAGGTCGCGCGGGACGTGACCTACGGTAGACTGTGTCTCGCTCTTGTCACCACGGCTGGATTTGGACCTTGTTGTTGGGGCGCTGCGGGCCTTGTTATCCCAGTACTGCGCTAGCTGGTAGGGCACGGGAGGGAGGATGGGATAAGTCGGGCGGATTTCCCAGTCACAGGGGAGGGGTGGTTGAGCGTTGGGGACACCAATGAGGTGGTCTAGGAGTGAAAAAGGTTCATGATTAGTCCCGTAATGACAACATTCTGCCGCTCAAAAAAATGAGGGGCATTTATCATCGAGCAGGGAGCAGGGCAAGGGATCGCGATGTACCATTCTCCCACCGCCTCCTCTGGCGGCTACCTTCTTTCCCCTTCAGCAACGCCTCACGCTTCCGGAGGCTGTCGCGACGGGACGGGGGCCGGCGAGGCGGGGTAATGCTCGCACCATACGCATCATCATCATCACCAAACTTAACACCACGCAACTTCATCTGGGGCGTGGCGCCGGGGTCATGGTCCGCTGCCGAGCGGTGGGGGGCTTGTTCGTCGAGAGGGATAGACAGCGCATTTCCAATTCCACGAGCGACTGGTGCAATGTTCAGCGACTCGAGAGCAGCGATGGTCCATGCCTCGATGTCGACTGTGGCGGTTGAGGCATTGGAGAGCGAGTGATGGTGTGAGTTGTGATGGTCAAGGCTTTGGCTGGGTTGGAGGTGCGCGTATTGCGTGTGCTCCTCATGATGCTCCTCGTCTGAGGTTTCGGGAATGCGAGTGATGGCCATTAGGTTCACTTATGCGGCTCGAAGAGCATAACTGATATATATATATATGGCTCGCAATATCGTATCGGGATGTGTATACGCGCACAGCGTGGAGTCGTGGTGTGGCGAGGAGACCGCGATATGCGAACGTCTTGAATCTCGCGCAACGGCTCTCAGCGTTCGAAGGGGAGTAGGACTGAGAGGGGCCAGAAAGCCAAAAAAAAAACCGATTTGAAAATCTTAACGTTGACCAAAAAAACCCTGTGGAATGGCAGAGGCCTCGATCACTCCTCGACACTCCTTACGGGGCGCTTGATGTTTCCTGACTTCTCAAAGGAACAAAGTGTCGGGATGTAATCGACAATGGACATATCCATTTGGGCAGTGGGGCTTCGTGACACATCCCGCCCGCATTATCGCTGAACCCTGATGTTCATGACGCAGCCAATCACAGAACCAGCGCATGCGACCCCTCGGAGTGTGCTCCGCCAAGCGGGGAACCTTCCGATGGGCCGGCGGACGGGGAAGAAGCGCGGTGCAGCAGCGATTAAGTTGTCGACAGCGTGCCAGTGATCTCGACCGTTGGACATACGTAAGCGACGTTGCTAAAAGAGATTCGACAGCTGGTAACAGACAGCACACAAAGATGTTGGTATAAAACGTAAAATAAAGTTCATTTCATATTTTAGACAAACGTCACCAAGAATATGTGGCAAAGTTAATAATTTGTACGGTTAGATGCATATATCATCATAGCCTGATAGTATCCTTCATTAAGTCCATACCTTATCATATCCAAGTCGGCCCAAGATATTCAAAGCCCAAACTCCACGCTAGAGCACACCTGTTAACCAGTCCATTCATTCTGTCCCAATCCATTGAAGCTTTTCCTGAGCTCCTTTCTCCCATTCTTGATCACAAATATCGGCATATTGCTGTTCTGGTTGCCACCAGACGAGGTGCCAGCACCTGCACCAGTACCAGCACCACTGGTATTAGGCCCGGTCCGTCCTCCCTCTTCGATATCCTCTAACCTCTCCATGCCCATCGGTCGTCCGGTCAAAAACTCCGCAACGCTGTTCCTCACACTCACCAGTGCATCACCATTCTTTCGCCCGGAGCTGATCTCAGTCATCCTTTTGTTACCTCTTCGATTTCCGTCTTCAGACGATGTCCAAGACGATGGCAACCAGGTCGTAAAAAAGCCAGGCGATTGATAACCACCCGACTTCTTGCCTTTCCCATGACCACGCCGCCACCGCTTGAGAATGATAAACGTAACGGCGATCAGGGCAACAGCAGCAATACCACCGACAACAGGGGCAGCAATCCAGGCCATCGATGGAGAGGTCTCCCTGGTCTCTGGACTAGCTGTTTCGGGAACTGCCGTGCCGCTAGATGAAGTTGGTGCCAAGGTAGGCCCCGGGAGGAAAAACGAGGGCAGCGCTGTCGTCGAAGGTGACTGTGTGACGGACGCGTCTGCCGTTGACAAAGAGGGCTCGACAGTCGACGAGACCCCGGTGCTGCTTCCTGGAGGAGGAGTGAAAAATACGACACCGTTTCCAGCTGCTGACCCGACAGTCGACGATGGGAGAGGAATTATCGACACCCCTGGGTCGGATGAAGGCTGCCCGGGGTTTGCTGGTAAGTTCGGCAACATCCCTCCACCTGCCATGGCGGAATCGGTACGTCGATCAGCAGCAACGGCGCTCGAGTTGGTCACCATGGTCTTGAGGTAGCAGTTCTTGAATCCAAACTCCTGGCTCGGGTCAAAGGAGAGTGCAGCACACCCCGTCGTCGCTGCGCATTGGTTCAGGCAATCCTGAAAGGTTGGGGCAAAGTTCTGCACCATATCGAACCCATCAATGATAAAGCCGCACAATATGTTAAATGTCGTCCCCAATACCGACTGAACCCCTCCCAGCATCGGACAATTCGAAGTGGCCCCTGGGAAGGACCCAATTGCAGAATCGAGTCGCCTTGAAACCCGGCGTTCCCCCTCTTTCAATCTGGCTTTCAAGGTACATCGCGAGCCGTCAAAAGACACACCTTCGCATTTTGGGTGAAAAGAGGAGCAAATGTCAACACAAGTGCTAAGATCGAAAACGTCTGACGTAGTCAATACATCTCCCGGCAGATCGGTATTGCAGAGAACCGTAAATTGTTGGAAGGTGCCTATCGTTGTCCCATTGCCGCTCGGGCAAAGAGACGACCTCTGCCTTTTGTGTATTGTCGTACCAGACAACGGAAGGGAACCAGCCGGGATCATTGTCGTGACAAAGGTTCTGGAGACAGAGGCGTAGGTGCAAGTATCAAGACACGATGACTGCTCATTAAAGTCCGGCATGGAGATAAGAACCAGCCAGACATTAGGGGACGCGTTCGTAGGTCAACAATGTAAAGTGTCGTAGAGAGGACACAAACTCAGGAACAGGTCCCCCAAAAACGTGGTAGTATCACCCAGTGTCCTTCTTAAAGAACTTTTGAGTCTAGCTTCGGAATTTCGACAGGAAGCCAGCCCGATATCAGGGGCCAACAGTGTGTATCGGCTCGCTTGAGCCTCGGAACACCACTTTTCTGATCGACTTTGTGTTGGAGGGCCAGGAACGGTAGTTTGAGACCCAAGCCGAAGACAGACCAAGACCGTTGATCTGTTGCTCCAGCCAAACTAACATGCGCTGCCACCTGCGCTTTCGGTGTGGCAATTGAACAGCCGCATTAAAACGAGGGCTCGGCTTGGTGTTCCAGGTGCGGAGATCCTCGCAGCAAGTCGTCTCCTTCCGTGCCCCAGCCGAAACCAGGACCAGCCGCAACCGAAAGCTGGAAAAAGTCCGTCCGCAGCGTCAACCGTTGACAGCCGCTGGAAGATGCCCAGTACTGTCTGATATTTGTTCCTTATCAATAGGGATGAAGCGGCAACTGGATTTCGACATTCTGCCAGAATCTCAAGATCTCGCGAGCAGCAAAAAGAGACCATCCCGTTGGCTTCCGAGCAATGCGTCGCAAATTCGATAAAAGGCAAAATACCCAGAACATGTGATAACCAGTAGGGCAGGCGCCAGGAACCCGAAACGCCTCACAGCATCTGCAGCATAGCTGTCCAAGTTGATTGCACGCAGTGGCTCTTGATGACATGCGAAGGTGTAGGCTTCGACAGCAAACGCTGTGCGATGCCCGTGCGCATGTCACAACGAATGTCTCGGCATCTGCATGGGGCGCAATCCCCACGATCGGTGCCCCTGCCCAGACAAGGTTTCCCCAGAAGAGACTATGCACACTAAAGCCGAGGAACTGTCACTTGACAGTGACTAATCATTTTCTCTTGCGGTACTAACGTGCAGTTCGACGCGAATTGACCAGCTCGCCGTGGTGAGAAAACTTGGTTGCGATTTGACATTGATATGAGTATCCTATGCGGTTGACCAGATCGTGATGTAAAGAGGAATGATATCGAACAGAGGCTTATGATTCGCAGCGATCATATTTTGAATCGAAACAGTCGGTTATCGAATGGTGGTATGCAAGGCGTAAGCGTTGGAGCACGGCCGAGAGCGGAGTTTCGTCATGATGGCAAGTTCGCAATTTCCATTGCAGCCGATGCGACAGTCATATCCCGCCGAAGGCATCGGTTACTTAGAATTTGAAAGAAATGAAAATCATCTTCGATCCAATTGGCTTGGTCGTATATCGGAGAAATGATCGGGATGCTTACCATCCAGATCCTATCCCAATTCCTCATCCCAACTCCCCAATGAGAAAGCGAAAAGATTTTTGAAACTACCAGATCCTTTTCATCCCTCATGTGGAGATTTTCAAGCTTCTTCCTCGTTAATGATGCAGTTCTCGCTGTAAAGAGAAGGGTTGGCGTCAAGCTGGCGTCTCAGTATCGCCCTGATTTCGGCCTCTTCTTCCTCAGAATCATCCAAGTAGAAGTTTCGGCCAGCCCGAGTCGCCTAGCCTCGGTTGGTGTTGTAGTTTTGATGAGAGTTGCCAGACCTCGGCCGCCTGAGAAGAGGAGTGGTGTCGGTCGCGGGTTCGCTGGGCCGGGAGGTGACATTGGGATCGGAAGCCGAGGAAATCTGGGGAGGGGAGCGATCGTCAGAGTTGTTGCCGTTCGAGTGCGGCCCAGAGTCATGACTGAGAAGTGGTTCAGGAGAGCCAGGACGATCGAGCCTCGCGGCCTGGATCTCATAATAAATGGCCAAGCATAAAAGGATGCCCTGCATCGTCGCCGTCAGGACAAAGATGCCCCACGAGCTCCAGCCAGCCCATCCCAGGCGGAGGAAGAGACTTGTTGCGAAAAGGTAGCCACCAGGAGTTTGCATGCACATCATGGGGATACTCAGGCTCCCTACATGCTTCAAGTGATAGGTTGTCCAGATCTGAGGAACATACTGGATGGCTGCCAAGATGGCGGCCATTACGCCCAGCATATCCGCCCAGACAGCCAGGTAGTCTCTTTCGAGGGTGGAGAGAACGCAGGAGATGACAATGACGGCGAGACCATGCAGGATGGTCAACGCCGCAACCAGCAGAGCTGTCTGCCAGTTGGGTTGGTCTTCATCCCTCTCTCCTTCGAGGTCGCAGATACCCCCCTTGTTATAGGGGAAGAACACCAGGAACAAGATGAAGCTGTTGTAGCGAGCGTTAGCAGAGGGGCGTTTAACAATGGGCATTAGCCGCAGGCTTTAACAGCAGGAGCCAACCCCAAGCATAAAGTAAAACACCAGACACCAACAGCGGGCATTAAAAATGGGCGTTAGCAGTGGGCGTCCACAATGGTCATCCACAGCGATCACCCATATCGGGCAAGGCCATCAAGGTACTCACATGAAGGTGAAGGAGGCCCACTGGACCCCAAGCTGGGCAATGCCCAGCAGGCCGGCGACGCAGTGGAATGTCTCCAACTCCTTGCAACAGGCGACGTCCTGCCGCGACTTCGGCAGGAGGAGGATGTTGGCGAAGGCCGACGTCGCTGACGTCGTGCCCAGGAGGACGAAGTAGGGCGAGATTCCCTCGGACGAGCGCCGCCGGATGATGCGAATGTGCTGGGGTAGATAGCTCACCAGCATGCCGATGACAATGAAACTGCAAATCTGTCAGCTGCCAGCTACGAGTGAAGCTACAGGGGACGGTAACTGTGGACAGTATGGGTCTGAGTTGCGGTCATACATTGAGATGAGGAGGTTCACGACGCTGACGTCGCGAAGCTCCTCACAGCGATCAGAGAAGAGACTGGTGCTGAGCGAAGCATCCATCTTGTCGGACGAAAGAGAATTCATGCTTCATCCGAGCTTTTGAGCAAGTCGGCAGTCGATAGATGCGACCGGAAAGGCACTTGCAAAAGCGATGGCTATCGTTGATGTATGGGAGAAAGCGACAGCCGGCCGCAGCTTTATCGGACGGATGCGCTTGTTGGAGGCTCGATAAGCGGGACGGATGCCAGCTGGCAAGCCTGCCAGTTGGAGAGCTATGAGCGGGCGAGCTATCGTCAGGTCTCCACTCATGTGGGTCTACAGGGCTGCAGAATAGTGGGACTGCTCCGCTCATTGATTGGTCTGGTTCCAGTGGCCAAGATCTGCGACATCAAGGTATTTCTTCATACATTTTCACAGTTGAGATACATCCGCAAGGCATCATGCGAAACATCCAGTCACAATAGAACTCTTGGAAATAAACAACAATCTTGTGTGAGCTGCTTCACTTCTATTCATCCAACAGGCAAGCGTTATCAGAAGCAAGTAATAATAAGTGAAGCCATATATGGATCCACCATCGGTCAATCTCCTTGCCTCATGCAACAACCCAGATGGATCTCGTCCATCAAAGAGATGTGGTCCCCATCAACACTCTCCATTCTTTAAGAGTGTACAATGGTATGGTGCTTTTTCAATTGCTATCTACATGAAGACATAATGATACTAATGCTTCACAGGTCCGCTGATGGCACAACTCTTTTCACTTCATCCTCTTCAAACCGTATTTGCACCTTTGTTCTCCCCGAAACTCTCCTTGAGCCACGCGATGCACCATTAACACTCACCTCATACTCAACACTCACCCTCCCAGAGCCAACAAGTGCCATTGCCTCTTGCCCTTACTTTGCTCTCGAAAACCCCTCAACCCAAGTCTTCCTCACAGCGAGTACCGACCATCCAATCCATCTTCACCATGCCTTCCCCTTTTCACCCTCATTCAATAACAGCATGGACATCGACAATGATGACAACCCCACTCCCAACCAATCCGACTTCCCCAAACCCCTAGCCTCCTTTCACCTCATCAAAAAAGAAACCGAAGCCTACCTCCCCATCGCCTCCCTCATCTGGCCCGCCCCCGGCACCCATTTCGTCGCTGGCACCATCAACCGAATCGACATCTTCGACGTTTCTCGACCAGACATCTCCCTCAGCACCCAGCCATTTCACACAATCCCCACGATCCCATCAACCAGATTTCTTACGAAAGGTGGCGGAGTCGGTATGCGCGGGACGGTCTCAGCGCTAGACGCCCATCCCGGGGTGAGCGAAGGATGGGGTTTCATCGCGGCAGGCACGTGGACGCGGAACTTGGGCCTATATGATCTCTCTCAGGCGGGGCAGTGTGTGGCTACGTGGAGTGTGGCGCCTGCGTCTGGGGAGCAGGGGATTGGCGGGAATGGCATTGTGCAGGTTATGTGGTCACCCTGCGGGAGGTATCTCGTTGTCAATGAGAGGAGGTCAACAGGGTTGTTGGTGTACGACATTCGAGGAACGCATCAGCTATTGGCTTGCTTGAAAGGTAGAGATGCCCAGACAAACCAACGGCTGAGCTGCGACGTGTTCCCTGGGACTGGGAAGGTCGGGGGGTTCGAGGTTTGGGCCGGCACCAAAAACGGTGGGGTTGTTGTCTGGGAGGGCATTGGCAACCAAGAAGGAAGCATAGAGCCAAGCTGGGATTGGGAAGCTCATCAAGCAGCTGTCGGGAGCACAGCTTTGCATATGAGCGGCTCCGTAGTTGCGACATGCTCCGGCTCATGGGAATTTGTGGATGAAGACGAGAGCAGCGAGAGCGAGAGCATAGACAGCTCAGACAGTTCTTCCAGTTCTAGCGATTCTGAAGATGCAGAACAAAACTCAGGCAAGAGAGTACTGACTTCCCGTACTAGGATTGTTGTTCCTGAAACAAGCCTCAAAGTTTGGAGCATTGGGTCGAACACACCGCCGGAGACAGACGAGGGACAAACCAGTTGATGCCCATACTCGCACTGCTTACCTCACCAATTACCAACAGTACTGGGAATTTCCGTAATCGGTCTTCCCCAGCCACATTTCATTCCCAGATGTCAGGTCCTCTGTACACTCCAAGGTCTATATCGGCAATCATGTTTTCATCAACATCTTCCGAAAGAGCATTGAAATCGCTCTAGGTAGTATTAATACATCAAGATATTGTGCATCATCTCAGCCTCTCATCCATTTGCCCTGCCCATGTCCATTGATATTCGGCTCTCTCCTGATCTCTCCTGACACTTCCTTGATCATCAACAACAGCACCTTGCATCCAGGGCTCATCTATGACCTCGCTCACGCGATCCAGTACCGCCCGACCCCCCAAGTCCTTCGCGAACAGCTCAATCCTTCTCTCTCTCGACATTTGCATAAACAACGGAAGCCCATACATTTCTCCCGGTCCACAAACCGCAGGCTTCCCATCCGGAGCCATGAGCTTCCCCAACACAAGCTGCGCAGCAAATGCATTCATTCCCACCCGTCTTAGAAACACTTCCCACATTGTCTCTACTGGGAGCAAATAATTTCGGAACGGCTGTCCTTCAGCAGGATGATACTGACAGATAATCGCAGAAATCCATTTAGCCAGTGTCTCGAACCCACCGCCCACGTATATGACCTGCACAACGGCAGTACCTCTCAGTGCTGCTGCAAAACCCTGAAACTCAGCTAAAGCATTTGCATCTGCTCGTGATATTGGGCTGGCCGTTTCGCTGTGCTTGTTGTTCTCCGAGACCAGAACTATCAAGCGAGAATGACGACAGGCAACGTTGGCGGTGGCACAGCGAAAGTTGTCTGTCGATTTTGCTGCTACCATGCTGTTTGCTCCTTGATGGATGGGCACCGGTCTCTGTCGGAGGTTGATCATCGTGGTTAGCAATATCCCCGTCGCTGGAGAGACAACGATGTCTGCCTCATGAACTTTGGGAGCCGAGTCTAAACAATGGAGATCGAGTGGTCTGCGCGTAATAAGTTCGATACTTGGAACGAACTGTTTTAGGTGGTTCAGGACCATCATGGAAACAGTAGAGGAGACAACAACTCGTGGTGGAGTATCTGGTAAAACAACAGTCGGCGCAAGTGCTGGAGTGGGTGTTGAAGCAGAGGCTGATGTTTGAGGGCTAGAGTTAAAGGTAGGCTGGGCTTTTTTGAACGTGTCTTGTTTCTGGAAATAAGAACTATGAGTGAGTTTCGGCCTCTTTGGGAAGTTCATGTCGAGAAAGTTATCTACAAGGGAGGAGAAATCCGTATATTCGGCCATGACTCCCTTCAAGACGTTTGTGGAAGGAATCAACTCTGAGCTGAAGGCGTCGGTGTCAGTCTGATTCTCCTCTTCAGCCCTCAGTCTCTTGGTTGGCTGCTTCTTTTGGATTTTTTCACTGATTTGTCGCTGTTTGATATCCAGGAGGACCATGAGATCAGGGGAATTGTGCCAGTCATTAAACGCACAGTGATATGATGTGTTAGCTGGGGAGGAGAGACTCAGAGGTTGATCATCTAGTGCAAATAGCGTTGATTGTGGTTTCTTGGGAGAGTTTTGCAGAGTGAGATAATCATCCTGATCATCATCATACTCGTTGACCTGGAAGATCGCCAAACCTGGGGTTTTGTAGACATAATCCTCACTATGAGGAATATCATCATCCGGGATTGGCGAGAAGAAGTCCCCGAGTAACCTAGGGTCTTCATCAATCTTTTCTTCGAGCGGTTTCATCTCCTTCAGATGAGCGATAGGTGCCCAAACCATTCTCTGCTCAGCTGCACGGCTGTAAGTCCACTTTACTCCTTGCCAGTCTACCGGCGTATTCTCGCGAATCCATCGGAACACTGTTATCGCATTCCAGAGATTCAGTTCCCACTCGGAAGCCGGAATGGAAAAGTCCATGACAGGAACAGTAACTCTGACCGTAGGGTCAAGTGGCTGGGGCTTCTCCTGTTCTGCCCCCCTCGTCATTTTCTCCTCACTCTCGAGGAAAAGCTTCACCAGTTGGCCAGTCGGTCCCTCTGATTCAGATGTGATATCGCCGCTTGTAATCAACGCTGTAGCCGGCGCCAGCTCGCTCGAGTCCAGTAACGGAATCGCGGTCGAAGCATTGGCGTCGTCATAGCTAGGCAGTAATGGGACATCAATCTTCATATCTCTCGAAGCTACCAGCGGGGAAGAAACTTCGAGCGAAACAGAGAGCTCCCCATTCTTTATCATCTTCGAGATATCGATGTCATCCTCACATTCTTTGAACACGTCGTTCTCAAGCGCTTGGGCCCAAAACTCGGCATCGGGAATCAGTATTCTGGCTTCAGCACCCTCGATTTCTTGACTCAATCTTGAACTGGGATCCGAAGGCACTGGGATCTGGCAGGTATCGTCATCCGGAACGAAGTATTGCTCAAATTGCTCAAACATTGGACTCAACGGAGGAGTCATTGGTCTGCGCGCCCAGAGCTTGGAATTTCAGCCATTAGCATTGCCTTGCTTATCAGTCTCTTGACGAAAAACCTACCCCAGGATAGCCTGCAGCACTTTCGTAAAGCTGTTGTTGGTTTTCTTCAGTCCAGTCGGACTTGATAGTTTGTGAGATATACCAGAGAATATCTCTGGTTACATTTAGCTTCTCATTCTCCACTGATTTCGTTTGCTCCTTGTCTGCCTCAACCAGAGCCCTTGGGAACTCCAAGCCTTGTCCTTGCTCCACGTCATAAGGCTCAAGTGGTAGACTAATATCAGGCAAAGGATCTTTCATGAAGTTCCTCACCTGACGCGCCAGTCTACGGCAATCGAGGGTGTGGTCGCTGTATAGCAGTGGAGGTTCTAGTTTCAAGCTTGCTAGTTCAAGAGTAGTGGAAAGGCATTCAGCCAAGAAAATTTCTCTGATTTGCCGTTCTTCGCACTCCCTACACGTCTGCTGAAGGAGTTTCAGTGAGCCAATTGATATGTTCCACTGCTCAGGCTCTGGTATGATGGGGAGAAATTCGCATTCCTCGAGCTCTGGCCCTTCAATAAGTTCTCCTGGTCCAAGCTCAATGACTGACGGGGCGATGATTGGGTCATTGTCTATCAGTTCTGTCCAGTCGAAGAACAAGCTGTCGACTGTTAACCCATGGAGTCGTGCATACTCATCTGCCTCCACAAAAGATACTGAAGAGATGCTAGGACTGCATACCGAATCTTCGCAATGGAGTGACCCCTTCAAGGAAAGAAGATCTTCCCCTGAGTTAAAGTCCATTTTCCAATTGAAAAACCTTGATGACATGCATATGGTCTTCCAAGCTGTTCACCTAGGTCACGAAAGTAGACATGCTAAGTTGTTTTTCAGGTCAATTTCGGTGTCGACATTGACCTGATCCCTGCTTGGGCACATTTTGAAATTTTGTCCTTTGTTCTTTCCTTCTCCGGTATCCGTATGCAAAGGTACTGTAAGATTTTGCGACTCCCGTTTAAGACGTACAATAACTTTTTAGAAAGAGCGATTCAGGGGAAAATGCCTGCACTCAGTGAGCTTTGCTTGGCAAAGAAACTTGAAGCTCAAAATTTCCAAGATGTTATCATCATCATTATCGCTGACAAGCCAAGGCTGAAGTACCCTTATTCACTTGCAGAACCAAGAAAGCCCTTTGATGGAGGAGGGCCTTGATAAACTACAACCGGCTTGACATTAGCATTCCACGTCTGCTCTGTTGATGAGGTTCAGGTTTCTCACCTCTGTGTCCGTATGTTGCGTAATATATACCACCAAAGATCAATAAACCCACAAACACAGTGCTGCCATAATTCATACTTGCTCCTGTTACGGGCAAAGTCTGTGGCATAGAAAAGAGTACCACCTCAAAAGCAGTCCACAGCAACGCAACCATGTTGACAGGCCATCCAACTGCTGCGCCCATTGTCCACGGAGCCGAGTTGACTTCATTCCGTCCATTACAGACGCTTATGGCGATCGGAATAGCGTTTGCAATAGCCAGCGAAATAACCCCAACTGATACGAAGGCAAGAAAGGCCGACGATGAACCTATATTGATCAAGCTAACCAACATCTGTACCACTGTTGTGAGTACAAGTGCCCAAAGTGTGGTTCCTAGGCGTTTGTCGACTTTGCTCCATATCTGGTGCAGTGGGAGCGCCTTGTCTCTTGCAAAAGCCCAGGTGCAGCGGGAGGTGGCAACGGTAACTGAGACGGAACAGAAGAATGTTACGACGAGGACTAAGATCGTGAGGGCAAGCCCACCCATTGCTGATCCAGTTACTGCAGCGTAAAGGTAGGGAAGAACTTGACCAACTGGAGCTTCAATGAGATATTCCGGGTCTGGCATTGTTGCACATAGGGGAATGACCTAAGGTATAGTATAATTAGCCATCCTCATCAAAGCGAAGGACGAAGTGCGCGGATGCAAAAAACAGGTTCGCATTTGCGAATGGCTTCTGTTTACTTACAAAGAATAGGCCAACCAATCCACCCATTGGGATAGACCAAGCCATTGCTCTTGGTAATTGTGTTTCCGGGCGAGAAACCTCCTCCGCCATTGCAGAAACCATGCCCAGCCCACAAAATGTGTATGAAGCAGGCAGTATCCCGATGAAATACGAGAAGCCTTTCCAGCCTGATAAACCTGGATCGTAGCCGACGAGAGTCTCTCCAACTGATCTCCTTCCAGCTTTTGCCTGGACTGACAAACAGATCAAGGTGACTAGAACTGTGACTACTGTGAAAGCTGCACCAACAGTATCGATCCTAGGCAGCAAGTGGTTTCCGTATGCGCATATGAGGAATGTGGTGCCACATATGACATAGAACAGAAGCAGTAGCTGCCATGGTTGAAGAGTAATCTCCTTATGGAACAGTGTCACACAAGCCGCTATCAGTGAAGCAAACCCAAAGTTGGCGGATAATGTTCCTATCCAGGCCCCAAAGAGCCAAATCCAGCCGCTTAGAAAAGAAAATCCGACGCGGTATCGAGAAGGGGCTAGTTGGAAAGACCAGTAATATGGTCCAGCAGAAGTTGGGTACCTCGAAGCGAGCTCGGCGAGAGAGAGGGCAACGCACTCGTCAGCGAGAACAACAAAGATCCAGCCGACAAGCATGGGGAGTTGTCCTTGTAATTGTGAGTTAGTACTACTAGGTAATAGGAAAAAAAAGGCTTCGAAAACTTACCTCCGCCATATACAGCACTAAGTAAAGGAGCACCAAAGCTATATGGGATCTACTTCCAGTTAGCACTGCTGGATTAACAAGCCTGCCCCTATCAGCAACGGCCAATGGGTTGATAACTGACGGCGGCGATAGCAAGTGACTGAAAGAGCACTGTGTACATTGATCGAATGCGCTTCAACTCGGGCTGGTAACCGAGTTCATGGATCACATCTCTTTCAGGGGGTGGGTCAGCTCCTCCTGGCTTGGTGTCGGTCACGGTACTAGGTGCCTGGGCAGGGAGCTGGTTCTCCAGCATGATTTTGACTCTTGGAGCCAGCAGCGTGATTATAATGGGACTCAGTGGAAGTTTAGAACGAAATGTAGAACGGATAATTTGCCAGAAATCGCACAAAACGCATCAAGGGTAGTGTGCTCGAAAGAGGATTGCCTGAGAAGATTGGCACAGCACTAGTGGAAATAAGACGATAGAAGTCGTCCAGATAATCAATTCAAATTTCTATCTGAGCAACTTCCATAATTATAGGAAATGGTAAGATGCAACATATACCTGCCTGATCAGGCATCAGTCACACCTTCCACAAGTGCCCCCCATCCAAGCTTTTACTCCCTTGCCGGTGTTCCGACGAAGAATAAGGCGATATAACGGAGGGATGTAATTGAAGAAAAGGGGCTAACTTGGTTGAATGATCCAAACAACCCATTCATCGATCATTAAGGGTATCCAAGACATATAGGTGGTGGAAACAGTGATAGAACCTTTCCATTTGTATCGTAAAAATAGCGATGGAATTTTTCATCTCAACGTAAAACATTTCTGCTCGCCGATGGTGTGCTTATCTTTAGACCTCCTGTGTTGACATGGCTGGAGTGCTAAACAATTCCGCCACACAGCTGAACAGCTGGAAGGAGACGAAGAACAGGGTTCTCCAAACGTTCTTGTATCGTATGACGAATGAGCTTGTACAGGATGCTCCGAAAGGAGCTACGTATATACCCTGAAGCAGTTTATTGATGGGTTGAGGGGCAGGAGCGTGTTCCGGCTGTACCTTCATTGTGTCCAGCAGGGGGAGGGGGGCGCATAGTACGGGCGTGAGATAAGGGAAGAGTTGTCCCCTGGCGGATGAAGAAGCAGATCGAAACCTAGGCAGAGCCAGTGGCAGACCCAAAATCTTCCCAATGCGTGCGTCCAGGGCATCGAGGACCCAGTGTGTGGGACAGACCCGATTCTGTGCTCTCAGTGGAGATCTCTAGTACTGGCCAAGGAACATGAAGTCGATGTTCCAAGCAAACCAGAGATTGCCGGGGATCATGGACCTCCGGTCGATGGTTCTTTTGAGACCAAGGATGCTGCTGTGTTACCGCACAAAGCTGACGTGCGATGACAGTGGTGCAGTGTTTTGGACACTACATTGATTCTATCCTTGAAGCACTGTGCTTCGTTGAAGCTTGTCTTCCGTTACTCCAGGAGGTTGTCATCCGAAAAGGCTGTGAAGTCCTGTCCGATCCATCACATCAAGCCAATGCGTCCGACGGGGTAGTTCGATTTCTTCATCGTAAGCCTTCCAGACTTCCTGGATAAGCTGTTTTGCCACACCTATTGGTTTTGGTGGCAGATATTCCTCGAGTTCTTCTAATCGATCCATGACGAATTGTCGGGCAGCGGAAATTCTGGTAAGCGTAGACATTGATACTTGGTCTATAACCAGGCTTTCGGTGCTTGAAAGATCCGTTGCTAGCAGATAGCTACGGGAATCCTGTCTTAATGGGGCTTTCCTGTCATATCGAAGCCCGCTGCCCGCGCACAAACAAACAAGGGGCTGGATACAGCCCAGACTGCGAGCAGGCACCTTCTTGAGCACATCGGTAATACTCAATGCTAAAGACGTTAGAAACTCGGGACCTGTCGGTCTGCTTGACTCTTTACACGTCGTCGACAGCCTGCAATCGCGCAGATCGGGGAAAGTTATATAGAGCTGCAAAAGGGAGCTCAATCGATATGCTTCGGTAGTATAGTGCAAGTTCTGTGCTTGTGCAGTCGCTTGTGGATCATTGCTGGACACGAGGAGTTGTGGAATGATGAGGGCCATTAAAGAAGCTTCAACTTTGCCAGCTTCTTCGATATCCTTCATCGCACCTTGGAGGACCTGGTAGCTCGTGCCATCATTCATTCGCCATCGATTGCGAGACCTCCTGACAAGGGCCATGGCTTTCCCAAACAGCCTGAGCACATCGATAGGAACACCAGTCCAATAATGGGAGGCGCTTGGAAGGCGAGGACCTGACGGCAAAGCAGGCTCAGGCCAGCTAAGCATGTGCTCAATGTCTGTTTCATCCTCGCTGACGACACTGCGAAGCATCTCCTCATAAATCAGACATCCACTAAAGAAGTTATACAATGCTAGGTCCGCCTGCGAGAGTCGCTCAGGATTCACCAACCTGAGCAATCTGCGAGCTTCCCTGACATACCCTTGGCCGAGTTGACGGGCCTCCATCCAGCACATGGAAGAACTCATACAAAACAATGCCAGGAACAAGTCGCTAGGGAACTCCGACCGCAGCCCGGAGGAATAGGCGACAAGTTCGTTTTGAATGACTTCATGGGCACGGCGCGGTGCCCACTGAGCCGTCTCTTTCATGACGGCAGGGAGACGTTCGACCAGAGAAGCCGCCGAAATGGACTGGAGGGCGAAGTAAACAGCACTGGAGTGCCTCCAAAGCTGATTCGTCAAGACGCGATAAGGGTTGTTTTGCGAGTCCAGGGCAGACCATGATGAACAGACGGCGTTGAACCAATGATTTATGAGAAAAGATGGAATATCTACTAGGGGCGGCTCCGCGGCTACATTAACTTCGAGGTACTGTTCTTCTGGCGTGTGCACGATGGGGACAAGAGCGTCACTGTTGTCAACAGAATCTGCTTGGTCTTCGGGCTGAGGAGGTGGCGATAAGGTTGATGAAGATGATGAAGGTGATTCTGCGGTTGTCATGGGGGATGCGACGGAAGGGGGACGAAGCTGTTGGCTGGGGGCTGGCGATGCCTTCGCCTGTGCTGCATTGTGACTAGGAGCATCAGGCTTTGCCGATCGCGAGATGATGGACTTGGAGGCGGCATCAACCAGCTGAGTAAAGTTCGCTGGACCGCTAGCCTTGATGGTGGTCGACACCTCGTGTTTGGTCGACCACTGCAGACGTTGCTGATAACCAGGACACACAAAGCCCTTCTGGAGACAGTTTCGGCAGCTGGGTTTTGTCTCGTCGCACCTCAGCTAGGGAGCCAACGTATCCCAGTCAGCGTGGGCGCGATACGTTTAGCGATAATACGGCTTGGTTGAGACCACAACTCAACACAGCCGTGGAGTTTCGAACGGGTGACAAATGCGTACATACCCTCCTTTCCTTGCACTTCCGGCAGCCGCTTCTTGACTTTTGCCTGTTCTTTATGACCGTGGTCATTTTGCGCCTTCGGCACCAGGCTGTTGTCACCTGCGTCGTCGAGATGTGTGCGTGCGATGCGCGAGTAAGTAGTGTGTTGCGAGTTTGCAGTTCATCGGGTGTCAGTGACAGGGCCAAGGACCACGAGCCCGGAAGTGAGCCCCAAGCGGGCAAGTCACCAAGTCGCTGAGTGAAAGGCAAGGCTCAGCGAATCCATGCCGGGGCCCCTGCCAGCCAGCGGCCCAGCCTACCTTTCTTCCGCGCTAGCGACCGCCCCGGCACCATGGTCGCCGACTTGGATACTTGCAACCACAGACTTAAGCTTCCTTCGCCGCTGGCCAATCGAGTTCATTGACAAGATCCGACGCCCATCAACCTTGGAGGAATCAAAGGCTGTCAACGCACGGGACGAACTGCAAGTTTTGGGGGTTCGAACGGCTGAGCGGGGTCTGACCCCACTGCGTCGGCCGAAATGGACCAGCCGCAGGCCTTCGAAAAGCCCACCGGACAAAGTCTACCGCCCGCTCATCCCCTTCGATGGCCGTGAGGAACCTCGACAAACTTTGCTCTTCTGCTATCCGGCAGCTCCGCTGCGTCCTGATTTGTCGCTCGTGTTGACCGTGGCCACGCATCCCTCCTCGCAGGCTTATCTCCGGATTCAACCCTGCGCGGGGATACACCCCCATGTTGCGCGAGCTGCCAAAGTTTATTAGGCACGCAGCCAGTTCAAATGCCGGGGGAAACGACATTATTAGCGTGAGTCTGGCTGGGAGGTTAGCGCCAGGTCAAGCGGATCAAGCTCCGCAGATCTACCGCGATCCATGCAAGTGTGAGGATTCGGATCCAGACCCCACCTTTTGAGGGCGCTACGTACAGAGGAGCTTAGCCTTAGCGTAACTTCGACGTTGAGATCGGGCCGCTGACCGGCTCAACAAAGCAGCGGTCAATCCGAAAGAGATCCGTACAAATACGAACCCTGTCGTCTGTATCAGATCCGACATCAGTGTTCCCATTGATTAGCCACATAAGGCGCTGCGGGAAGTCGCCTGGTTTTCGAGTGTAGGTATAAGAGCCTTCCATCCTCTTTAAGGCCATGGATGCAGGGTGGTTAAGAGGCCTATCAGCGTAAACGATCGCGTTCTTAAAAATGCAATGCAAACGGCATATTCTCTTCAGAACGTTCATCAGCGGACTCAGACGGCATGGCGCATTTCGCGGAGGCTCTATTTTTTTAAAAAGGGGGGGGGGGAGGGGAAAAGGAAGGATTTTGGAGATATGGACGGCAGATAGGATGGCAAACCTAGAATTTCAGGCAGGAAAAGTCTATCAAGCACATCCGGTGCGACGACCCACCTCCCTCTGACAGTACCGGGCCGGGCACCGTGCGGGCAAAAATTGATAGGCTCAAAATTTTCACGACTCACTCTTTCCTTCTGCTTGGGCCCAAGTCGTGACTGAGAATTGTGAGAATCCGCGACATTGGTCACCCCAGACGCAAAGGAAAAGCACACAGTCAAAATGAACGGCGAACCGGGAGAGGCGATGGCTCACAAGGCCTTCGACACCATTCTGGTGCTCGATTTTGGGTGAGAGCCTCATGACCCCCACCTCACCCGAAGAAGGATGAAATTTAGACATGGGGCTGACAAGGACGGTTGTGGCTGCTCGACAACAGCTCTCAGTACACTCACCTGTATGTTACACACGTACACACACGATGTCAATGACCCTCACGGCATACCCACGCTCTGCTCTCCTCCATAGACTCAGATGTGTCGATGCTCCCTCTGTCATCGACATGCTCTGGTTCAGCCCATCCAGCTTTGAGCACACTGACAATGGCTCCGTAAAAGCATTACTCGTCGTCTGCGCGAGCTCAATGTCTTCTCTGAGATGCTCCCATGCACTCAGAAGCTTGCTGAGCTGAAGTTCAAGCCCAAGGGCATTATCCTTTCTGGCGGCCCCTACTCCGTCTATGAGGATGGCAGCCCTCATGTGGACCCCGCTGTCTTCGATTTGGGTATGGAGATTGTCTACAACCTCCTTCAGGCCCCCTTCTTCAGGCCTGGTCGGCGTACTCTACATACATGGCTAACCAACTGGTGTAGATGTTCCCATCCTTGGTATCTGCTGTATGTAGTAGTCTCGGCTGCCATCTTTCATGATAATGGACAACTAAGCAGTGAATTGCCACAGATGGCATGCAAGAGCTCGCCTATCGTATCAGCCCGGACAACGTTATCGCCGGCAAGCACCGTGAGTACGGCCACTCCATGCTCAAGGCACGGTCGATTGGCGGCCATGTTGATCGCCTGTTCGAGGGCATTGAGGATTCGATGCGCGTGTGGATGAGTCACGGCGACAAACTTGCCAAGCTTCCCGAAGGCTTCCACACAGTCGCCACCTCTGACAACTCAGAGTACGCTGCCATTGCTCACGAGAGCAAGCCCATCTATGGCCTTCAGTTCCACCCCGAGGTCACCCATACACAGAATGGCACTGCTCTTCTCAAGAACTTCGCCGTCAACATCTGCGGCTGCAAGCAGGATTGGACGATGGAGAAGTTTCTTGAGCAGGCGATTGCCCAGATCCGGGAGACTGTTGGTGAGAAGGGCCAGGTTCTTGCTGCCGTTAGCGGTGGTGTTGATTCCACTGTTGCTGCCAAGCTCATGAAGGAGGCTATTGGCGATCGCTTCTGGGCCGTTCTCGTTAACAGTATGTCGTACCGATACTTGTTGATGTCTTAATTACTCTGAAGGATGCCTGACCATAGTGAACAGACGGCGTCATGCGTCTCAACGAATGCGAGCAGGTCCAGAAGGATCTCTCCGAGGCCCTCGGTATCAATCTCACCGTTGTTGATGCTTCGAAGGAGTTCCTTGAGGGCTTGAAGGGCATTACTGACCCTGAGGTATGACTCTCCATTCGGAAACTTAATTGAATAGTTGTATTGACCCTTTGCAACAGAAAAAGCGGAAGTTCATTGGTAAGTGAATTTTGGAGACCGCGGTCGGAAGTAGGATCCGCAGTGATGTGCTAAATCTCTTCACAGGTGGCAAGTTCATCGATATATTCGAGGCTGAGGCCATCAAGGTACAGTTACGAAACATACATTATACTTAATTGTAAATAATCTCATAGCTGACCAATATTGCAGATTGAGGAGGCTGCTGCCAAGGACCCGACTAAGGGTGGTGGAAAGATCGAGTTCTTCATGCAGGGGACTCTCTATCCGGATGTGATCGAATCGCTCTCGTTCAAGGGTCCCTCTGCAACCATCAAGGTATGTTTACCATGACCTGAGCATCCAAGTTGAACAGAAACAGACTGACAGATTTCAAGACTCACCACAATGTGTAGGTTTGAGTAACCCCTAGCAGCTGGCTGTTGATCATCAAAAACTAACTAACTCGAACTCAGCGGTGGTCTCCCCGAGCGGATGATGAACGGTCAGGGGCTCAAGCTAATTGAGCCCCTCCGGTCCCTGTACAAGGTTTGTACCTCTTTTAAATATCATTATCCCGTACATTGAACTGACGACTTTGTAGGATGAAGTCAGAGGTACGATTGTTCACAGTCTGAGGAGGACTTGCCAGGGGCTCTAAGCTAACATGCCGCAGCACTCGGTCGCGCCCTTGGTATCCGGGAAGAGCTCGTCATGAGGGTATGTGATTCGGGGAGTATCATTCATGAATCTAGGAAGACATGCTAACCCAGTCAATAGCATCCTTTCCCTGGCCGTGCGTGAAAACAAGTCACCCCCGAGCAATTTGCCGTAATACTGACTTTGGCATAGCTGGCATCGCGGTCAGAATTCTCGGCGAGGTCACTCCCGAGAAGGTTGAGATCGCCCGCCAGGCTGATCATGTACGTCTTGTCATATCCCCTTGGTTGTGTGAGATTATTTGCTGACTGCGTTGTCCAGATCTTCATCTCTGAGATCCGCAAGGCGGGTCTTTACGACCAGATCTCTCAGGGTACGCTTCCTTGCAGACCTCGAACATGTCTCCGAAGTGAAGCTAACGTTTTGCTCAGCCTATGCCGCCGTTGACCCTAGCCGCGCTGTCGGTGTTATGGGTGACAAGAGAGTCTACGGCTATGTAAATCTCTCCAAAGAATTTGCTTGGAAGGGCTTCAACTAACGTCATCATCAGATCGTTGTCCTCCGTGCCGTTACTACCACAGACTTTATGACCGCCGAGGCTTTCAACTTCCCTTGGGAATTCCTCCAGAGGGTGATGAACCGGATTGTGAACGAGGTCCATGGGTATGATTGAACATCTGCAGGTATTTTACAATACTCACTATGCTGACATATTTTGTAGCGTCTGCCGTGTCGTTTATGACATTACTTCCAAGCCTCCGGGTACCATTGAGCTCGAGTAAAAAGAAGAGGGTAAATGGGCTGGGGTTGTGGCATTTTCTCTTCTCTGGACCTTCCTGCAATGTGACGAGTTGCGCTGTTCTCAACAATGGCGCGGACGGCATTTTGATTTCGGGGACTGGAAATTATTGAGGATGCATAGACTGGATTGGGTGGCTAGACCATGATGAGTACGTACACTAGACTCTCAATAGAGACCCCGTCCGGAGAGGATGGCAAATTTGCAAAGCACTTCATGTGCATCCAGACCTTTTGCTGCAGCATACGATTAGGTTAGGTCCTTATTATGGAGCTTGTTTTGTTCCATGGCCTTGGACAGGCTCCGTGCCTGGCATCACTTTAAGAGTCCTCAACCTCAGGACCTTTCAAGCAGGGGAAGTCAAGCGCCTGTTACGAGTTAGCGCGAATAAACACACACATACACACACACACACACAAACAAAAAAAAAAAAAACGGAACTGAGAATCCATATGTAATAGGTACATACCTGGCGAGCAGTAACTCTCCAAGCACTCTCATACTTCACCAGAGCCTTCACCAGCTCCCTCCATTCTTTCCTCACAGTAGGTAGGATGCCTTCCCATCCACCCTCAACCCCCTCGAACGACCTATAAAACTCGAACGGCGGGGTCTTGAAGTTCTCCGCCTCAGGCCAGTTCTCCTTAGTCGGCGACCCGAGTGTCTTAAAAATGCTCAGGATCAGACCGAGCTGGCTACCATCCTCGTGAGCTGGCCGGGACTCAAAAATCGGCTTGTGGCTTGGTTTAATGCACTCAGCCAGAACAATACCGGCTGCCCAAAGGTCCAGCGCAGTCGTGTAGGACTTGTGGCCAAAGAGGGCTTCTGGAGCGCGGTATTGGGACGTGCCGACGTCGAGAATCTTCTCATCCGCTGGTTCGTCTGAGGAAGAAAATTCGGGATGCCAGGCTGTGCCGAAATCAGAGATGTAGACGTGGGGTTTGGTGGTAAAGGCTTTGGTGGACTCGATTAGGATGGCAGATGGCTTAATGTCGCGGTGAATGATGCCCTGAGAGTGGATGAAGTCGAGGCCTTTGAAGAACTCTGTGAAGACGTGGCGGAGGAAGGGATCTGGTAGCGGTGCTGTGACCTTTTCCATCACATGCGCCAGGCTCACAGGCATGAAGGGGAACACAAGCACCAGCCGTTGGTTCTGGTCGTGGAAGACCTCCAAAAGGGGAATGACTCCAGGGCCGCCGCGAAGCGACTCAAGGATCTTGGCCTCCCGTCGCGGGTTGTGCGGCTTCATATCCCGAGTCTCCACGATGACCTTCAGAGCGTTAGACTTGGAACGGTAGACTTCGGCAGTCACACCGCCAGCCACATAGCGGCAGTCTGAGTAGCTGCCAATCGTCTTGGGCTCACCACCCTCTAGCCCAACATTGTCCAGATCCGCTAACGGGGCTTCTGCGTCCCCCGGCGGATTGCAGATTTCATCGTACTCGTCCTTGATGACAGTCAGACATGGGACCACATAAGAAGTGTGAGAGGAGTCAAGCGTACCCTAGTCTTGCACGTCTTGTACGCCTCGTTCTCGATGTTGTAGGCACTCTTCCCCAAGCGGGCCGCAACTCCCGACTTGGTGCTAAGCGCAGACGGTTAGCCGAAACACGAATGATGATCCATAACGAGCTCCTGGGAGGGGTTGCCAGGCTTACAGCCTGTAAATGTTGTCATAGCGCTCTGCTGCCGTGAGTGAACTTCGCCAGTCCGACGCAGTCATCTTGGTTGGGTTACTACACTGATCCAGAGTCAGCAGTTGCTCGCCATGTTCATTATCGTCGTCGTGAGACGGTGAGTCGGGCAGCAGCCCGTAAGAGTTGCCGTGGAAACGAGGTTTGGGCACAGAGGCCCCTCCCCCCTAAGTAAGTAAGCAATCCGAGGCGTACCTAACACTTGAGATAAGAGTTTCAAAGTTCAGGTGTCCACAGCGGGTTCTTCCAGTAGGATATTAGCGCCTCTGCTCCCGTTGAAAACGGCGGAAACTATGAAGATGGTACCTTTGGTGTTTGGATTCCCGAATATCACACAACTGGGCAGCGTCGCTGAGGAAGTATGCGGGAAATCAGGGGTGATGCATGTTCTGGAGTCTTCAAACGGTTTCGATCAGATCGCAGAGCCATCGTTATGTGGTCGCTCCGCTTTCCAGGATCTTCTGTGCTACCCGTGGAATTGCTGGTGGACCCCTGCTCATTGAAGGTGGGGCTCGCGGCTGGGCCGGCAGGGGCAAGTCGCGCGACGATTCGCCCGTTCAAGGGAGAGCAGCATGCGAGTCCCATCAGCTCCATCAAGAAGGGGAGAGCCCCAAATTCCAGAATCTCCACCAATTCTAGAGTTCCCGTGACATCAAGCCCAGCGCCCGGAGCCCAGAGGTAGAGCCCAGCGATTCGGACCCGGCTGTTTGCATCCTGCATGTCGCAGAAGCCGTGTGCGCAGCAGTCCATGTGGTTGTGGTCCCTCGCTCGCGACTTCGTGCCCCGGAACATTACTTTACCTACACTGCTTTCAACTTCGCGTCAGCCCACACAACGTAGCCGTCGCTGTGGCGCGGTCGCCGTCTCCCCTGATTCGCAATTCGCGCCCTTTTAGCGTCGCCGTCCCTATACTAAACGACTCCGGATTTCCGTCCCTATTGGCCTCACTTCACTCACTGCCCGACGCTGGAAAAACACCCTGCTGCTATGCTATGTGTTGATCCGCCTTCGCCAACATCATATCCATTGCCCTGACCCCTCGCTTTTGCCCGTCGTGTTCATGTCAGCGCTTCCAACATGGCGACTGTAGACGATCTCTCGCGGACCGAGTATCCGGCGATGCTGGTATGCGCTGATGTGCCATTGACGGGGTCTGTTCGTCTGAGTGCTGACTCCGTGTCTTCCCTTGTAGGCGCACCTCCAGCCCAGCCAGGCCGTGCAGGTGTTCTCAGACCGCGTCAAGCGCATTACCAAGACAAACCAGGAGATCGCCGATTGGCTTCAGGTACGGCGCGCCAGAGCTGGACAACATTGTTGCCGGGAATCCCGGAGATCAGTGCTGATATGCGGTCTGTAGGAGCGCCGAAAGGTCGAGGAGCAGTATGTCGCGGGACTGCGCAAGCTACTCGTCTTCAAGGTCCCTAACCCCTCCTCCGAGCTTGGGTTCGTCACGCCTATCCGGTCTATCCCACGTCACGTTTATGTATTTTATGCTGACAATGAGTCGCCACTTTCCAGCGTCTTTCAAACGCCATGGGATAAGATCCTCCAGTCGATTGAGAGCATCGCTGCCGCGCACCAGGTATTCGCGCAGCGCATTCACGAAGATGTCGAGCAGCCACTGCGTCAGTTTCAGAACAAAAAGGAGATGCAAAACATTCACACAATAGCGTCAAATCTCCAGACTATGGCCCGAGAACTGGAGGATGCGACCGAGAAGTCAGACAAACTAAACAAAAAGGGCGGGAAGGCTAGCGCTCAGAAGGTTGATCAGGCGGCTGCTAGACTCGAGACCGCAACTCAGCAATGGGAATCCCAAGCGCCATTCATCTTCGAGACGCTTCAAGCACTCGATGAACAACGGATAAACCACCTGCGCGACGTTCTGACCCAGTACGAGACCCACGAGGTTGACCAGGCTGGTAGGACTCAGTCGGCCGCCGAAGAGGTTCTCAATATTATGCTTGAGGTCAACACCTCCGAGGAAATCCGCAATTTTGCTCAGCGCACAACTGCTGGAAAGCCAAAGGTTGAGCGTAGGACGGCCAGACAGCCAGGCTCTGCTGCTCCGAGCCCTGTGGCGGCGAGCGTCACCGGAGATGATGTTAGTGAGCACTCCGGTCACCGGGAGCATCAACCAGGTATGTGGCAATAATAGTGCAATACGATCTTTTGTTGGATGCTAATCCGGGCTCAGAGTCTAAGCTTCGCAGTCGTATCGGGACCATGCTTGGCCGTCGGCGACAGAGCGTTCACGCCGGGTTTGGGCAGCTCTCCCCTCAGAAAGGGCTTGGCTCCTTTTCCCATCGACTTGGAAGCAGTCACAGCCACACGCTATCTCCGAGGGCATCATCCCACAATCTGGCCGAATCCCACAACAGGTTGTCATCTGTGGTTGAGCGTCCTACCACAGAACAACCCGCTGCTGGTGACACTACGGACAAGGACCAGCAGAGGCCACATGAAGGGACCAATGGTGTTACAACGACAGGGGACCTGTCTCGAGATCATCAGCCAGCGCGCCCTAATCTTCTGAATGGCACAGCTGAGGACATCTTCGACACGCCGCCACCAGTCCCGCCTCTCCCACAGACCATTAAGGAAGAGCCCAAGAAAGACGCCGAGGGCTTCACGATCCCTCCTCTTATGAACGACCCGATCTCCCAGGCTCAAAGAGAAGCGGCTGCTGAAGCAGGAGAAACCGAGCAGCTGTTCAAGTTGAACATTCAAAACGAGCCCATTGCGGAAGAAGACCAGGAGGCAAAACAGCAAGCCATGTCCAATGTCGCCAACGCTCTCACCAGTATGGCGGTGCCGGCTAGGAGAACAGGCACTGTTCGTGGCCGCAGAGAAGTCCGGAATACCATGTACATGCCAGTTGCTCCTATTGCCGACATTACTGCCGAGAATCCTTTCCCGCCATCTCCATCCTTGCCAGCCAGCACCTCAGTGCCTAAAGTAACGCCCACGACGCCGTTAACCTCTGAGCCAAGCCATGCCTCCGATACCCAGTCAATTCGCTCTGGCACTTCTGTCGGCGCTTCATCCAGCGCTCTTGCTCGCATCAGACACCCCGATCTCCATGGGCCAAACCAAGCCCCTGGCCTGCACTCCTCTATCATCGAGACCGTTTCTGCCGTCTTCAAGGATGGGGAACCACAAACGGTCAGGGTGACAGGCGAAATTGCCCTCGCATACGTGCCTGACCCCGAGAAGCCCTTCACCGGTGAGTATACCTCTAGGTCGCATCGTCTTGGTTTATTCACTGCGACTCTGACCTTTGCTGGGACTTGACAGACCACGAAACAATCCGGCTGAACAATTTCTCGGTGCTCGAATCCATCGGCCCGAACCGCGTCTTCGTGGCTAACGCCCCTTCTCCTGACGAGTTCACGATCGACGTTTCGCATCTCTCGATGACCACGCCCGCCTTCACCTATCGCGTCCACGCCGAATCTGACACCGCCCTAGCACCCCACTGCCCTATCGCCCTCCACCCGGTCTGGAAGCCTCAAGGCGACAAGCTCGGCCTGCTCCTGCAGTATCGTTTGAACCCCTCATTCTCTCACGCCACCCGCAGCCCCGTCACCCTCTCCAACGCCGTCTTCATCGCCACCTACGAGGGCGCCCGCGCCAGCGGCGTGCAGACCAAGCCCTCTGGCACTCACCTCAAGGACAAGCACATTGTCTACTGGCGCCTCGGCGACGTCACACTGACCGAGGACTGGGCAAAGATAATCTGCCGCGTGATTGGCGACCAGAACGCCGAGCCGCAGCCTGGCCATGTTGAGGTGCGCTGGGAGTGGGTCCCTCCACAGCCCGAGGGTGTGGGAAGTGGGATCTCGGTGTCGAGGTTGCTTGCTGAGGGCCCGGCGGCCAAGGGCAAGGAGAAGGAGGAGGAGGATCCGTTTGCGGATGAGGCAGTTATTTCGTCAGCGCCGGCTTCGCCTCACATTGAGAGAACTTGGGCTGATGTACCGCTTGTGAAGAAGGTTATCAGCGGGAAGTATGAGAGCAAGTAATGTCGTGTGCTGTAGGGATAGGTACCTAGTGTTGGTGTTTGGGTAGGAATGGGAAGGGAAAAAAAAGAAAGAAAAGCTTTTTGTGGTAATGCTTGATTGGGAGGGGCCGTCAGGCACGTGTCTGCTCTGAGAAGTGGCGGATAGATCAATGTTCTGAGCGGTCGTGTTGTGTCATGTGGGTGGCAGTTGTATTCTTCCTGTACAGAGCGGTTGACATTAAACTGTTAGTAGGACTATTTTTGGTGACAAGCTCTCTGGTATGGAGAGTGAGGTGACCTGAGAATGCACATACTGAAATATCAAATATTGCAAAGTTTGTCTACACTATCTCATTTTCTCACCAATGCCTAGCAAGCAAGCTGTCTGAGGCTTGCAGCACGTCGAACCGCACTTCGAGATGCTGTACTCTGTACCAGGAAATAATCCCATCAAATGTTTCATGAAATCCCTATCAACGCCTGTCGAAAGGAAAAAAAAAAACAAAAAAAAGCCCTCCTCCTGTCATTAGGAGGTATGAACAGGGCCAAAGTTTTATACATGAATAGCAAGGCCTACATCATCCCAATCCCGACTGCAATGCCCAAATTCCCCCTAAGTCCCGCCCGATCATGCACATGCCAGTTTACTTCCCATTATTCCTCGAATGCTCCTCATAAAACTCCAGTGTCAACGCCGCCAGGAAACACGGCACACACCCTTTCTCTCTCACCCAGAACTGGATATTGTCCGCGATCCGGTTCGCGAACGCGCTTTTCGGCCCGCCGCCAACCTTCATTGTGCCCTTCTCGCCGTCGAACACGATGCTGTTCTCGTGCTCGTCTGTCTGCGACGGATAGTACACGCTCTCGACGCGCATCTTCCCGCCCGGGATGAAGGTGACCGTCCAGCCAAGCGTGCTGAATACAGCCTCTTTGAACTCGGCTGACTTGGCGGCCCAGACTTCCTTGAGTCGGCGAGCCTGTTTGCGCGCTGATGCTGTTTCGGCCTTGGCCTCGGCGATTTCGCGCTGCGCAGCCGCGAGCTGTGAGGCAGGCACTGTCGCGAAGAGGGTTGGTTGGCGCTGGATGTGGGCTAGGAGCTCAGCATTCTCCTGCTTGAGCGCCGCGAGCGTGGCAGCCTTGACGGCTTCGTGGTCGGAGGTCGGGTTGGAACGGAGCTGCAAGATGCGTGTATTGAGTTGTTCCTTTGCAGCAGCCAGTTGCTGTGACAATACTTGGTGCTCCTTCTCTAGAAGCTTGTGAGCAGTTTGCAGGTCAGCGAGCTCGGACTGTAGTTTACGGTTCTTGCGGGCAAGCTGTCCTAGCTGCTCATTCTCCACGTCGTCTCCCTCTCTTGACCTCTTAGTTCCCAAGACAGGCTGGGCAGGGCTCTTCGACGCCGATTCAAGTGAGGACAAATCAGCGTGGAGGGTGCTAACCTCTGCTTTGTACTGATCGACAAGGTCCTCGAGTTCCTGGATACGCTTGGCTTTCACATCCTCCATGCTCTCAGGATGTAGCGTAGAGTCTTCCATCTCATATGTCTTCAGCTGTGCGCGGAGGTATTCAACCTCCTTCATTGCGAGGGCACGTTGACGCTCCAGCCTGGCACGAACTCTATCGTTACCAGCTGCTGGTCCGCCAGAGACCCGAAGCTTCTCAATCTGATCCAGAAGCCTGCCCTTCTCCTCTTCCAAGGCCTTGATGATGTTGTCGCGGTCCGCAATCTCTGGCTGCAAAGCGCCGAGCTTCTCGACCAGAGAGGCTGAGTGCAAGCGCTCCGCAACAAGGGCTCGCGCGACAGCTTCGGGGGAATCGAACTCGTCGGCGCTGTTTCCTTCGCTCTGGAGATAGGCGGTCCATGCCCTCCTTTCGTCTTCTAACCGTTGCCGTAGTCTCCTCTCCTCGGCCAGCTCCTTTTCCAACGCTTGCGCAGCCTCGAGCTTTCGCACGAGGGTGCGCTTCTCCTCTTCCACGACCTCGACAGCCTTATGAACCTGGCGCAAATGTGTAAGCTCGGCCAGTTGTTCCCTGTTCTTGGTCTCCAGAATTCGGATGTGAGACACCTGGTCCGACAGCTCTCTCCGGATGATGGCTATGGTTTCCGCATCACCGGTCTGTGCCTTTAGTCGAAGCACCTCAGCCTCTAACTTTCCAATGATCTCATCCTTCTCGGCAGAAGCGGCTTGCGCCTTTTGCAACAGGTCTTCCCGAGCTGTAGCTTCTTGTCTTAGCTCTTCAACCAACCGCTCTGACGCAGCGACCTTTGCCTTCAAATCATTGGCCTCACGCTCAGCCATACGAGCAGCCTCACCCTTCTCTGCGCTCAGCTCCTCTAGCTGTTCCCGCAGCTGCCTGGATTCTTCGAGCGCATTCCTCACTTTCCCCTCCAGTTCCTGCTGCCGCGTCTCCATATCCTCCTTGAGTTGGTCCAGCTCTCTTTGCAAGGTCTCCACCTGACGCAGGGCACGCGATCTCTCAGCCTCAGCGGCCTGCTTGGCCTTGAAATCCTCCTCAGCCCGGCGCTTGGCTTCGCGAACTTCATTCTCCATCTGCAGCCGTGCCAACTCCTTTTCCTGTTCATAGCTGTCTATCTGATACCGCAGAGTAGCGACTTCGGCCTTGAGCTCCTCGATGCATCGGCGCTGGGCCTCGTACTCGTCGGCATCTGCTGGCGCCCTGTTTTCCTTGCTGCTTTCGCGGCTAACACTGGGCATCTCCATATTCTCCCGACCGCGCGGAGGGGATGGCGCAGAAAGCAGCGATTGTCGTAAATGCGATCGCGGCATCGTGTTAGTCGGGCTAGATGGGGCAAAGTCGAACGTATTTGTGCTGTTTCTGAAGCTCGGTAACTACAGACATGCGACATCAGCAAGACCGTCCATCAATGACGCGTCGATGGTACCATTGCTTCGAGCCTACCCTCGATTCTCTCAAAGAGCTCCTGGGACGGAGGATGGGCCCACTGATGCTTGCCCGAAATTGCGCGCCAGCAGCGCTGCTTGCAGACAAGCGTCTTGGTGGTCGTTCGGACCCTGGAGGGTCTCCCTGAGGGGTGAATGATCGCATCGTTGACCGCAAGCAAGCCTGAGGAAAGGGGGTTGGGTTTACTTGATGTTGTTGGCACCGCGGCGTGACGAGTGATGATTTGATTGACTGTTTGGGAGCAACAAGCTTCACGCACCCCGGCAACCGTGATTGGTTGTTCTGGGCAGCGCTGCCTGTGGAGTGACGTTGCCATTACGATTACCGTCACGCCGTTGCACCATTACGCCGCCTGCGCCCCGAAATTTGTTTTGAACCAAATCCACAAACACCTGGGCTGTTATCCGTTTTCCTCTCCCTCATTAAGTTATCGGACTTTCCGACCTCGCCTCGAACACCTTACTTCAACACTGAAGCGTCAAGTTTCGATTTACTAACTTAACTAGCAGGTGGTAAGTTCCGATTCTCTACTTTTCAAAACCTAACCAACTTTTCATGGATAAGAACAAAGAAGGTATTGTGATTCAAGTGGAAGATGTTGGGGAGCCCCCTGCCCGTACCGTGTAATCCGTACGTACCGTAACAGTTTTAGACCGGTACTGCGGTAGTGCTGTCTGTTTCGCCATCCGTACCAAAAGCTTGTTCCTCGGTGCCAAGACGCCAAGACTGGGATTGGCAAGGGCGTGGGTTTGACAAAGCCCTGAAACTGCCCCTGCCGACACTGCCCTGCGGGGTCTGGAAGCCGAAAACTCCACTGCACGGCATGCTGCAGCAATTCAACGGCAGACGCTGGGCTTTCCATCTGCGTCTTTGAACTTTCCATCCTCCACCGGCTCACACATGGACTTTGGCCCGGGGTGACGTTCTGCAGCTGAAGCTGCGTCAAAGTTCCTGTCCAATTAACAAGTAGAGGCAGCAGATTCCCCCGCCAATTCTGCGAAAGAGCGACCGCGATGCCTTGCCGCCTCGTTCCCCCGTCACTGACAGTATGTCTTCGTGAGGGTCCATCAATTTTTCTTGGCTGGGACGTCATAGCTCACACTCACTCTCACTTGTCCGCAGGGCCGTCGTCTCGCGCCGCGCTTCGGGTCCGTGAGTCCATTGCTCGCTGTCCTTGTCCCAACCTCCCCGGCATACAGCATCGTGTGCAGGTATGGAACTGCCAACAGCGGCAACGGCACTGCTGCCGAGCCAAAGAATGCCCGCAAGAGCGCTTTGCGTGACGCCGCCGCCGACATCGCCGTCAACAGGGCACGACAGGACACAACGTCCGAGAAGGCAATTGCAAGCGAAGCAAGCGGTGTGGAAGACTGGGAGTACAATCCCAGTCTTAAAATCGAATCCTTTAAGGACCTACCTCATGCCAACTTCGGCGTGAACCAGCATATACCCTTCGACGCCGAGTTCAAAGAAGTCCTGAAAGCGATCCCATGGCAGTTCCGTGCTCCGATTCGTTACGCGTTTGCCTACGGTTCGGGGGTGTTCCCGCAATCGAAGCCGACCGGCCGGGTCCCGACACCAGAAGAAGTTCGCGCTATTCATCCCAAAGCTCCCCCGGCTGTGGTGAGGGCACAAGATGGAACCCCAAAGATGATTGATTTCATATTTGGTGTCTCGCATACTCAGCATTGGCATTCGCTCAACATGAAACAACACCGTGACCATTACTCGGCCCTCGCAAGTCTGGGCTCGGGTGCAGTCTCGTTTGTCCAGGACAAGTTGGGCGCTGGCGTCTACTTCAACCCATACGTTGTCGTGAATGGAATCTTGGTGAAGTACGGTGTGGTGCAGTTGGACACATTGGAGAGAGACCTGACTCAGTGGGATACGCTTTACCTGGCTGGGCGGCTTCACAAACCCGTCAAGATCCTGCGCGACGATCCCAGAATCCGCTTTGCCAACCAAATCAATCTTCTCTCCGCTTTGCGGACAGCGCTGTTGCTTCTTCCCCCCAGCTTTACGGAGGAAGAGCTTTATGCGACAATCGCTGGAATCAGTTACCTGGGTGATCCCCGCATGGCTTTGCCTACCGAAAACCCACGAAAGGTAAAGAACATTGTCGGCAATAACATGGCCAACTTCAGGAGGCTGTATCTTCCTCTCATTGAGACATTACCCAACGTTGATTTCAACGACCCTGCTGCCAGCGCGAAGGACTGGGTATGGGACACGGAGAAGAATCTCAAGCTTATCCAGGATATGGACCCAGTCAAGCGCGGTAACATGGTGCGGCGGCTACCTAAGGCATTCCGCTCGCGCCTGTACACGCAGTATCAGAAGAAGCTGGCCATCCCGCAACATCAGTTTGCCCAGTTGATGGAAGAAGGCGAGAAAGAGGTCTCCGTAGGCTTTAGGAGGCTTGAGGGAGGTGGCTTTGACAGGCGGATCGCGCAGGATGACCCTGCCGAGCTGCGCAATAACATTCGCACGGTAATCAAGCGTACGATTAGTTGGCCTGCTACCACACAGTCACTCAAGGGCCCTCTTACCGCCGGCTTCCAGAAAACGTGGAGGTACCTGCGCGAGAAGATGGACAAGTACCGTCAAGGGTCGGCTGCTGCGAAACAGGCCCCCGAGGAGGGCAAGAGCTCTAGCAGCAGCAGTAGCGGGGAAGGGAAACAATGATGGTTGGGTGTTTTAAGGATTGCTTGTTGCATTTTCCGGTAAGCACCTCCACACAAGAGGAGATGGCTGGCTAAATAAGTTTTTTATGCTGTACATGTAGGAAATAGCATGGAAGCCTGGTTCTACGAGGGATTGTGTGGCTTTAGATGGCGGTTCGGCGTTCTGTAATCTGCCCCTTTTGACGGCACTCCTCGCCGTCAGTTTGGCACGGCTGAATAAAACAGATATAGAAGAGGGTCTGCAAAATCAAACCTTTTTGTGGGCGCTACGCTTGGTATAGGGCTTTAACTTGCTTGTGTTATGACCGTGAATCATAGGACTTTCTCTTTCATCTAATGAGGCGCGTCACCCAGATAAACCACTGCTTGAATAGGTTCAGCTTGGTACCTCTGCACCCCGGATGTTCTTCTCGTAACCTGGCCATGGAACTTTCTCTTTCTTGCCATCCCGGGTAGCCAAAAGTTTTGAGCAGGGTCGATCATTGTCCACTTTAACCTCCAGCCTTGATTACCCCATCGCCCCTGAGATAGCACGAAGCCTGCAGGCGTCTTTTGATGAAAGGGGTTGCCTGCAGTTCGTCTTCATATCATCACGTGTTGAGATGCATGGGAGTTCAGGTCACGGTTCTTGCGCAGGTCCATTTTGCCGAAAGCCAAACGTTCATCCCTTTTTCAGCTGGTGCGGTCGGTCCCTGCTGCATATGGGTTGTGAAGTGACTGTCAACTGTCAACGTTGAAGCATGATGCATCAGGGAGGGTCCAATCGCTCTTATCTCTCCTGGTGGTTGTGATAGGCAGGCGCTTCAATGTGCATTCACGTGTGTCCAGACCTCCAGTCTACAGCCCGGGGCGTTGGGAGAGAAGGTGCTTCTCGATAGGTAAGATACCTGAGAAAATGTGTGGCCGGCCCGGGAGAAGCTCTACAAGATTGAAGTGACTGGGAGAGCTCAGACCGTTAATGGTCTCTGTTCGGGAAGGTGGCTCACTCTCCGCACAACCCCCAGCCAGAACCAGCGACGCTAGTTCTTCAGCAAGAAGGATTGTCGGTGGTGGATCACCATGGATGTTATGCGATTGCTTTGAGACTAAGACCAATAACTGTGGAGGTTGAGGCCCTATCTCGTCCACGGAGATTGCTCAGGCCTCAACCCCAGGGGCAGGCGAAAGAGGGAGGGTGTTACCTGCCCAGTCCACACTCATGCTTGCCTGCGAAGAAAGTATCTCCATATCACTGCACCTTCCACGGCCCTTTAACCCCGGAGATCCGTTGAGGCAACGAGAAAGGCGGAAGGCACTCTCGCTCTCCCCAGGAGCATATAATCCCCCTCAGCTCCCAGAATTCCTCTCTTCTCTCTTCCACCATCATCCAAACTCGAGTTCCCTCAAGCAGCTGCGCAGCTTGCTTTTAAACATTGCTTTTCAGTATCATCATCCTCAGATCAACAGCTCTTCTGTCCTTTGCAAACATCAAACACCACTAAGCAACCACTTCAGTCAACCTAAGTCACTCTCACCTTGAAGTACAGTCATCCAGTACCAACACCAACACCAACCGTCAAAATGGGCTTTGTCGCGAACACCGTCCTCTACATCAGCTCCCTCATCATCCCTCCTCTTGCTGTTTACCTCAAGAAGGGCGCCACAAAGGACCTTGCTATCAACACGGGTTTCACCATCCTCGGCTGGGTTCCCGGCATGCTTCATGCCTTGTACATGGTCTCGTCGGAGGGCAGCAAGTAAATCAACACGCCTCACCGTTCACTTGCAAGTCAAGATGCTTCCCGCCAAGACGATAAGCATGCTCGGACGGTTGGGCTCTTCAAGGCAGCATGATGTTTGAACTTGCAGCACTCAAGTACTACTGATGATGGAGCTGGAGCTGGGACTGGGTTCGTGTCCACCATGTCCATCTTTGTCATCAAGGTCTCTCTCTCGTCTGGGTTCTGAGGATGGGAGATGGTTTGGTACTGCATGTCTCCATAAAGGAGCTCCATCGTGGGATGAAGCTGGGGATGGTCAAACAAAACTTTGTGGTGGCTCTTCCGCACCTGTAATCACCTCTCTAGCTCTCCGTCCAATCAAACTACTTGAAACTCCCCAAGCTTTGCCCGTGTTCTTATGTGACATTCAAAAAATGTGAATGCCGACTGCCCTGTTGAGAGTGATCACAGATTTGTTCTTGCTCATAGCTGAAACGTCAAGCTAATTGTCGTGGACGGGACGAAACGGCTTTCATTGGGGACAAGATTTTAAGCCGAGGACAACCACTCTCTGCCTGGTTGTCTCAGGGGAACCTGCAACTGAACGCCCACACTGGAGTCATCTCGAGGAAGCATGGTGTGGTGAGCAAGGTTGGCACTCCGCTAAACTAGATAGTGTTGAATTCGACAAGGTAACGCCGGACGCCAAATCCATCAACAATGCCAGTCTTAACGGAACAATAATGTACAATTATGAAAACACAGGCGAAGAACAGAACCCAACAGAGACTACTCAGTAACAACAATACTCTCTAACACGCGCATAGCGCGGCTTCCCTCCTTTTCAAAGACTGACACCATAGCCTCACATTCCTGCTTGAGCTTTTGCTCAGCCAGGCTAGCATTGTGATAAATCCATTCCTCCACAGTCATCCTCTTCTCCGGGCTGGTCAGCTCAGCGCCCTTGCTGAGCAACATGGCAGGCAGCCGTGACGCGATACCCTCGCCATCAAAGTTCTCCTTGTCCTCATACCCTTGGCCTTCCTCTCCATCATAAGCATGACGCTGTGGTGATGGAAAGAGAACCGCCTCGACGTCGATCCCCTTCCAGGGGATTGTGCTACGCAGACCACCGCTCGCAACGAGGCTGCGCTTGGAGGAGGAGACGGGGGAGCTACGTTGGGACTGGGGTGTTCCGACAGCAGAGGTTGTGACGGGGGCGAGGATGGAGCGTTTACCGGCGATGGTAGAGGCGTTGGCGTTTTCGGTATGGTTATGGTTATTACTTGCTATTGTACGAACAGAGACGGCCGAATGGGGTTCTGGAGGGTAGTTTTCTGCGTCTGAGGCCTGCGGGGAGGAGTGAGCTGATGGGGGGTGAGAGACGGGAGCCACCGCTTCGGTGTGGTTGGCACCGCGCCGGGACGGGGTCGATTGTGAGTCGGGCGTTGCCGGGGCAGGGATGGATAGACGGTGATGACTGGGCGCGGCTGAGGGAATGGCAGCAGCTGAGGCTCGTGCTGATACTGTCCGTGACGATCTTCTTGGCGTTGGCGCCGCCGGAGCGACTGTTGCGAGGACGTTGGAGCCGATGGGGGCGGCGGCTGTAGCTGACGATCGCTTGCTGGATAACCTGGCGGATGTGCGCTTTTGCACGGAACGAGCGATAACAGGCTCGGGCTCGGGCTGCGGCGAGACGTGGGCCGACTGAGGCGCTGAGGGAAGTTCGACGGCAGGCTGGGAGGATGTGGATCTCTTGGATGGTCGACCGCGGCCCCGCTTGGGAGGAAGTGGAGGAGGAGGAGCCGCTTTTGTGATGACCGTGCCGGTGCTAACATCGGCATCGGCAAGATCCCCTCCGACTGACAGCTGCTCAAGATCATCAGGTAAGGCCTCTGGAGCCAGTTCAGGAGTGGGATCAGCATGCTGATATGCGGGCTCTGGCGGTGGAGGTGCTGCTTCCTTCGCCTTCTTCGTCGCTTTGGATACTTTGCGTGTTCCAGCCTTGCGGCCCTTCTTTGGTACCGCTAAACCATCTGCGGCAGATTGCTCGGGCTCGATTTCCGCATGCTGGCTCTGAACTGCGCTCCCCATCTCGACTGCTGGGACCACAGCACCGTGTTCCGGCAGATTGGATGCATCAGCTTGCACCTTGGTTTTTTGACTAGTCTTCCGGGATGTTGCAGCTTTCTTGGGCCGCCCTCGTGTCGAAGCGGGTGCCTTCTCCACAGGAACTTCTTCCTCGACATCGCTGCGATATCGATCTAGGTCGGCTTCCAATTGACGCTCGAGTTCGTCGTCGGAAAGCTCGGTTGTTAGCTGAGATTTGTCCGATTGTTGCGACACCTTCCGTGCTCCCTTGGCTGCTGTCGAGGAACGTTTCTTCCGACCCGCTGGCTGTCTCACTGGGAGAATGTCGGACATTTCGGAATCAGGGGCAGCGAGACTCATTCTGGACACATCTACCGCAACGCTCGTCCTACCACGAGTCACTCTCTTCTTCTGGGCTGGTGCCTCGGCGTTGGTGAGGGCTGAGTCCTCCATAGAGTCGCTTGGCCGCTTGCGACCCTTGGCCGTTGTCTCGACAACTTGTTCTGAATCCTCGTAAATCTCGACTGGCTCCTCCTTCTTGGCTTTCGTCTTGCGCGCTCTGGCGGTTGTGGCGGTAGTTTTGCGACCTCTGGCCGTCTTCTTCCCGCCTTGGGTCATGGTGGATGCTGTAGTCATAACACTGTCGTCTTGGTCGATAGTGAGATCGGCAGTGGAGGGGAAATCAGAAGCGTGCGTGGCGACGGTCGCGACAGACTGCACTGAAAGTCTAGATGCTCTGGAGACCCTAGCTCCTTTGGCGCGTCCCTTCTTAGGAGGGGGATACTGGTTGAGGAGAGTAAAAAAGGGGCAGTTGGGTTCGCGTTTGTAGTGCTCAGCACTGTGCCTGGTGTCAGCTATGAACTTGGGTGAGTTTAAGCAGTATGGTGCGCGCAACATACTATGGATCGTCCTCAGATGCCCACCGCTCAAGCGCAAGATCGCAGTAGGCGCAGGTTGTCATGTCATCTGCCTCGAGTGACGGGGTATACTTCCATCCCGCCTCAACAAGCTACAAATGTGGAGTCAGAAAACCCTGAAAGCAGAGCTCAACATACCGCGGGCACACGTGCTTACCTTCTTTGTCTTGCACTTGAAGCCCTTCTTGGACTCATACGGCCATCGCCCCGCAAAGGTCGCCTTCCGCGCTTCGATCATAAATGGGTCGAGAGGATGGACCTTTCCATAGTTTCCATAGCCGGCCTCAATTGCCGCCATAATCGCCCAACCGCAAGTAGGCGAGTGCTTCAGATGTTCTTCTAACGGGTTGTCCCCCTCCTGCCATCCATCAAGAGGCTTTTCGCACAGAAAACAAACAACATTATCTGGATGATCGGGATACGGATCATAAAAAAAGCCGGCTTTCGCGAGCTGCGAGGACAAAACGCGTCAGCCATACCGTTAACCCTTAGCCTAATGTGCCGACAAAGGAATCGCCATACCGCGACTGGTGACAGCTTCTTATGCGGCCATTGCAAAGGCTTCGTCACGCGCGAATTGGCGCTGGGGAAGTGATGCGCAATCTGGAACGAGGCCAGGCGGTTCTCGTAAATAAAATACTGATCGAAATGGTCATCCATTGTGTGCTGAATCAATCAAAATATCGTTTCGTGCTGCGCGGAAAGGTCTCAAAGGAGGGGACGTGGTCGGCAAGGGAGATCGAACTCAAGGCAGAGTCCAGCTCATGGATGTCGTCACAGCCGTTTTGGCGCGTAGCGAAGTCGAATACGGGTTTATCTGAGGTTATTTGCGCTCTTGCGAAACTAGGAAAGCAGTAGGTATCTGTGGTCTGGCAATTGATAACAGCGATGGATGCTGCAAAACATTCGGCGCGTCAAGATTACTGGTGATGTGTTCGAAACGTCGCGCAGACGACGACAAGGAAAACGACGAGGAGTTTGTCGAAAAGGCAAGACTACAGATTAGGCAATTCTGATTGGTCAAAACTGCCGCGTTTGTTTACTTTCGCGTTTGTGGGGGGACCCAAGGACCATGTGGGGACGTGCATCCAAGCCTTGTTACACAGCCACATACAACTAGCCACCTTAGCCACATATTATAGCTGATCAAACATTTCTCTCCGTTCCACGCCTCAGGCTCCTGTTCCACACCAGCTCCGCTTGCAAATCAGGCTGAAGCTGGGTTCGGCCATTCGGCATCGAAAGATCCCAGCGCCTGTCTTTTGGTGGAGTTCGTATGGTGGCCCGCACCGAGTTGCTCGGGGGTTCGGCGACTGCAGAGTGACCTAGGTGATGGCTATGCTTGCCGCCCTACCCGTTCCTTTGGTCAAGTGCTCAGCCAACCAGCGACATCTTCTTGACCTTTTTTTACTGTTCCGTGTCCACCCTTTCTCACGTCTGTGGACCCTCCCGAACAAACTGTTCTCGACTGGGAAGGTGTGTTGAAGGGAAGGGCCGGTTTTGCCCGGGAGTCGTTCAGGCTCCCATCGGTCCTCTTTCTGAGTGATTTCACTTTTCTTTCAACGAAAGCTACTGCTGCCCATTCTGGGTGATGCGGCTACCTGAGGTTGATCAACACTCTATCTGGAACGTTGTCCTGTTACTGGGGCGTCAGATGGTTGCAACTGCTGTTGGATCAAGCTTTTTTAGCGCGGGCACCCGAGATTGCATGCGCGGCCGGGGAGTTTAACCACATCACCCGTTCTGTGGTCAAAGCTTCTTTTACCGTCCGATGATTGGCCGTTCTCCAGATTTTCCCCACAGTCTCGTCTCCGCCGGCTAAAGCGTCCATCTCATCTGGCTTCCATATTGTCGAGATTCGAGCGCTCAGTCCCGAGGTCTCTCCATCACGGGCATCACACTGGACCCTCGTCCCACTGTCTCAGGTTGACTGCTGCCCTCCGCTCACTTCTCAACGCCCGCTTAGCGCTTGAACTGCTCATAATCGACATCCTTGCGTGACCCAACCCCGGCGAACATAGCAGGGAGACCCGGCTTCTAGAAGGCCCTGAGGCAAGCTAAGAAATGAGGATGTCCTGGTTTCGGCGTTTTCACTGTCAACAGTTGCATAACGGAAATCTTATATTTTTTTTAAAAAAAAATGAGTTCCTCCCAGGCGTCAAGATTCTGTTGTTGGCTGGGCGGGTGACCAACCCCCGAGTCTTCATGTCCAAAGATCTGCTTACCATGTGGCCACACCACCCGCGTACATGTCTATCATGAACCCCATTGCTCTGAGTTATGTTCAAACGTAGGTTATCGAATGTGATAAAATTACACTCATTGCCATTGTCGGCATTCCCGAGCGTTCCGGGTATAACTGTCCATCATCCTCTGTTCCACCATCCTGCCCAGTATGCCCTAGCAGGGGTTGGCTGGTAAACCCTCAACTCCAACCTCAACCCCAGTATTGAGCTGGGGTTTGTGGGTGTCTAAAGTCTTTTAAAGTTCTCACCCTCCGCCAACTCGTGGCCTTCCCCGCAGTGTTGTCCGTTTTTCTTCTGGCTTCCTCAAGTTCGGGAGACACAGTTCCTAGCCTTACTGGTCCCGGCTTCATCACTTCAGCTTCAACCCCGAAGTATCCGACAGGTGCTTGGTGTCCCATCAACACTCCGGACACTCGCAAAATCCGTCCCTGGATCTCCTGCTTCTAGGTTGCTGTCAAGTTGACCGGTGCCGTCCTCCTTCAACCCAACGACCATGGCGGCCATCAACTCCGCCATGGACATGAACGCCCAAACCAACGGCAAGAAGTACGGCTTTGACGACCAAAGCCCAGCTGTCATGGATTCCTCATCTGACAACGAAGTTGGTGAAATCCGTCCGACCGCTATGACGGACTATGAGAAGCAAAAGATCGCGGAAGGTCAGGCCAAGTTCCATCAGCTCGGTTGGAAACGCCTCACCATTGTGCTGATTGTTACTGCCGTCGCCCTCGGCAGTCTCAGTCTCCCCGGGGCCTTCGCCACTTTGGGCATGGTCGCTGGTGTCATTCTCACTGTTGGCATTGGTCTTTGCGCGCTGTATTCTAGCTATGTGATCGGCCAAGTCAAGCTCAAGTACCCTCACATCTCTCATTACGCAGACGCGGGCCGCATGATGTTTGGCAAGGTTGGCTACGAGGTTGTCGGCGCAATGTTCGTCTTGCAGCTCATTTTCACGACTGGCTCTCACGTCCTGACGGGAGCGATCATGTTCGACAACCTGTCAGATAACGGTGCGTGTACCATTGCCTTCACTGTCGTCTCTGCCATCATCCTGTTCTTGGTGGCTCTCCCACCGAGTTTCTCGGAGATGGCCATCCTCGGTTACATCGACTTCGCGTCCATTATTGCGGCCATCTTAATAACTATCATCGCTACCGGCATCCGTGCGAGCGACGCCCCTGGCGGCCTTGCTGAAGTGAACTGGTCCGCATGGCCCAAGCCAGATTTGACATTGGCCGAGGCTTTCATCGCCATCACCAACATCGTTTTCGCCTACAGTTTTGCGCTCTGCCAGTTTAGTTTCATGGACGAGATGCACACGCCGCGCGACTTTAGCAAAGCTGTTATTGCTCTGGGTGTTTTTGAAATCGCCCTGTACACCCTCGTTGGTGCGTTAGTCTACCGCTTTGTCGGTGCCGATGTCCGTTCGCCTGCCCTTCTGTCGGCTGGTCCTACGGTTTCTAAAGTTGCCTTTGGCATCGCCATTCCCGTAATTTTCATTTCGGGCAGTATCAATACTGTGGTGGTTGCCCGTTATCTTCACGAGCGCATGTTCAAAAACTCTGTCATTCGCTACATCAACACACCCATGGGTTGGGCTACCTGGGTCGGCCTGGACGCCATCATCACTATCATCGCTTGGGTCATCGCCAGCGCTATCCCTTTCTTCTCGGATCTGTTGGCTATTTGCTCGGCTCTTTTCATCTCTGGTTTCACGTTCTATTTTCCTTCCATCATGTGGTTCATGTTTGTCAAGGAAGGGAGTTGGTTCTCATTAAAGAACATGGCTCTTAGCAGCGCCAATCTGGTGAACCTCATTGTTGGACTTGTAGTGCTTGGTGTCGGTACCTACGCTAGTGTCTGGGATATTGTGAGTAACCCCAAAAGCAAAGTTTTAGCCTTGGGCGATCAATTGCTGACCCGACTTCAGGACCACCGGTATGATCTGGGCATCGTTCCGGATCCGTTCAGCTGCGCGCCTCTTGGTTAATGTCTTGGCAAAAGTCTCTTTCTTGGGCGTGTGGCTTTTAGGTGCGAAAATAGGCCTCAGGTGGTTTACTGTAACAGCACTGGCCACGTCCTCAAGCTGTTTATTCAGGAAACGGACTTCTGACAGGAACATGGTCGTGATGATGTTTGACGATAATGATTTTTCTCATACTTTTTTTCTGCGTGGCAGCCGGAGTCTGGGGATTATGGTGGCGTTGAGATATCCTATCTTCAGTTGCTTATATCGCTCTACCCGTGGTGTCAACACGACAATTCAAGGGGGTTCTTCTGTTGTATTCTACTTTTGTATAACAATCGTATTTCATCATGGGATGGAAAAGGACATTAATTCGCTCGTTACAGCTTGGGTCTTCTCCTAAACATTACTGCCGTCGTAAGCCGAAGGAGCTGGCCGGAGTACTGCTAAAAGCATCTTTCGAATCTTTGCCTTTTACACGATGAAGATCACGAAAATTAACCAACTAGAATCCAAAGAACCGAAGATCCCCAAGAATATTGCTTTTCAAAAAATGATCTTGAAGCCGTACAAGAGACAAATAATTGTCACCAAGTATATACTGGCAAGGAAACGACGTTGACGAGAGTAAAAAGTTCCAAAAGAGGATGCCCAGTAACAGGATTGAACTGTTGACCTTCGCATCACTTAACATAGCCAGATCGCTATATTAGTACGACGCTCTAACCAGCTGAGCTAACCGGGCTTCTGATTCGTTGTATGTCACTTGCTCCTTAGCCCTAAGAGCTAGCACCGAACTTCCTTGAAAGTCACTATCCTCGCTTTCATCCCAACTCTCAACCTTCGACAATTTTCGGGGTAGCAAATGCATTTCCAGGCAGCAAAACAATGTATTCTCAAATCTGTCTTGCTCTACGATTGGAGCGACCAAACTGTCATGCTTCAAGAGCACAAGCCAAGGTGCTGGAGAGCCACAGGCCTCACACTGTCACTTCACAGGTGAATTCATTTACCGAGTCATTGAAGCATCAAGTGAACCCTCAAAACGCACTCAGTTCAGGTAGAGCTTTGCTGAAGTATATTGATAGGTCTTTTCAAGTCCTATGAATCCACCAAGTCATCTCCTATGCTGCTTAATCCGACAGGCCCAGCTCTTTGTAGAACGCCTCAGTGCTAGGCTTGCGGCCCAGGAACTGCGTGAGTGAGAGCATCTCATCCTGGCTGCCGCCCTTCTCCAGCACAGTGTGGCGGTAGCGGCGACCCTGAACGGGGTCCATTGGGTTGGTCTTGAAGGCCGTGTAGAACATGTCGGTGGAGTAAACCTGCGAGTAGAGGTAACCGTAGTAGCCGGCATCATAGCCGCCGATGAGATGGCCAAAGGTGGCTTGGCCATTGCCCCAAGTGCTGTGTCGAAGTCAAAGGTTAGCAAGGGGCACTAAATGAGGGAGGGCATGGAGGAATTAGAGGGGAAAAAAATTTACCTAGGCTCACCCAGAGCCTCGGGGCCCTGAATCTGAGAGATCTGAGCTCGCAGCTCGTTGTAAAGCTTGCTGACATCCAACTCCTCAAGCTCCCCATGATGCTTGGGGGTGTGAACAGCCATATCAAAGAGACCGAAGTGCAGCTGGCGGAGGTTGAACAGCGCATCGTTGACGTGCTTGGTAGCGATGAGCTTCTCAATGAGCTCATCCGGAATCTGGGCGCCGGTCTGGTAATGGCTGCTCAGGCTCTTGAGCTGGCTAGGGGTCCAGCACCAGTTCTCGAGCATTTGGCTGGGAGCCTCGACGAAGTCGCGGACAGTTGAGGTGCCATGATAGCGCGAGTACCGGGTGCGACCGGCCAGGTCATGAATACCGTGGCCTAGCTCGTGGAAGAGGGTCACGACTTCATCGTGCTTCAGTAGCGAGGGCTTAGTGGGGGTAGGCTTGCTGAAGTTGCAAACAAGAGCGGTAGCAGGGTAGTGGCGCGTTCCATCGGACTTCAGGAAGCCTGGCTGGAGGTTGAAGTTGGCAGCATGGCCATACTTGCCAGGACGTGGATGGAGGTCGAGGTACAGATAGCCAACAAAGCCATTGCCCTCGGTGTCGTCATCCCAGACGCTGAAGATGATCACATCCTCATGCCAGGCAATGTCCTCGGCTTTGCCAGTGGGCGAGATGCGCTTACGGTCCTCAGGGGTAAGCTCGACGAAGACCAGGCCAAACAGCTCTTCGAAGATACGAAGCATGCCAGCGACGGTTGACTTCAGAGGGAAGTACTCGGCGATGGCGTTCTCGTCAATGCTGTACTCCTGCTCGACCATCATCCGGTCATAGAACCTGTGGTCCCAAAGGTAGTAGTTTCCATCGAAGGGAAGACCACGAGCTTCGTGATCCTTCTTCTTGAGTTCCAGGAGATGTTCCCTCTCCTTCACGCCACCAGGGGCCAGACGAGTCTTCAAGTCATTCAGGAAGTCCAGGACAGCCTGGGGGGTCTTGGCCATCTTGTCCTCAATGCGGAATGAGGCATGGTCAGGGTAGCCGAGAAGACGAGCCGCCTCGTCACGGAGCAGAATGGCCTCCTTGAACAAGGGCACGTTCTGGTTGCACTTGTTCTCATTCGCAATGAACACCTTCTTACGAGTCTCGGGGTTCTTGGCAAACTTGAGCGTGGGGAAGAGGTCGGGATACTTGAAGGTAAGACGGAGCTTGCCCTCGTTCTCACCAGTGCCCTTCTCTAGCGTGTCCAAAACATCCTGCGGCACACCATCAAGCTCCTCGGGTGTGAACCACAGCCCGCCGTTCTCCTCGTTGAGGTTCTTCTGAAACTCGATCTGGATCTGGCTTAGACGCTTCTTGATCTCCTTGAAGCGGTCTCTCTGCGGACCCTCAGGGAGACCAAGGCCATTCTTGATGTAGCTCTTTCTTTCTTTGTGCAGTAGACGGGCGCTTTCAATGTCATCGAAGCCAACGCTCTTGGCCAGAGCCTCGTCAATCACGCGGTCCTTGTCCTTCTCGAGGGTCTCTGAGAGTCCGGAGTTCTTGTACACGGCATCGACCAAACGGAAGACGTCCTCACGCATGCTACACTCAATGGCGAACTCGTCTAGGATCTTTTCGGCCTCGGTAGAGGCATTCCGGAGCTCGCTATCGGCGCTGACATACTGGTAGAAGCCCAGAACGCGATTGCTGAGGGAAGCTTGGTTCTCGTCCTCGATCTGGGGCTTGAGCACGGACTCGAAGGTCGCCGAGGCGGGGTCCTCATCAGGCTTGATCGTAGCGACGAGGTTGTCCAACAACTGGCGAGTGCGGTCGCAAAGGGCCTTGGAGTCGGCTACAATAGACTCCTTGGTGCCAGTGAAGAGCGGCGGGGCCTGCGGAGGGTTCGCGTACTTGGACATGTCGATAGATGGAGGATGAGTCAATATGGACGGTTGCGACGAGTATGTTAGGGTTCCCACAGCCAATCGCCCAGTTGAGACAGCAGTGAAGCCTCCTCCAAGAGACACTTGATGGGGCTTCCTGTACCTCAGCTGGGTGAAGAGGGAAAATATGCGGGGGGTAAAGCGCGGGGCCGCCAGGATGATGGTCACAGAGGAAAAGGACACAAGGTAGAAAAGGAGCAGGAACACGCCCTGCCCAATTGAGCGGGGTGCGGGCGCCAGTTTGACGACGGGTCAGATGTGGCTTGGAAGCGGCAGATCGAGGGGCACAAGGTGCGGGGAACAATGACGGTGCGATTGTGGGACGCGCCCGGAAAGCAGCGGGTAGGCTCCAGGTTGACAGTCCACAAAGGCCACAAAATGTGACAGGAAGTTCAGGAACTGCAGCAGGGCGACTCTCGCCAACAAACGGATCCGATTTGAGCCAACAAGCTGATGCTATGCACAGAGCGCACGCTGTAACAAAGACAAGAACGACAATGAGGCCTCTGGATGAGCTCGAACCAAGGATTTCCGAGCTTGGAATGGAGGAGAGGAGGTTCAAGGTCGAGCTTTGTCCTTCCCTGCAGTTGTTGGTTCTCTGACAGTCTGCAGCGGCTCCCATCCACCCGCTGTGGGCGTAAGCTGCCAAGAATTCCCATCAGCGCGCCCGAAGAGGCGCAAAGACGTGGGGCACTTATGAGAAAGCTGGGTCTGTGCGTCAGTCAACGTTGAAACGGAGGTCGAGGATCTGTGAAAGGAAGGACAGCCATATCGAGAGACGGGAACGGATTATGGATGCACGTACCCCTGACATTCAGGCCTGGATGTACGCAATCATTCTAATCCCTAATGTAAAGTATGTAGGCATGCTGCTGTTTCGTGGCTTGCTGAGGTATCTATCTACCCTATCCCAACCTGAACACGCAGCACTAGCAACAAGACCAATCCAGGCGCCCAATTCCATACAGTCCAGATCACAAGATTAATGCCAGCCGCTCGTCACAGAATAAATGTAATGCTATCCGCGTCTCCTGTCGTATAGATTATTGCTCGTCGTCATAATCGTTGACCTCCACTCTTCTTGCCCTCGCCAGAGTAACGATGTCCTTAGTTGGAAAGGATGGTCCGGACAAGCTCTGGAAACGAAAGCTCCTCAGTACACACAGGTCCTATATGCACTTCCTGCACAGAGTAGACATACCAGTGTAATTCACCTGACCATTGCTCGTGTCGACGGCCTTGAGCAGCTCGTCGACCTCCTCCTCCGTCATCTTCTCACCCAGATTTGTCAGGATGTACTTGAGCTGGCCAACACCGATGAAGCCAGTCATGTCCTTATCAAACACCTGGAAACCGCGGCAGTATTCCTCGGGCTCGCCTGGGTCACGGAAACCGCCTGGCCGGTTGAGGATACGCTGGAAGGTCTCGAAGTCGACTGCGTGAACCATGCTGTTAGAACCAGATCTCGTAACATAGAAACTCGCGGTGGATGAAATGTCTTACAATCGCCACCAATGCTCTTTTCCAGCTCGCGAATCTCAGCCAGGGTCGGATTTTGACCGCAGGCACGCAGGAGGTCGCCTAGCTTGTCGAGGGAAACGCGGCCGACACCGCGGGTGTCAAAGAGAGAGAAAGCCTCCTTGTAATTTGTCGAAGCCTACAAGCCATAGAGATTAGACGCCATTTTGGACACCCGATCTCGTAAATATGTTGAAAAACAGACGCTCGGAGTGCAGGGCCGAAAAGGCGGAGAGTTCAACCCCTGCGCCCAAGCAACACGGAGTCGCCGCAGATAACCGTTGCTTGCAGAGACACAACAGGAAAGATGCAAAGAGTTCATGCGGCTGTCGTGTTTATGGCGATCTCGAGGATTTCCAGGGTATTGTGCTCTGTCTCGCCGGGAATGGCCTCCTGCACTCACAGCAGGCATATCGGGCTTCCGCTGGCCGCACAGTCTGTGCTTGCTAAAGATTGTGGTCAGACTTACCATCTTGAGAGAGTCTGAACGAGAGTCGCGGTTTCGCTACGAGGATGTTGATGCGGACGTGATACAATGGGGGTTAGCGATGGTGGAAGCGCTGGCAGTCTGCACTTTAAGTCGGGCGTGGGAACAACGATGATGATTCGTCGATTGTGGCGGTCCAGCAACCTCAGCCTGTTTGATTATCAAGATTGTTTCACCGGGCAACCGTCCCACCCTTCGTATTTTTCCTCCTTTTTCCTCCTCGCTGCTTGACCTTCTATCAACAAAACATGCTACTAACCCAGTATATTCAAGACAGAAATTCTGCAAAATGACCGAGAATATTAAAGAGGTCTTTTAACAATACACAAGTTGGACCTCCAAGCGCTCAAGGCGACGAAGAGCCCTTGCACCAAACGCTTGATCCCCACTGTGAGGTGCCCCGCACCCCCCTCAGCTGTAACTTTACTCAGGGTTAGGGTTATATCTTACTGGTTTCCACGGTTCAACAGGCCTGCGAACATGGTTTGACATAGAGTGTGTCTCACTCGAAACCTTCGCAACACATCCTCTAAATCTTTATATCAGCCACTATATTCCACAGACTCATGATGTGAGAGCAGAGCCATATAATCCTCGAATTAATCATGCAGCTTCTCTAGTTGGGTACTTACTAGGCAGATGCGTCCTGGGATCGTTAGTGGGGTCATTGATGTTCCTCCGGAGATGCGGCAGTCAACACTCCAGACTAGCAGCGATCCTTACGCCGAAACAGAAACACTGGGTCTAGATGCTTTTTAAATATGAGCAAGTTTTTTTCCCCTCTCTGTACTCGTTAATGGATTTGAGTGAACGCTCTTTATGACATCGAGAATGCTAGGCATGGCAAAGTGGCTTGTGATACCGGCGGTTGCTTTCCGGCTACCCTCTAACTCCACCCCCGCATTCCGCCTCGGCTTCGGTATCTTACAATACAACAGCCTTAAATCCCCCTCTCTGACGGCTCGGGTCCTGCAACAACAGCACGTATCATCTTCCACAATGGCAGCAAGTGACGCAACGCTGCGGGCTTTCTTTCAGTCCGCCAAGTTTGCCGTTGTCGGCGCCAGTACAAACACCGAGAAATTTGGATATAAGGGTAAGCTCCAATCTACTTCGTATTTCCGAGCATTTGACATGCACTGTAGTGTTTTATAGCTGCTAACGTCAAGGGAAGTTTTCCGGTGGTATGCTATACGGGGTTTACCTGTGACGCCCATCAATCCAGGGGCAAAAGCTATTGAAGTTGATGGGAAGGAGTATCCTACCGTGGCATCGTTGTCAGAGTTGCCTAATCCGCAAGAGACATCTGTTTCCATCATCACCCCTCCTCGGGTTACTCTTAAGACTCTTGAGGAGGCGAAATCTCTTGGAATCCAGTCTGTGTTTTTGCAGCCGGGGACTTTTGACGATGAGGTGTTGAAGTATGCCAATCAGAATTTTAAGACTGTTCTGGCTGGCAACGGCGGGGCGGGGCCCGAGGGCTGGTGCGTGCTAGTCGATGGTGATCGCGGTCTCAGGTCTGCTGGAAAGCTGTAACTTGGGGAATGAGCTCAAGTCATGCGTTCATCTTGTATTTAAACCTCTCACAATCCTTCCTTTACGACTTACGAATGTATGACACACGACTTCAGCGTAACACTTATTCAATTAGATCTAGCTGTCGTTGTCAACTTTGACCAACCTGTACCTCACATTTTCTAATCCCAAGTCTAACTACTGGACTAGAGAGGCTTTTATTTTCGCTCCTAGCTGGTTCTTCATTAGGAGCTTCGCTTATTTTTGTCTATCTCTAGCCAAAAGCCATAAGTACATTGTCTGCCGCGTAGGTCAATTAAAGTTAACAACCTCCGATGAAGCCGAGAGAAGAATGGAATGCCCTAACTGGTTTCTAACCGGTTTTCTAACCATGCGTATCATTCTAAAATTGTTTGTCCGTTTATGTAATTGAGCCTATTCATTGATGCGACAATCCAGCTGTCACAACCACAAGAGCTCTATCTGGAAGAGTGGGTTCCGTACAGCCAACCGACCAGAGTAAAAGGGAGTTGTTACCCATCAAACACAGATATCTGTTCTCAACGGCCCCACGCATTAGAGAGGCGTTCCTCAACGCAAAGAGGCATTAATCCTTCAACACTCAAGGATGTTGAGCATCAACGGTCTGTGCCACTGACGAGGAAGGAGCAAAGGAAGCCACAGGAGTATGAGATATAAATAGATTCCAGGCAGGGCCATCTGGCCGAAGAAACTCCCCAGTCAGCAATACAAATGGTTGTCTACCTAAGTGGTGACCACAGCAAGCACTTTGACAGTGTGAGAACTCCAGTCTCTCGGTCCAGCAGCCTGGTGCCTCTCGAGCCCACCTCAGGAGGTGTATCCGGATCATCACACCATCTAGCCTTCTTGAGATGGGTTTCGGGTTAGTTCAAAGCTAATGGATTATGGATCTGAGAGACAGGAGTTCTCGCATAGATTCATAAGCTCTGTGGTCACCAGGTGGCTTGGGCAACTGTATTGCTGATCAGGGGGCTCTTCCTCCACTTTTCTCATGAGGAATCTATCTACCTCATATACAGATGATCCATCATTGTTTCTAATACCGAAGGTCTTTCTTCGTCAGTGACACTTGGCTCTGACGACCTTTCGTTGATGACTCCTGGCCCTTATTGGTTGTTTCAGATTTGCGCGAACTGCGTCTTCATTGGCCCTTTGTGCCTGATCCTACTTTAATCTCCTGATATCCCATGTTGGCCATGACAATTATATCAAGCTTGAACTCGGCTCAACTTCTTCTATCTCCTTTGTGGATAACGTATCATCAAGGAGCATGAGGAGTCATTTGGAGAAGGGGTTCAAAGACACCGAGACGTTGATACGGTCCGTGCGCAACCACCCTAAGATTGGAACAGCCTGCAGCGATTACCCTTTGAAAGAGCTATAGATAGAATATTGCGATCGTAAACTTGAGTGCTTCGAAATATAAGCAGTTCAATGCATACTATTAAGGCTTCTACTACAATTATGATGTCACGATCAACAAGGGCATCACGCAGGAAGAGAGGGGCGCAAAGGACCAACAAAAACGTGGCTCACGTGGACCCGAGAGAAGTCGGTAGGCCAAGAATCGCTGACTGGGGACCAAAAGACCCCTAAGGAATAAACTAAGGCTTGAGTATAAAAGGCAAATAGACTCCTCGTAGGTAGAAGAGGAGGGGGAACTCCTCAGTCAACAATACAGACAGTCGCCCAGACCAACGGGTGACCGCAGTGCTTCCGAATCTGTGTGAGAACTCTGGTCTGTCAGATCTTTAAGCCTTGGACCAAGCCCGAACCCATGTCAGGAAAGGCTAGTTGGATCGTCATGTATGATGATCAAAGCTTAGCTTGAGCTTTATAAACAGAAGTAGAGACTCTTAGGGTATCAATCAATAAGCTTTTTATGCCCTTACGCTAAACGCACGGGCCACTTAATGCTACTAAAAAGTAGCTCCTTCCTATTGCTGCTACTTCTTCGATGAAGACTTCTTTGCGTATTGATTCCATGTTTTATATTTCTGCCTTTCTCATCTAATTTCCACTCTCTAATTTTAGCATGATTTTTACCGAAGCCGGACTCCCAACCTAACCGTTGGTAGCTGCAATTACAGTCGATCCTTTTCGCTTAGTAAATTGGGATCCTGTGGATTCTGCAAATCATCGCGTTCCACGGTTACTGTCCCAAGGTTGTGGTTTCTGGCTAGCCTTGGCATTCCTGGTAAGCCGCATTGGATGGTTCCCGCGCGCGTCACCCGCGTCTTTCGCGTTCCCCGCGTTTTCAAGGGGGAGTTGAACACCAGCACAGAGCTTCATCAATCGGATCGTCAAGCTAATGTCCAAAATGACTGATAAGACTGAGAATATCCTTGACCCAGGGTGAAATTGGTCGGGTTGCTGGTTGGGAGGGGGGTCGCAGGCCAATTTTATTCCCGGTCTTCTATCTCTCATTCCCTGAAGCCGCTGATGATGATAGACTGAGGATGACAGAGACCGAAAACTCTGTTATAGCCAGGCCACGGAGCGTTGCGGCCATGGATGCCTTAACCCCAGCTAATGCCACGGCATCGTCCCGACAAAACGCGACACCATCCGTCAAGCCTATCTATAAGATGAAGCGAACCGGCACTGCAAGTTTGCCGGGGAGCCTCCCTTCGTCATCGGGTACCGGCTCCGCGCGTTTATCTGCAACAAATAGGACCATCGGAACCTCCATATCTTCCACGGCCCTCCCTCAGCCTGTTTCCGACGCTAAGCCGGAGCCAGCCAAGATTGTTAGCGACATTTTACCATCTGCTTCAACTCCTGGAGTAACAACAGCATCCGTCACACCGAAGTCAATGCCCTCATCGAGTGGCTATAAACCAAAATATGCCACTGATGAAGAGCGGAGGAAGGCCATTAGTCAGGCCTTGAAACGTATGTATCTTGATTCTTTCCTCGGGCCCGAATTTCTGTCATTACTAATTCAAGAGCCTTTATCAGAGAGATGGGCTTCCGGCAGAATGGATCATGTCCACAAAAAGCGGGTAGAGACGTTGAGAAGGAGACGAAAAGAAGCTGCCCTAACCAAGTTCCTTGCTGTTAGCGGCACGAAGCTAAGGAGCTCACCAAGCGACCCCAAACTTTTGCACCGTTCTGCCCCTACCAACAGTTCCCACAAGCAGCAATTCCTAGCATCTGATCCATTTGACCGCTTTCTTGATGACCAGTCTTCGGAGCCGGATTTCTATCTTGATGAACCATCACCGGGCTCGCCTAGTCAATTCGATGATGATTCCACTACTACGGGCACGGCATCAGGACGAAACGATGCTCACTGGAGTTTGGAATTGTGGAAGTATCTTCAGCCTCATCTGATCAAGCACAAGGGCCCTGTTCCTCCCAAGACAGGATGGGTTCGGCAGCTCCTACCACTTCCTCGTGTTCGTGATCTCGACTGGAACGAGGCCTGGCTTGTTGAACACCCCTTTTTGGACTCAAAACCTAGGGATGTGTCTGCACTTATCATCCAAGTTACAGGCGAACTTGCCCCCCAACCATGTGAGAAATGTCGCAACGGCAGAGGCCCGTTCAAGTCCTGCATTATGATGTCTTCTAAAGCCCATAGTGGCCCGTTACATAACGTCGTTTCTTGCGCCAATTGCTTCTATCACTTCGGGCAAACGTATTGCACAAACAAGGAACTAGGCAGACAGAGAGCAGACAACATCCTGCGCAACAGGATTCGACCCATAGGCAGTCAGGATGATTCGTTGGGGGGGACGGGTTCAGACGAAGAATGCATCGACAAGATGGAAACAGACAATGCTCTCGATGAGGTGCCATCGAAAGGAGAGGAGTTTCGTGCCGCGCTCACACAGGCCGAGCCTGGTAGGCCATATAACATGTGGCCAGGTATGTGCTCATTTGTGCATGTTCGACTCATTTATTGGAAACTCTAACAATTCAGTAGACCGTACTGGGCAGCTTTTCAAGCTTCCTGGAACTACTCTACTTCCAGCTGGCTACAAGCTCGATTCAACATTTCCGGGGCGTCCATGGATTTGTCCAGTACGCACATGCCGGAAAGTATTTCCCAAAACTGCTGATCTTGCGTACCATTTTGAGGTATGGATGCTAAAGACGCCAACCGCATAATGGTGTTGTCCTGCTTATATGTTGGATTTAGAGGATTCATTTCGCGACCTGTTTGAACGACAATGGCGATGGGACTTTTACCGTAAAGGGTACTTACCTGTCAAAGCACGATAGCATTGGGAAAGGCGGGAAAATCCTGCATCCAGCACCGCCCATTGTGGTTTCCAAGGAGCCGATCAAAGATGGCTTACCACTCCCCAAGCCTCAGCTTCCGACCTACCTCGCAAATAACAGGTCCTTCAACGAGGTAGCCGAAGAGTCTAATTATGCAGACAATGAGCAGGACCAATCACCGCCGTACAGTCTTCGGCCTCGTGTGCACCAAAATGCCAGTTTTACTACTCAGCTATCTCGGTCACAGTCCACTTCGGCATTGATCTCCCGAGGGAGTTTCGAAATGTCGGGGGATATCCTTGAGATGGAGGACTGGGAAATAGCTCCTGGACGCATCAAAGATTCGTCAACGACCAACGGCCAGTGTAAGTCAACTATACCTATTCCTTGAGATGATCTCGAGACTCACACGCTAACAAAATATCAAGCAATTGCTTACTCCAAGGCATTTTTGGAAACGAGCAAAGCTGTCCCGGTTTGCGATGACGTTTTCTTTCGCGTGGATACTATTCCTCCAGGCGGCGTACTTCGCCTGGAGCCTGAAGAGGCGCAGATGCGCCTCTGCTCCATTGCTGCAGGCAAGGTTCAAGTCAAACTGGGCGACGTGGGTGAGTTCTTGCTTGGCCCTCATGGCATGTTCAAGGTCAAGCCTGGTGTCGAATGCCATGTTACCAACCGGCTTTACTTGGACGCTGTCTTGCACACGACATTATTACAAGGCTTTATATAATACATCTTTCATGGCTATGACTCATCGCACAAGGGATTGGGAGCGGCTGGGTTTCTCCTGCGACTTATGCATTAAATATTAAGGGTAAGGGATCTTCCAGGTTATGAGCTATTATCATTATTGAACTATTCCTTCATGAGTACATAGTTTTTTGGAGCTCGACTCTACAGTAGGGCTGCAATCTACTTTCCAAGTTACCATTGATATGTGTGGCCATAGGAGCTAAGGTGGTGTGTCCTCGCCATACCAATTTCAGGGGCCACAGGGCTGGAGAGTTAGTGACATCATGGGGGTTGTGGATAAGAGAACCAGTGACGGTTAGTATGTCGTCACCAAGTCCTACGTCATCACCGTTCAGAGAAGGTCTGTATATACATGCCTTCTGCTCCGGATCGTACCCGTCCTTCCTAGATCCTTTGACCATTTACAAAAGTTTGGTTTGAAAAGAGTTTTCTCAATCAACAGCAGTTTACTCTAGCAGTCACAATGAATCCCTCAAACACATCTGGTGCACAGAAAACCCCGGCGAACGCCAATGTGGGTGAGGATAAGCCGAAGATGTTTGACGAGCACGGCACGATTGGCAAGCAATTCACACGTATGTTCCTGATATATTGGGTTTAAGGGACTTTAGATTCTGGGATGCAAAGCTAACGGAGCAAATAGCTGAGGGAGCTATTGGAGGAACTGCTCAGAAGATCGGCGGCCCCTTAGACAAGGAGGGCATGATTGGCAAGCAGTTCACCACTGAGGGAAGCATTGGAGGAACTGTGCAAAACATGATGGGCGGGACTAAGAAGAAGTCAAACTAAGGTCACAGGTTGTGTAATGGATATTGTTTTCATGCATGCTGACCACCTTCCCCGGTATGCATGATGCGGCTGTTTGGAGCTCTGGGTTTCTCGCATAATTTTATAATGGTGTTTATTTTTAAAGAACACCAAAATACACAAGAACAACTGGTTCAATATGTAAACAATTCATGACTTGCTAGGGATACTCTCAAAAACTCATAACCTTTGCGGAACTGCAGCAACAGTACTGAAACCGCAATTGAAACCTCATAAAGCTCACTGGCGCGCATACCCCAGAGTCTAGGGAGAAAGCTGAGAATTACCCTCTTTGTAAGGTTCCTACACAGACGCACTGTCACGCACTATTGTCAGAACTAAAGCTAGGACCTAGGAAGCAGATATTATTGTGCTGTACTGATTCTTTCAGACGAATGTGACCAGCTGCATTGCTTTCGATGCCAGACACGGGACTATGACGCGTCAAACGTAAAGTGTCTGAAACCAAATCGTAATGAAAGTGGTGTTGCACCAGGATTGTGGCTATCTCACGTATTCGACCTTCTGTACTGGATTGATATCAACCTGTTGTTGCCATCGAAAACCATACAACTTATTCTGGCTGTTCTTTCCTATATGATAAACTGAGAATCATAAAATTCGAAGATGATGGTCACCCAGTCCACAAGATGTTACTGTCCTCTCACACCTCTCAGAGTTTCTTCCGTAGACAACCGCGAACTGCATTGCCTGCTGTAATGCATGGGGGTAGCTCAAGGAAACACCAGGAAACTAACAACTTTTGAAGTGCACGAGGAGCTTAAGACATCTTCTTCCAGTTCCTTTATGCTATTGAATAGTTTCGGCGAACAAAAGCCGCCTCATTTTTGCGTCAACACCGCTGCCAGAGACTCATCAGTTCCAGAAATCGCCAAGATAGAACGGCGACGGTCGATGTTACCGGTCCCACGGCCTCCCACGGCCTGGAGGCAGTGGAACACCAAGAACCCAGCACTCAGGCTTAGAGCTGAGCTGGTTGGCGCGACTTTGGCAACTGTTTTCATCGGCCCGGTCATCTCCATTATTGACCGGTAGGTTGAGTCAGGCTATTTACCTTGCAGATTGCCTGAATCTCATCCAGGCCTACAATTCTGACTGTATCCCCAGCTCCATTACCGAAAATGCCTCGGGCAGACGTACCCTCGCGCCTTCTCTTAAGCACTTTTTTTCCGTTCCCTTTTCCTCAGACCCCAACATTTCCTGAGTTCCTGGCCCATCACCCATCTTTTTGCCCTTTACGGGGGCACCTACCTAACTGCAGGCACCGTCGACGTTGTTTCCTTGACTATCAATTCCCTCCGGCAACCTATGTCACCTCAGGCGTGGGTAAGTTTCGCTGCATCTTTATCAGCGAATGTTGCCCTATGCACCTACAAAGACCAAGCTTTTATCCGTTTGTTGGACCCTCCAGGAGGAGGCCCCGCAGTCGTACCCCGACCAGTAGCACCTCCAAGCTATGAACTCTTCGCGCTGTGGGATTTTATGACCGTCTTCTTGTCGTTCAATGTGCCACCGTTATCTAGTCCAGTTCTTTCCTGAAAGATAGGAAACAACATGGAAGGACTGGAAGCCTGTGTTAGCGGACAGACATTGGCATAGCTCGCTACATAGACAATGGTTCCGATAGTGAGCACTCCTATACATTTACTGGGGCTCGACATTTAGAACAGGCCAACGGTGACGGCTAGCTGAAGGGTCCAATGGAAGATAGTTCAGAGAAATTGGGGGTGAGTCTCGTAGCGAGGGCTTGCAGGACTGTAACTGGTTTTGGGGTTGGCGGAGTGTTGAGTTGTCGAGTAAGGAGGGGGCTGATGGAGAGGTTGGAACAACGATCTACTGGGTAGAGGAGGGTTTGCTGTCGGGATCATCAACTCTGAGATGTTTAAAGTCTTTGGGATGGGAGGTTGTGTTACTGGGCTAGGGCAGTGAGATTTTCATGTTGTTCATTTCTCACTTACAGGTCCCGATATGCTTCTTGTACTCTTCCCTGCCAAGATTGCAACAAGTCCTGTGGCAAAAACAAAAAATTAATAGTAATGCAAAAACTTGCTTGAACTCTTTGAGGAGTATTTTGACAATCGACGTGGGCCCGATTCGAACGGACGCTCCCGAAGGAACAAGATTTCTAGTCTTGCGCATTAGACCACTCTGCCACCACGCCTGATGTCAGGGGTGTGCCGGTATCTCAACCCTCATGCTTCATCGCGACCCAGGGGCCCGCTGAAACTCAAGCTCGATGTAACCTCTTAGATAAATCCAGCTTCTTTCAAGCGCGCCTTGATTATCTCATGCTCTTGCTCCGCCGGGTCCTTATACCCCTTTCCTTCCCCAGTATCAATAAAGTTAATCCAGAACTTCAAGCCTTCGATACCCTCCTCGCGACACACAACTCCTCTCTCTTCAGCCATCTCCAGCTCCTCTTCAGCCACACCAATACTCCAACCAAATCTCTCTGCCACATCTCTTGCCGTGACCCCCCGCCCAAACCTGTGCCAATCCCATGGGACCTCTTTTTCAGGAGGGAACTCTCGCAAATCCTGTAACCAGGACAAAATCGCCTGGATGGTAGCCTCGTCTGTCCGATCCTTGCTCTGCACTACTTTGACCCCCGACTTGAACGTCCTCAGTCGCAGCGGCAGGTTCAGCTTCTCAAACAAGTTTACCGCCTTCTCGAAGTCTGCAGGGCTGACCAACTCCACGCCGCCACGGGCCCGATTAAACATGGCCCATAAGTCAACCAGCGAAATGATGCCGCCAGCTTTCTTGAGCACGCCCCGTTGGTCGTCAGTTAAGAACTCGGCCAGTGTACGGGCTAGCTCAGAATGGTAGAGCGAGTCGGTGCCACTGCTACTGCCAACAATGTCTTTGGTGGTGATTAAACCAAGCTGGCTGACCGAGTCGGCAAGCAAAGCATTCTCACTAGCACTTAATCCTCCTGATGCCCCCTTTACTTGACGAGCAAAGTCCTCGGCAAGAGCAACGATCTCTTTGGCTGAGGCCATCAGTGCTTCGAGGTCTTCGAATGCACTGCCGATCATGATTTCGTTGTTCTTACGCATGGCTTGTCCGCGGCGCTCGAGACCTGCGATACCTCCGATCTTGGGCTTGTCCCTGGCTTCTAGATCCGTCCCATTACTAGTTCCATTGACAGCATCACCCGGTCGAGAGGGCTTGGGAATTGGCGGTGCGCTCTGGAGAAGCCACTTCCTTTGAGCCATGCAGCTCTTCAGTCGCTCATAAAAGGTTTTTTCTCCTCCTCCACGAAAAGAGATTTTGACACTTTCTGGATTTTCGAGGTTGGAGGACCCGATACCAGACGAAGTGAGATACGGGCCAGGGGACCCAGTATCAGCTCGGATTTGCTGTGCAATCTCAGGCGGGATATCTTGAGAAACCAGGGGCGCACCACACATCTCGCAGGATAGAAGCGATGGGTGGTTTAAGAACGTACACCGGGGACACTGAAATGATCCATCAGAGTTTGAGCTCTTCTGTGCACTGTCCCCAGTTGTCGATTGCTCAGAGCTGTGACTCTGCCAGGCGTCCTGTTTAGAATGGAGAGTAAGAGAAGTCGATTGCCTGTTGGTCGCGTGGGCTATTGTTGCCTTCAAGACATGGGCCAGAGTCGGTTTAATACCACATGCTAAGCATGGAGCAAGCGGGGTATGGATACTGGCAGTCGTAGGGTCAAAGTTGGATGGCACCGGGTTTGAGAATGTACAGATGGTACAGACCCATGTCGCCGTGGACACTGGAGATGCTTGCAGTGCCGGTGCCACAGGCTGACGATCTGACTGGTGACCCAGTGATGCAGTCCCATGATGCGAGGAGATTCTAGAAAGGCTAGTTGGCTGAGGGTGAGCTGAAGGCCGTTTGTTAGCCTTAGGAAAGAGGGTTATTTTAGGAGAAGACTTGAGGAATCCTCCCTGAAGAACAAAGGTTAGCCCTGTAAAGGGTCAAGAAAGTTTTAGGCAGGATCTTAAGGCATACATAGAACTCATAGCGCTCGATATCCTTGAGATCCAGGGCGACAGAATACTTCCTCGGCTCTGCCTTGTCGATGTAGCAGATGCGATGCGAGGTCAAGTAGATCTGCCCATTTTGGTGGTTAGGTAGCTTGTACTTGCTGGACAAGGAGACAGGAGGCTTTGTGTCAGCAAAGGAGCACAGCAGTCTTGCACAAAACCTATGGATCATGAATGATGGCGACAGCCATATCTTGAGAACTGATAGGGCACACTCACCCCTCATATAACCCCACATTGTCCTGCACAAACAACAAGTCTTCATCGGGCAGGTACGAAGGCCGCAAAGCCGTTGTCAGGTCGATATGCTTTAGGAACATTCGTCATAGTTGGGCACAATCTGTCCCGGATTCTATTCAACTGTGATCGAGGGTCCGACTTTATGGCCGCAAGACTGCTTCAACTAGTCACTTGTCGGTGACTCGGTGACTTGGTGTTATATCCGCTGCGATCCTATGAATCGGTGCTTTGTTGGAGTGCTCAATTGACGTAATCTCAACCCTGGCAGCTGGGACAGCCTGCACGCTTAGCAGCATTCTTGCGGTAACCTGGACACGAACCTCCTCCTAATTACATTGCATATTGCATAATCCATGCAACACCCCCTCGGTCAGTATCACGTGATCAAAGTGCACAGATCACAACCCAGACCACGAGCATCATTTGCGATTCTGGTTTGCTAACTTCCGCCACTGCTCTGTGTGAGTTCCATTCCCATTCCCACTCATCCAAGATCACATCCCTCCGTTTACTCTCCCTCGATTCGTTCTTATTCCCACAGCATCACCAGCACCCTTCGACTTTGTAGCATCGCCTATCTTGGTTCCCGATTTTGTTGGACGACTTCACTTTCCTTATCCCCTTTACAATACCGCATCACGGTTTCTGTCGCTGTCACTAGTCAGTGAAGAGAAACTGCATCATGATGCCGACGTGGCCAGCCGCTGCTCCCCCTCCCCCTGTGGGAGCCCAGCCGGCTACTCCTTATGCTGCCTCTTATCCACGTGAGTTTTGGATCCTCATTCACAAACGCACCATGGCCATTTCACATGCCACGCGTCGCGTTCGGTTCCAATTGCAATTCCATGTGTATTTCACTCCAGACGAAATGGTTCCTAACTAGAAGTTTAAGACCCTGCCTATACTCCCGTCCAAGCCCGACAGTCGTTCGGCCAGTCTTATTCTACCCCGCAATCTACAAATTCTTATCCTGTCACAAATACTTACGCCGCTTCCCATAACCCATCACCTAGCGCAGCCAACTCTACCCCCACTGCCGACTCTCCATCATCATCTTCTGCGCAAGATCAGCCGAAAAAAAAGTAGTCGACTGGCCTGATTCTGTCCGTCGTTACGTCCAGCGTTGTTTCATGCCGAGCAACCTTGATCCCACCGTCTCTAGAGCCGACCTGGAATCAAAGCTCAAAGAAACTATCACCTGGGCTAACGAGCAAGGTGTTATGCACACCCTCGATTGGGACTCGATGCCCCTCCCTCAGCAAATGATACGTGACGAGCGTACTAGAGCACTCCTTGCCCCCCCTCCGCCACCTCCGACTGCGCAGCCACTCCAACAGACCAACGTCCAGATGACGAACGAAATCACCCTCCCTGTTGGAAAGAAGAGGAAATCGATGGATGGGACTGACGTTCCCAATCTTTCCTCTGCCTCAGCTCTTCCACCTTGGAGGACTGCATCTCTTCGATTAGAGGATCGTGTGTCCTCGCCTTCCGATAAGAACATGGGCGCACCCGATTCTCCTAAGCAATCGAGTAAGTTCGCAAGAATGGAAAAGCGACTGAAGCGCTTTGAGGGCGAGTACACGACGTACCGTGAACCAACCCCGCCCCCTACTGCTGGACCAATAGTTGGCACCTGCCAAGATCTGGAGAAGCCCTATCTTCGTCTGACCTCTGCGCCCAATCCGGCCAAAGTTCGCCCTCCTCACATCTTGCGGCAGTCTTTGGAGCTGCTCAAGAAGAAGTGGAAGCAAGATCAAAACTACGGCTACATCTGTGATCAGTTCAAGTCCATGCGACAGGACCTCACAGTGCAGCGTATTCGCGACGAATTCACAGTTGAAGTATACGAAATTCATGCCCGGATTGCCTTAGAGAAGGGGGATCTCGGTGAGTATAATCAGTGCCAGACCCAGCTCAAGAGCTTGTATAAGCTGGGCCTGAAGGGCAAGCCCAATGAGTTTAAGGCATACCGTATTCTGTACTACATCCACACAGCAAACCGCACAGAGCTGAATAACGCTCTGGCAGATCTAACCCCAGCAGAGAAAAGGGACCCAGCAATCAAACATGCGCTTGATGTTCGCTCCGCCCTCGCCTTGGGCAACTATCATCGTTTCTTCCAGCTCTACAATGAGACGCCTAACATGGGCGCCTATCTCATAGATATGTTCGTTGGCAGAGAACGTCTCGCTGCTCTTTGCGCCATTTGCAAAGCGTACGCATCTCATATTATACTCAAGAGTTTTTATGGAGCATGTCGCTAACTCTGCTTCTAGATACAAGCCCGATGTTCCTCTGCGCTTCGTCACTGAGGAACTGTATTTCGAATCTGACGTCGAAGCCGCGCAGTTTATCATCGACAACGGAGGCCAAGACCTTCTCGAGGACCGGAATGGCACCATTGTGTTTCTCACTGCCAAAGCTGGCCAACGCTTCGAGGGTCCCAAGGCCGCTGCCTTCTCGCGCATCGACATCAAGGGCCAGATCTAACTGGCTAGTCCTGCCATATTGCCCTTGTGTATCACCTATCGGCCGTTATCATCGACACTAGTTTGAGCCCTTGGTTTTAGGGTGTTTCTCCCTAATTCTTTCCCAATTTCTTTTCACGTAGTATTTCATTTGTTTGTCTTCTATTCGTCGGAGCTCGCGGGCTGCGACTTTGAGCCCTTGTGCAAGGCATATCGGGATTTGACTCAGCGACCGCGTTGTGTCTCGTTCACAATTTGGTTCGCCCCTAGCTCACTGATTTTTTTCTCCTCTACTTTTGGTGGACATTTTCGACCTGTCCAGGTCTTTTGTGGTTGCCGACAGGGACGCCGGCATAGTGACGCGGCTTGGCTTATCAAGGAGCTCACTTTTGCCCGACGATCGGCATATATTCTTCCATGTTTACGAAGATACTGGATTCCCGTTGAGGCCTCCGTTACGGCCATGTTCTACACATGGACCGGACATTGCTCATCAGTTATTGCAAGAGGGAGCTCACGACAGGTCATAACACAGCGAGACAGCAACAACTTGGCAGGCCTGAAAATTCTGGGCTAGCTCAGGCGATTAAGTACATTTGCCGTTCTGATACCCATCTATGGTGAACTGCACGGCATTCTGGAGTTGGCGGCACTATCTGGAAGGCACAACAACCTAGCATGTGGTTCTGGGAAAACTGGTTCCCGGTCTAGGGAGTTTGGCGTTTGGGTGGTACCCCTGTTATGCATAGACGTCTTCTAGTGTAGAGTTCATGGCCCTGCTGGCACTCAATTCTATGAAACCGCTTGCTTTATCACATTTTGTGCGTGAGGTTGACTCCCAGTTTTCAACGCATTGTAATGGCAATCGGGTGTGATCCCGAGGACATAACCTAGACCTCGAATCCAGGTTTGTGTTTGGCCCCTTGGACTGGCTATGTCCATTGTTCTCTGACAGGATTCTTCCTGGGTCAGTTGCTTGGTTTCTGTTTCAGAACACCCCTTCTGAAATTCTCGGCCCGGGTTTGTACCGATCGGCACAGCACCGATCCGAGGTAGATAAAAAATGCTTGCGAGGGATAGGCCTAAAGTTTCTTGTGCTTGGGTCATACTTCTCTCCATCACAGCAAAGACTCTGCTTGCGAGAAAATGCTCTGAAACAGGGCTAACTGCGCTGTTGGATTACGAAGGTAAGTTTGGTTATCTGCAGTAAATGCTGAAGGGCCGAAAAGCTTGTTATACATGGTTGATCAGAGGTGAAGACGTGTTTCCTCTCAGAGCCAAGTAACTGGCCGTAAAGTCCTACAGTCACGGTCAAAACGCCAGGGTGCTGGGAAGAAACTGATGCAAAGGACTTTGCTTGGGATTTTCTTCTTCGGGAGCTCCAGGGCCCCGGCGGCTGGGCGAAGAGCTCCGGGATTTCTTTGCAATCCATGCAGATTTCCTTGACTGCAGGGTTTAAGAAACACATGGAAGGTTAGATACCTGTCTCTCGCACTGACCAATTACAGCAGCATTGGCCCGGATCGAGACCATGCAAGTAGTTGCTGCAAGATCCAGGGGGCTTTTATTTTGAGATATCCCACAGGAGAGAGTGAAATAGGCATATTTGAAAGTTGCGGTCCTCGGTGTTGATTGTATGGGGTAAGAAAAAGTACGGATGCGCACTGCTGGACGAACCATTACTGCGCTATGAACTTGCTGGGCGTGGATGACCTCAGGCTTCAGCAGGCCCCAGCTGCGATTGCAGGCCGGCCTTCTGATGCTTCAATGGTTCGGGGAATTTCGGTCGCCCACCTGGAACTACTGGGGTTGAGATGTTGGAAGGACTGAATCAGACCGAGAGGTCAGCTGAACCTAGGTACTTAGGTTTGGGATGCTAGTTCAAGTTTCAACCATGTGTGCCGTTTCGCTTCTGTTCGAGAGATAGATGCGGCTCAGAACTTCACAATCTCTTATGTTTCGAGGAGAGGCCTCACCTCAATTCAAATACCAGGGTTGAGAAGAATGAGCAGGGGATTGAAATCCTACTTTTCCCCTAAGTATGAGGAATGGGCCTTTTTTCTTCGCGATGTCTATGAGGGAAAAGACTTAATAAATCTTGCGTAGGAATTACGACTTTTGCATGTATACCGAACAGTGGATGACATGTGGCTATCCGAGCGTGTTCTCGAAAACCTCGATACTTAAATGCATGAGTATCAACGGGATGGGGTCCTGGGACTTGGCTCCGCTGGTGGTTTCCAGCTCCACACTGTGTACTTTATATCTGGGCGTACTGTAGGCTGTTGGTCTAAACCCGCGGGAAGTCATCAAGGTACGCGAGAGCCCCACCTTCACACGCCATCACCACCACTCAGAGAAAACCATGATCCTGCACCCCGCCGTTCTCCCTTGAAATCTGCAGCATACAAAGTCCACTTGCGTTTAACGGAGGCCTAAATGATCAGGGACTAGTCGAAAGTGGTTCTCAAACAGGAGTTTCGGGGGTTAAGGCAAAGCTTTTGGTGATATTATGCTCTGGAATTGGCCTCTTGGATTGGCCGTTCCAACTGGAAGAGGAACAGAGCCAAAGACCCTATCACCCTTGACTGCGACTCCCCCGCTTCTCAGCGACCAACACAAAGCCGTCGTTGGGGTCAAGTCGTTCAGATTAATTTGTGAAACCAAGCACTGGGTTGGCCCTAGCCTATCGTAACCCTCCCAGCTTATCTTACCGCCTCGTTTCCCCTTTTCCCCCTTTAGTTAGAAGTTGACTTGCGCACAGCGAGTGATCCATGCACTGACCAGAGCGCAGACCGACAACGGTCTTGATTTTCCCGGGCTGCCTCTCCCCGCCCGCTTCTGCGCGATCCCGCAGTCAGGCCGCGATCATCGAGACTTGATTCTCCTGTGCGGTTTTTGCTGACAACAGATTGTTGAGAAATCGGTCGGAGAGCTTGCGGCTGAACAAAGCTGAAGCCAAGGTTCGACGTGGAAAGGCACGCTTGCACGGACGGTAAACGAGTACACTCTCCGCACAACAAAAGGTCAAAGGCCGTAGCAGCAGCGCCACCATCCACCACTCAGTAGCCCACGACCCCCCCCGCGGCAAAGGGTCAATCAACAAGCATCTGCCAAACCTCCCGCTTTCGAGACGTCAGCGACCGAGTGAGCGCCCAACTCGTAACTCTCGTAGTCGTGTGTGTGCAACCGCCAACCGCCAAAGCGAGAGCAGCGCCGCCTTTTATTAGCGCACTTTGTGGCCAGAGACAAGTTGCCCGCGGCAGGCCAGACCTGGACCTTAAAAGCCTGCTGAAGAACAAGACCCAATCCAGTCGCCGGACGCAGAGCACCCCACTGTCGGCGCTGAGACCATCCCACGACAACACCTCACTCTCACCTGACAACTGGAAACTCCCAGAGAAAGGAGAAAAACCTGCTATCGAAGTTACCTACACCTTCTGCCAGACGACAGTCGGAAGAACAGAATAGCAGTTCGCATCGTTACACTGATCCGGAGCCACCCGAGAGCCATCACTGGCCAGCATCGCGCCGGCGTGACGCACAAGAGATCGTATCGGCCGAATCGACGAATTGACCCCGTCTCACCCATCTCTACCCTCTCGTTTTTTCGCCTCTAGGCTTCTCGCCGCGCCGTCATTGCCAGCTTGTTTCCCCTCAGCCGCCTGAGGGCCTGCCGCACCTAGCAAGATGAAGAAGGTACGGGAATACCTACGTCATTCTGCCCATCCGTGGATGCCGCCATGTCCCTCCCAATCATGACCGTTCACAGGAGACACTTTTGGTCACTGGTGCTTCTGTTCCTAGCGCTTCCCTGCACAACTGCCCACAACCCACAACGTTTTGTCCAACATCGCCCTCCCAGGGAGTGACCAGGTGAAATATTCATCTTGTATTGCCGCCACACCTACTTTCTTTTCCCACACCCGTTCCATTCCTGCTGCTGTTTCCCCCAACTTCCTCTTCTGGCTTTTACACTGCCTCTGCAACCATCGTTGATGGCTGCGCACGACGTCATCTGCATCAACCGACCTGCTAACCACAATGCGCGCTCTAAAGGCAATTCGAAGATCGATCAAGGGGGAGAAGGAGAAACCGCACATTAGCATTCCCCAAAAATCAGCACTCGCGATTGTCCCGCCCAAGAAGGTATGTAGGCCCGCTTCTGCCGATGATTTCCACCCCTCCAAGGCTTTGGGACGCCTGATGTCCAGGCAATGGGCCTACGATTTCCGTCCCTTCCTGGCCCCACCATCGGCGTCACGACCAGTCTGAGTCGGAGTTGGAGTTGAAGGAGATGCTAATTTTATTTTGATTCACAATAACAGGTTATTCGGGCTCTCTACGATTATGAAGCGCAAGGTCCGGGAGAGCTAAGTTTCTCCCGTGGCGATTTTTTCCATGTCATCGGCCGAGAAAACGACCCCGAATGGTACGAGGCATGCAACCCCGCGCTCCCGGATGCCCGAGGTCTGGTCCCCGTTGCATTTTTCCAGGCTCTTGGCCGCACCGAGCGCGACAGCGCTCAGTCACAACCGGACAGTGCCCGCTCCATCAAGCACCCCGACCATGATTCCGGCTACGGCGAAGCTCCGGCAGCAAGCCCCCCACCGGCTCCGGCCCCGGCGAAGAAGAAAGCCAGTGCTATGGTCTATGGCGTAGTCATGTATGACTTCCATGCCGAGAGGGCTGACGAGCTCGAAGCGAAGGCTGGCGAGGCCATTATTGTGATCGCGCAATCAAACCCCGAGTGGTTCGTGGCAAAGCCCATTGGCAGGCTCGGCGGCCCGGGTCTGATTCCCGTTTCCTTCGTTGAGATTCGCGATATGGTGACCAATAAGCCGGTTGAGAACCCGCAAGAAGCTGTACGGAAGGCTGGAATCCCCAAGGTGGAGGAATGGAAGCGCATGGCTGCCGAGTATAAGAACTCGAGCATCACGCTGGGTAAATTCGAGTCGAACAGCAGCAAACAGCCAGTACAGCAACAACTGCAGCAACAGCAACAGCAACAGCAGCGTGCTCTTGAGCAGAGCATGGAGCGTATGAGCCTTGGACAATCCAATGGCCATCAGAGTCACTCCTCTACCTCATCCCTGGTAAGTATTGATTCGGGGGAAAACTATCCAGCTTTTTGGTCAGCTATCCTAATTAATCGCGACAAACAGAAGTCATCGCAAGCCGCAGGATACACAGGCTCTCAGGCAAACCCCTTGCCGGCACCCGTGTTTGCGACTATCCCACGGTACTGCTTCGCTGAAGACAAGTACTGGTTCATCGTTGTCGTTGAGATGGAGGATGGCCGGGCTTGGGAGCTGTCGCGCTACTACGAAGACTTTTATGATTTCCAGATTGCGCTTCTCTCAGCATTTCCCGTGGAAGCCGGCACAACTGGTCAGCAGCAACGAACCCTCCCGTACATGCCCGGACCCGTCAACTATGTGACCGACGCGATTACGGAAGGGCGGCGTTACAACCTCGATGCCTATGTTAAGAACCTTCTGGCCCAGCCACCGCACATTTCAAGGTGCGATCTGGTCAGAACGTTCTTCCAGCCAAGAGAGGGCGACATCGAAATCGACCCGCAGGTGCTCCGCGAAGAGTATCGTGTGTCCGGCGCATCCAGGCCATCGTCGACTGAGTCTCCTGCAGATGCCGCATCCCGACAGTCTTCAAGGCAAAATCTCCACAGCAATGGCAGCGGCTACTCGAGCTACACATCTCGGCAGCAGCCGTCCGTGTCGCGGCAGGTCTCGTCGCTATCTCAGCCGTCACAGTCGTCGCTATCGCCTGGTGCGGGTATTCAGCCACAGCCAGGTGCTCAGATGAAGGTGAAGCTCAGCTACAATGGTGAACTCATTGCCATTAAGGTGCCATCGGATATTTCCTTCCGGCAACTCTACGACCGTATTGTTGAGCGTCTCAAGATCCCTCCTGGCGAGCAGCCTCAACTGTCGTATAAGGACGAGCCGACGGGAGACAAGCCACCACTGATGAGCGACTACGATTTGGAGGTGGCGCTGTCGCGAAACGAGAAGTTGCTTTTGTATGTTGAGTAGGGTAGTTTAGGTTCTGAGAGGTGGATATAGTTGGGTTTGTTATTTTGGGTTTCTTTTTTTTTCTTCGCCCGTTTTCCCCTATTACGTTTCGTTTCCATTTTCTATGACTTCTGGGTTTGGGTTCTCTCTCGTTGTCGTCAAAGTATACCCGACTTTGGTTCCTCTCTTCTGTTTGTTTCTCTGGTACCGGGCGACCGAAGTTTTTCTGTCTAAGCCGAGCAATTCTCACTTTATTGATGCTACGCTAAAGAGAATCAATGGTTTTTTTGTCACAAACGGCCGGCTGATGATGAGATTACATGGAGCTGCGGGAGGGGACGTCCCCCAAGGAACTGACATCCCATGGAGCTGCTTGATCAGTGCTTTGTAGGATGCTTCAGGCGGTTCTTTTTATAAATTTTTGTATGTAGTTGCTCTCCCTATGTGGTGAGCGGTTACTTTTCTGTTTGCTGTGTCTTTGTGGGTGTATGCCGGAACGGGCGTAGACGGAGAATACAAGATGGGAGATGGGAGATGATTAAAGCCACTGTACATAGGGAGAGGTTTCTTATCATCCCCCGCTTCCCTCAAAATAGCGTTGCTCTGTCGATGCAGTGGATTGGTGGCATGGCCATCGATGTTGGATTTGCTGGGGGGATGCTGTCATGGGTTGTCGTTTCCAAACGAGGTTCCCTTCATGGATACCGCAGGCAGATCTGATGATGGATGATTGATACCATAGGAAGGGTTGGATCGGGCCGCGTGTGAAGGAGGAGTGATCATGAAAGAGGGAATGTCTTGAATGACTCCAATGAATGTAAAATGGGAGGCAGAGTTGTTTATGTTTGCTCTTGCATTCTCTTTGTGATGGCGAGTGTTCGATAGCTTGATGGTCCGTTAGCAGTTTTCGGATGCGGAGGACGGTAGAGGCAGCTTGGGAAGCCCGGCCTGGTTTAGCGGTTCTTTTAAGCTTTTTAAAGGACCTGATTTGATGCATCGTAGGGATCGTTGACCACAGCAGGGTCGTGAGGCACCATGGATATGCTGGAGATTTGGACACTGCTCAAGCCTTCAGTCAGAACTTGGCACTTGAAAGTGGTACGGTCAAGATGGCTTCCAGGAAAACGCTTGGTATATTTGCGAAGTTTTGCTTCCTCCTAAGCCAAACGCCGAAGAGAAAGAAAAATTGTCAAAAAAGTACAACAACAAAATGCAACATCCATACCTCCCAGCCGTTCCCTATTCCATCCATCATGTTCCCAGCCCTCTCAGCCTTTGAAAATCACCTTGGGCAAATGTTGCCTGATGGAGAGAAATGCTAACACTAAGTTACAAAACAGACGATTCCTTCCCCAGTAAACCCAATTAAAAGCTTTATGAAAACCTGGCTGTGGCCTGAAGATCCTCAACCCAGATTGCGAATCGCTTGATGTGTTTTGCCGGCGCCCGCAGATCGAAACCAGCCAAATGGCAGCGCCCAAATATGCAGTTGCGAAAAAGGATGACGCTATGTTGATGAGGTCAACGCAGCTTTAGATGATCTGCATCGCCATTAAACCGAGACTCCCACGGAGTACGAATCAGAAACGAAGTCTAACCGGCAAGAAGCCGCTTTACACAATCACATGGGTAGACATATGCTCCACGGCTTCCTTGATGGTCCTCAGCATGCGCTGATTGACACAAAACGGGCACCGGACAGGCCTCTCAGTCGCCGACACCGGCGCACCACTAGGGATAGGTGTCAAGGTGAGATCCTCGGTACCCGTGGCCGCGCTGCCAGTCGACGCAGGCTGCGGCGTAACGGGAATGAACCTAGTAGCCGTCGCAGCAGCAGCGGGGGTCGCGGCCGCGGCGGCCGTCGTGGGGGCCACGTTGGGCCTGGCAGTATTGGCGCCCGTGACAGGAGGGGCGTTGAGGGCACCAACAGCCGCAGCAGCTTGTTGAGCGTAGGTCTGGCCGGCGATGGTACCGAGGGGAGGAAGGCCACGCTCGGCGCGCTCGCGCTCTTCACGGACTGCGGCCGCGTGGGCTTCGGCTTCGGCTTCTTCTTGTTGCAGGGCGCGCAGGGCGTTCTGCAAGACGACTTCGGGGTCTTCTTCGGGGTTGTACATTGGGGTGTCGCCGTTGGTGCTGGGAGGGCCGTTCGGCTGCTGCTGGGTGGACGGCACCTGCGGGTTCTCCATGCGGCGGATGATCTCGTCGCGGACGCGAGCACAGGTTGTCAGGCTGGCCTCGACGCCGATGACGCGCTGGACGGTTTCACGGATGGCTGCCGGGGAGATGTCGGCGGTTATGTTCATGAAGCGCGGGACGGCATCGGCGAGGTAATTGAGGTCCTCACCCGGGTTAACTACGCTGCCGTGACGGCGCTGGCGACGAATTAGCAAGCCGTAGCGTTTCTTGAAGCGATGAATCCAGCCCGGGGAAAACTCCGGGGGGGTTTCGTCCTTGTAGCGCGGCAGTTGAGTGAAGATCTGCTTGGCCTTCTCGGCGAGCTCTTCATTGGATGGGTGGCGGCCTTGGTTTACCATTTGCTGGTGCCACAGCAAAACAAGCTTCTCGACATCAGGCCAATTGCCAAAGCGTAGACGCGACCCGGACAGGCTCGTGTCAGTGTCAAGTCGGGCATACTTTGGTGACAGTGAGTGAGACACGGTCGACTGCGAGATGGTTTGGTTGTACTGGTTCTGGAACCACTCGATGCAGGCCTTATGGCTGGGTCGCACCGGCTGGGAATTGGCCCATCGCCGCAAAGCGCGTCGCTGGTCCAGAGTCAGCGAGTGCCGTTCCTTGGCCGGCGCTGGGTTTGCAGGCGCAGCAGTTGTGGTCTGCTGGGCCTCGGGCGCGAGCTCGGCCGACATGGCAACGAGAGCCGCAGCGATGGCGTCGCTCAACGACTGGCTAGTTGTGAATTTCGTGTTGGCGCGTCGCGCGTTGCGCGAAGTGAGGGTCGATGCTCTTGGCGGGTCGGGAGACCCGGTTGGTGATAATAGCTTGGTGGTTGCGAGGAGTTGGGCTTTAGTGAGGAGTGCGAGATAATCGGATATGCCTCTGTCAAGATGGTGGGGAGCAGTGGGCAGCAGATGGTGATCGCTGTAATGAGGTAGCGCAGAGAAAGGAGCGAAGAAAGGCCTCGAAGCGGGGGAGTTTTCTTAACCACACAGAATGGTTGGTGGGTCTGGGTAAGTGTTATTTTCAATTATGATTGGTCGATCACATGAATGTGAGACCCATCATGTGTCCGTACTTGCATCAATGCGGCACACTGAAGACACCTCCCCTCCTTGAGCTCTTCCTTTAACAGCAATGCAAATGCACATGTAATGGCAGTCGAATAAACCGTAACATCTGGCTGTTGCATTCATTCGTTCATCGTCAAATGTCCACTGAACATTGATTTTTTTTCGCTCTGTAAATAAATCTACATTGCGTTGTCTGTAGTTTCAATCTGTACCTCTCTTCAAGCGTGCAAAGCCCTGTCTGGCTAGCAATCATACAGACTGGTTCAAGAATATGATAATGGTTAAAGATTTACTATGCATTTTGGTCATCCATGTACAACCAATGGTACTGATGCTCAAGCCCTGTTGTTTTTTGAGTATATCGAGGGTTGACTTCCGTTATTTGGTTCTTGTGGCCGTCCTTAGCATGACTTTTAATACCTTCCTTTTCCTTCGAGCATGGCACGGGCAGGCTGTACTGGCAGGAAGAAGGGCTTCTTTAGGAAGAGAAGGATGTGGGTGCCTCAGGCTTAGCATATATCGCATAATTATCCAACTCCTCTACCTCAGTCGGCCCCGTTATAGACGGCAAAGCTAGACATCGGCCAGGTGGAGCCATGTTAGGAGCAACAGAGCAGTGAACTTGGACCCACATCGACGCTCGTTCCATTTAGCTCAACCTCAAATCCGTTTGAGTTTAACGGAGTGCACTTATATATCCAGAGATAGAACCCCTACATTTCGTCACATTGTTACCATTAGGATAACTGCAGCAAGCTTGAGGTAAACACTCTTAGAGTTGAGAACTGCTTAGTGCACGGATACTCTGGAGAGAGCTTAATGCTGGAAAGCCATAAGCACGAGTATCAATCTGCAACAGATTTTTTTAAGCAAAGCTCAGATTGCAGCAGACGACTCTGCAGATGGAAATCTCGCTCAAGACGCCTTATGAGCCGTCTGAAAAGGGGTGATGTTCCCAGCTTGGTCCGGTATTTTTATCACAGATGCATGAACGAGCAACAACTGCCGAAAAGTGCTTAAACAGAACCGGCTAAGACACCTCCAGGAGGTCGAGGTACGTATGCTCAGAGCATCATCATCCACAAGATGATCTGTGGAGATCACAAACCAGGAATTCCCGCTCCCATTGAGAAACGCGTATATGTACAAAAACAAGAGGTGTCATCGAATGCCCACCCTGGCGTCCACAAATGGTTGGCTTAGTGCTTTGCTTCCGACTTCTTCTGTTCCGCCTCGGCCTGCTCCATAAACTTCCTGTGAATGTGTTAGAGGAAGGGATATTGGGCCGTCAAGCTTAGAACATATCAAAATCAGGGGGAACGCACTTGATGAAGTCGGCCTCGTCGGAGCTGGAGGCGTTGATCGGGGGAGTGGCAGGAGTCTTCTTGCTGCCGCCAGAGAAGGCATAGGCGGTGCCGAAGAGGGTGCCGAGAATGCCCATCGCCAGCTATAGTCACAGAAGTTAGCATATCGCCGTCAATGGCTCGTCGTACCGTCAAGGCGGGGCAGCTATCAGTTGCAGAAAAAAATCTCAGCTTTCCAACGGTGCTAACTTACGTAGTGAGACCCAACCTGGGCGCCAAGGATGTTGTACTTTTGGACCATTTTTGATTAGAGGTCTGGGACCGAGGCCGAGCTTGGCGGGGATGCGATGGGAGTTCTGTCAAAAAAGCACTTGAAGGGACGCGCGATGTCGCAAGCAGGTGTTGAAAACGTCTCAAGAGGTTCGCTCAAGCTCCGTCCGGAGCCGAGAATTTACCGGGGCCAGGGGGTAACACCAAGACCCTTGGATCCAGGCCTCACTCTGCTTACCTAAGCAAGTCCGGCCGCCCGGCACATCGGGACTTGTCAGCTCCTGTGCCGACCGGAGACTTTTTTGCCAAGCAGTGGAGACCGACGTCATCAGGGAGGCTTAAGGTTCGAGGAAAGAGATCGACGAGTTCAGCGAGGGGCTTACATATGAGCTTCCTCGATAAGAAAGAGGCTGAGCATTAATCCTTTCGGAAATCGCTGGAGTATTTATAAGAAGTGAGACGTTTCAAGGGACTTGCACAATTTCTTATCACTCACAAGTCTGCCATCTTTTCCAAACTTTACAAGTAACTTGCAGCGAATCAACCCGCTCAGGCTCTTGGCTCGGTCCCTCTTTCTCGTCTCACAGCACAGTCGGTATACACTCTTTACAACCACACAAAATCACTCAGCGCGCTTCATAAACTGTCACAATGTGGTGGCCTTGGGGCGGGCAGTTCAAGCAAGCCTACGGATCCTCCTACTCCTCAGAATAATGCTCCCAAACCTGCACAGACGGAAAGCTCGGTAGTTGAGGTGAAGCCGGCTATTCATGATGAGAGCAGGCAGAAAGTTTCATCCAAGCCTCATACTGCCGGAAAGCCGGTCAAAGATGAAACTTTCTTCGAGGAACTGGTTGAGGGATAGTATGTTGACATCCATTTCGTCACCCTTCATTCCTCTTACCAAAATGCTTACGGTCTGCAATATATAAGCGCGCCGCCATCTACAGATTCCAATGTCCGATACGCAGCATATGCTTCACGCTTCAGGACAATCCTCCTATCTGCCCATCGTTACGTTGCCTACACTTCGGACATAGGCGAGTCATTTCGTCCAGTCGCCCATCCGTACCTTGTTCGTGCTGCCTACGGCGTGTCATGGATTTACATCCTCGGCGACGTCAGCTATGAAGGGTACAAGGCGTACCTGCACAACCAGCGCGTCTTGAATCCGAATCTCGAGCTCACAGCCCAACAACAGCAAATGTTTGGTTTGGACGTGACCTCCAATGGTTCTTCACCTGCTCCCACAGCAACATCCGGGAAGGTCCCTCCTTTGGAAGACTACCGGACAGTGATGCTGCAGCGGGGTATCTTCCAGAGCATTGCCAGTATGGGGCTTCCTGCGTTCACAATTCACAGCGTGGTCCGGTACAGCGGTCGCGCCATGAAGAATGTCAAGAATGCCACTGTCAGGACGTGGGTCCCAATTGGTCTCGGATTGTCTGTGGTCCCTTTCCTTCCTAAGATCTTCGACAAGCCGGTTGAGAACGCTGTCGAGTGGACCTTCCACAAGGCTTTTGAGAAGTTTGGTGGGCACGAGGCCGTCGGTAACTCGCCGCTTATCGGCAGGGAGAAGCAGCTGTCGGAGCGGCCGAAGGAAAAGAGAGAGTGAATGAAGACTCTTAGATGGACGAAGAAGGGATTGTGTATCCGGATCCTATATCTCTCAGTTCTTGTATTAAACTGGGGAACTTTGGCCGTGGTTTGTGTGAATATGTCTTTTTTAGATTCTTCTATCGATTAAGTGCCTGAGTGGCGTTCAGGTAGAGAGGGGCATAACCACAAATAAGACGGAACATGATCAGAGAGAAATATGCGCTGTTGTAACGGGTATCCCTAACTCTGTGAGCCTAGAGCCGAAAACCAAAATGTCCAGCTGCTATCATTGAAGGTAACCAAAGGAATCTCTTTTGATATGCCACGCTATGCAACAATGGTATATCAAACAAAACTAGCAAAGTCTGATCAATCCTTAAAGATCGATCAGCTCCGGCGGCGGCCCAACACCCCTCAGCAGCACCACGGTATTTCCGCTTTGCACAGCCGTACCCAGCTTCTCATTGAAGTCAAGCAGTCGGCCGCCTTCAACATGGAACACCCGCAACCTATCCTCCTCTTTGTCTGACTGGTTGTTGACATTCTGAACCTGTAAGCTCTTGGCAGCAGCATCTAGCATCTTGCCAACCACCCAATCCTGGTTGTAAAAGAACTCCCCCTTCGGTACTTTCGCCTTCGCTGTCGTCGCCTCAGCCTCCACATAAAGATATATCCTCTTCTCTGGCGGGATCTTCGCATCACCCTTCGCTGTTTTCTTCAGGTTGTTGACAGCCACCATCTGCTCGACCTTCGCCTTGGATGACGATGACGACCCGAACGATGCCAACTTCTCTTTCTTCGCCTGACTCCAGAGCTTCAACCTCTCGAGCGCGCTCTTGGCCCCTTCAGCGACTGCTGCCGCTTGGGCAGCACTCGCACCGCGGGCCCCTATTGGCGGCTTCTTGGCACAGTCGTGGTCTTCCTTTAGTCGATGTTTCATACAATAGTCACGGTTGCACTCTTGGCAATGAACGCCAGGGACAAGACTTGTGCCGATGATCGTCTTGCAGCCGTCGTGCGCGCAGGGCTTTTGGGAGATGAAGTCGCGCATGCGCTTGCCCTCACCGGCGCCGCGTCGGGCCAGCTCGGCCTGTCGTCGGCGCTCGGCCCAGGCGCCCTTGTTCGTGCATTGGTGTCCATCTTCGGTGCGGTGCTCTAGGCAGAAGACCTTGTTGCAGGACTGGCATCTGAAGGGAAGGAAATCTAGTTGGTTACAAGGGGGGTATTGGCAGTGGGACCCGACAAGGCTGGCGTCGGTGCCTCGACTGTCGAGTTCCGCCTGAGGCATCTTGACGTAGGACGTCGCTTCGTCCGAGTTGGATCGCGCCATGGTGTATGGTGGATAGGTAGGTACCTATCTTCGAGAAGTTGGCCTTTTAAAGATCGACCGGTATTTCAAAGAAAGAAAGAAAGAAAGAAAGAAAGACAGGCTGCCACCGATTGCGTAAGCAAAATCGACTGCGACGTGTCCTGCTGATGACTGATCAAAAGCATACGTACTCGTAGAAGTTGGCAGGCAGGCGGTGTGTTCTCATCGTCTTGAGTACCTGCGGGAAGCCCCACGAACTGTCTGGAACTTTGGCCTGTCCCTGGCCAGTTCCGGCGTGGAGTTACGGCGTGGCGGGGCAGCCGCGGTGGAGTCTCTCTCGCTGTTGATCGAGTCTTGGCATGCATCATCCGGTGACCAAGAACTTTAGGGTTAGGGTCATTAACGCGCTTGTCGCGAGTCGCGCTTGTCGCCCCCCATTGGAGCACACCCGCCGGTCTCCGATTAAACGCCTGCATGACGAGGATAGTATCCTTGAAAGGTACATAATCCGCTTTACCCTCATAATGCGCGATGGATATCCACTGAACTACCAACACCATGCCGCCATTTGTCCCACGCAAGCGGCTTCGGGATGACAGCCCCGCCGCTGGGGAAGCGCCCGAACCCGGAGCGAAAGGACAGTTGAGGAGGTCAACGAGATCCAAAAAGCTGACAGCACCGCCTCGCAACGCAACTCTGTTCGATGATCTCGATGCCGCTTTGACTCCGCGGCATTCAACACGAAGCGGAGAGTCCACAACACGACTGGACGAGAGCGAAGATGAGGAGAGCTCCTTGACTTCCCTGTCTGACGCGGACTTTGAAGATGTCCCGGTTGCCAAACGACAGAAGGTCGAGGAGACTGCTTCCCAGGGGGATGATGACGACGAAGACGAGGATATCGAATTCGAAGATGTTGAGACCCCTCAGGTTGCAACTGCCCCTGACGTCCCTGTTTCTGAAGAAAACCTTGAGTTAACCCTCGTCCGGGACACGAGGATTTCGTTGGCTGCAGCATTGGGCAAGAAAGGGCCGACGAAGACTGAGAGGAAGATGCGCACGGCGGCCCATTGCATTCATGTTCAGCTCCTGCTATGGCATAATGCAATTCGCAACGCTTGGTGCTGCGACCCTACTGTTCAGGGGATCATGCTGTCACACCTACCCCCTAGATTGTGGGCTGAAGTGGAAAAGTGGAGGAAGAAAAGTGGCCTCGAGGCAGAAGAAGAGACCCCTTCAAAGCGCACGAGGTCGAAAACAGATCTAAAGGGAACGGGCAGGGCCTCAGCACGCCAGCCCCGGGAATGGAGTTCAGCATCCCGCCGCCTGGAGCAGGGTACCGTGGATATAAGCCATGGCGACCCCCTCTTCAGGCTGATGAAGTATCTCGCTGCCTGGTGGAAACAACGGTTCCGTGTCACGGCCCCAGGGCTACGGAAGTGGGGATACATGCCCCTCCAAAGATTGGATCTCTTGATCAAAGACTTCAAACAGGGACCGCATAACCCTGAGAAATTTGGCGAGCGCATCCGCAATTTGGAGGAGTTTCGGCAGTGCGCTCAAGAGTGTGCTGGCAGTCGGGACGTTGGGGCACAGCTGTTTACAGCTCTTTTGAGGGCTCTGGGTCTTGAAGCCCGCCTTGTTGCTAGTCTTCAACCCCTGGGGTTCGGTTGGACAAAGCTGGAAGAAGCAGACCCGGAGAGGGACCCAGTTCCTACCCGGGCAACCTCTCAGAACGACTCAGTGGAGACCGAATTTGAAGAAGCCGTGGCCAAAGGCAAAAAGCCGGTAAAAGGTCGTCCCGCCAGGCGTAGCTCCAGGCTAGCGCGCTTGGAAGAGACCTCTGATTCCGAGCTTCATCTTGAGGACAGCGACGATGAGCTTGCGGTTGACTTATCGCCTCCTCCCGAGAGACAAGGGAAGGTCTACGATGCAGATCTGGAGTACCCTCACTATTGGACAGAGGTGTTGTCACCTGTCACAAAGAAGTACCTCCCAGTCGACCCGATTGTCAAAGGCGTGGTCGCAACCAACAGAGAACTTGTTGAGGGATTTGAGCCCCGCGGTAGTCGTGCCGACAAGGCGAAGCAGGTCATAGCTTACGTCGTAGGATACTCCCAAGATGGCACGGCCAAAGATGTGACCGTCCGATATCTCAAGCGCCAGATTCTTCCTGGCCGCACCAAGGGCATGCGTTTGCCCATAGAGAAGGTCCCCGTGTATAACCGTTATGGCAAGATTAAGCGCTACGATCAGGTTGACTGGTTCAAGAAAGTCATGAGGGGTTATTCCAGGGGATCCGAGAAGTATCCGATAACAGAGGTTGACCAGGAAGAAGACGCGACTGACCTCAAACCAGCAAACCCTGAGAAGAAGGAAGTCAAAGAGGGAGAAGAAACCCTTCAGTATTACAAACAATCCAAAGAATACGTCCTCGAGCGCCATCTCAAGCGCGAAGAAGCTCTTCTCCCCACCGCCAAGCCAGTCAAGATGTTCAGGACCAGCAAGTCCAAGAATAGCGGTCCGGTGCAGGAAGAGCCCGTTTACCTGCGAAAGGATGTTGTGCAAGTCAAGAGCATGGAGACGTGGCATAAGCAAGGCCGTGCGCCGAAACCGGGTGTGACACCTCTGAAGTGGGTTCCGTACCGCGCGGCTACCACAAACAGGCGGCGCGAAATCGCGGAGGCCGAGGCAGCCACGGGGGAGAAGGTGCTGCAGCCGCTTTACAGTTACGATCAAACCGATTGGATCATCCCACCACCGATCAAAGATGGCAAGATTCCCAAGAACGAGTATGGCAACATCGACCTGTTTGTGGAACACATGTGCCCTAAGGGCGCGGTGCATGTGCCATACCGCGGCGCCTTACGCGTGGCGAAACGACTGGGGATTGATTACGCTGAGGCAGTTGTGGACTTTGAATTTGGCCACCGCATGGCTGTGCCGGTTATCCAGGGCGTGGTTATCGCCGAGGAGCATTATGAGAGGGTAATGGAAGAGCTAGCTAGAGACGAGGCGGAGAGAAAGAGGAAAGAGGATGAGAAGCGTCGAAAAGCTGCGCTCTCGATGTGGCGAAGATTCATTATGGGCATGCGGATTGTCCAAAGAATTCGCCAGGAATATGGCGATGTCGGTGAGGATGTGGACGTCTTTGGCCGTGACGATACTAAGTCAAGGGGACTTGGGCAGGCCGCTGAGCACAATGCCGGGACTGCGGAGGATGAAGAGATGGCCGGCGGATTTTTGCCAGAAGGGTGCGAGGAAGAAGAGGACGACGACGGAGGACACAGGGCGTACCAGAGATCTGGATTTTTCCCTGTTGGCGGCGATGAAGATGATGACGACGATGGCGGGGATGCGCTTGAAGTTGACCATGGAGAGGGAATGCAAGCGGTTGCACCAGCGGTTGCAAGTGAACCTTCACCAGAGCCGGAGCCGGAACCTGAGCCCGAAAAGGCACCCAAGAGATCGGTCGTGAGTACACGGCCAACTCGTAAGAAAGTTGCGAAGCGCAGAGCAAATACAACCCGGCGAAGGAGGAGGCGCAAAAATGCCTCTCCAAGCTCTGAAGAGGAAGTTGAGGATACGTACGATGAGGACAGTCCGCTCTCGGGGTCGGATGAAGAGTAGGGCCGGTCCTCAGTGTTATTATGTTTATGGTAACGATGTGCCTACTACATACGAATTTCAGCTACCATTCGTAGTGATTAGAATATAGGACTGTTAAGAAATGCATCCATCTACCGAGACCTACTCATCTGCATATGTGTGCGCGAGTTAGCTCTGCCTACACTACAGATGGCAGCTGCGAATGGTGTCTAGTTTACGGATATCGAGTTGTACCTGACTATAGGTGACTATGCAGCAAAGGGGCATTCCTTATGGTTGGACAGAGTATCAGGTAGGTACTGTGTAGGCAAATATCCTTCATTACGTACGATGACGCTCGGGAACCCACTTCATTTCAGGAACACCGCTAGTTGACTCTTCTATAGCTCTATCGCTTGCCTGCTGGAGGATGGTTTGAGCAGCTGACCCGCCCGTTGGTCTCAACCACTCACTTTCTTCGCACCAGCTCCCGGATTTTTTTTGACTACCGCGTTTCTTACCAACCAGCGCGAAATCCAAGGCCGCCCTTAGCCGCTTGGTGAGTGGCGGGCGACCTATTTGCTATTACTTTTTTTCTTGACTCTCAGAAATAACCTGCATTTGCACACCAATCCTAATCCCATGCCAAGGGAATAGCTAGATCCCATTGCCTGCTGGCTGGGCAAGAACCCCCCCCCAAGGCTCACAGTGCGCGTGCTGTGCGCTGTCCAGGCTGCTGCTCCTTTTAAAGAGCGCTGGACTCCTGCTCTTGCTCATCGCTAGCTATCCTCCATCACCAGATCACGTTATTTCACCTCTTAGCACCGTAGTCTTGCTCTGGTTCTGCGCACCCTGTCGCCTTACCTAGGCACACCATCCGTTCGCAGACACCAACCAAGAGCTGCCCATTCAGATTCAGATTCCCACATCCAGAATCTCACAAGCCCAAAGCGGCAGGTCTGCTGCAGACCCTCAATTGACAACACACCGCGCGCACGAGGACAAACACATCTCGGTTGTAACTCTGCGGAAAGCGAACGCTACGCCCGTCAAGCGTTTTTCAGCTTCGGCAATCCATGAGCGGACTTGCGTTTGCACAGACTGTGTGTGGCATGAGCCGAATCTCAAGCAGTACGCGACAGGCCTGCCCAGACAATTCACAGCGCCCTATCTTGAAGTTCCCAGGTGTTCTCAGCGAATGGCTTGTTAACCCTCGTTCATAGCTGCCCATGAGTGTCACTCACCCCTAATGTTCGCTTGATCAAGTATGGCTGGGTTTGAAGAATTCGAGCCGTTCCCAGTGCATCCTCCTCTCGATCATTTGCTCATGCACGACGAGGAGGATTTGCTGCCATTTGAGCTATATGAAGTCATCCACAAGTAAGTGCTTCCGCTCTGGCCTGGTCATATCCCATATCCCATATCCCATATCCCCCCTTTCATCCTATCTGGCTCCCTGCGCCCAAGCTGTCTTCATACTCCTAGCTTTATACAATGGGCAACAGGCAAACTACCGACCCTGCTGTTGCCCTCTGAGATCGATAAGCCTGAAAACTCAGGACAGTTCGCATGGATATACACAGTGTTAGGTGTCAAGGACATGGTCTCTTACTCGTCTGTTCATGTGAAAACTTGACTGTGTCCCTCCCCTTCATCGTCAGTTTATTTGTTAGCAAAGCAGACGACTGACTATCTGCCATCTCGTGGTCAACCACTCATACCCTCACACTCACTCTGCCATTGAAGTTTTTCTCAACTCACCCACCAAATTTTCTACCTAGCTAGTGGCATCCCGATTCGCCTGGCAATCACTTTCTTCAAGTTCCCTTGCAAGACTTCGCCCTCCGCTGCACAATAGTTTCCCGTTGCCACATCTTGTACTTGCACACGCTCCCTCTTGTATACTCACCCTGATGCTCATTCAATCGCCTATACCGACTTCACACTTCTACCGCACATAACCACCACTCCTCCCCCCTCCCCCCTCCCCCCTCCCCCGCCCCACCAGACAGTCGTCGGCCACAGAGTATCCTAACCTTGTGCTAGTGATTGCAACCCGGTGGCAGCCATGGCCGCGCCACCAGAAAACCAAGCTGCGTGGGATCGTGGCCATCCGCAGTTTTTGGACGCAATTTTGGCCTGTTTCCCAGATATTTCCCACGAGCATACGTTAGAGCTCGGTCATAAGTTTGGCTGGGACGTCGAACGGGTTGTTGTCCACATCCTGGATGAGCAGGAGCAGGGTAGGCAGTATCCCAAGCAGCCCAAACCCTCCAAGCGGAAACGCGAATCCGAGGACGAGAATGAGGACCCCGAAGCGAGGCTGCGCAAGAGGTTTGGAGCTATTGAACCACCATCTGAGAATTATTTTATCGACTATATTAGCGCGGGGTACGTTTGTACATGGACTTATTCAGCTGGTCTCCTCCTCCCAGAGCTCTTGAATAGCTAACGCTTGACCGACCAACAGGAAGATGTTGCTCAGAAATTCCTTTCCCAACCTCTATGCCCAGGACATTGACAATCTCTTCAAAGCCAATAACTACAAGTTCTACGTGACTTATCTGGCTCTTGATAAGAAGTCCAGGGGAGAGGATAGCGTCGCTCCCCTTAGACAGAAGAAGTTCCCTCCACGAAACACTCCGTCTATTGATAGCCTCCCGAGGAGCAACCGCGAGGGTGAAAGGGATGCTTACGCCGAGTATGAAGCCGTCAAAGCCGTGGTCGAGGCAAAAGCTGCCAAGCGAGCTGAAGAGAAGCGCAAAGCCCAAGAGGAAGAGGAAAACTTCCAGCGCGCCAAGGCCGAGGGGACCGTTCTGGAATGCCAATGCTGCTTCGGCGAGTATGCTCAGAACAGAATGTTCCACTGCAATGGCGACGTCTTCCACTGGTTTTGCAAAGATTGCGGCAGGGCCATGGCTGAAACCGCTATCGGTCTGCAAAAGTATGAGCTTAAGTGTGTGTCCACGGACGGTTGCGAAGGTACCTTTAGCAAGGACCAGAAGGACCTGTTTCTCGACGAAAAGCTTGTCCTGGCGTTGGACAGAATCGAACAGGAGGCCGTCCTCCGGATGGCAAATATCGAGAATCTGGAAAAGTGCCCCTTCTGTCCGTATGCTGCTGAATGCGTTCCAGTACAGGAAGACAAGGAGTTTCGGTGCGAAAATCCCGACTGTGGAATCGTCAGTTGCCGTCTATGCAAGGAAGAAACCCACATCCCCAAAACCTGCGAGGAGGTTGCGCGCGAGAAGGGGTTATCGGCTCGCCGTAAGATTGAGGAAGCGATGTCTGCCGCTCTCATCCGCAAGTGCAACAAATGTTAGACACCTCCCCAAAAGCTCCGTCTGATCTCGCTGTTGCTAACGGTCTTACAGGCGGTACGCCTTTCATCAAAGAAGCCGGCTGCAACAAGATGACTTGCAGCCGCTGCGGCAACGTTCAGTGTTATGTCTGTTCAAAGTCGTGCGACTACAGCCACTTCGATGACCGCACCAGGGGCGGCAAGCCTGGCAACTGCCCGTTATTCGACAGCGTTGAGGAGCGACATGAGAACGAGGTTCAAGCTGCCGAGGAACGAGCCCGAAAGCAGCTTGTCGAAGAGAACCCTGGAGTTAATGAAGAACTTCTCAGGTTCAACTTCTCTACTAAGGTCAAGGAAGATGATCGGAGACGCAAGGCTGCCAACCCAGGCCCTCCTCCGCCTGGTCGTCGTGCTGCCGCCGTCCCTCCCCCACGCCGTATGTATTAATACGATCCAATAGACTCCATTTACTCCAGAGGCACGTTGGACGTGTTGGACTATGACTAACGAAGTGATTGAATACACCAGCCCAGCAGCCACGGCGTGATCCCAATCGGCATCAGCAAGTCTTCCCTCCGCAACCACAGCCCGTACAGGTCGCTGCACCACAGGCGTCCAATGCCCCTGCACGGGCTCCCCAACATGTAGCAGCGCCGCAACAAGCAGCAACCGCCCAACACGGAGTCGCACTTCCGCCTTTTGGAGCTGTGTGGCCAGGTAACCATGGTATGTAGATAGGAGACCCCCTTATCTATCTGGTTTATTCGAGAACCAAGTCCTTCATAACCAAGTTTTGGGATTTTGGGGTGCGTTTAACAGGAGCATTTGGCTAATGGTGAGCTGTGCAAGACCGCGTTCGTCCGGTTGGCTGTCTGGCTTTTTTCCAAGGAGGAGTGCCTGCCCAGTTCAATGGATTACCAGGAAACGTCCCCTTCGTTCCCGCACATCCTGTCGCCTTTATTCAACAGCCCTTGAACGGCCAAGGGGTCGTCGCAAATTTCATCGGTTTCCCGATTGCTAACCATCAACCCCCTAACGGGCTTCCAGTTCTCCCTCCTCCACCAGTTGTCCCGTTCCCGGTTTTGCCCCCTCCCGGCTTTCCGGCTAGGCCCGTCAACCCTGTGCCAGAACAGAATCAACAAGGCTATAACATCCCAGCTGCTAGGCCAGGTGCAGCCCCTACACAACAGGTCTTCCAGCCAAGACAGAACCCGAACCTCAATCAACCCGTTGCTCACCCGCGAGTCGCCCAGCTGGGAGCAAACAACCAGCATCTCTATGTTCAAGCCCTGCACGCTGCTGCTGCTGGGTTGCAGCAAGATGCGAATGAAGCCGTTTCTCAGGCGGCTCGACTCGCCCAGGCACCAGCACAACCATCGCAGCAAGTGCCTGCAGCCAACGTCAACCAGAACCTTAAGAACGCTCCTCGGCCGGCGGCTCTCCCAGCTAAACCTGCTCAACCCATCCTTTATCAAAATTCCCGCGATGCTGCTGCCGCTTCTCAACGGCTCGCCAGTCAACATGCTCGCGTTGCTACGAGCCCTGCGGTTAGACAAGCACGTTCAGCACAGGCACCAGCTGGCCAAAGTGGCGTTAAGGTCGCCAGGTCTGCTGCTGCCTCAGCAGGGGCACCGCAGGCACAAGCTGGGCAAAGTGGCGCTAGAACCGCAAGACTCGTTGCTACACCTTCGCCGCACCTTCATCAGCCGGGTGAGCGTCAGAGTCACTCTCAATCGATTCTTCAGCATGTCGCCGCGGCTCTTTCTCCCGTCCCTCCATTGCCACGCACGCCGCAACAAGGTCCCGGTCAAACTGAGAATAGCGACAATCATGGCTCGGCGGCTAAAGAGGGATCGTCTTCGTCTTCGTCCAAGCCCATGGTTATTGACCTGACCGGGGACGAAGAAGATGATGATGACAAACGGGCTCACCGTGCTTCAGCACCATCAACTTTTCAGTCACAGAGCGGTATAGCCTAGTTGATCAGGGCTAAGAACAGTTGCTCGGTCCGGCCACCATCATAATGAGACGGATAACCGCTCGAGAGAGGAGGAGTAATCGCCAAGTGACGCCTTTGTTTTCAACGGTTGATACTACCGCAACTGTCGAGTATACTGGTCAAGCCCATACATTGGCTTGACATTGAATTGAATTGAATTGAGCTTAATGTTGGGCTGTTGGTCGAGTTCTGTTGTTGGTTCTCGAAGGCTTATTATAAAACCATTATCGCGGGGAAGAGGGGGGGAAGAGGGGGGGAGGGAGGGAGGGAGTGAGGGGGGCCAACATATTGTGTGTTAAGGATATGCCTGTTACGTCTTGTATGATACCCAATGTATGGTTAAAACTGAGGGATACTTAATCGACAACTGAGAATCGTAACAGAGAATGGTGATGGATTTTTATGGGACAGATTATGCTTCTTGATATCATCTAATCATTTAACACCATCAAGAGGTTATCATGAATTCTTCACCGTCACGCTCCCATTCAGAACCTTTACCCATTCATCTTCCCCTTGCAAACTTCTCATGCCACTTCCCCCTTGGCTTAGGTGCCCCAGCGGCTGCCTCATCTGCCTCAACAAGAAGCTCAACTGTGTCGTGCATGGTGGCGATGATGCTGAGCGCACCTTGTGCCGCAGCCGCTATGGCTGCGTCTGGGTTGTCTGCTTGCTCCCCAATGTTCTTTCCAGTATTAGAGGTTGGTGATATTATCATAAGGGCATTGGATGTGTTTTTCTGGCGGAGAGAATATGTCTTTGATGGGGTCTTGAGAAGGGCAGCAGTTGGGGATGGGTGGAGGGTGAGTCTGCTTGGGAGTTAGTGGAGCTATAATAGAAAGAGTACATAGTATACTTTTAGGTTTAGAGCTAAGTGTAAAATGATTTCCTTTAAATTTTATCATCGGTTTCGTGAAAATATTCTTGGAATAGCCGAAAACAGATGAGAAGAGGTAAATAAGATGAGACTCACGTTGGTGGGTTTTCACTTTCAAGCAGTTCTAGCACCTCGGGCGGCAGCTCTATGAGCTTGTACCCTCTTCCGTCGTGGGCGTAAGTTAGAGTAATGCCTGCATCAGCTTGAGTTGCCATTGTATTATGCCCGGTTTATGAGGGGGATGACCTCAGTTGACTGTTGTTGAATGCTTGTCTTCACGCTTCAGGTACTAGTACCTTGCGATTTAACAGGCTCCACCAAGCAGCCAAAGTGGGGCCCGAACGAGCCGTCAAATGCGCTGTGGCCCAGTTATTCGCCTGCTCTTGTCACTGAGATCAGACAGATTACAGAATTTAGCAAGTCTCTTGTGGAAAGAAAAGGATTTGACACGAGGATGTCTGAGCCGTTAAACGTTGCCTAGACATATTGGCATACAAAAATTGAAGTTTGTGATATCGGTACCTGTCATAAGGCTGTCCTGATCAATTTCGACTAACATCCATATTGTTGCGTGTAACCACCAAGATCAAATTACACCAAGCATGTACTATTTAACTGACCATGGAATCCTTGTAATGGCATCCAGCAAGCCCAGTTGCATATACCAACAATCTAATTCGAGAATTCGCCCGCCGTTTGTGCTACCCGCTGGCATATTAAAGCCAAAGCAAAGTTTGCAGCCTGATTCGAAAACAGCATGTCACAATGTCCAAAGGTCACTGTTGAGGTCCTTCCCGTGCCAAAGGGGACCCCAGAAGGCCTAAAATTCGCATCACTGCAGCAAAATACAAGATGTCAAAGTCTCTTGCCGGTCAACATTACAAGTCTCTCGTAGAACCAGCAAGCCAGCAAATGGGGGGCCCGGCTGACAGACCTCAGAACACAACTGCCTCAATGATGTTGTCCACGACAGGTGACCAAGACAGATCTGTACGGTGCGAGCATCTAATGGTTCAACCCCTCGAGCTCTGACAGCTAATTTGCTCTTCTATCGTCCTGAGACATTTCGAGCCCAAGGTAAGAATGTAATAATGAGGATGTACGGTTCCAGATCTCCAGATGATGAGGGCACGCCAATAGGAGGGGGACAGTTGCAGAAATGCCCACTTGTGCGATGATCCCGTCATCAGGACCCTGGAAGGCTTCCAGAAGTGGGTCTTGCGCCCACTAACTCCTGCAACCGCCCCACCGTAGGGCTGAAATGCCGACAGCTGCCGGCAAGTTGCCATCGCCATTGCGTAAGAGCTTGCCCCGCCTGAGCTTCCTAGCTCAGCAACATTGCCCTTACATCCAACTTTCTATAAAACTGGAAGCAACTTTTCTATAAATCAATTCGGTGCTGCATTTAATGACTATTATCCCCCAGGAGCCAGTCAGCCAGAAGCTAAGCAACTATGGCCCCCGATCCGCTTGCCCCAGCTGCTGTGCTGGAAAGCATGGCGAACGCCTTGCCAACGCATGAGAAAGACGACACCACATCAGACTTGAGTAGTTCGCTTGACTGCATCTCGCTCTTCGTTCACGCCTGCCTGTTCAATCTGGGCTTTCGCTTGTTGGGCTTTAGCGAAGATCAGAAGATCGGTATGTCACATTAAAGGCCTAGGACCAAGGAAGATGGACTGACATCTCGACAGAAGCAGAATGTCAACGCCTCGCTCCTCGTCTTCCCGCACAGTGGAACAAGTCCCTGAGCTCACATAGCTTTGTTTATGCTCACACGCAATCCTCAATGCAGTTTGTCATCCACATCGACCGCATGGGTAGTAAGATTGACATCCGCGGCCTGGCCATCGGCGACGAACGCATTGCCCATTTCGACATTACCGCTCGCGATTACATCTCTTCCTCCGCTCTCCCTGTCCGCATTACCATGACATCTGAAGGTACTGAGGACCGGAGCGATCTTCCTTCCAAACTTAAGAATGTCTTTATCTCCGACGAGCGCATCAAGGGTATGTTTCCAATCCTGCATGTTCCTTCATAAATCAAAGCTAACTTCTTGAACAGACCTCTCAACCCTCCTAAAAGTCTCCCTCATCCAGCGCCTACTCCCCGGCCTCCACAAAGAAGGCTACACCGAAGAGCCCCTCCCCTCCGGCTCCTCATCCTCTCGTCCTCCCATCCAACCGCCCCAACACCCCCGTCCCCAAATCCCCGCTCACCTCCCCCCACCAGCCGCACCAAACCCTTACCCAGCTCCCGACCCCCTGGCAGCTCCTCCCTCGCGCCCTATCCCAGCCGCCGACTTTCCCCCTCCGGACTTCGAAGACGAATACGAAGTCAATCGCCCTCCTCGAAGCCCCGTCCCGGGTAGTCAACCAGGTTTCGGTCCCGGGTTCGGAAATCTAGGTCACGATGATCTCTACCCCGCAGGCCTTGGACCAAATGACCCTATTAGGGGGTCTTTTACGGGAGAATTTGGTATCGGACCTGCGGGTTTAGCCCGTCCCGGAGCGGGGACTAGGGGAGGGGGAGGGATGCACCCCACGTTTGATGACCCCCTGTTTGGGGGACCCAGGGGGCCTGGGGCGACTGGAGGAGTGGAGGATCCGTTTGGGGGGCAGGTGCCGCCTGGGGCGAGATGGGACCCTCTTGGGCCGGGGGGACAGCCGCGGGTTGGAGGGGGGAGACCGGGGGGGAGGGGGGGAGGAGCATATGGGGGGAGTGGTTATGGGTTTGGAGGGTTTGGGGGGGACATCATCTGAATGAGGTCGGCGGTGTCGAAGGGGAAGAATGTAGGCAGTGCTAGCAGGAGTGTGCAAAATGCCTAGTGTTTCACGAGAATCATGAAGTAACGCCGTAATGAGAATGAGGGGCTTGGGAGAATGGCAGTCAAGGAGTTCAAGGGAAGAAAAATGCAAAACATAGTTGATAATCATAACATCGTGTGCCGAAGATATGATCGGATATTTATATCTGGTTCATGATTGCAATGTTTGTAGGGATATCAACTAATCAGCATGCCACCCTTAATGTCATGCTCCTCTTGTCCGTACAATTGAAAACACTCGTCAGGCAACACAGGCCACACATGCAACCCCCCCTCCCCCCGCAAAAAGTATTAGAGGTCAAGCAGCTGTCACCAACACCACTGATCATGCGTAGTGGTATCAATAAACGCCCTGTACCCCTTCCCCAAATCCAATCCAATCCAATACAACAACCATATCTCACCCCCTTATTGCGCGGCCAACTGATGCAGCTTATTCTGCTCATCTGGCGTTAGCATGTTAAACCAATGCTGAAATCCAGCGACATTCTCCCTCGCGGCGCGGATAAAGAAATCAGACAGGTACGCCTGCGTCTCGTCGTCGCGCTGGCGCGAGCTGCCACCTTCAGCCCAGTTCATCAGCTCCTGCTTGGTGCCACCCAGTGCTAGGTCTAGGGTGTCATCGGGCTCGTCCTCCCAGCCCTCGTCGTCCTCATCTTCGTCGTCGTCGGCGAGATTGCTGGTTGCCGCGGCGGGCATGTTGGGAGCAGCACCGGCGCCAGAGGCAGAAAGGAGCTCTTCGATGAGGACCTTGAGGATCTTGAGAGGGGCGGGAATAATTGTGTACTGATCGGGGTCTGGGGTCGGTTAGCCGGCAGTACTTGTGGGAATTTAGGACAGGAGAGACATACTGAGCTTGGCTCTAGACCTGGTCATGATCCTGTCGCTGTTGTTCACGATCAGGTCACCCTTAACCATGGTTTGAGCGACACGGTTGTCGTTGAGGGAGTAGATCTTGGACAGCGCAATGACGCTAGCTGAGGTTAGCTAACTGTATGCTGCAAGACGACCACCGTGAATACTTACTTCTGCCTGATCTCATCATAGCCAGCAAAGTTGACCGAATTCTCCAACCACTTGGCCAGCACAACCTGGAGACCAACTTGGCCATTAATCTGGATATCGCTAAGGAAATTGATCACATCCTGAGCGCCGACCAGGGAAAGGCGAGCGAAGACAAGGATGAGGGACTGGATGAAAGGAGCAGCTTGGGCGCTGTCCAGACGGGTAGCAACAGCCTGGAGAAGCTGGGGAAGGAAAGGACCGAGCCTCTCATGGCCAGCCTTTTCAACCAGCTCAGCAGCGACACCACCAACCTCCGAGGCAGCATTGTCCTCGATACCCTGGGTGAGCAGACGGTCGATAATGCGCAGGCAGACCTCCAGACCGGACCGGCCGTTCTCATCGGTCCAGCTGAACACCTGCTGATGATCATGCATGAGCATGAACTTGACAGCCTCGGCACCAGGGCGCAGAATCTCTCCCTCGGTCGAGTTCATCAGGAGATGGTTGAGCTTGGGGAGGATTCCAGCAACGAAGCCCTGAGGGAGAGGCTCGGTACCGTACTTGACGAGGAGGGCTAGGAGGTCGACAGCCAGCTACAACAAGTCAGCACAAGAAATGGTCATTACGAAACGGAGTAAAAGTCCTACCATAACCAGCGGGCTATCCTGGGTCATGTTCGCAACATCAAAGGTGCCAGTAATCGAGGGCAAGACCTTGGTACAGAGGGCAGTATACAGAGCAGGGTCCTTCCTCTCCTCGAATGTGCTAGCGATATCCTCGAATGTCTCGCAAACAATGAGAGTGACGTGGAAGCTGGAAGCGCCATGCTTAGCAACCAAGAACATGAGGTCGAGGGCCTTGCTATCCGGTTGGATGGCGACCGTCATATCCATGTTGATGGCAGCACGGAGAGTCTCCAGGATAGTGACAAGGAGGTCATCGGCATCATCGAGGTCGCTGAGATCCTTGGTCTCCAAGAAATGCTGGATGGCCAAGATGACTGCAGACTGGCGCTCAAGGGGGATGCCGCCGTTGACAAAGCCTTCGACGGCCTTAATGCAAGAGACACGGACAAGCTCGTTCGCGTCGCTGGTAAGGGCATTGAGAACGCCATCGAACAGAGGGAGAGTCGCCTTCAAATGTTGAGAGAGATTTCCAGCAACGAGGTAACCGCGAGCGCGCAGCATTGGATCCTTAGGCCTGTTGATAGCATAGTTGACCAATTCCAGGTAAGCACTGAGGAGCTGCTCCGGAACCTGCTTATCGGTGTCCTGGAAGTCATTCAGGACAACATTGAAAAGGTAGAGGGCGGCTTCCTGCTTCTGCCAGCTGGAGTCCTGGCCCGTGAAGAGGGCCTTGGTATAAGCATAGAGGCCCTCCAGCGCTCGGGAGTCAAGCCACTCCGCAAGCTTAATCAGCAAATCGCCGCATGCGGTCCTGGCGGTGTAGTTTGAGGACACAGAAGTCTCCTCGGCAAGGAATAGCGACACGTCAATATCCCACAGCCCTTCTTCCTCCTGGGTAATCTGGGAGTAGGCAACGAGAAGCTTCATGAGATCCAGGACCCAAGGGGTATCATGAACGGCGCCACCACGAGCAGCAATCTCAGCATCCAACTGCTTCTGGACAGGAGGAGCCCGCATGCACTGGTTGAGGAAATCGAGGAGATCGAGGACCAGGAAGTCTAGAGTGAAGGGCAGACCATCGGCATCCTCCAGTCGGCTCTGGGCATCGGAGTCGATAAAAAGAGCCTGGTAAGCTGGCGCCAACCTCAAGAGCTCCTCCCAGACGGCTGTGAAGAAAACAGGGGTCCGAGGAAGCAGAAGGGACTTGAAGACGCTTCTGATCTTGATCAAAGTCTTGACCACCTGCACCTTCAGGGCAACCGGGCCGTACCAACTCTGCGGCTGAGAGCCCGAGTCATCAAGAGGAGGGAGGGGAGATTTGATCACCTGCTCCAAGAAGGGCAGCCACCCGCTGAGAACCTGCTCAGCAAAGGCCTTGACCTCCTTCTTGTGGTCATCCTTGACAATGTCCATGAGGTCGAAGCAACTCCGGAAGACTTGAACAGCCAAACTACGGTGTTGAGCCTTGCGGTTCTCGTTCAGGGCCACATCATAGCACGCCTTAATTATATCCCGGGCCGCCCCAAAGAACTGCTCGTCGGTCAAGCTCTCCTCGACAATGTCCTGGAGAATACGCAGAGCACCATGGAGCTGGGGGTCCGCACCGCTGGGCATGACGCCCAAGACAGACGGCAGAAGAGCCGGCCACTGGTCCGGAAAGTCGGACGAGGCGATCTTGGACACAACAACGCTGTCGTAGGAGCAGGTGAGTCGATCAGTCCATTGCCAAACGTTCCCAGATTTGTCAATCTAGGGAGAAGGGGAAGTCTCACCTGGCAGCAACCTTGACCTTGCGCTCATCCTCGGGGCTCAGGACGAGCTCCAGAATGATGTTACGCAGCTCTTCTTTGGTCGAGTCCGGGATGTGGATGTGCGGCGCGTGGTCGCCATCGGGGCTCCAGTTCTTCTCGATGAAATTCCGAAGGTAGCTCAGGGCAGACTGCCTGATCTCGACAGGGGCAGCGGTATGCGAGCCGATGCGAGCCAGTGACAGCGGGAACTCGGGGTTTGTCTGGGCATGCAACAGGTCGAGTTCGGCCTGCTTGCGAGGACCCTCATTCTTGTCCTGTGTGTTGGCGAGGAGCCGGGCCAGGTGCTCATCCATTTTCACAGCTGGTCGCTAACGAATATGCCTGGAAATTGCTTCGAGTGTCGTATATGTCTGGTCTGAGCCGGTCTCAGCCTTTAGGCTCTGCCTAGTTGGCAAAGAGTGGGCGCTGGCCGATGGTCAATCGGATATACTCTGCCGAATGTTGACTTCGGGGGCTTCAAAACAGCTGTTTTCCTGAGCCAACGGGGCTTGCTTTTGTCGGGCACTGCCGCCTGCAAAGGAAAAGAGCGGGATGTTAAATGGCGGTGGTGTGGGTGCCCAGAGATTATGTGGGGGAATCGTTTAGCTTGCTGGTCAACAGCAGAGAGTGGAGCGCAGAACTGCTCCCCCATCGCAGGTCGCGCTGTGAAGCCCCTGGGTCAGTGGGCGAGGAAGTGGTGCATTGCGGGGTAGGTGGCGACAAAAAATACCCCTCTTCACAGCCAATCGTTCTAATTCGCTCCACATTTAGTGTAGAGAAGCCCAGTTAATTGGGTCACATGTTTTGGCGTCGCGGCTGCTGGGGTGGCGCGTCGCTAAGAGGACCCCGCGATCCTCCTTCTGACTGGGGCACGGGTCACACAAGTGCTCCCATATCACACATTCCATCACAGGGCTCTTCCTGGTTGCTTCAACGTTTGGGTAATTTCCATATTTCCATGCCAAAACGTTGGCTGACTCAGATTGGCTTTCACAGCTTATGAAATACCAGTCGAGCTGGGCCCTTTGTCGTAATGCCTTCCCTGGATCCTGCTCCCCCTTCACAGCATCCAATCCCAGCCCCAGTCCCAGCCCCGGTCCCAGACCCAATTGAAGTTGAAGATGAGCAGCAAGAGAAACCATTTCATCAAGAAGCCCTAGAACGTCTGAGACGAACAGGGCGCCTTTTCGGTCCAGACGACGAGGACAATCCAAAAGAGGAGATGGAGGAAGATGCCGAGTATGCCGAGGACGCAGAATGGGACAACGAGCCTGTTGGCTTATACTTCCCCATCGAAAAAACCCACATTCTCTTCTCCTCCTTCAGTGATTTCCTAACCGTCGCCATCCACAACATCCTCTTCTACCGCAACATTTATCCCCCAGCTACCTTCCTCTCCACGAAAGCTTTCAACCTCCCCGTCCACCAAAACCGCCATCCCAAGGTCTGCGCCTGGGTCAAAGACGCCGTCGAGGCCGTCTTGGCCCAGCTGTCCACAGGACACGTCTCCCGCGTGGCAGTCGTCATCCACTCCCCTCTCGACAAACCCATCACCATACCCCAGCCCAACATCCCCCCTACAACAGCGACAGGGGACTCTCAGAAGCCGAAGTCCTCGGTCGCCACGCGCCCCTTGCAACAACAACAAGATGAGCTCACCATCCCCCAAGGTTCTGTCCTCGAACGCTGGCTGTTCGACACCTCTCACTTTCCGGCTTGGCCGGCTGCCAAATCAACCGCGGCTCACACTTCCCATGCCATGGAAGAGTTTGGCTATGCTATGGAAAGGGTATCCAAGGAGGAGCATGTGCGTGATGCCATCCTTGATGAGTACCCGGAGAGGGACGAAGACGAGGGAGATAAGAATGAAGAAAAGAAAGGGGAAAGCGAGCACAAAGGTGAAAATGGCGATGGAAAAGGAGAAGACAGCGAGGGTGACGACGAGGGTAAGGGAAATAAGCCAGAATATCCGAAGGAACCTATCGAGTGGACAAAAATACACTGGCCTGATCTGGACGAGCAGCTTCGGGGGGCGTTACGGAGAATGGCGAGCACGGCAGAGAAAATGCCGCCGCTGCCGGAGGGCTGTACCTTCACTGTTGCGATCGAGATGGATCAGGAGGGGCGAGCGCCGATAGGGGTATGAATTCTACCCTTTTCTGCCCAGTGTTAGTGGCTCTTGTGTTAACATCATCAACAGCATCCCCAGCCCTGGATACCTTCTGAGCCCAACCTCCAGCCTGCATCACGGGCAAAACCCACCCCTGGAGCAGACCTTGGCGGCGTTAGTGCACGGCCAATCCGGACGGTCGAAGCCGGACCGCTCTTCTTCGAATGTTGGATTGAAGAGGGCAAGGCGAAAGACGTGTGGAACAAAATACGAGAAGAGTCTGCCAAAGGTGGCCAGAACTCAAAACCTTAAGCTGTCTCAACCCATTCTTGCACTTCTAACACAGGAAGACAACTCAACCCCATCCAGGCTTGGAGATGCCATTCCCAGTAGGTAACTGTAACTTCCTTGCTATATGCATTCCTGTTTGCATACAGTACCAAACACATCAACATGAACATTTGGAAACGCCTCCAGTAAATATCAATCCACCAATTCCTTTAACAATAGAACACATTTAAAACCCAACACCCAATATCCCGACAACCCCAAACACAACCATCAATGCCCACCACCTAACGCCAGGCCTTTTCGGCCACAACAAACCCTGAGACCACGGAAATCGAAATCACCCGCTCATCTCACCCTCACCTCCTAAGCTTTGGCATCCAAGAAGGAAGCGACTAGCTTCCCTCCCCAGTTGTAGCGCCTTTCAGCAAATTCCTCAGGCTCGCCATCTCCCTTTTGAGCCGAGCATTCTCCTTTTTCAGCTTAGCCGCCTCATCACTGGCCTCTTTCACCATTTGCACCAGTTCTTCCTTATCCTCTCTACCCTTGCCCTTGAGCGCCTTGACGATCTTGCTCAGCTCCGAGTTAAACTTCTCATATAGCAGCTCGTTCTCTGCCGTGGCTTCCTTATAGAGCTGATCGATCGCCTTGACTTTGGCCTCGGTCGCCTTCAGGGTAGCCTCCATGTCGCGCTGCATATCCGCATGTCGCTCCTGCAGCTCCTGGAGCACTTGCGGGACGCGCTCTTCGAGAGCCTGGACTGCAGCCTGTAGCTTGCGCAAATCGACAGTTGGCGTCCGCGGTATGGACGCGCTCACTCGCGACATGTCCTCTGAGATGCGCGATAGCTCAGACTTGAAGGAGGAATCCACTTCCTCGACGATTTTCTTTTCGGTCTGAAGCCGTTCGCGCAGCTTTTGGGTGGTCTGCAGCCGGACTCTCTGGCTACCGCTAGAAAGTTTGCTGGTACTGCTGGAAGGCCGAGTAGGTGACTCGGGCGAGGACGGGACAGGTAGGCGGGTTACGGGCTTGAGCGTTGGAATCTGGGAGATTGTGATGGTCTTAGCACGTGTCCTTGAAAGAGATCCCTGTTCGGTGTCCGAAGAGTCGGTAGTCTCCTGCTGGGAGTCACCATTCTCCTTCTGCCGCGACGAAGACGATCGTATGATCTGTACCTGTGCTTGAGGGCTGATGGTAACTTTGGTAGGGGACGGAGTGCGTGCCGCCTTCTCCGGTGTGCGCTGCCTGTTTAATCGCAGAGGGAGAGTTGGCACATCTTCGAGACTGGCGTTTTCCATGAGGGACCTGAGATCAGACAGTGAGCTGCGCCTCTTCCTCCTGAAGGGCCTCCGTTCAAAAATCGGTGTAGCATCAGGTTCGTCAATTGTTTCGAGTTTATAGGAACTCGTGGGCCTGTGTATGATGTCATCGAAGGCACCGACAACTGGGGGACGATCGCGAGAATTCGGGCGGCGAAGTCGGTTTGGTAATGTAAAGTTCGGGCCCAAATCTATCGACTTTGGTCTGCTGCCCTTCGAGAGACTGTTATCGGCAGAGGAAGTTTTGTGGTGCTTGCTAAGGGTGCGCCACACTGAGGGGCGATCGGAATCTCCCTTGCTGTTTTGACGCAATAACGAGTCCCAACCAAACTTTCTCCGAAGAGAAGAAGTATTTGAGCTTACCGACCCTGTGGCAGATTTGGAACCCTTCTGGTTTGCCATCAAAGCCTCGTAAGTCTGCAGCAAGAGGGTTGTGGGATCGGTGTAGTCGAAGATACGCTCGCAATCCTCAACCAAGAGGTCAAGCAGGTTGATATAGTTCGGCGCAGTTCCATCCTCGACCAGGAGCTCTGCAAAAGCTAGGGTCAACGCTCCTCTATCGCCGTCGTTGCTGCAACCTTCCAAGAGGTCAGCAAGGAGCTTTACGAGAGCTGTGAAAGCGCGTCGGTTTTGCGGGGCCATATCACTGAAAATAAAGCGGACAAAGTCCGAGAACTCGCCCGGGACCTTCTTAGACGCGCGTATCTGAAGCGCGTCGAGAGCTTCCTTCGTGATAACCGGACCTATTTGCTCGCGCCAAGCAATGCGGATGAATTTCTCAAATGCCGCGAAAATGACGTCTGTTCCAACTTCCGACGCGGCCTCCAGGTCGAACGGATATTCGATCAGGCGATTATAGAGGTCATTGACAGCGAGTTCATCCGCCATGTTTCTGTTGAGCAAGGTCCGAGCCACGAAGTAGCCCTTACGGGCTTGCATGTTGGCCACATAACCAGTGAAGGTCTGCTCAAGTCGAACGAGGGGGTTCTCCGGCGGCTCATCCTCTTCAAAAGTGACGCGAGGGACAAGGATATCCCTATCCCTAACTGGCCCAGAAACCACAACCACGTCCCTAGTGCTATTGGAACGGGCCCTCTTGTGTCTCGAGCCATTGATGCCCATGTTGTCGAGTGTGGTGGTGCTAGATGACGCGCTGTTGTTGCCGCCCAGGAAGTTAGAAAGCAGCTTGACGGGCGAAGAAGAAAGAAACGACCGACTGCTTTTTTCCTCTTCGACTTTGGCTGTAACCGTGATGGCGCGCAGGATCTTGGTATAGTACGAAACCAGAGCAGGAACCAGGGTAGGGTTTGTAACGCCGCACTGTGTGTTAAGGAGTTGGATGATTCGTCGAGCGAGGGTAGGAAGGAAGTCCTCCAGCGCCACGTCATCAACGAACCTCTTGCCGTTCAAACCCATCGTGTTCATCTGTATTCTCCGCAGGTCGCCTGTTCTGACCTCGGCCACAATTTCTACACCATAATGACCTACAGGAGCACCCTTGCTTCCTTTGTCGGTGTCAACGACAATGCGAATGGCAGCTGGCTCCCGGCGACCCTCAATCAATTGCTGGGCACCTTCTTGAAAGACGGCGGCGTGTAGGCCAAAAGTGTTATCGAGCATCTTCACGGAGCGAAGGGTCCAGGTAGGCTCTTCCCGCTCCTTCTCAGAGAAACGCCCGCAGATGCGAGCCTTCACAATATCCTCCGCAAACTTGTTGGCTCTTCCCTCGTAGATGTCTTGCAACAAGAAGCACCGGGACGTAGGGGCCTTTCCGGTTGGGGGCTCGCCGCTTGGGCCACCCTTCATCTCCTGAGTCGATGTCATCCATATTAAGCGGCCGTCAGAAGATTCAGTGAATCTGACATCGGCAAGGTTGTGCCAGCCTATGAACATAAACTCAAAGTTCCCCTGTCCACTGGCCGCATTGGTCATCGATGCCAGCAGGCCCGCCGCGGATGGCCTTTCAACTTCGCGGAGAAGGTCTCGGCCAGTAATTCCCGTGTTTCCTTTCTTTTGGACTAGGACGACGCAGTCAGAAAAGACCAAAAGAATACCCGGGCGGTCTGACAAGTGATGGCTGTTTTGTGATACGGGCACATAGGGCGGCGAGAGCTCCAGAAAGTCGACAGCAACAACTAGGCGACCCTGTGGCTCAATATCCACAGGCCATCCCTCAATTATCGCACGAAGTCGATTGTTGACATGCGGCTCATCCGGAAGCGGCTCGTCCATGGAGCAGATATTGGTAATGATGTCTCTGGCTTTGAGAAGAAGCTGGAGGGCTGGATGAGTGATGGGTAGGCAGGAGATGATTTGGTCGATAAGAAGGTTATACCGGGGCAGCCGCTGGACCGGCTCGATCAACAATGACCGAATGGTCTGTTCGCCCGTATGGGCTACTCGCTGGCGGAAGCTAGACTGCTTGTCGAGGAACAAGTTGAGTAGCTGAGGGAAGTTCTGGCTGGCCCGGATGTAGTCCTGATAGCAGTCTGCAAACTTAGGAAACCATTCCAAAAACACCTTGGCCATAGCAAGCACACCAGTCGGGTCCTTGGTTTTGCATAAGCTATCCGGCCTGGCTCCGGGACCGGTATTCTCCATATCTTGGATGGCTTCCTCCTCCGTCTCATCCATGACTCGCCGAAGCTCCTGCATGAATGCCGTGTTTACCTCCAAGATGCGGTCCGCAGATTTCGGGAAGAGCTTCTCCAGATCCTCCTCAGTAGGGCTGATGCTGTTCGGGGGTCGATTCTTCGCGTTCTTGCGGAACTCGTTAGCGATGGTGTTGACGAGTTCATTGACTTTGAGAACGTAGCGCTCTTCGGTGTCGACTAGCTCGCTCATCTTCATACGAAGGTCAACCTTCTGATTTTTAGAAAATGACTTGGTCCTGTTTAGCGAAATGGGTCTTGAAGGCGCTCGCCGCAGCTTTGAGGTAGGTAAAAAGACAGGCTCTCCGAACAACTTGACCAGGGGGGAATATCCACAGTACTGGCGCAAGCTGGGGTCTAGGATGTCGTCTTCATCCTCTGGCACTTCCTCAAGGTCTTCAGGGTTGAGTGGCACAATGGACCCTGGGGGCAAGACAAGGTCTAGGTCCACATGGCTGATATGTTGTGTCCGTAGTGCATATTCCAGGACCCCGATGACCTCGAGTGTATTGTCAGCCTGGACGGCATCTTTGGCAATATTGGCAGCATGCTGCTCGCTGAACAGTTCAGGCGCAGAACCGGGATGGCCGCTGCCGTCGGAAGGGTATATCTTCTTGAGATGGCTCTTGACGGCTTCTGGGAGCTCGGTGAAATACTTATATAGACCGAAGGCCAGGCCTCTGCACACCTCATCACCCTGGAACTCGCGGGGCAGGTAGGAGACGACACTGTAGAAGGGAGAGTTGGGAGAGACTGTGATGCGGGGGAACGACAGGTAACCGGCGGGACTGATGATGTGGACTTGTATGCGCGAGCTGTTAAGCGTATAGTTGGCTGTCGTCGAGGGCCCATGGAAGATCAGGATGGGTAGATGGCCCAGCAGCGGGTCGCTGGCGTAGTAGAGAGTGACATGCTCTGGCGAGAGCGCCAGCTCCTCCGTAACACGAACCATGGTCGTCACTTCAATCGGCTATGAGCATGGCGATCGCGAGCGGTAGAGGGGAGGGGAGGGGGAGGAGAGAGGAGACAGGACGGCTCGGGTTAAGTCGGTCTCGGGCTCGTTGGGCGGCTGAGGGAACAGCTGGGAGCGGAGAGCTTGGATCGCAGAGGCAGAATTGGAAGCAAGACGAGAGGAGCAGTCGTTGGCTGGGCTCGCTGTTGGGCGCAAATGAGGACGAGGGCCCGGCTTGGGACGGCTTGCGAGGGGCTGGGGAGTGTTGATTCTGCCGCAGACAAAGGTAAACAGACAAAAGCTCGGCCGTTTTGCGGTTCGCACGGGACACTGCAGAAGCAGCGGCAGGGTTGGTTGCGGGCGTGCGGCAGACAGCGATCGAAACAAACGGCTGGGAGGGTCCAAAGTGTAAGGTCTCTGCACCTGCCACCCTGCTGAAAGCCCAAGTGGAAGACCCGACTAAGGCCCAAGGGTTCCCCAAGGCTTCCAACCAAACTCCGAACTGCAGCTTCGTGGCGCACCGCGGCTGCGTACCTCTCTCGCTGGCTCACTTGCTCACTAGACGCCTTCCAAGCCGGCAGCTTTCAAGATTCCGGCTTTCACTTCCACCTGCCTGCCTACGCAACTTGTGGCCAAAAACCAGTGCAAGCGGGCAGCAGCGGTTGGAACAGGTTCCAGAGTGGGGTGAGCAAGCTTTGTCAGAGTGCTATCCCGCGCAAACAGCACCGCATCGCAGACGGAGAGATTGAGGGTAAATTATTGTACGCGCAGCGCGGGAAGAAAGGGAGAAAAATCGAGGAAGAAGTATTAGCTTGTCCGAATAAGACGACGACCTTATCGTCCACGTGCGTCGCGCGAGAGCAGCCTGCGGGCACTAGATGGGTGATAGCAGTTGCTACCCGCTGCTAACGGCTTAACAAATGACGTTCCTACGCTACTGGAGGGGGATTGAACGATGGACGGGATGAGGCGGTAGAACTGAGAATCTGATCTGAGAGCGCACCAGGGGTCGGGCATCGATCAACACCGGCGAGTTTCTTGGCGGTGAGCTGGACCTGACCGGCCGCGCTTGATGGCGCCATCCCCAGAGGGAGCTTGGGCCACATGGGGCGCGGGTAAACATGGCCTAGCTCTTCCACTGCAGCCCTCCACCAACCCTACCAACCCCAAACCCTGTCCATCTCCGCTGTGACGCCCTCTCAAAACGGCAAGAACACAACAAAGGCCCCTGAATCAAATCGAGATCTTGCGAAACGTCCGATTCTCATATGTCCATTCTGAGAGTCGAATTCATACTGTAACCGTTCTACGCGGCAAGTCGCCGATATCTGCAGACCAGATTCTGCATGCTCCCGAGACCGGACTTCCTCCTCGGCCACACTTCACTCAACCTAACAACTTGCGATATGACTTGTTGTTGTGATACCGAGGGCTCGAGACTCGGGGCCATCTTTACCGATTACCAAGTGTCCGGTTCATGATTCTAGTACGGGAAATTGGAAAGCATTTTTCCATGGCACAGGTTCACATATTTATCTACACCTTATATTAATCCCATTAGGTGACCGTATCATGTCTCAGCTTGAGTTTGAATACTAGTACAGATTGCTGTACTTTTACTTCCCTGACTGCTAAGGTCTATCTGGAGCTCTTATTCATACACTTACACATGCCACAGTGTGAAAACCCCATAGAGCCAACTGCCGTGATGCAGTTCCGTGGTGTTACTTTTCTACGCTACACGGCAATGCTGTCTTGCACCTCCACCAGATCTGTTGCTGGATCGGCATGTCGAGATCCGGATCAGAGGCCATGGCATGCACTGAAAATACTATCAGCAGGATCTCAAACACCTCCCAAACACATTGTTACAACTCAGACAATGGTATTTTTGGGTGATCTTCCAGTACCTGCCGTCTTTGTCCTCCTCCCGATGATACTCGGATCCCATGAATCATGAGAGTTTTCCGAAGGTCAAGAGACAAGATAGTCATCATTTGCTGTACCTCAGGCATATATATTGTCAAATCCTTTTGTTTAGAACAAGTTTCTTCCTGCTTGTTCCAACATATGGACTTCTGGAAGCCCCCAGCATTTGTTGAGTACTATGATGGAGCCAAGAACGCTACCCACTAGTCCCTTTCACATAGCCATTATCGGGGCTGGCATTGCTGGCCTCTCCACCGCCCTCTTCCTTCTACAGTTCTACTCCGGTGCTTACCCTTTGACAATTACGATTTATGAGCAATCTCATCAAAGCCGCCCCAACTCATTCCCAGGGACTGACACAACCCGCAGCTCTACACCAGACAGTTCCCACAGGAAAACAAATACTATCACAGCCTCCACAACCGGCGCAGGTCTCGGCCTTGGCGTCAATGCCACAAAACTATTACATCGGGTTGGCCTCGGGCAGGCTCTTATGGAGATTTCGACACACAGCTGTCGCGACGAAGTCTGGTTCTCTTTTCGGCGGTGGGACGATAGCACTGAAGTTGTCACCGTACGGTCACCAATCTTGAAAACCTACGGTCAGGGAGAAGCGAGGGGCATAGCCGTTGCCAGGGGTGAGCTGTTGAAAGTCTTATGGGCTGGTGTGGAAAGAGGGCTCGAGAGGATGACTCAATTGTTTGAGGGACAAATCCATGAAAAGATGGATTGGATGCTTACTGGAGGGAGAATTGAAGTTGGAAAGAGGGTCACTGGAGTTGAGGTAAAGCTTGACCAGAATGCCTGATTCGATCAAGAATCTTGAACTTGAGTAGCTGATATTGTCTCCAGGACCTCGTTGACACGGTACGGCTAAAGTTTGAAGATGACACAACAGCAACCGCAAATCTTGTTATCGCTTGTGATGGCATCCACTCCCCCATCAGAAGCCAGTTCGTCCACGACGTGCCAATATATAGTGGGAGGGTTGCCTACCGCGGCCTTATCCCATTGGAAAAGCTCCCTAGTCCATGGCCGTTTCCCACGTATTCAGTCTTGTGGGTTGGCCCTGGAAAACACATCGTCATCTATGCTATTAATAAAAACTTGTTGAACTTCGTTGGAGTTGTCAGCAAGGATGAGAATGAAACACGTGCCTTCAGGGAGAGCTGGAACATAACGTGCGACAGAAAAGAAGTCGAGACAGAGTTTTCCGATTTTGACAACGTGGTCCACAAGATTATTTCCCTCCTTCCCGAGAAGCCTTCCAAATGGCTTCTCAATGATCGTGACCCAATCACGGACTGGACATTCCTGGATGGCAAAGTTGTGCTTCTAGGCGATTCGGCCCATCCTGTGCTACCTCATCAAAGTGCTGGAGCTGGGCAGGCAATCGAGAGCGCATATATCATTGCAAAAGCTGTGACAGAATATCTTGACCGGCGAGCTCAGGGGAAAACATCCCCAAAATTACAAAGATGGACACGACTTTACCAGGATATCCGACAACCACGAACGCAATACATTCAAAAGAGCAGCCGAGAGACCGGTCTGTACTACCACTTGCAGGTACCGGAAATGGAAGGGAAGAGCATTGATCAGAGCCTGCAATTGGTCGCCAGGAGAATGGAAACCTGTCTGGAAAGGATCTGGTTAGAGGATATCGACGTCAGCTACGAAAATGCCAGGGAAAAGATGTTGATGGAAGGGGAAACAAAGCTGAAGTTTTGGAAAAGGAGAAAATTTTGCGGGTATTCACCGGATCTTTGTAGGATTCTTTGAGGACATGCAACTGCTCGCGAGTTTAGGGGGCTGTGTCTCCCAGAGTCTGTTCCTTATTCACTCAAAAGTATCTCTGTTATGCCGATTATGCCTGTTCTTCTGGGTCGCGTCCTGTTCCAACCCCTGAACATCATATCTATATGAATAAGCTCAATCAGCCCAGGTAGTACAAATCTGTAACAGTCGAAGGCTGTGCTATGTGCTGAAAGCATCATCTGGCAAAAGCAACAGATTTGCTGGCGTAGTTTTTCCCTCCTAATTCGTCCGATGTAGCAGCATCCTTTCGTTCAGACGTGAACGTCATTCATCCGACCTCGCGAGCCTTGAGAAGATGACTAAAACGGCAAACTTATGCTGTTAGCACCGTTCCCATATCCTTCATACCGACATACAATCTGACCCAAGATACATAATACAGACCATACATACTAGTAGTACGTCGGCCCGTGAACTCCGATTGGCATAGGTAAAGTCCCAAGCCACAATCATCTGGACCTCCAACTGGCCCAGCATCTCGCAGTACCAGGACTCCTCCCGCCACCAGTCGGCCTGAGTTGCAGAGACGCGCATGGCTACTCGGTTTTGAAACAGGCCCTGAGCCCGCTAAGTGGTTTCCAGCAGCGCCTGGAGCTGTTTCGCCCTCCGGGCCCGCACAGAGCCATATTCGGCCGATTCTCCCGCAACCGCCGCTGCCACCATAATCTCCTGCACATGTTGGGAGTTGCAGCCAGTGGACACTTTCTCAGCCAGATACAGCAGCGAGGTCAGGAGCTTTGAAAGCGGAAACAAAGATATTGAGTTACGAAATCGGTTCTAGTTGGGAAGTCAGTTGGTTCAGCGCGTTAAAACTAACTACCCTTAACCAAGTTGATTCCACTCTTCAATGAATCTCGAAGCTGTGAGAGGGCACACAAACTGGCAGTATGTTCACCGGTGATAGTGGTGATGTAGGTATGGTTCTTTGTGGGCTAGCTGGAAAGCTTGATGGCCATATGAGTGCAGTTAAGGAAAGGAACTTTATGAAACCTATCCAGAGAAACTGCTCCTGATCATCTTACCATAACGGTGTTAAACTTTGAAGGCAGTCATGGGAGTCTCTGCCCTTTTCTAATGCTAGAATGGGGCTCTATCTGATGCTGAGGATGGCTTTTCCCGAACCTGACGGAATGGTCCTCCCATCGCATCCTGAGACAAGGGAGGACCGGGAAATGCCCTAACACAGGCATTGGATGGGAAAGCTCTTCATCTTGTGGTAACAAGCACTGTTCTAAGTTTCATAGTCTGAACTTTGTTTTGTAATGGGAAGATGACACCTTGACAAAGGTGTAACTCTCAAATACGAGTTGACCATTTCATGGGATACAGCTCTCATAGAACAGGTTAATTGACATCTAATATATTCATATAAGCTTAGCTTCAGAGTTTCAATTATGCGACAACACAAGTAAGCTTGCAAATTTTGAGAATCTTCCAGAGTTGCGACACACCCATCTTGGCGGTTGATAATTCAGCTACACATATTGGTTTGAATGTTAATTCCACATCGAGAGAAAAGCAACAAAAAGCTTCAAAGGAGATACAAGCAGCCTGAGCATCATGAAAAAAAGTATGTTTCAATAAGACCAAGAGCTAGGTTGATGTCGAAGTACATAGTCGTGAGTTTTCCTATCAATCAAGGCGATGTACTACACAGGCAAGTGCAGAACCGTATGGCTGCTACCTTAAGTTGACAATCCAAAACATATGTTGTAAATCACAATCAAGCCTTTTCCTTGTTGGCCCTCTCAATCGTTATTGAAGCTGGCGAGACGTTATCTTTCGCCTGTGATTCCCCAAGTCCAGACTCATCTCCGCTAAAGGTATGCTTCTGGCTTCCTTGTTCTGGCTGGGATTGTTGCTCAATGTCGACTTGATGATCCTTCTTTCTCTTGGATAGCCACGACCAGCTAGGACGAGCTGCCATGCGAGCTGCCATTTGGGGGAACAAGATGCCAGGTGGAAAGCACGCGAGCAAGAGACACGCAATAAGAACCATGCTGTTGATAGCTTGTTAGCATGATCAGGGAAATACTGCAAAGGGGGAAGACACTTACAATCCCTCCAGAACAATGAATGATGGTTCGTCTTGCATGATTGGGTTACCCCAACCACCAGCCATTTCAACGATACTGCATGGTATGTCAGCTCTACCATGGTTCGCAATTGCGCATGGAGGTTATACACACCGATAAATACATCTGATAAGGATTCCGCTGTAGGCACCTGTAACAGCATACACAAACATCCTAAACTGCTTATCCTTCCAAAGCTCAAGGGCTTCGGGAAGAGCCTCGTCTGATTTGATCCTATAAGGATATTAGTCACAATCCATGATAATCTCGTGTTTTTGTCTAAATATAATATTACAGTCAGAATGATGAAAGTTTGATACTTACCATCTCCTGACCCGAATGTAGTAATCCAATGCAGATAGCCCAAAGAACATCAACACAACCACCTGCAACACAATGCCTGCAATGATGCACCGGTTTCCATGCTGCACCATTTCATAGTTATTTAATGCAGCACTAGCTGCAAGGGCACCACCAATGGCCTGGATGAACAAGCAGGACACATCCAGAGGAACAAAGATAAAAGGGTAGCGATGAGGCCGAATGCGGGAGAGTGCTGGATTGAGAGAGAGACAGATGTGCTTGAGGGTTAGGTAGATGGAGATGCAGATGAGGGTTGGGCCAAGAATGATAGCAACAATTTGGGTTTCAAAAGCATGCTTGTTCCAGGGATTGTCCGTCAGTGGGATGCGAGCAGAATACCCTGGAAGGGGAACAAGATATTTGGTCAGTCTCTATATCTTAAGTGGGCTGTTGGTGGTCATTATCAATAATACTCACCTGCCATCTCCAACGCACTCCCAGCTGCAATGAATGCCATGTAACTCCATGTCTTCTTCTGGATACCAAAGAATAGTGTGACAATGGCGGCAATGGCATAACCTATCACAAAGAAGATATTAATCCCCCTGGTCGGATAGTAGCCCATCGTCGTTGCCTCGACGGGGCAGAGAGGCGTCACTTCATTGCATGAGTAGTAGAAGCTGGCAAGGTCGTTCGCGTCTATATCGTTAGGGACTTGAGAGGGATCAATCCCTGGAGGAAGCACTGAAGGGTCTAGCTGATCCATGCTGAGGAGCTAGGGAATCGAGAAGGCTTGATCGACTCGAGGGTCCGAGTTGACTGACAGATCAAATGTTGGGATTCTTTGAAACGGGCTACAGGTACGTGATAATGGTTAACCTCATCATATGACATCCGCTTGACCGGCAAGACAAACACGGGTCAAGAGATGCTTGAGTTGCTTTAGGCAGAGGCAAGCAGTCCACGATGAGGCGACAGGGAGTAGAAGGTCAAGTCAACTCCAACTCTTTAGCCTAACAAGGCTAGAGATCTCAACATGGAAAAGTCAAAAAAGCGAGCTCAAGTGCTCCCCCCATGGGGGCTTGCTCTTTGTATGCAAGTACATAATAAGTGCATGTGTGTACGGATATGGGGGCATCCATTGCCCAGGCCGCTGAGGTCCCATTGAAGCCAGAAGGCGAAAAGATAAGATGAGGTTAGCGTAGCAATGCTAAGAAATGACACCACTCCCGGGACCTAGTTGCCTTCCCCCCCTTCTCTTCCGGAACCATCACCGCAAACATGGCGGAGGGGCCATGCAGCGCTATGATATGGGCTAGCGGCAGGCGCGGGGTGGGCTTAAAGAAGTCGGTTAAGTTTGCGGTGACTCGTCGGTGAACTAACGGTTGGCACGCCAGACGGCTTGGTGCTGCAACATGCATCAACACGTGTAAGGCTGGGCAACTGTCAAAGTTCCTGGAGGATTTGGAGTTGAAAATGCCATGCCATCTCGCAATCCGTTGAAGACCAGGGATCCAATGGCCCGAAAGTTGGTGAGATGTGGGGTGGTGCCAGAACCCGATCCCGAATAGTGGCACACCAGGGGGTGTCACAAAATGTCGCGACCTGACCGGATTTTTGTCTGGCTTTGGCTCAGGACAACATCCAGAGAACTCTCCAACGGCGGACATCTGTTCCGTCGGATCAGAAAACCCGAAATGGCACATCTACAGATTTTCGTCAATAAGCAAATGTCCGCCCGTGACAACGCCTTGTTCTCTGTGATAAAATGGAATCTTTAAAAGAGTGGGGTCAGGAGTGACAGGGATGACAAAACCCCGAATTTCACTCTACTTTCCGCAAAATTTAACAAAGTAGGGCGGCCCCGGCAATCCGTGTCCCGCTTCCGCTGGCTCGCCTGATGCTGACACCCGCTGCGGTCTTCCACGAGCCGCATGAAATCGATCCGCAAGCCAATGACCCAGATCATCCTCACCAAAGGAAGCAGCAATATATCTAGGGACTCAATTGGTTGGATGACTTGATGTATAGTTGTCTCTTGTTGACACTATTTGTCCTACTCTTTGCCACCAAGCCACCGATAAATGACGGAAAAGTCACGGCCTTTACACCTCTCTTCGGACTCAGCAGCCTCATACACTTCAGAGGCTTTCTCAGCCAGAGGCAGCTTCGCGCCGGCTTCTTGGGCGGCAAGGATTGCCAACCTAAGATCCTTACGCATCAACCCAATGCCAAACCCACCCTTATAGTCCCTGTTCGCCGGAGCAGTTTCGACAACACCAGGGACGGGGTTATTCACTTCACTTGGCCAGCACTTTCCTGTGCTGACGTTGATAACGCTGGCCAACACCTTCGGATCCAGGCCCCACTTGACACCCAGATTCATAGCCTCTGCTGTCGCAATATTTTCAATCGCAAGCAGGTAGTTGTTGGCGAGCTTGGCAGAGAGGCCGGCTCCTTGAGGACCGCAATGGAGGACACGCTTGCCCATACGAAGAAGGATTGGCTCAACACGACTAACGAGGTCTGGGGGGGCACCCAACATGAAAGTCAGAGTGCCCGCCGTTGCGCCGACCACGCCACCAGACATGGGCGCATCGACAAATGTTCCTTGACCATTAGGGAGTGCCTCAGAGATGGCAGCAGCAACTTGCCGTGACGATGTAGGGTCGATAGTCGAGCAATCAATGAAGAGGCGTGGGCTCGACTTGGGAACCAGACCACCCTTGATGATGGCGTCGTAGGTGGCCTTTACGTGCTGTGGCTCGGGGAGACATGTAATAACAGTGTCCTATTAAACACCAAGGTTAGCCATGCTAACTCATTGAGATGCTTTCGTTGCTTATGCTGCTAACGAGTATAGCTTTGGGCAATTCAGAGGATTGGCTTAGTTGTATATGATAATCATTTAAAGAAAGAACCGGCAAGCCGGCCCAACTTAGAACCATCATAGATTGAACAAACTCATCACGGAGCCCATATGGGAGAACGATAACGAGCCTCGAGACTTACCGCATCCTTTGAAGCCTCAGCAGCACTAGAAGAAATCTCGGCAACAGCACCGCCCGCCTGAGCCTTCATCTCCTCAACCAGCTTCTCGGCTGCATCGCGATTGATGTCGAACAGACGAACCGTGTCGCTGGGAGCAAGCTTCGCCTGAAGGTTCCGAGCCATTTGGTAGCCCTACATCATAGACAAAAAGTCAGCCTCTAACTCTGACACAATGGGTACATGTCACTCAAGCTTACCATCTGACCGAGGCCAATAAAGGCGTAGTTGTCCAGCCGGCGTAGGGACGTGGAAAACAGGCGGCGTGGGGCCTGAACAACAGGCTTCCATGACCTTGTAGCCGGCCTCATCTTGGTCTGTTGCTTGACTTGACTCTCCCAAAGAGCAATGTCGATATTGCTACAACAACCTCGAGGTGGTTAGGGAGGTTGTCGATCCGGTCGAGCGGGTACGCCAACGGCGGGGGTTTTGGGAGAGCCGAGTCCAGAGCCGGCCATTGCCGGCCGTAGCCCGCTGCTCACCCTCGCAGCTCTTGCGTGGTCCTTGTCTTAACCTGAGAGGTCACGAGAACATGTCCCAAAGAGGGAAGGACAAAACGAAGGAAAAATGGAGCAAGCTGTAGCGCTCTAGGTCCCTGGGCCGAAATAGGGGTTCATATCGAGAAGACTATCACGGTTTGCACGGAGTCTTGCGAACGTTATGCAAATGTGAAAGGGGAGAAAAGAAAGTTAAACTTCGAAAACAGAAAAAAAGCTTTTGTGCGATGGATCAACAGGGACTTGGTCCGAGCGTCCCCAAGCTGGCGTGCCCGAACCCTAACCCAGGTGCAACCAAGAACCACGACATCAGGACTCTGACGTGCCATCAATGAAGTCGGGTATCGAGGAGGATTGGAAAAAGCCATTACGCATTTGGGGTTATATCTGAACTCTGGACAAACGCCTTACACCAAAACACGCCCAAGGAAGACCTGCATCCCCTATCCCCTGTCCGCACGAGACGCCGGAGAGACCGTGGTCGGCAACAAACCGAGCAATCCTGCTCGAAAGACCAGCAACGGTTGAGGCCTCAATGCTCTCCGACTCGTGAGGATGTCAACCAATCCGATTGGGTCCAAACAACGGCCCAGTCCTACCAATCCCAGAACCCTAACGATTGTATTTCCTTCCGTCCCGCTTCCGACCACTCCGCCCCTTGAGACCAGGAAGCAGGTATATTCGTAGGGGTATGTGCAACCAGAAACAAAAACCGAAATTTCAAGACAGGTGCAAATCGAAGAGAACTAGTCGCCTCTTGCGTGCGAATAACTTGCGAGGAGCCTGGATTTTGGTGACCTGGCCTCGGTTATTAGGAACGAGCCCAGGTACCCTATATCGATCGCTGTTCGACCACGACGGGCGCTGTTTGGTCAATCATAATGGGAGCGAGAACGCCAAGATTTGACTATAGAGCATTCATAACATATGGTGTAAGGACGGGAATCAGAGCGCTGCAGTCTTGTGTTAGCACACGGTTGTGGGAAACGTTGCAATCAAGAGTCACTTACCCAAGCGCGCCAACAGCCACGGTCGCAGTGAGACCCAAGAAGGCCCGCTTTTTGATCTTCTCTTTCCGAATCTCCTCTTCTGTCTTGACTTTCTTCGCCTGAGGAGGTTCAACAGCGTCTTCCTCTGTCTCTTTATCCTCATTACCTTGGCTAATATCCTCAGCCTTACGCTTGCTCTTACTCTTGGTGCTTGCGGGGCCGTCGGCAGCGGCGACAGCCTCGCTGTCGGCCTTCACAGCAGCCTCAACCATTGCTTTGGCCTCGGCAACCATTTTGGCCGCATCCTCAGGAGACGGAATTTTGCCAAAGATGGGAACCTCCACCTCGACTGTGGTACGCTTCACTTCCTCGCCGTCGACATCAACCTTGACGTCTTTGTCAACGTGAACCTTGATCTTCGGCTCCTCTTCTTTGGATTGGGCCTCCTTTTCAACTGACTCGACGGGCGCTTGGCTTTCGCTCGGCTCCTCAGTCTTGGAGCTTTTGAACTCAAATGACGCCTGGGACAGCTCGCCATTGACGAGCGTAGGTGACGACGACTCTGCCGTGCTAGCAATGGTAGCTTCTGTAAGGACTGACGACTGGGACGACGCGACCTTGCGTCTCCTGGGGGTAGCAATTGCGCGCTTGCTGGTAACTGACTTAGCCGGACTTGCCGAGCGACGAGTGCGACGAGTGGTGGTGCTAGGAGTCGGCGGGGCAAGTGACGAGTCATTGAAAAAAAACTTTGGAGGAGCCTGGATCTTCTTAGGCGGACCACCATCGGTGCTCGGGGTAGGCTGGATGTCGGCAGGGTCGAGAAGGGCGCGAATCCAGGGAGTGATCTGATACTCTTCGGCCAGCTGCAGCGCCTGCTCCGGGGGAATCCAGAGGTTTCCGGCCGTTTCCTCTGGGCTTGTCGTAGGGAGAGACTTGATGTATCTCCGCTCGGCCTCCTCTTCCTCATGCTCTGCGTATGGGAAAGTTGCCTTGAACATGCCGGTCGCAGAAACATAGCCATCCGCGCTACGGCGCATCAGGAAATAGCTCGGGGGTGACGATTTGAAGATGCCCGACACGATCCCCTTTGGCAGCGGAGCCCTCAGGTGCGCGTAATCAAACGCGCCGAGAGACGACTCGGGAACCTCGGCGCCAGGGACAGATGCCTGAACCATGCGCGAGGTCAGAATCGTCTGCCCGAGCCTGCGACGGGCAACAAGCTCGCTGTCTGTTGATATTCGGTAAGCGACGAGCTAGAAAAAGCGTCAGCTATTCTTGAGTACTTACGTGGCGGAATATTTTCGAGGAGCAGAGGGTTGCGCCGCTCCGGCAGCTTTCGAGTTCGCGCCATGGCTGTCAAGTTCTATGCCTTTGGGAAAGACTCGGAAAAGGAAAAAAAAAGCCAGGGGTAGCGTAGCCTCAAGCAGACGTGTGTTGATAGAGTGCGCGGTTGAGTTGAAAGAGAATGGGCGAGAAGGATGAGGCGCGACGAGGGAAATCTTTGCGCGCAACGACACCTTGTGTGCGTTTGTGGGCGTTACCGCGGCGCGCGGGTCAATAGGAACAAAAAAGAACTGATTTAAAAGCTAATTGAATGAGAAAATATGCGTTTGAGGTCACTCCCTCCCACTGCCAACAGAGCCGGGATAGAACAAAGGTTGTGGTGAGACGCTTGATAAACAGGTTTTTGAGGATGAAGGGTGATCTGCAACCTCTTCGCGGAGTGACAGATTGGAAAGAAGGGAGTCTGGGGTTTACCCATCGAGCTCGCACGACCACGCGACTCGGCCCGGTGGGGAGGGTTGGGGACATGTTGGGGGCACGGGCCACCTTCATCATTCTGCGCTTGCCGATAGGGCAGCCCACTACTAGATTGGTTGACAAGTCCCCACACATGCAGAAGGCTCAGAGCTCCGGGGTGCCAACAAGGGTTGCGCAGGCCATGCGCCATCGTTCCGGGGAAGATCGCTCCGAACGATCGATGGCCGAGCAGCTTGCAGCCGTTGAATTACAACCGTGTCTTTCCATTGCTCGGCTTTGCTTCTTGATGCTGAAATTTGAGAATGAAAGATGTGGAAAGCAAGTATATCGAGGAGACTCAATATGACGCAATGCGTTCACAGCTAAGAGGTCCAAATCGAGGCGTACTCACCAGCAAATAAGATGGTGATCTTAGCTGCAATAAACGTTGATGAATTATTGGGCTTGCAGTTTGCTTGTCAAGATGCCCAATCCAGATCAAACAGGTGCCATCTGGCTTTTACTTGCAGTTCAAGCTTCAATATGAGATGAGACCTGGAGTTCATTTCCATCCCAAAGTGCACTCATCCAAACCTGCTCATCATGAGACCAATAGATAATCATTTTCAGCCATAATCGCTGGGAGACAGGAGAAAGAAGCCTATGGCGATAGCTGCATCGTCAAATGATGTTCTTAGCTCATGCAATTAGGTGTCTCTATATGAACTGAAGTTAAAGTCTGATGATGGTAAGTAGTATTATCAGGACACTGTCAAAGATGGCGAAACTGAAGCCAGAGCAGATGCTGGTCAGATCTTGGGCATCCAACACATGCACTGAGCTTGGAGAAACGTGTTGCTGCACAAGGGCCGCACGGGCAGAACGGCCCCAGAGCAACAAATGAGCGGTGAGAAGGTTCTTGGCTTCTAATGCGATGCCCTGTCAACTGCGACAAGTCCGTCTCACACTCGAAGCCCATTCACTATGAGTATCTTACAAAAATGGAATTCTATGGGTACTAAAAACATTTATCATTGTTGATGGGTAATGATTACCTAGACAGCAAGGACCACAAGCAGTGCGTTTCAGTGAACGCAACAGATGTCGATCGGTGCTTCTAGGCTCTTACAATACCTGTAACATAGAACTGACATGGCCTCTCCCTGGGCCTAAACTTGCTCAGCTAACACATTCCTAACAACCTCTGGGAATACTAACATTTGACTTTGTTAGCACCAGTATTCACCATTGCACAAGTGTTCAGGGGATCATCAATGATCACCTGTGTCTTCATGAGAAAGAGGTTCTTAAAAGAACAGCCAGATTACAACATTAAGTGTACCTACTGTCGTTTTTTCCTCCTTAGCGCACTTTACTCACTGATAGCATCGTGGACAACTCATCCACTGTTGCGTCTCCGCCTATCTCATGGGCAACCTTTGTTGTCCTTGCTGCACCTGGCAACGATGTCGATGAAGTTCCAGAAGTCGGAATCGCCCAATGACGAGCAGCATCAATGTGGGGCCGTTGACTGAGCCCCACTAAAGGGGGCACTGGCGGCAGTGGTTGGTCCATATCGGATTTGTCGGGGAGCCCCTCCACTTCATAGGACCAGGAAGCTGTTGGACCCCTCACCCCTCCATCAGCCCAAATAAATAAGCTTAGGACCGGGCATCATCGTGCTGCTCCAGTTGTCCGCCTCGATCAACATCAAAACACCCATCACACATCCCTTATCACCAAGCAACCTGGTGGGAACGGTATCTACTGTTTTCAGCATTGCCATCCTTCTCTGAGATTCTGAAAGCTCCAATTGCCCAACATGGCGTCGCACCAAGAAGACGACCTTCTGCCCGAGAACACCACGGGCTATAAGCTCACCCAGCCCAAGCACACGCTGGAAGAGTACAAGAAGATGGGTAAGTTGCAAAAGATTGTGATGAGATCTATATGTTCTACCTCTTCTCCCTCACTATGGGCCATGACAAAAGCCGGAGGAGCTGGTTGTAGCTCCTGAACTGGTGTGAGCGAGTGCTGCTAAGTTCAGGAGAGATCTGTGATCAGTATACCTCATCGTGATAGGTGCGAAGGCCGCTTGTGACTCAATTTTCGCCTGCGTGCGAGCAGTGAACTTGCTCTACCCGCCAGGGTGACTGATTCCAATGGGAACTTTGAGCTTGCTCGATTGACCCCTTGTCCTTGTGACTTCTGGTCATTCAGCGAGGAACCGGTCCTGTTATTGTAGTCTGATATTGTCCGGCCGACCGACTTCTCAACCTCATCGCAGCCTGAATCGCAGCCTGGCTCCGCGTTACGCGTTGTCTTTCCTCCTTACATTGCGAACTGCCAGCCTGCAATCATCTCTACTGACTTTCAACCTTTCACCCTTGATGCTATCTGGGCTCTGCGAATCTCACCACAGCCCCCCCAATAACCCCTTATAACAACTTTCTCTGTTCCAGAGAGTTCAGTCATCGAGCAAAACACAAATATGAGCCCCGACCGCAAGATCCAGTTTGTGGTTCCGGAGCCGCGTGAGCCCCGTGGTTCGGAGGACCCTCCACGCGCCCCCATCAAGCCCCGTGGGGTTCAGGCCGCGGCAGCCGATACAGAGAACTGCGGGCGTTGCCCATCTCCTTATCCCAATAACATACCAGGTGTTAGCGACTCAGAGGGAATTGGCAAGACTCTTCGAAAACTCAGCAAAACAAGGCTATAATCGCCACATCGGTTGTCACGGCCATATGCATACTAACAGTTGCTTTTGTATAGATGAGAACGATGAGTCCCTCCAGCGCTACAAGGCTTCTCTCGGCTTGGGCAACGGCAAGGACCTGTCTGATCCCAATGACCCTCGCGTATGCATTATCCTTTCCCTGACGATGGAATCGCCCGGCCGCGAGCCGGTCGTCATCGACCTTTCTGAGCCTGGAGCTTTGGAGAACCTGAAGAAGAAGCCCTTCAAGATCAAGGAAGGTGCCAACTTCACGATGAGCGCCAAATTCAAAGTCCAACATGAGATCCTGAGTGGTCTGCACTATGTTCAGGTCATCAAGCGCCATGGCATCCGTATCCCTGGTGGCAAGTCCGACGAGATGATCGTAAGTACCACCAGCAAGGTGATAAGAGCTGAGCTGACATTTTGATCGTAGGGCAGCTATGCTCCCAACACCGATAAGCAGCCGGTGTATGTCAAGAAGTGTAAGTCTTTGTTGCCTCAGAATTTTTTTCATCGCTTCCTAACAGCTCTCTGCTTAGTCCAAGAGGAGACCGCCCCTACTGGCTGGGCTGTCCGCGGCAAGTACGATGTCACTTCCAGCTTTGTCGATGACGACCAGAAGACGCATCTCAAGTTCGACTGGGCCTTTGAGATCGACAAGGACTGGTAAACTGCCATGCAGTCCTAACGGGGACTTACCTTTCCTTTGTTAGCCTGTTGGTACTGCTCCGACTACAAATTTTCATGAACTTTCTACGATTCCTCTGGGACTTCTTATGTGCATTGTTGGTGTGATGGAAGGGTGGGTAAAAGGCTTGGAGCAAAGAAATTTGGGGGAGGATGGAATTCTCTGCTGTTGCAGTGAACCAGTCAATCGGACTCAATTCACCTTAATCGGAGTTCTCGGCTGATACCAATCTCTTTCGCCTTGTGAATTTGGGTCTGGCTGCTGCTGGATTCTGGAAAGATCTGCGGCCCTTCTTGGATGAGAAGTTTGGTCATGAGAACAGCGAAGATATTGTGGAATTAGTGAGGGCTGGTCATGTTGAGATTGGAACCAACATCCGCATCCAGTTTTGATTGCCCGCTACTCTTCTTTTGATGAGGGAGAGGCCCGATCGGGCCTTTTTTCTATGTAGTGACGATACCGAAAGACAGATATTGAGCGATCACCATTCTAAATCATCTTCAAAAGGTAACTTTTTATGTTATTTGTTAGTATTCCAGTCATATACTATTCATTACGCCATCCGGTTACTGAAGATTAAGTACTGTATCGCCTCTTTGTCCCAGGCACAAAGAACAGGTATCAATCCTTTGCATGTAGAACACACCATGTCGACGGTGACAAGACGATTACCCTCGACGGAACGCATCAAATCCTATAATCCAGACTTCTCTTACAAGAAGTAGTCAGGTAATCCATTTTCCCCAACTTTATCCAACGTGCCATTCATCTGCGCCTCCTTGACCTGGTCATTTTCAGGAGCCGCAGAAAACACGTTAAAGAAACGCTCGCCGGTATCGCTGACCTCAAGCACGCTGGCCATGTTACCGCAGCGATAGCAATAGTTGGGCGCGCTCCACACCGTGCTTAGCAGGTCACCATACAGGACCTGAAAGCCCTCTTGGCAGAGCTGATGTGCGCGGAGGATGTGGCTCATGTTGTTTACGGCGAGGAACTTGCGGACAACCTGGGCGCCGAAAGTGTACCCCGCGCCGCGGGGCGAGAGGGAGAACTCGTCGCGCTCGGGGTCTGGGTCGGACCAAACAAGATCGGCCATGGGGCCCTCGTGAGGTATCTCGCGGAAGCGGTCGATGATCTTGATTTGGTCAATGGAATGAATCGACGGAGAAAGACCTGTCCACTGCATCAGCAAGCTAATTCGTAGGTAGGAAAGCGGCAGTAAGACAACCATACCTCCATGGACACAGAATATTTGGTCATTGATAACAACACTCAGGGTCAAGAAGTCGAACATATCGGTGAAGTAATGCCAGACATTGGCGTTGCCGTACTTGCGGGAGCACTCTGTATAAAAACCATAGGACTGCGTAACGCCTCGTGACTCATGGTTACCTCGTATCAAATGGACGCGGTTGGGGTATCTCAGTTTCAAGCAGACAAGAAGAGAAATCGTTTCCACGCTGAACATGCCGCGGTCGACATAGTCACCTGTATAAGTGTCAGTCACCAAGCACAAGCTTCAGCAGAGGGACTCTGGAGAAAGGCAACACACCAAGAAACAGATAATTTGTATCAGGACACCAACCACCAATCTTGAATATCTCAATTAAATCGTAGAACTGTCCGTGAATGTCGCCAACCACGGTGACAGGGGCGCGCACGTGGACGACATTGCTCTCGCGCATCAAAAGTTCTTTAGTCTTGGCGCATATTGCTTCGATGACGGACTCGGCCAGGAGTTCCTTTTTATAAAGGCGCGAGATGCACTCGTCAAGGTCCACGGAAGCTGTGACATGCGAGGTCAGCGTCAGTTGGGACGAGGACAACCTCGTGTGGAGCGTTGCAGACGGAAGGCCGCTCGTGGAGGGGTCAAGACAACGAGGAAGGCAGGCAAAAATGCATCGATAAAGAAACTCACAGGGAAGTCCAGGCATCTTCAGTGAACACAGAGAAAAGGATGATTTAGTCAAGCGCAATCGAAGAAAGAACAGGTGATCAAAAAATCAGGAGCCGCAAAGGGGGCGGCTGCTTCTCCCACTGGCAGCTCGAGCAAAATCGACGGTGGAGATGATGTGGAAGATGCGATCCAACATATTCGAGGAGATTGGCGTCACATCGACCAAGAGCTTGTTGAAGTTGTCTTTCTGCTGGGCTTTATCGCGTCCGATCCCGCATCTGTCGAGGCTCGAGATGGAGGTCTGGACAAGGCCTACGGATATTGCTGTGCAACAGCTGCAATGTGAGACGCCACGTCGTTAAACCACAAGCTGGAGAGCAAAGCAATCGGGCTCAAACATCGCCCACCACTCCCAGGGGTTCATCCACTTAATCATGGCCTTAACCAGCTGCGCAAACCTGCGGCACCGCAGTGCGCAGACACCGTCCCGCAATCAGTTCTCGCCGCCGATTGGTTCGGAATTTTCTCGGATTTACGTTTTGGGAGGTCCCTATCGATAAGCATGCTGTCGCCACTTCTGCCACAGTCCACCTGCTGCCAAGGCCTGGTGCACCCCACGGTGCGTGGCCTGTCCCCACACCGACTGGGAAAATCATTTAAAGGCAGAGCAGAGCACTCGCGCATTTTCTGATGGCTGCGTCTTCAGCTTGTCTTTCGTTTCGCGTGTCTTCCCCATCGCTGTTCTCTTCGCTTTCGTCAAAACGTCTGTCTGCTCAACCTTGACAGCGGTTTGTTGAGTCAAGTGCGATTGTATTCCCGTTTCTTCACATCCAACATAGCAGATCGCGATTTTCATTGCTCTCTGACAATTCTGCCTTTCCTCTCATTCCTGGGCGGTTTTTCCTGGAAGGATATATTCTGATAATCAGTCCTGTCTAGGTTGCCTGGACAACCTTATTGACTGTTCCCCCCCCCCTTTCTCCCTCTGGTCTGCTACTTCTCTGCTTCATCACATTGCACCAGATCAGATCTCTTTTTGATACTCTGAGGTCTATCTCCTTGCCTACCTAATACCCATGGCAGGGAGATGTTCCTTGGTGTTCGGGCTCGTCCTGTTCTCGACTTCTTTGGTCTCCCCAGATTTTGTTTACTTTGGACCCCTCAGGGGGCTGCTTTAGAATCCGTCATTCTAGCTTTAATCCAAAACAACCGTCTCCTGTATTTGGGTCTTCTGGAGCCCCCAAGACTTGGACATTAGAGGCCGCTATTTTACTATCTCGACGGCATAGAGGGCCTACTTTACCTGTTCTGGTGCTGTAGTTATTCCAGCCATAGGCTCGGTTTCGGATCTGTCAGTCGTCCAAAGCCCACTCTGCTCGAATCATGTAAACAGTTGATGATGAACAACGTTGTTCACCATGTTGGCAACACAAGGCTCCCGGTCCAGGGCCGTTTCACGTGACTTTGGAGTGAAGAGTGCGATCGCCCCGCCCACAGCAGGTGGTGGCGGCTGGACGCCCAAGCGCTGCGCAACCACTCATCGAACTCCCAACCTCGAAACCCCAAATTTTGGTTTTGAGATTTCGGCTCGGCCACATGCGACCGACTCGCATCCTCTAACCAGCCCGGTGAACACCACACACCAGCAACTCACTTCTATCCCTCATTTCTACTTAGAATTTCCAGAGACTTTCCGGCCCACTGTTGTGCGTGCTTAATGCTGCGGGACCAGCATTTGCGCAAGCGACACTGAGCGCTGGGCAGTAATACTTCCTTCACTGAGACCATTCGCGTGCCCTCTTTCGCGGATTCACCACTCAACGCGGCACGGGTCCAGCTCACTATTCCCTGCGCGTTGCTATCCCAGCCTTACCATACCTACTCTTTCTAGTGAACAGAAAGCTCTCTCGACTGGTTGGAGCGTTTTTTACCATTCTAGTGACTTCAGCGACAAGTAGGCGACTGCGATCTCAGTTCTGGTGTTATCCTCGGCTGGCGCTGGCTGAACTGTGCGCATCCATCATCCTGGACGTGTCAACCTCTCATCATCTCCAGCTCATATTTGACTTCGGGCTTTCCTAAACGACCGACTTTACTATCCTACGACAGCGACAAGCAGTTCAAGTCGCAGGAGCTTGAGACTGCATACTCTTGAGCACCCAGCACTCAATTTCATTTGGGCTTCAGGGTTGCTTGCGCCCTGTACACACTGGTCTGGCATCCTTCGGCTCATCACTCATGCGACTCGGATTCATCGCGCCAACCTCAGACTCAAGTGATCATCATGCCTGACACACCCCTCGACCAGAAGCCTGCAGAGAGGGAGCCAGAATGCTTCAACTGCGGAGAAAAGGGCCATTGGGTTACTGCTTGCCCTGAACCTATTCGGCCAGAGCCTGTGTAAGTTGATCCCAGCTTACCAAGTCCACTTATTTCCTTCAACTAAAAACTGACGCATTGGCTAGTGGCGTCAAGCGCTTCAGGGCGCAGAAGTCGCTGGAACTACAACAACCGAAACAGGACCATGCACGCTCAGGAAGCAGAAAACCTCCGGTCATTACTCGCTATCCTCCTCCAGCGCTCCCGCCAGGAACACATTATGGCCAGCCGGCTCCTCCACCTCCTCCTTATCCCCCCGGCGTCCCCCCTCCCCCTCCCCCTCAAGGCTATCCCCAAGCCCCTTATTCTTCGACCTCTTATCCTGGGGGCTACCAGGCACCAACTCAACCAGTGCAATATGGACAGCATGCGACGTCAGCTCCCCCGCCGCCTGCTACTTATAGCCACCAAGCTCCTTATGGCCAGCCCCAGTTCAATAACTCGTACCCCGCTCAGCCAGGCTATTACTCGCAACCTGCGGGGTCCCTACCTCCTCCTCCTCCTCCTCCTCCTCCCCCTCCTCCTCCTGGCCCATCCTATCCCCCTACCCCCTCGTCTTATCCTCCGGGAGGATACCAGGCTCCGTATACGCCTCCCCCCCTCCTCCCGGGGCAGCTTCTTATCCTACTCCATATGCAACTCCGCCACTAGTCAATTATCAGTATCCTCCGGGACCCCCAGGTTCATACCCCCCTCCTCCTCCTCCTGGGGCTCACTACCCTCCTCCTCCGGGCTGGACCCCTCCGCAACATGCCCCTCTGCCTCCTCCTGCAGTTGCTGCAAATCAAACTCCGTCGGGTGGCCATCGTGGAAGGCACCAGAAGGGCCCTGGGCAGAAACAGCAGCGGGACCACCAGCGGGACCGTCAGCGGTCAAGAAACGAACAAAGAGAGGGCGATAAGCAGGGCAGAAACGATTCTCGAAATGACCGTCACGAGCGTCAAGATCGCAAGGACCGCCGATCAGCAAAGGACGATGGCAAGTCCAAGAGCGAGAAAGCTGAGGAGAAAAAACGCTCCTCGAAGAAAGATGACGACAACGATGGCGAGTGGGATCCTACTTCTGAGGAGGATATGAAACATGTCTTCCCCGAGATCAAAGTCAAGCCTGCTGACCCCGTGGGCATTCCTCTCCCTGCAGAGTACACAGATGCTCCGACTATCCCCCCAGCCTACAACGCGACCTGCCTTAAGTCTGAGTTCTTCAAGGAAGATGACAAAGAAGAATTCGCTCGCTCGATCCGAGAACACCCATGCTGGGCTACTCTGAGTATTGATCCGGCTTTTAGACAATACCCGGGCATGATTCTTCGGCGTTTCCCCGATAGCCAGCACGAGTATCCGACCTATGAGCCATCGGCACCTCCCCCACCCGATGCAAAGATCAAGATGCCGCCGAAGTTTAAGATCGACAGGGCTGCTTTGAAGGAAGCTCTAGAAAAGCAAAAGGAGGACGGCTACTGGAAAGATGACCGCAACGGCCACGCTTCCCATCGTTCACCATACAGCCGCGACAAGCATGACAACGGGTATGACAGATACGGCAACTATGACAGGGGCTACGGAGATTCCCGGGACGAGCCATATTCACGTCAGCCCCGCAAACGATCTGTCGACGAACCTTACGATCATGATCATGGCGATCGAGACCCAAAACGTCGTCGGTGGTCGCACCACGATCGTGAGCGATCCAGAGATCGCTGTTACAGGCCCATGTCTCCCTGGGCCGGGTCACCACGCCGCAGACGCAGTCAATCCCCGAGGTTCAACATCTCCGCAGACCTTTGGGCCCCGCAAGCCGGTGAGGGTTCGCTGAGCCGTTCAAACGACCGCCGGTATCCAGACTCTCATACCGATAACTGGCCGTCTTCGAGAGATGGCAGGACAAGCTCTTTCAAGGAGAACCGCCAGGACAGTGGGTACCACAGCGCGCAATCACAAGAAAGGGGCTCCTATCGTGAGGGCGACCGCGACCGTTGGTTGTCATCCTATCGGCCCTATCAACGGGATAGATCATCATCTCGCTGTCCAAGCCGCATGCGCAGCAACAGCCGCAGCCGTAGTCACAGCCGCACTCCGAGTCGAAACCGCGTTCGGGGCCGTAGCAGGCTTCGGAGCCGGAGTCATGGCAGGAATAACCGGCCGTCTACGTCGGATTCGAAGAACGGTGCCAATCAAGAGGAGCGGGCTCGCAGCCCCTCACCGTTAACTGCTATTGAGGCTGAGTTGCTTGGGTTGGCTGCTGGATCGGAGTCTAATGAGCCACCGGGAGAGCCCAAGCCGAAGCCCAAGCCGGCTGCGAAGAAGCCGATTCGGCGGCCGCAGGTTGCGGAAGCTTTCAGGTAAGATTTGGATGTTTCCTCGCCTGTTATTTACTGTCTTGCTAACAGCAGCTCCAGTCGCCGTTGGTAATTTCCACGAGCCATCTCTGACTTTATGAGTGTACACTTCGACATTTCTTTCTCACAAGGCAATCTCCCTGTGACATGATGAATTATGACGGGTTTGGCTGCTTTTCATGATGCTATTCCCTGGTTACATGGCGTTGGTTGCATCGTCGTTTTAGGAATGTGAGGGATCATTCTAGACAGGCGTTCTGGGCACAAGGACTCTGGAGTCTGGGTTGCTTCCGGTTATCCATTCTGTTTCTCTGCGCACTTGATTATGGGGCTGATTGATGCCATGGTTACCTATGGCTTTGTTGGCAGGTCCCAAGAAGTTCATTATTCTGCGCAGCATACATTACTACGTTTCACTGTGAGTTACTTACTTACTATTACAGCTATGACAGTGGCATAGAGAATCCAACTTCTTGTGTGTATGATACAGGGCATTGGCACATTATAGCCAATGAACAAAGGCATGGTTCATGTGCATGGGGATGTTTTAGGGGCAATGTCTTTGTTCCATCGACCTTTCCACATATAGCCTCAGCACACATTTAGCTCTCATCTTTTTAGAGAATAGGCCTGCTATGTGTGAACAAACCTGTCCACATGATCGACGGACTCCAGTATTTAGACTGCCTCGAGCCAGGCCAGAGAGTCGCGGCTCGTTCGGGAACAAGGCCGTTTGTGTCTACTAGCATCTAGCAGCTACCTGGCGATCCTTTGCTAATCACAGAGCTTGCTACATACTGAATAGATACTATACTATAGCCGATCTCATTACCTCTAACCTGAAGAATGTTTTCCCGGTTCTTCGGGTCCAATCCTGTCCCTCTATACAACCCTCAAGTTTCATGGGAGAAGAAAGTTGAAGAAGAGAAGGTCGATACAACTCACGGCAACTGGCAGGAAGATTCCGACGAGAAGCTAACTCGAGATATCTGGAGGGATCTTGGTTATGAGATTGGCAAGAAGGGCAGGTATCACGCAATTCGTACAGGCTCTCTGGTGAGATACGTTAATAACAAGCCGGTTGTGGTTGATCCTGCGGCCCGTGAGCATAAGGATGCAGCTTCCGCCGCCGCTGCTACTACAACAACCCTGCTGCTACTAGAATGTTGAGCGGGGGAAGAAACGCATGAAGTTAACGAGCCCGAGCCGGTATCGGTGGATGGAGAATGTCAAGCCTGCCTCCATGAGGACGCCATCGTGGTCGACAATGTAATGAACAGCACTGAGAGAATGCCTTGCGTGGCCATGGCGGTCCACTTCAGGGGCGAAGCGACAGTCCGGAGTCTTACTTGTAGCGAGAAAGCCTCGAGGTAAGTGTGGCCTTTTGAGAGTCGTTTAAGAATAATTAGGCGAGTTCCTGTATTCTTGGTTTTTGAGCATTATGTGAGGTAAGGTAGCATTTCGCCAGACATTGCCTTTGTATTGCCTTTATATCTAGCCAAGGTAAAAAAAAAAAAAAAAGTCAAGACTTCTACTGCATAAGTTCGTCCATAGTTGAGTTGCACGAAAATATATCCATCTGTGAGTTGTGACATGCAAAAGTTTAGATGCCTCAGGGTTCCGTGCAGTGCCGTGCCTCTTACCCCTCTTTCTAAGGCCTCCAAGGGCATACGGGGTTCCCCTCATTAGCTTGAACTACGAAATCCATATTTTAGTGCAGACATACAAGGCTGTATGATGAACCAGACCAACGGGCCGCATAAGGTTGCCTGCAGAAGCCTCCACCTTTCCCGACTATGCAGACACGATAACTGGTCAGCGCTAGCTAAAAGCCGCAGTCGCGAAGGCTACCTAGCTGTTGCGGTTGATTAGGTAGTGATGCATCGACTTTGACCGCGCAGCCAACCATTCGGCTGCGGAGCAATCGCGCAGGCTTCCATCGATGCTTTGTAGAAGGCTTAGGAACAGCTTTTCCATTCTGATAAGCCTCGCTCTGGCTTTTATGTTTTTTGACAATGGGAAGCCTGCCCCTCCTTAGAGTAAGCATAATTTTGAAGGCAGGGAGTTTGCGTAGTCGTAACTTATGACAGTAGCATAGATCAGTGAGATGCGGCATCTGACGAGCCTTGTGCTTGCTCATCAAAGCCATTGGTGATAGCCTTCCCATACCCAATGACCCTATGATAATTCCCGGCTTGTCCAACGTGATAGACCGCGTCTGACCGCTGGGTAACATGACTTAAAACGCAAAATGTGCCCCCACTTAACATTCAAGACGAAGTCTCGCCTCGTCGCCTCGTCGCCCAACTGCAGGGCGCTTTTCACCGCAGGCTTACATGCGGAGATTTTGTGCCCCTCAGTTTATGTCCCTCAGCCTTCCCAAAAGTCATTAAAAGTGAACCTAGTCCAGTGTCCGTAGTGGCTTTCTACCTTTTTCCAATGCATTTTCTGATATCTTTACATCTGACGTCGTAGAATACCTGACCATGGCAGATGCGCTGTCAATCTCTACTGGCATCACGGGGTTATTACCCTTGGTCAGGGGTAGGTCTCTTAAGGCTGGGACTTCTGAATATCCATGCAGATATGCTAACAAGGTTAAGAGGCCTTTGTGCTGCTTCGAGATACCTTCGCCTCTGATCGGAAATGGCGACTCTACCTCGGAAGACTAGAGCTCCAGACACTGGTCAGTAGCCGACCTTCATTATCCAGATCCAGCAGTGACTGACAACCATTTGCAGGTCTTCCACACATGGAATGATCACTGGAAGGGCTCAACTGCACCACTTGACCACAAGCTCAAAACCTTCACCGTCGCTAGTCCATTGGCAGCCAGGGGGATTTTCCAACAGTTAGTCGTCTTCTTGCGGACGTTTTCTGATCCCGAAAGATTGGAGAGATATGGGCTAGCAATAGAGGGTCGCAGACGGGAGGACTTATCGAGGGAGCTATTTTCCGTTGCCCATTATCTCAAGAAGATCGATTCCAGGTTTTCGACCAAGGATCTCACCAGCTTCGACCAGGATCGTTTACGACACCTGGACTTCCTCCAGCAGAAGGCTCGATATGCCTTGATCAGCGAGGGTAGTCCTTTGGATGACCTGATAGAACGGCTAGATGATCTCAACAGAATGCTCCAACTGCTCACGGCCCCAATTATTACGGAAGACATGGTCACACGCAAGGTTTTGGAATCAGCAGTCAAAGACATCTGGGCAGATACAGACCTCACAAGACGGCTAGAAGAGGCTGCGACATACGAAATGAAACATTCAATCGATCCAACTGCGAAGGCCAAGTACGACGACCTGTCCAAGTTCGCCAACTTCAGCCTGGCCGTCAAGTCGGCTACTCCTGACATCCCCCGAAAGAAGATCTTCAGCCGCTCCGAATTCTCCTTCGACTCGCCCTACGAGATCAGCCCCTATGCCACACTTGCTCGCCTCTTCGATTACCCGATCAAGCTCCAATCCCGTCTCGTTCTCGTCGAATGGCGGCGAATCAGACGATCTGAACCCCTCATGGAGAGCCTAGACAAGAGCAAAATGACCTGGTTCGTCCTCCACGTCGAGAAACCCGACCGCATGCTCCTCCCCCCAGCCATTGGTTACATCCTTGACGACGCCGACCCTCGCAATGTGGGCTTTGTCTACCAACTACCATCCCATATCCGCGGCAATCTCCCCACCAAACCCGTCATGCATGGCGACTTGGTCCAACGTGTCGTGCGCTCTCCCAAGACCATCGCCGCTCAACGCATGCCAACTACCTTGCGCCAACTCATCCTCAAGCGCGAGCCATCCGGCATCGACCTTAGCATCCGCTTTCAGCTCGCCAAAGCCCTTCTCGACGCAGTCCATCTCATCCACGCAGCAGGCTGGCTACACCGTAACATCCGCCCGGACAACATCCTCTTCTTCCCCGCCGTCAACCGCATGGGCGAGCCCGACCCAACCACACTCGACTACAATCGCCCCATGCTTGTCGGATTCCACGACGCCCCCTTTGCAATCGAATTCATCCCCGATTCGTCTCAGGCTACAGCACCTTACACCCAACCAGAAGGCCTCAAGCCCATCCTCAAAAATTCTCCTGCCACCCGCAAACTCCAGCCCCGCGATGTCGTCGTCGAAAGCTACAACCACCCCGAGCGCCGTCTCACTTCCTCATTCCTTGTTAGCCCCTTTCCTTCTAGCCCATCCAGCACAGCCGCCACGATCGTAAGCACCAACAACAACGGCAGCCTCGTCATCAAGCCCAGCCTAGACTCCCTCGCCTACCACAGACAGCAATGCGCGTATGATCTGTACAGCGTGGGCTGTGTGTTGCTGGAGCTGGGGCTATGGACGACGCTGGACCATCTGGGTGGGAGGGAGATTCCGACGCGGGTGTACCACGCGCTGGCGGCGGTAGAGAATCGGGGCGGGGGAGAGCTGTCGGGGAAGGAGGTGGAGGATTTGGTGTGGAAGGATGTGGATACTATAAGGAAGGCGACGAAGGGATTGGAGGTGTAAGTTTTCCTTCACTTGGTTCGATTTGTGATGAACGTTGCTGACATGTTCAACAGGGCTACCGGGTCGGTGTATGCCGAGGTGGTGAAGAAGTGCTTATTCATGACGCCATTTGCTGGCGATATTCTTGAGCTTGAAAAGCAGTTAGCTGGTGCACTGGCGCAGATCCGTGCCTGAAACCACGGTATGCGACTGAAAAATGCATCTATAAGAGCTTGGTGTTATATTGGTATAACCTGGGTATGTATCGGTGTGCTCTATTATTATTTTATGTCCATATTATGAACTAATAATTGTATCGTTCTTCAAACGTCTATGACGACGGCTGCATAAGTTGTGCCGTTTCTTCATCACTGCTCGAGTCCTCCTCCTCCTCCTCCTCCTCCTCCTCCTCCTCCTCCTCCTCCTCCTGGTCTTCCTCTTCTTCAGACTCTTCTTCCTCCTCAGACTCCTCCTCTTCCTCATCTTCCTCAGACTCCTGTTGTGCTTCTTCCTCCTCAGACTCAGCCAGCCAATCATCCAAAGTCTTCTCCCCAATGCCATTCGCCCCTCTGCTCCCAGGCTTAGAACCACTGGACGATGCAGCCGCCGCTGCAGTAGCATCCAAAATCGCTGCCGCCGGAACCTTGCCCCCAAGGCTGTCCCTACCAGCAGCAACCGCGTCACCTTCTCTCTCCCTCAACTTCGGATCAGGCTCTTGACCCTCCTCAACCCACGGAGGAAGGTCGCGATAACCCTTGATGCCATGTATGGCGCCACCGCCAGCCACGACGAGGGAAGACGAGCCAAGGAGAAACCCTTTTCTAGTCTCAGATGGACTCGGTGTCTCAGGGGCGGGTTTCGGAGCCAGCAGCATCAGTGTGGCTAGTTGAGGAACGACCAGCAGGGCCTTGTACAGGCGGGTACGGTCGCGGAGGTCGTAGGATGTGTCATAGCGGACGAGCTGGAGGAGATAACGCCAGAGTTTGGCTGCAGGGTGGTTATCTTCTTCCAAGGATTTGGGGACTCGAGAGTTTTGTGGAGGGAGAGACAGCGAGGAGTCTCCTGGTACATCAGAAGATGGCTGTGATGATTGAGCTTCCTCGATCTGGCGGTTAAGGTGGTGTAGATATACTTTTGCACCGAGGAGGACGATTTGGCGCTTGACGATCTCTGGTTCCGAGGCGAAGTCTTTAAGGAGAATGCGCAGGACATCAGCTGCAATGTTGTCCTCGCCGTTGAGCCCGGAGAATTCTCCAACGAGCCAGATGATGGTGGCTCGTGCTTGGGGATCGGTAGCAGTGTCGAGGTTCTTGGCTAGTCGGATAACTGTAGCAATATGGGCATTTGGATCTTGCTGAATCAGATGTCGAATGACCGTTAGACTTTCAGCTGCCAGTGTACCGTCTAGACTGGTGATTTGTCCCAGAAGGAGTCGCAGACACCTCGGTGCCGTGGACAAGTCCTTCTGGGCACAACGGCCAATAGCCCTAACAGCCTCTCTAACCAGCGCCTTGTCCGAGCCTCTGCTAAAGTGTTCGAGCTCATTGAGAATGAGGCTCTTGACGTGTGGTGGAGCATGAGGGAAGATAAGAGTGAGCACCTCCAGCTTAAGTTCCCAGACCGGCTGAGGGTCCGTTGCACGAACCAGAAAATGTGTGGCGTATTTGACAAAATCGGCAGGGCAGCTAAGGCAGATTGAGACAATATTGTAGAGAGCGATGTGTTGGATGTCTTGAGCACCACGGAGCAGTGCTACAAGAGGGCCGACAGCTGCCCTCATGTACTCGGGCGTGCCGATGGCTGAGTAGCAGCGTGCAACAGCCACAACAACACCCGAGTTCCGAGACTGCAGGAGAGGTTTGATACTGTCAAGCAGGAGCCTGTGGTCCGGGTCCAAGACAATAACCTGCTCCCCATCTGCGCTTAATTCCTTTTCGTCCTCGTAGAAACCCTGCAGATCAGGGGCCTTCTCCCTGATCTTGACAATTTTCGTCCTTCTTGGGAAACACTTCCGCGCATAGATTGTCATCAATCGTAGGGTCGATAGCTGACTCCACTCATCCATATCAACCACCATCCTAACTAATGTCCGATAATGCTTGTGGATCAGGTCTATCCTGTCAGGACACACTGCCATGAAGGCCGTCACAGCGGCGCCGGCCACATAGTATTGCTTGTCTCCCAGCAGCGTTGAGAGGTACTCGATCAGTTGGGGGAGCTGCGAGGGGTCGAGGCGATAGCACTTGGGGATGGCTAATGCCGCAGCGCGTCGGACGTAGGGGCTCATGTCGCCGGCTCCTTTCCTAATAGCCAGCGACACGATCTGACTAATGACCGGCACACGGATGCCCGACATGGTTTTCAGGGCCAAGGCCCGCACCTGGGGGTTGGTGTCTGACAGCGACTTCTGGATAGTATTGATGGATAGCAGAGCCAGGTCGGGCTCCTCCTCGGCATGGTGAATCAGATAGATGTAGACAAGCTTCTTGATTTCGAGGTTCGACGAGGCAACATTCTTGACAACGGAGGAGAATAGGGGAAGGGTCTTCTGGCCGCGGTACATCATCTAAAAAGGGAAAGAGATGGCATCAGCACTGGTCAACGGACAGGACGGGACTGGACTTGGGGGCAGCAATGCTGCGGACTCCTAGGACGTACAGTGATGACGCGCCGAAGCCCGTCGAGGACCTCGCGCTCATTGCGACTGTCCAGTAACCTCTTCACTTGGGCCCGGTCCAGCGGCTTGTACGAGCTCCGAGTTCGTGCGATCGAGGCAGCATCGAGGGTGAACTCCCTAGCTGGAGGGGGGAGGGGGCTAAGTCAGCCAACCATGGAAATGTTTGCGACTCCTGAACAGTGAACAGTGTGCACATACCCGTCTCAATCAGGCTCGTTATCCGCGATATTGACTCCATGGCTGGCTGTTCTGCTGCCTCAACTGAACTCAGGAGCAGTGAAGTGATCGGTTGGTACCGGCGCAGCGGCTGACAACTTGACGGTTGACAAGGCTCAGCTGCGTTGCTTGGGCCAAGCCAGTGACGTGATAGCGCGACGTTCACTGGTTGTTAGCGGGGTCCGTGTGGAGTGGGGCTCTGCTCTATGTAGTAGTGTACACTGCTAAGCCCCACCACTGTCAAAGCGGGGGCATGTCTTTCATTGGCATGGTGGGATGGCGGCCGACAGGAATGCGTTCTCGCTGCGATTCGGTCCGTTCAATTGAAGCTTTAGTCGATCATATTGGCACCTATTCGGGGCATTTTGAGCCGATCTTAAATAATAATAATAATAACAATGATAACCAAACTTTTAGTGAAGACCGAATCACACTAAACGAGTGTCAAGCAGAACGACCTCATCCTATCACGTACCACGGTCTACAAAAAAATGGATCCCTTCTCGACCTCTTATCCCGTCTTTCTCTCACCTGCTCTGCCATCCGAGCTACTGAGCTTCGTTTTGAATCACTGCACCTATCCATCGACACTCATCATCTGCTCTGACAAAGCACATTTCATCTCCTCTCTTGTGGAAGATTTCAAACAGCAGCAGAACCACACCTCTCAACAACCACAGCAGCCAGCCTTTGCACCACCACCACATCATACCACAGCAGCAGCTCCATCCAACCCTCCACAACGGCCACAATACCATCCAACAAAAACTCTCCACAAGTACAGTTCCGCCATAGCCCACGAAGCTCAACATCACCGAGATGCCTATGGCGGCTCAAGACCAGCACTGGCCCACAAGCCCAAGTACAACAAGCCCCACCCTCTCCTCACCAACACCCTCCACACTCTCGCCGTATCACGACACATATGCACCGTCTTCATCCCAACCGTGACACACCTGCGCGCCTTTCTCTCCGTCTTTTCCCTAGCACAACCAGTCACGAGCAGCAACAGAAGCAAGCTCCCACAACCACTACCTCCTCCACGACGCAACCGTGACAGTGGAACAACTGGAACTGGAACCCTTCCCATACTGGTTGTGTACGATCTGCTTGGTTTGCATCGCGCCACGAGCGAATGGAGTGCACAGGGACTGAGCAGCACTGTTGCGACGCTGGTTGAAGCGGGGAAGAGGGAGGGGATGAGGCTTGTTGTTGTGGAACGGAAAGGTCATGGCAGCAGAGGGTTCGACCCTAGCAGACCGGGAGACGACGTTGAGATGAGTCAAGACACAGAGTTACCCTCCCGTCTCGACGAGATCGATGAGATGGAGTTAAAGGCCCTCCTGGAAGAGAGGCTCCCGGTTGTGAACAGCGCAACGTTAAGAGGTGCTATCGCCCAGAATTGGGCTGCCGGAAGGACCGTGGAACTAGGGCGAGTACTGGGCAGATGGTTTCGCTTTCGGCGCTGGGAGTGGAAAGGACACCGGGTGTAAGTAGAGGTGCAACGGTGTACTCACTCGGATGCATGCGCCAAGGGCAACAGGAAGAAGTGAAATGGTCTGCTGGCGATGCTGCCGTGGACAACGAGGTGATGCGAGCAATGGTGATAATCGTGTTGTCATCCACATTCCGTACAACGCTGCTGTGTATACACACCATGACATTCCCATGAGAACCAAACCGCCCCAACGCCGGCGCCTTTCCAAACCATCCATATACCATGGTATCTTTAGTTCTGAGAACCCCAAAACTCCGACCCATGCCCAACAATCGACCGCGTATCATGAACCGACCTGCTGCTGACCGAACCCGACTAGATGGCCTGCTCCATCTCGGTGATGTACAGCTTGATGTGTGCCTCCAGCTTCAGGTACTCGTCGTGTGCTCTTTGTACCTCGCTCTTGATGTTTTCTGTAAGGTCCAACATCTGCAGCAGCCCGTTAGCATCTTCTCACAACAAACCTCACCAACCTCCGTTTTTTGTCGACCACCGAGTCACACATACCTTCTTCTCGATTTGCTCTATTCTGACCCGTCTCCTCTCAATATCTTTCATCTTCTCCGACCGCTCCTCGGTCAGCTTCCGATGTACCTCGCGCAGCTCCTCCATGCGTTCCTTGGCCCGCTTCGCCTTCTCCTCGCTTTGCTGCCGGAGGGTCTCTGTGCGCTCCTGCCACTTGGCTAGCTGGCGCCGGAGCAGGGCCTCGGTCCGCTCGACCTCGCGGACGTTGGCCCCACGTTCCGTGAGAGCGTCGCGCTGCTTCGCGTTCTTAACATTGTCCTCCTCTTCCTTCGCCAGCTCCACGGCGATTTCCTCGAGCAGCTTGATGCACGACGCCACGTCGGCTGTTACCACGCCAAAGGAGTCGCTGGATGTTTGCAGGGCCCGCGCGCGGCGGTCGAGGGCGTCGATGTGGGCCTTATCATTGTTGAGCGCGCTGCTCAAATCGGCTAAGGCTTGTTGCAGCGCTGCGGGGCTTTGTAATGTATACGGCTTGAGCTTCGCGCATTCTTGCTTTAGTTGGATCTTGGTGGCCGTCTTCTCCTCCAGCTCGGCTGCCAGTTCGTTTTTCTTAGTCTTGGCCTCCTCTAGCCTCGTTGCCACCTTTTCTTGGTTTCTTCTCAACTCTAGAAGCCGTTTCTTGAGTTCTTCGTTGCGCCGCGTCTTCTCGGCCACCAGCGCTTCCATCTGTCGCCTGTTTTCCCGCATCTCCTCGAGCTGCACCTCCAGGTTCTGATTCTCAGTATAGAGCTGTTCAATGCGCGCCTTTGTTGTCTCGGCGCGGTTGTAGTATTCATCGATGACCTTGGCCTGGTTTTCACGAAATCGTAGAAAGTTAATGATGTAGCTAAATATTCTGATAAGGCGCTCGTAGGTCGGCTTGTAGATGTCATTGAAACTGAAGTCATGGATGCCGCACTCAGCCATTAGCCGCTGTAACGACGCAAAGAAACCCATAAGATTTCGCGTATCCGGGGGGAACAGCGACTCGCCAAAATCACCGGCGAGGTCTTCGGCGGCTGCGCGCATAGCTGGGTCGACTGTTTGCCGTGTCTTGTTCATGATAAGCTCTCCTAACCTCTCGAAAATCATCTGAACCTGAATAGGGTTTGGCTTCTGAAGATCGGCGACCGAAAATGAGATTCCAAGCTCGTTGATGCAGCCGACGATCTCGCGGTCCGGCAAGCGCATGCTGGCAAACGCCGCGTCTTCCTCTTTTTTCCGCGATCGCATTTGCTGCTGCGCGCTCGGCAGCATCGACATCCGTCCTTTGAACGCCATCTTCGCCACCGTCTGTTGGAAATGCGAACGGGGACTCGTAGTACTGGCGCGCGTCGCGAGAGGCGTGTCGCGTTGTGTTTTGCTTGAGCTTCACGATGCCGCCGCAGCAAGGGCTTCTGGTTTAGTGGGGTGTTGTTGACGATTGTGGGGATCGGTCGGTTGCTCCAGGAACTGCAGCGTCACATTTTGCCCGAAAACTTCGTCTACATGCATCTAGAGGGGCAGGCACGGGGATTCATACGGATTATGCTCCTATGGAGTAGCTGAGTAAATTGTTAAAAGAGTCAAAAGTCTTGGCTTTGATCTGGAGGGCCCAGTCACCCTTTGCATCCAATCTTCATGGGGAGTCCTACACAATATGTTATCTTATTCTTCAGCTGAGAATTTGTCTGGCAATATTGACAACGTCAATTGGTCTGCTATCTGGATGTTTCAGTCACCACAACTGCCAGCGTAGTCTGGTTCTCTTTCTGGGCTTTAACAGAACTGTTCAGCGGACCAAACGTGAAAAAGGGCCTTAGTGTGTGGCTCTTCGGCTGCTGCATCACCAGCCCAGAGGATCCAAGATAGGGGAGGTTTTCCGCAGAGCTGCATGTCCATGTATATACCCTAGTCAGGCAAAGGCTTCCTTGAAGATTCCCCTGCAGCTCTCCGTTATAGAGATGGTTACTTTCCAAATGATACAGCATCTATTGGATATGATCTACAGCGCAAATAGTGTTCATACTATTGTTTCATGTGTACGTAGTTTTTATCCGTCCTCGAGCTTGAAGCAGCTTATCTCTTGGAAGAAAAGGCCTGGAGAGTGCGTTCGGCTGCTGGGACAACAGGTATACCTTGATGTTGTCATTGAAGCTCGGCCTGATAGGTTCTCGGACTCTCACAGGTTCCACTTCATCACACACAATATCCCGAGGTGGCTTTTTAAAGACGAAATGGTGGGAGACGGCGTGATCCCAACGGCCCTCTCTTGCAGCTTGCGGAGACAAGATACACGTGTCAGACCGTGATGCCGTGTCAATTCTGTGCTCGAGGTTCCCCGCGCGGCACTTCTGGATAGCTGCAGAGCGACTTGCTTTAGGTTCCAGAGATATATATGCAGGTCCTGCAGCAGGCTATCGTGGTTGGCTAGAAACGGAAGGCTGCCGTTTGCCTGTCGTGTCAAGAACCCGCGTTACGAGGATCGCAGAAGGCATAGCAGACGCTGCATGTCGTGATGGAAGACCACAAAATATTAACGACCATGGACGTTGACCAGATCCTTTCAGGTCCATGGCACCGTCGCAACTGCTCAGACAAGCTCCAACCTGACAGGGTAAAACACGCCGAGCTGTTACGACAAACGGCAACGCTGCGTGAATTATACCAAGCAGAAAACGCCAGGTGTAATTTCGTCGCAGCTGCGTGCGTACGAGGGCAGAAATATCAGTAGCAATAACCTCACCGCTTGGCATCAACTTAGTGCCCAATCACCCCAGACTTTTTCAGGGTCCCGTCGGATAAGGTGACAGATCATGGATGCAGCGGATGATCGGACGTTGGCGGATTGCCTGCCGAGCTGGATTTCTGCACGGGTCGACCTGGGCAGATGGAAATGATGATCGAAAACCGTTGTGGTGTGGGGCAAAAGTCTACAGATCCAGAAATCGAGCATCCGGCACTTGTCCGTTTTCAAGACGGTTCGCACTGTGTTTGAACCGTAAAAGGCAAGCCATGAGAGCAAGCATGGGAGGGAGAATGGACAAAGATTTTCAACCTGCGCTTTTGAACACCATTTCCCCCCCCCCTCTCTCCCTCCCCCAACAGCGTGGTTCTAGTGTATACTGAGTCCAGGTTGCAATAGGCCCAAATCCCCAACGAAGCGAGACTACCTCTCGACTATCGAGGAAATATTCACCTATTACAGCAATCGGCACGTGCATCCTGGTTTTTGTTGAGCTAAGCTATTCCAGGCAGATTACGGCCGAACGTGGGGACCTTAGCGTCTGGACTGCTCCAAGGCACCTTAGCTGCTGCATAAGGCTGGCCTTGGCAAATATAAGTGTGGTGCGTAAGCATTTCAAACGCAAGCGAGCCCCATCTTTGACAGGCTGCCCGAAGCCATCGCTACGACGGCGCTGAAGCTGCTGCAAGTCGCATCATCCCGACCAATGCTCTGCCTGTTCGCTTTTTTTTTTTCAGCTTCCCGCTGTCGTCCATCGCTTGCTGCCAGCAGTAGATGGATGAGCGGGCGAACGCGCTGCGGGTGTGTGTCCGGGATGGGCTGTGGCACGGCAATCCAAGGTTTGCTCCCCTGCAGCAGCAGTCTCAGGATTCAGATTGGACGAGAACTTAGATGAACGGCACGCGGGCGGTGTTATGAGCCATTAGCCTCGCGCCCACACACCACTTTGCTATATTTTTGAAGACACCTGCGGCACCTTCACAGTTTCTCTCCCTCACTGTCTACTTTTATGGTCGACAGGGCGCCTTCCTGGGTTCTCTCGTATTTGGTGGCCGTGAGAATTTTTCCTGCTTGGCTGGCTCTGGAATCTGCGGCCCCTCCCCCGCTTAGGTCGATAGCCACGACGGAATTCCCTGATATTCTATCTCCTCCCAGAACCAGACTGCAATCCGACAAACTGCCGTCTCATCATATCACCACCATCCGGTAGGCAGTGGTAGCTCAGAGCCGTGTGTGCTCACACGGTGTCAAACGGAAGGGGCCAGCGTTACATTCTGCAATCCGGCACCTGTCCACCCTCCCTGTGGTTTAGAACCTTCATCAAATTTAGACCCATCCCTCGACTGCTCTAAGGCTTCCTGTTCTCCAGAGCCGAAGCATGTTCCTTTAGAGATACTCGGGCTCTCCGACGTACTTGCTGCTGCGCTTCCATTCTAACAAACAACGCGTTCCCCGTCATCAAGGACTCGCCCTTTCACCCTCATCTTCTTCGTCCCAGCACTTCAAGACTCCATGATGACACGGCGCCCTCCTCCTTTGTCTCGTGCAAGTTATTCTAGTTTTCGTAGCCAGCGCTGTCACTCGCGATTTTTCACAGGCAAAACCTTCACCATCGAACATCATAATTGAGATAGCTCAGAGTGCCACTGAGCACGATGCTCTCCTGGCTCTTCCGGCGCGCAGGCGCCAGGAAACGCGGTCGGGCGAGCACCACGACTGTTGAGAGCTGGGAAGATGGCAGACGAGCCACAATCTGGGGTCTTCCAGTCCGCAGCCAGACGGAGCCCGCGGGTTCGGTACCGACACGGCAGCCTAGCACCAAACAACGGCCCCGGCCGAACAAGCTTCAGCGAAGAAGATACAGTTTCTCGCCTGGGCGCCGGGACTCTCTTCGAGTGGGCCGACAGCAGGGAGCTGGGGCCGATCCAGAGGGAAGATCCCTGCCCCGGGCCGCAACCGTTGAACGCCGAACGCTCAACGACCCTGCTGCTCGTAATGACGAGAATGTTCAAAACCACGAATTTTTGTGGCGCGTTCCTACCCTTCACTACGCACGCGACGGCAACTCTCTTGCTCGCAGAAAGTCGACCAAAAAGCGTCGCCGGGATGAACAGCGTGAGGCTGAAATCAGAGCCATGTGTGCTTTTTCGCCCATCCGTCATGCGACCACGGAGCCTGCACCCAAGCGACCTATGAGGAGGCTGTCGAAAAGAATCAAGACAGGTCTTGATTCTTCAGCTAAACCTGAGTGGGACAGGTTCAATCGGTCCTCGGACATCTCGATGCGGTTTCCCTCGATCGATTCAGCCCAGGAGTCCGACTCCTCGTGTATGTCTTATTCGGTATCGACTCTTGATTCATTATCCCCACGGCCGACCCTCCGAATTATCACGCCGCCCGAAGGATGGTTCTACAGACGGCCATCGCAGCGACGCACCAAGCTTAAGGAACCCATCACTGAGGCTACCCTTAAGGCCCACAAACGCGTTGATGACCTCGCCAACGACCTCAGCGCCAGCGACTTGCGGGAGCTCATGGAAAGGGACTCGCGAAGGAAAGCACGTAAGAAGCAGCTCGAGCAACAAAAGGCCGAGCAGAGGATTGCGCGCCGAGCTGAGAAGCAGAAGACTGTTGAGGTCGAGGCCCGGCGTCAAGGGAGAACATCCCCTCCAATTCTGGATAGGGGTGTCATTGGACGGGAGTTTGATGCCGCCCTCGGCATCGGGCCATCGTCTGCGATAGTTACCTCATCCAGGTTACGTGAGCAGGATGGCTCAGGCACCCCCCCTGCTGGACGTGGGGAAGCCGTTGATGTCGAAATGGCAGACCATGCCCCTCAACTACATCCTCTTGAAGTGTTCCATCCTGTCGACAGCATCCCTGAAGCAGTTCCGGAGCCTCAACCTTCTCAGTCTCAGCTCCCCCCTCTAGCAACTTCCGATTCAAAAGCCTCCTTGCCCACGAAGCTTTCTCGTTCCAAGTCGTCACAAATGTCCGAAGTCAGAACCGATCAGTCTGGGTCACTGAGAAAAGAATCTGTCGAGAGCGGCGATAAGTCACCGCGGACATGGACCTCCTTGTTCAGATGGGGCAGCAAAAGCAAACGTGCCCCCAAGGAGCCTCCATCGTTCACAAACACATCAAGGGACTCAATGCAATTGGTTCAGCCACCGCCGCCTCCTCCAATTGATACTCTGGCCCGCTCCCTAAGCTCCCGGGGACCAAAGCGGACTATGTCTCGTTTCAAGGAAGATCTTCCCGACTCGGTTCGGTTGATACGTACAACATTTTCTCGAACAGCTGAAAACTCCCAGGACGTCGTTGCTAGATCCTCAAATGAGCAGGCCGGTGGTGAGCCTTCTCCTCAACTAACACACGACAGCCAGCAAGATGGCACTGCTCGGGGGACTTCATCGCCCATCGATCAGACCGACGAGCATGGAGTCTCTCCCGAACCACAAAGCATCCTTTCCCTTGCATCTATCGATTCAGAAGGTTCTTGGTTTGCCGGTAAACTGTCCACAACACGGAAGTCATCGGCACAAATCTACCGCAGCGCAAGCGTCCGAAGTCGTCGCTACACACCCGAGCCTGATCACATCCCCGGAGCCGAGAACTACAGCCTTGCTGACGACGTGGACATGACCGATGACGATTATCTGGCACGCCTAACGCCTCAGCCAGGCGAGCATTCTGGATGGAATCGCAAGTCTTCCGGGGAGGCTCGGCCATCGAGCGACTGGGAAGACCAGCCACCTCATTGGGGCAGCATTAAAGAGCACCAGCCCAAGCTTGTAACTTCCCCCTCGATGACACGCATCAAGAGTTATCAAGGCCTTCTCAATCAGTCCGAATACGGCAACATCAGCCCGGTGTCCCCGGCCTCTGGAGAGAGTAATACTAATGCTTCTACCCCGCACGAAACCCCAACACTCCACCGCGCGACGAGCATTGATTATGGAAAGTCGGCTCGTCGCCTCAGTGCCGGGAGCACTCGCCTACTCCAGATCAGCCCTCGGCCATCTGTCGATGGCAGGAGGGTGAGCTTGCCGCCTGGTTCTGATGGATCCCACTGACCATGGTGATACTCGAGAATAGAAGCTTGCGACGGCTTAGCATGACTGACTTGATGGACGAACTTCACTCGTTTGACATTTCCTCTTTATTTTTTTCTCTCGGCAATTTTTTTTTAAAAAAAAAATCTCGACCAACCGCTGTTCGCTCGTTACCCCTTTCCTTTTGCTCTTCCGATCACAACGAATTGCCTTGAGTGGGACGCGAAAAAGACAAAAACAAGGTGAAAGGCAAAAAAAATAAAAATAAAAAATAAAAATAAAACGCAATACCCAACTAAGTCCTAAAATTAGTCATAGCAAGCAAGCTTCACAGTCTCATCGCCTCGGTCTCAATTTTGGAACATCCGGTCCTGGGACAAATTTTACACCAGACGACTAACATGTTGCCCCTTTTCTTTTTACCTTTTCTCCTACCCTCTCACTTTTCATACCAGCTCTTTAATCACGCATCGCGGAAAGGGGCATTTGTGCTTGATTGATAGATGTGGTCGGGTGGACTTGGCGTGTTTTTGTTTGGTACGATACCACTGGGATTGTTTGGTTCCAATGGATTTGTGTATACCTTAGGGCGGCGGGTAATGTGGGAAACCAGGATTTTCACGGACTAGGTCAATAAAATGCAACATACCCGGGATATAGGTAGTCTTGAATTTCCAATCCGCATGGTGGGTTGGGAAATAATAAGAGAAGCTTTAACGGATTCACCTTGGACTGTTGTATCATTTGCTTGGAGACCTTTTTATTAGTATCTGTTGGCTCCTGTTGAAGATCCTGGTATATAGGAGGTTTAGATTAGCCTGGAACTTCGTACATTATTAAATACCTCGCTGACTTTTTGGGGGGGGTACATACCCTGAGAGTTGTCTCCTTGAAGGAAATGTATCAGGCCCTGAGTTATCAAGTTTTGATATCCACACTTTTGAACCACTTACTCAAGCTTTTGCACATTGGTCCTGAGGCAACCATGTCATAAATCATCATTCTTATCTACGACTTTGCAATCCAATGGCCCTTTGAGAAGCTTACACCGTGTTGGCACCAGTTCACAAGCAAGTGCTGTATTTCGTGCTCTCTGCTGGCGGTTGTTTTTGGTTTGAGTGATTTGTCAGCTGCTAGCAGCTGGCAGGTCAGCTGCACTGGCAGAGGTGGGGAGTTTCCCAGCCGAAGCTGACCACTCTTCTGGGTAGGTTACTCTTTTGTCATAGTATCCGGTTATTCAAACTGAACAAGTTCTGTTGTTGATATCAATAATCATGCCCGAGGCAGAAATTCCAGAGGAGATGGATGAGTTTGTTCAGCCCGAGTCGGCACCCCCAACTGTCGACTCCCCAGAGGTGCCCGTTGACCATGACGCCACCAAGACGGTGTCTTCAGTCTTAGAAACTTTCACCTCGACCAAAAAGGATGCTTTCGCAGAACTCATGTCGCATAAACAGCCCTCTAAAAAACTCATGAAACCACCTCGATCTCTCGCCGAAAAAGCTGGCAAAGTAATTGGTGGCGTCTGGCGAGGGGCACTCGGCCCATTCATCGAGCATCCTGAGAAATACCCAGACCAAGTGCTACGGGTGACAGAACACACGGTCCTCATCAAGGATCGCTATCCAAAAGCTACAATTCATCTCCTGCTTCTGCCTCGTTCAAAAGAGCACAACTTACTTCACCCACACACAGCCATGGCCGATCCGGCCTTCTTAAAGATCATGAGGGCAGAGGCCGAGACAGCAGCACAGCTAGCTGCGGCTGAGCTGCAGCGATTGCTGGGGCGGTTCTCTGAAAAGAACAGGTCGAGAAACGAAGCAATAGATGCCTGTGTTCCCTTCGATGAGCTCCCTCCCGGCCGAGATTACAGGAAAGATATCCGTGTGGGCACCCACGCGCATCCCAGTATGGCTCATGTGCATGTACATATCATCTCGAGGGACATGCGCTCGGAAAGCTTAAAGCGTGTGAAGCATTACAACAGCTTCAACACGCCGTTTTTCATACCGCTGGAGGACTATCCGCTGGGAGAGGAGGATGAGAGATGGAGCACGAGCTATCAGAATAACAATCTGACGGGAGACATGGTGTGCTGGAGGTGCAAGAAGAACTTTGGGCACAAGTTTGCTGAGTTGAAGAGGCATTTGGAAGAGGAGTTTGAGGCGTGGAAGAGAGAATGATGGACAGATGAACTGAAAGCAATTGAGGAGTAAGTAAATGGTTCATCAGTTGAAACATATTGGAGCTCACTAAAATGATTATGAGCATGGTCAAGGTCTTAGACTCAGGAGGAGGAGGAGGGACAAAGGCCAGAGGCAGGATGACCCTAAAGCTATGTCCAGCTGATGGTGGGTTTCACCCAGTTACTTCTAACATGTGGAAGCTCATCGGAGATATAAACCTATAATGCCTGAATCATATCGAGTCCAGAGCGAGAGCCATAACTTATTATCATATTCGGGTCGCAGAAATCGACAATTGATGATGTGAGCTGGAAGAGAGACGGCCCAGGTTGAAACACGTCAACACGGCGACGACGCTGCCAAGACTGACACACCGGCTGGGCCCACCGATAACTGTGCTGGCTTATCATCTGATCACCCCGAAACAGCAAGTGACTGCCCCGGCTGACAAGGGGCCCTTGTTCCAACCGCCGACCCTGAGATTCACCTCGATCAGACCCTGGGGGCACCCAACTCTTCTCTTCACTCACTCAAACACTGAAAACAAGCACAATAAGCATTATGACAGCACTCAAGGCGATCGCAGTTGGCGGACTGACGGTCTTTGGGGTCTCAGCGCTGACTGTGCCGGCTGAGCGGCTAGACACCGCTCAGAGGCCTCTGAACATCCCTGAGTCCTTGGACCAGGACTTTGTCCCAATCTCAACACCCAAACAGCTGGTTGACTCAGAGAGCCTCCAAGCCAGTATCACTAGCGATAAGCTTCTCGCCCGGGCAAAGCAACTCTACGAAATTGCCGGATTGAGCCGTGAGGAGTATAACCATCCCACTCGTGTGATTGGCAGCAAGGGCCATCTCGGCACTCTCGACTACATCGTTGACTCTCTCAACAAGCTGGATGGCTATTACAATGTCTCCAGACAGCCTTTTGGTGCAGTATCTGGCAATGTCTTTTACTCTGAGCTGGTACTTGGTCATCACAGGGCAGAGACAGCCCAGCCCATGGGCCTGACCCCTCCGACAGAGGGCCGCTCACCCGTTCGTGGCGACCTTGTCCTCGTAACCAATGACGGCTGCAAGCCAGAGGATTATCCTTCGGAAACAGCTGGAAACATCGCCTTCATCAAGCGTGGAAGCTGCCCCTTCGGCACCAAGTCAGCGCTTGCTGGGAAGGCCGGTGCCATCGCGGCGATAGTGTACAACTACAACCCGGATTCGATTATCGGAACTCTGGGTACCCCCTCTCCGGACCATGTCGCGACCTTTAGCTTGAGCGGCATCGAAGGGAAGCCCATTGTGGAGCATCTCAAATCTGGGGAGCGCATCAGCGCGACTGCCCACATCGACGCGGTCGTGAAGACCATTGAGACTTACAATATCATCGCACAAACCCAGCATGGTGACCCCGAGAACTGTGTCATGCTCGGCGCGCACAGCGACTCGGTCGCCGAAGGGCCCGGCATTAACGACGACGGGTCTGGCAGCATGAGTCTGCTGGAGGTGGCCACGCAGCTGGCAGCCTTCCGGGTGAACAATTGCGTGCGCTTTGCGTGGTGGTCGGCTGAGGAGGAGGGCCTGCTGGGCAGCGATTACTATGTCGAAACGCTCACTGCCAGTGAGAGGCATAAGATCCGGCTGTTCATGGATTACGACATGCTGGCGAGCCCGAACTTTGCCTATCAGGTGTATGATGCGCGCGACAGCGAGGAGGGTATCCCCGTAGGCTCGCAGGCGCTGCGCGATCTCTATGTGCGCTGGTATGAGGCGAATGGATTCAACTACACGTTCATTCCGTTTGATGGGCGCAGCGATTATGATGCATTCATTCGTGGAGGAATACCGGCTGGTGGTATCGCTACCGGCGCTGAGGGTATCAAGACGCACGAGGAGGCGATTGCTTTCGGCGGAGAGCCTGGCATTGCCTATGATCCTTGCTATCACCAGCTCTGTGATGCGGTCAGCAATGTCAACTTGACTGCGTGGGAAGTAAATACCAAGGTGAGTCGTGCGCTCTTGACTCTGAAGTGTGTGGGCTTTGGTGGCTAACAAGATGCTCAAAGTTGGTTGCCCATTCCGTGGCCACGTTCGCCAGGTCGTTTGAAGGCTTCCCCAAGCCCGGCGAGATTAATAACCTTGCGGCTGAGGAGGCGGACAAGGCCAAGGGCTATGCCAAGCGCGTGCAGTACCGTGGTTCTCGACTATTCATCTAAGCTTCATGTATGTAGTTAAACTCTAGTTCTGGATAGAGGATAGACTATCTATTGATGCGGCGGTCTTGTTGCATGCATGTTTTTGGCTCAGTTCCACTTGGCCCCTAAACTTTCGGACTCACCACGTGTAAGCTTGTTTTCTTATCTGATCAGACGCTATGGCAGACCCTCGGCTTCTTGGATCATAGCCGAACTTTATTCAGCTCGCTTGGAGAGCGAAGCAAAGGGCCATACTTCCTCCCCCCCCCCCCGGGCACATCGCATTGGATGGTATCGACTTCAAGGTAATCCGTAGGTGTGGAGGCGATTCAAGGTTTCCCGTGTAAGGTAACTCATACTCGGCCCGAAGACAGAAATTGGTTAACGGTTTCTTCATTGACAGTGTGGGGTTTCAAATAAGCTTTTGTGGTTCTCGGTCAACTATTGACGAAACTACCTGCGCTTCTCATTTTACTTTTTGGAGCAGCGACAGCTAACTAACCCAATGCTGGGTACGAAGGCATTTTCTTTGCTGGAGAGCATATCAACATCGGCATTGCCAGCCCCAGCGGTGTTTGTGCAGTTTCCACACAAATGTGCCGCTAGGACTGGAAAATGTGATCCAGGGGAGAAACTCGATGTAATGTCAACATCCTGGACTTAAACCAGCCACAGTAAAAGGCCAGAGATATCGCCCTCATCAGATACATGTCGATAGCAAGGCTCCTCTCTGTATGGAAACGCTATTGCCGGCTTTCCGAGGGTTGAATCTTGGGCTCTCAAGCATCCCTTCAAGCTGAGCGCGTTGCGGATGTAAGGCTAAGATGAGCTATCTTGCAAATTTCTGCCGCCATATCTGGCAGCCAAGATGTGTGGCTACGTGGAGGAGTGGCGGTCTGTGATCAGAATCCGACGGTGAGAAAGATCAGAAACCACACGCCAGGGGCCGACATTCACAACAAGCGTGAACTGCTGGGGCTCGGTATAGCCCCGCGCTTGGCATTCAGGCGGAGTGGGGCCGCCACTGAGACTTTGGTTCCTGGGCTCGGACCCAGTCACACTCGTTAAGTTTCCCGTATTTCGAAGGTGGTTCAGGGCCCATCTCTACAGCTTATTTTCAGCTCTCTGCAAGTTTGAGATAGGACCAAATTAGCTCAGCGTTGTTTCCAGGTGCAGGTCAGGTACGCGACCCGCGACCGCACTGAGCGTGTTCGCCAAGCTCTGTAACTCGTCGGGAGAGGTCGGATTGCTCCCATCTCTAGTCTCTGGGCATACGAGTGCGCACCGCCAGAACGTCCAACGTCCAGTTTCTGATAGCTGATAGCTTCTCCCCGCCCAAAAAAAGGTCTTGCCCTGGACCAGTTTGCATTCCACTACAGGCTGCAGCGCACGTCGTGTCTCGCATTACCAGCGCTGAGCTGTCGGGGAGGGCAAAAGTCGCGAGGTAAAAACTGAATCCATGAAAAGGTGAAGCTTCCGAAATCTGTCGGATTGAGTTTTCGCAGGCCGGGCAAACATCAATAACAAATAAGGCTATGGAACTACGCGTTCTGGGGTCTACTGTGCCTCTATCTGCAGAATCTGCGGCTGGTCTGTGCTTGGCTCCCACACAACCGGTGGCTGCCGGGAAAATCATTGTTGTGAGCTTGTAGCTCAAGTTCAAGCTTCAAGGTGTTCCCCTCTCGCTGCTTATTTGCGGCTGCAACGCCACCTCCCGGACCCGAGCTGTTGGGTATCTGAGCCACCGAGTAATTTTTCGTTCCTGACCAAGGCTAACGCCAGTGCTTCGAGAAGAGCTGCGCAACGTGGGTGTTCCACGTCCCAAACTTCAGACTGCTTTTTTGGCGTGCGCCCAAAGCCTGGAAATTCCCACATCGCCGGCGCTGTGACCCACACGAACCACAGAATCTGCAGGGTTGATGATTTTTTTTCAGAGTTCCATCGGAGATGAGCAGCAGAGACGGAGACACCTGCGCGCATGTGTGGGCCACTGGGCCATGCCTAGCCCGCTACGCGCAGGTACACGATGGGGGATCGCAGCTTGCTACTGCTTTGCTTAGCAAGGATGACGACCGTCTGTGGCTCTATGGTGCGTAGGATGACTGTGTTTCTTGTGTTCCCTGGGTGTGCTGCCGCTTGCTCAGTTGCCCACTCATCGACACAGAGAGACACTGCCTGGACAGCTAGGTAATCCGTACGGTGCGGACCGTGCGTTAGGTATCTCTGGAGGTTGGAGAGCAATCCTCGGATGCGACAGTCTGGTCAGCCTGGCTGCTGTAACGTTGACGCTGTCAAGCTGACCGGCCATCCAGAATCCGTTAGGCCCAATGGCACTGTGGCAGCCAAGCATCGAAACACCAAATTGAGCTCCTGGCTTTTCTTGTCCTTGACGGCGTCAAGAGCTATCAAGGTACAACTACGCCGCAGCGGGTTTGCCAAACCGCACCACCGTCTTGATGGAAGCAATTTATTGGGGGGCTGCATGTGTATGTGGATTCGGCGCAGAATGCAGACAGCGGATAACGCAGGCACACACACCCTGACCGGTCCGGCTGCCCGTGTCCGATGCAGGAGAAATGTCGACCTGGCGACCTGGGCGGCCCTGAGCAGAATCCACCCGAGTTCTGGAGACCTGCACCTGGACTCCATCCGCCCAGCCTGGCCATGTTGAGCGACGCGGTCAACGACCGGGAAGGCGAGCAAGAAGATAAGAAGCCCCGCGCTCCGTCCTCCTCGCCCTGGGAAACTCGGACCTGTTGTGTCGTGCCGCCCATCATCATTCGCTCCCAGAGTCCAGAGTCTTAGGAACCAGCCCCCCAGGACCCTCGAGCAAAGATGCTGAACCGCAAGTCTGTCTCCGCCCTCGTCGCGGGCGCCGCTCTCGCCTCGGCCCAGTGCACTCTGCCTACTGAGCCTCTCACCAACAACCTGACCTTCCCTTTCCGCGTTCAGGTCCAGAACGCCACCCGCAGCGAGGTTCACAACAAGTTCATGAACCTCTACGAGGCCGGTGGTGGTGACCAGCATCTGTTCATTGGTCCTGTCGGCGTTCCTACCTATGACTTCACCCTCATCAACGGTGTCATCAACCACGAGCCCAAGGGCGTTCGGGCCGTCATTGGCGGCGAGGTATGATCCCTCTCGGCCCGCACATGATCGACAAGATCGACATTGCTCACACGTGGCATACGTAGTTCTCCGAGATCGACCACACCACCAAGATGTTCATGACCGAGCGTGGTGATCCTCGCGCCATCTTCCAGCCCACCTGGGCTTGCAACCCCGATACCGACGAGCCTCAGATCGAGCTGCAGTTCGTCGAGATGCAGGGCGAGACTCCTGGCGGCTGGATCTGCGTCCGCAGCTCCTTCGATGGCAGCCACGAATTCCGCTACTATCCTCCAGGCAATGAGCGTAAGTTTTTAAATCTCACTGACCCCCTATCAAGCTCATGAAATTTTTCCCATGCCTTCACGTACTCAACGGAATCTTCTCGCTAATGAGCTCCACTTACAAAAATCCAGTCGTTGATCCCAACCGGGAGTGCATCAAGGTTACCCTTGTTGCCATTGAGGTCGACCCCTCTGAGATCCCCGCTTATCCCACGACCACTGCCACTACCCTGGTGACCAGCACGGTTGCGGCTACTAGCACTGCCCCTGCTGCCACCTCTACCCACGATCCTTCTGCCCTCTTCGCCGACTTGACGCACCTTGGTTGGCGCTTCATCGGTTGCGCCCCTGAGGAGCGCTGGGCTAACGACGGTCCCTTCCGCACCCTGTCTGGCGCCATGTTCGGCTCGGATTACATGACCAACGAGGCTTGCATGGCCTTCTGCGAGGGTCTCAACTTCGCCTTCGGTGGTACTGAGTGGAGCCGTGAGTGCTGGTGCGGCAACAGCTACGCTCCTACTCGCGAGCCCAACACCACCCTGGCTTCCGTCGCCAACTGCAACTTCCGTTGCAGCGGTGACAATGCTCAGTACTGCGGTGGTGACTCTTGGCTCAGCCTGTACGCCAAGTGCGATGAGGAGGAGGAGTGTGAGAACGCTACCTTCTCTTAAATTGTAGGGGGTGTTGAGGAAGTCAAAGGGACCTTCTGAGGGTGAAGGCTTTTATGGACTCTTAATGTACGATTCATGCTCGTAACAAGTAATGCGGGTGTAAGACAGACGCCTTAAAGATAATAATAATCAAGTAGCCGGGTCACCGGCGTATAATCTTCTATTGATCCCTCTTCTGTGAAAAAAAATGTATGTTCAAACAACAATAAATGAGGGCTGGGCGAAGGAACTAGATATTCAGAATGCGAGCAAGATCTTGGAAGGAGAAACTTAGGCTGAGTCATATAGGTTTGACCAATATCTATGTCAGCCTTTAGGTGTCAATTCAGCGATGGTAGGTAGCCAGTGGGTGGATAGATACCTTGACCGTCCTTGGACTACTTGCGCTAAATAGTTTTGAGTATTACATCGACACCACTGACATATAGCTTGACGAAACCTATCCAGAGGTGGTCTCCTTGTATAATTGAAGTTGATCCACATGGCTTCATTCTCTGTTATCATACCGTCAAGGAAATGCCGTTAGCGTACATCCAAAAACACTTCAGGCCACAACTTGTCGTAACTTACAATTCATTGGAAGGAAGACACCGTTCTTCAAGGCCAAAGAAGCCGGAAACTTATGGGAAAACTGGCCTTTTTTTTTTAAAAAAAAAAAGAGGGAGTTCTAAAGGTCAAATGGTGCTTCCTAAACCTCCCCTTTATGTATCGGACTCCGACAGGGCACCGAGAGAAATAGTGAGTCCTCCGTCATGAATTGCAATGGCTTTCGCTGGTGGAGCATCAGCGTTAGAGATAATTTCCAGTTTTTTATCTGTAAGTTGGACGCATAGACGCTAATGGCGGCTACAAAATGTTTTTGTGTCCGTCACCGCGTCTTACTACGATGAGAAGCTCTAGTAGAACAGGACTAGGGCTTTCACACGACAGCAAGATTGAGAATAATAAGAGGATGTTTATGCGACTTCTAGAGAACACCCTAGCCCTCACGCTCAGTTCCCGGTGTACATGGATTCATGCAATAACGCTAAGAGAGTTTTACGTCCCTTCTCATCAAATCGTCTTCAAAGAGCGCATAACATGTGAACTTGCATTCCCTTTCCTCGCTTTGTTTAAATATGGGCTGTCTTCTCAAGACATGTCCTCGAATCCAGCTCATATTAAAAGGAATAACATATATATGCCACTGAGAAAGTCCCCAAGAACTCTGTACTTAACCTTTTCATGAGATTCTAGGGTTTTGCTGCGCCTGCTCCTCCTGGCTGTTTCTACCCATCGTTCACCTTTTCTTGCCACTTAGAGACTCGAGAGTATGAATCTCACGCACTGCACGCTGTATTTCTAAGTTTATCATGTATATGAGCGTCTAAAGTTTGTCTTTCGCCGAGGCTTTCAAACAGTACGCAGTAAGAAGGGATAAAAGCAAGACTGACGCACAGTACGGAAAACGTCAGATGGAAATGGTCTGCGGCGGGTCGGGGCTGAGTCTGCTGTCTTGTCAGCGCCCGCTGCGAGCTGCAAGACATCTGCAAGATCCAGGGTGGGTCAGGGTTTTCTGGCCTCAGGCAGAAATTGCTTAACAATTCAACCCCAAAAAAAGGGTTCCAAGGTTTGGATTGCATCATTTATCCTGAAGAATCCATGCTTGGCGCTGGTTAACTTGCCAGCTTTTCGATCCGCAACTGGCGCCTTCTTGTGCTTCGCATCCAGCCGCGTCTAACCACCCCGCCCCCTCCCAATGTCTCCCAGGCTGCTTCGCTCCGCCGTCCGCACTCTTCGAGCATCTCCGTTCTCTATTCTACCCATCTCTACCAGAAGTTTCACTACCAGCTCGCCCAGGATGACGGTCCACGCTATTTCCAGGTGAGTAAACCCGTGCACATTTGTCATTAGGTCCATTGAGAGCGGTGTTTGTTGTGTACCGTTCTACCCCGCAGTCTTATTGGGTTGCAACTTCGGCTGACGTGAGCTTTGTGTTACAGCCTGCCCGAATTTAAGGAGACCATCTCTAAGTACCCTGTCGTCATTGTCGACGCTTTTGCGGAGTGGTGCGGCCCTTGCAAGGCCATTGCTCCTGCTCTTGCCCGGTATGCTCTCCTCAGCCAGACCTTTCCTGATAGCGACAATGAAGATGACTTTTGGTGAGGGATTGCTGACCGTGCCTTTTTAACAGGTGGTCAGAGGACCCCGCTTACAAGGACAAGATCTACTTTGTCAAGTTCGATGTCGACGCCGTCCCCGATCTTGCTCAGGAGCTTGGCATTCGTTCCATGCCCACCTTCATCATCTTCAAGGACGGTGAGAAGGTGGACGAGATGGTCGGTGCCCAACCCCAGGCCCTTCTGGGCCTGCTTAACCGGTACAAGCTTGAGTAAGGAAGCGACAGAAAAGACTTGCCGTTGGTCGGGGCACAGCGAAGCAGGTGTGGCATAGGGAGAGATTGGGGCTTAACACCTTTCTCCGAGTGCGGGTTGGCGTATTGCTCTGATAGGATCACTACTGGTATCTGTATTTTGGAATTGGGAGGTAGTCTGTTATTTCCTGCACTCTGATGCCTGGATGCGGCGATCCGGCGCTTCGCATCCTTCCCTTCGAGGCTTGTTTGTGATAATCCTGGTTGTCCCTGGGGTTTTCTAATGCTCCCGGTGACCCCTGGCTGAAATTTCCCAGCCTGGTATCTCCTCACCCATGAGCATTGGACTAGTTATTGATTAGACCGTTAACGCCACAAGCCCGAATGTAATCAGAACATGAGCCAGTAAGTACACACTGCTCTTGCAAGACAAAAAGTCTCTATCCCATCACAGGGGATGGGTTGAAAAGGCTAAAAAGCTGGGGGCCACCCGGGGATCGAACCCGGGACCTCTCGCATTATTGCAAAGGGTAATCCCTAAGCGAGAATCATACCACTAGACCAGCGGCCCTTGGGAGTCTATATACTATCGGACTTGCAATTTGCTGCATGTAAACTTGCTATCGTTACAGAGAACGTTCCCTGGCAAATCTTAACCCGTTACGAGGGAAGGATATAGCCTCATACAGCTTGTTATCCACAAAAGCAATGCTCTTTCTTCAAAAGAGTGGGAAGGGATTTGGTGCAGTAAGGGTGCCTAAGGTAAGAGAAACTCGGAAGTCCAGTCTCATCTTAGTGAGGCTGTGCGTGATGACAATATCATGAGGCTAGTTCGCCGCATTACAGAAGAGTATTATCATATCATCACAAACTTGGCACAGAGAGTAAGAGTTGCCCCTGTTTATTACCATGGCAACAAGAGTGTTTACTTTGCGCTCTGTGTTGAGATCCACAGGACTTCTCTCAGTAAGCGTCCTAGAAAACATTACCTATGATGTCTCTGATAGTCAAGAACAAAGCATTAAGTCCAGTTCACCTCCAGTACCGAGCGATTCTGCGTTCTGCAATATGACGGAAGAACTCTATGTGTTTCCATTCTCTCAAATCCACCTCATCCACTTGAACTCTCCCGTCATGCTTGTGGCGCATCACACGCCAAACATGCGCAGCAATACATGCATATTCTAGTTGCTTTGCACGTTGTGCAAGGTTTCTCAACATTTTCTCAACCTCTTTGTGTAGCCTCCGACCAGCATCGGATGTTTTAACTGGCCAATGCTGCTCGCTCCTATCGTCGAAGTTGATGATCAAGTATTTCAGGCGTCTGAACCTTGGAAGTCTCGATTCTAAAATTTCTATCACATCTTGTCCCATTAGGGGAGCACCTTTCCGGATGATATCCCATATCCGAAACGGCAGCTCAAAACGGAGCTCAAGACCATCAAGAGACTCTGCATTTGATGAGAGGATGTGGTCTAACCCTTCGGGTGTCACTCGCAACCGGTAAGTTGGGCTGCTAGTGCCGACTCGTTCAAAGCTGTCTATGCGAAGTTCCCCTAGCGAGCGCAGGACAACAGGAAAACATGGGTATTCTGGGTTGGCTCTAAATATATGAGATGCAGTCCTCGAGTCCATGCCCATATGGAACTTGAGCTTTTTCGAGAATGCTGGATCCATGGCAAATTCTGATATAAGGCCCATGGTACCAGGCACGACGGATGAGATGCTGAATGCTCGAAGGTTAGGGCAATAAGCTGGCTGGAAGGCGTCGAAGATTATTGGAGTTTGAGTGAACATATAGGAAATGGGTCCAATACCCCAATAGGAGGATGTTGTTTTGATCCGAACTTCTTCCAGCCACCTGCGATCGACAAGTTTTGCCAGAAGCTCATGGTTGGTTGGGAAGATGCATTCACCGCAGATTAGTGAACGAAGTGCGAGAGGTTGACCTCCTTGTTCTGCATAGTTGGCGCACAGGAGATTCCAAAACTGCAGAAAAAGTTCTGGACTATATGGGAGGGTCTGGTGTGCTCGGAGCACAATCCTTTGAGAAAGGGAGAGATGGAGCCTTTTCAAGTTGGGTGAGTTGAGAAGAATCGTGGTGATACGCTGTCTCCATTTGATGAGATCACCGCAAAGCTCAGTCAAGGCCAGCGTTTCGAGGTTTCGAAAAATAGAGAGATCATAGCCTCCCTCCACTGCACCACAATACAATGGAACGATGGTGTCATTATGCTCATAGCTCCGACACCATGGCCATGGTGAGAGGCCGCAATAATGGATCTCAAGGCTCCGGAGCTGGGGACATGAAGTTCGTAAGATTTGGATAGTGGAAGGTGCTAAAGGGAATGTTTCGGGGCAACTAAGTGTTGGAATCATTAGCAAACGCTTATCATCCAGTGTGTTATAGTCTTGTCATCTGATAGACAAGATAATTTTGCAATGAGTATGGACGCGTAACATACACAAAACGTTCGAGATTTGACAGCTTGGGAATAATTTGGCGAAGGACGTGATTGAACTGTTGAACAGCAAACCTATCTTCGCACGGACAAGCAATGTTCTCGCGCGTCTTGACAGATGTACGGGCAATAAGCGATCTTGTGTAGACCAAATTTCGGTTACTTGGCTTGATCCTGTCAACGTTTCTGTCAATCTCTCGGTAGAGATGAACACTAAAGATTGCATTCCAAAAGCGGCATGTTAAACATAGGCTGTATAATGTCTTAGTATCTAGGGCCTACAGACTTCACTGTCAGCGGGTTTTGTCTTCACGGAAGACTTCCAATACCCGAGTTGGTTTGCCATTCATGTGCGTGATCGTGAAAGTCCGCTAACTTACCAAATCCCCAATAAGATCCAATATGTCTCCATTAAGCGCAACCCGTGACTCCGATGATGGCGAACTCTGTAGCTGAGATCGTGGCCGGCGTAATGACAACCACTCCTTCAGCTTGTGCAACCGGCCTTGCATCGTGAACCTAGAACCTAGATTCAAACAGCAACAGACAAGTACTGGTGGAGCCACTATCCCTCCAAGCCTTAGGAGACTAGATCATCTCGTTTAACGTTTCGTCTCACTTGCTCGACACGGTGTAACTCCAAGAATGTGTGATGCTGTAAGTTTGCCAAGCTTTAAGTCGTGGAACGTTCTTGGACTGACAACATACCCCTCACACCCTTTAAACACCCCCCGACTTTTCATTGGTGTGGCTAAGCCCCGGAGCTGCACAAACATGGTTAGGTACCTGTGGGGGTAGCCTCTGAAGGGTGATTTGGTGCGCCGGCCCTCCAAACCCCCGCTGCTGTTCGCCCCGGTTCAGGGTTATGGATGGATTGTCTGTTGCAAGCAATAACACCCATTTTCTTAGTTCTTTACTTTTCATGTTTATGGCCTCGCCTGGAGATAGAGAGTGCCATCTTATCATTTTACGACCAAGATTTTGAGCCCTAAAGGGAGAGAGTAGTACACATCAGCTGGGCGGCCAATCAATTACATCCTAGTCCTTCTCAAACCCTCTTCAGCCCATGCTATTCCACCCCCCCCTCTAACCACCCCATAAAAGTCTCAGCTTCTCTACCTTATAATAATCAGGGTTGGACGCATCAATTGAAAAGAACCGAGCAACTTTAGCCATCTGCGGCGCAGCACTCAACGGGATCTAGAAACCGCATGAACCTGTAGGAGATCTTCCCTTTTAATGTTCGTCAAATAGCCAATTGCTCAAAGCATACCCAGCTTCCAATTATATAAGAACACCTTGCGCAATATGAATGATATACTTTGGGTCTACATTTCAGGCTGTGTTAATAAGAAAGAGGCTATGTTTGAGAAAGGGAACATGGTCAGATTGCCAGCCACATTGCGAGGAGATTGTATATTATACAACATTGGCGGAATAGCATTCGTTTTTTTTTTTTTGGCTAGGTTATCCCCATGATATATCAAACTCAACGATGTCCAGATCATAGCTACGATAGAAATCTATTGATCATCATTTAGGGCCCTAATTTCGTGCCTGTGGCTTCAGTCCAAGCACCTTAGTCCTGCTGTTATAGGGTGTTGACATATCACCTAGGCACCTCTATACTTTCTCCTTTTGTATTTTCTCACGTCTTTAGCTTTCAGCATGGTCTTCTTCTTCCGGCAGCTTTGAATTGAATGTTCATGTCCCTTAAGTCCAGGCGCTGCGGTTAAACCGTTCTGCGATGACGGTAAGGCGGAAACAGCTAAAATGGCCAGAACTTCTTGCGGTGCTGGCAGTATTCACTTCCTACTTTCTTAGAAGAACCGGCTTCATCATCCCCGAAGCAAATGCACTTGATGCACAACCAAACCGATGGTTATCTATTATTACCGATTGAGGCGGCCATCTTTGTATGACAACGGGGCCATCTTCATTCTCATTTCAGCAGTTGGGTCCATCATCCCTGACTGCTGGATGAGCAGAAGCTGTAAAGGCGCTACATCACCGAACTATAAGCAATGTAGTTCCATGTCCATCGGAAGTGCCGTATCTTCTCACGTAAGCTTTATGATCCCCGTTCTAGCTGTCAGTTCAGGTTAGTATCAAGCTCCTGTCTCTGCTGTTCACTTCATCTCCTCGTCAGTACTCCAACAAAAATCCTCCAAAAGAACACCCTCTTCGCTATATTCATGCCAAAAATGGTCGTGCCTAGACTGAAATCGCTCGCGTAGCCATTCTACCTTCCAAGAACCCAGATGGCACCCGCTGACCTGGATATCCTCGCGTTTTCAAGAACTTCGACAACCTGAGTGATACTACCGATTATCTGCACGAGTGCCCTCTCGTACCTGATGGACAAAGCTACGAGATCAAAAGACTGGATCCTGGTCTTGCTCGTGTTCTGGTTTCCTCATATGGAACTCCAGGGATACTCAATGTAATCTATTACGACGAGACCAGACAGAAACACGTCTTCAGTGACGGAACAGAAGCTAAGGATCAACCGTTTACCACGGGCCGGAATTGCGAAAGCAAGAAAACCAGTGGTAAGGAGAACACTCAGGCTATGTCTGCCACACCCACTTCTAGAAACTCTCTTGAGAACGAACGGCCTCCTTTCGGTAAGGTGTCAGTATTCAGGGTGAATGTAACCGCTAACCGTTTGCAATAGCTACTGTGTGTGACCATAGATAGTAAGTTTCGAATGTGCTTGCGGCAAGGGCAACGGAGATAAAAATCACTCCCCCGCTCAGCACAACTGAGAATGACTGGCCTGCATTGGGTTCTCAGACCTCTCTCCAAAGACGAGACTGTGCTCGGTAAGATGAAAGGAGAAGAACGTAAAGCTTCGGAAGAAGCCATGGAGGAAGAATGACGACAAGATAGTCCTTTGGCGTAGTTGGATGCAGAGTATGGATCTCAAGGACGTGAAGAGGAAGGATTGCGAGATGAAAAATCTTCAGATTAATGTTTGTCGCAAATAGGCAGATTCAGAAGCTTGAATCTCGTTTCTGTTTTTTTAACCACACGAAAGTGAATCGATTTTGTTCTTGAAACACTCACTCTCACGAAGTCGCCATATGCGCCCCTCCACCAACATGGATTGTTTGCCCCGTAATCCAGCCAGCCTCCTCACTACACAACAAAGCAACTGCCCCGGCAACATCATCAGGCATGCCAAGCCTTCTCAGGGGCGACCACATTGCGACCCTGGTATCAACTTCCTCGCTGTTCAGACGCTTCTCACCTATAAAATATTCATTGGCATTCTGGCGATACATGTCGGTGCCTTTGACGCCCCCAGGAGCAACACAATTGACCGTGATATTTCTTACTCCTAGGTCCCAGGCGAGACACTTCACGAGACCGGTAACGGCAGCTTTGGAGGCGGCGTAGATCGCGTGGCGGGGGACGCCCTTTAAAAAAAGTAGCCTGTTGGAGGGAGAAAAGCAGGATAATAAAGGAAGAGTAAATGATAGGTTGGTGACATACCATGACGGCGGCCATGCTGCTCATGAGGATGAGACGTCCACCATCTTCCATATGACGCGAGGCTTGCTGGGCGACAAAGAACTGGCCCTTGACATTGACAGAAAAGACGTAGTCGATCTCGGCGCCGGATATACTCTCCACGTTCCCGAAATGCTCAATACCTGCATTGCTCTGGAAACTGACGATAAGTAGCCATTACTGAAGCTGGTATGGGTTGCGATATGTACCATCACAACGTCAATCCTCCCAAGTTTATCCTTGGCTTCATCAAACAGTCTAATGACATCCTGATCGTCGGAAATATCTGCTTTGATGACTATAGATCTAACACCATGCGTCCTACGGATGTCGCTGGCGACTTCTTCGGCGGCATTAGCCGAGCTATTGTAATTAATAACCACATCAGCTCCATGAGCGGCCAATCTCTTTGCAATAGCAGCTCCGAGGCCACGACTGGAACCAGTGACTGTGGCGGGTAAGCAGAATGTTTATGGACCTTGGATTTAAGCATATTTACCAATGGCTACTTTGCCGTTAAGATCCTTTTTGAACTGTGTCATGTTGTCCTCGGGGGGGGGGTGTTTACATAAACAAGTGACCTAAGTCTCTGAGTGACTTAGCGCTAATGAAAGAGCTCTGATACAAGGAATTGAGAAGATACCATGACACAAGACAAAGAAGAGATCGAGTCCGAAACTCGAGTTCTTGGAAGATAAACTCTGATCCTGAAGCGGAGTCCGATGACAACCTATGCATCATGCAGTATCAGAGAAAGCATCACAAAACCGATAGGGTTATATTTATGAGTGGCAAGTGTCGACATTCTATGAGGTCATCGAGCAATCGATGAAAGGCTAACAAAAACTTGCGAGGAAGTTTGGAGACAACTCCAGTGAGATGCTCCATTGCTTCTGGGACTTTCGGATGAACTGGTTGAAACGGCGAAGAGTCAGGCGTATCAGTAAATGCCTTTCAAACAGCAAAGCCCTTCCTGAAAGATCTTGATCGACGGTCGAAGTTGACCGCACATATCAGAGATCCGCGGAGCAATCGGACGATGCACGTCACGGAGCGGGGCTGCCCATGTCGGCTCCGGCGGGCCTGTGTTAAGTCAAGTTGGTGCAAATAGGCGGCACAGTTCTCGACAAGAGAATATCCGCCACTCATCTATTGCTTGATTGCCGCGAAACGGCAAAGGGCGCAGCAAGCTGTTCGATAAGGCTAGCCCTGCAGCAGCAGAAAGTTTTTGTTGGGGCCCAAACAGCACAGCGGAACAACTGACGAAGTTTGGTTGGCTGGTAATACGTGGGTGGCCCCGAGCAGCGATAGGCCCGTCCGAGAAGCGGGGAGCGCATTATCCCACTTTGCTGCCGGCGGGAGGTGCTTGTCCCGATGCGGGCCGCACGAGGGAGGGAGCGGCACGAGGGCAGTGAAAACCCGGAGCCCTACCCTCCCTTGACCAGTCTTCTGGTTCATTTGTGCAACTCACCGTCTCATCATCTACCAAACGGACTGGTTAGGGGGTGTAACCATTCCAGATACTTGGTGTCAATTTGCCCAGCTATTGTTAACATGCCGACGATCGTGGTTCTTGGGTAAGAACCCCTGGCACCGGAACCAGCGGGTCACACGGACGATGGCTGATGGAAGGGTGTGTTCAGTGCCGGTGTGAGCGGTCTCACCTGTGCCCTTCTCCTGGCAAAGAAGGGCAATGAGGTGACAGTGATCGCGAAGCATATGCCCGGCGACTATGACGCCGAGTATACATCTCCATGGGCTGGCGCCAATGTCCTTCCGTAAGTTGATGGCTGCCGTCCTCCGGATCTTCCGGAACAAGCGGCGGAACAACAGGACTGACACCAAGTCACCTTAGAATGGCCATGGCAAAGGACAGCCGGTGGGAGAGACGGACTTGGCCTGAGCTTGCAAGGCTTGCAAAAGAAGTGCCCGAGGCTGGCATTCACTTCCAGAGTTAGTTGTGTCACCGGTGAAACATACCTGTCACTCTGCTGACGACAACAGCTGTCCGGGTCCTCCGCCGGCAAAAGGATGTAGCTGAGGGCTTTAAAGCGGCCCTCTCAGACGGGCTCTTCCAGCCCAACCCGTGGTACAAAGACTTGATGCCAGATTACCGCGAGCTCCCAAAGAGCGAGCTTCCAGAAGGCATGCACTCTGGGTGCGAGTTCACTTCGGTGTGCATCAACACCGCCATCTACCTTCCATGGCTCATCGGCCAATGCGCGAAGTACGGAGTGAAGTTCAAGCGTGCCGTTCTCAAGCACATCTCAGAAGCAGCGCACATGAGCCACACGGGCGGCAAAGCAGACATCATCATCAACGCGTCAGGCCTTCTGGCATGCAGACTCGGCGGCGTCATGGACAAGGCCGTATATCCAGCCCGTGGACAGATTATCTTAGTTCGGAACTCAGCCAAGGGCCTCATGCCTACAGTGAGTGGCTCCGACGACGGCGAGGACGAGGTGATCTACGTGATGGAGAGGGCCTATGGCGGCGGCACGATCCTCGGCGGCACGTACATGAAGGGCAACTGGGACCCGAACCCTGATCCGAACATTGCCATGCGCATCATGAAGCGGACTGTGCAGACACATCCTGAGTTGACTGGAGGGAAGGGCATTGAGGGGCTAGACATCATTCGGCATGGTGTTGGGCTGCGGCCAGCGCGAGAGGGTGGTGTCAGGATTGAGAAGGAGATGATTGATGGGACCTGGGTCGTGCATAACTATGGTCATGCTGGCTGGGGCTATCAGGGGAGCTATGGGTGTGCTGAACGGGTCGTTGAGCTGGTCGACGAGATTGCTGGGCAACTGAAGCGCACATCGAAGTTGTAAATTGTGGTTGAGGAAATGGCAAGTCAAAGTTGAAGAACATAGGAAGAGAGAACCCTCGATTTCATCCCGCCTCGGCTCCAACAATGGAGTGAGGACCTTGATGGCTGCCAGCTGTTGCACTCTCTTATGGCAGCTGTTGCCAGTTGGAACGACCGGCTTGGACCGCTGGGGTCATGTGGGCCTTACGCCACCAAGGGGCAGCTCCAAACAGACACGCTAACACGTTAAATGTTCATGGGCATTCACAAGGAGCCATCATCACTGAATCTCCTCTCGCCATGAACCGCTGAAGCAGCATGGCCACCAAAAAACCACCAATACCTCTACGACTGGTCCAGTTCACATTGGACGTCGCCAATGGACAACATGCACTCTCCAAGCTTATCCCGCCAGTGCTTTTCCTGGCCGACGGCCTGCTATGTGGGTTGATCATATGGAAGGTCCCTTGTAAGTGGGCTGCGAGATGCTGCTTCACCACATCTCTCCAAGCTGACAATAACTTGCACACAAAAGACACTGAGATCGACTGGGTCGCCTATATGGAACAAATCTCACAGATCGTTTCCGGCGAGCGTGATTACACTAAAGTTCGAGGAGGCACCGGCCCCCTGGTCTACCCAGCTGCTCATGTCTGGGTCTACAAGGGCCTCTACTACATGACCGATGAGGGCCAGAACATCCTTCTAGCCCAACAACTCTTCGCGGGGCTGTACATGGCCACACTTGCTGTGGTAATGGCATGCTACTGGCAAGCAAAGGTCTGATGGATCCTCTCGCATTCACACATATTACTTAACACGACGTCCACTAACGACTCATCAACAGGTTCCTCCCTATGTGTTTCCCCTCCTTGTCCTGTCCAAACGCCTGCACAGCATCTTCATGCTGCGCTGCTTTAACGACTGCTTCGCAACATTCTTTCTCTGGCTGGCCATCTTTTTTCTCCAACGACGCAATTGGTACCTCGGCACCCTGGCATACACATGGGGTCTTGGAGTAAAGATGTCGCTGCTGTTATCCCTACCAGCAATTGGAGTGGTGCTGCTGCTAGGCAGTGGGTTCGCTACGAGCTTGGTGCTTGCCGCAGTGATAGGCCTGGTTCAGGTGCTGATTGCTGTGCCCTTCTTGGCAGAGAATCCATGGGGATACTTTGGCAGGGCGTTTGAGCTGTCACGGCGGTTTCTGTTTAAGTGGACTGTCAACTGGCGATTCGTGGGGGAAGAGGTGTTTCTAAGCAAGGGGTTCTCACTGGCTCTGCTGGGGCTGCATGCAGCCACATTGCTGGTGTTCATTACAACGCGCTGGCTAAAACCTGGCCGAAAGTCATTTACACATATCATGGGAGCGATCTTAACAGGGAAGTCACCATTCACGAAACAGGAACAGCAGGGGATATCTCGTGAGGTCACAACACGCTTTATTATTACAACTATTCTCACAGCAAACACAATCGGTCTTCTCTTTGCTCGATCCCTCCACTACCAGTTTTACTCTTACCTAGCGTGGTCCACACCGTTCCTACTGTGGCGCAGCGGGGTGCATCCTGCGTTGCAGTATGTGATGTGGTGTGTTCAGGAATGGGCGTGGAACGTGTATCCCAGTACCCCTCTCAGCTCTGGTATTTTAGTGAGTGTTCTTGCCGTGACAGTGGTTGTTGTGTGGGCGGGTGTTCGGGAAGATTGGGAGCCGAAAAGGGATGTGATGAAGAGTGATGTGGCAAAAAGATGATGGCGATCATTTTTTGGAAGGTATCGCGGTGCTGTAGATTTGTCGTCAATGGTTCTCTACATTATCCTCTGAGTCACTGGGTGGCATCTGGTATCCAGGACTCGGTGGCCCGTTTTGGACAATGATGCGAGGAAATTCTTTTGGCCTGGAAACACCATGTCAGTCAGCAAAATATAATAGACAAAGAACAGGCAGAGAGGGTGTTCAAATAAATACCAGTATGGTTGTTGGCGCCATTCTTTTTCATTGCACACGACGTTGACGATTTTGCCAATCACTTTACAGTTCTTCGACCGGGCGACCTCATCTATCTCAACCACCACATAGCCTCTGACACGTATGAAGATGGTATCGTGGAACTTTTTCTCCAGGGAGGCTTTGAGTTCTTCCCCCGTCGGAAGTTTGCATGTGTAGGTGAGATTGCCTTCGACCTTGACCACCTGGCAGATGTGTTGATTTTCGCCCAGCTCGTCGGGAGCGTGAGCAGTATTTTGCAGAACCTTGACAGCACGACGAATGCGGCCCATGCTTGCAATTTTGGTTTGATGTTTTTGAAGATGTTTTTTTGGGGTGTAGCTGAGGGTTTGTTTTTGTTTGCTTTGATTGTTCGTTGGGTGAGGTGGACGATCGCAAAGGCGAAGGTTGATGTTCGTGTTTGTTAAGTGATGGGAGTCGATGAGGTGGTGTTCGCTCAAGGTCGTGATGCTGACTGTTGATGTTTGTATATTTGTGTTTACAGTGATAAAAAGCTGTAAAGTTGAGTTTTTGTGTTGTGAGTGCGGGTGTGAGTGAGTGCAGATGAAAGTACTGAACAGTCTTGAGGACAAGTCCAACAGTAGAGTTTGATGTTCTTTGGAAAATGGAACTCTTGGGGGGTTTGCCACTCTTTTAAATTCTTGGTCCAAAACCCAGGAGCCACACAATCAGCCTTGGACGCGACGACAACGTTTGTTTACTTGCATCATTGTTTATTTTGCTTAAGACATCATCAAGATATCTGTATCGAGATACTTGAATTACCCATGTATGTAAAGAAAAAAGTTGCAGCATTCCCTTTTCTACCTCATTTTTCGGACCGGTGTCGGTCCCCGCTTGTGGGGCGGAGTTGCCCCGCCCCCGCGGTTTGACAATAGACGCCGCAGGTGGACATGATGCAGCCTGTGATGGGAGAGGGGCGAACGCGGGATGACAGGGATCGGTCCGGCAGAGACACATCTTGATCCGGGACCATTACCGGGTCTTTGGATAATTAGCTGCCCATTTTTTCAGATCTTTTGAACCTTTAATCTTTAATTTCTTCATATTCCCAAATTCTGGAAACTACTCGCCTGCGTTGCCGCGGCTACAGTCCAAAAGCAGTACACATCTGCCATTCTTCATCCCATCTCTTGATCACAAACTTATTCCCTTTACAGGGTATTTTCAGGTCTCCTACTGATTTTGATTCCTTCGCATCCCTTAAAATGGGTTCCGTTTCCCCAGCAACCCTTCCTGCGCTCAAGACAAATCCCAAGTTCATCTTCTTCACGGATTTTGACGGCACCATCACTCAGCAAGACAGCAATGACTACATGACGGACAACCTGGGCTTTGGCCCGGAGCTGCGTCGCAAGGGCAACCAGGACGTGCTCCATGGCCGTCGCCATTTCCGCGATGCCTTCCGGGAGATGCTCGACAGCATTAGCACCCCCTTGGACCAGTGCATCGACATCCTCCGCAAGAACATCGACCTCGATCCTGGCTTCAAAGAGTTCTTTCACTGGGCCAAGGAGAACAACATGCCCATTGTCGTCCTGAGTGGTGGCATGGAGCCCATCATCCGCGCCCTGCTTGCCCACATGCTCGGCGAGGAGGAGGCCAAGTCGCTGCAGATTGTTAGCAACCAGGTTGCACCGAGGCCCGGGAAGAGCATCAACGATGAGAATGGATGGCAGATTGTGTATCATGATGACAGGTGGGATGATCTTTTCATCTGAGCTTTTCAGGGGTCAACACAAGTGCTGACATGAGGTAGTGGGTTTGGACACGACAAGTCCCTAGAGATCCGTCCTTACGCCAGACTTCCAGCTGAGGAGAGGCCGGTCCTCTTTTACGCTGGTGACGGTGTGTCTGATCTGTCAGCCGCCAAGGAGACTGACCTGCTCTTTGCCAAAGCAGGACGCGGTATGCTGACGCCCATACCCCTGTTATCTTGGGTGTCGCTGCTGACTGTGGTCCCAGACCTCGTAACATTTTGTGAAAGGGAGAAAGTGCCGTTCAGAACATTCCGCAATTTTTATGACATTCTTACCACAGTAAAGGATATCGCTGCGGGAAAACTGTCTGTAAAGGAGGCTGCCTCTGGTAGGCAATGATGGGCTGTTGAATAGAAAAATTCGTTTGGACCTAGATACAATACTTGAATAGACCGTAGACCACCGCCCGATGCTAGGGGGTATAATTGCCTTGGTTGGCAGCTCAACTTGTCCTTTATGTCTTTGTAACAGTGACTGTGACGTGTCTACAAACATTTATCATACATTTTCGAGCCCTCTTTACTGTCCTACGATAATTTGGTCAATCAACGCTTATTTGACATCATGTCGACACACTCATCTTCTATCTCATGTGACCTAGTAAGCAACCTCTGAGGGCTCAGATAACATTGACAGGTTCTTGTTTTGTTTCATGTGTTTCAGCAAGCTCAGTTGTATGCACGGTGGGAACGAAGCCAACCACCACCGCTTTTGAGATTTGTCGTCGCAAATACTGCAGATCGCTATGACTACAGGTATAGAAATGAAATACTTACACAGACCCCCTAGATGAGAGAAATAATAACTCCGGAATCATGATTTTTGCTACCATTCATTCCGAAGCAAACTCAACACCCAGCGCGGGTACGTGAAGACATCACACCCTGCAACGCGAGATGGAGAACTATGTTTCAGAGAAACAACAATGCACCGTGTAAATTTGAGGTAAATCTGTGTGTGTCGCCGAACAAGGGCTTCAAGATCAAGTTGGGCATGACTGTATGCCTGTGAACAGGAGTAATGGTATATATGACAAATGAAGATTATACTATCGAGTGCCCGATTTCAGTTAGCTTGAGCAATGAGGTACCTATGTGGCAAAAAAAAAGCTGTTGTCACTGTTAACATCCAGATTCTGGGATGGGAACTAAGATGATGAAGGTAGCTGACAGGCAGGTATGTCAGGCAATGAGGAAAAGGAAGGACTGGAATGTCGAGAAGCATTGCTGAGATGTTCCCGCCCCTGGCACCAAGGGTTCTGAATCGCTGGTACTAGACATCTTAGACTGCTACTAGTGATTTTTCCACTCTCGGTGTTTGAAGCTGGAAAGGAGGTACCTATCTCATTTTATGCTATCAGTGTGTCCTAAACGATTCTGGGATGAAAGCATTATGGCCAGCGAGAAAAGACAGCAGCAGTAGTCAAGGCCCAGGGTCTTATAGGTGGTGATCGTCCATTATCTGGGGTCGGGTGGCCTGAGTAGGCAACTTGAATAGTGGAGCTGCCAACAAAAAAGTGGAAAATTCGTTCATCCCTTGCTATGATGCGCAGAAAAATGACATGTATTTAATATCCAATGTTCGTCAAAGATATCGATGCTCGGAGTTAAATATTTTGCTCCCGGTTGCCCCTGGCTCTCTTTCACGGGCCAACTTACATTCGATGTGAGTTAGTTTTTTTTTTGGAGCGAGCAAAGGCGGTGAGTCTCTAAGCGGCAGAATTTCGGTTCCATGGGTCCGGTTCGCTCCCTTGTCAACAACGCCAACAACGCCGAAGCTGACCGTCGTCGAGTGCGTCGAGCTGGCGGGGCGGCAACCTACCTTCCTTGCTCTTCACACAATGACCGCCCACACAGTAGGACTGCGGGTAGCCGTGCGCCCGCTTCGAAGAGTGTCACTCCTCGACCAGCTGACAACTGCATCACCAACAGTTTCAACCATGCCATCGCCGCGAGCGTCCACGAGTTGCCTGCGCTCCCGCATGCCCCGGCGAACCCCTCACCACCGCCGCCTTTTTTCCACAACTCCTCCACCTCCAAGATGTCCGCTGCCTCCTGATTCCAGGAAAGACTCCAGTTCGACAGTAATAAGTCTTGGGCCTCCACCTGCCCCGTCGTTCCTTTCTCCCTCGACATCATCACTGCCATCATCATCGTCACCAACGCCCGTATCCGAGCAGTCCGAGCCCAACGGCTCCCCACCGACCACCCAAAGCGTAGCCCCCGACAGACCCCTCGACAGGCCCGAGTCTTCTACCTCCACATCACAGTCATCAGACTCTAGCTCCTGTTCATCCTCATCACAGTTCCCATCCACGCAACCATCATCCTTTTTTGCTCCGCCCAACGCCGACGATGCGACTCCCGACTCCCCCTCCTCCAAGAACAACGACCCCTCCGACCGGTCCTTGCCCTCCTTTTCCGAAAAACATCGCCATCCCCTCAAAGCCCGCTTCAGCACCTTCATGGACAATCTCCAATCCCGTGCCGTGATGGCCACCCAAACACTGAACGACCTAACCGGCTACTCGGCTATCGAAGCTATCAAAAAGCGCAACAGTGAGCTCGAAAAGGAGCTCGCTGCAGCCCAAAAACGCCTGCGCGAAGCCCGCCAAAACTACAAGTCCCTGACCGCCCACCGGGCCGCGACCCAGCGTGAGGTTACCACCCTGCTCGCCCGCAAGGACACCTGGAATCCTCTGGATCTCGAACGCTTCACGACTCTCTACCGCTCCGACCACGAGCTGGAGGCCCGCGTCGCCGAAGCAGCCGCCGAGTTGACCGACGCCGAGACGGACGAGTCACGGCTCAGCGCGGAGCTGAATGCCGGCATATTAAAGCGGTACCACGAGGAGCAGATTTGGAGCGACCGTATCCGGCGGCAGTCGACGTGGGGAACATGGGGGCTGATGGGCGTGAACGTGGTGCTGTTCCTGGTGCTGCAGTTCGTGGCCGAGCCGTGGAGAAGGAAGAGAATGATTAATGGGATTGTGGAGAACCAGAAGGGGGTGATGGAGGAAGTGAAGAGGGAGTTGAGCGAGGTGAGGGCGGCACTGGAGGCCAGTGGGCTCCGAGAGGCGGCTCGGGCGGTCGAGGCGGCTGCCGCACGGATGGATGCCGCCGAGTTGTCTCTTGCCGATGGTGGTGCTCTTCCCGTTGGTACCGCGGGCGCTGCTGCTGGTAGTGGGGAGTTCGCTGTCCCAGCTGGAGCGTCGTCGGTTGAGGCTGAGACGCCGGCCCAGCCAGAGTGGCAGGCGCCGCGGAAACCGTGGAAGGAGTTGTTGGCCGAGTATTGGGAGGATCCTGAGCTGCTCAAGGAGGATGTAACCATGACGGTGCAGGATCTCTACAGCGACCGCAAGGCGGACCTGCGGATGAAAGACGTCTCGCGGATTGCTTTGCAGGGCGCTGCTGCCGGCGCTACCCTGATGGCAGGGCTTGTCCTTGCCCTAATGCAAATGACGAGATCATGATCTCTGTCTTTACGCTTAGTAATGCGAAGCATTTGCATGGATATACCGTTTTATGTAGATACCTTGTACACTAGCCGAGACATAGACGTTGCATCATGCATTGTAGAATAAAGGTTTTATTTGGGTGAGGGTTGGGTATCATCATGATTCCTTTCATCAATCTCACACACACTTCAGATGGGGAAAGGGAATGATCTTAACCAAAACCCCATCACCAATTCCATAAAGTATCTGTCCAACCCAAGAGCAGAAAAGAGATTAATTTCAAAGAGTAGAGGTATCAGCTAAAGGAAAATTTTCAACAGCAGACAATCGGCGCTTGACCGTCACCACCAACGTCCAACACTGGAACTGTTTATCTTATTTGGGAAGAACCAATCTGAACCAAAAGCCTCCACATTACGGAATTCTTCCCTTCACTTATTGATCTCAACGCACAAAATGCCTCGTGCTACCCCAAACCAGAGTTTCTGCAACCCCTGCGCCTGCTGCCAAGCAGAGAGCGGTGCTGACAAAAGTAGTAAGCAGAACAGAGTATGGGGTATCTCGATGCGAAGAATTGAGACGGTCTAGCTTAGCTGAGCAGGAAGCGATGACCCGCCCATAATGAGTCCATCGGCGTCTTATTCGTAAAACTCGCCCGTATACGAGAATCCACGGAATTGCTCCTGCATAGCTTGCGACAGGACTATTTGACATGGTGTTAACAATCCGAAAAATACCAGCCACACACAGAAAAATGAACATACCAGTATTAACCGGCGTGAGCACAGGAGTGACGCTCGTGAATTCGCTGTCAAAGTTGCTTGTGTCGGTTGGGCTCTTGATGGTCGGTTTGAACGGCGGCTCAACACGCTTGTGGTAGATGTCGTCCCAGTTGATGTTGCGGAAGAAGGGTTCCGACATGACCTCCTGGGCGTCGGTCGGACCGCTACCCAGACGGAGCTCCGGCTCGCGCGTAAGCAGCTTCTGCAGAATGGCAACACTGTCACGCGCCATGTAGATGGGATACAGTGGCTCATCGGCCAGAATCGAGTCATAGATCTCATCTTCGTCTTCGCCACGGAAGGGAGACTGCTGCAGGAGCATCTGGTAAATAAGGACGCCAAACGCCCACCAGTCAACCGCACGGGTATATTTCTTGTCGAGAATGATCTGGGATGATTGTTAGTACTGTTGGGACTGACAGACCGAATCAGAACTCGGACTTACCTCAGGGGCCATGAACTCAGGGGTACCGCAGAAGGTGCTTGTCGTTGAGCCGTACCACATGTCTTCCTTGCAGAGACCATAATCGGCGATCTTGATATGGCCATCAAGGCCCAGGAGAATGTTATCGAGCTTGAGATCGCGGTATATAACGCCGTTCTCATGGAAGTACTTGAGCGCTAAGCAAACCTCGGCAGCGTAGAACCTGAAGCGGAGTTAGCTACGAATAAACGGCAGGCGAACCGGGGATACATACTGAGCTTGCTTGGTGCCAAACTGCCCGCGCTGAATGTGAAGCATCAAATCACCACCACTAATGTACTCCATGACAAAGTACACACGGGTCTCAGTTTGGAAGCAAGCAGCCAGGTTCGTGAGAAATGGATGACGCTCGCGGTTGGCGATCAGGAAGACACGCTTCTCCGACTTGATGCTCTCGACTTCGTCATGTTCAATAATAAACTCCTTCTTGAGCACCTTGATAGCGTAGAGTTTCTTGCTGCGCTTGGTCTCAGCAAGCATGACCTTGCCGAAGTTACCTTTACCAAGCACCGCAAGGAAGTTGAAGTGATCCAAACCAATGCGCTGACCAGTACCGGGATCCGTAGCGGATGGCAGAGGCTTCCGGGCCGGGACAGGGATATTTGCCGCCGTCGCTGGACCCGTTTGCGGCACCTGGGTAGGGGCCGGTTGAGGCTTAGGAGAGGGAGCAACCTGCTGTTGGGGTTGTTGCTGAGGCTGCTGTGGCTGGTACATCTGGGGAACATATTGCTGTTGCATGACTGGCTGTTGAACCGGACGAGGCTGAACAGGAGGTTGGCCAGGATACACGCCAATGTTGGCGTAATCCGCGGGGTTGTACTTGCGCTGCTGCGGTTGACCATACGGCTGCGGTTGTTGTTGTGGTGGTGCAGATGAAGTACTGTAGTAATCCTCATCTCTGGTTGCTGGACGGCTCCCATACGTTCCCGAAGAACCGTAATGGCCGGGGCCAAAATCTGGTATCTGGGTAACTGTCGGAGCTGGCTGAGGAGCAGGTTTCGGTGACATGGCAGCAGCGGCAGCAGCAGAGGCTGTGGTGCTGCCGATCGAGCTCCGATCAGGGACGGAGGTCCTCTGAGGGGAGGACTGGTTGTACATAATCTTGGCAGCTTCCGTAGCCTCTGGTGAGGCGGGTTGTGCGCCATGAGAAGAGCCTGGTGGATAGCCAGTTCCCGGCTGAGGGCTGCCCGCAGGCTTGCCCGATGCCCTAAGTGTCCTCTCGCTCATGGACGCAGCTTTCTCCGCCCGATTCCTCTTTGTAGTCCGAATACCCTCCAGGATTTGGTTTGCTACAGACATAGGCATGCCGCAGAAATCGGGCACTAGGTGGATGCATTGTGTGTGCGCAGTAAGGCCGCATTCCACGCATCGCCTCGAGTTCTTCTTAGAGCCAATAGGTAACATGTAACCACAGTGGCAGCACCAGTTTGCGCTGATGTTCGAGAAGGGTTGGAAGCGGTGAGGAATCCTGTGGTTGATCTTCTCCTCATCGGGATCGGTCTCAGCATTGCTCTTGCTGATGCACTTCGTGACGACACTGGTGTAGCATTTGGTGTGGCAGGTGTACTTGCAGTCGTCGCACTGCATGCCAGCCGAGTACTTGAGGAAGTCACCGCAGAGGGCACAGCGCATGATATTGTAGAATTGACGCTGGACAAATTTATGTCCGTACATCTCGTGGACCTCCTCCTTGCGCTGGCGAACGGCACCCTTTCTGTTGAGACCGGCATCGAATGGCCGTGGCGCCTTGTTCTCCTTCACGAAGTTGAGGCTCAGCTGGATCTGTCCCGTCGGTTCAAGGTTGAACCACGCGTCGATGGGCTGGGTAACGATGGGCGTCTGCATTTGGGGCTGAGGGTACGTGGACTGTGACGAAGGCGAGGTCGGAGGAGCAGCAAACTGAGGGCCATGGGGCCCCATGGGAAACTGTGGAGGGGGGACCCGAGGAGCAGCACCAAGTCTGTCTGCCGACACCCAACCGGTCGAGTTGGTCTCGGCCTCGATCCTCTTACGACGGAGTTCCTCAGCGATGTCGGATATCCTGATCCATAGTAACCCGATGGGAAGGGCGTGCTCGCCCGGCTTGTCGTAAACGGTCAACTCAACCTCATTGGCCTTGTCGACGAAGATGTTGTGGAACTCGGCCTCCCACTTGTCGTTCCGGGTTGCTCTTGTCCGCGCCACGATGTTGTCCTCAACTTTAATCGTGACAAAGGTCTCGGGAGAGCGAGAAAAGCGGCTCGTAGGGGCATGGTCAACATCCTTGACAGCAATGACGCGGATAGAAAGCTGACCAGTCAAAGGCCTTCTCATGTTGGGCATATTGATACTATTATCTGTGGCCAAAAGGTTAGCAGGAAGAAAGGAGAACTTTCATGCTGATATGGTAGAGGAAAATCTGGATTACGTACCATCGGCTCCATCTTCATCCATATCAATGTGTAGCTCCTCGTATCTCTTGAGGGCTTGCTTGAGCAAGACGATCTTCTGTGTGCTTTCGATGCGCTTAGCGGCCGCGTCGGCCTTGCTCTTTTTGTCCCCTTCCATCTGATAGAGCTGGACCATCTTCTCGATGCCCTTGAGATACTGTTCCTCAACATTGAGTTTGAACTGAATCTGTGAAAGCATCAGCTGGATGCGGGGCCCCAGATATGGGGTATCGAACTTGATAAGGTCTAGGAGTTGACACAAGAGTCAGTCAGCAGTCGGGTCTTCCATCTGCTACGCGCACAGCTGCACATCTACATCCACATCCACAACTACATACCGAGCTTCGTGAAGTTCGGGCGAGCCTTGGGGTAGTGGGATTGCCCGGGATAGGGCTGGCCAGGCGCCTGGCCGTAGGCATCCTTCGGGGGAACAGCAGGTCGACCGCTGCCGTCATCGCCCTGATCGTGGCCTTTGTAAGAACCGCCTTGCGAGCCTCCGAGCGACATATTCTCTACTGACTGACCCAGACGACGCATCTGGAGCTCGCGGAGGCGCTCCTCGAAGAACTCGAGGTTGCGGCGGCCCTCGCGCATTTGGGTGTCGAGCTTCGAGCGGACGGCTTCATTGTTGGTCTGCTGCCGCATAAGATTAGCGGCATTGATCAGCGCCTTCTCGCGCTCGATCTTCTTTGAAATATCCAAGATTTTCTCGTCGTCGTTCATGACGGGCGGTGTACGTGCGCGACGGGCTACAGGTCGCGCAGGACAACTGGACGGTCAAGGTCAAGGGGAAGAGAAGGTAAGCGAAGTGGGGTTGTCGGGGTGGTGAAGTGACCAGTTGCGGACAGACAGGTGTTGGGCACGCTCGAGGTAATTTTATTTTCTAGTCACCCGTGGTGTTCTCGGTTCCCTTTCTCTCTTCACGAGGCTCCTGCCCGCGGGCCGATTCGGAGACGCAGCAAGCGAGGATGCGAGAGCTATCGGCGGTGATCGTGTTGCGGGAGGTCAGGGTCGCTGTGCTAGTACTGGCTGTCGTTAGAGGTTCGGCGGGGTTTTGTGCTGGTTTCGCATTGGGTGACTGGACAGTGGACGGCCTTGGCCCTTATTTGGTGTAGTGCCAGTGCCTGGTGGAAGCTGGCTGATGGGGGCCGCGGTACCTTGTTCTTCCTCACACTGGACAGAACCTGAGGCGGTAGCAGCGGGGTGGGTTGGGCCCTGGAGAAAATGGAGGAGCCGAAGGTCGAACAGTAAAGTGGGGAACCAAGAAGCTGTGGATGCTTCCTTCCGGCTCTGGAGGGCGACGGGAAGGGCCTAAAGCGCCGGGATTCAGAAGGAAAGGAAGCAGCTAGAAGCAAAACGACGGAACGTGGGTTCGAAAATCCCGGAGATATGGAAGGTAGAGAGGCACGAAATTTACCAATTCATCAGAATCGCTCCTTAAAGCTTGAGGCACCTTGCACTTGGTGACCAGAAGGCGCCCGAATCAGAGCATGTTGCGATGATTACCTTATCTGGGGAGACTGGGGCACAAAGATTCTGACAGAAACTGCTTGATGTCTCCTGAGTCTGGATTTAGCTCGCCGTCTTAGCATTGCCCCGCTATCGCGGGAGCTCTGGGGCTACAGGACATGTTGGGCTTCTGGCCGTTTGGCGTTCCATCGCAAGCCACTTTGTACAGCCGGCACACAGACGAGGACGTGTGTACCGGTTTAGGACTTGAGTGCATAGGACTACTTTGGTCAGGCTCTCGACCAGCGGTGCCCAACATGGTGCTTGTCACAGTCGTTGGTCGTTGCCTACCTGCTAGGAGGTGCCGCTCTGTAAAAGACTTGTGTTTCTGGATGGCGCATCATCCAGCAGGTTCCAGGTGCCCCAAAGTCGAGACTAAGAAAGCCCGAAATATCTTGATGGTTATAATGTGCTTTGCATCGACCTGGTTGGTAGCTCCACGTCGTCTGCTGCCCGAAACGGCATTCTATCCAATGCGGGTGTATTGATTACAGATTACATATGAGGAGTAAGGATTTCAAGAGATGTCACAACCCCGTATCAAAAAAAAGGGAGCTCCTGTGTTCGTCGCATCTGTTAGACATCCTCTACGAAAATGCAAGATGCAAACTTTTGACGCCCCGGACAAGAATAAAACGAGTAGTGCTTTTAGGAAAGCTAATCGAATACCGTGGCGTGCAACACGTGTGTTGCAAGCGGTAGTCTATACAATGTTCGGGCAAGGCCTATCGCCGTGGTGCTGACGCACCCCGAACATGCCGGAGCGCCAAGATCGAGCTCCACCGGCTCCGAGCGTTGACCGGGAAAGTGGCCGGGGTTTTCCTGATCTTTTAATGGTCACCGGCACAGAGTCTTGGATATTCGCTCAAAACTGCAGGGACAAGATAAGTACCTATCCTAGGAGCCCATAGGCTCAGGGGGGCAGACCAACGAGGTTGTGGACAGTTTAAATTTGGCAAAACCCGCTAGAACAGTACCTACGTAATGATCACAGTGTCTTTATACAAGAAACCCACACGCCGGCCATTTTCAACCTAACCGCTAATGCCTAACTCCAAATAATCATTGACCTTTCTGGGAGAATCGCCTGTCTATTGAGTATACTCCTTCTGGAGAATCTTGGCAATAGTGTTGAGCCTACTAGCTGTTAGCACACAAATACTTTCACAAACCCAAGTAACATGGGGAGAACACTTACTGAATGTTGCTCGTGCCCTCGTAGATGGCGCCAATCTTGCTGTCGCGGAAGAACTTCTCGGCCAGGCCTTCACGGACGAACCCCATGCCGCCCATCCACTCGACGGCCAGGCTGGCAACGCGACCGGCAACCTGAGAAGAGTAGAGCTTGGCCATGGCGGCATCCTTTACGAACTCCTCGCCGGCCTCCTTCTTGCGGGCAGCATTGTACACGAGAGCGCGGGCGGCGCAGATCTCGGTGTACGCCTGGGCAATCTGGTGCTGCATGCCCTGGAACTCGCCAACCAGCTGGCCGAACTGCTTACGGTCATTCCATACGTACTTGACCGCGTTCTCGAAGGCACCGAGAGCCAGACCGGTCATCTGGGCACCGATACCAATGCGGCCCTCGTTCAACAGCGAGATGGCGTACTTGTAACCCTGGCCCTTCTCACCAAGCAGATTCTCCTTGGGAACCTCAACGTCGTCGAAGTTGAGGACGCACGTGCTGCTCGCCTTGATGCCCAGCTTCTTCTCCTTCTTGGCGATGCTGAAGCCCTTCATACCCTTGTCGACAATGAAGGCAGTGATGCCCTTGTAGCCCTTGCTGGGGTCAAGGTTGGCGAAAACGATGAAGAACTCGGCCTCCATCGAGTTGGTGATCCACATCTTGCTGCCATTGATCTTGTAGCCGTGCTCCGTCTCGACGGCCCGGGTAGCCAGGGCGAAGGCATCCGAACCGCTGACGGGCTCCGATAGGCAGAAAGAGCCGACAGTCTTGGTGGCAAGACGGGGCAAGTACTTTTTCTTCAGCGCTTCGCTGCCCCACTTAAGAACGGCAGTGTTGACGAGCGTGTTGTGGACGTCGACCATGACCGAAACGGACGGGTCGACACGGGCAAGCTCCTCAATGCCGACAATGGCAGCAGTGAAATTCATGCCGGCACCGCCATACTCCTCAGGAATCTCAACGCTCATTAAGCCCTGCTCAAATAACTGCTCCACAATCGCAGGATCCATCTGCTCGGCCTCGTCCATGTCACGGACCTTGGGCAAGATAACCTCATTGGCAAACTTGCGCACCGAATCGGCCATGGCCGACTCGACCTCAGAGAGGTGCGTGATCGGGGTCGGGATGAGGTCAGAAATGTCCCGGCGAACAGCGGTCGTGGAGAGCGGGCGAGTACTGGTTTCTGTCAGAAAAATTACCGTCCCTAACTTCATTACAGTCGCCTGGGCGGACAGAGTTGATAAAACTCACGTCTGGACGGCAGAGAAGGCCGTGCCGCTCCGTAACCTGGGAGCAGACACCGCCTGGCTTCTTCGGACCGCGGGGCGCAACGCTCTCGCAAATGACCGCATGGTGGGCAACTGTATGGAATGAGCAGGTGAGGGTCAAGGAAGAAGTTGGGCGAACAGTGGTGTGTACAATGATGGCCTCTCCTATTTATACCAGCTCCAACTGTCTCCGCTGCAAAGCTGGGGTAGGCACTAAAACTGCAGCTCCCACAACCGGACGTTTGTTTCAAGTATTACACGGTCAAAGGGATGTCCGTTGCGAGCCGCAGGGCACGGCGTCCATCCCTCGAGGATGAAGCCGAGGTTACCTTTCCAGTCCAGGAAATCTGCGCTCCACAAAGGGCGGGTACACACGGTGGATGCGATAGAGGGGCCCTTCCCACGGGGCCGTTTCTATCGCCCCATGTGACCGATCGTGGATCGAAACCGGAGGCCCCACCTAGCCGATAATTGCCGAGTCGCACGTGATATTACACGTGACAAAAAGTCCCAAATCAGGGCCTCCATCAGAACTGCAGGTGCGGCAACCAAAGAGTCGCGATAACGACGAAGGCGACGACGACCACGGGCAGGACCTCTGTCGCGCCACTCAAAACACCGCCATGGTGACGACACTTTTCCGGAATCTGGTCCTTCGGCCGGCCATCCGACCCGCAATGGCCCCGGCGGCCCCAATCGTGCGGTCCTTCTCGACAACTCCCGTCCAGAGTGCAACTCTGAACCAGGTCCTCCGAGTATGCGATCTCTCCTCCCTAGCGTTCCCCTTGCAATCACATCGACTTTTTCGCGCCGCTGAGTAGTTGTATGCAATTCTAACATATATGGTCTCACCTCCTTAGGGCTGTCGCAAACCCCAACCAAAGCGCCATCCTGTCTCGCCCGCCCTCAGTGCCATCAAGGCCCCCATGCTCAAGGGCGTTTGCGTAAAGGTCGGCATCACGAAGCCGAAGAAGCCTAACTCAGGTGAACGTAAGACGGCGCGTGTACGCTTGTCGACTGGCAAAGTCGTTACAGCCTACATTCCCGGTGAAGGTCACAACATTCAGCAACACAGCGTCGTTCTTGTCCGCGGTGGTCGTAGTCAGGATTGTCCCGGTGTGAGATACCACTTGGTGAGAGGAGCGTTAGATCTGGTACGACTTGCTCTTAAATCCATGTTTAGTTAATGGAACTGATGACTAACGGGCATTGTCTTGCAGGCTGGTGTTGCCAACAGGATGACGAGCAGGAGTAAATACGGTGCTAAGAAGCCGAAGAAGGCTACCGTTGGCTAAGCATGACGGGTACGATTAAATTAGTCTGTTCTGGCGTACGGATATATAGATGACGAAGGCTCTAGATTCCGCCCTATGCCGCCGTAAGATTTGATGTCTAGTCATTCTATCCGGCACTGTAACATATCTCTGTATAATGTCAAACAATCCGATAACCCAGCGGAGGACAATATTTTAGTTAAAACGGATAGTCATGGTTGTCCCCGTCATAGTACATTTCTTGATGTGCCAAACTATCATGCTCAGAAAAAACCAGCCCCAAAAAACCACAATAACCACCCCCCTTACCGCTGTCAAATGACCATTCTATGACACCTTTAACCGCAGGTACCCATAGATGCTATTTCGCCGTTCCCGAGGGCCAAAAGATCAGCATATCAGTAGAAATCCGCAGCCGCAAAAGGCTTAAGAATGCAGAGTCCAAGTCATGAGGGTAGGGGGTAAAGATATTGAGAAAAAAATGTTTTGTAAATAAGCTAATCTTTCTCCTGCTCCCAACCCTCGGGCTTTTCCATGTTGTGCAGCTCATAAAACCTGGATGTACCTATGACTCAGTGTTAGTATTAAAGGGAGCTTCAGGAGGGCGATATGAGGGAGGACATACAAGAGTAACCCTTCCAGTCAAAGTTGTCTTTGGGATTGCAGTGACACCTTAGCTGTTCGCGCAACTTCTCGCCAGTCGGACAGTGTGTGAAGGGCACATGGTAGTAGGCGATGTCGTTGAAGAAGTGAATTTGGTCCTTGGGCAGCATGATAGATGCAGCAATGGAGTGCACCGGTGCATCACCCCAGCGCTCATAGAAGAAACCACCATCCTTGTCTAAACTCTCAAAGAAGTCGAGATAGGCCTTGGAGCGGAGCCAATTGAGGCTACCAATTTCAAAGTTAGACCACTGGAGAGCTTGTCAGTTACGGCATAACCACAACTATTGTTGGAAAGGGACTCACCATATGGCAGCGATTGTATGTCTCGCCGCCGTCATCGCTGATGAACGCCATCGAGTTGTCAGCAGCGATATGTTCCGGGTGGTTCCTCATGAACTTCTTGACACTCTCCCAAAGTGTGGGGATAGTCTCGATGTACTCGTATAAGCTCAAGACAAAGCTGTACTTCTTGTTGTTTTCGTGCATGAAGCGGAACGGATCGTAGTGGATGTCACAGTATAGCTCGATGCCAGGCTCGACGCGCCAATAGTAATCATAATTCATCATCAGGGGCTGGCGGAAGAAGAAGCCCGACTCGAACCGGCACATATGACGGTAGCTGACACTGTCACCATAGATAATTTTGCGCTCCTTCATGTCCTCGCGAACCTTGGCAGCTCGCTCTTGATCGATCCACGGTGGGAAAGACCAATGCTCCTCAGGAATCAGGCCATAGTATGTCTTGCCAGACACAAGGGAGCTTGTGATTTTCTTGAAGGTCTCGTCGAAGGGCTTATCATTGAGAAAGACCCATGGGTAGTTGTAGCGCCTGTTGAAACGATCCTCGATTTGACGAATGGACTTGGCCAACTCCCACACATCCGAATTGCGAGCCAAGGTCACGAATGTGGCATTCATGCGTGGCCCGGGAGCGATGCTCCACAAGTTGTCCCAGCCGGGGTCATTTGGGGTCATGGCCATAGGGTAGTCCTTTGGGTTGTAATTGGTAGTAACCTTGAAGTCATTGGGCGACTGTGGCCTGGGAACCACATCACCCTTGCTGGCAGCATCACCTTTGGTGTTCTTGTTGGTGCTGGAGGGTTGCTCAGAACCAGCAGCAGCTGGCTTGTTCTCAGAAGGCACGGTTGTGCCATCCTTATGCTCAGGCAGGCGGGTTTGGACGGACAGCGGGCTTGTACCGACTCCGGAATGCGAAACATAGTAGAAGACTGCCAGCATCTAAGCGGATGTCAGTAAGGTGGCGCGCAGTGAGTCACCGAAACCTCCATATGACAGGTGTTACTTACAAAGCAGGCGAGGAGGATGTATCGCACGTGGCGAACAGTGCCAGTCGCCATGCTGTCAAATTCGATCCACGAAGCCTTCAGCGAGCGCAAAGGTCAAACTTTCGAGGAAGAAGAAAGGGTTGGTTGTTGGGCTATTTGTGCCCTTGTGCGCCGCAGGGCGCAGGACACTCTGGTTTAGGAAAGGCGGGCAGGTGATGAGTGTGCAACAAGCCTGGCTATGCCAAAGCTTGATGTTTCTGAAATGGACAGCGCGTCCTATGGCGTCAAAATTTAGCAGTCTGTCATCGTCTTCCACGCTGCCTGTGAGGTTGGGTTGGGAGCAGATGTCTTGTCAGCACAGCGTTACCAACTGTACGAGAAGGACCCGTATCTGAAGAGAAGGAGAGGCGTTAATCCCACCTGCACGGACGTTATTGTTTCAACTCGTGGCAGGAGAGCATACGCTATACCGGATTTAGCATGGTTTGGTCTGTGCACCATATGTAGAACTTTAACAAAATCTCTGCAGATGAACATCTGCAAGCTGATATTACGCAACCCATGAAATGTTACAATCCGTCAGCAATGTGACGTAAAGCCTCCTTGCAGTCTCCATCTCTTCATCTTTGCCCGGATGCTTTTAGGTTGCCACGCACCAACCCACTCAGCCCTACTTCCCCGTCTACCGGTGGGCTCTGGCACGACTCAGATTGCGATCAACGGTCTGCTGCTGATCTCTTGACAGTTTTCAAGATTTGATCACAGATCAAAGAAGACTTCAAGTGTAACTGGTATCTTTCTTGTAAAACATGTACTAAGAGTCGGCTTTTGTAATAAACACCTTCCATTAGGCAGTCTCTGTAGGCTGGGCCATGATGGCAGCGCAGCACCAAGGGGCTGGCCGAAAACCTAATAGGTGGTAATTGCAGACAAACAAACAACAAGAGTGATGGGCTTCTCATATTTGAAGAAGAGTTGACAAAAGCGGGCCGAGCCAGAAACGTATTTCATGAGAACTAATGCTGTTTGGGCGTCGAACAGAATAGGGCATGTGACTCAGAAATAGAAGCTCGGCTGCAGTACTCCGAAGGCTGTTTAAACCAGGTATGTAAAATCTTCTTGACAAGCTTTGAAGATATCTACACAGCGAACCTACTGTTCAAAGACTCCAGAAAACATGATGTGTCTTAACTACGCCGCTGTGGACCTGACACGACTTTCAAGACTCACAGCTTTTGAGTTGCAAGTTCTGTTCTTAGTGATGGACCACTTCACGCTTGTAAAAGATCCCAACTGACCAAGGTCTTACATTCTGCTTGAAGATCACTTCCAATCCGATACTTAATGGAGCCTATACCATTGAATATACGTTGTCCTGAGTTGAAACTATAACAATCAGTTGATAACACCTTTATTTACCGTGTTCTCTCTCTCGGACTCTCCCTGATAAAGTGAATAGTCAAAAGAAATGGCATTTCGTCGAAGTGATTTCATGATTTGAAACACAAATCTATAATACTCATGCTTTAAAAATTGTACAAAGCATTGTTTTGAGCGGCAAATTCTCACTGGCCCCATGTCCAGTCATGTTTTGCAAATTGGGGATCAGCCATGGCAGATGTCTCCCGCAAAGTGACAGTTCATGTGGCTGTTTTGTATATGTGGCGCAACAAAGGGGCTCGACATGTGCGGGGCTTGTGACTTGCGTCCATTGGTTGGTAGGTCGTGGTGACGGGTTTCTGCCGCATGGACCCTCTGGCCCACACGCAAGGCCACCACCACTGCTCTGCAGGAGCTGCAACATTCGAGCCAACCTCCTGTCACCGGCCTGTGAATCTGCGTTTACTGTCCGTTGTGTGCGCCAATCTGATCGATCCACAAATTGACTCGTCTAGCACCAGGATTTACCACTTTTTTCTTGCAAAACTGAAGTTTTCCTAGGTATTCTTGTGAAGCTTTCTGGCGCTGCTCGATCTGTCGGCCGACCGACATCAAGCTTCTGCCTGCTCATCTGTTTGGGTCGCATCGATCGCATCACCATGTCACTTGAGCGATTCGAATACTGTCCCAGCATTCTTACATTGTGTGCTGTAAGTATTTCATTCGAGGCCTGTTGGCTCTGATGTTGCCGACTTTCTCTCCTCCATGGAGCGGCGAACCGGGCGAGAGTAGCCAAGCTGTCCACTGCCTGGAAAGTTGCCGCTCGGTGCCCCGCCATTGGGTGGATTGGGCGACATAGATTCCTGCCCTCAACTTCATCCGACGCTGACATTCTCCAAAGTAATTCTTTTTTTCTTCTCTGTGACACAATATTCTTGACTGGCCGCACCAACCATGTCGTTTTTCGGCTTCGAGAGCAGCCACCACAATCCGGCGGCTGCCGGTTTTTCGCAAGCTCACGATCCGTTTGCCGGGTTGGCCAACCGTGATGAAGATGGCGAGGTGCTCGAATTTGACGACACCTACGATGGCTTGGGAGACCAGCTGGAGGAGACGGGCGACGAGCTCAACGATGACACTTTTGGCGATACAGCTGTTGGCAAGGACTTCGACTTCTTCGGCCAAACCGCCAAGGTTTCAACGGCTATTGAGGAAGAACAGGCTCGCTTCAATCGCATCAAGCCGCCAACCAAGGCTTCGCAGCCGACGACCCAGCCCACTTCGAAGCCCTCGACGGCCTTTTACTCTTCTACACAAGCCACGTCTTCGTATACCTATTCTTCGCAAACCGCCTCTTCTAAACCCCTGCGAACAGGCTACGAAAAGTACAAGAGTGAGCCGGTTGCCGAGCTTCAGGTCGATCCAACCCTGTGGGGTGTCGCACCAAAGAAGCAGTCTCAGGCGTCTACTACTCCTGCTGTTTCTGCCTCTGCCTCTTCGATTCCCCCAAACAAGAAGGTTCTGAGTGTTGAGGAGGTCGAAGCACAGCTGCGGGCGCAGGCAAAGAATAAAGCTCAGCAGGCTGCTGCCTCGCCAGCACCACAACCAGCTCCTGGTCCAGCTACACCTACGCCGGTTCAAGCCCCCATGCAACACATGGGACAGTATCCTCCTGGTTATCAGTTCCCTCAGCATGGCCAGCCTCAGCTTTCGGTACAACAAGATCAAGTCTTTCCTGGCCAAGCCCACCCTGTTACCATCTTGCAGAGGCCGCAGTCCAAGCCAGCTCCTTCTCCTCAGCCCATAGGCCAGCCGCCTGCCCAACTCCGTCAACAACCTTCGGCGCCTGTTCAACCTACCCATATCTTGCAGAATCCTAACCGTTTGTCAGGGGATGGTGCTAAACTCGGCATCCCCCAGCAGCCTACCTCTTCAGTTCCTGGCAACTACCCAGCTCATCAGAATCATCGACAGCAAAGCTCATTGCCCCGGCAACCACCCATTATCACCCACCCGTCCCAGTTGGCACAGCTTACCGATGAAGAAAAGGCTGCGTATTTGGAACAGGAAGCCAGACGTGCTAAGCGGAATCACAAGATCTTCCTCATGTCCCGCGATAACGGCCTGATGACACCCCAGGACAAGAGTTTTGTGACCCGCATTCAACTTCAGCAGCTTGTCGCCGCTACTGGTAACCCCAACGAGCACGGGACTGATGAAGCGCTTGCCGAGGACTTCTACTACCAGGTTCACACGCAAATTCAGGGTGGTCATCGTCAGCATCCAAGTCAGCCTTTGAACAACTTTGCCCAGACGTACTTGTACCAAACTGGTGCTCGCCAGGGAGGTCGTCGCCATCGCGGTCCCGAGAATCACTTGCAGCGGATGGAGCAACAAGTCCAGCGAGCCGTTGAAGCGGCCAAAACCAAACCAAAGAATAAGCAGCTGGTTATTGAGGGCAGCTTAGGGAAGATTTCGTTCAGCAACGCCAAGACTCCGAAGCCCTTGCTTAATATCAAGCGCCCAGAGAATGGTGGTGATGCCAATCGTCCCGCCAGCGCCCACAAGCAGGTCCCCCAGAGTGGTGATCGAAAGAGCGAGTTGCGCTCTCTGGAGCTCATCTACACAACCTTGATGAAGATGGAGGATCACGATCGGACCATGCCTTCTCCCCCCGCCAATGAAGCGGATAGCGAGGCCATTCAGCAATTTGTCACTTGGAACAGTGAGGCTCAGATTCTCAACACCAAGTTATGGAACCTTCTCCGCGTTCATGATCACCCAGAGAATGGCGTCATTCACCCATTCATTGCTCTTCTGTCCTACAGCAAGGGCAAGAAGGCTATGCCACGCGTATTCCGTCATCTTACCCAGGAACAGCGTACGACCATCCTCACTCTCATAATTTTGAACCTGGATAATCTGGACGTTGTTCGTGGTGCTCAAGTCTCTTCTGGAAATATGCAGCTGAATGCGGCCATGCGGGAGAACGTTGAACTTTTCTCGGTAGCGGTCATGTCGACGCTCTTCAACGTTCTTAATGAACTCGATCTCGACCTTGTTGCCGGTGTGCTTGGCCTCGTTTGCACTCGAAATGTTGATGTCATTGCCAAGAGTAGAATTGGCGCGTCGATGCTGACGATGATTCTCAGCCGGGCTGAGATTATCAAGCACAGCGGTGCCGGGAGTGAGCAGGCCTGGCGTTCATGGTATGTTGAAGCTCTCCTCGTTCTGCTGGATATATGAGTAACTTAACATTCTTTCAGGGACTCGACGTACACGAAGTTTTTTGACTTGATTGAGCCATCACTCCCCTACATTTTCCCTGGCTCTGTCACTGCCAGTGACGATGTTTACGTTTGGCAGCTTCTGGCCGCCCTCGGCATTGGGGCTAGCCTTGATCAACAACAGAGGCTCGTCCTTGCTGTCAAGGACCGTGTCATGGACACAGTTGCTCTTTCCAAGACTCTCCCTCCAGACCTGGCCGCCCAGCGTCTGCAGAACGTCAACCTTTTCATGCGTTCCATTGGCTTAGATGTTGAGTTGCTCCAGTAATTGGCTTGTTGAGACATGAAGGAAAACACCGCCGAATCAGATCTTGAGACGAAGGTGGCTTCACGGAATGGATAGTGGGTAGATGCCAACGCGTTACACTAAATGGGTGGAAAGTATAAGACAAGCTTGGCAGGATGGGATGCTGATATCATTTTTTTCAGCTCACAATGGGATAACAATTTGATATTATGGGAGGCTATCAACTCCTTTTCATGCACCCCTGTGGCACAACTGACAAAGATCTTGGCGAAAGAAAAGTGATAAATAACGGGAAGAGCAACTTAAGTTGCATTCAAGTCTTGAGTTAGAAGAGCAAATGGGAAACTTTACAGCTGACCGCAAATGCTGGTCTCTACAACATTAGATGTTTGACAACTGCAGGCTCTCAGATCTTATATGTGACTGTCCCTCTGTCCGTTTTGAGTTTTTTTTTTCCAACCCGTGATGCCATCAAGGCATTGTGTGAGTTCATGTGACCTAGTAACCAGTTCCTGTCGTTTTTTTTTTTTTTTGCCATTTTCTGTCCCTTCGCTGCGCATATGTCTAGTGCCCACCAGTCCAACTACCAATTCACACCACAGCTCTTCTTTGCACCATTGTTATCTCCTGGTGCCACGCTTCTTTGGTTTTTCTCCACTCATAGCCTGCAGTAACTCCTTCTCTCCCCAATCCGTTTTCAGATGCGGCACCCTATCCACAAGATCGGCCGCACCTCCGTCGACCGTTCCAGAGCCTGCAACTTCCTTTCCCTTACCCTTAGGGTCCTTCTCCTCTCCCACAGCGCCATCCACAACCTCGTCTCCCACGACCTTCTCTCCCCCAGCAGCACTCTCAGTCGACGGCCTCAATAGCAAGCACTCATTATACGCTTCCCACGCCAACTCGGCCTCGTCATGCACCCACTCCATGCGCCTCCACGGCTCCATCTGCACCTTGCGCAACCGGTCGGCAATCGTTTCTGTTGCCACGCCGCCATCGCCGTCCATGGCTGATTTAATGGTCATGTGGATGGCGCGCGCACCGGACGCTGTGCCGGCCTTGTCGCTGCTGCTGGCACCGGCGCCCGATGCGCCGCGGCTGAGACGTTCTTGCTCTGTGAGGGCATCGATGTGGTGGGGGACGGGGCGTAAGTGGACGACGGAGGAGACGGGGGTTAGGTGGAGGTTTTCTGAGAGAGAGGAAGTTAGTAAGGTTGGCACTTGGAAGGTGTCCTTGTAAAAGGTTTGTGGGATAGGACTGTGTCTGTGTGGGCTTACTCCCTTGGAAAACGCCAACCATGTGTCTGGTGTGCTTTTCTTGCGCGCTGCGAACACCGCCGAATGTCTGGGTCCTCAGAACCTTGTCCTGGCGCACAGCCTCGGCCCATGTCAACGGTCCCTCATCGTCATTCCCTCCACGACCACGGCTGCGTCCTGCAGGATTGGACGTCGCAACGATATTGAACCCTCCTGCCAAACCCAAACTCCCGCCCTTCTTCGCCTCCATCGACTTCGCCAACGCAGTACCCCACATGATGCCCTTGTTTCGGTCGTATGCCTCGGTCGTGTCGATGGGCATGTCGACCTCATACATGCCCGTCTCGGGTTTCACGCGCAGCTCGGTAATGCGCGGCATGCGAATCTGGGATGGGTCCTGTGCAATCTTGTCGACATATTGGAGGACAACGAGGTTGCGGTTCTGAGGGAGCGGGGGCTTGATGAAGACTGAGTAGGTCGCGACTACGGGGTCGTCGTCGTACTGCGGACCGGCAGGTGCGCCCCGGGGGGCGTTGGAGGACATGGTCGGAAGAGTTGAAGGGTCTGGATGATGCAGCGATATGGCTATATTGGATAGGTTGTGCCAACGTTGTCAGCCTCAGGGAAGAGGTGTGCAGAGGTGGGCGATGGAGTCGAAAATTTCGAGATGATGGTGCAGGCGAGGTAGATGGTTGCAGTGATTGCTGGACCATTGGACGTTGCTCAAAATTGCCCCGCCATGCCAGATTTTAGCGTGGTGGGGCTCCCGCCGATAAGCTTATCCATGGCGCGCTGCGTTGGCAGGCGTAATCTCTTAGCTGGGGTCGTGTTAGCGCAGCTGTCCCCAAAGCACCGACCATCGACTCTATCAAGGCAAAAGTCAGCCAGTTGATTGCGGGGATGACAAAGGATTGATACTGTTGGTGAGCGCAGACAAACTCTGAATTTGGTCTGCCAGAAAATCTGTCATTTGATAATTGACAAGGCAACTGCAAGAGCTGTCCAGCCAACCTCCTCGTCTTACATCTTCAAAGGAACGCCAAGGGCCTATCAAGAGATAAATATACCTCTGACCAGCGCCAAGCCTCGCTAAAACGCTGAGATCGACCCGACTGTATGGCATGCATCAGACGGCCATGCTTTATTCGCTGTTGGATGATAATGCCTATTCAAGCTCGCAAGAATCCAGGAATTTTGGTGTCGCGAAAGCACACTTACTATCAGGTAAACGGCCTTGGGATTTTTTTTTTCGTCGGCAGCTGATGTGATCGAGGTTATGTATTTGGTCAGCTTCGGTCTTCACTCTTCAGACCAGCCGCTGTCTCGGGTACCACACCACGGCCAAATATCCCGCACTTGCAGCTACGTCGCATTACCGACAGAACGGCTGACTTGCTCCTGGTTGTCTGAGCCCATCAGTATAGCAACACTTACTTAACCAGTCATGTTCGGGCAAGTCTCCAAACTTTAAGACCTTCTTTGTCCACGAGGATTCGGCATGACCTTAATGGTCGTTACTGAACTAAAAACTAAACAGAAGTCTGCACAATTGCCTGGATTCTGTCATGGACAATTGGCCCTCCATTACAGCTACAATTGGCCATTGCTTAAATTATCCTTGAAACCTCAGGAACAGCTTTCTTTCAAGGAATGATGGTGTGTCTAATGATCTTAGGTCCATTAGCAATCCCGAAGTGTCAGCATCCGAGTTTTGTTCTTGATGAGACAACTGGAATGTTCCTTACTTGTATTGCACAACAAAAAGTTTTGGGATGTAGGCCGCCACTCCCATGGGTGTCCGCTGATATCATGCGTAGGTTGATGCGGCACAGCTGTTGGTGGAAGCGGCTGAGGTCAGATTTCCCGATTCCTGGGTCTAGACTGCGAGTTGAAGTTGATTGAACTTCGACAACTCTTTGTTTCGACAAAGTGTTTGGCTCCCTGATGAACGAAAATACAACGATATGCCCGGAGGTGTCTTTAGCACCGCAGGATATAAGATAGCTGCTTGATCGCTTCACCCCAAAGACTTTGTCCTATGGACTCAAAAGCCTCTTAACTGTCCATCACCATATTTTTGGCTTTCAAATAACCAAGGGCTGTCAAGTCCAAACTTGTTCTACACTAAACTGTATTTATCCTTCTGCAGAGCACTGTGTAGGATCAAGATCTCATGCCCTCAACAAGCCGGAAAATCGCAGTGATTCCTCCCAATTCGTCGTTCAGGACTCGGTACCGTGTTCGAGTCCACATATGTTTCCAGTTATGATCCCGCCAAGAACAATAGTAGTCACCGGTGAGATCAACAGCCAGTGAGCGGGGCACAGCTAAGGTGACCACCCTGCAACCACACAAGCCCCTGTCCCTCCCGCTCCCCAGCGGCCGGATGCAACCACCGCATGCAACCCCCAGACGCAGCTAGCACCAGGGACCTCTAACTTTGGGTCTGGACAGATGCTGCAGTTCGGTGGTAGGGCTTGGTGTCCCCCTTAACGCCACCAACGCGGAGATGAACTGGACATGAGGGAGCTGTTAATCTCTTGTGAACGTTCAAAGCCGTCGTCTCCCCAGATCGATTAAACGTTGTTTCTCCGTCATTCCAAGTTTATTTCACCAAATTACTTAGAGGTGTCGTCGTGTTGAATATCATCTTCTCGTCTCAAACTGACGGCCCCAAGTAATGGAGTCCAATTCGACAATCTCCCCAACAGAAGATGTGACATTTCTTCCCCCAGTTTCTCCCGATGCACCACGCGACAATGCGGGCCCAAATATCATTGGTGCTACGGTAACCACATGGACTATCGCCTGTCTCTTTGTGCTATTACGATTCTGGACTCGTGGTAGGATCGCGCGCGTCCTAGGACCCTCAGACTGGTTCATTCTTTTATCTCTTGTCAGTAAACCCGACTGAATCACTCTGTATTAGCCTAAACGTTGTGTGCTGATTGAAAATCCTATCTAGCTTGCATCAGGAGGAATGAGCATCAGTTATATAGTCCGTAAGTGACAGTCCAACTCCAGTGAGAATTGTACTGCACAGATAGAGAAGGAATGCTCACTTTGCTGATCTTGTAGAAGTTGCACATGGCACAGGGAAACATGTTCACGATGTGGACATGCTTGAGCACGGCTCCCATATTATGAAGGTAATGTAACCTCAACGTTCTGTTGATAGCTCTCTGCTGTCAAACGATGATGGCTGTGAAAAGCAAGATGCTGAATCTGTTCATAGGCATGGTGGTTTGCCCTGCTTTTCTACATCCTCACCTTGTTCCTCACTAAAGTCTCTATCTGCGTGTTGTATCTCACAATCTTTACTTTCGAGTGGATACGAAAGGCATGCTATGTGGTGCTGTTCATTGTTACGCTTTCAAGTTTCTGGGTTACCGGAGCAGCATTCACATACTGCATCCCTCTGAAAGCTACTTGGGACTACACAGTCAAGCCTTCATTCTGCCAACCTCAGAGTGTTTGGTGGGCCAACACAGGGTCAGAGCAATGTTGATTTGTTCATCATCAGTTGAACTGTACCATGCTGACAATCGTGAAACAGCCTGGTCATTGCAACTGACTTCATGATCTTCCTCCTGCCTGTCCCAGTCGTCTACCCACTAAAGCTTCCTCGTCGGCAAAAGTTCGCCTTAGTAACCATCTTTGCAATCGGTTTCTTGTAAGTACACCCACACCTGAACATTTAGTCTCCCATCATAAAAGCCTGACACTTTCCTAGCGTCTGCCTCATCTCCCTTATTCGCCTGTGGATCCTCATCAAGACCCAATCCAACCCCAATCCAGACTTCACCTACGCTGGCACCCCTCTGATCTATTGGACCGTCATCGAAGTCGACACCGCCATAGTCGTCGCCTGCGCCATGACACTGAAGCCGCTCATCACCCGCTTCTTCCCCAACCTGCTCATTCCCCGCAGCATATGGGATGCTAGCGTCCTCGAGAGCAACGGACGGCCACGGACCATCGGCTCGGCACCCTGGCGGCCTGGTGGTGGTGCTAGGGGTATTGGAGATGTTGGGATGGAAAGTATGAGGAATGGGGATAGTGTGGATTTGGGTCTTGGCGGTGGTCAGGTCTCACCAAGCGAGGGGACTGATGTCGGAAGCACGTGGGGGAGGTCAAATGGTGAGGAGCTGGGAAAGATGACTGCCAAGTCTCTTGGATAGTAAACCAAGTTGTTTGAGGTTCATTATTCTGTTCTTGATGACCCGGTTAGCATCGATAATCTGTCAGATGCTGTTCATCGGTCATAAAAACCTGGAGGAAAACATGTATGCGAGGGTCGGACACTAACATGTTTATAATAGTTCAGCATATTCCAGCTCGGAGATGATAATATACCTCAGGCTGGTAATCCAAGTTAGCTCCATTGAACACACTCTCAAACCACCAGCATTCACGAATGTTTTCACTCTTCATAACTGCATCGTATCTCGAGTTGGCAAACTTATTGTCTTCCTGCAAAACTCCAAATTTAGGCCCCCCCCCGATCATGTCCTTAATCCTGCTTTTGGTGTCAGCCACAGCATACAAATCCTAGTCCAGATCCCCAAGATCACCAAGACAAAAGGATAAACAGCCATAGGAGAGTAGTGACTGAAGTTCTGTCATCAGCTTCTGCTGCCAAACGCGATGGGAATCAGAGCCAATTTTGTGTTTTACTTCCCTCCAAGAAGTGCCCGAGTACTCTTGGAACCCGAGCCTAACATTTGCAGCAGATTACCGTTTCCCTTTTGATGTGATACTACTGCATCCACACTCGACACTTTCATGCTTCTGGCTTTTGCACTCTGATTTCCATGGCTGAAGATTATCCGTAGTCGCTGAAGATTTGGTCCCTTCCAACATCATGTCGCTATTTTGTGAAGTTTTATCTAGGGTCCCAGGCGTCGATGCTTCTATTTTTTTTCAGCGTGAATTAAGTCCAATTTTTTTCTCGCTTTGGAATTCCCAATGGTGTATGAAGTCTGGGAAAGAGATATACGATGACTGCACTCCTGAGGGAAAAAGGCTTATCAATATTTCTTACTTTTCTCGTGGTGTTAGTCCTAACGACAGCAGACCTGGGGCTAAGTAAGCAAAAACACGTCTGATTTACAACGTCCAGTCATGTGGAAAGTCTACTGTCAGCATGTGGCTTATTGTCGCACTTGTCGATATGGACCTCTTTAAGGCTTGGATCTTGGCAATGATCTGCGAATTGGATCATAAATCAGCATCAGATTGTGATATATCTTACTGAAGCGAACATTTACGATACATTGTATGACCCAGGCTCACCTTCCATGTCACATGGACACGGCAGTCCAAGGAGAAGAAATATCCTCGACAGCCAACATATAGAACACCGGTGACACAAGAGCTGAGAAAGGTATATTTGATTGGTAGAGCCCGGAAAATATGAGGGGGTGGCAAGAATGAGTTAGATAACCTTGCCACGCTGAAAAGAACCTCTGAAGATTGCAGGAGACCGCGAAGTACTCGCAAAGGCAAAGGGATTTTATAAGGGGAGCTACTTGGACATGATGAAGGAGTTCTCTTGGGCTTTCCTCTCCCCAACACAAGGACACTGAGGACTAAGAAAGATTAATACACGTAGTAATTGACTTCGCTGTGCATCCCACATCTTCAGTGGCCATCATCTAACCCATTTGACCCATTGTCGATCCCTGCCTGCACCAGACCAAGTCACTCGTTACATTCCAGTGAATGTTGAAGACGGCATTCACACCACTTTCCAGAAAACTTTGGATATACTCTCCTATTTCTGGGCCGCCGATAATATCGGTTCGACAAAAACCGGGAAGAGGGTATAGAAGGGCCCGAACGAAAAAGCAGACTGCTAACTCACAAAGAGTGCTGCGTTGTGAATGCTCCTCGGGACTAGTCATCCTAAGAGTTGACTCAAGATCGGGAACATTTGAGGGAGAGAGCAGATAAGGAACAAGCGCAGCCCCGATATATTCGTCAGAGCTTCTCGCCGGTCCTAGTGCCCAATAAAGGCTGATTTCGGCTTTTGATCACATTGAAACTCGTAATCCGGTCTAATTCCTATCCTTAGCAGCACTTCGGAAATTTCAAGCTGCTTTATGTTCAATGCTATACAGATAAGTGAAGCCATCAATTAGTGGTTTGTGGTGAAACTGGGCTCCATTTTCAGTTTTCAATCTAGATAGGAAAGCACACCAGTGGCTGCGGCTATATGCAGCCTAGAGGTTAATATTTCCAAATATGGAGCAATGAATGCACGTATTCTCGAGCGTTTTGAAAGCAAACTGTCAAACCGTCGGAAGCAATAGTAGAGGCTGTTGCTGAGACCAAAGTTTCAAACTATCAGAAGGGCCCTCGATCAAGTGTTCCTGAACATATCTTTGATTTCATGAGCATGATATTGGAGTGGAGAAACTCAAGCACAAAACGGTGAGTATAGCAGATCTCACCTGATTGGAGGACTTCAAGCAAACCTTGACATCGGGTATTCAATTTTCACTTTGCTGCTTCTCCCAGTTCAATGGCCTCGTGGTACTCTAAGCTGGCCAGACTACCCTTCTCGGCAAACTCTGGATCAGTGTTGTACTGATCGATAAAGCTGCGAGAAGGCCTAATAATGGCTGTGTTCATACCCTCATCACCGTTTGCCAAAGCCAAAATGAGTTGCATACCTGGGTCCAAAGGCTGGACCAATTGAAAGATTTCGGATCCATTGGACTTTTCTGAGGGTGGAACTGATTTCAACAAATGTGTGAAGAGGTCATCTGCTCATTGGGTAGATTCTCGATCTTACCCAGCACTTCGTAACCGTCAGATAAACGAGATCCGATGGACCGTACAGTCAAGGCAGCCCAGAAAATTCCATCAGCCTTACTACTTATCTGGTTGATGACTGTCTCCCAAGTTTTTTTTCTTTTTTGGACTGATCATTTGCAGTTTGTCCCAATGTACTGCTCGATGCCGTCTGCTGTGAGTTTCAGATGACCTTCAGATGGCCGGTAAGTTCACAAAATTCTTGTATCGAACTGAACAATCTCCTCGAGTTCATCTAACCGATCGATAAAGAGGCAGATATTGATGATTGATAGAAGACAGGGTGCGTAAAAAGGTGTGTCAGTGTGAACTTATAGTCAACTGAGATGTAATTGTTAGGTAGTCCAGAAGATTCAGTCATCCTCCAAAGATCTGGTAAGACTATTTGAATGAGATCCGGGCTTTGCTGAAGATTATGTAGCATTGTACGGAGAAGTCCAGTGAGGGAACGTTGCAGGGGGTCGCCAGACCTTCCAGAAGAAGAGGCTCCTTATTAGAATTGTTTCATTCCCTGATCAATTATTAGCAGCATATCCAAAGGTATGGCATATGTGACGGGATGATACGTATGGCAACTAACCTGCCCATTTTTGCAACTCTTCACGAACCAAAATGTGTCAATGAAGACGCTTTATCAGGGTAAGCTTTCCAGAGCCCAATTTTCTAGCGATGTGAAAGATACTTACGCCCCCGAGAGCCATTTCAAAGCACTGTCTACTGCTTCATGACTCTGTTGTCTGTATGCGACCAGACTTGGAGTTATTCATTTACTGGCCTGGGCATTCACCAAAGGTCCACTGGAATGTCTGTTCATGAGCAACCGCAACAGACTCGAACATATTTCGCGTTTCAGGAAATGCGATGAAGTCAAGAACCTCTTGCTGGACTTTTTGTTTCATAATGTCTTCCGATAGTCCCGGGATTTCCTGCAATCGGCGCTTTGTCCGCGGACTGAGACACTCCAGAGTAACCCCTCATCGAAGCTGGTCAACATGAGCTCGCAAAAAGGAAATATTACCGTTAATAACCTCCAATGTAAGCAACAGGCGATCCAGCTACTCCCTCGTTTTATTCTAGCAACACAAGTGGCGTCAGGACAGACTGGTGTACGAGATTGCACGACGAGGGCTTGTGGATATTAAGATGGAGTCACTTAGAGATCTCACAGAGTGTATGCTCCAGTTAGAGACGACATTCCTTAAGACGTTCTCGAAGCTGATGCCTTTCCTTGAATTATTTGGGGAAAGTCGATGACATCATTCTGTGAGGCCTTCACGATATTTAGAATATCACACTGGGATTGCGTTAACACAATACTCAAGCCAGTCCCAAAATTTTGTGATATTGCAGGAAACAAGAAAATCTATCCAAGAAAAGCCTTTACACTCCTCTTCAAGACGAGCTGCTTCTCTGAACATCCGCGCCCTTCAGTGTTGAGACTAAGAACACAGATCAAGATCTCCTCCAAGAAACACTTTAGACTTTTCCATGCCAGAACCCTATACATGCAAAACAAACAAGACAAATGCTCTTATTTACCAACCCCTGCCAGCCATTTTCTCCTCAGGCTTCAGTCCAGCATTGCTGATGCCCGCCATAGCTGACCCGTGCTCAATGCTAGCCTCGATAAGAGCCTGTTTATCAGTCCAGTTGGCGACAGCCTTGACAATGGCACGCGCGCGGGAAGCAGCATGCTCCCTGTCTTTAGCATCCTTGAAGATACCGCTCCCAACGAACACACCATCGCAGCCCAGCTGCATCATGAGCGCAGCATCAGCGGGGGTAGCCACACCACCGGCAGCAAAGTTGACGACGGGCAGACGCCCCAGTTCAGCAGTCTTCTTAAGCAGCGCGGCATCGCAGCCCAGCTCGCGAGCCATAGCAGCAATAGCCAGGTCGCCGCCGGAGGAAAGGGCGGCCTTAGCACGGGCAATCTCTGCGTTGACGGTACGGATGTGCCGGACAGCCTCAACGATGTCGCCAGTGCCGGCCTCACCCTTGGTCCGGATCATGGCCGCGCCCTCTTTGATGCGGCGCAACGCTTCACCGAGATTGCGGCAGCCGCAGACGAAGGGGACTTTGAACTGGTGCTTGTCGACGTGGTATTGGTCGTCGGCGGGAGTTAGGACTTCAGACTCGTCGACGTAATCGATGCCTAGCGCCTCAAGAATCTGGCACTCGACGATGTGGCCGATGCGCGCCTTTGCCATGACGGGGATAGTGACGGCTTCTTGGATCTCCTTGATCATCTTGGGATTGGACATGCGAGCGACGCCGCCGGCCTTGCGGATGTCTGCGGGAATGCGCTCGAGCGCCATGACGGCCACGGCGCCTGCTTCTTCGGCGATGCGGGCTTCTTCGACGTTTGTGACGTCCATGATGACGCCGCCCTTGAGCATCTGAGCAAGGCCTGCCTTCACGGTGAAGGCGTCGTCGCCCACGCCGTTAACGGCGCCGTTCAGGTTCGTCGCCATTGTGAAGAATCAATGGTATCAGAAGGTCGTTGAGCGCGTAAGTGATGCGTTAGAAGGCCTCCAGTGCCTAGATTCAAGTAAGTTGGCACAAGTAATTAACACAGAAAGGAAATTGGGGTTTCAAATTCGCGGATTTGAAGAAGTTTAAGCTCTTTTCATCGTGATGGTGGCGTGAGTCAGCTCTTGGAGTGGTTGACCCCGCGATGAAAACACAGTGCTGCGCACACTGTAGGTTCCAATTGGAGGGCATGGCGATGGCTCAGGGCGGGGCTCGAATTTGGGATCCTGACCCTCCGATCAGCGGAGAAAAACCACAACGGCGGCGGCCTTTGAGCAGGCTGACAAGGGCCAAGCCGCCAATGGGCCATGACTTGTGACCCACCTCGCTTAATGCCATGCCCCATTGCGCAATCACTCAACGGCGCGCCGGGTTCGCGAAGGGAGCACCAAAGAGCTTAAGCTGCCGCCAGGTCAGGTTGCCCTGAAAGTTCCGAAGCTCAGTCATCTGTCATCGTTTCAGCATGTCTCGCCGCAGAGGATGATGAAATAGAGTGGCGACGGAATGGTGACTCAAACAGATCCAAAGGCACAGTTCTGTACAACCTTGCGCCCTTTGTAATGAACGCGCAGCATCCAAAATTCCTTGGAGCGGGCCACGGCATGTGTGACATGTGGGGTTGCCTTACCCACCCTCCCACAACGCGGGGCGATCCCACACGCTATGCCAACTTTATTTCACCGCCCCCGCCCCCTACAGATCGACAACCATCTCTGACCTCTCAGACCCGGCCGTCTCGTTGCCTTTTTTGCCGGCCAGGCCGATGTCGTCGCAAAAGCCCTAAAAAACAATCTTACCGGGGCGAGGGATTTATTCAACTGATACTGTGCGGCAATGCCGCCCCTAACCGGCAAATCCCGACACTCAGCTTCTTGCTGCTGTCGTAGAGCTCTGCAAGGCCAGGGCGAATGGAATTGTGGAACTGGACCCGGTTCTCGGTCCCGGGCCAGGTTTTGTGACTCGGGCTGAAACGCTCAGAAAGGCGAGATAAGGGAAAAAAAGGTACCCTTAGCCAGAGTGTGATATAGTAGGCTCGATAACTGCGGTAGCCCCCCAAATTCTCATTGCCAGCAAAGAGAATTGAAGAGCCTAAGGGGAAGAGATCAACAAACCTAAAAAGAAACGCAAGTTTAACGTTAAGGCCAGGCGCAGTCTCGAAAGAAATGGCTAAACTCATCACTGTCGGCGTGCTCGCCTTGCAAGGGGGTGTCGTAGAGCACCTCTCACTCCTGGAAAAGGCCGCTGCTCAGATTAACTTGTCTCCTCAGCAAGGGAAGCCCCTCACCTTCAGTTTTATCGAAGTTCGTACCATCGACCAGTTGGCGAAATGTGATGCCCTCATCATTCCCGGTGGCGAGAGCACGACCATGGCTATTGTTGCGCGCCGGCTAGGACTAATGGACTCTCTGCGGGACTTTGTCAAGTATGTGGCAGCTTCACCCGATCCGTGTCGACAGCTTTTGATCTCAGAACGCTGACCTTTGTAACAGAGTCCAACATAAGCCCGTCTGGGGTACCTGCGCAGGCCTGGTCCTCCTCTCAGAACAGGCCAGTGCAACTAAGCAAGGGGGCCAAGAGCTGCTCGGCGGGTTAGACGTACGGGTTCAACGCAACCGGTACGGAACGCAAGTGCAAAGTTTTGTCGCTCCCTTAAAGCTCGACTTCTTGAGGGAAAAGAGTTCGACGGAGGACGAAGTGCCCCCGTTTAGGGGCGTGTTCATCCGTGCGCCCGCGGTTGAGGAGGTGCTTGTGAAGGAAAAGTTGGGAGCCAAGCAGCCGGTAGAGGTCTTGGGGGTTTATCGCCGGAATGATGCCGATGGACAAGGTGACATTGTTGCTGTGAAGCAGGGACACGTGTTTGGAACCAGTTTCCATCCAGAGCTAACAGATGATGCGAGGATACACGTTTGGTGGCTCAGGCAAGTTGTGGATACAGTGCGGCATGGGGACATAGTGGTTGGCAATTGAATCTAGGCTTGGGATATAGGGAAGCTAGGTCGTTTTGGTTTCGACATCTTGTATATCGGGGTTACACCGAGTAATAGTGTCTGACTTGGCATCTGGTGTCTGAGACAGGAGTTCTCACACCGATTCAGAAGCACTGCGGTCACTAGTTGGTTTGGGAGCTGTTTGTATTGCTGACCGGGGGGGGGTTCTTTTTCGTCCCCCTTCTTGCCGCGAGGAATCTATCTACGTTATAATCTACGTTGTATTCTTAGAATTTCTCCTTGTCTCTTCTACCGAAGGTCTTCAGTCTTCCGTCAGATATTTTCAGCTTTGACGACCTTTCACTACTGATACTTAAGTCCTGACGATTCTGTGTTTTTTTTATTGTTTTTTTTTAACTCTGAGAACCTTTCGTCAGAAGCCCTTGTTTCTTCTCCCGCTTGAAACACTCTATTGGTCGTGACAGTGTGAAAGATCTGATTGTTACCAAAGTATTCAATATAGCCTTAGAAGTCTTACTGGCTCAGGAGGAATATCAATCATATGATCCTGGTAGACTGGAGCGTATAGTGGCCGGTTAAATCCTGTCAGCTTATATCCCAGACACTTTACTTTTAGTTAAACAACAATTTATTGCAGGGCAATGTACTGCTAATCTGAAATTGAACAGACACTTTTTTAAAATTGAGGACAAACGAGCTGTAGAACAACCTTCCTCTCAACTACTGGACCGTACCAGCTGCTAAACTTGTGTTAGCGGTTGTGATTTCAAAGAACATAGGACCCCAGCCATTACCTTCACTTCCAGTGTTCTCTTATGCTTTATAGCATGGCTCCTCCATTCTCCTCATCATCTTCATCCTCTACTATGATCGGCCTACGGCGAGCAGACTTGAGTGATCGTCCGTTTGCGCGTATTGCGGGAGTTGTGCCTGAATTGCTCTTATCGGGAGACATCACATCATTGAGACTGATCTCAGTTAACCCAGCTGCTAATCGGCTATCAGCATCATCGACAACAATGCTGAACTCTCGCTTGAACTTTGTAAACGAGTAATGGTCATCTTCACCAACGCTAGGAATGACACTGTCGGTGTCTCGGACTGTGCTTCCCAGAGGGTTCGTGGCGGTATCGCGTGAGTCGTGCCGTCGCCGAGTGAACGAGCGCTCTTCGATAACCCGGAAAGCCTGCTGGCGTATCTTCTTGACCATACCATTAAGGATAAGATCGCGTTGCTTAATAGCCTCACGGTCATCAAGGTCATACACGTTTGGGGCACGCCAGTTATAATAAAGATTGCCATGTGTTTCGCGGCAACGAACGCCAGATGGATGGTCAGAGAACCATAAGTGACAGAGCATGCATGTTGGTTTACTCGTGCCTATATAGCGACCAAACTCTGCTTCGTTGAAAAAGCGCACCCCATCATCTTCCTCCAGGTCAGACTGAGCTTGACGACGGAGGATCTGGTCCAGAAGGTTGACCTCGGCGTGGACGATAGGGCGAAACTTTTTAGGATGGGCACGCTGGGCGATGCGCTGGTCTAGATTCTTATCCTTCTGCAAAGTCTCAGCGTGTAGCTTATAGGGTCTTGTTGCGGTCTCAGAACCCATTCGGCTGATGATTCCGTTGGCATTCCTGCGAACAACGGGAGCTGGGGCTGGTTCCGTTGAAGGCAATGATTTGACGATAAAATTAACAAACAGCTGAGGCCAGAGTTCGCGTGCATTTATCAGGACTCTCACGGCAATGAAAAGAGAGAGCAGACGACTGAGAAAATGGCGAAGCTCACTCCAGCGGCTATCACGCACATAGTTCTCCCCACGAGTTTTCTTCTTCATATAGATATCTAGACATGGGTAGTGCGCGTCGATGCAGCGTAGAAGTGACTCTGCATGCTTGGTAACTAGGAAATGAAGAGTATGTCAGGTATGTTGAAAGTATGGAAACAAAGCTCAAGATGCATGGTAAGGCGTACATTCGTGACTGTCACTACAAAGAGACCGTTGAACTGCCTCCACATGTGGCTTCAGACCCTCGAGAGCATCAGCAACGCACGCCCCTGAAGGACAAAGATGGTCAGCATATCTACAGGTTGGAATGGTATGATCTTGGTTTCCAAGGGTAATTATGACTAACCTTCAGAGGAATCTTCTCTTCGAGCGTACTTGATGCACCAAGGAAATGTCTCGCCATCTTTGCCACAGAGCTCGCTGAGATAAAGCTCGATCCGAGGCCGGTTGAAAATAAGAATTCGCTGAAGAATGTCAGAGAAAATACTGGGTGTGCTAGACTTGTTTGCAAGCTGCTCATCCGGGACACTGCCAAGCAGATTGAGGATACCTTCCACGAAGTCCTTGGCAATGTTCAACTCCTGTTGATCTCGTTGGTTGGAAGTAAACCAGTACTCAACAGTACCAGAGTCCAATATGGCAAACGCAGTGACGGTTGCCCCCAGGTCCTGCCTAGGACGATTATCACATATCTGGCTGAGTTTGTTGGCGAAGCAAAAGAAGATCTGCTGTGGTGATTTGCCAGTCGGTGCTTCCAGATCGGGCTCAGTCACCCGGTCCTCACCAAGATATATGGATTGGAGAGCGTCCAAGAGAAGAATGGGCTCATAGAAACGTTTCTCAAGAGAGCGCTTGAGTTCAGAGTTTCCACTAGCCTGCTGGGTGTTTGACATGATAAGATACACTGGAACAATTATGGCCTCAAGGAACGCAGGGTATCTTCAGCTTTTCCCGAAATTCCGGTTTTGAGAAGCTGCCTGACGGATTGAAAGCTTACAAAGCATCACGTCCACAACTGCAAAGCACCTGAGGCTTTAAAATCATAGGAATTCAAGGAGAGAAAAGAGGAGGAGGGGTTGTTGGGCACCTTAGGCACATCGAGTCACAGCCATCAACTCAGAGTTGCTTTGCAAAAAAAATATTTGAGCAGAGGAGAGTGTGCAATTGGGCGGATCAGTTTGGTTAGCCACATAAAGCTTCGTTATTGCAGCGGGCTGTCTCTTGGTTGGGCTTTTTGGAATCTCGGGCGCTGAGGGCGAAGAACGTGTCAAGCGCACAACGATCCCCAGGTGCGCTTTGGATGTGTTCAGCCAACCAATCACAATTTTGCGATCTGCCAAGGGGCCCACATATCGTGGGCCGCAGTGCAGGGCCGCGGCTCACCGTGCATCCAGAGAAATGGCAGGCCTCACGAGGAACCCCGCACACATCAACGACCTGTATGACTCCGAAAGTTTGACATCAACGAAGTGTTCAAACCCGGTAAACGAAGCTCAAATGAGAATAGGAGGGTTCAGTATTTCAGAGATATCTGGGCCACAAACGGTCTGATTCCACTTGTTTGTGCGCCAGTGTCCACCCTTCCACAGGGCTGGCATGACAAGAATTGATAACACATCCAATCCATCGTCGCTCCATATTCCCCTCCTTCTCGTCAGTCTCACCCTTTACACAACCCGCCCCTCGGCATCACTACCTTGGGGCCGAACGTTTGACATGACCAGCGAACCAGGGTGATGATCACCAACCACCGGCTTTGACCGAGAATTGATCTCTCCTAGACCCAAATTGCTACGACGTGGTGGGCCGAGACTTTACCGTCCTGGTCCATTTTGTGCGATGAACTTGGGAGAGCACATTCATACCCTTGTGAGTTGAGCCACCCCGTATGCAGGATGGAGTGTGTACTGCGGATACACCTTCCGATGGCACTTGTGACCGAATAGGAAGATCACGCGGTTACCAGAGTGGAAAGACGGCTTTGGTTAACGAGTACATCGCCCCGGCTGTAGGATGAGGGCGTTTCTTCAGGCCCTAATTTAGGGGAAGTTAGTACGACCACGTCGTCAATGATGAGGCATCGTGATGCTGAGATCCCAGTCGATTGGCGGCTCCTCAGTGACTCTAGAACTGAGTTTTTGGACGGAGCGCTGGAAATGGTACCGTCCGTCACGTTAGGCTTGACGGCACCATCCACATCCATTCTATTTAACCCAGAATCGCTGGGCTATTCTTGGAATTCTCCAGATGCTCAGTGTACTTCACTCCCCGAGCTCGAGGGGTTTCAAGCTCCCGAGCCAATGATTTCCCCTTCGAGTCCATCTACCCCGACTCGACAACTTAGGGAGATTTTGGCTTTCAGTCCCAGTTGCTCGCCACCTGTGTTCCCAGCAGCTTGCCCTATGGCTAGTTGCGTCAGCGACGAGTAGTTTGTCGCACTCATAGGGAGCGATACAGCTGGGGCCAGTTTGAGCCCATCTTTCCCTCTACCAGATCTTGGCGAATTTTCTATCGGTTCTTCCGAACCCGTCCCTGGCTTGACAACTGAACAAGTCGTTGAGCCTTATATTCGGACTTTTTCTGGAGACAGCTCTTCTGAATCAATGTCGGCTGCTACCTTCGTTTCGAATCCTCCCCATCATTCGACACAGCACCCACCCTCATCACCTTTGATTTCCGAGACTGCTGTTACGTCACCAGCACCGCCCGTAAGTCCACAGACGGAAAAGAGCCTTGTCACGAATAGAACAGAAAAATCTGCAAAGGCCCCTCATGGCCAGTATCGTTGTGACGTTCCTGGATGCAAAAGCAGACTCTCATGGAGGAGAAAATGTGAGCTGAAGTAAGCTGTCCTGGAAAGCCTTGTTATTGCTTGCTATTTGTTCATATTGTGGTCTAACACAGTTTCCCTTGAACCTCCAGGAAGCATCAAAAGTCACATGAACGCCCGAACATATGCGAGTATTGCCCGGAAAAGCGTGGATTTGCAGAGAAGAAAGACCTCAGCCGTCATCTGCGCCTGCACCACCCCGACCAGGTCAGAGACCAACCTCATGTCTGGAAGGAGATTGCCTCTTGCCCCGTGTGTGACTATAAGGGTAGGAGAGATAACCTGACGCGACATCAACGGAAAAAGAACCATTACTGAACATACTGGGCTGTGGTTTGTCTATCTTACACTTACCATATCAAGACTATGATTCCGACGTGCAAGTCGATCGTCAGAGAAGGGTCATTTACGGCCGGTTGTTGTTCATGGCATCATGGGGACTTTCTGTATCTGTTGTATTCTCTCCAGGGCCATGGGTATCCAGCAAGCCTTGATGTCTCCACTCGAGAATCTGCATTGCGCCCCCAGTTGTCATTTCACCATTGTCTTATTTCTGTAACCCTTTCGAATACCCTATCCTGTCACATCACCTTTTGCATGATTTGAAAGTTTGTTTCTAGAGACCTTTTTTGGATCTTATCACTTGCCCAGTTTACCCACAACCTTGAAAATGCCTTAACATCATTCACCAAAACTATAGGATCCTTGATATCCACTTTCAGGTTTTGTTCCCCTTGACATGGTTGAGTTTCCAGCCTTCCACTTCTTCCATAATAAGCCAACATAGTGAACCACTTGGAGAAAGGTTTGATCAGCATTCAATGTTAGTCCTATTGTAATTCTCCCAATATATATTAATCAGATGCCCTCTCGGCATCGAAACTCTATGATTACTACTAACTCGTTGACGGGTGAGCTGGGTATTACATATTTGCTTGACAAACCCAAGCTCCTACTTCCCATTACTCTTTTTCTAGCTTTGGAGGAGCACTGAACAGTTTCCATGCCCAGCTTAAGGCAAGTCCAGACCAAATCACACTTCCCTGACCGATCAAAGCAATACCGGGCCTAACACGTACCAGAAAACCATGTCTCAACGTCCGGCGGTGCCCTGCTTACGGACAAATCTCATCACCATCATCATCCGATTCCAGATCCGGATCCGGCACTTGCATCTCAGGTGGCAACTGAGGCATCCGTTCGACATGCTGCGGTGGGGGAGGAGGCGGGAGATGTGACTGAGGAATAAGCGTGTAAGGGGCATTTGCCGGTAGACCAGCAGCAGCAGCGGCAGCAGCAGCCTTACGTTCCTCCTCCCGCTTGATCTTGGCCAGCATGTTCCGGACGTCGCTTTTCTTCACATACTGGTACTTGTCACCAAAGGAGATGCGGATGCCGATCGTCAGCTGGCGCAGGTTGCACTGGGCCTCGCGATGCATTATCATCAGCCAGCGCATGCCGTCCGCCTCAATCTTACGGAATTGGGCTGGCGCGTCGGCACCTGGGCCGCCCTGGAAAGGCTCATGGTTGTGCTCTGCACATTGCACCACCACGTGCCACTTGTCGTTGTACGGCCAGGCCTTTTCCTGCACTGCTTTCATGCGCATCGGGCAGCCGGTCTTGGATGACCGGGTGTTGCGGATACCCTTGCTGTGGGAGGTATAGCTCTTGCCTCCCTTTGCACAGGCGAGGTTATAGCGCCGGTACTGGCCCTCACTGTCCCGGTTTAAAGATGAGACAATCACCACGGCATAGCCTTGGGACTTGGCAAATGCCTTAACATCGGCCAGCAAGGTCTCGAAGGTGGGGTATAGCCGATCCTGAGGAGGAGGCTGAAGAGCCATTTGGAAGTTTGGTCTCTGTTGCCCCTGCTGTGCCTGCTGTCCCTGTTGTTGCTGTTGTGGTGTTTGTTGGGGAGGGGGTTGTAACTGTGGTTGGGCCTGAGGCTGGGGCTGGGATTGCTGCACTTGCTGGACCTGATGAGGTTGTGGCTGGTGTTGAGGCTGCACTGACTGCTGTTGCTGTGGTTGCGGTGTGGGTTGTTGATGAAACTGCTGTTGTTGTGCTTGGGGTTGTTGAGGAATTGGCTCAAACTGTTGAACCTGTTGTAACGCAGGCTGAGTCTGTGGTTGAACTGGTTGAGGTGGTGGGAGCATTGGATGCATTTGTTGCATTTGCTGCATCTGATGCTGCATTTGCACGCTTTGGCGGCTTGGATGCGCCATTTTATTTCCCCCTTTTCCAGGCTTCGATGTGCGTTCTCTGAACGCTGTCGGGGTTGGTGATAACTTCAGTCTGTTGATGTGAGTTTGTACAGGCAGTGTAGTTGGATATTTGGCGCAGTAAAGTGTGTGGCTCGTACGTAGAATTTTGGCTAATGGGACTTTGTTGATTTCATAATCGCCTCACAACATCCACTGCCGCCAGCTGTTAGCAGTTGTCGATCGCTCGTCCAACCCAAGCGGGATATTAGTTGTCTGTCACGTGCCACAGGACCTTTCGCGAGCAGCGTCGCGACGCGTGTTTTGAGCATTTGACCTAGTGTCAGCGGTTAACAATCTTTTGCTTGGTCATGATCCACAAACCTCCACCCACTGGATGTCTGGACATTTTTTTATTGATTACAGTTTATTTCGGACTCTATAACCTTGAACTACTCAAGTACATTCTTAAAATTACTGCTCTCTATATTCCCCAACCCGGTTTTGTCAAAGTCGGCTGCTCTTCCAGCTTTCCAATGTTTGTGGATACTATTCTTGTACCTCCCTTCCTGTATTTAGCCCGTTCAACCTACCAGCATCAAAATCTTCATCGGGGTTGACCACCAGCTGCAAACCTCAGTCTCAATCTCGACATAAAGGCGGGGCCACTGGAGTTCCGTCAAGCTCCACTGGGGCTTGCTCTGGCAGCCCCTGCTGCTGCGACGTACTGACAACAACCCCAATCCCATCTTTATTGTCACCATTCGGAACTGCTCCCACGTCTCCATTCCAGTCGCGCCTCAGGAACTTGGCAAAATCAAACTCAACGTCATGGTTGCTCTCCCAGTCCATCTTTTGTTTCTCCTCTGGAGTAATACGTCCACCATTTTTCTCGACGTCATTCTTGCTAGCCTGCTCACGATGTTCAGCTCCTCGACCCATCCTCCTCCGCCATAGCACCAACACTGCCGTTGCTAGGAGGACAACCGCTCCGCCAGCTACTCCGATCGCAATACCGATTTTTGTTGACATAGGAAGCCGGGTTTCCTCCGAGCTTGGTGGGAGTTTGGGTTGCGTATCCGTGAAATCAATGTCTTCGGAGAAGTTATCATTTGAGCTTCCGGGAAGAGTGCTAGGCCGAGGCTGTGTGATCGTGCTGACAATGGTGCTGGCGGTAGCAGAAATGCCAAGTATGCTGCTGAGGATGGGCAAGTCTTGCGTACCAACACCATCAACAGCCGCAACAGGTCCCGTCGGCACTGGAGGAATGGACACAAATACCGGGCCAGAAGTGCTGGCAACAATGCCTTTCGTCGTTGGGACTGGTCCCCCTTCCGAAGTCCTAAGTCTCTCAGGTTGGGCAGGTGCATTTGGCTGTTGAACAATAGTCGGAGCGGTAGTGGACTCTAGTGCTGCTGGGATTTTTGGTAGTTCCGCAAACGGTTCATTAGCGCTCGCTGTCCTGGAAGAAGACGTAATAGGAGCGAGAGTTGAGTCAATGCCAGGACTTGCCGCAGGTGAAGTGGCAGGATCAAGGTTGGCAGGGACAGAAATGGGCAACGGTAGCACTGTAGGCTCCGGAGTTGGCTGCTCTTGCTGCTGCTGTTCCGACCTCGTTTGAATGGGCAGTTCTAGCTCCTGTGTTTGCACCGCATGAGAGCCCTCTTGAGTAGGGGCCGGCTCTGGGATTGGCACTGCCGTTGAGCTCTCTTCCACGGTAACCTCTTGAGTAGACCCGGGATCCACGGCCGGTTCGCCCGGCTCTGGGGGAGTAGTTGCAAGTGGATCCTGCTTCTCCGTCGACGTCGTTGGCTCTTCGGGGTTTCCCACAACCTCCGGCACAACTGTCGGCTCAACAACGGCATCGAGTGTTCCACTCAATCCCCTATCCGTCGAGAGCTCGCTGCCCACTAGTTTATTCAAATCTGTTTTCGGAAGGAATATCGCCGACTCCTCAGGTACGTCCGCTGCGGAAGTATTCGCAGCTGCTCCCTCCCTTGGCACTGCTGCCACATTGGCCAGCTGTGCCACGACCAGCGTGGCTTGGAACCATAAAAGACAAATGACCAGCATTCTTTTGACAAAAGGCTAGTGAACGAAAAAAAAAAAGCGAAGGCCTTAGCCAAAGTGCAGCAGCTCCTAGGTGGCAGCCATCATGGCTTGCAAGTTGGAAGGGGAAAGAGAGATGGAGGGAAAGAGGGAAACTTCCTGACAAGTAAGCAAGCATGTAGTTCAAAGGTAAAACAGCTTTGCATGAACGATCGACAATGCAGAGCTAACTCACGGGGGTTGAGGATATCCGGAACAACAATGGTTTCATGTTGTGTCTTTTAGATAGTCAGGGGTGTCAAGCTTGGCAGCACTCAATCAATTCACAAAAACTCCACTTCACACCAATCATCTATATGGTGGCCGAGAGAGGTCGTCGTTTCAAATGTCACAAACTATTAAATCTCCAAACCGAGTTAGTAGACATACCCCGGGGTTAAGCTCAGCCTACACACAAAATGACCAAATGATAAATCGTCCCTATACAACTTGATCAAAACAGCAGGAGCTGCTTTTACATATAATAAAAAGATATTATAAGGTAAGTTTGGTGTAGATTTGAATGATTTCAGATATTTTATGGTTAATACTTGGTAGATATGTTCAAACGAAGTCCTGATCATATCCTCATGTGGCTCGTAAACTGGACTAGCTATGGCCCACTGAAGTTTGGATTATCTTCTACCCTAACCCTAATTCCAAGACCTAAGAAAGGTAGTGCAGTGATTAAACGACCATAACTGCAAAGCAAAAAAGATGGAATTGAAGTGGATAAAGCGTAATTCTAAGGTTAGCAGGCCCATGTAAGAACTTAGACCAAGTATTCTTATATATCTAAAGCATAGAACGCTCAATTTTACAGTCGGATAGTGCTAGGCGTGTGCCTACAAGCGCTATGATTGTAGTTTCCACAGTTTTGACATTCCGGACGGTAACCTCTTGGCCACCATACATATACCTATCAGCGAGGACGGAGCTGGTGCAATGGGCCCAAACTAACCCATACATGGTTGGTAAGATTACAAAGTCTTGATCTACATCATTACCCCTTCACGTATGACATGGAACTGAGAGGACAACAGCAAACCATGACAGCCTTATAGAAGTTGCACTATGAAAAAGCTTTATCACCTGGTCAACTCACTAGATTGCAGGTAAACAAAAATCAGACACCAGACCCCGCCACAACTTGTCTTTGAACTTGACACTGACCTATGAAGTGACACATAGCTCATCCTAACCTCATCGTTCGTGTGTTCAAATACCGTCACTATTTCCCATCAAAAATTCACGAACTAGCTGTAGGACTATATTAAACTAGTGAGCACTTGGCTATTATTAAAATGTTTCCTGGAGTCGCAAAATTAACATTTGGCAGCTTTCTTTTCATACCGGCGCTCGAAATCCTCTTGAGAAAGTTGAGATGGAACTGCGCACAAGTTCACCTCCCGGAGCTGATGCTCCATTATGCGCCAAGACATTCCAAGGCGGGCCGAACGGTGTTCAGCAGCCAGAAGGGATTGCATGAAGACAGGGAGATTCCTAAACTTCGGCATGCTTCTGTGTGTAGTTGTCAGAAGTATCTTGACAATAGGGACCAAGGTTTGGTCCTCAATAATTGCTACAAAACAGCTCATCAGGAAAGACAGTCTGCGAACAATGCCTCAACATTGAAATGGGAGATCGAATCGATCGCAGTTCATATCGTCTTTTTGTCTTTGAATTGACGAAGTCCTCAATGCATCGCAGAACAGAGGCTTAGCAACTTGTTACTCCCCAGCTTAGAAAGGCAGGCATGGTTACCGATGAAACTGAGATTCCAACTTGTCATTTCTGGATTGGCATCGACTAGCCCCATCCACAACTACATGATAAGCGAGTGAATCAGGCCCACAGGGCCGTACCATGGGTTGGCAGGTAGAGCATGCAAACCACAGAAATGCACCGCAACATCCTGTGAGTGCACTCCTGTCCTGGAAGCAAAATAGCACAGAAAGCTGACACAACTGACAGAGTTTCTCGAGCTGCTCCTGGTATATTGGCGTCAACGTGGATGAGATCTGAATGAGTATTTCCCAACCAGTCGTTGAATTGTTGATACCCAAGAAGCACTTGAACCTTCCGCTGAAGGACAGAAGGGGAGCCATATTGTAATGCCAATGCTTTCTGAAGGTCCTCATTTGTATGACCCGAGGGTTATGAAATACTCACCTAAGCTTATCATAGCTTTGGGAACATGGACATGATTCCCTTCCGCGCTAAATGTTTCGTATGGATCTTCGTTATCACCCAACAACGGAAATTCTATAACACAAGGTCAGCAAAGCAATTAACAATATCTTTCTTCATTCGATCAAGATCATTTTCTCACCATTCACTTCAGTTACTCTGTTTAGTTTGGTCTCCTCCTGTTTTTCATCCCTGGTACATTGTACAGCTTCTCCAAAGGCAGCTCGGGACTCATTCAGGGACTCCAAGATTTCATTGATACCGCAAAATTTCATCGCAGGTTTTTTGCGTTTGATTTTGGATGAATGTCGGTTCTTTGTTATCGGTGTTAGAATCAGTTTTTTGTCAGTGCCAACATGAGTGAATTAGCAAATCATTGCTTATAACCTGATCTCTGTTCCCAGGCTGACAGCACTATCATATCAAAACACTCGATTACTATCTTCAGGGGTTGGTCTGACATGATCGTACGTAGGGCTCTTCTCGAATGGTGTCTAGCGGGGATTGCTCCTTTTAGTGCTTCCCTTGGCTGTTCGAACTCATGGAAGATTATCTCCCTTTTCTCATTGGAAATTTCTGCCAACTTGAGTAAAGGAGGTGAACAAGCCAAAGAGAACCCCAAACACTGCACTTTTGCTCTGGATCGAACACAAATCGATAAGGTTACATAAGTAATGGATGAGTTCGAAAGTGTTTCTTCCGCATAGTTGATTTAACCGACAGAGATATGGCCGCGGCTCAGTTCTTGCGTGACGATTCTTATGGCCATGAGGAATATGTCGAGGGTGAAAATGCTTATGTCAGCCCTCCCCAACAACCACACGGTCAAAGCACGTCAAACACCTTCACCCCTCCTGATTTTCATAATCGCATAGCTTCTCGCCAGAAAACTCTAGTCTGTCAAGTTTTTCAACAATGAGGAGGGTCAAATTGCTCAGAATCAGTACTTAGATCGGGATCAGGTTGGGACTGTTCCCCTCGCACAGCTATGCCAAACCAGCCGCCTTACAGCGGTATGTATCGCTCGTCCGCAGCTGCACCACCTCCACTACGAGATCATATTCCCATTCCCGCAGCACCTGGGACGCCAAGAGGAGTCCAAGCCAGTCCTGCCCATCCCGCTATGCGCGGAGAGTCATGGTGCCGCAATTATCACAAAACTGGCCTGCAAAATCTCCTAGCGGAGCCGGCGGGACCGGGAGTGATGCAGATCGAACAACGTCATCTTCCACTCGGTGGAATGAGAACGACGCTGGAGAGTACTAGTTCATTCAGATGGAAGTTAAACTTTCAATTATGACAAAGGAGGGCTAGGTCGAGAGGCGTACGGGCATGAAGTCGGTGACCTCGATGGAAAGGTATGAGCTAAGATGGATGGGGCGAAAGCCAATGGTCCGGAGACATGAAATGGCACAGAACCAGTATCCGTCAGGGGGAGGTGGTGAAAGGTATGTTGTGATCCAGAAATGAAGGGTATAATTCGAAGACCATCGAGGGATCATGGCTATCAGTGCGTTTTGCTATTTCTACTTTAACTGTTTTCATCTTTTCCTTTTGAATTTGTTGGATCTCTGTTGCTTCCTTACATTATATTGTTCTGCCATTTCGCATCTGGGCAAAACTGCCCCTTGTTTTGTTGCGAGTTCAGATCACTGTTGAAATTATTGGGAACGGACTATGTCACATGGACACGGCAGTCCAAGGAAAGGGATGTCCCCGACTGCCAACACAAGGGACACCAGAGACAGGATGATTGTGAGCGGCACAAATACGTGGTTGATCCCGGAAGATGTCTAGAGCTGGATGACCGAAGAGAATGAGCCATATGGCCGAGGCATGATGAGGATTCTATATAGGAAGCTGTCCGGTCATGATAGACTTCCCTTGGTTCCTCCTCTCCCTGACACAAGGACACTGAGGACCAAGAAAGATTATTACACGTAGTAATTGACTTCGCTGTGCACCCCACATCGCCAGTAGCCATCTTACCCATTTGACCTATTGTCAATCCCTGCCTGCACCAGACCAAGTCACCCGTTACAGACCACACAGGATCGACTCAATCGTGAATGCTCTCACTCGGCTCTATATCAGTTAAGATTTATGCAACTCTCTAATTTACCATGCTTATTTTGTCCCTGCCAACTTTATTCATGTTCCGGTCTCCTCCTCTTTGTGTCCGCGCCCAAATAGTCGATGGGGTTCCGACACAGCGGGCACGTGTTGCGGCCGCTATTCTGGAACCATTTATATAGACACACACGATGGAAGTAGTGGCTGCACGTGCCGCACTTCTTGTCTGGCAATGTCTTGTCCTGAGCAATGATTGAATAGCATATCGCGCACTCTTCCTGACCCTTCAAAGCGAGGGAGATGTTGCGCCTGAAGGCCATCAAACCATCAACCAAGCTGCAGTTCTGTAAAGAGAAAAGACAAATCAGTGGTCTGAGCCTAGAAATATATTAAGTCACGATCCCAAATCACTTACCCCAAACATGATGACGGCCTTGATGCCCTTAAGCCAAGCCTGCCACTTGTCATCCCTGACGGCCACCCGCTTAACACTCAAGACCTCGACAGGATCAAGAGGGTATGACTTGGGCACCTGCAAGAGGATAGTGGCCGCATCATCGTCAACAGGATACCCGGCAGTTATCTCTCTCATGGTTTTGTTGACCTTGACCACGAGTTCTTGTGTGTCTGGATCTCCTCCTTCTTGCTTTGACGCCCATTCCACAACCTCATCGAGGGCATCCGAAATGATGAGCGGTGAGAAAAATTTCTCCATCCATGACTGAACCGTGTTCTTAGTTTGCTTATATGGGCAGTCGAAATACCACATCTTAAACAAACCAGGGATGTATTTAAGCACAAGGTAGAACAGGTGGATGAGAAGCCAGTTCATGTCCCTCTCAGCTGGCTCGGAGTCGGCGAGATCAATGCTGTAGGAACGGATGTGCTCTGCCGTGAAGCCTTCTTTGTCGAGGTCAAGAGCACAGGCGAGGGCATGGCCAAGAACGTCAACAAGAAAATTGAGGAGAGGATCGAGGTACTTGTCCTTGCGGAGATTTTCCGTGTAATCGCTGCGAACTCTGAAGGAAGCCTTGCTGTAGGCATCAAAAACGAGATGCCAAGCCAACAGATAGGAGCGGATAGGCGCGGGAAACTGTGCAAGGTCCTCGTCGGAGTACTCATCGGGATTTGGGGCATTGAGGAGCAGAGAGAGTAATTCGTCAGGGAGTTGTGCAGCTGCCAGAGTAAGTCATCTGTGTACTACTGGTTTTGGATAACGTATACGTACCTTTTTTGTCCAGAATAACAGCCAGATTGATGTCCTCTTGCACAGCAGGCAAGGCACGATGGAGCAAGCCAAAAGCGGCCTTTTGTATCTCTTTCGACTCGGAAGAAACCGATTCGTAAAGGCCGCTGAGGTCTGTAAGGTGTGTATGTGGTATTTTGCTTACCGCTCTTGAGAGCAAAGCATCGACCAATTCGCCAGGAAGACTAGATGGCGCTTCCCGCGGAAGGGTAAGAAGAGAAATTAGCCCTGCAGACTCGTCCTTTGCATGGCTCTCCAGAGCTTCCTGAAGGTCATCGTTGGGGTCTTCGGTGCCATGAAATGCCTGCATAAGCTTAAGAGAGGAATGAATGTAAGGCAAGCGCTCTTCTGGTTGAGCTTCCTTGGCGTGCTCCCATAACCAAAAGCAGTATTCGATCGCCTGCTCCCAAAACGGGCCGTACGTATCTTTGCAGCCTGGAAGAAACCGGGCGATCGCTTTGCAAATCTCGGCAGCCAGCTGGTGACCAATCTCCTCGGGACTCTCTGCCCACCGCATCATTTGCTGAAGAGCGAGAACCTGCTTGCGTGTCTCGACGGGGACCTGGCCTGCCTCATACACGGACATGGTGAGATTCAGCAAAACGAGGGATGGAAGAGTTTGTGGCTGTGCTGCAGAGCACCCTGGGATTTCGCTGATCAAGCGGGTACACAGAGTCAAAACAACTTTGGAAGACTCAAGCGCACCACCGAAACCGGAAAGGAAGGCAGAGGCAGCCAGAGTAGTGTCCGGAGCCAGCCTCATAACCCCAAGCCGGGTGATCCACTCTTCAAGCCTGGTTGGTGGCCCATGTGCTTTAACCAAGGCTTGGAACAGCGAGCTTAGAGCTTTGGCAGTGTAGAACGCTCCAGGACCCGATCCCTGAGTCTCTCGAATCATGAAGCCTGTCAGGCGCTCGAGTAGAGAGTCACCGGACATGTCCAAATCTCTCCAGCTCTCAGCAGCTGCAACAATGGCCTCGACGGCCGCAGAGCTCAAATCAAGGAAGTCTTGCATATCGACCAGGGCTTCTGGAGAATTATTCCACAAGCCTTCAGGCTCACCGACTGCTAGTTGATCACCGGCCAGAGATGCAGTGACGAGGAGCAGATATACAAGTTCGAGCTGAAACTCTGGCGGTAGTGAAGCTAGCTGAACTCCAGAAGTGAGGAGCTTTGCTGTGAACAACGCCATCCTGGCCGTGACGGTGCGACCGGCACTGTCTCGAGTAAGTGCTTGGTTTGCTGAGCCGGCGCCGCCTTGGGCTAGGAAGTAGGCACCGCTCATGCTGCTGGTCAATGATAACGACGGATTTGGAGGGCGCGAGAAGAAGCGTGACAGCTCCGTCATCCATTCCGTTGAGCTAGGGAAGACATCTTCCACTGACAAAGATTCAGATTGAAGAGAGGAAAGAGCTTGTTGGACCAAAGTGTCGATGCTAAGAAAGGATTAGCAGACGAGAAGCGGCCTAAATCAAGGAAGGGACTACATACGCAAGGGAGTCAGGTCCAGCCTGACTCAATTGACCTTCAAGAACACGAATGAGCGGGTTCTGTTTTGGAACATGTTTGTCCAAAAGCTTTCGCAAAGCGGCTGCCTTTTCCGACAGCAACGAGTCTGAGAGTTCCGTCATAGCCAGAAGATGGGTGACTAGGCGAACATGTAGATCGTGGTTGGCAGGGATAAGCTCAGGTTTCTTCTGGATAAGCTTCTCCAGGGCTGGAAGGGCTGACTGCCATATTTCAGGGCTTTTCAGAGCCTCAGTGATTGCCAGTGAGACCGAATCCAGTGATTCAGGTGTTAAGGAATCGTATGTCAAGCTTGCCTCACAAAGTTCCGTCAAACTGGCAGACGACCCTTGGCTCAGGTATCCTTTCCAGCTTGAGATGAGAAACTTCTGGAGTGAGGAAGACTTGTGAGAAAATGCCGAGGTTGATGGTATCGCCAGAAGAACTTTCACAGCGGAACTAGCTGAGGTTTGATCAGGAACGTGAACTGCCTCCTCAACAAGAACCGTCCAAGTTTCTTCGAAGCGGGAAAGGTCGCTGCTGAAGAGGGTCTGAAGGTCTGCAACAAGATAAGGAAGTGATGGGGATGCAGCGATCAGTTGATACAGTTCTGGCTGCTCTGACGGGAAAAGAGAAGACGAAAAGTCGTTTTTGGTCAGAACTTGAGGGATATGCCTGACTGCGGACTGTATAATGGCGGCAGCTCCGAAGGGCTTGAAATTTCTTCTTTGGAGCAAGTCCAAGGCACCATGCAGAATATCCAGTGATGACTGTATCACCAAGTTCTGCAACGACCCACAGGCTGTACATTCTTGAGACAATATACAGCTAGCCAACGTAAACCACCGTTCACCTTCTGATGCGATCGATTGTTGAGACTTTTGGTATCCCTCGGAGACTTCTGGTAAGGAGTTGGACAATCGGGACAAGAATGAGGTCACCAATTTGTTCCACTCAACCGAGACAGCTTTTGTTGTGTCTGCATCAGGATGATTTGCAAGAGCAATCCATGCTGCCACAAGAAAATCTGGGTGTTGTGGTGACGGTAATGATGATTCGGGACTTGGGTGAAGGTATTGGTGTGTGAGGTTGGAGAGGTTACCGTCGATGAAGTCACTGGTTACAGAGATATGATTGATGAAAGTCTCAAACACCAGAGCGTAAGATCGGAACGCTTGATATCGACTTGGCCGAGTCTCGAGTCTGTCAGCGATTCCTTTACGCATAGATGCAAGGAAGGCTGACACTGCCTCAACGCTGGGTGACTTGTCCGGAAGCACAAGGAGCAGTTCATCTAAAGACTTCCAAAATTCCTCAACCCCTCCTTGTGAGCCCTGTGAGACGAACTGGTGTAGGCGATGGAATGGATGTTTTTGTGTGCCCCAAACTTGCGGGAAATGCTTCGTTAATGAAGCAAGAACTTTGAGCAGGTCACTCGAGGAACCGACCTGACTGTTTCGGAGACCATCTGCAATAAGTGATTGCCCAATCTGCTGTAGTCGTGGCTTAACAAGCTCAGGCTTTGTAGAAAGAATAATGTGTAAAAATTGGTAAAACGCCCTGCGCACAAATGCATCTTCTGTTTTGGACATAGTCCACAAGGCATCCACCTCCAAATAGCGAGCCAAACCGTCCTCAAGGGCTGCAAGATCCCCTTTTCTGATGAGGTTCAGGACGAGTGAAAGACTCGCACCAACGACTCGGTAATACTTCGCATCGGCATCTTGTTTTGTTGTTGATCGTTCGTCGCTTAGTGTATCAGGTGTTTCTTTGATCGCTTCGATAGCAAACTCTAGGGCGCGAAATTGGACTGCCTTCCAGAATGCCTCTTCTTTCTCCTTAGTTTGCAAGAATGCGGCAAGCGCGTCGCTGGCAGCCCGTGCTACCCGTTTGTCGCGATCAAATGTGCCGGCAAGCCACGGCCCAACGAACTCAGGAAGCTTTTTCGCGAGGCGTTTTTTCGCAAAATTGAGTATATTAAAGAGTAATTGGTGGGCCAGCTCACGAACACGGGGTGAGTCGTCAATGGAGAGTCTTGGGTAGAGCTCAACCTATCAAAACGATGTCAGTCCCAGAGCCAACGCGGAGGACGAAAATGATTTCAACGGACATAAGCTTGTATTATTGAGTCTTGCAGCCCCTGAGTATTGGAAGGCTGGTCTTTTACATACGCCAGGACATCTTGGAGTGCCTTTTCTTTGGTGGTGCTCGCTTTCTTCAGCAAGTTCTTGAAAGGCACTACCACTTCATGTGGGATGCTTGAAAAGTCAGGGGGAGGGGTAAGATATGAAAGCGTCGTTGTCGAGGTTGTGAAGCTCCCAAAGCCTCCTTTTGAGGCTTTTGAGCTGTTTGGAAGCATGGGACTTGGGGTGTTGGTTCCTGCTTTAGGGTTGTGGCGTCTAAAAGCCGATGACATCCAAAGGCATGTCAGCAAGCCGCAAGAAACTGGGGGAAGAAAATATACAAGCAAGCTTCTCGGCTAACCTCAAATGTTGGCTTTGCAGTGAGACTTTACTTTTTTATGCCGCAGAGACCAATATATCGTCGTTGCCGCCTTCGGACAGATACCCTCGCTCATGTCTCGGTGTGACTGGTACGGCGTAGGTCAGTGGTGGGGCAGTTTCTTCAGGGACAGAGTACAGGTGGGGTAAGCAGTACCCCCCAAGTGCATAATTGGCAATGGGTACCATTCAGCGCAAGCTTATGCTTGTACAGGACTTTATGTGCTTACTAGTTTTTTTGCTTAAATGCATAATATAGCACGGTTCCCAAATGACGTCAGAGTGGAGTTTCTGATCTGCTGTTGACAGGTCGGTGGAAGCGGTTGAGGGTCGTAAAGGCATTCGGCTCTTGAACTGAACACCAGAATTTATTTCAGCTACAAACGTAGTAACTACACAAGCCAGGTTATCTAATTATTGTTCCGTCGTTAAAACTTGCACCGTCCTCCAAACTCTTCTGCATAGACAGCTCGCTGCTGATAACATACTGTAGGTTCCTACAGTTTTACATGGAGCGCGCCTTCCTGTGATGGATTGTGATGCAGCTCAGTAGCCGGCCGACTTCATACTGTATCCATGGCCAATGTGTCCCAGCCTTACGCGAGCAAAACAAGTATGAACTCTTAGAGGCCGTGATTAAAATAGTTGAATAGTGGTTGTTGGTTTGCATTTTGATCAGAAGGTTCCTGCATTTTTTCATTGAGGGCCGTATCTTGGGATCATACGCGGGCACAAGTTGGCACAATACCGTCCCAAGTGCACGGAGGCCCCACCTCCCCGCAGACTCCGAGACGTACGCAGCTGTTAGCTCATCATGCTGCTTCCCGTTGGCCTGGAAGTCCATGGACAACCACCTGTCATCCATCTTTTTCTCCAAGCTCGATCAGTCCGTTGGAGCCCGATTCCATCCAAGCTTTTCTATATGCTTCACATGTTAGATCTGCATCACAAGCCTGAATTCCAGCGTCATATATAAAGTTTTCTCCTGCTGCCCTAAGCATGACGACATCCTTCCTTCGCCGTTGAGTACCGATCCTGTAAGTAAGGCATTGTTTGTCTCCCCACCGAGATCTTCATCTGTCCTCGCCTGATTCCTAATCATCATCTTGCTGTGCCAGAAAATTTTCATTTCAACAACCTCTCAAATTAAGGGCGATATCTTCAGAAACGATCCGACCTGCTGCTTAGGCGTTAGCGACCAGGTAGTTCAGGTTCCCGGGTGCTACGACTTCCGACCTAACCACTCAGGATGTCATTGACTGGCACCTTGTCGCTTGCAAGAGCCCGGTGTTTTAGGGCTGTATGCTATTACAGATCTCCAGGTTCCTTGGCGTTCCGGACAAGTGCTCACCATCTGAGACAACCATCACGCGGCTTCCGATTTGGCCGCTTGTGGTCGTCATACTGGGACCCTGACTTCTATCGGGACATATGTTCCCGCTACCAGGGCTTTCAATACAACAAGTTCGACAATATCACGCGCCCATCGTCCTGGGAGAAACATGACCTCAATGAAAACACAAGGGTGGGAGTGAAGCAAAAGGTTGAGGGCTACTGGTATCCAGGGGTCAGGGTTGGCCAATCCAGCTCCTTCCAGACGAGCAGTCATTCGGACTATCAAACACCCGACAATCCTGAAGGTGTTCGGCCAGGTCAGAACATTGAGGATGCAGAGAGAGCCCCTCTTGAGCATCTGCTTTTCGGTAACAAGTATAGGCACGCCCAGAACACCTCTTCTAAGGATGTGAGCCAGGGGAGTGCGTCCTCCTCGTCTTCACAACCTTCTGAACAGGGGGACTATATCATTGATCCCATAACACTCAAAAAGATATTCAAGGGTGCACCAGAGACAGCTTATACGAGTTCCGATACCGACGTTGAAATACCAGTCGAAACATATAAGCCGCAGTTCGAGGAATGCCGGCCGCCCGTTGATAGCGATTCCAAAAAGGCGAACGATGACCAAGCGGACACTACCAGGTCGTTTGTTGCGGATTCCACTCACCCGGAGCAACAAAATCCATTCACCATCCATCAGACCAGTGGAAGATATCCCCCCTATTTTGCCGAACCCCATATATCTGCCGAAGAAAGAGCCTACTACAGCCGTCCATTCCGCAGCCATGAACCTGATGGCTTGTACGCTGCTGGGGCCGAATCTGCCACAGAGAGCACCAAGTCGGCCAACCACGACATCAGGTCAAATGAACGGGGAGATGAGTCAAGCTTGGCTGACCTTGAAAAGCACAGCACTAAGGACCCGGCGGCAAGCTCTGTCAAGTCTCCCTTAGAAGACGATCAGAGCTACCACGAAGCATATGGATACGAAGATTCAGAAACTCCCCGGCATGCGAAAGTCAAAGGTGAAAGCGCCGGTCAAGAAGGATCGTCAGCTTCAGCCACCCAACAACAATCTCAAATGGATGAGAGTTTCAAGGAGAACAGTGCAGAAGCAAAATTCGAACCTAAAAAGGACTCGAAGAGTGCGCCGAGTGTCCAGACATCTCAAGAAGAAAAGAGCCCCTTCCGGAAGCTGGTCGAGGAGCTGATGGCTCAAGTAGCAACGGAGTCAAACGTGACTTCGGAGCGCGAAGCCCGCACAGTAGCATCAGTCAACAACGCAGAAGATACCAGCGCTAAGGTTTCACGTAAACCGAAACTGACTGGCAACTACGTCCGAGACTTTCCGGAGGATTTCTCCGCGACCTGGACAACGCAGTTACATGAAGACATCACGGCCGGTCAGTCAGCGGAACAGAGCGAGACTGGCCGCATTCAGCCAGCGCTGGAGAGGATCACAGAGTCCACATCAGATAGTACGAAAAAGACCGAGACCACTCCTGGTGGAGCCGATGCCACAATCTTGCCAAAGCCAACCGTCTACAAGGTTCTTGTCTACGACCCGACAATGCAATGCGTCCATATTGCTGAGACCACCTCTACCACACCCGACACCACCACTCCGCTCTCACCTGCGGAGGTCCTCCTTCGTCTTTCTAATCCAGCAAAGTTCTTCCCTCAATTTGGCCCTCTCCAGGCTCAGGGATTTGAGATTGCATCTGGCAGCGGCGATGTGTTGATTTTCCGTAAGGTACAAAAAAGGGTTTCCTCCTCGGATGCGGAGCTATCCAACAACCATGTTGCCTCAACCGGGTTTGTTAACCCCATCGACATGACGGGTGGCTCTCGGGCTTACATGGTGGCTGCTGATCGCTTCGCCAACCACAGTATGCCTGCAGGAAGGGTTGGTGCTACTGTGGAAGGTGAGATGCTGTCACAGAATGATGTTTCGGAAGAGCGCAAGAATTATGGCTCTGGCAAGACAGAGAAAAAGAGCGTTCCTAAGCGTCTTGCCATCGGAGCTGCTTGGTTGGCCGGTGGCACGTACGCCATTGGCGTTGTGAGTGAGTACTTCAAGACCGGGGGCTCCGAAGATAAGGGGAAGAGGAGCTTGTGAGTAGAAGGCGTACGACCTAGTGCTTTTCTATTTGTGCTTTTTTGCAGGAATCTACCATGGAATCTTGGATAACGGGAGCATTTGCATGTGGTAACAGCGTCAAGGGGTGGGACTTCGATAAGGTTGGCGCTTTCTTCCCCACTTCCTTGGCTAGGAATGTAACAACTTCTGGCAATTAAATCTTCTTGAGCTAGAAACTTCCAATGATAACCGTACCACCCATCCAAAAGATTTCATGTCAGTCCTTAGACAACACGTGATTTGACATTCTGATGATCTATTTCTGGCAAGAAGGTTGTCGGCTGTGGACACGCCGCACGTCAGGATCGGATTCTGAATCGTATACCGAGCACTTCATCATACAGTAGCAACGAAAGACGAAAGACACCGGATCCCCACGTTCACTTTTCCTAGACACAAAGGAGAGAACGTATGCTAAACAAAATACCAGAGAAACTGTAAGAGAAGTGCAAAAAATGGCTATCCAACGCAAAAAGTTGGCTACAAACAACTTTTATCGCACCTCACTAAACCCCAGCGGCAAACCCTTGCTGGGTGCTTCTGCGATACGATCTTCTGGCACAGCAGCTTCCCGGAGCTGAACTTCATGCTTGAACTCTTGAACAGACCAGCTCTGATGGCTGCGCTCGAGGCTGGGTTTCCAGGCACCTGTGTATTCCATGGCGCGAGCTGTGGCAGGTGATTCAGCTGCCTGGGTTGTGGTAGCGGAGGAGGGGGCCAAATCAGAATGGCCAGTGCCGGAAGGGTTGCTGGGGGCTCGCTGGTATAACTTAGGGAAAGTGAGAAGAGAACTGGTGAGCTCATTGTCGGCTAATGGGACGGAGCCTTGTTGAGTTCCCGACCCTGGCATTGTTGGGGCTGTTGTTGGTACAATGTGAATAAATGGTCTGATCAGTGAGGGTGATGTTTGTATCTAAGTGCAACGGTGACTGGCTGATGGCGGGGACAACAGGACTCTCCACTGTTGCTTGGGAAGCTTGGAAATAAGTAGCTGATCTAGAGGTATTTGGCGGAGCAGGAAGCTCTCATCACAAACGTCTTATACTCTTGTTTTAAAATGCGATCTGTCGCAGTTCTTCTTCAAGTAGCTAGTTGGAAGCACAATTGTCATCCGATTCTTCAAGAATGATAGGTGGTCTCTTTGTTATGCGGGGTTAAGAGCAATTTTATCGATAATCGCGGCTTTATCGATAACGACCTTATCCCTTTCTTATACACCCATTGTTTCTCCCGTTCAAGCTCCTTGTCTCTTTGCTGTTCCCTGACGCCAGCACGGTTTTGGTCCTTTCATGTCGCTGCATTGAGTCCATATCTTGTGTTTGCCCCCCAGATTTTGACCCCTTATCTGCCGATGTGAGCGGTCTCGGCGAAACGTCACTCTGTCTAAAATACGACGACGGTCTTGCGACGTGCGAACCCGCGCCGACGCCCATCCCTGCTGCTGGGCTTTGTGGATTTTGAGGGCTACGGGGAAGTCTCAAAAAGCTCCCGCTCCGCGGGCTTGATGATGTCGACGACGCTATGGCTGCAGTCGACAGAGTATTGTGTATCCTGAGCCTTCCTAGTATCGCGGCAGGATCGTTTACCTTTTCCCCGAAGGACTCCCTAATTATTCGACGCGAAGATCTTGTTGAGTAGAATGAATGATGTGAGTCTTGAGATTGGTTGGCGGGCGAGCTCCTAAGCCGAGATCTTCGACTCAACCAGCTCCAATGCGGAGGAACAGCGTCGCCTTCGAGCTCCGCTGGATTTGGCACAGTTCCAATATCAGCTCTTTTTCCCTCTCCTTCTGATGCACTCGAGCCTGTCAATGTTGCCATTGATGAACCGGAGTTTTCATCCTTGAAGAACTTTTGCTCTCCACCTGAACTATAGCAGTCACCATCGGCCACATGAGCATTCTGTCTTCCTTTTGCTCTTCGGTGTCGGCGAATGGCAAGGAATGAAGTTGTCCACAAAATGATGCCCACGATCACGGTAACAATAACTATGACAGCAATACCTGTCCCCCGATTCAAAGAACCAATGCCTTTCTCCTCCTTTTTATGTCGACTTGATGTTCTTGAAGGTGTGTTGTTCGTTGGATATTGTATCTCAAAGACGATGCCGCCGTTTGTCCCTCCAAAAACCGTGGGAGTTTCTCTGTCGATAATCAGCGTAGGATATGAGCCCATCACCTCGCTGGATATCGTGAGTATTCTCGTCATTTTGTTAGCCGGAGAGTTCGTTGTCTCTGTCTCTGTTATGGATTCCATCTGGCTAGCAGACAGCCTGAGTCCCGGAGTAATGGGATGCGTCTCCAGGATCGTTAGATCAGCAGCTACCCGTCGGATTTGAAGCATCGGCCCAACTGTCACAATAGCTCCTGGAGTTGAGTCTTCACAGGCGAAGCCCCATGCTCCGCCACGCCAGTCTGATGTGTCTGTTGTGCAGCTCAAACCGGTAGGCACACAATACGCCGCTCTTTTACCCTGAGCGATCGTGGTAAACCCTTCGGCTGTTCGTGTCTTTGCCACTCCGCAGCTTGGTCCGACCACAAAACCTGAGGGGCAGATTGTTGGCGAGTAGTAAGAGAAACCAGTTCCCGCAATGTTGGAAGCTCACAGCGGAGGGTGACAGGGCAGAGGGCCTGCAATCGGGAAAAGCGGATACTGAGATAGAGATTGGTCAGCGTGATAAGCCACGTTGTGGAACATGGCGGCGTGAACACCGACGTTAGCGCAGCTAGCTAGCGGCGCTGGCTTCTGGGGGTTTCAGGTGTTGCTGACATGAGGCTGGTGTGGTGGTTAGCCTTTCAGCCTGTTGGAACTGGCGAAAAAAAGATGGTGATGGTCAACCATGTCAGAGTTGCGACCATGCGTTAATGGTGATATATCAAGCCTATAAATCAGTCTTTTATGCATCTGTGACTGCTTTAGAAGCAGATTGGTGGAGATATCTGAATGAAATCTGCTTGCTCTAGATTTACAGGTCCGTATTATATAATTCTTCATTGATAGTCTAGTTATCCTTCATGTCGGCAGAGAAGCGGCGAAGCAACAGCATTACCTGGACACAGTCTGTTGCTTGAGCGGGATGCAAGGCAGCCTGGCATCCAGCTTCTCCACCCTCTCAGTTTGAGCAGTCGTTCTTTACCCTTTTTTTGCCAAATGTGAAAGGTGGTATCGGCCACTGACATCCTCACAAAACCAGAAACAGTAGTTGGAGCAAGCATGTACGGCACAGTACAGCACATCACCATCGGGTCCCGCTTAGAATAGCGTCACAATGCTTATTTGTGACGTTGTTCAGATTCCCGTAGCACCCATCCGGCGCTCCAAAAGCCCAGCGTAGAACCGCGGCCCAGTGGTGTACTTCGCGCACTTCAAACAGCCCGAAAATACAGTTGGAGTCTTCCCCACATCAACATGCATCTTTTTATATTCCAGTTGGATTTTAAGGTTGCGGGGAGCACAGTTGGGCTCTTCTTACATTGTTTTCTGTCCCTCTCGAGCGTCAGTCGGGTTCTAATCAACCAGTTGCTGGTAATGGATGCAGCAGAGTGTTACTTTGACACAAGCCATTGTGAGCCACGCCGCCAACAAGATGATGTGTAAATTCCTTCAGCAAGGATAAACCAACGAAGACACAACAAACCGGCCACTCATGGCCACTCTATACCTGAAGCATACAGCAAATGTTCAAAGATATATGGGGTTTCTGCCATCATCTCATAGTTTCAGGCCATTCAAGATGGCTAACCACATCGTTGGTGTTGGGGTGGCAAACTCCCACCAATCGGCTTGGGGCAGCACGGCTCTGAAGTGCCCGCCAACTATCTTTCGAAGAGAGCATGTCGTCCTCCCTTGGCAGATCAATTGGCAGGATTGGCTTGGCAGACTCTGCGGTTTGCTTAAGCCTGATTCACCCGGATCCTGTGTGCAAGTTGCCGATGAGCACTTGGAACCCTATGTCATGAAACCAACGTGGTCTCCTCTGTGTGCTTACTGAACGTGTATCTCAAGCCCGATGGCACATGGAATGTTAAGTCAACTTGGAAAACTCCCCTTGCAAAGTTAAACATCCAGCAATCTTGATCTGAATGAAGAGAGTCTCCATAGCATTTAGCTCATGATAATCTACAACTTAGATTACATTTTCTATTCTTTTGTTTGAGATCATTTCGAGGTGGTAAACGCCATGGGGCAGCACGATGTTAACACCCAGTATTTAAACCCGAACCCTGACTAATGGCCTCAGCCATTCACATACTGGCATAGATCGGGGTGGGGTCCAAAAAAAGAGGGTGGAAATCTCGGCTTCACATGCCATTAGTGTCAGCATCGTGAGAAAGACATTGGCAATCTCAAAACCCCCAAGTGTACTTGGTCTGGATTCAATCAACAAATATTTCAAGATGAGCATCAAACCTGGTCAAAAGACGGTGCTTATTACCGGGTATGATCTTACCATGATCGTAGGCTGAAGCCCTGTCTAACATGCGTCGTCAGCTGCACGCCGGGCGGCATTGGACATGCACTAGCTCTCGAATTCCACGCCAAGGGTATGCACCTTGAGTATAAGATCACTTGGTTTTCCTTGTGCTTACTCATGATGTTTAGGCGTTCATGTTATTGCAACGGCCCGTAACCCAGCTGTGCTCAGTGAAATGGCCGATCTCGGCATGACAACCCTCCAACTGGATGTTACCAAGCAGGACAGCATCAAGGCCTGCCACGATGAGGTCGCTAAGCTGACAGGAGGGAGGTTGGATATTCTGGTTAACAATGCGTAAGTTCACTTAACATGACCGCTAGATTTTGAGCGTATCTGGCTTGTGATCCTCAGTTACAAATTCTTTAGTTTCTGACATTTGCGTCTTAGGGGCCGCACGCATACTCACCCTGCTACTGACATCGACCTTGATGATGTTCGTGAGACCTTCGAGACCAATGTGTTCGGTGTCATGGCTATGTGCGCTGCTTTTGCCGACCTTCTGATCGCAGCCAAGGGCTTGATCATCAACATCGCCTCTCTAGCAGCCATCACCCCCTATGTTTTCGGCTCTGTGTACTGCGCTTCCAAGGGCGCTGTCGTCTCATACTCGCGCACCCTTCGCCTGGAGCTCAAGCCATTTGGCGTCCGGGTCATGGTTGCCATGACTGGCACTGTGCGTAGCCAGATCGCTAGCAAACCTCACCGGACGCTACCTGAGAACAGCATTTACCAGCGGATTAAGGAGGTGTTCCAGAAGCGGTTGACTTTCTCGCAAAACAATGCGACAGTTGATACCCATGTGTATGCTCGGAAACTGGTAAGCAAGGCGCTATCGTATGAGAGCCCGCTGTTGTTGCGTGCGTGGTTCGGCAGGCCGGACTGGTTCTGGGCTGGTGGCTGGGCTCGTGGGGTGTGGTTCTCTACCTGGTTTGGCGAGTGGCTGCTCGACTTTGTTCTGTATCGCATGATCGGGATCAAGAAGCTTGAGCGGATCCTGAAGGAGGAAGAGCAGCAAAAGAAGCTGAAGTAAGAATAATAGGTGATTTGGGACAAGCTGGCACCACAGGTGAGGGGGTAGGGGGTGGTTTATTGTACTTGATAGGCACCTTTGAAGCATCTGGGAGGGTCAATTGCTGTTCCTTACCCAGTCAACCTTTGTTTGTTTGTGCTACATATAATGGATATGTTCATGCCTCTAGAATGTCAAACCCCTGTTTCGGAATGGAATCAAAGCCAGGACAACAGCTTCCTCATAATATCCCCTTCTATCAATCACATTACCAGTCAACAACCCCACAGAACCATTCTTTTGTTTAGTGTTTTGACCACCGAACAGCAGATCGTCTGCCTTACCTAATTCCATACCTCCCCTTATCAGTTCGGCGCTCTCGCGTGGAAGATAGTAAGTGGCTGTACGAGCCTTGCCAACTTTGACCCCTTTCCCATCACTTGTGGCGAGCTCTGGGCCCAAAACGACAATCCATGCAAAAGACCTCAACAGGAACGGGTCATCCGGATCGCTATCGACACCGCCCTCGATCCCGACCCAAAAATCCGCGTCTGGAACTGACTTCCGGGCGTTTTCAGCCCTGTTACGTGCCCCAAGTAGCGTCTCTGCATCTGTCATCGGTTGGTCTGATACTCCAGACGGGACAGCTACGCCTTGCACTACATGCCACTCCGCGTTCGGAGAGGGGGTGCCGGCGGCCTGGCTGCTGATACTGATATCTGTCGGCGACGAGGGTGGGGGGAACATACGGTTGAAGCCCCCCAGAGTGGCGTTCACTTTGACGGGATTCTGGGAGGCTACGACGATAGTGAGGGGCTTTGATGGGTTGGGCGTTGCCGCTGGGGTCAGAAGTGTGGCAGCATCCGTGGTGGGAAGGGCTCGGAACGGTGAGGGGTTGTTGGAGGACATATTATGGCGCGTCAGATCCTTCCGCGATAGGACTCAAACAAATCGAAGAGAATTAAATCGCTTAACACTTCCGCAAAATTGCAGATAGGTAAGTCAGTGAATGTGAGAAAAGGTATGAATGCGGGGAAGCGGTGTTGCTTATCAACGCCCATGGCGATCATTAGGGTTTTTGAAACAAGGCTAGGTCTCCACCCCATCTGCCTCAGAGTAAACGGTCCAAGTCTGCTCGAGATTGAAGCGTGCTATAAAGGGACCAATTCCTCTGCCTGATGTAAGAAAGTGAATACGCAACTAATTCTCAACGGGCGAAATATATCTGATTCACTAGACTAGTCCAACTCAGAGCCGGACAAGATTTGTGGATTCCCAAAACAAGCACGATCAAAACAAGGATAGAGGAAAAAAAAGGCAGATATTCAAGAACTAGCAGCTGATGAAATTTCATATCATAACTCCTGAGGAACCGAACATTCCATTCAGGGCTTGGGACTATCCTGACAACTGACTTCTACGAAATGACTTTGGCATCCTCGAAATTGCATGGCAACCCAACAGCATAGACGTATAGTAGCTATCCTACGATAGAGAGGGGAAACAAGCTAAATACCTATTATCCTGGTCAGCTCCGAATTTAGATCTTGACTGAAGACACAATGCTGGGTATAAAGATGGACTTCAGAAGGGTTAAATTGTAATCACTGTTGATCATTCCCGTCTTGAAACATTTTGAAAGCCTTTTTGTCATCATGAAAAAGAGGTGGATTGATATCATTGAAAGTTGGAGAGCAAACTTACCATTGAAGCATATCCATTGAAAATGTGATAGGTAGATTAAGAACAGGAAAGAAACTGGAAGCAATTGGTGATGCTCCGCTTGGGCTGTAAAATTTAAGCAGTTCCCGGCAACCTGGTCTCCACACGGCCACGAGGGGCTCGGAATTCGGGTGAGCTTGCTCCGACGAACTGGGCCAATCAACGCCGCAGAAAACAGGGCGTCACAAGTGGCTCCACTGCGGCCCGGCGCGCCTTGGATGGGGTAATCGGTCGCATCAAAGCATCCAAGGTCCCCCTCCAGTTGAACTATTTGCAACCGACTCCTACTCTTTCATTCTGTATCATTGCCTTCATCGTATTGTCACGACCATCTGCGAAAAAGCTGGCGTCGTACATTTTTTTTTGCTGTGTTCTATCTGCGATTCTCTAGACGATGGCGATACGGAACCATCTGACGGCTCTGGTCATCGCTGGCTCATTGCTCTCTGCGGCCCTGACCAAGCCACTTGATGTTCGATTCAGTGACGACACCGATGACACGCCACTACCTGTGGTAATTTGGCACGGTAAGTTTGGCTCAGTCAGCGCAAATGTGGGTGATGTTTTCGGTTGCTAATTGCGCTGGACTCTAGGATTGGGTGATGCCTATGACACTGACGGTATGCGCCGTGTGGCCGAGCTGGTCGAAGAAGTCAACCCTGGTACTTTTGTTTATGCGATTCGCATGGACGAGAGTGGCGCTCGCGACCGATATGCCTCCTTCATTGGCAACCTTACCAATCATATCGGGAAAGCATGCGCCGACATCGCTGCCCATCCTATTCTTTCGACAGCTCCAGCTATCGATGCCATTGGTTTCTCCCAGGGCGGCCAGTTCCTTCGCGCCTATGTCGAACGTTGCAATAACCCGCCTGTTCGCAGCCTGGTGACCTTTGGCTCACAACACAATGGCATCTCTGCCTTCCGTGACTGCGCCCCGAATGACTGGGTCTGCCGCTTCGCTATGGCTATACTGACTGGTGATGCTTGGAGCCCCACCGTGCAGAGCCGCCTCGTTCCCGCTCAGTACTATCGTAACCCGAATGAGTTTAATCAATATCTGGAGCATTCGAACTTTCTTGCCGACATCAACAATGAAAGGGTTGTCAAAAACGAGCAGTACAAGAAGAACATCGCGCAGCTGGAAAGCTTTGTTATGTACATGTTCGAAGACGACAAGACCGTTATTCCCAAGGAGTCATCTTGGTTCCATGATGTCAACGGGACCGAAGTTACCCCCTTGCGCCAGCGAAGGCTGTACACAGAAGATTGGCTCGGACTGCGTGAGCTCGACAAGAAGGGCGGGCTTTATTTCCGCACAGCACCTGGTGAACACATGGAACTGTCGGAGGAGCTGTTGGTTGAAGCGTTTGGCGATTTCTTTGGGCCACTGAATCGACATGCTGGACGGTCAGATCCACGCCCACGCTTACAAGCTGGTGATCTCTAAAGTTTGAAGATACATTCTCACATTCTCAACTTGAGACTTCGTCGTATACTTCCATGGTTCAGGGTCTGCTTTGATATCAGGTCTGGGTTGTTATGGACAGGAACGCTAGGGCTGGACGGGTTCAAGGATATGTTAAATGGTCGGGCGTTGTTGGAAGTATTACAGGTTGCGAACGCGCTGCCGTATCTGGATTATGGGTAACTGTTAGTCATAGAATAGTATTCCGTACATAGGTGCACGAATGCCCGCTCGATCAATCGACTCGGTGATGAATTGTCAGTTTGCAGAAGCTGTCATGCTCCCAAGCTTTCCCACGTTGTTCCAAATAGCTCGGCATGGTGTTGCCTCGTTCATCTCGTACCATAGCTGGGCCAAACTGCGACTACATTACAGAGGTTAGGTAGCAAAGCGGGCAGGCAGAGGCTGAAAATGTAATGACAGCATCTTCAGAGCTCCAGTCTAAGATGTTGCCGACACAGCAAATGCACCTTAAGTCCATATCTTACTGATAGTGCTTGTCGTGGGGCCAGTGGGGTTGGAAACATGGAATTAAGGCGTTCTGTTGCATGTTCTCAAGGAGGTATCTGTCCGGAGTCGCGAAAAAACGCGCCCAGTAGCGGGGAGTATCCGGCGAAGCGGGGTTCCAATGCAGCAAGGAGGCTGGCGACGACGAGAATTTTCGCGCGAAGAAGTCTAGTAAAAGCCAAACTTCTTGATTTCGATATCGCTAGAGCCCGACATAAAATTAAATGGAAGCTTTGACAAGTCCATTTCAGCATGGAGTGCTCGAGTTATAACAATAGGGTGCAGCCCCCGGGGGTGCAGGTGGTGGCATATGCAGGCAACCGGTACGTCATTTTGGAAATTCAGGGTGTCCTGAGTGCCAAAGCGTGCAAGACGCGGTGCAGCTAGTGGGTCCCCACACGCCAAACGCGCCCACCACAGGCCGTTTTAATGAGTCGCGTCTAGCGAGTGAGTTCGCGGTTGTCCAGACACAGGGATGGGCACGACCTGCCCTGCATTTCTTAAATATCAAAATCCCCACCCTCGGCACACTTTGGCCTCTTCCAACCTGGGCCATCTCTGCCAATATCCAGACCGCCAAAGATCCAATCTAACTTTTCCATTTGTTATTCCCCTTTGCACAACCCTTTCGGCCTCATTGAAAACTGCTTTCCAACCATACTTGGGGTACTTGTACATGAAGCGCGAATATAGCTGGCGGAACTGACCGTGCCCGCACCTCTGACGCGTTTTGACGTGGCTGGCAGACTTGAGCCTCTTAATATCGCATCACAGGTGTCGTCAACTTCATCTTACCCTAATTGGCACAAATTGCAGTGATCGAAGCGCATCAGCCCGATACCCAATGGATTCTTCTCCGCCGACGCGTGGCAAGGCCTTGGAGCCTGCGCTGCCTACAGCAGGTGTCAAGCGTCCAGCTCCCTCGCTACTCCCCCCATTTGAGCCTCTCTCATCGTCACCGGGCTTGCCACGGCCATCTAAACGACAAGCAGGCACTAATGCCTTCGTCAAGTACCCTACGCCGGCGCCGACGTCGAGCACTGGCATCCTTTCATCAAGCCCTCCACGCGTTGGGATGCGGCCTTCTCTCCAACGGACTCAATCTGTCGCGTCAGAACGCACTCCACTTTCCGACGTCCCATCCGTGGAACTAAATGAAAACGGCGACACACTGCTTATGGGTCGGTCGAGCTCTTCATCGCATTATCAGCTTTCAGCGAATAGACTCATCAGCCGTGTTCATGTCAAGGCGCGGTATATCCCGGCCAGCACGCCCTTGGAGCCCAACAGAATCGAAATTGTCTGCACCGGCTGGAATGGGCTGAAGCTTCACTGCCAGGGTCAGACCTGGGAACTGGCCAAGGGTGACTCGTTCACGTCTGAGACAGAGGGCGCTGATATCATGCTCGATGTTCAGGACGCGCGGGTGTTCGTTCGGTGGCCGCGTCGGGATAAGGACCGTGACGTGCTGGACCACTTGAGCGATTCGTCTTGGGATGACTCACCACGACCTCGGCCCAGGCGAGCTGTCCTTGACTCCGAGCTTCACGGAAGTCCCTTGAGGCGCTCGACGCGTATCGGTACTCCGGAATCTCCGACACCGGCTAATGTGACGAGTTCCAGCACAAGCCTCGATGATTTCCTGCCAGGTAGCCATGATCATGGAAAGGGCCCTGTACAAATTTATGAAGATCCCAGTTGCGACGAGAATGAGGCTCCTAGCAAGACCAAGGTTGATACCAGCTTTGCCACTCAACTGAACAACAGCTTTTCCAGTGATCTGAGTGATCCACAGTCAGACGATGAAAATGAACCCAACGAAGAGAACGATCCCATAATCCACTCTTTCGGCCCATTTAGTGGGCAGATTTCGGATCGATTCTCGTCCTTCACCGCATATTCCTCAAAAAAGCAGTCTTCCCTCCTGAAGCCAGTTTCCGAGAAGAGCGTCGATAAAAATGCCGACAAGCGCTCTAGCCCGTCTGTGACCAGCGAACACCTGACGGCCTCCAGCACTGGCACAGCAAAAAACCCCGCGGCAAGCTCGGCTACTGATGAGTCTAAGGCCCCTCGCCCGATTCCTGACCTTCCCCCTAACATGAGCGAAGAACGCATTGAAGAAATCAAGAATCATGTTGTCAACCAGCTGGCTTTCTCTCGGCTGTCATCTACACCGCTGTCCACGATCTTGAACAACCTTCCTTCCGAAGATCGTAAGGGCCTTTCCAAGGAGCAGCTTCGCCAAATTATTGAGTCGATCGCTTGTGTTGGTGTCATTCGGCGACAGGGCAAGGACGCGGCAGGGAAACCGCTTGAGAGCGAGTACTATTACACTCCCGAGCTGGATACGAATGATGAGCGCCGCATCACTGTCACTGATGCTCTCAAGAAGCCTACCTTAAGAAGCTGCAGAAAACAGCACAAGGTTAGTGTTTTCTCTCGGCAATATGGTAATCGGTTCAGTGGGCTAACCTTGAGTGTAGCAATACTACTGGAAGCGTCCTCGTACCCCTTAATGGGTAACTTATCCTTGACTCTCTTTTGCATTCTTTCGCGGATCGCTTTTCCCTCGCAAAGTGGAACAGGATCAAGGTGGCTTTGAGGTTCTGGCGCATCACTCATGTCTTTTACCTTGTCAAGACCTCATGGTCCCTGATTTTAACCTTTTCTCTTGTGTATTTGAACACTTCCCGGAGCTGCATAGCGTCAGGCGTCATCTGGATCGGAGTATTACTTTTCTTTTCCTCCTCGGCCAGCTTGTTCCTGTCCATCTTCACTTTGGGAAATACGACTTATGAAACTGGACATTGGAGAAAATAATGGGAAAACTGTTTGTAGGTAAATGTAGGATAGTAGGATTTAGGCTCACTGTGTTCAACAATGTAATGTAGGTTCTGTATAGTGGAGCAGATGCATCTCTGCGATGCTAATGCGAATCAACGGGGAGAAAGTTTTGAGTTAAGACATGTAATCACCAAAAGTATCGTCTCCAGCCCAATCAAATCTCACATCCAGAACCGTAATGTATGTTGCCGGAGCAGCTTACATACCAACCACATGGTATGCGGTCAAACATAGTCCCACTCTATGTGCCCCACTTGCCTTTATTAGAAAGTGGCAGGCGCCTAAGTGATAAGCGATAAGCGGAAAAACCAGTCTCCGGATAAGGCAAAATTTCCGACCTCGACTAAAAGAACGGAAGAAAAATCATCAGCGCCTTGGTAGTCGGAACCGGTGTCACCACAAAACGTCAATTCACAAACATGGCCCCCTCCACGGCAGTCGCAAAGAAGGAGACCGATGCCGTGATCCCAGTCGATCCGGATCAGACTCTCAAGGCTTGCAAAGCGCTCCTCGCACACATCAAGAAGGCCGCTGCGGCCCCGCGCCCCGATGGCAAGCAGAACCTTCTCGCCGACGAGGAATCGACGGTCGCTGAGACTCCGATATGGCTTACTCTCACTACAAAGAAGCATATCCATGATTCTCACAGTATGTTTGATCCAGTTGATCCATGGACCTGTCATGGCTGATTGGAGCTGGGAATGCCATGGGGCGCTATTTCCTCCAACATCTCCTGCTCTCGATTGTGCTGCCACTTCACAGCCTGTCTCAATGATCGCATTGCCGACTGACATCGTTCAGGGCTTCAACCTGGAAAGATCATTCTTCCTCACCCTCTCAACACCAGTGAAGAGATTAGCGTCTGCCTTATCACCGCTGACCCCCAGCGGTTCTACAAGAATGCGGTCGCCGACGAGTTCCCCGAGGACCTCAGGGCCAAGATCGGCAGAGTCATCGATATCAGTCACCTCAAGGCCAAATTCAAGGCGTATGAGGCCCAGCGCAAGCTGTTCAGCGAGCACGACGTCTTCCTCGCCGACACACGGATCATCAATCGTTTGCCCAAAGCGCTCGGCAAGACTTTCTACAAGACGACCACCAAGCGCCCCATCCCCGTCGTTCTGATGGCGCAGAGAGAGAAAGTTAATGGGAAGCGGGTGCCTGCTCCCAAGGGGAAGAAGGAGAAGCGTGATCCCCTCGAAAATGCCAACGCTCGCCCAATTCCCGAGATCGTCGCCGAAATCCGGAAGGCCATCGGTGCTGCTCTGGTCCATCTGAGCCCATCCACCAACACGGCAATCAAAGTTGGCTACGCGAACTGGGAGCCAGAGAAGCTTGCGGCCAATATAGAGACTGTTATCCGTGAACTTGTTGAGAGATTCGTCCCGCAGAAGTGGCAAAACGTGCGCAATTTTTACGTCAAGGGCCCTGAGACGGCCGCGCTCCCCATCTATCAGACCGACGAGCTATGGTTAGATGAGTCCAAGGTTGTGCCGGACGGTCAAGAGCCTGCCAGGGCTCTTCCTGGGAAGCGCGAGAAGGCCAACATTGGCAAGAAGCGCAAGCCCTTGGAGGACGCTTCCCAGCCTGCATTAGAGGAGACTGGCAAGGATGAGCGGCCGAAGAAAAAGGCGAAGAAAACTCTCCCCGAAAGCAATGATGACAAGCTCGACAAAGCGATCGCCGAGCGGAAGGAACAGCTTAAGAAACAGAAGGCTGCGGCTAAGAAGGTCGCTGCTGATATCTAATTGCTAGAGGTCGAGAAGGGTGTTTTAGAGCACTAGCGCGACGAGTGCTTACTCCCCATGTTGCCAATAGCAGGAACTCGGTAGCTGCATATTTGTTTGGAGTTTTGGAGTCTGGGAATATGTGAAAATGCGGGCTTACAAATCCAGGCATAAGGTTCTCAGGTTGAGGTAGAAGGTACAAAATGTTTGAGCAAAAGAAAATTAATGTCCATTTCGATTCGTTACCCATTCACAGCCGGTTGCTGAATCACGGGTTTGTGTGGTTCGAAAGGATTTCACACGGTGTCTGGATGATGTGACAATGTTGACATAGATGACAGGTGACAAACAGGAGAGCCATGTGTTCAGTGTTCGCGACGTTTAATTCATCGTGTGTTATGTTTCGGTGAGGCATTCCACGTTATCAACATGCAACGAGGTACGCCACCCAGAGCCCAAAACCCTTTCGTCGTTACAGCCGGCTGAGACATTGAGTTAGCCGCACCCAGTCACCGCTACCTCGTTATTTCATTCTTCGGATCTCCTGAGGTTCCTGTCGCCATCCGAATGATTTCAGATGAATACGGCCATTATTAGCAGGAGGCGACTCCAAGTGATGCCAAGCTGCGCCGGAGGCCTGAGGGTCCGAGACCCCTTTTTGCTTGGCTGCCGAACGATCCACTTTCCAAGACCCCAAAAGTTTTGCGGAGGCGAGGCCGGTCGCCGAGCGTTCTCCATCCTCTATCAACCTCAGTCTTAGCACGTGGAGAGCCGCAGTATCGGGTATCTTCATCCCACCGCACCCCTTGGCTCAGCATGTCTCGATCAGGGTAACCCTTAAGCTGTGGAACACATTGCAGCCCGCCGATTTGTGCTGCTATGCGTGCAATTATATCTCCGAAGCTGACTAAGGCTTTGTCAAACGGCTCCCGCATAGCTCGCTCAGTTGCTCTCCAGTCTCCTCTCGAGCTTTCTGACGAACTAACTTTCGCGCCTGACCAGCTCTGTAACCAAAAAAATTGCCGACGGCGACATTGCTTATCACCAGGGACTTCTCCGCACTGCTTGAGGGCTAAGGCAGACATGTGTGCAACTCACTTCATTGCCTTTTGGGCTGCTTACTCCTCTCTAACAATCCTACTCCGCCGTTATCCTTGGATAATGCTGATGGGCTGCTGAACCTCTGCCTCCCCCGGAGGGTCACTAACTATCTCGATAATCATTTACGATGGGTAGCATCATCTGTTCGTCTCAAGAAAGTGACAAGAGGAGTGGTGGCACCGTTTCTGCTTATGCTTACAATTCACAACTTACTCACCGCACATGTAGCGCCAAAGTCTGGAATTAGCGGTGACATTGATTTCAACATGTTTGTCCCATATGCATTCCTGCTCCACGTCCCATATTGCCATACATAGCTCGAGCTCTTCTCCGCACGTCCCCAGGCATGTTCGTTCGCAGCCTATTTCTGACAACCGAAATTCAATCCCACTGATTGGATCCTGGTCTAGGCTCGCATATCCGTGCTGCGTGCTGCGGTTGCACGGCCTGCAAGCTATGTCCACAGTCAATTATGTGGACATGCTGCGTCATAGCCAGCAGCAACCATGATGTTAACCGCCGCGCATCTGAGTGTTGGAGTTTGGCTTGGGAGCTCGGGTGTGCCTCTTCACCCGCTCTTGGCACCTCTTCAACATGGCCGTGACAGGATCGGCAGATATTCCCGAGAGTTATCTCCTTCAGAGAGCCGTGTCCTCTTGATTCATGAGTGAGAGGGGCACTTCATACAGTTGTGGTGCTACTAAGAAGCTCATAACTGTCTCGACAGCCTCGCACAGTGTCACACCTTCATGCTCTATATGTTGCATCCTGACTCGAAGACTGTCCTACAGCGACAACTTCAACAGTTGCTCTCTTGGGTGTCCTGTGTGTCAACATTGAATCATTATTCGACACATTTCTCTTCTTATCCTATCCCACATCCAGGTCTCATCAGAAGCATACACCGTCAGTGCAGTCATCGGTCATTTGAGCTTTCGAGAAGTCCCATCATGGGCGTCCTCAAACTTGGAGATTCATCCCCCGCCGTCTTTACAACCATACTTTCCTTTGCCAAAACCCACTGGCCCACCATCCTCGTGACGTTCATCGTCCTTCGAGGTCTTGCCAAACGTTATTTCTCCCCTCTCCGCAAGTATCCTGGTCCATTCTTAGCATCATGCACACGTCTATGGAAAGTCTGGTCAACAGCGCGAGGGCGTACCCACCTTGACCACATCGAACTTCATCGAAAGTACGGCCCTGTAGTGCGCATTGCTCCCAATGAGGTCTCAATCTCCAACCCCGAGGCAGCCCGGATGCTGCTCAGCGCCGGCAAGCGCTTCTTCAAGACCAAGTTTTACGCCGTCTTCCCACCTCCCGAAAATCCCGATATCTTTACCGAGATTCGGGAGGATGTGCATGCGACGAAGAAGCGCGTGGCTAACGTGCCGTATAGCATGGCTGCCATGCAGCAGCTCAGTCCGTTCATTGATGACACCATCGAGTTGTTCATGAGCAAGATTGAGGAGTACATCAATCATGCCCGGAGTCCGAACAAGAAGCCGTTCGATTTGGGCGACTATCTTCACTACTTTGCGTTTGATGTGCTAGGAGAGGTGGCTTTCAGCCGCAACTTTGGTTTCTTGAAGGAGGGTCGGGACGTGGAGAATGCCATCAAGACCATTGACAAGTCACAGACGTACAACGGCATTGTTGGCCAGGTACCAGAGTTGGATTACTTGCTTAGGAGGAATCCGTTGTGGAAGTTTATCCCTTGGCTGAGTACCAAGAACGCCCTGATTACAAGGATGGCTCTTGAAGAAATGGGGAAGCGGCAGCCTTTCACCAAGGATACGGCTGGACTGCTGAGGACGGGTGATGGAAGGCAAGACCTCCTGGCCAGCTTGATCCAAGGTCATCTCAAGGACCCCGAGAAGTTTGGCGAGGGCGATGTCTTTGCTGTCGCCCACGGCGCTATGTAAGTTTTACTTACCAGAATTGGCCCTGTTATACCCTTCGCAATTAACACTTCACCCTCCCAAGCTTTGCCGGCTCCGACTCAACAGCCTCTACCATGCAGTCTTTCTTCTGGCACATCCTCTCCGACCGCCGAGTCTACCAGAACATCGTCCGCGAGCTCGAGTATGCTGTCGCCACCGGCGCCATACCCTCCAAGGGCAACCTCAACTGGAACCAGGCCCAAGGCTTGCACTACCTGCAGGCGTGCCTGAAGGAGGCTATGCGTGTGCGCCCGGCTGTGGGTCTTAACATTACGAGGCTTGTCCCACCCGAGGGTGCGCAGCTGGATGGTCACTTCTTCCCTGGCGGCACGTCGGTAGCTTGCAATGGTTGGGTTTTGCACCGGGATAAGGATGTCTTTGGGCAGGATGCCGATATCTACCGGCCGGAGAGATGGCTTGAGGATGAGGAGAAGGCGAAGAGGATGGAGAGGTACATGTTTCAGGTGAGTTAAGCATGACGTCTGGATTAATATCTGGTGATGCATTATTAACAGCTGTTATTCAGTTCGGCGGAGGGAGCCACTTGTGCATTGGACGAAACCTGGCGCTTTTGGAGATTAATAAGGTCGTACCCAGGCTGTTGCGCGATTACCGGTTTGAGCTGGCACGCCCTGGCCGGCCGCTCAAGGCAAATGCGTCGTTCTTTGTGGTTCAGTCGGGTCTCGAGGTGTACATTACGAAGCCATAAACGAAGCCAGCCCAGAGAATTTGGTGCGAGTTATGATCCTAAGGTATATCTCAAATGTCTGTTAACATGTCAAGTTTCTTGCATTTCAATTGCATGGCAAAAGTTAACAGTCCCAACGCGAGTGATAACGGTGTCCTCCATACGAATTACCCAACAGATGGCTTTCAGCATCGACCGTTACTATCCATGCATAAGTAATCCTAGACACTTTACCGTATCACCTAGGATGTCACTTCCCAACGCAGACATAGTATCCGACCAACAGCTTGTCACAATCAATCTGACATGGCGTTGTTAGCATTCTTGCTCGCGATGCAGGATCTTACGGGCATTTCCGAGCCGTGGTTCGACTTACCAGAGGATTGAGATTGTAGCTGTTTCATATATTGGCGTGTGGTGGTATGATGGTCAGCGTCGGATAATCCGTGACAAACTAACATGTGCCATGGGAGACAGCTAACGGACTGTATTGCTCAGGGGCTGGGGGTAAGGAAGCAAAGGGGGATAAAGTCCGAGAGTGCGATTACGGTTAGGGTTGGGGCAACACTTACAAGTCCAGGAGAGTCAGCCCATTCCTTTGCGCAAGACTCCGACATGTATCGTCACTTCGGATTTGGGAATAATGCTTGCCTGTGGAGGTAATATTGTGAAGGACACGGTTAGTTAGCTGGTCAGGTCGAAATAATGGAATTATAGAAATGTGCTGAGATCATCAGGGGTATTAGGGACACGCTCAGCGGGTGATCCCCATGTGACACATCTTTCACCCTAGTATATATCATGTGTGAACGGAGGAAACTCACAATCGCGGGGCGTTCCTGGTATCGTCAGGGTCGGGCGTGGGCCCTGGGTTGAGGTTACTGTCGTAGGAGATCCCGTTGTCCTTGTTGCTGTCGTAGTTGTGGTCCGCACACTGGTCGTCGTGAGAATACACGCAGATGATACAGTCCTTGTGGTTGTCGCTGTAACAATTGTGGTGAGAGTATCAATAGAGGTTCTAGTTGTGACACTGGTGCTGATGGTTGTCAGGGTGATGATCGTGGTTGACGTCCTTGTTGTTGCCGGAACAATAACATCGGCCCTTCGCACAGCAGTGGCGGTAACAGCAGGAACGGTGGCGGTAACAGTTGTCGTAACAGTACTGGTTATCACTGCTGTAGTGGTTGCCGTAGCCCCTGCTGTTACCGTCACGGTACTGGTAAGAGTGGCATCCTGAGAGATCACAGAAGTGCGAGTAACTTCGATGATAGATGTCACCGTAGCAGTAACCGTCGTGAAAACCGTTTCTATGGTGCTGGATGGTTGTTCTACGTCCGGATCGCAGAAACCAAAAGCAGACTGGCAGCCTGGTCCGCAATAGGCATAGGTCCGTCCGCAGTAACCGTACTCAGAACAACAGTCTCCGAAGCGTGACCCCAGACATGTTATCCCTCCTCCACAGCTCCCATCGGTGCTGACTATCAAGTCTTCTGGAACAGGATCTTCATCATCCAGAACTGCCGCATTGCTTGATACTGAAGGATTCGCTACAGCTGCTGTTGTGTAGGTGAGGCCAAAGGCCAAGAGAAATAGAGTCTTGGTGAATGAAGGAGCAACCATGATGGCTGATGATCACCGAATGGCGAATTCTAAGTCAAAGCCATGCTAGAAGGAAGGCTGCCAAAGGAAACACTTAATCGGAAAGACGCAGGAGGGTGCAGTCATTATAAAGACTCGAAAGATATAGGGAGAGCCGAATCTCATGCCGGATATCTTCAATGATGACTATCGAGTGTACCTTAATCAACAGGCAAGTTCAATTGTTTATTGATGTCGTAGCCCGCCAGAAGGTAGACTTGGTACAAGCAACAGCAATATAGTAAACAGAGCACTTGGTAATTCGGCTATTAGCTTGAGAGGTAGAGTGCTCCCGAAACATGCCAAAACCTGCATCAGTCTACAAGTTAAGCGTGCCCGAGATTGGATTCAGACATCCAAGCTACATCATTGCCATTAGTCCAAGCGGGGGAAAATATACCGATGTTACTTTATGGGTAAAATGTTTTCCTCTAAGCGACATCTACGGACAAGAGAGAGAGTGTGTGACTAGTCTGAAGTCACAGCGGGGATGCCAGGGGATGAATGAGCTGCAGATAGGCTAATTTCATGCGAAGTCTCCACCTTGCTTCTGAGTGGAAGCTTCCGTGTCTTATCGTTCCGCGCCTATCACTGTGCATCGTCGTTAAACACTCGTAGTCCCGTTGGACAATGTTGATGTGCTGCGCCGCCTTAATTGACGTGATTGCTTGATTGGACAGCTTTGGGTAGAAGACGACTACACTGGCACCGAGAGACAAAAGAGGCATTAAAGGTCAATGGAATTGATGTTGTATTAGATACTTCTATAAGTTAGACCCAAACCTGCCGTAGTTAAATATAGAAGCCGTTGCGCCCTTGCTGTCCTGCTCTCTCCATCCAACCCTGTTGGCTCGATGTTTCAACCCCTCGGGTGCATGTGGGTATCTCAAAGCCCAAATAAATCCAGTCCCAACCCAATCTTACACAAGTCCAACGAACTTGAATGACAGTTGCCATGCTATCGCATGTAGAAGTTTTCGACTTTCGTGGTGTACGGCCATCTGTTGTCGCGGCACAGACCGAGATGGGAGTCTTAATCCCTAAAGCTCCTCCCCATGACAGCCTCTTTACTTCCCATCGGAGTCGAGTTGTCCTCGTGGCTGCGACCGCACTTCGTGCAACGGCCGCCAGTGTCTCGGGGGTGTTGAATCTGGGCGCCAGTCACGGGGCAGATATATACACGTTTGCTGTGGAGGTGATGTAGTTGGAAGCACGACGGGCATTCCTTGTCGGGCCTGCGAGATGGGGATTCTATCCGGTAGCCAGTGTTGGGACAGACAAAGACAGATTGCCAGATAATATCATGGGCGGCATGGCAGTTGGAACATAGCCCCAAAGGTGTTTCAATTTCTTCGCCTGTTGTTGGGCAGTAATACGACGGCTGAGAACCCATGTGAGCAACCATACGCGCCGTGATCACTAATCCAGTGATTCCTTGAAGACTCACTTGCACAATTGAAGAATGCTTTTGCCCCATTTCGATTGTGTGGTGGGTGATATCTAGTAAGGAGCGTTCGGTGAACGAGGTGTACGTAAAAGACGATGATTATGTAATGTAGAATTATAGACACATCCTGTTACTTGCAACGGGCTGTACTGGATATCAAGAGCGGCCAGGATAAGGAAGCCGTTCGCCAGAAGAAGAGGGATATATGGCAATGAAGGAAGCAGTGTCCCGCTCTGTCCTGGAGTTTCCCGCTTCGACGAGACCTGGGATGCGCTGCAAGGAAACTGTTCGATCCTGAGCCTGATGGTAGGGTGGTGGCCCAATTATAAGGGGAGAAGACATAGAAGACAAGTAAGGTGGGCAGACTACGCCAGGGAAGATGACGAGAGACTTATATCGGCAGATTCGCCCGATGACAAGCAAGCCGGAGATGACCTTGCCACGTGCCGGCCAAGGAGTTCGGAGGCTCACCGAGAGGCCCAGACTCCGCTTGGCAGGCGTTGGCAGACGTTGGCGATGTCATGGCCCAGGGTCCAGAAACACGCGAGAAAAGAGCGAGGTTCTGTGAACTGCGGGGGGTTGCAACCGTCCTGCGTGGGAATGCCTCGGCCGCGGGGAGATGTCGTATCAAGCCTGCTTAGCTGCTACGCTGGGAGCCAACACCAAAACCAACATCGGACCCTGTCCATGGAGATAAACAGGGCTATTGTCCTTGGCAGGACAAAGGATATGTTTTAGAGACTGTAATCTAGTGAAGTGGAGTGCATCCTTTCTAGTGCAGGCTTCTCTCTTCGGCATTGTCGCGGTTCTGAGCTGCACTAGAGGACCGATCGGCAAGAGCAATTCGGTGGCAGCGATGCAGCAGTGTTCTGCTGCAGCATGCCTGGTGGGATGTTCGATGGATCGTTGTCGGTCGATTGATGCTTTAGGGTATTGCCCCCGACCGCCTGTCCGCGCGATCCACTCGGGGATCTGCGCCCGGATACCTGCGTCGACATTCCTCAGCAGAGAGCAGATACGGATATCCGTGAGATGGAAAATGCAGTCATGCTACTTTGCAGCATGTGGCGGCTGTGTGTAGGAGGTCTCAATGTCGAGTGGTCGTCGGACAACTTGGCAGAAGAGCTATGGTGAGGATTTTTGGGATGCCTTAGGTAAAGTAAAGCCCAAAGAACGCGGTCAAGCCCGTCGCATGCACATCCCCCCCTCTTCTGAACAGCATTGGTGGATGGACACCGGGCAGCGCACATGCGCACTGGCTCAGTTTCCCCTCAGTGGCCTGTGGGCGTAACACCATTTGATGTGAAGCTTGGCGCATGGGAATGGGCAAAGTCATGCTGCTATTGCTGTGACTGGAAGGCTCCGGAGCCCCCTGCACCCGTAAACCAAGCATTGATGACACAGCAGCACCAAAAACACAGGCAAAACGCAAATGATGGATCGAAGATAACGTCGGCCCACGCTAGACATTCTCAGTTTAGCGTTCACCAAAACATCCCAGCGTTTTCCTCGTGGGCTGCAGAAACACATCATAGCAAAAAACGCAATCTGTGAGATCCAGGACGGCGCATGCAGCAGGGACCCTTAGCGCCCGTCGGGTGTGCGCCACAGAGCGTGACAAAAACGTGGCTGGCGGGGGCGCATTTGGGCATGGTGGGCGGAGTGGGCTGCATCGGCCGCTGCATCACCGGATACCATGCCATTTTCTGCGCATTGCCCGCGATCCGGCCTTCTTTGCCGTTCCAGAGCCGACTTACGATTTGCTCGGGTCAAGGGAGCCAGTGGGATCAGCGATCGTCGGTGTCCTTCTGGGCGAGCGATGTGCGTCTATCGTCTTATTCTTACCGGTTTCCAGAAGCCACAAATCTCCGACAGGCCAGCTGAATCTGGTCCCCAGAGATAGGGCGCGCGGATGTGGCTGTCGGCGTCCAGCAAGCATCTGCGACGGAGCTGCGTGTCGGTGATCGAGAAGGTTTTCCGGAAAGCATCGGGAGAAGGTTGAAACGCTGTGCTTGAGCCCCTTCTTGAATCGTGCAAGCCTTGCTCAGACAGGTTTAATCCTGCCCAATGCATCAGAGATGCAGGCTATGCAGGTACGAGATTGGTTGGCGAACAGATGCAGCAGCGGACGAACCCAGGCCAAGCTTGGGATCACTGGATACATCTCCAATGGCCCAGCGACTTTCCGAGGAGGATTCCATTAAGTGCGACCTAAGAAGAAGCCGAGACAATACCGCATAACTTTCGCGAGTCCGGGGGTGCACCTGCCCATCAGACCTTTTTACAGCCATCACCGCGGCTTGTAAATCTCAGCAACTGTTGTACCGTCATTTATTGGCAATGCCTCTTGCTTGAGAGAACCCGGAGGGGGAAATCGGCGTATAACATGGAACTTATTCCTGTTCTAGAGCTTTCTCGGGCCAGGGAAAGATCAAGGCTCAAAAAGCAAGGGTAGTAATAAAAGAGCGACAAGCGGTCCCGGCGGTTGCATTTAAAGAGGTGGCGGATAGCCTACAGTAAGAGTTGGGGGAAAAAAAAGCTATTGCCCAGGCAATTGCAACTTGAGAGCGACCAATTCCTACTTGAATCTTTAGAAATGCAAGTGTAGCTAGCAATATATGTCGTCAATTTCTCTTACAATGCGTGGTCCATTCTAGGTATCTGGCCAGAGTAAGTCTTTCCTAACATTTGATCGAGTCCAGCCGTCATCGCCAGTGGGTCCCTCCGGGAGCTGGTCGCTGGCTGCACTTCACATAGCAGCAGAAGGCGGTAGCGAGGGGCACTTCACTCACAGAAAACTGTTAGATAATAAGTCGAAGCGTAAAAATACATCAACTTATGACTACCTTCTCCCAGGCAACATTGGTGAAACCGCAGCTTGCAATCTAATGTCGCGTTAGTCAAGAGCAGTAAGGTGCAATGCTTACTTTGAACCTGTGGTTGCCAGAGCAACAAGTATTTAGAAAAGGGGCTAAAGAGGGGAGAATCGAGCGTTGGCACCAACTACACTGCCGGTGAGTCAATATCACTAACCACGCATACATTGAGCAGCAAAAGAACACATGTGTCAGTACTGTGTAAGACACGATAGTGCGGTTTTGATTGTCGCTGCCTTGGTTACACGAGCATGCAAGCTTACAGAGTCCTACCCAAAATTTATCCGACCTTACTGGCATGTACCGGGTGTGATACTCATTAGGAAATGGCGCATCACTTAGCAATGATTTGCTCGCGACATGTCTTGAGTACTGCGCCAGTCAGCACTGATGGCCACTCAGCAATCTCGATTTTGTTGACAAGACAGCATGAACGTCTGTGGCCGAAAACCTGGAGTAGCGGGTAAGACTGGATGCAAGGATCTTATGTAGGCAGGTAGGGTTACAATGCTTTTCGAGAAAAAAAACCTTACATAGTAAAAGTTGTCAGCAAATCGTTCGAAGCTGGTAAGAGCCGTTTCGTGGTCGAATAGCAACAAAAAAGTTGACCGCCAAAAGGTACTCCTTCACGCTGCACATTGTGGATTGCCAGTTCCGTTTTCCGGCCTTATTTGCCTAACCACGTCACTACCAAACGCTTTTAATCCAGCCATCCAGCTTTCTTGGTTCTTCCTGTTTTATTTACCTTCAAAGAGTTGCAGATTACCATGGCAAAAGATCGATTCCGCGTCATCATTGTTGGGGGAGGCGTAGCTGGACTCACACTAGCTAATGCTCTTGAGGTCAGCCTCTTTGCGACCTTTCTCTGGGATCAGAAAGGGCATGCTTTAACTGTGTTTAGCAAGCTGGTGTGGATTATCTACTCCTCGAAGCACGAGATACTGTGGCACCGGACCTTGGGGCCACAATCGGCATCCATCCTAATGGAGCCCGGGTAGGTAATTTTGATGACAGGCCTTGGCCACCAAAACGATTTTGTTGACAATACTCGTAGATTCTTGATCAGCTTGGCATCTGGGCCAAGATAGAGGTAGCAGAGAGAATGGTAAGTTCTTAAAGAATTGCACTACCAAGGTTGAAGCTGCATATTAACAGTCGATGGATGACAGACTCCGCGCAAATTGGGCATGGTATACTATCACCGTGATAACAAAGGCAATCTGATTTGCCCTGCCGACAATATACCGAAACTGCTCACCGCCAGGTATGGTCTTCATCATATTTGGGTGCCCACTGACACTGATGTTCTCTTCTTTCGACCGCAGAACGGGTTATTTCCTTCGGTTTCTCGAACGATGGGAACTTCTTGCGATCATCCGTGACAATCTGAAAGACCAAAGTAAAATCCTTGTGAACAAGAAGGTCACTGATATCAAGGATGGAGACGATATTGCAACAGTAATCTGTGAAGACGGCTCCCTGTTCCACGGCGACCTTGTTGTTGGCGCAGATGGGGTATTCAGCAAGACACGGGCGAAGATTTGGGAGCTTGCCGAACCCGAGAATCCGGGACTGGTGAAGTCAGAAAGAAATCGTATAGAACTTTATAACATCTCTTGCCATGGTTCTTTTACTGACTACTTGAAGGTCTGCAGGCGAATTATGTGTGCGTCTTCGGGATCTCCCGGGACTATCCTTTCAAAGAACCCGCGGTAGGAAACGCAGAAGTGTTTTATGACCGCAACCGTTGTCTCTTTGTATTCATCGGAGAGGGGCGCTCAGTGTATTGGCTACTCCAAGAACGCCTTCCCAAGACACACAGGCTCGGCGATATCCCGCGGTACACAGACAAGGAAGTCTGCAAGGTTGAAGCCCGGAAGCTTGTCACAAGGAATCTTGATATCGTGATTCGGTCTTCCCCAGAGCGCATCACCATGAAAGACATTTGGGAAACGACAGTAAAGTACAACGTGACCGCTACAGAGGAGGCAACGTTCAGGCTATGGCACTGGGGCCGCCTGGTATGCGTTGGCGACAGCGTCCATAAAACAACACCTAACATGGCAGCCGGCGGGAACATGGCAATTGAGAGCGTGGCTGCTCTCGCCAATGGCATTAAACAACTTGCAGACTCATTCGCCGCAACAAAACGCCGCCCAACTCGTGCTGAGATCGAACAGGTGATGTCGGAGTACCAGAAACGGCGCTATGCCCGTGCCAAAAGGGGAGTCGAAGATTCGGGTGTTTATACACAGGCCAACAATATGGACAGCTTACCCGGACTTGTGTTTAGGTACTCGCTACCCTTGATGATGGACGTCCTTCCCGAGCTTGCCGCAAACACGATGATCGCGGCCGAGAAACTCGATTTCCTCCCGCTCCCTTCGACCTCGCTAACGGGCACCATGCCGTACAACCAATCTCAAGGATCCGAGAAGCGCGAAGGCATTCTCAAGCGAATGGCATTCGGCTTTCCCATGTTGCTCCTCCTAGTCTTGGCAGTATATGTCATGGATTTGAACCCAGCGGTGCCCCTCATAGAGGAAGTGCTGGCCAAGGGCAGCGTGGAGGTGGATGGCATCACCGTCCCAATTCAGCGGACCTTCTTTGGGCAGCAAGGCGTAGATGACTGGACGTCTGCGATCAATACGTTCTTTTTTCCATGCATCTATGACCTCGTTGAAGGCGCCTGGCACCAAATCCTTTCGTTTTTGACGGATGGCGTGGTGCTATTGACGGTCTTAATCTATGAGGCGAATCGCAGGGCGAATCACCTCACACTGTTGCAATGGTAAATACCCCTGAACCCCCCTCCATCACTTATTGAGTTGCTTGGGAAGTAACGAACGACACTTAGGCCCATGCTTTTCGCTTTCGCGGCCCAGTTTGTCGGGATTGGCCTCATCGGCCCTATCTACACATTCATCCACTATGTGCTTTCTCCTTTGGACAAGTACGCTGCTTCCGATCAGCGGCTAACAAATGTCCGCGCCACCAAAGCTGCTCTTCCTGCTGTAGCTCTGGGTCTTCTCGTTCCAGTTTACTTAAGCAATGGCATTCCTCCTATCCCACTCTCTCTAAACCCGGAACCCCTCTCTCCAGATCAACGGCTTCGGCAATTTCAATGGCAACAAACCATGCTCGGCATCTTTTTCCAGCCCTATCCGATTCTGGTCTCTGTCTTCCTGTTCTTTATCTCTCGGATTTGGAATGACACCACGGAGGAAGACAAGTATAAAAACACAGGGCGCGACTTGCCAGTAATAGAGTGGTCTGTTGGGCTGGCCAGTATATTCTCTGCTGCACTGTGGATCTGGTCAACGTCGCTCTCTCCCACAAGAATGCAACAAGTCTTCATCCCTAAGGGTCTGCTGAAGGATATTGACAGCATGTGGATTTTCGCGGCAGAGTTCCTGAAGTGGGACGAGGTCTTCGGTCTAGGATCGTACCTTCTCTGGCTCGCCTACCTCTTTTGGGACTTAAAGGTTGCGGGTATGCTAAAGGAGGGCTGGCTGAAGGTTGTAGGGCTTGGATTGCTGTGCTTGTATTGCTTCGGACCTGGAGCCACCATCGGGGCGGGATGGTTGTTCAGGGAGCATATCCTGGCGACTCGAAGGCACAAGGACGCCTTAACACTTGAGAGTGTTGGGAGGCTGCATAAGATGGGGTATCGTCAGGATTAGGATTGGACGGAAGTGAATGTGGTGAACTACGGGATCCCGTAGTTACAACCGCACATGAAGTCGCCAGTGCCTGGAATCAAGTTCTGTCGATGGGCTATTTTGTCGAGGAATAGTTTCATTTACTCAAAATATCTTAGCTTGGCTTGTATAAAGCTGCAGACGTTTAACCCGTAGTTTCCCGGTGATGTTCTGTGAACTTGCTGGTCAGAGCCTGGCCTCGGTGGGCCAGCCGGACCTGAGCAGTATAGGGCCGCAACCACTGGCGGAATCCAGGGTGCGGACACAACACCACTCTCCACGCTGGGGCCGAAGTATGAGCAAGCTCTCACGATAACCGGTTAAAAGCAGACATCTCGGCATGCTTGTCTCTGCAGCAGGTCCTTGCAATTTTCTTGGACTAAACGGAGATAATTATGACAAAGAATTTGAAAAGATGAAGCTACCTCTTTTCGGAATCGAGAAATAGCAGGCAAATACTTTAAGTTCTGAGACATGCTATCTAAGTCCCAATTTTTCAAGCCCCGCCCCACTCATTTCTCCCTGTCCCATGCAGCCAAGCCATGCCATTCTCCTGGTAAATACACTCCAATACACGTAACTTACAACGTAACGTAGCACTAGAATCCATTTTCTTGCATCCGAGCCCGAACCACTAACCCCTAACCACTAACCCAAACCTTAATCTAACCATTACCTACTTGATCTAACCATTCAGGAGTTGTTTGTTGAGTTTTTGTTGGCGATTCTGAAGCTTCTTTGACAGTGGTGCTGTGAATGTAGCCGCGTAGCGTCTTTCTCACAGCGGTGGGGCATTGTTGGGAGGGAGAAAGTTAGGGCTTGATAGACTTGCGTTCTAAAAAAGGACAAGTTGGGCTTCAAGTTTCCTTAGTCAGTGACCCCAAAATTCAGACATCTCTGACAAATATTTGTATCAACACGGTAGGTGCGTGAAACACCTTGCGTCTCCAGTCGTAATCCGATAATGATAAGTTATAAAATGTCATCATGTGCTGGTTTTGCGGGCTTTCCTAGGTTGTTCAATATCTACTACCTATGCTTATCGGAGACCAGGATGGCTTTCCTGCTGACTTCGCAGTGCTCAGCAAATGGGAATGGCAAAAATGCATCGTGGGCAAGCAGCTCAGTCGCTACTCCAGGTTAATAATTCCCCACGGTATCCGAAACTCAGCTATTTTTAACTCGCCTAATACAAATACAGGTCGATATGTGATGCTTGCGTAGCTGTGTGATGTGTAGAAGCAAAAGCGGATGGCTCTCAAAACATGGAGTAAATTGCTTGAACAGCGCGATCGAGTCAAGATTTGATACCAGTACTACGGGCCATGAGTGGCAACGGAACTCCTGATCTCTTCGGCGGGTCGCCACGTGCCACACACAGGAACCAGGAGGATATGGGGAGCCGAGCCAAGGAAATCCCAGGCGGACTCGGATCCGACGATAACTAATTGCCGCGCCTGTCATTCCGCAGCCACCGAGTCCGCCTGAATCCAGGAGCTCCGGATGCTGTCATCAATGCTGCCCAACAGCTCTGTTCCCTCTTAAAGTTCGACCATGTGTATCTTGTGAGAGCCAGCGCCCACCCCCCCAATCTTTCAATACACTCTTTCAGCGCACAGCGAGCGGTCGAAAATGGCACTATGCGTGACATGTAGAATGCTACTTCGGCGGGGAATAGATGCGCTCCAGAGTTTGCGACAGCGACGCGCATTTTCGGGCACAGGAAGGCTATCGAAACCACCAACTGCGCGAGAGCAAGGTCAGATCCCGACACCAAACAATGTCCCAACACTGCCGTTCTGGCAACGGCTCGGCCCGTTGACGAGGGCGGCCGAGGGCTATGCCCGCGCGCAGCGTAAGAGGCCTTACATCACCCAAGTGTGCACGTCACTCTTCATCTATTTATGCTCCGACAGTATGTTATCCCACGTCCGCAGCTTTATTCGCAGCTGTCTCTGACCGTCAGCACAGTCTCTGCGCAAAGCATGGGCGGCAAAGATTACGATCCTATGCGGACAGCGCGGTCGCTCTTGATCGGGTCGATATCGTCGATTCCCAGCTACGAATGGTAAGGATTCCTGTGTTGTGGGTTGATTGATTGTATGCAATGAGCTAATAAGTCCACATCGACAGGTTCGTGTGGCTCTCGAATAACTTCAACTACCCGTCGCGCTTCCTCTCGCTTGCCACGAAGGTCGTCATCAACCAGATCTGCTTCACGCCCGTGTTCAACACATACTTCTTTGGCATGCAAGCTCTGCTTTCGGGAGCGACGTTGCCGGAGACATGGGAGCGCATCACGCAGACGGTCCCTGTCAGCTGTGTGAACTCGTGCAAGCTGTGGCCTGCCGTGACCGCGTTCAGCTTCGCGTTTCTTCCCCTCGAGTACCGGCCGCTTTTCGGTGGCGCCATCGCTGTTGCCTGGCAGACGTATCTCAGCTACCTCAACCGGATCGCGGAGCAGAGCATGAGGGAAAAGCATAAGCTGCTAGGGCAGGCTGGTGCGGCGCAGGCAGAACGAGTGCCGGTGGCTGCATAAGCACTACCTAGCACTATCTCGTATCTAGAGGGCGTATGGCTGTGTTCTATTTGGTCTTTTGGCAGAAGGCATAAATTCCCTGCAGAAGTTGGTGCACATTGGATAGACTTATTACGGGGGCGATATGGCGTTTGGATACACGGATTGGCCGGTTGTTGATACACTTCAAGATTAGTGGTGAGACCAGGTCAAAAAGATCTCCGGTACAGTGTGGATAGCTTCGTTAATTACACTGTATAATCTTGGCTTGGCATAGGGCGCTTGCTCGACCCCTCGGAGTCGGCATCAAAACCAGCCGAAATTTCCCATCGCATCCCCTCGAGCGACGAGCAACCACCCACCGTCCTCCACCGCCGTCCTCGCTTCCATCGAGCCATTGACCGCTGGCTTCGGCCGGCTCTCGGTGTTCACCATGGCGAGCTCATCCCTCCGGGCCCGACACGCGTTCTCAGTGGCAGTTCGGCCTTTTCTGTGCCAGCCCTCGGTCTTTAGCCATGCTGGTCTTCGCCCCGCATCTACCGAGTCCTCGCCTACCACGCCATCATCAGGCCCCGGCTCGGCCAGTGTTGCGCGTAAACTGTCCTACTTCCTTGGCGCTGCCACCGGAGCCCTCGCTGTTGGTGGCATCTACTATTATGTCACAGACACCCGGGCATCCATCCATCGCTGGCTGGTGCCCCCTCTTCTCCGCGTGATCTTCCCCGACGCCGAAGATGCTCACCACGCCGGAACTGCCGCCCTCAAGTTCCTCTACTCCCTTAACCTCCATCCCCGCGAACGCCCGACGCCCGAAACCTCTGAGAACCCCAACCCCCTCGCGGTCAAAGTTTTCGGGCACGAGCTCTCCAATCCAATTGGCATCTCTGCCGGTCTGGATAAAGATGCCGAGATCCCTGACGCTCTCTTCGCCCTCGGCGCCGGCGTTGTCGAGGTCGGCGGCTGCACGCCGCTACCGCAGGAGGGTAACCCCCGGCCGCGTGTGTTCCGTGTGCCGGCCGTTGACGGCCTCGTCAACCGCTACGGGCTAAACTCGCGCGGTGCCGACGCCATGGCAGCTCGTCTGAGGGAGCGCCTGCGCAAATTCGCCATGGGCCTGGGCTTGACGGAACGCGACATGCTGGACCACGAGCCGCTCGGGGATGTGCCGATTGGCAGCCTGCAGCGCGGGCGTCTGCTGTGCGTGCAGATCGCCAAGAACAAAAAAACAGACGAGAAAGACGTAGATGCGGTCATCCGGGACTATGTACACTGCGTCAAGCGGTTGGCGCCATACGCGGATGTCCTGGTTGTCAACGTCAGCAGCCCAAACACCCCGGGCTTGCGTGACCTGCAGGCGGCGGAGCCGCTCGCGAGGCTGTTGCATGCTGTCGTTGAAGAGGCTAAGAGGACGGACCGGAAGACGAAGCCGCGGGTTATGGTCAAGGTGTCACCCGATGAGGACCACGACACCCAGATCGAGGGCGTTGTGCAGGCCGTGTGGATGAGCGGTGTAGATGGCGTTATTGTGGGCAACACGACGAAGCGGAGGGCCGGGCTGATCCCCCCTGGCATCAAGCTTACTTCCAAGGAGCAGCGGGCTCTGCAGGAGGAGGGAGGATTCTCCGGCCCGGCGATGTTTGAGAGGACACTGGACCTTGTTGGAAGGTATCGCAAGATGCTGGACAGCTACACGCTTAAGTCCGCAGAGTTGGACGACTCGTTCCCCCACCAGAAGGTTATCTTCGCTACTGGCGGTATCACAAACGGCGAGCAGGCCCTCAAGGTCCTCAATGCCGGTGCCAGCGTCGCCATGGTCTATACCGGTCTTGTGTACGGCGGTTCTGGTACGATTACCAGGATGAAGAATGAGATGAGAGCAGAGCTGGCAAAGAAGGCCGCAGCAAAAGCTATAGCTGAGAAGACAGATGCGTGATGCCCGATAGTTGATGGAAGGACAGAGCTTTTAAGGACGGTACATATGTACTAAAAACGGTGCTTGTATATCCCGTAACCCCTACCAAGCTGATTTCCTGGCGCAGTATACAGTGTTTCAACATCACTCAACGGATGTTTTTAGACATTTGCTCTTGTGCTATTCAGGAGTATGTACAAAGGAGCCAATTAGAACATGAAAGACAATAGCTCGTTATCGAGTTCTGCCTGGGTCCAAGGCCTAAGATCAGTTGTTCGCTTGTCTGGATAAGGTCCTCAAGATCGTTTGCAAGGAGCACTGCGAGAAGGGCATTGACTTAAAAACTTGATTCCTCCCAGCTCTTCTGCTTTCCTTTTCAGCAAGTGAATGCAGCAGGGCTAGGGATGATATGATTGAGCTAGGCCAGTACGTCAGCAAGTCTCCAATCCTTCTCTCCCAACCGACTCTGTCTTTCGGAAGAGAAACTTACCTTTGTAGGTATCGTTTGTAATAACTGAGCCTGTGGTTCTGTGGGCGCCGGGAACGACACAAGGTTGGTGCTCGGGACAACCGACCCGTCGCCAGAAACGTTAAGCTGGTGGCATACCGGATAGAACTGCGCATCCGGGTAGGTCCACTACGCGTGCAGCACGATGATCTTGTGACGGACAAAATAGTAGACCTTTCTGAGGGAGCCAGGAATGGTGTAGGTGTAGGAAGTTGGGACTTTCATGAGGGCAGTCTGGAAGCGTGAAGTGTCAGTAAGCGGATGCTCAAACCAAGGCTAAATTTGTGAATTGGGAAACTGACAGCTGCCCAGACGTTTGAAGTCTGCTCACGGCCGCCCTCCTTGATCTTGAACCAGACGGGATTATGTTACCACTTGTTAACACTGTTATCTGGAATGGAATGCGGTGAATATGATCATACGCGGTACAAGGTTCCCAGTCCTGGCAGCCAGTGTCAAGGCAACGAGCCATGTGAGTGATGACGGGGCCAACATGGGAGTCGGGCCAAAGTGTCCAACGTAGTGTCACAGTAGACCCTGCTGGGGCAGTAACATGCAGCGGCGCAGGGATAGAGCCTTGATGGCATTGAACATCAATGGGGTTCACGTCTTCAACAGGACTATTGCCAGGAATAGAGCGGGAGACCCTTAGGGGCTTACCAAGTTGTTGTTAACTAAAAACTACTACGAGTCGGTCAGTTTAGGAGAGATCATCACCTTGTTGTTGCCCATGTAATGGTCCATTATATGGCTAAGTGATCAGTGTTTACTGGCATGTTTCACTGTAAGCCCCCCATCATACCTAATAGAACTCCATTGCCCAGTCAGCTAACGATGATAATCCTTAGACTCACAAGTAGCTTTGTCTTAACTGCTAAAATTGACCACCGATTGTAGCATTGTCGACGTAACCATGCGCAACCCAGCAGGCCAATTGTGGCCAAAATGGTTGTCAACGTCCTCATTGTGGCAACTTTAAGAATTATGCTTGCAAACACAACCGGTTTTAGGTTCCTCTTTTGACTCGTGTCTTAAACTTGTCTTTTGGGCTGTGGGGAGGGCCATCGTTCAAACTTGCATCTTTTAGACATCGACAGTAGCCCCATGGACCCAAGGAGTACCCCAACTCCACGAACTCCTTCAATGTCTTCAGGCATCTTCAGCATGCTAAAACAAGTCTATGTCAGAAAACTAACTAATTGTCCACAATAGCCACGCTCATGCTCAAACCCCTTCAGGAGTGAATGCCGATGCGAGCGAACGGTGGATTTTCTAGGACAGGCAATATGACACCTTACGATCTGGATACCACATAGACGTCCTCCATAAAAGCGAAACCTTGGACTTGATGTAAAGGATGTTCTTGTGAGGCTACTCATTTTGGGGTTAGAGCATAGCTCTAGCCATAAACTGTAAATGTCTTGATGGAACATCATGTTCTGAAGCACTTAAACACAAGACTGCGTAAGCAAGTTTTACCTACGAATTAATATGGCATAATGAGGATATGATGACGATAGCAGGATCAACATCCTGGGAGCTAGTTGCGTTGAGTCTCAGTAGGATTCCGAGATGGTCCACAGCCTGGTGAACCAAGCTGAGAGAGCGACGCCTGCCAGCTTCACGTGCATGCATAATGCTCCAGTGCCTTGATCACACAATGTTCTGTAACCACCGGAACCATCTCTACGAGAGTGATCCTCGATGTCAGTTGAAACATGGAGCATTAGGATCCAATTATCAAGGGCGAGCGCTCAAACAAAACACCATCCATAGAGAACCCCGGCGACAGCTCGACGTATCCTACCTTATATGTGGTATATTATCTCTAAGTTGCTGCTATATCACTGACTGTATTGACCTTTTTTTCTTGAAATGATCAACCCTGGCTCCTTGTTTCCTGATCGCTTTGTTTCAGCAACGCTTTCTCATGCAGTAAATACAGGGAGGCCACTGTAGCATTGACTGACTGAAAGCCCGGCTGGCGCAATGGTAGCGCGTAAGACTTCTATTCTACTTTCTCCAGAGTATCTTAAGGTTGTGGGTTCGACCCCCACGTCGGGTGTGGTCAGGCATCTTTTTCTCAGGGGCTCCCTCGTTCAGTGCAGGTCTCAGTTGGTCTGTGCAACACTCTTTTTGGATAGAATTCGCGTTGGTGCCTGATGCCGTTCACAGCGTTGTGGACGTGATGCTTTTTGACGCCCTTTTCACTCGATGCAATACTCAATTGGAGACTGCACGTCAGTGGCGCCGGTTCTTCATGAAGAGTATTTCAGGCTGCATCCTACTAATTTCGACAACATTGCATGAGCGCGCGCTCTCTGACGGTCCTAGGACTTTTTGGCACTTAATTGACTCCACCCTAACAGAACCTCAGTTCTCAACATCTTGGTGGCCTTCCTGGCCATAACGTCATGCTTCATCCAGCTTCGTCTTTTCATAAGTCTCCGATCCGAATCTCAACGGAAGACATACCCCCTTGTTGTCCTCCCACAGCCCTGTGAAGCAAACCTTTCCCTCGTCACAATGATCCTACCCCCCCTCACACTAGTCGGTCTTAGGCAAGCAGATCCCAAGTTCATCGCACATTGGCCCTCAGCGATCGAGACGTTGAGGGTCAGAAATACAAGTTTCGATCTTCTCAACGCAGTTATCATACATGTGCCATCTCCCACAGAGAGTGTAGATCTTCTGGGTCGAGATGTCGACTTTTAGGCAGGTACCTAAACAGCTTGGAGACTTTCAGGTTGGTCCAAACATCGTGCAGTTTTTTGAGATAGGAATGCAAGTCAACGTCGGACAGTCCCTGTGTTCCATCCCGCATGGCTTTTAGCTTTCATCGAGGCCCGACAAGGTCAAAGGCAGGCTGTTCCCGAACGGCAACCAGACTTGCTGCGAGACGAGTTCGTGCTCTCTTGTTGCAGCGGTAATGATGGAGTCTCCTTGAGGCTGGAAAGTGTCAGGCACAGGAGATGATATTTATGATTGAAAAGACTGGGGTGCTCTTCCCTCCACTTCACCCACTCCTATCGCTGGAATGATGCTCTGCCGAAGACACATCACTTTATCACATTTTTTTCTTACAAATTCTCATGGGCCGTCGACCACCCAGCTATTAGCTTGCAGCCGGTTAAGCGAGAGTAGCTACCTAATGGGAAGTCAAAGTCGATTCAGAGCCTATTGCATACCACACGTTGGTAATGATACCATAACACGTTGCAACGGAGTTATTGCCATTACCATTCAATTCTCGGGCCCCCAACCAGAAGGATGATAGAGGAAAGTATCGAGAGCAACTGCAGATACTATTGATCCTACTTAGCAGGATGCATCAATCAACTCTCTTAGAACAATACTCACTGCCCCCTAACAGATTGTGCCACCTCCACCTCAAAAAGGAATTACGAAACCCGCTTTATGACCTCTGCTTACAGCTTATCTAAAAGTTACCGGTCATTCCGGTGTCTCCTAGTGTCCATTGAAACTTTTAACCCTGCTAAGAGGCTTTGAGAGGAACGAGCATGCCAACACCCTCAAAGTAACCCCTGAGGCCATCCTCATCTTCTAGATCCATCACAGCTCCAATATAGCCGTCAGGACGGATCGCAGCGCAGCATCCCCTTTTCTTGTCTATTTCCAGTCGTTCAAAAGCTCTGCCGTGGCCATCATGGGCGCTTTCCCCGTCGGCGAAGACCCGCCAGTAGTCGTATCCGATCTTTTCGCTCCAAGGCCGGTAGATCTCATGAAGATCAGTCAAGTGGAAGCGGAAGCGGTCGGATGAATGTATGAGGAGGACTTCAATTGCAGGTTGATCCTCCGACTCAGGGGCTCCAGGCCGGTTAGGAGACATCATAGTCAGTGAACCAAGTCCCCTGGTATGGTTCGCTAAAAAATCTCCTAGGCGTTGCACCTTGCTAAACTGCTCTGCATCATCGATGTCTCCCGCAAAGACTATAACGCGGAAGGAGCCTGTGGCCTTCATCCTACTCTGCAGTCGAACGGGTATTCCATCTGCATGATAAACAACCTGGACATCCTGCAAACGCTTTCCAGGAACCAAATCAGCCTTGAGTAAGCTCTCTCCTAGCTCTCCGACCCCTCTAGGAAGCTGGACAAGGCATGAGGGAGGATATCGAATTGACAAACCAGTCGTGAACCTCATTGCCTGAATAATCTCTCTGTTCAAGCTTGGAGAAGGCTCAGCGAATAGTTTCAGGTAGCCACGATCGAAAGCAATAAGGTCCTGGGCAATTGGTCGGCGTTCTGTCTCGTATGTCTTGAGTAGTCGCTCAGGATGGGCCATAATCCGACCTTGAAGGACAAGCCGGAGTTTAAACCCAAGATTGTACGCATCTTGGATTGAGGTGTTCATACCTTGCCCAGCCTTTGGGGAATGCGTGTGAACAGCGTCACCCACAAGGAATGCCCGTTCATTATGAGTCGAAAATTTACTGCCCACTCGTTGGCCAACACGGTAGGATGACCACCAGGATACGAAGCCCGCTTCAAGAGTGTAAGGGGCCATCATTCGGCGAGCAGCTTCCATGATTTGGGGAAATGTGACATTTCCGGGGTCCGATAGAGCCCCCCCTTTTTCAACGGGGATGTATAGACGAACTTCTTTGTTACTTCTTGGGATAACGAGGATCGTGCCGCCAGTAGCATTTCGGATGTAACACGCTCTTCGAATATCAGGGAAGTTCGTCTTTGGGATAATATCGATCACGCCTAGACCTCCCAGGTCAGCAGATAAAATCCAACTGAGCCAACCCGTCTCATTCAGGAACACCAACCAAAAACTGAATCTGTTAAGTCACCCTCAAGAATAACGCCCAGTTGCTTGCGCAACCAACTATGCGCTCCATCACAGCCAACAATGTACTTCGCTCGTATAGTCTCTTCGAAGCCTTCTTCCCGAACCGGCTGCCCCAATGTTGACTCATTGCCCTGGTCCTGGATGGAAGTAAATGTGATGGTCACTGGGTAGGAGGAAGCATCGTGTGGACAATGTGGGTCGATGGTAACAGCCACGGGAGCCTTGCCGTACCTGATTTTGATATTGTCATGAGAAATGAGGTTGTTCAACAAGTGATACTCGACGACACCTACGGCAGTTTAGAACCATGTGTTCATAACAGAAGGGTTTACAAGGCTTGTTTGCCCACCTTGCTGAAGTATGCTCTCTCGAGGCTTTCCAAGTTCAGGGACCTTATCAAAAAGGATTTCCTCTCTGACGATACCAGGCTCAGTAGCTGAAGGACCCCAGATTGCAATTTCTTCGATCCTCCAGGATTCTGCTTCAATCTGGGGACCAATGCCAAATGTCTCGAAGATCTCATTTGTTGTACTTTTAAGGCCATCTGCCTTCCCACGACATGTTGGGCCATGCTTTTTGTCGATTACTAAAACCGTGATGTTGGAATGTCGGAACCAATTGGCCAGTGTGAGTCTGTAAACCATTATCTGTCAGCTGATTAAGTTCCAAGAGTGTATCATCATCTAAGTTCAGAAGCATATGACAAACCCAGCCGGTCCTGCCCCAATGATTATCACATCCACTTCTTTGATCGCAGTCATCATTATGAAAGTCGCACGTGGAGGGTCCAAGGGTTAGATACTACCGCTAGACATACGATGATGGCTTGCGTGCCGCAGGAAGATTGTTAAGAGTATATGGGTGGCGGAAAAAAATGCAAAGGTGCCGTAATAGGTGTCATGCCGCTGGGCCCCCACCTTAGGCTACCCTCTTGGGGAAAATGTTGAATATATAAGTGAGAGTGAATGAGGGTCCAGGGAGTGGTATGAAGTAAAATAGCCAAGACAATGGCGTGAAAGAGCTTGATGGCTCCTTTCTTCTAGAGCAGAGTGAAGAGTCAGATGAGGCTAAATGCAGATCATAACCCCACCCAACACACCCTTTTGGCAAACAAAAACAATGCCCCTTTTAGGGCTATCCCATCGTTCAAGCGACAAGGCACCTACCGACTTGAAGAAAATCAAGGGAAAAGCGTTGTTTTAGGGCTGGAAGGTGCTAACCAGGTCGAGTGCAAAGTTCAGGTATGGTTTGTAGGATGAAATTCCCGGAACTGCCTTTCTATTCACATCCCGAGATCATAACTCCCTTGATTCTAAGTAGGATAATGTAGAGAACTTCACCGAACCGGCTACTCACATATCCCTGGATAAACATGTCATGCAGTAATCTATCTGTGCTCGTTGCCCGTCATTAATCGGAGACAGGCTATATTGGCTTGGTACCGGAGGACTCAAATTCAACTGTGATATCTCTATTGATGTTGTGAAGCTAGGCTTTTCCATGAAACTTACAATGATGATCGATCAGCAGGCATCGAGACTTTATAGAACGTACAGAAAATACTTATTAGAGTTGCGTCTAAGAAAAAGGGGTCCTCAACTTAATGCAAAGACAACAGCCCCATCATATTGATATTTCATGCTAGGTGTGGCAATGAGGACATATGTGGTTGTCAGTATGCGGACAGCAATCCTGAGACATAAGATTGTAAGTAGAAAGGTGACACTGCAGCTGGTTTGTATGCCACTGTTTGACACATCAGTTGTGTCAACTACGAATTCCAGTGAAGAAATATCCCGTTGAATTGAACATAGAACCAGAAAGCATGTTTTGAACTGATGTCAAGAGAGAGAACTATAAAGATTTCGGGCCCAATGTAGTCACAAAAGGGTTTGAGAATGTAACACGTGCTGAGATCAAACTTGACACCAAAAGACAACTCACTTATGGGCCTCATGTCTGGGTGCCGAATATCAAAGATCAGGATACAACTCAGCCTGTGTGTGCCAAACAGGGCCCTCCTATTTCGTATTCGGAACAATAAGTTCCCATGGACCAGGAACATGAGCACACGAACTATTCCGGCTCCAAGTGAAAAGGGAGCTTGAGGGTGGAGTTTGCTCTGGATTCGTCCATGAAGCACAACATGTTCTGTGCAACAGATCTATGGCCATCCAGAGCTAGCCTGTGTTTGATTGCTGATATGGCTTCCTGGACCCTAGCCCCTTCCCAAACCAGGAGGTCTCGGCATCGGCCTCTTCTTTGATTGGCTTGCATGACCAATATAATGCCTGTTTCTTTTGTTGATATCTTCTTTCAGCTCTTTACAGGATGCAAGCGCTGACTGGATGCAAGGGTCTCTCATGGTGACATCAAACCCCAGTAGGACAAGTCAAAGCGGGGTAAATTTACTAAATCCCATCCTCCTGAGACTATTTAGCCTCGTGTCCCTGGTTGTGCGACCCGCTGGGCATGTTTGCTTCTTCATCCCGGGAGACTTCGGCATCGGGAACTTGAATTCGCCTGAGATTTGTTGTGCTTACCTCATCTAACCAAAACGGGGCCACAAGAATTGGCAAGTATGTACAATCCCGTGTCGCGATTGCAACCACCTTCAATCTCTCCTGCCATCGTCGGTCTGAGCCCATCAAAGCTGGAGCGCCTTCGCCGTTGTTGGTTGTGATGCTCCGACTAGCTGCTAAATGTCCGAGAAAATAGCAGGACAGCTGACGAGTGACCACTCTGTTGAGTCTCAATCAAGAATCACGTCAAAACTCGTCAAGCGCCACCGAAGTTCCTATAGCAAAATGTCGACTCCAGCATTTGATCCCACCAAGGCATACAAGAGATTCGAAGTCAATGGAGCATTTGTCAGTATTTCCGTGAATGCCAACATGTTTTCATGACCAGACAGCCATGCTGATCACAACGCTTGACTACAGTTGGGTGATGGCCGAGAGGTCGCGCTCCTCGAATATGTGTATAGCCGACCGGACCTTGACCAGCTCAGGGGGAATCCATCGAGAGTCCTTCAAGCTATAGATGAGTTTGCCAGGACGCACACTGGTCTGATCAATGTCGGCGAGATCAAGGGTGCCATTGTCTGCGATACCATTGCCAAGTATAAGCCTGCTATCATGGTTGAGTTGGGCAGCTACGTGGGCTATTCAGCCATTTTATTTGGCAATGCTTTGAAGAAGGCTGGTGGGAAGGCTTACTACAGCATCGAAAAGAGTCCCCTTTTTGCTGCCATTTCCACAAGTCTCGTGGACCTTGCCGGTCTCCGCGATACGGTGCGAGTCATCGTTGGCACAGGCGAAGAAGGGATTATGCGGTTGCACAAAGAGGGTGTCCTTGAGCCGAAGGTCGACATGTTTTTTTTTGACCATCACAAACCCTCCTATACGCCGGATCTCAAAGTTTGTGAGCGGCTAGGGTTGGTTGGAGTAGGCACGGTTCTGGTGGCCGACAACATGATTCAGCCAGGTAACCCAGCCTACATGGCATATGTGCGCGCCAGTGTTGCGGAGAAACGGGAGTTGGACAAAGAATCGACGGAGAAGGGGAATCCGAATCTCCAATACCGTAGTCAATTTATCAAAAGCTTCGACCCATCCGGCGACGAGGATGCACTGGAAATCACGGAATGTGTCGGGGTTGAGGCTTGATTGACAGCAGAGGAAGCATAAGGGAATGCATTTTTGGTTGAGCCTTTTGAGAGTCAGCTGAATAATGACTGGTTGAAGTTATATGTCGCTGAAAGATGGTTGTTCTGCAGTTAGGTGACAGCATGGATGCATCCAGCGTTCCAAGAGTCCGTCCCGGTCTTGTTATCTTGTCGCTTCTGGTGATCTCGTACATCAAGGATAATATTGGCGTTAGTTGACTTTGCGTTTGCTTTCACCATTGTCACTAATGCTCCATGAATGCTAGATGTGGTTGCGTCACTAAGACCTCAGTGTTGGTAAAGGGATGCCAGGTTCCCAAATGTTTCTGCTTTTTTCCAACGAACAAACTTGGATACCAGTCTGGTTCCAGGAGCTTTTGAAGTTAGTTGGGAATGCCGGCACCAACTCTCCAGGTAAACACATATCAGCCGCAAAGTCAAGGAGACATGAAAGCGCGACAAGACGTGTGCCGGAACTTTGGCAAGCTACTGATGGTGCGTACATTACAGAGATGCGGAGCTGATTTATTCGCTGCTTATCTGACATCTGCAATACAGCAGATACAATGGCCAAGTGAGTCAAACTAGAAAGTAAACCTAAGGGGTGAAGAGCCTGATCAGATGATAAAATGGATCATTGGGCTCTGAGTCCAGGGCGACATGGGACGCTTATTGAAATCCGGGTTAGAAAATCCAGCCCTGCTATGAATTGGCAAGATTTAGCGTGACCGGAGAAGCGAAAGCCATCCAGTTTTCTGAATGCTTTGTTTTGAGTATGTTCCTTATCAGAGTCCCGGATCATGGTCCTAGATTGCGGTGTTGATAGCGTTGAGGTTGACTGACAACGGCCTTACAATAGTTCCGGGAAGTAGGCATCTTGGGGTTGAAAGAAATCGGAACCTACGAGCCGAGTTATTTGATTCAGACACTCTAATTTACACTTAAGGAATCCCAAAAGTGATCTTGGCTTGGTACCAGGAAGCACGGTCGTGGTATAGAGTACGTATGAAGCTGAGAAACTGGGAGTGCAGATAACATGATGATTTATTACATATGCATTAGTGCCCTACCTAACAGCAGTTGTTTCGATGATTCTAGAACGGCCTGTTGTAAAAATTCTTCTGGCTAAGGCAGCACGCATGAATGTTTACGCTAGCGGCAGCTACTTTAAGTAGAGTGGACCCCTAACCCTGATGATGGCCCACATCAGATCTCGGGTCTGCCAGAGATCACTCCGCATGGGGAGCGGGGTGGGGGGTTTCAATCTCCATGCGTCCACTCTTGTGGATTTACTGTTGGAATTCAACGACAGGTCCCTGGTAGAAATCTGGGTTCTTCGTCTAAAGAAAGATACTAAATTGGGCCAGAGACATTGAAAAACTACGGATGACGAGATCGTCGAGCCTTTTCCAAAAGTCAGATGATCTTCGAATAAGACCCGTCTGTGGTGGCTGTTTGGCTATACAGCTGGGAAATTGTTAAGGCAGGAGTGGAATAACGTGAAGCCGAAACACAAACGGCCACGCAAGACTGTTTGAGTTGGCTTCGACGGTTGCGTGAGATGCCCAAACAGGTGGCATATTGATGACGGCGCTCGTCACCCGCAGCTCTCCTCTGTTGTCGCTGAGGCTGAACACGTTGATGGCTGCCTCTCGCTCGCCTTGCCGGTATCACTTCCCGCTGCACGTCGTGTTCCCTCGCTTCGCAGTAGCTTCCCCGTTTCACTTTGGTGGGACAGCCCTAGAGGACCCCCTGCTAGCTATCGCTGCATCTGGTAGCCGGCCCCGCGCCACCTTTCGTCATAGATCAGGGCCAACAGAGCTGGTTTCTCTAGGCTTCTTCCCCGTTTGGCCGCTGCATCCTTTTCCGATCCGATATCAACAAGATTTTTTATTGCGTCGAGGCCCCCCCTCGAGGGACGCACAGAATGGCGTGGGAACTGAATCGCCGCCTGCTACTTCGAGTCCTCAACCACAGATACATCTATGGCAGAGTTGTAAGTGGTCTTCTTGGCTCGGTGGTCGCGTGGGTCAACTGGCCGGTGGCAACTTTTCATCACTTTTCATCCCAATCCGCCGACCCTGTATCATCCATATTGTCATGCCTATTCCTACGGCTTTTTGGCTTTTAGTCCTCGCCGCTCGCCGTTTCTGCAGAAGCAGATGCTAACTAGAGTGTGTGACCACTTAGCCGCTGTTGCATGCCATCGTTCTACTGGTACAGATGGCTATCATGGCGCGGCTCATAAGCCGGTTCAACACGTACTACGATGAACGGCCTCGTGCGTACCCTCAAAGCTGTTGACGCTTAGTCCCGTTTGATGTTATGCCAATCTTAGTCATTCGGGAGGAATCAATAGACACTAATGGTGATGTTCAACAGTCCTGACTATGATGGTTTCCAACTCCATACTTGGAGGGATTGCCGACACTGTCGCCCAGACGATCACTGCGATCCGACAGCGAGCCCTCAGAAAGCATCCAAATGGTCGGCTGGACCCGCGTGAAGATGCCCTTGCTATTGAAATCCATGAGCTGGACCGCAAGAATCCGTTTAGCAAGCATGAACTAATCCCCGAATCGAAACTGTTGCCGCCGCCGTTCGACTTTGAACGGCTAACTCGTTTCATGGCGTACGGCTTCTTCATGGCCCCAATCCAGTTTCGTTGGTTTAAGTTCCTGGAACGGTCGTTTCCTATTACGAAGTCCAGTGCCTTCCTGCCCGCCATGAAACGAGTGGCCTTCGACCAGCTGATTTTCGCACCATTTGGTGTCGCTTGCTTTTTCACAGTTATGACAATTGCCGAAGGAGGAGGTCGCCGCGCCGTTTACCACAAGATGAGGGATATGTATGTGCCAACTTTGAAGGCAAACTATATGATTTGGCCAGCTGTGCAGGTGATCAACTTCCGCTTGATGCCAGTCCAGTTCCAGCTGGTAAGTTGGTTTTGCACTGCCATTCTCTGTCTGTAATGTCGCTCTGCACGATTCTGTTTACTAACTACTCCTCCCATAGCCGTTTGTATCAACAGTTGGAATCGCTTGGACCGCCTATTTGTCCCTCACAAATGCCGCTGGAGATGTACAAGAAAGTCGACTTCTGCAGCCGGGGGAAATTCGACTGCCGTAGAACTCCAAGGTTCAATGCCTCCACCCTGACGCTTAAAGTAAGTGATGGAAAGCATACAGTGTTCTTTGGATAGGGAAGGCGGCAGTACCTTTTTTTCCCTCCTCAGCATTGGCAAGCCTTTGAGATGGGATTGGCTTGTCCGGATACTGATTAACTTTGATATTGATAAAAAGACATGGGCGTCATTGGGTACATGACTTGACGACATGAGTCCCTTGGCGAATGGAGTTTTGGCGCGTCATCGTTTCCATTTTACGTTCTGATTATGGGCAAGCGACGCCCATGTAGTTTACAATTGAGTTCGGGTTACAGTTGTCTTCCTCGAACATCAGCTCTCTTTTATTTCTATAGAATGCCTATGTGCAGTGATAACAATATTCTTTTATCCAATTGAGATACTTGGAAGTCTATTGATTCGCCGATATTTCGATTTTGACAATAATTTGTTCCTGACAAGCATCTGACTTTCTTTCTCAGAGTCAGAAAGTTCCCTCTGTGGCCACAGTATCTGTTCCCTGGTGGCCTGACAGCCATATGTGGTTTGCCCTCAAGATGATAGGCAGGTTTGCCATGCACGCGGAGCGGCAAGTGAACGAAAGACGATCAAGTGCCCCGAAGACACCGTGATGGCCACATGCTTAACTGGGCTGATCCGGGGTTCTTTTCTTTTCTGTGATAAGCGGAGCGCGTCTTGGCTGCCTGTCACCGGGGCATAGCCGAAAACCGGCGAGCAGGAGCCTGTCTCGTTAACATAAAGCTTTTGGAGTGGATCATTAGCGAGGAAACCTATCGTGGCGACAAGTAGAGCATATTTGAAGATAGATAGGAGCAGGCTGTTGGCGGCATGATATTGATGAAGCAAAATCGCATGAGGTAGGGCGAAATGAAAGGTTTGCTAGGCGTCGACCAAGCTCCGTACTCGGCTCTCCGATTGCTTAAACTTATTTTGTCGAACTCTGGAAGCGAAGCTAGCAGAAGGAAACCAATCAGCCAACCATCGGGCGACGTCACAGCTCAAGCAGGCAACCCCACCAAGTTTTATTACCCCTCTACCCCTCCACCCCCCTCCATCTCACCAAGCACCACCAGCTCAGCCTCTCTTCACTGCGCCTTTTTGCACCAACTTCCTGCAAAATACTGGACCTTGTATCGCGATTGAGAACATTCTTCATTCGACAAACACTGAAAAGAGTTGTCAAGATGTCGCTGGCAAACAAACTGTCGATTGAGGACGTCGATCTCCAGGGCAAGCGTGTCCTGATCCGCGTACGTGCCAGATGGACCCCCACGCTGTCACTATGGCAATTGAGCAGCTGAAGGCTGACACGATCTGCATCACAGGTTGACTTCAACGTGCCTCTCGACGCTGACAAGAAGGTCACAAACAACCAGCGCATTGTTGGCGCCCTTCCGACCATTAAGTACGCCATTGAGCATGGCGCTAAGGCTGTTATCCTCATGTCTCACCTCGGCCGCCCCAATGGCAATCCGAACCCCAAGTACTCCCTGAAGCCGGTCGTCCCTGAGCTCGAGAAGCTCCTGGGTAAGAGCGTCACCTTTGCTCCGGATTGCGTTGGGCCCGAGGTTGAGGAGATCGTCAACAAGGCCGATAACGGTGATGTTGTTCTGCTCGAGAACTTGCGCTTCCACATCGAGGAGGAAGGCAAGGGCACTGATGCCGAGGGCAACAAAATTAAGGCGGATAAGGCCAAGGTTGAGGAGTTCCGCAAGGGGTTGACCAAGCTGGGTGATGTCTATATCAGTAAGTTTCAAGACTCGCGCTTAATCAGAATGTGACGCAATGCTAATCCATTACTCTCTTACAGACGATGCCTTCGGTACTGCGCATCGCGCCCACTCTTCAATGGTCGGCGTCGACCTCCCGCAGAAAGCTGCTGGCTTCCTCATGAAGAAGGAGCTCGACTACTTCGCTAAGGCGCTCGAGAACCCCAAGCGGCCATTCCTGGCCATCCTGGGCGGTGCCAAGGTGTCTGACAAGATCCAGCTGATCGATAACCTGCTGGACAAGGTCAACACACTCATCATTTGCGGTGGCATGGCCTTCACTTTCAAGAAGACCCTGTACGGTGTCTCGATTGGCAACTCGCTCTTCGACGAGGAGGGCTCCAAGACTGTTGCCGATTTGATGAAGAAGGCCGAGAAAAACAACGTGAAGGTTGTGTTGCCGGTTGACTACATCACTGCTGACAAGTTTGACAAGGACGCCAACACCAGTACGGCTACTGATGCCACCGGCATTCCTGATGGCTGGATGGGTCTCGACTGCGGTGAGGAGTCCGTCAAGCTCTACAAGGCTGCCATTGAGGAGGCCGAGACCATTGTCTGGAATGGCCCTGCTGGTGTTTTTGAGTTCGACAAGTTCGCCTCGGGCACCAAGGCCACCCTTGATGCGGCTGTCGCTGCCGCCCAGAACGGCAAGATCGTCATCATTGGCGGTGGTGATACCGCTACTGTTGCAGCGAAGTACGGCGTCGAGGACAAGCTCAGCCACGTCTCGACTGGCGGTGGTGCCAGCTTGGAGCTGCTCGAGGGCAAGGCTCTGCCTGGTGTTGTTGCGCTGAGCGAGCGGAACTAAATTGTTGCTGTTTGATTGGGGTGTTGTGTTTCCATGGGTTACATATGTCACATTGCTGTGATATGAATAGCACTAGTTGAGCTGGAGCCAGGCTTCCAGCAGCTCAAATACCTCAGTGTTGCTAAACGTATGCCTTACTTGGCTGTAATAAAAAGATTTGATCCCAACCTCCGTTTCTGAGAGACGATGCCCCCCGAGGATGTCACAGTTCTGATCATGCACATCCAATCAGAGAGGATGGGGAATATAACCCGGTTAGGGTTTAGCAGAAAATAACATGCTGCTCACTAGATTCATCGTGCCGTTCCATCTTCTCTCACTTTGTTTTTCTATTTTTTTGGTATAGTGGCATTCTCGAAAGCTGTCCTGATGAAAACGGCACGTCCCGTCAACAGATTTTACCGCTTTCTTGCCGCTTCGACCTTCTTCAACTCCTCCCTATTGCAACGTATTGTCAGCTACTGTCCTCTGAAACTCTAGAGTCCTCGGTCAATAAACATACTTGAGTTGTGTTGAGAAATCGTCAGTAGTATCATCGTCGTCCCACGACTCCTCCCACAAGTGCTGTGTCGCCCCGCCGCCATTGGCAGCTTCTGTCTCCTCCGCCGGCCAGTCTAGATGCGGATTGCATGTCAGCCCTCTAAACCTTAAATACGGTAAAGGCTGTTGTCCTTTTTGCACGTACCATCGACAGGGAAGTCCTCAAACTCGTCGTCCTCCTCCAGCACTGCCGGCTTCTGCTCAACAACAGTCTGCTCTTGCTTCGTGTCGGCGGCGGACTTGTCGTCCTTCTTGGCAGCAGTTTGTGATGACGCCATTTTGAATAGTACCTGGTGGGAAGTAGGAGGATGTGTCTCCTTAGAATGGGAGAAGAGATTGAGTTCTGGCTCTTCTGCTCGGGGGTATTGGAGCCTAATCGAGATGAGGTTCGCGGCCAGATAACGACGCAAAGAAAAGGCGAGGGGTTATGATCTGGCGTAGAGTATTCCAAACAATGGATTAATATGCTGTCTGTGGCCAGAGCTGAACAAGGTGAATGTAGGAGGTCTCAATGCGAGGACACGATTGATGCGGGATGGACTTTAAAGGTTGCTGGCAGTTGGTGATGCAGGTCGGCGCTGCGCGATCGCTGAGGCCTTGTTCCTGGTGGGTTGACTGTCGCCAAGACTCGGACCCGCTGAGCGCGGACAGTGCTCAAAAGTGCCATGTGGACTGTATCAAACACGTATTAGACACTGTACTTATGGTTTTCTTTTGTTCTTTTTGCCTGCCTTATGTTATTGAAACTGTCCATAACTGCAGACTTCGGACGAATTTACCGACTGAACTGAGTTGGGCCTTGATTTTGTCGCCTTTCGAACTTTGAAATTCGCGATAATCTCCCCGTACCTGTCTCATGAGACCAGCGCTTCCAAGATAGCACTCACCTGGGCCAACCGGCTTACATCTGTACAAAAGGGCTGAAAAGACAGGATTTGACTGCCGGTGACTCTTCCAACAACGTATCCGTGTCCGTAGAGGGATGGACCATATGTTTACGCTGTTGATTCATGATGTTTAACAACGGAAATTTTCAGCCATAGCGCATTGTTGAGTCAGATATTGCAGTATATATAAAACATTACCTGCACCACTGCATGTTTGAAAACGTTGGGATCGAGATTGTCGAACCGACCTGGTATTTTGATGGCGGGGCTTCAGGCTCACGCTGCGGATCGGGAGAGGACCCCGTCTGGGCGTGTCCACCGTGCCCACCACGCGAACAAGGCCCTGCGGCTCTGCCGACAACGCGAAACTTCGGCCTTCCAGGTTACCTGGTTGACGCTTCTTCGCTGCCCGGCCGTTCAAAGCCGGGTTTGCCGGCTCGCCTCTCAAGTTCTGCGGGCTTTTCCATTTGCATTTTAACCCGCCGATGTGACGAGGAGGCAGACCGGCTTCTCTACCCCAACTACTTGCCTTCCTGCCGCCGATACAGTCCCGTACTCTCCGCAAGCCACGCAGGCTTCCCTCTAAATGGCCAGTCTGCGCGCCTGGTTTCGCGGCACATCCGCTGCCCCGACCTCAAAGCCTACCTCCAAGTCCACGACCCCCAACTCCAGCCCACGACCCAGCACATCCAGCCGAGATGGCAGAACAAAGCCAGTCGAAAGCCTCGTCGAGCGTCGAGCCCGGGATATCGAAGATGCAATGGCGGCCGCCGAACTTATCATGAACGACGACATGGAGGGTGCCGATGTGCGGCTCCGTCTGAGAGAGGACTCTTCTACGTTTCATCAGTTCGGTTTGGGCGTCTCGACGTTTGTGAGGAGCATTCTTGGATTCGAGAAGGAAACAATGACAGAGGCTGCCAATCGGCTGAATGAAACCGAAACCCGAGCATCGGAAGATATGAAGAGGGTACAAAAAGAAGCAGCAGTTCCTGGATGGCAGGGAAGCAAGGTCTATCCCCCGGGATCCGAGTTTGCCCTTGTCCATGCTGAAGCCCAGGTGATGAATGCCGTGGTCGGCGTCATGCATGAAAGTTTGACGGAGGCAATTAAAGGCTTTTACAAGTTGCGCAAGGCCTATGTCACGCTAAATAGCATTATCGAGGCCGAGGAGCGGTATCTTGCTTCTGCTGGGGTTGCTCTTGGTCATGAGAAGCCATCTCCGCGGCGACCAAGTTTTGCTGAGGATCCCATGCCTGGGACGTTTGACGAGTCGGAGTTCGCAGATTTAGAAGACTCACAACCAGACAGTCAAGATTGGACATTAGTCGCTAACAACAAGAGTCCGACTTCTAACGGTTCCGCGACGGTGGTACCGGATGCTACAGAGTTGAGCGAGAAACTCGACGGTCTAAGCGTTAGCTCAGAGTCCCTGAAACCTCCACAGCCTTCACCATCACAGTCCAATTCGCAATTACGTGCCAGAAATGGTTCGAACCACCTCGACTCTGAAAAGGATCTCTTCAAATCTACCGCCGATATCTGGGTACACAGCGGTGCAAACATGTGCTTCGGTGTCATGCTTCTGCTCCTCTCTCTCGTGCCACCGGCCTTCTATCGTTTGCTGTACATTATCGGATTCAAGGGCGACCGCGACAAAGGACTTCGCTTATTGTGGCAGTCCACCAAATTCCCAAACATCAATGGCGCCATGGCAGGATTAGTGCTGCTCAACTACTACAATACCTTCCTCGGCATGGCAGATATCCTTCCCTCTGACCATGATCTCAACGAACTTCCTGGCTCCATTTCGGACAATAACGGCACTAGCATCCGTGATGATGAACTAGAAACAGTGGGGTATCCGGTAGAAAGGTGTGCCTCTTTGCTTGCTGAGTTGAGGAAGCGGTACCCTGACGCCGGTCTTTGGAAGTTGGAAGAAGCGCGAATGCTGGCCAATTCGCGAAGGCTTGATGAGGCCATCCAACTCCTGTCTACTAATATGGATAACAAGATGCGTCAAATTACAGCACTGAACAACTTCGAGCTCAGCATGAGCACTCTTTACGTCATGGATTGGCCTGCAATGCGAGACAATTTCTTGAGGTGTGTTGAGCTGAACAATTGGAGCCACGCATTGTATTACTACATTGCCGGCTGCGCAGAGATCGAGATGTACCGCGATAGTTTCCATCGTGCTGCAGCTCTTCAAGGAGACGATAAGCAAAAGGAGAGGATATCTCTTCAGGCAGAAGCTCTGAAGCACAAGAAGATGGCTGAGGAATATCTGCGCAAGGCGCCCACCACGGCCGGTAGGAAGCGGTTCATGACACGCCAACTGCCGTTTGAGGTGTTTGTATGCCGGAAGCTGCAGAAGTGGGAAGAGAGAGCCAAGAGTTTGGGAATTGACCTTGCCGATGCTGTCGCCGTCAGTCCTGCGATGGAGATGATCTATCTATGGAATGGTAGCAAACGGATGGCGCCCAAGTACCTGGAGAAGGCTAGGACTCTTTTGTCGTGGGACCGCTGCACCACGACAGCAGAAAAGGTGGCCAAGATCAAGCAGGAACAGGATGAGGTTGCGATCGCTCTGCTCTCAGAATCAGCGCTGTTGAGGCAGCTGGGTAGAGGACAAGAGGCGCGGGCTTTGGTTGAACCTCTGTTAACCATGGACAAGTATGCTCCCCTATGCTTAGTCCTCCTAATGAATTTGTGCTAACTTAACTTATCAGATATGCATTCAAGGGCGCCACACGAGACGACTACTGCCAAGCTGCAGCTCACTACGAAGTCGCCGCAATAGCGTGGATGGATCTTTGCAATCCTTCTTCCTGGCCGAATGGATCTGCTGCGGATGTCGACGCTTTTCGTCAGCAAAAGGCGAATGAGTGTCAGCAGTACCTCGACAAAGTCTCTAAATGGGAAGGCTTTGTCTTAGACGCCCGCTTTGGGATGAGGGTCAAGGCCGGCTTGGAGACAGTACAGTGGCTGAAGGCTAAGAGGAAGTGGGCATGATCATATATACACAACTGACGGCACATCTCGGGTCATCGTATTCAATCTCTATGCCAGAAGATTTTCCTTTGACTGGAGATTGATTATTGAATGAGCTTGTGTGCTTTTTGAAGATCGGGGAATGTGATCTCCAGCAAGCGTGTGTTTCTGGCTATGCGTGAAACAGTAAAGGTCATGAAGCATATGTCGCAGGGTAAGGGGAACGGGTCTGGTTTGAACTTAAGCATTTATACTGCATCGTTATAGAGTACTGCAATACCCAGATGATACAATGCTTTTTTTACTCTTCACCTACCGTTTATCTCCAGGTCCCATGCCCCCACGATTGCTCTGTAGGAATAATTCTTTCACCCTCCAACCTTCAGAAAGCATATTGTGTCATGAAGAGCTTCCACTAATATGTATAATTGAAGGATCAAGTGCCATACGTACCTATGCGATATGTGAAATGTGCTGTCAACGGCCATGGCTCCAAAGGCTACCAGATTAGGCGAGCATCCTTGGGAGAACAACGGTGCTCTTGCGACCCTGTTCCTTCGAAGAGACCATATGACGTCAGTCAGACCAAGCAACCGAACTCCTGGGCGGTCGGAGTTGGCAAAATCCCAAACCCTCGGAACGCCCGAAACCAAAGGAACGGCAGACCGTGTGTATAAGGTCCGAACGACACGGCATGAAATTGACGGTTCCGTTCTTGAAGTCTGAAGGTTCTGCCCATATGTTTGAGATTTTATCTTTACAGGAGAACGTGAATATTACAAGACCTTTGTGCATTATATGCGAAACGTCTGGCTTTGCAGAGAGACACTCGTATGTTCATTGGTTTCAATTCATATTTTCGAGTGTCTCAAACGATAACACGGTGTGCAGTACAGCGGCAGACCGACAGCCCCAAGCTCTTAGTCGCTTTTTTTTTTGGCTGGACTTGGAACCAGGCTGTTGCACAAGATGGGGAAAGACCTATTATTAATAATAAGTACACTTGGAACTCCTCCCCTTCCCCCCCAACGTTGCACTGAGAAATGCACATACTCGTCGTAGGAGCTCGTCCCAAGACAGTATCTGCCAGCCTGGATCCAGGGGCTTGATGATTCTCAAAAGTCTTATGTGTGTTACGGTATTCTAATGCCTCACAATGCCTCCCTACACATGTATATTTGATAGGAAAAATCACGGAATTCACTGCCGATGCTCCCAGGATGGCCACAGCCTGGCTCCCACCAACCGGGTGCGCGGATTCGGCACTGCAGGGAGAATTGGAGGGACCCGTGAGGGCCAGGGAAAGGCAGCTGCAGTTGCACTCGCTCCGGGTTGGTGGAAGCGTGAGATGCATGCATGGGGGAGTGGAGCAGCTGGAGATCACATCCAGGGGTTGAGAGCACAGGCCAATATTAGAGGTCAATGCGCGTCCTCCTCCGCTCACTGGTCCCTCGCGTCATTTCACCTTAGCTTCCAACCTTCTGCGCCTTTCTTTGCGCAAACAAGCATCTGTTGCTGCAGCTTGCTGTCGGCTGCTGCCTCCTCCCCACTTCTCACACATCCAGTATTCTGGTTGGGGCCTGAGAGAGCATCGCAGCTTGAGATTAACGCTGAGCGAGGAGAGACGGGATTACGCTTCTCGAGGGCTGCTTCAGCAAGCTTAAAATTACGGACCTGCCCACGAAATCCAGGAATCCATTGGATCCAATACATGGCACGGCACGCTTCCGCAGACCATTCTTAGCACTGTTCGCTTCCCCAGCGTCACGGGTTCCACGGTTCCCGATCTGGCGTGACAGCTTCGAACTTCAAAGGCACCCTTTACCACATCTCCCCCACCTCTCGTGCCCAGGGACGCTGGGACATCCTGCATGCAGGCCTTCTGCAGGAGACAAGTCTCATCCCTCCCATGTCTCCGAGACACCCAAACGGCGATCTTGGACTCAGCCTGTGAGACTCGCAACTTCTGATACCCACGTGTTGAGCGACGCAAGGTCTCCCTCTCCGTACCCCTGAAAACCCCTCCGGTTGTTCACTCGCTGGCGGGAACTAGCTCAACAAACTGCAGCTCGATCCCAATCCCCCACGTGTCCTGGTGCCGCCGCTGCTGCTTTAACGATGGAGCACACTTCCTTGTCTGCAGCATCATCCTCCGTTCACCTTAAATCCCGGGACAGGGAACATGATCCCCTCAGCGACTGGACTTCCCGAGATCGCTCCCGCCACTCCAAAAGTACTCGCGAAGAGCCTGACGATTACCAAGCTGCCCCGGTTCCGCCCGCATCTCCCGAGGTTATCTCGTCGCTGATCACATCGTTGTCGGCCATATCACGGCCCGTGAGCAACCACTTCGACGGCCCATCATACCTGAGCCCCATCGGCATTGGAAGTCCCCTGAGCTCCGTCCCTGGATCACCCACCGCTGGCTCCTTTGGTGTCGACTATGGCACGTACAATCAGCCTTCTTTAAAAGAGTTACGAGAAGAAGATGAGATTCCCCTAGATGAACTTCCGGCCAGCCCTCCCGTCGTGCGGACGTCGAAGCTGCCAAGCAGTCTATCGACTCTGACAGCGCCAAAATCTCCGAGAAGTCCCGGAGCAAGAGAGTCGACTGGATTTCTGAGCATTCGGTCCCGACGAAGCAGTGGCGGTGTGTCTCGTCCTTCGAGCAGAGGATCCTTCACATCGGGTGCAGAAAGCATTGGCAAACCCAGCGTCGAACGGGCACCAGACGCGCTGTCTCCCCCACGTCACAGTCTAAGAAAACAGAAGTCATATGACAGCTGGGGATTCAAGGGTCACCGAAGCCTTATCTATATGGGAAGCAAGGAAAAGCTTCGTGATAAAGCAACAGAAAAGAAGAGAGCCAGCATAGGTGCAGTTGGCGGCGATATTAACATCCCTGGGTCCAAGACTGAGCCGCCCACACCACGTCTGCAGCCTAGTTTTACCGACTCAGCAATCAGTGAAGAACCTGCTACTATCGCGCTTGAGACCAGCGCACTGCAACCTGCTCCTGTCTTTCATGACAGTCTGCCCAGTCCTGGACTTATTCCGACTAGAGATTCGTCCCTCAGGAAGACTGGTAACAACGCCAAACGCTCATCGGTTCGCACTTCGCGACACTCCAGGAAGGATAGCGAAAGCGACGCCTACGACGCGATACCAGAACTCGACGAACAGAACGCAAAACCTCGGGATTCCCGCAGCGAGAAGAGCAAGCGGCGACACTCAGGACGTAAACAAAATTTAGGGCTTGATCCGTTAAAGTTATCTGCAGATCTCGCTAAGGACGCTGCGCTTCCAGGCCCCTCAACTCCAGCCGCGGCTATGTTTCCAGACGGCATCGACGATGGCGCCCCGTCACCAGCAGTCGCTCAGGGACGACGTAGGGACCGTGAGACCAGCATCGATTTCAGACGCCGTTCTGGCCGTCTCACTCCTGACCCATTCGGCGGCTATGCCAGTGAAGGCGGGAACCCTACAGTCAAGCTGAAGAGGAGCAGCACCCGATTGAAACGACGTTCTGGGGCAGCTACCCCAACATCCGAGAAGTCAGGCGCTGGCGGCAGTAATTATGACCATCCGCATGTTGCATACGAGCGACCCCGGAGCGCAGACAGCATTGACGATGCCGTTGAGAGCTACCTCTGCAGCCCTCGTCTCAGCCAAAAGATCCGGCACCCCCAGACTGGCAGAGTCATCAGCTTCAGTGAAGTTGGTGACCCTAATGGAAGCGCCGTCTTCTGTTGTGTTGGAATGGGATTAACAAGATACATCACCGCGTTCTACGATGAATTGGCCTTGACACTCAAATTGCGTCTGATAACCCCAGATCGTCCAGGTGTCGGCGACAGCGAGCCTTACCCTGACGGCAATGCCACGCCGCTTGGCTGGCCTGGTTAGTTCATTTGTTGATCCCGAATCGTCTTCCGTGATAATTAACTAACCATCTACTTAGACGACGTCTACGCAATTTGCCAGTCGCTCAAGATCACGAAGTTCTCCATTTTGGCTCATTCTGCTGGTGCCATCTACGCTCTCGCAACCGCTTTACGAATGCCTCAACATATCCGCGGTCGGATACATCTCCTTGCGCCTTGGATCCCGCCCTCCCAGTTGAACGTTATTGGAGCCACTTCGCAGACGCCGCTGCCACCAACGAATGCCATTCCTACTAGCCAAAAGATCTTGCGTGCACTCCCGACCCCTATCTTGAAAGCGGCAAACAGCAGTTTTGTGACGGCCACTTCTTCGAGTCTCACAAGTTCTTTGCCCAAACAAAAACGGACAAAGAGAGAAAAGAGGCACACCGACACCAAAGAAAACAAAGATCAACCGAAAGGAATCCTACATTCTCCCATGGATAAGGAGAATATCAACCAGACAAATGACTTATCCAAGAGCTTACCTGAACTCCCTGCTCCTGATGAAGACATGGACCGTATCCGACCAACCCCTGCAAATGGGAACAGCCACGATCCTTCTTTACCGCGAGCGCGCGGCATCGGTCACCGACATCGCAGGTCCAATTCCCAAGGGCTTCGACGAAGATCCGAACAGGATGCACATCTTCTCTCCTCGGCAGCCTCTCTCGCAACTTCGCAGGCAGATAAGGAGCGACAGGAGTTATACGACAGCCGTTTGACCCATGCCATCTGGCAGCTGGCCACAACTGGAGCGAATCCCGCTGTCGACCTGCTTGTATGCCTCGAGCGCCGACACACGATTGGCTTCCGCTATGTAGATATCACACGGCCGGTTGTCATCCATCATGGGAGCAAAGACACACGAGTCCCTGTCGAGAATGTCCGCTGGCTGGGAAAGATGATGCGTAGATGCGAAGTGCGTGTTTTGGAAGGGGAGGGACATGGACTGATGGCCAGCGCACAGGTCATGAGCAACGTCTTAATGGAGATCTCACGCGAATGGGAAGAATGGAGTCGCGTCACAGGAGCGAACAAGAGGGAGAATGAAAAGGGTAGGAGAGGGACCATTGGACAGGGCCGGTAATCGGTTCTGGTCATGGCTACGTCAATGTCGGATTTCCTATTTCATTTCATTTCATGATATTGTTCTTAACTATATACCCATCTTAGAGATGTGTTACATAATTTAATTCTTAATATTTTTTTCTTGCAGAACTCCGATCTTGTTTATATCGCTTTTGGGTTTGGCGCTTGCTCCCTTCCAGTTCGGCTCTCAGGTCCTCTCCCTTGCCCTTCGGCCTCTATCGCGACTATAACTGTCATCCACTCACTTCCTTGATGCTCCATCTGGACTTTTTGACTAAAGTCCTTTACAACTTCGTACCCTCGCAAATCAGGAAGGGAAATACCATTGTCGGGCCCATCACCCCGCTGCCTGGTTCCGTCTCGACTTGTTTCTCCAGCTCGAACGCCGTTTCAATCTTAACGTCCACGAATCCTGCCTCTTCTAACACTGTCTTGATCTCATCCCTCAAAATCCCGTGTCTCTCTACGCCATCCATCTTCGATTCCGGGTGAAATTTCCTCGCCTCAGGCCCAAAGTTCTCAAAATCTGTCACCATTACCTTACCCCCCTTCTTCACACACCCGAAAACCGTAGCAAACAGCTTGCGCAGGTCCAAAATATGATGCAGCACCAAATGCGACACAACCACGTCGAACCTTCTCCCCGTCACCTTCTCCTTCGTCACGGGATCCACAGCAATCCTCTCATCATCCGGGTCCTCGAGCATCGCACATATAGGTAATACATTCTTGGCTGCGTCTTCAGCAGTCAGCTTGGCTTCTAGGGCGCCAATCATGCCCTCGGCTGCGTCAACAGCGGTGACGGAGCGTACTGAGGGCGCGAGGGCTAGCGACAGCAGGCCGGTGCCGCAGCCCAGATCGAGGATGTCGTAGGTTGAGAGGATGGCAGGGTCGGAGGGAAGATGAGAGAGATAGGCTTTGTGCGCTAGGCGAGTTGCTTGCTGAATGTCGGGGTTGGAGTCCCATTGCGCGGCTTCGGCGTTGAAGCGGGCTTTGTTGGCGTCGGTCATGGAGGGATGAAATGTGCGGTACAGTGTTGGTGTGTAAGCTTGTCAGGGATGATGAAGTGGGATGGCGCGTGCTGTTGAAAAGCACTGTTCGTTTTCAAGGAGAATTAGGGGCAACTGGCAAAAGGTTTTGTTCTAGTGCAGATGATTGAAATGATTACCTTGACTTTTAAGAGGGGTAGGTGTCGAGAGAAGTGTAACGTTGCGCTAGTAACATGACTTATCCGCCTGTCCGGCGCCGAGAGGCTACCTGCTGGTGATGCACACTGTGGAGGTGGGTGGAGAGGGGAAACAGCATTGCCCTCCCCATACCTAGATATTTAGGAAAATAGGTAAGCAGAGGAGCGCTTTTGCGTACCCTTGTTCATGCAACCGCCCATGCCCATGACCAGGACCATTTGCAAAACTCTTTTATATATTGATCTCAAGATTCCAACGACTTAAAGGGTTTGATTGTGAACACGAATACAGGATTCCGTTTATTGACGAGCTACCATCACGGTCCTCTGATTTTGTTTTGTTGGTAAACGAACTAAGATGTCAAAAACGAGGAGTAGGGATTTAGTTCGAACAACAAAAAGCGCATCGAACGAATGTAAGGTAGATCCGAGAGCGGGAAAAATAGAAAAAACATGCCAATCTCATCATGGTACTCAGCTACCTCATCCACTAACGATAAAACAATGTCTGCAGTTTTGTTCCAGTAACTGCTTCAAAACTTTGTCTCCAAACCCTTATCCATTATCCTCCCCTTCTGGTACCTTCAAGAGAAAGCTAGGTCACGTGATTGCATTCAAGTGATGTGAGTTTATGGATATTGAATTCCTCGCCATTCGTTGTTTTTACTCAAAGTTGTGTAATGTAAACGTGAGCCGTGTGTGTATGTCAATCATGCGGGTCCCGGACAATTACCACTGCCTTGATGGTTATGGGGAAGAATGGTGGAAAACCCCATTTAGGCGGGAGAGGACCCTGCTATGGGCCTGTATTCATTCTCATCACCAGGAGTCTGCCCCAGTGCTGAAGCAGGAAAACTCTGGACGTTCTAGACATAGTATATATAAGGTGCGCAAGAGCAATAAGACTCCACTGACATATTCGATCGTCTTTCGAAGTTTTTATCCTGCACTTGAATTCGTTTCAACCTCCCCAGGTGTCTCAACTTGGATACCTGTTCCAATCGACAGTAGAAGGTCGGCTTCTCGGTGTCGAACATCAGGCAATATCAATTGAGATCCCCAATTGCCACATTGACAGGACAATTGTGATAGACTGCTCCGTCAATGAGTGATACTCTGATTTCTTCTTGAATAAAAGGCTTGAATTACCGTGAAGTCGCATATGTTGCTCGTGCTCTGACAAACAGATTAGGTTGAATTATGCCTTTCATGTTCAAAGCGTCGAAAACACAGGAATTCTAATGACGTTGATTCCAATTACGCTTCCCAGCATTTAAGCTTACTGGAAGGGTCATCCGATATCAAGAACCGATAAGGTTCTTTGTTGATATTAGATCAGTGGACCATGTTAGCTGATACCCTTATCGTAAAATCCGAGACTCACTTGTTTCTTCATTAGGCTATGCTCTGATGTAACTTGCCAGAATGATAGTAAATTCGTAACTACAGCACCAGAGGGATTATTGTCTTTGGGTTAGGCCCTGAACATGTCACACGGGCACGGCAGTCCAAGGGAAATGGGTATCCCTGACTGTTAAACACAAGGGACACCGGAGATAGCATGATTGTGAGCGGCACAAACCCGTGGTTGATCCCAAAAGATATCTGGCAGCCGCATGACCGAAAGGAATGAGCCGGATGGCCGGGAAGATTCTATAAAGGAAGCTAGTCGGGCACGATAGACTTCTCTTGGTTTTGCTCTCCCTAACATAAGGACACTGAGGACCAAGAAAGATTATTACACGTATTAATTAACTTCGTTGTGCACCCCACATCGTCAATGGCCATCATCTAACCCATTTGACTCATTTTCGATCCCTGCCTGCACCAGACCAAGTCACCCATTACAGAACACTGGTCCGTATCTCAGTGTAGAGCCAGCTTTCGGGCTCTTTGCCCAAAGAAATTCATGGCTCAATATGTAAAACATTCTTGGAAATGGCGGCTTTGTTTGGCATCAGAGTAATTATAAGTCACGGCCCTTTGAAGAAACTTTGAAGACCATGTTTCGCGAGGGTCTCTTGTTTGGAATACATCACATTGCAACTGTGAAGGCAAGAGGAGACGGATCAAAGTAGCTGTGACTTCGTCCAAGGGAATTGAACATTGGCACTCCGTCATAATTTAAGAATGACATGATCGAAGCTTCAAATTGATTTTGATGTGATATGAATATAGTTGACGGCTTAAAGGGGTTGGTTTGTGTTGATTGTTGGTATGGTACATGTATTAATCGTCTGAATCGAAGATATAACATGTTTCTACAATAATATCAAAGAAATCTTGGATTTGAATGAGGTTTCCAAGTTGATTCTCAATCTCTTGGAGTGCTCCATATTCAACATAGCCATCATGAAGAATAATGCACCCTCCAACGCCAAATGGTTCTAAATGTATGCAGACTGGAGAGATTGAATGCAACATCTGCCAGAAGAGAAAGGCCAGGATCTGATTTCGTACAGGTTGTCCCCACCTGTGTTTCAAAGGCATAGATGCATGAGGTACAGATAACATAGCTTCACAAAAGTGAGTCCTCAGGAACGTTGCGTAGGTAGCAGAAGCAGCTTGGGTGACTGACTAACTTGGCCCTGCCGATTCTGCTGGCAATTGCACTAAAGAACTGTTGCAAGAATTTCTTACGGAACTGAACATCTCCGTTCGAAGAATGTTTCTTTGTCTCTGTAGTTTGGTTTTCAGGTATTCAAGGTGCCAAAAATCATCTTTTCCCACCTTGCATAGAAGAACGGAAGGGAGATAATCATATTCGCATTCTCCCTTCAAAAGAACTGGCCAATTTTGGACTGATGACCCTTTGTGTGCGATTTTCTCACACTAACACAAGCGTGGTCACCAGTCTTTGTAACGAGTGACTTGGTCTAATGCAGGCAGGGATCGAAAATGGGTCAAATGGGTTAGATGATGGCCACTGACGATGTGGGGTGTATAGCGAAGTCAATTACTACATGTAATAATTTTTCTCGGTCCTCAGTATCCTTGCGTTGGGGAGAGGAAAACCAAGAGAAATCCTTTATCGTATCTAAGCAGCTCCCTTTATAAAATTCCTTTACCCTTGTGAGTACCTCGCATCTCTCATGCAATCTTCAGGGGCTCTCCTCACCATGGCAAGGTTATCTAGCTCATTCTTGCCATCCCCTCATATTTCCCGGACTCTACCAATCACATATGCCTTTGCCCTTCTCAGCTCTTGCATCACTGGTGTTCTATATGTCGGCTGTCAAGGATGTTTCTTATCCTTGGGCTGCCATGTCTATGTGACAGTCTTATATGTGCAGCGCAGTCATTGCTCACGCTAGTTATAGGAATTTGTTATGAGGCACGAATTCTTCATGATCATGGTACAAAAACAGGATAAGATTCAAGATATGACCACCGAAGTCCTGTGGCATGAAGTTATGTGTCTCAGTCCCTGCTTGACAAAGTCGAATGGTTTGTCCCAGCGAGGTAAGAAATGATCACAGGCCAAAATAATATAGCTTCTTTGAATCTAGCAGCATTCGAACTGACTTCTTGGATTGCAATGACTCTGCGTACTTGGCCTGACGATATTGTGCAGCTTACTTGAGCCTTTATCTGCATGTATCTGGCTTTGGTTAGTACGCGAACGACAGTGCTAGAGGAGTAGTACTGCTTAAGCAGTGCCTTTGACGAACTGACTTCATTTCTGATCTGTGCCAATTGGGAAACCAGAATGTTGAGCCTCTTAACATGAAAAGAAATAACTCTATATAGTCCTCCAATAGCTTTGAGTAGCCCAGTCGGGATCTCATTGCCACTCCTCCAGAAAACCTTCACTTGCATTCAGAACAAGGATAATGTGTGGAAGGTATGATTGGTTGATACATCTCTTGAGAGAAGTGCGTGTCCATTCTACCAGCCTCAACAACACTTTAGATTCAAAGGCTCTAAATTTTCGCAAATTTTGCATATCAGAGTCTTGAGCATACTCAACCTACAGGCCAAGAGAAAAGCAAATTTGGCTCACGGAGGACGAAAACAATAACATCAAAAAAAGGTGGAGAGGATCTTGGGATAGAGCTCCTGGACGACAAACTGCCTTGATTGAGAGCTTGCCACGGTGCCCCAGAGGAGCGGTTTTCGAAGCTTGCTCCGCTTCGAAGCAAAAACTGCTGTCTTTGCCAAAGCTACTGGGAGCTTCTCGCTGCCGCTGAGTTCTGCACAACCAGCGTAGAGAATCGGGCACAGGTTGCGACGTGTTTCTGGGTCTGAGAAGAGATGCACATCTGCTGTTATCGGAACCATATCCCTGGAAGTCCTAGGACGGGACTCGGAAACATCAGGGAATTAGAGAACCGGTCTCTCTACTCAAAAGGCTGACCCGACTAAATTTGCTCGATTGAAAACTTGATGAGAGTATTTCCCCCAGCTCCTATGGAAAGCCCAGAACTGTTAGTAAAAACCTCATTAGTACAGGAAAAGCAGAATGCATGAGCTGCTGATTGCTAACCAATTGCCCAACAAAGAAAATAAGATGAGGAAACCGTTCTTTAACGGCCGGTGCAAATTTTTTTGATCAACATCGGCCACATGCATCTCCGCTTGTTCATCTTGGTTCCGAGAGCCTTGAAATGCCCGTTCCGGTCTTGAGACAACATCAAGAGCCATGCCACGTGGACACGGCAGTCCAAGGAAAGGGATGTCCCCGACTGCCAACGAAAGGGACACCAGAGACAGGATGATTGTAAGTGGCACAAACACGTGGTTGATCCCGGAAGATGTCTACAGCCGGATGACCGATGAGCCATATGGCCGAGGAATGATGAGGATTCTATAAAGGAAGCTGCCCAGTCATGATAGACTTCTCTTAGTTTCTCCTCTCTCTAACACAAGGACACTGAGAACCTAGAAAGATTATTACACGTAGTAATTGACTTCGCTGTGCACCCCATATCTTCAGTGGCCATCATCTAACCCATTTGACCCATTGTCGATACCTGTCTGCACCAGACCAAGTCACCCGTTACAAGCCACTTTTTTCATGAAAATGATGATTGTAGAACCCAGAACGATCAGCATGGCGCTTGTGAGCCCGTTGAGTTGTCAAGCAACCATCACAGAACGCTTCGTGGACGCATTGGACGCATATTTGAATTTGAACAACCTGTCTCTTTCACGCGTAACAAAGTTGTTGTGATACCGACATTGACATGGTAAGAAAAGAGACATGTCAAACCATATAACAACGTGGGAGTTAAGGGTCGATAGATGTGATAGAATGAAGATATGATTAAGTGGAAGAAAACGTGATCATCTGGGAGATAAGGTGCTTCGACCCAAGCATTTGACATGCGAAGTTGCTGAGTAAATATGTGTGAGTGTAATAAGCAGATTGCCAGGATGCGTTTCAAGATTGATTTTAAAAGCCGGGTGCTGGGGAGAAATGTGCATTGAAATAGCCTCAACTGAATACGGGTCAGTGTTATCAGGAATGACCTTCAGTCACTTCCCACTCGGGCATGCCAATTGATTTCTGATATGTCACGAGGCATTAATTGTCTGGCTGCCCTTCTTATCGTCTCATGGTGGTGGTTTGATGGCCTTATACCTTGGTTAAACTTCAGACAGTCTAGAGGTTTCCAGGAAGGCTTTGACATTTACGTAAAGCTCTGACCTCAGATAAGAGAAATCATACATCGAATGGACCACCTACTGGGCAGCCTGCTTGACACCCTAGGCTCTTGTGACGGGTGACTTCGATCACAGATCTGACTCAGTCACTTCAAGTCAACCTTTTGTGTAGGTGTAACCATTACCGTGATCAAAGTCGAGATTGATAAACAATTGCAAAATCTCAAGGGCTTCCAAGGACCAAAGGCCTATCTCTGATGATCAAAGTCAGTTACCACTCATGGCATTAGGATTTGGTAATCTGGAGTCTAACAGGCAGTAAGTGGGACTTCCTACAAATATGGAATTCACTACAGGCGTAGGGCTTACAGCAAAGTGGAATAACTTTCTAAAGCAAGTGATCAACCCGCTCAAACTTTCCGCGGTGGTCATTGTTCCTGAATCAGACCACTGCCTACTTTGGGTAGGTGTTGGGGAATACTGCATTCTCTCCCTCCGTTGAGACAGGTTGTGTTGTCCAGGCCTACCAACATTGCTGCGGAGAGAGAAAACATCGAGAAGAGATAGAGAAAGGAAAAGGGGCGGGCGCGAAGGAAGAACCAAAAACAAAAGACAAAGGAGAAACGATGTGAGCACTGTTACCTTACCGCACCTGTCTTTCCCAGCTAGCATTATCACTAAGTGGTGGACAGGAAATCAAGAGCCTTAAGGGGCTATGAAAGGTCCCACAAAAGTAAAGTACATCTGCTCTGAAGCTGCATCAGCCGCGAATCGAACGCGGGGCTCATCGATGGCAACGATGAATTTTACCACTAAACCACTGATGCTGAAACAAATATTTTTAGGTTTTTCAACATCATAACTTAGGCAAGTAAGCAAGCTTCTATCCCAGAGGAGCCTGTGAGCAAGAATGAAACCGCCCACAAAACATCTAGTGACCTAAGGCCAGCCAAGAATCAATTTGCTGCCCAATAATCCCGAAGCTAAAGCGTACATTACCCTTGCTCTGAAACCTTCGGTTAAGGCACCCTTGCCGCACTTCACGTGTTCTAACCCTGGCTTATCGATAGGTCCATTGACAGTGGGGGACTTGAGGGGTCCACTTGCTCAAGCCACCCGTGCCACAGGGCCAGTGGCCCTCGTGCTCTGTCGCAAGGCGCAGACACTTACATAAGAGCTTCCCGGGCTAGAGAGTCACTAAAGCGACTCACACAGATTACGTGGCCACCAGTTTTGCTATATTCATGTAGAGGACTCCTTCGCATAGGCGGTGAGCTCTTGACAATGTGAAAAGCTCAAGGGATCAGAAGACATTCAAAGGAACATAATGATGTCACAGCCCATCTTGGTTGCAACTCTGCACCCATGCAAGCTGGAATGCGGGATGCAACAAACTGTGAGCCAATCACACCAACCGTGGAGTGATGCAGCCGTGGAGGAGACTCGCATCACTGGATTGCGCGATTCATGGCAAGGTTGATGTGACCTACTAGCACTAACAGCACAGGAACCTTTTTCGCAGGGAAACAGCATTGCATCTGTTAAGGACAGAACTGTCAACCCGATACCCTTGCTGAAGACTACACCAAGAATCGACACCCAACGCGATATGTTGCCCAAATGAGAGCTCCAAGTTTCAATACAGCAACCCAGAGGCGCGGGTCACCGGATAAAGGTGCATTAGGCTAACGTCTCGGCAACCATGTTTCTGTTGATGCCAACCACCCTCTTGGAGCTGATTTATGGTCCAGACCCTCGGGAGCAAGCAACATAAACATTGGATTGCCCAGGGGAGGGTCTGCATCTCGACTCTATTTCTAAGTGGTCTCGCCCTTTGAAGGCCGGGCTTGTGGGCAGGATCCTGTCTACTGTCCCTGCTCGATAACCGATCACACAAGAAACTTTTGATCCAGTTGACATCTCCATCCGCACGGTTTATTATAGCTCGACCTATCAAAGACGTCAGCCTCACCTGCTTTCACACAATGCTGTTCCCTTTGAAGGGAGACACTCAGCCTTCCAAGGCCAAGGATGACGAAGCTGTCATTGCCAGCAATGGCTCTGACTCCGACGACTTCCGCGAGATTGACCCTAACAGCGGTGTCAAGCGCGGCCTTAAGACCAGACATCTCTCCATGATGGCATTGGCTGGTATCATTGGCCCTGGTCTGCTTGTCGGGTCAGGCGGTGCCCTGTCATCTGGCGGTCCGGCCTCCCTCCTGATCGGATTCGGTGTTATTGGCATTGTTGCTTTCTCTATCATGCAGAGTCTCGGCGAGCTCACAACCCTCTACCCCACTGGCGGCGCCTTCACCTCTTTGAGTGACCGTTTCGTCGACAAGGCTTTTGGTGTGGCAGTCGGCTGGAACTACTTCATCATTTGGTTCTGCGTCTTGGCCAACGAGTATAATGTCATTTCCAGCATCATGACCTTCTGGAGTGAGAAGGTTCCCATTTGGGGGTACTTCCTAATCTTCTGGGTAAGCTTGTTCATTAACGTGGCTACTTTTGAGTAGAGGCATTGACAAAGGTCTCAGTTTGCATTCTTGGCCTTCCAGCTACTTGGCGTTGAAACCTTCGGTGAAGCTGAGTTTTGGTTGGCGTTGATCAAGATCGTAGGGCTCATCGCCTACTTTTTCTTCAGCATCATCTACGCTTCTGGTGGCGTTAAGGGCGCCCCGGCCATCGGGTTCAAATATTGGCATGACCCAGGCGCTTTCGCAGACGGGTTCAGGGGCGTTGCCTCTGTCTTCGTCTTCTGCAGCACTTTTTACGCCGGTGTTGAGGCTGTCGCCGTTGCTGCGACCGAGACCAGGAATCCAGGCCGTGCCGTTCCCCTCGCTATTCGTCAAGTCTTTATCCGCATCATTGTCGTATACATGGGTAGTGCCTTCTTCTTCGGTCTAACCTGTCCTTCCAACGCTGAGGGCCTCATCGGCGGCGCACAGCGTGCCCTCAGAAGTCCCATGACAATTGCCATCCAGAATGCGGGCTGGCAAAGCGGAGTTCACCTCATCAATGCGTTCATATTCATCACCACTCTTAGCGCCATCAACAGCTCCATCTACATTGCCAGTCGTACCATCCTGTTCATGGCTCAGGATGGCAAGGCTCCCAAGTTCTTCGGCTGGACCGACAAGCGTGGTGTCCCAATTCCCGCCATCGTCTTCACCAACCTGTGCGGTGCTCTGAGCATGATGAACGTTAGCACCGGTGCCAGCAAGGCCTACAGTTACATCGTCAACCTCAGCGGTGTCTCGACCTTCCTCGTCTGGGGAGCTATTAGCTTCACTCACATCCGCTTCCGCTCAGCTTGGAAGGCTCAGGGTTACTCAGAGTCAGATCTCCCGTTTGTTTCTCTCTGGTATCCCTGGAACGCTTACTTCGGTCTGGCCTCTAACATCTTCCTGGCTCTGATCCAAGGTTGGAAGACCCTTGCCCCGTTCAGCGCTGGCGATTTTGTGGATGCGTACATCCTCCTCCCTCTCTTTGGTGTCATCTACGTCGTCTACAAGTTTGTTTTTAAGACCAAGTTCTGGAGCTCTCTCGAGGTCGACCTCCAGTCAGGAAGGCGCAAGGATTTGGACTCGGCAAAGTATGCTCAAAAGGCCCAAGATGTTGAGTCTTTGCCATGGTGGAAGAAAGCCTGGAAGAGCCTCTGAATGGTGCTACGCAACGAAGATGTTTTGGATGGCTATGCAGTACCGGTTACTGGTTGAGTTTGGCTTTTTGGATACCCTTTTTGAGCAAGTCCTTCACAGCACACTTGGGAGAGTAGGGAATCATGGCTTGATCCGGGTCATTATGTGATAACGCAGACTGCAAGTTAATAACGAGCCTAGTTATTTAATGTTCAGTATGAGGGCTTGCCTCTGTACTAGCGAACTCTTATGTTAAGAGATCACAGGGAGCCTGATGTGAGCCACTGTGCATTTTTCTCTTCTTAGTCTAAGGCTTCCGTTGCCGGCATGATATGTGCAACATTGCCAACACATAGCTGTAACAGAACGTAGAACATTAGGGTCCTGGGACTTGTTAACAACGTACTATATTGTACCTCAAGCTAACATACAAGCAAACAAAAAACGATCTCTATCCAGAGTGCATGTGACATAGTACACATTGATTGTACAAAAGCTGACAATTCTTCCGAACCCTACACTCAGGCCTTGAACTCAACGGCTCTCCTCATCTTCATTCGGTACTCAATAGCCCGCTTCCTGGCGGCAGGGCTCTGCGTAAAGGCGGCACTGCCACCAAAAGGACCAGCCGCAGCATTATTGCGGACGCGAACGATGCATACATTAGAGACGCCAGCAACTGTAGCATCACAAGTCATACCCTCTGGCATCTGAACACGCAAGGGGAAGTCCCTGCTGGTGGCCAGGCTGAGGCCCTGGAAGCCAAACCCGGGAACGTCCTGGATAACACGAGCGGGCTTGAAGGCAGCAAGGTCGGTGCCACCTGAAGTGCCATCAACCATGGCTTCCAAGGGACCAGCACCATCTTGGTTGACCTGAATCAACTCTGTTAGCTTGCACTGAACTCCTCAAGACCTTGGTGACCATGTTTGCCATAGCCCCACAACCCTTGTGTACCCCTGAATGTTAACCCTGAACGCCCCACGCCAAACACCAGCAATGGGGCACAAAGTAAACAAACCCAACAAAGCTGAACGAAGGCAAACCCACCTGATGAAACACCATCTCAATCGTGCCATCATCCGCACAAGTAGGCAACCCGGCTGTAGCGCCAAGCCCAGCCAGAGCAGCAACATTCCTCTCCACCTCCTCGGTACTCGCAGTCCCACCGCGGCCAAGACCCTCACGCAACCTGCTCAGGAACTGCCTTGCAACCATCAACATCCCACGCTTCTGATTATTCCTCCCACCTCTTTCACGACCCGCATCAGCAAGCCTGCTCAGCCTTGACACGTCGATGGGATCCTCCGCGGGATCGTCAAACTCGAGCGAAGTGTTGGTCCGTAAGGTCGTAGCACCGGTGCTGGTGCCCATAAATCGGGCGATCATGACCGCAGCATCAACCGGCCCACTACCTTGCGTGCGGCCGAGAGGGCCGACCCGGCCGGAACGGATCTCACGGTCACGGATGATGGCTGTGTCAGCCTGAGAGCCGCAGCGGTTTGTGGAACAAGTGCGGGGAGTACCGTCAATGACTGGATGATCTATTTGTCAGTATTCTGCCCTTAGAACGACGTTACTTCCAGGATTTTCTGGGTGCCAGGGAATATGAGGTCAGTTCACAAAGGGAACAATACTTGAAAGGCCTGGCATATCAACGCCATTGGCTCCACGGATGAGGGTGACGACACCATGGGCTGCCGAGGGGCCAACCAGGCTGATAAGAGCACAGAGAGCAGAAATATGCATGGTGATTGTGAGAAAGCGGTGATCAAAAGAAACAAGTACAATCGATGTAAGTAAAGAAACCAAAGCCACCAGGGCTACTGTCAAACAAGTCCGGACTCGCCAGATGATTAATTGAAGAATGAGAGAGCGATGAGCTTGCTGGCAAAAGCATCGAGGGCTAAGACGCGATCGAGAAGAGCAGATTTATACTTGATGGATGTCGTCCAAGACACTGTGAATAGTATTCAGACCTATCGCAACATAGCTCAGAATTGGGGTATAAGCCAAATCTGGAAAGTCGCTAGCATGAAACAAGACCCAACACCATCATGAGACTGCCACTGATCGCCATAAAGCAAAACATTTAAAACAATTGACAAATCATATTTGTGCCAGCCGATCTTCCGTGCGCTTTTCCGTTAAAAGATTCATAAAGATTCCTAAGATGTGTTGCGGCACGGATGATCGTTGAAACGATTTGCCCAGTCTTGGCAAATGTCTAAGCCACCAGCTAGATTCTTGGCAGACGCCAGCAGTTGGGCTCCTGATGCGCATCAGTGATGCGTTTCAGATCGCTGACGATCGTCCACGCGGGGCTAAAGATTAACGAACCAAAACTCCAAGGTCGAAGGTGCTAGTTCGCGGAAACTATGAACTTCCGGTGATGGTGTTGTTTCAATTGCAGGAGATTTAAAATACGAGAGGCAGATGTAATTGACATGCACCTCGCCCTCGAGTACTTTCATCGTGCGTCCTAAACCGTTGATCTCCGAAACATCACGGAGTCGACTGGACGAGTGTCGAGAGAAGCCAGGTTCTGTGTTTCAAATGCACTGGCCATTTGTGCATCAAACACCCAAGAGGCATCTGTCAGCATGAACAGGTACCCAAAATAGCAATATACCAAGACACTCGATTTTTGGCTTCCAGGGATCGCAGATATCATCTGCCCCTGAGAAGGAAGGATGTCAAGCTCCTTGGAGTTGTTTGAATTGTGCCGCTCCAATCATCACTGGATTACGAGCAGCGCATCCTGCAGTTCAGGTCCTGGTCCATATGATCTTGTATCGAAAACGGGTTGCCTCTGTCTCTAGGTGTCATCCCTATGAGGTTTCCATACGTTGTCCCTGCAAGAAAAGGCTTCGCGGGTTGTTGTCTAGGGAGTTCTGCGGCGACAGCAGTGCCGAGAGAGCTCATGGCGATTTCGGATGTGATCTCAACCTTGTCAAATAGGTTCGAATCAACGCCCACGACAAAGTAAATCCCTTCATTGTCGAACGTGTCAACACCTTTACCCGTTGAACCGTCGTACTGGACAATGAACACAAGGTTGTTGGCCTTCTCTACCACGTATTCTAAAACCCATGGGGGCTCACCCCGGCAGAGTGTATGGGCTGAGACTGGGGTGCCAAAACCTTTGTCCCGTACTTCGACTGTCAAGCAAGCATCGGACTGATATTCCCGGGAAGCCATCACGTAACGAATAGTGAAGGTGACCTGCTCGCCGGAGGAGACAGGGTACTCAAAGACCTTTTCCTGAATGGCAGGACTCACCAAGTCGGTGAGGACGATTCCAGAGTAAAGCCTCATGTTATCTGGGCTACTCACATCATCCGTGGCTGTCAGACCCCTGTTCATGATCAAATCGATCAACTTGCTGGGTGTGTGGATGTCAGGAATGGTGACGATGGCAACAACACCTCCTGTTCCCAACGCATTTCGCAACATCTCCAAGCCGCAGTCATCCCACATATTGTTGCTCTCGATGCCCTGCCGCGTGGTTTCTTGGATGTCGATACAAGCGTAGTGCACCCGAATTCCCTCATCTTTGGCACGTTTCACTTGAGCCAGCACGTTGCTGGAAGATTCTCGACTTTTGGATCTGGAACACAAAAGGAGTACTGCCCCACGATCGGCATATGTTTCAGGCTGAGCATTGATATTCTCCGCAATTGCTAGGTCGAGTGCATTGTCGATGCGTCGATAGCCAACAGGGTTCGAAGAGCCAATGATGGCAAACTTAGGATATCCCATCGGGTAGACAAGCCTTGGTGCTTCGTCAAATTCTAGCACAGCCACTTTATCCAATGCATGCATGGCCAGTCGGGAGTTGAGCTCCTGCGCAAAGATACGCTCTAGCTGGATGGCGCCGTTGACACCACTGCCCCATGATTTGTCAAGTGCGATTGCTACGGTGCGGTTGCGGCAATCCTTGATCGGGTTATCACGGATCAAGGCACATATCATCAAGTTCCCACGAATAGCACCATACCTGTCGCGTATGGCATCTTGAAGGGCGGCCCAAGTATCACGGGAGCTCTGAACGGCAGCTTCAACGGCGCGACGAAAGTTGTCAGAAATCCTAGAACGAGGTGAGCCCAGCCATACTTCACCAAAACTACCGTCCAGGTGAATAACGCCATTGTCCTTGCTGAGTGTATGATGCGTGATACGTCCTTCACACTCACCGACCCCGGGGTAAGTATCCGGCAATGCAAAGCATCCGGTTGACAGATTGATGGGAATTTGATGAGCTGGTATGGGGCCTGTAGCACGGAGATCCAGGAATGGAGCAGTCACAGCGATACCAAGTCCCGGAGGATTGGAAACACCGATGGGCAGGTTCGGGTCTGCAGAATCGACCCAATTGCTGTGGGAGTAAAAGTCTTGAACGCCATGCAACGCCCTGCCAAGCCCTTCCAAGGTCCGACATTTGGCCCGACCAGACGTATCCCCTTGTAGCTTCGGAAATGCATACGTGCAGTCACCAAACAAGGGGCTCGATATGTCGACCATATCCTCGCGGATTCTCTTCCTGTCGTCCAGCAAGCGCGCCGCAGCAACGAGTGCCTGATGGAAGCGAGTGCGAAGATGGTCGATACAAACCTGTAGTCGGGCTGTAGCCTGCGCGCGGGTCTGTGGGTAGCCAGGAATGTCGAGATAGTCGGCGTCGTCACAGTGGGCCTCGGGGCCTTCAGGAATCGGGTCCAAAGTATCTGGTGCACCGACAGCGCCGTTGAAGCCGGCACCAGGGATGGCCCAGCCGAGAACATGGAGATGATAGCCAGCCAACTGATCGAGTGAACGCGGTTCGAAGCAAACACCGTCTGACTTGCGACCTTTGGGACACTGGAACGCGAGACGGGTGATCATTTCGTGCTCGTTATGCTGCCCGAGCAGGACGGGCTCGTTGATAGTGCCAAAGGCACCTACTCGCAAGCAACATTGTGTAATGAGCAACGCGAGGGCAGAAAACCAAGAGAAGTGGCGCATTACGGGATGTTCGAAGCGAGGGCTTCAGGGCGATCCCGGGTTCTGTGCCCTGTGCCCTGTGGTCAGCATGGGCGCGGGGGAATAGGACCGGGTCGGACGACTTTTTGCCGATGGGGCAGGTCCCGTCGATGGCAGGCAGCAAGGAAGACGGATATTCGATGCTGGAAATTGGTCGCGATGATCGCCATGGATGGAGGGGAAGGGCTAAGGTGAAGCAAGGTTTACGCCCTCTTTCGTTCGTCAGTCGTTGGGCTGTCGATGTTGAGGATGGTGTTGGCAGTGCATGAGGATAAAAATGAGAGGTAGATTTCTGGTTAGGTGGTCAGACCAGTGGAGGTCTCTTCCCTACAGGGCCTAGCCGGTCATGTGATGACGTCATGCTGTCTTTCACTGCTTGCTGTAAATCAACACATAGGAAGCAAATTTCATCAGGAAATGGTCATCAATTAATGTATCATGAAGAAGGAGAATTAGAATAAGAATAAAAGAGGATAAACACGCAAATAGAATATTTGAGAGAAACTGAAGACAGTGGTGGGAAATTTGCCAAGTCGCAGGTCGGATTGCTGGTTGATGTGGGGCAGCTGTGCCAAGCATACCCAAACTGGTGTTGTTTGCCGCGCTCGCGGGCCGAGGAAAGATCGTCGACGCGAAGAGCTCGGGAGGGAAGACCTTCGAAAAATCCACGTCTGCTTCTCATCCGCTCCCTGAGTCCTCGCTGGTATGACTCCTACCAGACACGGTTTGCCGTTCACCACAGGCGCAGTGGTGCTATTCGTGCTGCTGCCCCCGTGCTGACAGATGATAGAGCAGTGCCCTGTTGCGAACCACCATCGGGCGTTGCTGTGGGCGTGGGACCTGTTGGATCACCCAAAAAGCATCCTTGTCAGCAACCAGAACCTAAACCAGGTTGGCAGAGAGGGGAAATCGCTCAGTCTGGACGGCACTCACATTCCTTGCCTTGTGAGGTGACGACGGTGTAGACAGTCCTGCACCCGAGCCCATCACAGCCTTGGCTGCAGTCGTGCGAACGATAGATGGTGGCTGGATTTACCGGGCAGGTGCCGCAACCGGCTGTGATGGTGACTGGGACGACGCATGCAGCTGTTAAACAGGTGCTGCAGATGGCTGTCGTCTCCACAACGGCAGCGCACCCAGACACTGACTCGATCTTAGGGGCATCCGTGATCTGCTGAGAAAAGGCCGCGTGGGTTCTGGGGGATGTTAGCAGGGTATGTGTAGTTGTGGTGTGTTGGGCGTGGCGACCCTGCTTACATGGCCAGGCCAAAGATGAGTGTTGTGAGTGATCGCTGCATTGCTAAAGCAGCCTTGCTGAGTGCACTTCTTAAAGGTCAGGTTACAACAGAGAAAAAGTAGCAAGTGGCCAGATGGCAGAAGCTGAAATAGTTTAATGAGGGTTTTAGAACGCGACCAAGAAAATGTGGTACCAGGAACAGGCTGTTGATTGTGGTCTGGGTCTCGGCGGTTTAGGGACCAGAACGTTAGGGTTGGACAAGGTGAAAAGGGCAGAAGCATATAGGGGATAAGGCACGGAGCTGCACCGGGACGATTAAAATGAAATTCCAGGTCCAAACTGATAGCTTGCATGGTATCTCCGTGTCTCTCCGTCTTGCACTTCTCGGTACGTCATGGTGTGACCTTCCATGGTCAGGAGGGTCACCTGCGCAACATTAACCGATTTACCGGGAATGGCTGATAACGGCCATGATTGGTAGCGGAGCTTTGGGTGGGATGGTTCCTTATGCGTTTGATGAGGCTCGGCGCTCGGGTTCTAGCTTTTCATTTGTTCTTCAAAATGTCCAACCAGGGCACACCACCTGGACTTCCATCTCTACTACGATTGACATGTTGAGCATTAGCACAAGTGTGAAGACTAGCTAATTGGCCTTGTTGCTTGAGAGTCTTGAGATGTAGGGTTCAGCTTTGTTACTGATGTTAGAATATATGGAGAGGTTTCAAGACTTCGAGGTTCAAATGTACATCGGCCATGGCTTGGTTGACAGAGGTATTGTATCAGTTGACTGGACCTCCACGTTATGACAATCAGGCACATCAGTTCATCCAGCTATGACTCTGCAATCATGATTAGCAATAGCATACTCTGTGATTTACGTACTAGAAATTCTGTACATTTTGTTGTGCTGAGCCTCTCACTTGAGACCCCAGTTGTCAATCAGACTTAGCCAAATGCTCGACAAACATGATTCCTCCTCATCTCACGTAGATCGATAGTGAGGAAACACACACCGTACCGATCCATACTTATTCGAGCACAAAATCATACTTTTTCTGGATTCATCAAGCCTTCGAAGCAATGAATACCAAGCAGACCCATCACCATTGCTTTAGGATTCCTCTGGTGAAGCTAAAAGAGAGAGAGAACACAGCGTGCTGGCAAGGAGATGCCACAACTATCAATTCTTTATTGCAACCCCCCCCCCTATACAGGTTCTTGGTCCAAGGACCTCCCCTCTCAAACAGCTTTCAAGTTCCATACACTACCATCAAAACTCAAAACCTTGAGTTTCACGCAAGCACATCAAGACACCAAACTATGACAGCCGAAATGGACAAACCTAATCTAGGCTCTAGCTCATGACTTCTTGCAACATCTACTCCGGCATCCTCAGAGCGAACAAAGAGATTTCTATCGCGACTTTTGGAAAGGGTATCTTGGACTGTTGGGGGTTGGGTTTTTGCAATGGCCGCGTTGTTCTTTGGGCAGAATTGAACCAGGATATTGTAAAACAACATCCCATGAAAAAGAGGGAAATTTATTGAGACTAAGCCGCCTTTTTGATCGATTCATTACTCTGCTCGCTGATTGTCGTTTTTAATTACACAATTTTGACCATTTCACTCAGTCGTTGAAGCAGGGGAAACGAAATCAGATTTCGCTGATCATGTCCCTAGAACACCAGACATACCTACACCACTTTTACTCCAGGTAAGGCCGATCAAGAGAGGAATGTAGGAGGGACGTCAGGTCCTTTGGAAGCGTCAGCAATTACCTGGTTATACACAGAATGGCTTTTGACCAGCGCTCCTACTCACCCCAAACATGAAGGTTATCTGGAGACGCTTTGGTCCGGTGCGTAGGCTCCCTCATATCGAGCAAATCGCCATCGACATAATGTTCCATGATAAAGCCAGCAGGGTCAAACCTTGGCACAGTGATCAGTCCGGTTCTGTGCTTGACAGATACCCGAGAACATACCAGTAATCGAAAATTTGACTCCCCATAATGTGCCTGCCAACACCCCAGCAGTTCGTCCATCCCTTGGACCGCAGCCAGTCGTGGCCGAGGACTTGAGCATCAAAATCATGCGTCTCAAAAGAGGAATGGTGTACATGCGACTTGGGACCCTCAAAAAAGAAGAATATGTGATGGTCGACAAGTTCATCGCCCCGGTCAAGACGAAAGAACACCGTAATGTCACGGCCCTCTTCGTTATGTACGAGCTGTTGGTGGGTGAGTTGGTCAGTCTAGTCAACCAATGATCCATTTCACCGCTAGCTTACCTCGCTGGGAAAGAAATTGAAGAAACTTGAGTAGAACTCGAAGCATTTCGCAAAGTTGGTCACACACATGCCAAAGTGGCCGAGTTTGTGGATAGGGGCTGGCCGCTTCTTGAAGCGCTGAAACGTATTGACTTCACGGTTCTTCTCGACAGGCTGGGCGATCTGTTAGCTTTTTGATCGGAACAGAATCACGGAAGCTGCTGATGCAGAAACACTTACATAGTTGAACTTGAGCTTTGGAAACCCGGGATCCTCCATGGGGACCTGTGTCTGGCCATAGACCAAGTGGAAGGGGAAGCTATCAACGGGATCGTAGAACGTGACCCTCTTGCCACCACCGGGAACATCTTTCATCTCGTGAACCTCTGTGGCCCTGCATTCTGGGGGGAGAATCTTGCTGGCACGGATGAGATCCTCTTCGGACTCGACCACAAACGCCGCGCCACCAAATTCGTTCTTGTCAGACTCCTCGAGGGCTAACACAAATGGCTCTGTGCCGTAGCCGCGGAAGAATGTTGTCTTTCCGACCTGAGCTGTCTCAAAGAAACCAAAGTCCACGGCAAAGGCCTTGGCCTTCTCAATGTCTTGATGCTTGTACCATACGTGGGCGATGCGGACCAGTCGTATCTTCTGGGATTCAGGGATTGCCATGGTGAAAGCTTACTAGGTCAGAGGTACTGCAATAAGTAAACAATGGTTGATTCGCTACTGGTGAATGTGTAATTGATGGAATAACCCCAGTCTGAGTCTTATGGAGATAGAATGATGGATATGAGATGCGATTGGGATACCCAGGGCAAGATCATCAGTGTCTAAGTCCGAAGGACAGATATCCAAGGGTAAGGGCCTGGACGGGACATTTATTTAGAGTCCGAAGTCTTGGAGGGAACGCCGGTGAGGCAGCGTCCGCGGGGAAGTAGTGGGGTAGAGCGGACGGGTGACACAAAGCTGGAAAGCTCGCGCATCACCACGAGCATGCCACCGGCAGTTGGCAGCAGCCATCTGCGTTGCCCAATGGCGACAAGCGGTTAATCGGCCGCATGTCATGTGTTCTTGCAAGCTGAGATGGGAGCTAGGATGGCTGGAAGGAGTCACGATAGGCTGTATTCAAGGAGGAAGGACAGTCAGAGGAGGGTCGGGAAATGCGAAGGACATGATCCCGCAGCTGGCACCTGGCTGCGCGGTGCCAAGAGTCAACTTGACTTAGCAACGTCGTCGGTATGTTGAAAACAGAGGCAAGCTCCTTATTGTGACCGTGGGTCGATTCAAAAATGGACTTCGTAGGCGGGCGAAGAAAGAAGAAGCCGTTGCAGATGATAAGTGAGATCAAGAACGCAGCGGTTGACCAGTTCTTGAGGAGAGGGCAAGGTGAGGAAACAGGACCCGCTGAGGAGGAAGCTCCATCAACCTGAATTACGATCTTTAAGCACGTGGATGTCATTAATCTATAAATCTCTTCAGGTAGAAGGCTTAAATGAGGAGATAGGGAAGTTCAACTGTGATATCACTGGTAATTGGTGACTCTTGTCGGTTGACTTAGTTTTGTACAGAACACAGACTTTGTCCGATGTTCACCCTAACCCTCAATGGCCCCTCACCTCGCGCATTGGCTGGTGGATGCCAACCCCTCGCTGACAATCTCAACCCCGCAGCATTGCCTGGGAGCACCAACGTTGGGGTAAAATCCACTCGATCTCCAGCGCCCCGCTGTCCACGCTGAACCCTTCCCTTAACCCCTGTATCATCCCCGACCTCCCGTGCGTTCGCCGAAGGTCGCCGTTCTCTCTTCTTACAAGATGGCCAAGTCGAAACGGCTTGCCCCCAGAGCACCAGGCGCCGACTCAACCTTCTCGTTGCCTGCCTGGGCGACCGACGGCCTACCGCTTCCGCGCATGGTCGTCTTCGACCTCGACTACACGCTCTGGCCCTTCTACTCCGACATTCACATCTCGCCGCCCGTGCGCGCAGTTCCAAACACCCAGTCCTCGGTCCTTGCCGACCGCAACGGCGAACAATTCGGCCTGTACCCGGACGCGCCATACATCATCCGGCTGCTGCAGTCGCTCAAGATCCGCCTAGCTGTCGCGAGCAAGTCGCCCGTCGGCGACCTCTGTCGCGAAGTGCTCAAGCAGTTGCGACTCCCTGAAGATTCTCCGGGGGTTGAGAGCAGCAGTTCGAAGAAGTTGAGAGTTATCGATGCCTTTGATGGCGGGCTCGAAATCTATGAGGGGACCAAGATTCGGCACTTCGAGGTGATTGCGCGGCGCACGGGGGTGCCTTTTAACGAGATGCTCTTCTTTGACGATGAGCGCCCAAACTTGGAGGTAGAGCGACTTGGAGTTACCATGAGGCTTATCCGCGACGGACTTACCTGGGATGAGTTGGAGAAGGGCATTGCTCAGTGGAGAGCAAATAGGGGTATTGCCTAACGATCTTTTGTTAGGGTTATACTTGGATGAGGTGTTTGAATTTGGATGAAAGTGATTCCTTGTTCTTTGCTATTTGGCTGATGCATGAACCCATTGGTTTACTCGTCACGATAGAATATGGCGTTGGAGTGGGATGGGTATGGTATATATGCCAAGGTGTCTCGTTCAGAAGTCCCAGATGGACGGACAGTCTCGGACAGTCTTAGGTAGTTGATTATGTCAACATGGTACATAATGAGGCACCAAGCGTGCCACTAATGCTGATATCAAGGATGATGAAAAACATAACTCACATTGAACACTGTGTGCAAGTCAAGGCTTATATAACCCCTTAGCTACCCAATACCACTTGCATCCCGACAAATAGACTCATAATGATAGCAAAGAATTGGACTTTCGCGGTCTCCCAAATGCATCAAAACGCCCATAGTATATATCCATGTGTGGTGAAATAGCCAAGTAACGGTACCAAAGCCAACCAACACCCGTCGATGATATAAAAAAGTGTGAAAATGCATCTTCTCATTATGCCCAAAAAACAAGGCATCAGGCGGCGGCAACGGCAGTCGGCTCCTCTGTCAAGGCCTGGCCGCTTACCTTCTCAGTTACCACATCCGTGGGGTTGCCTCCAGAGATCGCCAAGCCCTGGACACCTTCCACAATGACATCTTTCTCGGTGGCTGTGGCAGCGCCATTCCCTGTTGCCACAGAGACATTCTTGGCTTCTGTCACTACAGAAGTTGATGTTTGTCTCTCCGGGAACGCTACGGGGATGGTGCACACGCGTTCCCTCCTTTCCTTGCCATTCTTGCTTCCTACAGCGAGACAGGCTAGGCGCTTGCCACCGTCGACAGGTACCCAGTATGCCGGACCCTCTGGAAAATCAGTATAGCCGTTTTCCCAGGTAATTTGCTCGCGAATATTGGGGTCAAGGTTCGGGCGGTCGAAGAACTCAAAGTCCAATTCACCACCGTACTGCTTGGGAATATTCCTCGGCTCGATGAACTTTTCCAGAGTGGGCTTCACCTCACTCGGGGACAGGACGAAAATCTTGGACACGGTTACAGGATCGAACCAGCGTTTGATCCACCCCCAGACGGTGCTGAAGAAGTAGGGGGCGCCGATGATGAAGATGCGGTCGAGAGTTTCGGGATAGTGCGCCGTAGCCAGCGTCGAGGCAGCTTGCATGTGCGCTTTGAGGTTCCAGAACATACGGAGTGACACCTGTGATACGTCGACGATATTCGTACTAAGGGTAATCGGCGTTCGGGGGTGTTCACGGTCGGTCATCTCGGTGCATAGCGGTTGCGCGAAGCGGGTGAGATTCTCATAGAGCGCAAATAGCCTAAGCAGCCGCTGGGGCGTTGAGCCATCCGTTTTGGCTTTGCTAACAGTGGTCGTCTCAGCATTCTTTTCATATGTCGACACAGTCTTAGAGTCAAGATTGCGAATCTGAAAAAGATAGAGGGGGATTCCTCTGACGCATAATACGGACGAATTAGCGCCGCTGACTAGCATGATAAAGGATCAGCCGGAAGGTTCCACAAACCTCCTATCTCTCCTGCCAGTCCATTGAGGATACTGTACGGTGGTTCCGTTAGCAAATGTCAAAAATATGGGCATCGCGCATCGTACCAATCTCCTCGTCTCCTCGTAGGCATCGACATCAATTGTGTCGTACAACACTTCCAGCTGGTTGGCCTTGCGCCACTCCTCCGTATCCTTGAACTGCTGGTAAGCGTCTTGGATTATCCATTTCCTTGCGCGCAAGAAGCGCCTGGGTAGGACAGAGTAAGCGGCAGATTCTTGTTCCAAAGTGAGTAAAAAGAACGTACAGCAGGGTCTGGTCGTCATGCGAAGGCTTGTCTCCAGATTTGTAGAGCCCCTTCTCTTCGAGGAAAACTTTGAAGTTTTGGAGCGTATTTTCCTCATCCTGGGTGAGATAGCCCAAATGGCCATGCGGATAGCCGATGTCGTGGCCGCCAACGCTCAAGACTCGTTCTGCCGGCGAGTCGCTCATGTTTATAGATTCTCGCTGAGACGGCCAGGGAATAAGAGGGATTGCGGGGCGAAGAGGATATGCGCGGTACAGTTGCGGCAGCTACGCGGTCTGCGATGGGCCCTGGATTGTGCAAGATGGCGACGAAGGACGTGCGGCTTGTGCTGCTTGTGCCTGTCGCAAAGAGTGATGCTGTCCTTCGAAATGGAGGGCGGCCGGGGATCAATGGGCATCGTAAAGCCCCGAAAATCCGAAGATCCCGAAACAGCACCCCCACCTCAAAAGCGCCATCACTTCTGCGGCCAACATGCCATTGGTCGCCGTCCAGAAGAGCCCCACTTGCGATAAGCCGTCCCAAGATCTTGGATCTCGAATGACGCCGCTGACAGCAAGCCATCCACGTGTCCAGATGGGCTAGATGCAGATTCAAGCCTGCAAGATGGGTCTTCTAATCCATGAGCACACGATATATGGCGAGCAGCCAGGGCTCTGCATCTTGAGCGGATCTTACAAAAGCGAGACCGCTGGGAGGAGATCAAAAACCAGCACATCATTACGTACTTCATATTCTCAACACGACAACCGGTCAATCCCACCCAGACCGTAGAGCCTTTTCGTTGCTTGCTCCAAACGATAGACAGTGGTCCCAAATACGCCAAATAACACTATGATCGTAGAGTCTGCACCATGATTTACTCATCCTCACTCCCTTCAGCTACCTCTTCACCCTCCACAGAACCATTACCATTTTCAACAGCAGGACCCTCCTTTTCAAGCCTCAACCACTCATCCCACTCGGGAAAGAGCTCCTCATCCTCACCAGGCACTCCCAGAGCCTTGGCAACACGACCCTTCTTGTTCTTCTCGAGGCTGTCCTTCCACTGAGCAACAAGACCGGGAGTCAAGCTCGGCTTGTATGTCTGAGAGAATAGAACAGCTTCAGCAAGGCGGCCGGTCTTCACAAGGATGTCGACACAGCCAGGGACGTCGCCCAATGACCATTTGCAGTTGAAGGCAACGTTATGGGCTCCAGCTTCAGTGGCCTGTTCAGCCAGCTTGGCAAGACCTTCGCGATCGGATGTGGAGGTGTACACGAGCAGGAGAGACCCGAGGTCCTTGGCGTTAACGAAGCACTCCGTTGCCATAGGGATATCCCAGGCAGCGAGAGCAGCATCGCCAAGGGTCTTCCATTTGTGGTCGGAGTCGGCCGACCTTGCAAGCTCGAGAGCGATGTCCAACTGGTTGAGGGACAGGGCAAGGTCAAACTTCTGCTCCGGGTCTGTGGCGACTTCGAGTGCAAGCTCCTTATGGCCTTGTCCCTCAAGGAAGCGGGCGATCTTGTTAAGCTGATCATGGGGGATACTGGGGAGAAGCTCGGCGGCTGTCTCCATATCCCCACGAAGAACGAGCGTCTGATACTCGAGCACTGGCAAGGAGAGAGCGAAAGAAGTAACCGAAAGGTCTTTGTCGGTAAGGTAGACCCGACTGTCACGCTGCAGGTAGCCCAGGATATACATGGGCTTGTCAAAGTGAGCCACAGCATAGGTCTGGTCGCCGACCAGGTAGTTCAGCCGGTTAGTGGAGTTCGTGTAGATGAAGACGTCACCAAGCCACTCCGCAGACCGCACGCTGTGAACATGTCAGTCAGGGGGTCAGATATACGATTTGTGGACTAAAATCTTACCTTTCACTGATATCAGTGACCACATCAAAAGCAGCCTCAACGCCATCGTCCTCAACAGCACCTGCCTGAACAGCCTCATTGTAGGCGTCCCTAGAGAACCTCAAGATGTAGCAGGTATCTTCGCAAGCAAGAGCGACGAGCTCACCACTTTCGCTCCAATACACTTGCTTGGGCTCAACCTCGATACGGCGGACAAGGCCACCGGTATGCCAGTCGTAGAACGAAATCCCCCCTTGACCCTTTACACCCAGGAGAACACCACCAGTAAGGCCGTCTGCGGCGAATGGCACATCCAGGCCGCCCTTCTTCTCTTGGAAGTTCTTGAACACCTTGATGCTCGTCGCAGACTCCCGGATAGCAAAATCGTTGGAATTATCCTTGGACGCCCAGACAAAATCAAGGGCCTGGCCGAAAGCTTTGTTGCGCCAGGCAAGGGCAGTGTAGATAATGTACTCGCCGTCACCACAGATAGCGGCAAAGCGGCCATTAGGCGAGTGAATAAGAGTCTGTGGGTACACTTCAGCAGTCCCCAATTCCTTGGTAGTGAGAGTGATGGGCTCGTTGTCCTTGGTGGCCTCATTGCCTTTGATGACCGCGGAGACAACCTCATTGTGGCGGGCATAGATGATCTTGCCAGACCCATCCATCGAGACAGCCGGCTCTTCACGACCAAGCTTAATAACCACAGAGCCATCATCGAAACCGACGGCAATACCCTGCTTGCCCTTCTGGTACGCCACACACCACGCACGCTCCAATCCATAGTTCAAAGATTGTTCGAAGCGGTACGTATTGGCGTTCCATATCCTAATAGTTCCCTGCATCGGCGTCGTTAACACCCAGACAGCTTATCACGGAGGTCTTGAACTTACATCCTCAGAGCCTGAAATAATGATGGGCAGCTCAGGGTGGTAGACAGCAAAGGAAACGTTGTTGGTATGGCCTTCCAGGGTGGCGATCAGGCTCTTGGTTGTGTAGTCCCACACTTTGACCGTGCGCTAAGTCATTGTCAGAATCCCCCTTCCCACGTTTAGGGGCTGGTGGCTTCACTTACATCATCTGAGGCAGTTAAGAGGTATGGCTTATCACTATGAGGGTAGTAATCGACATAGTTAACACCCTTTGTCTCATGTGCCTCCAACTGGAACATCGGCGTAGAAGAGCCCAAGCTCCAGATCTTGACTGGAAGGAGAGTTAGCCAAAAGACAGCTGTGAGGGACGAGAAAGTGACGAACCAGTCCGGTCCAAGCAGGCCGACGCGAAGGTATTTGTATCCTTCGGGTTAATAGCGAGGGACATCACGTAATCTGGGCACCCCAGTCAGCATTGATCCAGCCACATATGGCAAGCTAATCGCGCGACGTACGTGAGTTGCCCTCGAATACCCTAACGCACTTCCACCCCTTCTCCCAATCCCAAAGCTTGATCGTCATATCATCGCTGGCGGTGAGGACGAAAGGCTGTGTTGGGTGAACGGCAATCGCGCGAATGTAGTCGGGGTGCGCCTCAAACGAGGTAATCTTCTCGCTCGTATTATAGTTGTAAACACGGATTTGGCTGTGGCCAGGCGTCAGCGACTCGGCGGCATACTTGGAAGACCCAATGGCACGGGATATCGTACAAATCATCCGACCCGCAGACAATCCAATTCTTGCGCGCAATGAAGCGGCCAGCGCGAACCGGGACATCGGTAAGTTCGAAAGTCTTGACGATTTGCTGGGTCTCGTATGACCAGATGTAGACATGTCCACTATAGAGGGTGGCTGCAACAGGGGTTGTCCATCAGTACCAAGGGACATCGAGCGAAGACGGGGAGAGGAATGCATACTCAGAATCCACGGCTCCGTTGGATGGAAATCAATGCCTTTCACTCGCTATTCAACCATGTCATTAGCCTAGGGATGTCGAGGGTAGGTCATCGACAAAGCGGAAGGGAACCAACCTCGGAGCGAGCAAAGAGCTGACGCTGTGTATAGGTAGTCATGTTAGCATGTGGTCCCAGGATGGTCTGAGAAAGAAAAATGGGAGCCGGCAATCAAGCAAGCGCCAGGTGTCCCAGAAGCAGAGGATGAATCGACGCCGCATCATTCGGCCGCTGCTGGGTGGTACTTGGGTAGACTGCGTTCGGGGCCGTGATAAGATGGCCGGTAACACGGTTCTATTGCCAAACACGAAAGACGTGGGACATGCCTTCACATCTAGCCTCATCTTGGACAATGGTATGTTCCGTGACCCGAGGGCGATATTCGACGGAGCTTGTGTCCAGTTTCCCTTAGCTGGCTTATAGGTTGGGCGGGGTGATGGAATAGGAGGAGCAAGGACGTCTCGAGCCGTGAAAAGGGGGTGTCGCTAGGAATTGATGCTTGGCCGATTGCCCACACTCTGCCGCCTGGAGAATCGTGGTGGCAGTAGGGTTCAGTCCAAGCTCACAGTCGCTGCTTCGGGTCGACGAGGAGGAAAAACCGTCGGCAGCTGGTCAAGATGCCGGGCCACGTTTCTTAAGATCGGGGATGCTGTGCAATTTCGCCAATGTGGTCAGTACGGCCTGCTGCATGGCGGTCCAGAAGGGTGGATTAGGTAAGGCGCCAAGACCGCCAATCATGAGGCCTCAGGCACCAACAATGGTGGGTCCTGGCTATGCCGCAAAGGCCAGGCAAGAACCTCTTTGAAGCTGTAACCTCAGACTACCTCCCCACAGCTGTCATCTCACAACAGGTTCACAAGCACCTTGGACCAGACGGCAGCACCCACGATCAACTCATGCTCATGAGGGATATACTGGGGCTTCTTCAGATGAAACTTTTTTCGGAGCACGCCATCTACGATTTAGGATATGGAGCATACCTCTTGGTCCGCTTCAGAAGCTCACCATGGTTGCATCCCACAACGGACAGTCCGATCGATACCAGATGGAGAAAGAGTCTCTCGTTCCGAACTCCTCTATCTCCCATACCTGTTCCATGCGTCCTGTTATCCCGTCTCAACCTTCCGTGAGCCCTGAGGGCAGCGCTAAACCGTATTGAACAATAATCATCATTGGAAATATGGCAGTGAAGGGCATAACACATGTCATTGCCTGTGTGTGTCGGCCTGCACACGCTTGACGACGTCCACGACTGCCGGGAACAGCTTATCCTTGGGCTCTAGCCCACACACTGTTTTGACCACCTCTTCAGCAGTGTTGTGCTCCATAATAACGGCGAGCTCGAAAGACTCGCTGTCCCCCTCAACTCTTTGGAAGCGGAATGCCATCTCAGCTGCTCGGAGCAGTGCGTTGACGTCCTCTCCTCGCTCCGCCAGCTCGGCTGCAGGGCCAATGAAGCGTTCCTTGCGACCAAGCTTGCGCAGCGGGGCACGACCAACGCGCTCGACCGAGTCCTCAAGGTGTGGATTGCTGATGCGCCGAATGATCTTGGCGACGTAGACGTCCTGTTCGGCTCGCGAGATGCCATGCTTCTGAATGATGAGCTCCGCGGTCTCGTCTAGCACCTTACGGACTTCGTCCTGGATCTCGCGGTCTTGTAGCGCATCATACACAGTGGTCTTCCGCCTTACGTGGCCGTAGTACGCCGCTGTAGCATGGCCCGTGTTAACCGTGTATAGCTTGCGCTCGATGTATGGCTGTAGGTTCGTCACCCATTTCACCCCCTTAATATCTGGCGCCGCATGGTCAGCGAAGGGAGTGCAGTCGATCACCCACTCGAAGAACTTCTCCAGCTTGACGTCCAGGCCAGCATCCGGGTCCTGCGCAGGAACAATGCGGTCGATGGCCGAGTTGGCAAATCGTGCACGCATGTCGTAGTCAGCTAGCCTTTCCGGCGAGGTGTTTTCGGGTGACTTGATGAAATCAGCCAGTATGTCTGTGGCGCCTATCGCATTTTCGCAGGCAATGACTGCCACGGGGGTCAAGTCTGTTGAGCGTTTGTCAATGCCCTTTGCAATCACTGGGGCAATATGCTTGAGGATGTGAGGCCCAACAGAGCAGGTCACCAAATCGGCAGTTGCAATCTCTTGAACAAGTTCATCCTCGTGTGTTCTTGAGTTGATGGCACGATAGTTGGTAATGGTAGACTCCGTTGTCCCTTCGGCGCCGACCTCTATGACCCGGTAGCTTTTTTGGCCATTAAGTCTTGCCACCGTTTTCTCATTGACCTCGGCGAAGATGACCTCGTAACCAGAGTTATGCAAGAAGCAGGCGACAAAACCACGCCCTAAATGGCGTCAACGAGTCAACAATGTTTGTCATGCGGCGACCCCTAAGCCTGGTTTAAGGACACAAGTACCTACCGATGTTCCCAGCGCCAAAGTGAATGGCCTTTTTGGGGCAATTCCTTTTCATCTTGCAGACTTGCAACTGTGGTGAAAGCAAGAGGTGAGATGGTGCGTGATGTGACGAGTCAATCAAGGCCTGAGCGGTGCTGGCGCTCGGAGCAACACACCCTACTTATACAGGATGACGTCTGCAGCTGCAAGGATTCAAAACGGACAATGGCTTCCGTTAAACGTATCTTGCTAGACGCAGGGCTAGGATGGATCGACTGTTATTCCGATGTTAAATACCATTCAATTCACGCGGGGAGCAAAACAACCAGAACAAGCTGTTTCCTTTATAAGAAAGGGTCGGCATTATGCAGCCGCTGAACAACTGTCCTCCTTGTGTGCCCATCTGCCCGCTTTATCGGCCTCAATCCATCAACCACACATCTCGAGCCTATTGATATAGTAAGGCTGATGAGACAGCTAGCGGGCCTTTAGTTACGGCTGTGTCTCCATGTCGGGCGCAAGGCCGTCCCGCGATGATCGGCTTGTCGGCCCCCACTCCGGCCAAACGACCAGGGTTCATTCTTGGCTGCGACCACGCTCACCCCTCTGTTTTCAGGCATCCAGGGACGAGACACGCGGCATCGCGATCGGGAGTGTGCAGTTTGGGGAGGTACATGACATGGTACCATCGACTGTGTACCTTTCCGGTAGGGCACCGGAAGGTGTAGACCACGGCGTGCCAGGAACCGACCGACTGGCCGAAGTTTTAAATGAAAGGTTGCAGACGAGAATAGGGCCAATCAGACGTGCATCCAAAGTTATGACAGGCGTTTCAAGTCGCCTTGGTAAGGTTCCGTCCAGGTAACCGCGGGAGGTTCACTGCCGGCCGGGATCCTAACTAAGTCCAGTACACTTGCGGAATGGAAGCTGACGGTAGTTGGTTGCATGGGCAACTAACAAGACACGCTTTTCCAGCTTCTAAGGTTGCATTGGGCACTCGTCCAGCCCCTCCGCAAAAATTCTGTGCTGGTCGGTGCTATTTGTTCCTTCTACGTCGGGACGTTGAGTCTCTTCTTGCACCCCAGAGCAACCACAGCATGGCACCCAATGTTTACATGTACGACAGGGAAATAGTCGAGATAACTCTCGGTGGCCGAAGGATTCCGTATGTCGCAAGGCAGCTCTATCACGGACGGATAAGATCTGCAACAACGTGAAACCACATTGCACAGGCCTTCCTTGTCCCATATGTTACGTGGAGACTTAAGGCCTGAGGCGACTCCGGTCGTTGGTAGCGGACAGCTGCCCGTCGTCAGTGCGGCTTGTTTTGGAGCTTAGCTTCAATTAGCCCTGGCTGCTTCTGGACAACCAAAAGCCCCAATCCGACGATCACTTGTTCTTTCGATCTTAGATCATCAGATTGTTGTTGCGACGAAAACAAGTTCTGAATTTATGAGGTCAAAGCCATTGAAGGTTGCCTTTCTCGTTTACCCCTCCGTGCTCTTGGACGGAGGGGCTGTCAATTGAACAGAAGCATTGCGTTATACCAAGCGCCCCGGGCCACCTAAAGCAGGTGGGGCTTATGACGACATTGTGGAACCCGCATCTTTCTTGCCTGGCTTATGTAAGATATGAGGGTCTCAGTGGAGCCACAACGACGCCCCTGACTCCCCGCCGCTTAGACTCTGTCCGTGACATCAACTTCTTCGTTCAGTAGGTAGCACGAAACCAGGACAAGATCACTCCCCTATTAATCAGAAATGTTATTGTTCAAATATGCAGTTCGCAATCGATTCAAGTTTTAGGAATCGATATCTCGCCCTTATAAGGATTTGGCATTTCTGACGGGCTAGAAACGAGGTCGCGTGGCTGACGACCTAAAGCCACCAACAACAGTCACGGCAAAGGACGTTCCAAGCAAGTCACCTATTCTCGCACCCACACATCCACCATTTGTACGGACAGTTTCTCCTTGATGGATTGGATATGGCACTATTAACGCTATGCATCTTTTCCGTTGTTGTAGGCAAGTGGCGGAAGGTAATCGTGACTCTCGGTATTTTGAGTCTTTGATGTCTCATCTGTTTGGCAGCTTGGCCCATGGTTCTTACCCGATATCTGTCGGAGCCGAAAACCAAGGTACGTAACCGGCTGAATATCTGAATATATTTCTCCTCTTCTACAAACAGGGCTGTTGAAGTGAAACAAACCCTGCACAAGTGAATCAAATGCCCAACGAGATCATCCCACATCGTGCTTCAGCTCAATGGCATGCAGTTGCCAGCATCTCTACTTGCCCTGGTTGGCTTGCTGCATCCTGCGGTACCTCGGCAGAACCCTGTCATCCGGACCCCGGTCTGCCAAGACTTTCTTGGCCGAGCCGGGACCCGATCATTGTGGAACCTCCGCGACCCACCTTACCGCCTTGGCACCCCTGCATCACGCTGCCGATCCTTCCGTCTCATAATCCGGCGACCCGGGGGTGTGTGGCCGGAACGAGCGGCATTGTCCCCGGTAGACATTGAGAATGTGGTATGTCATCCTTGCAGCAAGCCTCGCCATTAGATGCCGGATCCCGGCTGGGCAGCGGACAACTCACCACGCGGTGTCAGCGGTGATGCACTGATGGCCGATATGACTGTGTTACCGCTGGTCAGGCTCCGGTTGGTTGGTCAGGGGTAAGGTACCCGCGCCATTGTCAGCGCTTTATGTCAGAGCTTGCTTGTCGGCTGGCGGTGCCGATATCCGTGTAATTAGTCTGCCTTTCGTTGGGGAGCTGCGATCTTACGAAGTCAAGGCTCCTACCTAGAATGAATTATAAAGCATGCCCACCCAGTGACCCATTTTACCTTGCACCGGCGCCACAGTGCAGCCGACATCGTTTCTACGTACCGGGCTCAATAAAAGCCAAACAGGCTTTAAAATAGTCAAGAATGTACGTTGTTGATGTGTTCTTCATAGATATGATCGATGATTTGATCTCTGTTGGGTTCTCCCATGCCCTGTGATGCAACGGGCGCACGAGCGCAGTTCGATTACAGTACTTGTAGGAGGAGTGCTTGCTGTGCTTTGCCAAACATGCTTGTGATTAAAAATTCAATAACCCTGTTTTAGACATGATTCCTCATCAGCAAGATTGCCTGAGGGAACGAGTCGATAGCCTGAGTACAGCCTTGTCGTCCGTGACAGATTTAAGGCGCAAATCTCGCGATTACCAAAGCACAAACCCAAGGTAGCAGCTAAGTAGACTGCGCAGTCAGTCGGTTCCAATCAACTTATTGTGTATTATTATAAAAAACGAACATACATAGCGGGTATATTTGACAATGTAGAGCCGTCGCATGGTATAACTGTTGCTGTACATCATTGGCAAATGCTTAACAAACTAGATACCACAGCTATATTGCTGAGATCGCATCTATGAATCACGTGTAAAGCACATTCATATGTAATCCAAGTTTCAAGGATTGATGCTCAACACATGATACCGTGCTTCAGAGAGCTTATATAATTCGAGTCTTCGCTCGCGTAAGACTTTCATCACTCTCAACACGCTTTCATCAGCCAGGACCACGGAGCAATTCGTCTAAACGGCGACTATCCTCGCCAATGTAAACCTGCCGCCCGCTCCTGCAGACCTTAGCCCGCTTGACAACCGGGTTCAACTTGCCATTTGGTGAATGGAGCACAAGGACATCGACAGTCTCAAAGCGGAAATTCGAGCGATCGCCAACAACTTGGCAAGTGCCGATCCGAACTCTGCCCCTCGAAGATGGTCCCCTGATAAGCGTCTGGAAAGTTGCGCGTGATCCACAACATCTTCCCCTCCCTCGTCAAATACCATGTCTTCGGGACGGACAACTGGCTTGATCGTGCCATTTGCCATCTATTTTACTGTTCTTTGCACTGAATTTCGTCCATCCCCCAGGATACCATGTTGCGCTTGTGTGCTGGCCAAAGCACGGGGCTGACGGCCGCCGAAACCACACTTCTCAATGAACTGTAGGAGGTTCGGCAGTTTTTCGTGTATGCCATGGCTTACCAATGCTGGACTCACCACAAACATCATTGGCTGAGGTGGGCGGAAAACGTCATAATAGATCTGACGGAATGGATCGTCAACCCCTTCGCCTACCACCGCCATGGTAACATCCAGTGTCAAGATAACTCGCGGTTGTTCTTACAATAGCGCACGATCAACAATACTGACTTCTTTTTCATTTTTGACACTATAAAGGCCTTGTGCCCTCACCAAGACATGATTCGTAAAACGATCCCATCCGACTGCTCTAGCTGTCAAAGGGTAGGGTCAAGTAGGAATTTGGACACAATCCTAACCATACGATTCATACTCATTTGTTAACTAGTACAACCTTTACATCTGTTATGTTCAAACATTGACATACTACCCTAGTCCATATCATCATGCACGCAACATCCATATTTTCCACAGGGCTACTCATCACTTCCAGTTCCTCCACCCGTACGGGAGCCCCCCTTCCGACCAGCCTCACGGGCACGCTCGCTGCCGGGTTGAAAGCTACCGGACGATGCATGACCACCTTTTGATGCGATCTCACGCTGAAATGTTGTAAAATAGTCTCATTAGTGCATCTGGTCATCAAACGGATAGGCGCCAATGTCGACGAACCTGCTTATCTGGGTCCATGCTTGCGAAGCCACCACTGTGACTGGCATGACCACCCTTGGCAGCAATTTCACGCACTTCCTCCTTGGGACTGGACATTCCGAGGTATTAGTTAGCGTTAATGGTTTACCGGAGGAGTCAAGAGAGGGGAAGTATGACCGGTTGGCAAAGTTCCCTGGGTTGGTATTCTGGGTTCCGGACATGGTAACTTTCTCTATGCGACTCGATAATTGTAGATAGGTAATTTCACGTGTGATATGTCCTGGGTATCTTGTAGGCTGAGTAGGCGTTATCTTGAAGGTGACCAAAACTGAGTCAATCAAAAGCAAGCAACATTTATTTTATGCTCCTAAGCCTACATTAATACATGCTGTCGCCGCTGACGCAGCTTATCTCCAGTGTATCAACCTGTCATGACCGACTGTGGTGATGTCAAGCTTGACGTCGTGCTCCGCCAAGTTTGGCAAGTGGGTCCTCGCCCAGGGGCTGTCGGAGATCCTCTGGAAACGTCAACCTTCAGGAAACATTTTATTCAACTTCATCCGAGGAAGTAGGTAACTTGTCAAATTTGCACTGCCGGAGAATCGTGGGACATGCAGTTGTTTTGGCATTGTCGAACGGCATTATGTTGTCAAACATCTGCGTTGATTAGCTATGCCTGGAGTTGAACAAGCTATCGTCAATCGGAGCAGTCGAACGGTCCAAGAGACAGGTCAAGACACTTCGCGCAGAGCTGAACGATCCAATACCACTGCTGGAGGCAGGATGTCATCAGGGTCGGACGACGTCATTAAGTGGACCTCCAAGCCGGCACCTCCTCACCCTGACATCGTGCATTTGGTGTTGTAATTGTATGCCTGAGCCTTTGTAAACTCAATGGTAACATCGGGGAGGAAAAAATAACTGGGGATGAGCACATCTCGAATCTTCTCGGTTTTTGAAATAGCGACTTTCTCGGAAGGATCTCCCGAAGTTTCAAGGTGTCTCACGTTGATGATGTTGGGGTACCCTAGAGGTGTTCTCGCGAAAACGGAAATGATTATAATGAACGCATATATGATTTACACAAAGTGACTACTCGGCTGCCTTTCCGTCAAGCCCTAGGTACCTAGATAAGCCATCTTCCCTCCCGTGTGTGAGTTGTAATGCTTTGGCAGCTGAAAAAGTGAATGCTTGTGTGATATCAATTGTTCTGAGAGCTTCTTCCACCTCTGATATGGTAGGCAATTCTCATGCCCTGCGTTCAGAGATGTTGTAGAGGCAAATACCCTGAACATTATACCTGAATCTCTGTTGCCCGTTCTAATACTGTAGTTGCTTCTCTTGACAGGTATACTTCGCCAATTTGATGGAAAACTTTCCAGACTGCTCCAACCACAGAATTGTCGTAAATTGTGCTCTCGCTTGCTTTCCTGTTTGACATACCGAAACCTCTCCAATCGTTAGACTTGAGCAAACACCTGCCACCAGGTCTCACGTGGCTGTCAACTTCCTGATGGTAGAAATTGATGAGTATCTGAATACATGACAAGCGTGAATTTATTACAACATCTAGAAATGCATGTTAGCAGAGATATACTTCATTAAAAAGAGAGCCTGGCATCTCATCAATTCTACGGCATGCCATGCAGATCTTGTGACCCAAGGGATCTCTGGGGGTTGAGAGATTGGCCGTCATGCCAAAGTATCGTCTCATTTATAGTTCCCGTTGTCGTAGAAAACAGGATGAGGGAAAACAATTTGTCCCGCAAGATGAGTTCATGTCCGAGCTCCCACGCAACACAAACTTGACGAACATAGTCCTCAGAGACCTCACTCTGGAAAACTCGGATCCAACTAGCAGCCAAAGGCCTGATGAGATGTCTTAACGCGTATTTATCTAGCATGATAAGAAGCTGATAAAGTTGATAAACGGATAATACTTGTAGACCTTGATCCAGCAAGCCGTGTCATCTTGAAGGCAAGATCCGTGGCCTCGGGGTCATCTTCGGCCAGCTGTACCTCTCATGTCCCATCTCGCGGCTTCGCTTCCTTCCAGGGTCCAAAGAGCATTGTTTCCCACAAGCGTGAGGCTCGCCACAGGGTATCTGAACATGCCTGGTATCTTATGTACTCTGTGGCTAGGATAGGGTCTCCATCAGGATCGATTTCGATGCGGGTGCACATCTTCTTCATGTTGGGTGCGGCGACTTCATGGTCTGAATTTTGCGTGCTCTTGTTGCCTGCCTCAGTTTTAAAGTATCAAGAGATGAATAATAGGTTGCGAATACTTGAGGATTGACAGTGATACTTTGTGGCAGTTTCGGAGCCTGCATATGATCGATGAAAGGCTGGACCAGTATCATATGCCCAAGGAGCCTAAAACACTGTGCAGATGAGAACTTGGCTAAGAAGCACGACGCGTCGTGTCGTAAAGAAGCAACCGAGTCTTTTCATATAGTTGTTAATCTGATAATTGCCGGAGGTTCACCATCACCGGCCTGCCTCAAATTTCCGGACATACTCCAGAGTGGCATCAAAAGTATCCGTATTCCACAGACAATCAGACTCAGACGTCCCAGAGTGAAACTTCGTCCCTGTCAAATCAGCATGTAAAGACAATAGGTACATCACTCAGTAGATGATGTACTGATGGGCACGAAATAGCTGTTCATTCTTGGTGAGAAAGCGAGGATATGAGCACCATATGCCTACCGAATTGATCACAAACCACCCATTAACACAGGCTGCTTCCATTGCCTGTGCGGTAGCCAACTTAGGTATTCCCAGGCTTGTTCACGTAACCTGGCTGCTCCGGCACGTTTGACGAGTTAGGCTCGGTTTCTTTGCCTCGCTGTACAAGATGCGTTTGATGGTGTGATTTTAGGAACTTGATCTGTCGATTGTCAGCTCTTAGCTTTCCCACATAATCGGTGAACGGTCTTCCAGGCATGCACGTCTGATGCTTCTGGCTAAGTAGTTCTAGACCAGCCAGCGCTGCCGTAAGAATCTCAATTAGAGCATTAGGGCTCATTGATATGCTCTGAGCCTCTTCCAACAGGGAAAGAAAGCCACGTGCAGCAAGCTTTCTCCATATCGCTTCAAGAACGTTGTTGTCGCAGATCGTTTTCTTAGAATCGGCCGCTGCTGCTGTTGCTGCTGCTGCGGCAGCGGCGGCGGAAGCAGCAGCAGCATCGGCCCCAAAAGCGGACTATTTGATGCTTGTTGAGATTGCAGTAGCCGGTAGCGGCACCCTCCCGAGCCCTCTTTCATGCGACGGTCCACCACCGACTGGTAGAAGTTGAAAATCTTGATCAGAGAGAATCGGCAGTTAAGAGCAAGTTATAAAAAGTGTTGTCAGTAGCAGAAGGAAACTGGGAATAGGTAATTTGTAGGAACCTGGAACAAATTGGTGCTTATTTGTGTGTGCGTGCACGTGCATGTGTGTGTCTTGGGAAGAGTCAATTCTTACGTCTGGTGGGAGTCTGAACCAAAAGTGGAAGGAATGATTGTATCCAGGCAACGACGGGAGAAACTCTTCCATTCATCATCACTCCATACCATGGCTAGAAACGCAACGAAATCGTCTTGAAGACGTCGACAATATATCGGACAAATTGATAAGAGTTGCTCTCTACACTGCAAAGGAGCATCTGGTATGCAGAAGATGATGTGTAGTTTGGTATCTGCACCGACCGATCTTGTATCTTTCTCGTGCGACATTGCTCTGATTTCAGGTAGTATGAACTCCAAAATATCTAGGTGGTTGTCTTGTTTGCGGATCTTTGCTGTACAAGAATACCTGCAGGGCATTTTTGCCCCAGGGTCCACAGGCTCAGAGAGGTCAGGGAGCGAACATGTGTGCCCATCTACCTCTCTTGTGATGACTTGATTATAGATATAGTGACTTGGGTGATCAATTGCATTCACTATGCTTTTCCTTCTCCACAATGATAATTTAGCACTGAATTACTCTCCTCTGAGCTATCACGGTGCAAAGTATCTATAATCAGGATCGAATGCGTCTTCGATAACCCCTACCTGATCAGATACAAGAGCATCCTCATCACCCACCGGTTCTACAAATGGATTATCACCAGCTCCATAAATGAAATCAGTTACCTGCTTATCTAAGCAGAGCCAACGATCCTCCATACCCTCAGCTTCCTCCTTCGGGAATGGCTCAACCTTAATGCTGAGTCTAATTCTGGGTCGCTTCTTTTCTTGTGTTTGGTAGCTGAGATAACAGCGCAACTCTTCCAGTAGGCTGTAGTAATTGCCCTGTAGGAAGTACAAAAACGAGAGTTCAGCAGAGCGTAGACTCCCTGGAAGCGATGCAAAGAATGACATAAGGTCGTCTTGGCGTACAACGATTCGCGAAAGTCCAAAGCGCCGGAGATGGGACCACTTCTCAATAGGAAAGATGAAGCTAAGCGGAACGAAGCGACTCAAGTTGGCATATGTCACGTCCATGCTGAGGCTGATGTGTTCCATTTGCGACGCATGAGCTAGAGCCCTTCGAAGATTGCCCGATTTCAGTGCTTTCTCGTCCATATCTTCATACCAGATCTCATTCCGCCAACTGACTGCCAGAGCAATATCAAGACGATGGAACCCATCACACTGGAGAAGTGTTTCGAAATCTCGAAGCTCTTGACAAGGATCTGAGAAAATCGCACAATCGATCCCAGAACGAGTGGTCCTTGCATCCACAACGAGCTCCATAATGTTATGATGTCGATGGTAAAACAGTTCCCTCAAAACGGCGAGAAATGCACGCCAGGTGTTATGCCAACCCCAGTTATGCCATTCTTCGACAGATTCAACGTGGGCACGATGAGGATCATAATCATTAGTCGGCCACGCCCACGGTATTGGATAGTTGAAACCTCATGGAAAGGAGCGGATCATGGGCGTTTCATATAGAGGTGTGAAGAGAACCCCAATGGGCGCAAGGAGTGATTGTCACTTTCCTGAGGGCAGGGAAACGCTCTAAACCGTATCAGAAGGCTTCAATATCACCGTTTGTGGATAAGATTTTTGTCCTGCTCCCGAATCAGCTCTTCGTAATAATCTAACGAATCCAGTAGAGGTAACCGTGCCGCGATCATCTCTTCACGAGCAAGGTTTTCGGGCCTGCCCGGGATGTCACGATCCTTGCGAGCTTCAAGATGGTGAATGTTTTTCTCGCACTGTTGCAAAAAGCGCAAAGGACAAGCATCCGTTGAATTATTGTAGAAAGTCTCGTAGTTCCAACAGTCGGCCCATGGGGGAATCCAAGGAATAGGAGCGATATCCAGCTGAGACCGTGACCCCCCGGTTGGCAAAGGTTGTAGGAGTGCATCGTCCCATACAATCTCGAAAATTTGTTTACGAAATGTCTCGTGCTGTGCAATGGCTCGGAAGACAGAGATATTGCGTGGACTGGCTGATAGAAAAACTCGGTCAAGACGAAGCTTGCAGATGATAGAAAGTAGCCGACAAGTCAGCCGCAGGTTTTTGATGTCTTTGTTGGAAAGAGCGAAACATATAACGCTAATAATCTCGACCAGGAAGTACAAGGAAGTGAAAGCTATGACATGTGATAGTCGCCATGGTGAAAATGACTGAAGTGTTAAAAGAACAGGAGCCAGGTGCTCGGAAGAGATGCGTCTGTCATATGCTGTCAAGTTTTGTAACTCTTGTAGTCTTGCTTGATTTTGTCTTTTGTTGAACTCTGACCTTCCTTATAAGACAGCATCCCCTCGGGCAGGCCCTACGCAAATTTGCCAAGATAGACTACGAATGGGCAGTTCTAGGACACAAGCAGACACCTAATGTTACCGTAGCATTAGAACATAAGTTTGGCTTACATGACACCAAAGAGGTCTGGGAGGATTCGATCATCCTCCTTGGGGAATGAAAAGTGGGCTGGTTGTCCTCATTTTGCATGTCCCTTCGTCTTATGCCATCCTGCGTTCTTCGGTCGAGGCCATCTCTGAGAACACATCGCTAAACAGAGGCTGGCCTTCCCATGCGGACTGGCCGGAAAGAGCACAGACGTGAGTAATGAGAAGAAAACAGCTCGCGTTGGAACAGGGACACTCCAACGAGGCACATCTATTATCGGGTATAATCTGCAGTTCATGTTCCGCAACAGGACGCTCATCGTCCCTTGCCTCTTGTCCCACGACCACTCTCGAGAACCTTGAGTCTCTTCTGATATCTCTCACCCATGGCCACACCGCTGCCACGGGACCCGTTCACTGTGTCGATGGTGCGCTTGCGGCTCTTTTCCAACAGGGCCTTGGTACCACCGCCAGAACTCTTCGCTTTGGTCAAGCGGCTGATCCGCTCGGCACCTTCACCAAGCTCCCTGAATTCTTCGCCGCCAAAGTTCATACGACCACTGCGGCCCTCCATCCTAGCCCGCTTGGCACGTTCCTTCTTGCTTTCCTTGGGCAGGCGGACAAAGTTCGTCTCTTCGTACTCGCGGCGCTCCTCCTCCATGCGACGCTCAGCAGCGGTCTTCAAGCCGCGACCGCGCTTGACAATATTGGTACCAATGCTAGGTTCGGCAATGGGAGCCGTAGACACCTCATCTGCAATGAATTCGTCCAATGTGGCAGACTTGAGCGGCCGGCGCTCAGCCTTGTCTCGCCGATCGTTGGTCGGCATCGCAATTGGCGCTATCCTTGGCGGCCGGTAGACTCCAGAGTTGTCCTTCTCTTTTGTAACCTTTGTCGCTGCGGCTGGACGCTGGAAGTTGGAGAGGTTTGGTCTATGCAGAAGATCTTCTGTCCTCGCACCGCTCAGACCATTTACCTTGCTATCCATGTCGCCCGACTCTTCCTCCTCACTGTCCGACTGCGATTCGGAGCTAGATTCATCATCTGACTTCTGACACTTCGCTTTTTCTGCTTCTTCAGCGGCCTTTGCTTTGCGCTCAGCATCGTCTGCTGCTCGGAGCACCTTGTCAATCTGGAACCGGAGTTTGTCTTCAAGCGGCCTTGTGCCCTTCTCAAGGTAGAGGCGTAGTTCGACGAGTTTCCGCACAACCAAGTCGCTCAGGCTCTGCTCATCTGACTTGCGTTCTGACCTAGCGCTGTACTTTGCCTCGCGCAACTTAATGAGAATGAGGAAGACGATGTTCTGGAGATATGACAGGAGCAGCTCATTCTTGACATCGAGGAGAGAGATGCCATCCTTAGGAAGCTCTAAACTCTGGAGTTTTGGCGCTACTTCGAGGGTTGACGTCAGAGACCTTGTGAGGGTGTCCAGCAAAGCTGGAAGTGTTGTTGGCGCTGCCATTGTTGATGTCGGTTGGGTTCCAGCAAATGAAGGGTTCGGTTGTTGCAGAGAACTGCAAAACTAGAAATTCTTCAGCGGCCCCACAAGAACTTTTTGTGGGTCTGCGTATCCACCCCTTGCAGGGCAGATGCCAAGACTTAACAGACCCGCTTCAACGGGGCCTTTCCGCTGACGCGGTTGGAATCCACCCCTGGGCGTTGCTCCTTGCTTACGAGCCTTGGCGATGCTGCACAAGCCAGCACCACAGTTCCTTTGTTCTGCGCAACCACCAACCTGTCGAAGACGACAACCTGGCATGACTTCGTGTTGGCGCAGGCACAAAGGAGCATTAGCCACACAATAAGCACGCTCTGAACGCACTATCCATCATAGATCCAAATTTTGCTGAACGGTCGTGCATGGGACCTCGTCAGGCGAAGAGTAACTGACATCCCCTACGCGGGTCAACGGTCGACCAGGTTCTCGAGAGGTGCGGCTTCATTCCACTTCATCTCCTTGTGACCTCAGAGCGAGACACTCGGATCGCGATGGCAGCTCTGTCAATTTCGGAGATCAGATAGTCGCGTGTTAGCACATGTATACTGACTGTTTTGCTTTCATCTAAACCTAGGTTAGGTAATCACAAATCGACGACACCATGAAGCCGAGACAAGTAGCACCTTCAAAGGCGCTGCTCCTCTCCCTTCTTGCAGCACCTCATTTAGCTTTTGCCTTTTACCTCCCAGGTGTTGCACCGACAACATACCAAGAAGGCGATCTCGTACCGCTCTATGTCAATACGATACGCCCTGTCGCAGGGCCTGATGGCTCCCTGCACTCGGTTGTCTCTTACGACTACTATTACCCTTTATTCCAGTTCTGCCAACCAGAGGGGGGTCCTAAGAGCGTCAGCGAAAGCTTGGGCAGCATCTTGTTCGGCGATAGGATAAAGACCTCACCGTTCGAGCTCAAGATGAGGAAGAACGAGACCTGCAAAAAACTGTGTGAGGTAACCTATCCAAAGGGTGCCGCTGTCTTTGTCAACCAGCAGATCGCATCTGGCATCAGCCTGAATTGGCTGGTAGATGGCTTACCGGCTGGCCAGAAGATTGTGGACGAGCTTACCGGGACTGAATTTTATAACCCTGGCTTCCTCCTCGGACAGGAGAGCCCAACGGATGGGCAGATCCAATTCAATAACCACTACGATATCATCATAGAATACCATCAAGTGGCCGGCAGTACTAACCAATATCGGGTGGTGGGCGTCATTGTGCAGCCTGAATCAAAAAAGTACACCGGTCCGGTCGATTCCAACACCTGCCTTACTGGATACGAGCCGGTGGTCCTTAATGAGGCTGGTGATACCAAGGTTCAGTTCACCTACAGCGTCTATTGGATTCCTTCCTCCACAGTCTGGGCGACCCGCTGGGACAAGTACCTTCACGTGTTCGACCCCAAAATCCACTGGTTCTCCCTGGTCAACTCGTCCATCATCGTTGTCTTCCTGGTCCTTACCGTCACGTCTGTCCTCGTCCGTGCGCTTAAGAAGGATATCGCTCGCTACAACAGACTGGATCAATTCAGCCTGGATGACCTGTCGGGTACTTCAGCTCTTGAGGATGGCGTTCAGGAGGACTCAGGCTGGAAACTTGTCCATGGCGACGTGTTCCGTACTCCCTCGCGTCCTCTCTTGCTCTCAGTTCTTCTCGGAAACGGCGCTCAGCTGTTCGGCATGGCTGGTCTGACCATCGTCTTCGCGCTGCTCGGCTTCCTCTCGCCATCGAACCGCGGTTCGTTGGGTACCATCATGATCCTTCTCTACACAGTCCTTGGGTCCGTTGGCGGCTACACCTCGGCACGCATGTACAAATCAATGGGCGGCGAGCAGTGGAAGACATGCATCGTACTCACCCCCCTCCTTGTCCCCGGCATCGTCTTCGCGACCTTCTTCTTGCTCGACCTCTTCCTGTGGGCCAAGCAGTCCTCAGGTGCCGTCCCCTTCACTACCATGCTTGTCATCATTCTCATCTGGTTTGTCATCAGTGTTCCCCTCTCCTTTATTGGTTCCTGGATGGGTTTTCGCGCACCTACCATCGAGGCCCCGGTCCGCACAAACCAGATCCCACGCCAGATTCCGCCAGTCACCGGCTATCTCAAGCCGATTCCCAGCATGCTTCTTGTTGGCCTGCTTCCCTTTGGAGCGATCTTCGTGGAACTCTACTTCATCATGAGCTCGATCTGGTTCAGCAAGATCTATTATATGTTCGGATTCCTGTTCTTGTGCTACGTCCTTATGATTATGACATGCGCAGCGGTAACCGTGCTTATGGTCTACTTTTTGCTCTGTGCCGAGAACTACAACTGGCAATGGCGCTCGTTCTTGGCCGCTGGAACCACAGCATTTTACATCTTTTTGAATGCTCTACTCTACTGGGTGAGCAAGCTCTCATTGAGCAGCTTTGCAGGAAGTGTGCTTTACATTGGCTACAGCCTGCTCATTTCGTTCTTAGTCTTCATTCTAACCGGTATGTGTGTCTTCCTTATTCGTATGAAACCGTACCTAACAAATTTAAATAGGAACAATTGGCTTCTTTGCCAGCTGGCTGTTTGTCCGCAAGATCTACTCGTCTATCAAAATCGATTAGATGTTGCGCAGAGTGGAACCATACAGGAAACGGCAAAAGAGCAATGGGGTGGCAGGATTTTCTTTGCATGAAAGAAAGTGCTTTGGCTTGGATCAATTTACAGGCACTCGGTTAGGGCTGTCGTTAGGGGGAGGAGGGCTTAGCAAGCCTTGTAGTAGCAACCTACTATAGGATTTCAGTACGCGGGCTTAGATATGTGATAAAAACTCTTCTTCCCAGAGAGACCATATCGGCAATGGCGGCCATGCAAGCGAAAAAGTTCATACTGATATTCGACCTCTGCAAATCGCTGTTGTAGTCTCATGGTCAAGAAGACTTGTTCCTTCATGAGCCCTCGCTCTACTCAAGGACCTAAACATTAATGGATAACATGTGAAGCATCATACGGATTCCCCGGGGAATGGTATCAGCCCGAAGATGGACTCCCGAATAGCTCATTTCTTCCTCGTCCCAGCTTTCATCATCCATGATGGCATCCTGCTTCATCACAACCCTGAAGGGATGCATAACGTCCTAAAGATGAGCATCCTTCCAAATCATCCCACCAAGCTTGGCTTGCAGGAACCCAAGAAGGCCGGAGGTAAAGGCCTTGATTTCCCGACGCAAATAGGAAATTCCTTGCCATCCTCCCTCTTTGACCGAGGTCCGTGACTTCTAATCATCATCATCGTCATCGTCGTCGTCACCGCCCAAGAAGGTGAACTGCTTCGGCTTGCCAGCCGCAGGCCCACCAACAACGCTATCCCTCCGGCCTTCTTCAGCAGCAGCAGCCATGCTCTCGCGAGCCCGCTGCCTCTCCAGCTCTCTCTGGCGCGCAATCCGTTCGGCCTCTTCCCTTGCACGCCTTTCGGCCTCTTCACGTTCCTGCTTCGCACGCTCTTCGGCCTCGCGCTCGGCATCCTTCCGGCGCTGCTCCTCGAATTCTGGATCGTACCCGCGCGGATCGATGCCCTTGTCCACGAGAAGCTGGTAGGCTCCCAGCGCCCCGCTGCGGACTTGTTCTACAGATGGCCAGGGGAAGAAGCTGGCTCCATGTAATGGATTTGTGGCGAGTTTAAGATGCTCCGGAAGTTCGGTGTGAGGGTTTTGACTGTTGGCTGGCCCAGCGTTCGGGATTGGCGTGCTGTTGTTATTGAATGGGCCTGGCGTGTCGACGAGCGTGCCGTTGAAGGAGACGTTGAAGCTTGTATTAGGGGTTTGGGTCTGAGATTGCGATGTGACACGGAAGGAGTCCTCGGGTTCGACGGAAGAGGGTTGTTGGGAGTGCCGCGCCGCGGCTGGGGTCATGTTGACGCCGTTAGTGACGCCAGGAGGAGGGAGAGTGTTGCGGCTGATGCGACGCGCGAAGTCCAGGAGCTCGCCCGTAGTAAACTGAAATTTTGCCCCTTTTGGGATGGGGCTGGTCTGAACGGATGTCAGCTCCTGGCGCATCTTCCAGAGGGAGCTGATAATGTCCTTGATTTGCGCATCGGCCTGCTCGGTGCTTTGGCGGAGCTGCTGGATTCGCGCATGGTTGTTTTGATGGGCCTCAAGCAGCTTCAAACCTTCGAGAAGCTCGGCTTCGGCAGCAACAAGGTCTTGAGCAAGCTTTGTGGAAGGATTGTTTTTTGAGAGCGAGTCGATCATGGTAGCGAGGGCCTTCTCAAGCCGCTCAAAGCGGCCATCAAGCTCCTTGTCCATGGTGACAGCATATACTGTCGCTTCGCAGCCTCGGTGACAATGGTCAGGTTAACATAGAAGGCTGAATGCTATACGTTTAATAACAGCTACTGTGAGCTCGTTGCTGGGAGAGCTATGTTCCCAGCGGAGAGTCTGGACGGTGATTGTGGACGAAGAGGTCCATCGCGGTGGCCGTCGGTAGTTGATTGTCGGAGCTTTTGAATCGCTCGAACCCCTCCACGCGTTGTCGGATGAAGGCACGGCGCGTCGCTCCTGTGTGGGACATTGATCGATATTCTTGGCAAGTGGGCCTTGTGCCACATGTGATCCACAATGGAACCTAGACAGCCTGCCAAGAATTTGCCCCAGACGTTTCACGTATAGTGCCTGAGGCAGCCACCAAACTCCGGCTTTGTCCGGCATTGAAACTCGCAAGCAAATGGCAACATCCGATCCAAGTTGAAGGTAAACCTCCAAATTGCGCTGCACACCCATTGAACCAACACCACGCTCTTTAGACGCGGTAGTTTAGTCAAGATGTCTTTCTCTGTGCGTATCGAGACACCCACACCAGTTCTACGCTTTTCCCTCTTATTTGCAGTCAAAAGCCCTCGCACGCAGGGTTCTTTCAAGCATCAGCTAACCCCTCCTCAGTCACAGAGCCCTCTTTTCACCTCGTACAAGAGCCCCTACGGCCCGAAGTAAGCAGCACTGCCCGCGCACCTCCGTACTCAATCATCAGTCTACGACATGAAGAACAACTGCCGTCATGATCAAGACCCATACCACGCAATGGGACGAGTGCTAACTTCGATGATAGGTACTACTACCAGCGCAACTTCGCCGGCATCACCTCTCAGTTCCTCGTCAAGACGTAAGTCAACCGTGTGCTGTTTTCTGGGGATCCTGAGTCTTGTTTGTGTTATGGGCTGGCGAGAAATCTTCGGGATGAGGCGATGATGGATGACGCAGAGATTGGAAAAGGACAAGCCCGCGCTCGATCCAGTTATCTTCCTGGGCAGGGTGCTTGGGGGGTTAAACAAGAATTCTTCAGCCTGAAAACAGACAAGACAGAGGGGTATTGGCATCGCAGAATCACGGCTAACGTCTGTCATAGTGGCGTTAAGGCTAGTCTCTTCGCCGGTGTCGGTGTCTTCGCCCTTCTTTTCTATGCCTCGGGCATCCCCCGTATCCAGAAGGATATTCTTCAAGTACGTTTGTGCTCATGTCTCAGGCTTCAATTTTTATCGGCAATTGCTTACAAGCCTACAGAAGGTTCCCTTCATCGGCCACAAGTTCAAGAAGGAGATCCCTGCATCTGACAACGTAAGCACTCTCCATCTTAGCTGGAAGATCTCACCACTAATACCATCTCTTTTAGCCATTCTAAGCTGCCCACATGTTGAACTAAGAGCGTGTGGTTGGTGCCGAGGGTCAGGAGAAGGAGGTTTGTTGCCTCGGTTTTGTGAGTACTGTATAAGCACCTGTTCTATAGACATGCCCGCATAGACCGAGCAATCACTTCTTGAGCATGTCCCAGGATCATCGCATGCGCTATCTGTGCTAGTGTTTTAGTCCCTGAACTCAAACAGGGAGTCATTTTAATCTTCAAGTTTGGCTGTAATTTTGCGACTAAGCTGCGCACGGACCACTCTCTGTAAATTACATCCTAGGAGACAATTGGGAGACTGCAACATCTCCTGATCGTGCTCAACAATACGATCATCTGCTAAACTCAACAGCCCGTAGTTTTGTCCTGTTTGTCACGCGGTGTGCTTCATTGACTGCCTTGTGATGCCCGCTCGGTCCATAAAAATGGATATTGTCAGCACTGTTCGCGAAAGCCTAACGCTTAAAGAGCTCTTCCAGGCTCATCTCGTCATTCTTATCCTTGCCGGAAGTCTGCTTCCTCTTTCAGCGCAAAGACACAACGATTCTCTGTTCTTATTACTCCGCTGGAAACGGATCAATGTGCTATGGATCACAGGCCTCGTGGGGATATTTTTCTTCGCACGGGTTTGGTTGGCCCTTGTCGACAAATATGTCCCTGATCCCTACCTCGTCGGTTGCCTTTATACTTTGCCCACATTACCGGCCACAGCTAACAGTCATTTCAGGATGAGATCTTCCATATCCCTCAAGCGCAGACATATTGTGAGGGACGGTATGGAGAGTGGGATGACAAGATAACCACTCCTCCAGGGCTGTATGCATGAATCCCATCTCGTCACCTAATGTTCTGGTTGCTAACTTCTATGACAGCTATCTAATCTCCGTTGCAGGACACAGGATATTGGGCATCTTGAAATGTACACCATTTTCCCTTCGCTATGGAAACCTTGTTGCCACCTTGACCACAGCAGTTCTGGCTTGGGAGTGCCGTCACCTGGTTGAGCTTCGTGCCTCAGAGGCAGAGGGAAGGCCGGTTTCTCCAGTGTCTTCCCATTATTCCTTCCATACCGGCATCAACATCGCCCTGTTCCCCATTATCTTCTTCTTCTCCGGTCTGTACTACACCGATGTGGTTTCCACATTGGTCGTTCTCATCGCCTTTCGAAACCACTTGCGCCGTGTGGGCCCCCAGTCTCCCGATATCTTGAACGATATCTGGACGATAGTCCTTGGAGTAGTCGCGTTATTCATGCGACAGACCAATGTATTTTGGATTGTCGTGTACATGGGAGGTTTGGAGGCGGTGCACGTTCTTCGCCTGGCTCAACTTGCGACCAACAAGCTCACCAAGTTGCATGATCCGCCCATGACTGAAGCCAACGCAGAGGGTAAAGTCCATCAGCTTATTCTACAAGCATGTTAGTTACTGACGCAGGCATAGACTGGCTGATGTGCCTGATCTCTATTGCATCCGCGGCCGTTGCAAATGTTCCAAGGGTCCTACGGCAAATTTGGCCTCATCTCACAGTGCTTGGTCTGTTTGCTGCCTTTGTCACCTGGAACGGTGGTGTTGTTTTGGGTATGTCAAAACTCTTCCCCCCCTTCTCAAACTTAATGCTGATTATATCACAGGCGACAAGTCCAACCATGTTGCCACGATCCATTTGACTCAAATGCTCTATATCTGGCCTTTCTTCGTCTTTTTTTCAGCACCCCTCTTCATCCCCTCAATCTTGGCCTTCGTTATTCATCCTGGTCGCAGCATTCTTGCAACGGCCAGGCAAGTGCCCTCCCAAAAGTCAGCCCTGCTCAACGTGGTTGGCACCTTGGCCACTTTTGTTCTCTCGATTGTCATTATCAAATTCAACACGATCATTCATCCATTTACTCTTGCTGACAATAGGCACTACATGTTCTACGTCTTCCGCTACACTGTCAGACGATCGACTCTCATGCGCTACTCTCTTGTCGTGGTGTATACTCTCAGCCGCTGGCTGGCCCTTCACAACCTCGCTGGGGTGGCTACGCCGTCAGCAAGCATGAAAGCTTCGAGAAAAGAGACACAGCAAGCAAGTCAGCATACAACTGAATCATCCTCACCCCTTTCCCTTATTACAAGACCAGCGGCCTGTGCCGTGTCGTCCATTCCTCCTAAGACATCCACGGCCCTACTCTGGCTCGCCGCCACCACCCTCTCTCTTATGACTGCGCCGCTGGTGGAGCCGCGATACTTCATTCTACCTTGGGTGTTCTACCGGCTCTTGATGCCGGCCTGGTATGTGCCTGATGACACTGTGAAAGGCAATGGCACTTCCCAGAAGCATAGCCCCGGCTCAGGTTGCATTACAGGAGGGTTTGCGTCCGTGTTGAATACGCTCGACATAAGACTTATCCTAGAGACGGTGTGGTTCGTGGGAATCAACATCGTGACGATGTATGTATTCTTAACAAAGGGCTTCTATTGGAGGGCAGAGGACGGCACCCTCCTGGATGGAGGAAAAGTACAGAGGTTTATGTGGTGAACCTTTATACCAAATTACTTCCTTTGAGGTAGGACGGAATAGATCTGGAGAGGTGTTATTCTTGTTCTTTAACGGATACCTAGCCTGTTATCCTAGCAATATATCAGTACTATCGAGAGCGTATCTTAACTGTTCATTCATGTGTGTAAATGATATTCTTTTGTCCAAGACCGTTCATCCCCAGCAAATGTATGATCCATATTCACGATCCATCCTTTGCGCCAATCCGTAAACGCCATGACTACTAAAACATGGTCCCCCAATCTCAAATCCGCAAACTCTCCGCGATGTCACTTAACATGATAGTTGATCCGGCTCGCTCCAACAGTGAAGTGACTATCCAAGATGGCCTGACCGCAGCAACACCCGAGTTATGATCACAGGCTCAACCGATCCAAGCTCAACATGTCCCCACTCCTGACTCTCCTCACAACACCAAGCTTAAAGAACCTCTCCTCACCAGTCGCTGTTCGCCCACCAATATATAGCTTCTCAGCGCCCAGCGCCTCCCGGAACCCTTCGCTGCTGCTATCACTGCCGCGCCGACGGCTGTGGCTGCCTCCAACCGGGCTGCTTGACCCGCTGTTGCTACTGCTCTGTTGGGGAATGGGGATCCCAGTGCTGTGGTGATGATGGGAGTGATGCCGGGGCGAATGCAGAGGCAGTTGGCTGAGGACCGTTGAGCTGGGTGATGATGAGGATGCTTGGACAGCAGCAGCGGCGGCGGCGGCGGCAGTTGTGGAGGAGTGAATTGTGCGTGGTGCTGAAGAGGTGTTTTGTGTTGGGTTGGAGGAAGAGGATGGTTGGCTGGTATGTTTGTTCGAGGATGCAGAGGCGGCGCTGGCGCTGGAAAGGGAAGAGCCTTGTTGACGGAAGGCGGCAAAAAATGTCGAAAGGAAGAAGGGGCGCTGCGACGACATCTTACGAGTCATCTGGGTTGGCGATGTTGTTGATGAGAGAAGGATGGTGTTGGGTTGTGCGGCTGGAAATTTTTGTGCATCCACCGACGAAAGTTCGGGGTTATGGGACGATGGCAGGTTCCCGCCTGCGGCGTTGATCAATGTAAGCCAGTCGTACAGACGGGCAGCGTTTCCAAGTATGTTGCGACGGAGTACCCGAAGTAGTCTTAGAGATCCCCCAAAAAGTCTCTGACAAGATGGATTTGTATTGATCCGTCTCGGTGTTTGACCAGGACTGTTGACGTCGACCTCGAAATGCCGCGGCTTGGAGGCTATGTAAAGTATCGGTATCGCTATATCACAAGCGCAGGGTTTTGCACAACGCTGACGTCGGTTGCGTCAAATAGCGCGTGGGGGCTCTTGCGCTCCTCGTCGTCGCCGGCGGCACGGCTTATAGAAAGATGGTAGAGACTCGTGGATGCATCGATGGTCGGCCCCGCTGGGCAGAATCGAAGATCCTGGACATCGACGGCAAACTCGTCGAGTGGGATTCGGGCTGAGCATATGAAGGCATGAAGGCTCTGGGTCCCGGAACCAGGATACTGGCCGGGCTGACGTCGCAGCAAATGCAAACCCCGGCTGGTCTGTGCAATCGGCCATTCCCGGAAATGCTGGCCAATCACGTCCTTTGACAGCCTCGACCACAACCCTGGGCCGCGCCGCACAACGGCCCTCCTCTGATAGGCTGGACGGCAAGGCCCCACTCTATTCTTCAGTCTTTCATGCGGGGCAACGGACAGCCCAGCCAGCGCGCATCCAGGTCTGCAGCTGACAGCTGCACTGTACTCCTCCACTGGATGCGCTCTGCGTGGCATCCCGTTTCCACCAGCGTGCCTTGTGGGGGAACCTTGACCTCAACCTCTTGATGCTCTCACCGCCCACTCGCGTCCCAGTACTCTAACTTGACTACCCGAAAGTAGCAATGCGAGCCCAAGATGAGGCACACCAGACAAAATAGCTTTTATTCCTGATTTCACTGCCGGAACTCCGATCGTCTTCCCGACGGCCGACCGGGAGCCGCATCTCCGCAATGAGGGTTTATCGAGGGCAATCACATGGGAGGCGAAGAGCTCGCCAATGCACTTCGATGCATCCTCCCTTCTTCTATTCACGTCTCGAACGTGGGGCAGCGGGGCGATGGCATGACCATGTGTCCGTACCGACGCTAGACCCTCTCCCGCTGTTGCAGATCGAAGTCAAGGCTCACCGGTGGCGCGCTCGATCTTGGAAGTTCTCCAAACCACGTCACCACACGGTTTCCGAATAACATCCGGATTTTACGCAGATGCCAAACCCATGCTACCAGTTGTTGGCTGTTTTCCTCGATGAGGATTTCTTCTGTATGGCCGTGCTCAATGCCAGCTCTTGATTTCACTCCTTTGATCTTCCTGCCCACGAACCTGCCCGTTGCTGCTCTCTCCAAACGGGTCTCCAGAAGCACCTCTGAGAAGGGTCTCAACCATCATGGAGCCACACATTCTGCTTCTGACAGCTTCCTAATCCTTGACGTTCCTGGCATCATGCGCGAAGCCTGCAGGCCGAAAGCTGCATGCAAGAGCTTTTGGCAAAGGCATGCCCCTCACGGATCTGATATCATCAGGCGCTTTGAGACCAAGCGGCCTGTTCTGGAAGGCATGGTTAGCCCTGACTTATCTGTTTCAATGTTAAGACCCTGATAGCCCATTCTTTGCCGACCAACCCAAATTATTTGTCATGGAGCCTCAGTACCTAGACAAGCGTTCTCATTCAGCCTCTTGAGCTGTCAAAGCCCATCACCTGTCGTGGCTGAGCCGAATACTTGAACTAGTATCGTCAAGAGACTTTTCAACGTGTCGGTGTCAATATTGATCAGAGTACCAAAATATGTTCCTCTGACTTGCGCAAACTCTTCACTTCGCTGCCAAGCATCTGGCTGGAGCTGTCTGCTTTGCTGTCTGGAAGTCCGATACGGTATTGCAGGAAACACATGGTTATAAATCTGGGCAATGGTTCTTTCAGTCTCAGTAGAGTTCTTTTCTGCTGCAGTAGTATGGTCACTTGGTTCACCATGATGGTTGGGTGTTTCCCACCCGGATGAGCTGTCCCCACGTCTTTTTGTTGATATCATCGTATAAGTAATCTATTTCAATCCTGAGTTGTTGCCTATTGAGGCTGAGGATAAGGCGTTGTAACCCTCGGATGGATTATCTCCGAGGCATTGTAGCGGAGAGGTGGGCAACTGCCTATTCATGAACAGCACAGCTTTCAATTATTCTATTAAGGAGGCCATGCGGTAGTGTTGTAAGGAATGTTTAAATGTTAAAAGACACTCGGCTAACTTGGAGAAGAGATACAACAAAGGCTTGGTGAGAAGTTTATCATCACATGAGGAATGTGCATCAGATTGGCTTGCGGCAACCCGAAGGCTATGTACAGGAGACAGTCTGTCTCATCCTAGAAACCCAAGCTACTATTAGCCCCACAAACATAGAGCTCAAAACGACTACCATGACCAATCCTATCAGCGAAAGCAAAGAAAGTAGAAGAACGAAGTTTGACAGCACTTCTGCCGGGTGTTACGTATCTCTCCACACTTTAGCAAACACAAATCACCATCAGCAGGCATCATGAGAGATCCAGGGAGGCTTACCTCATGGACAGATCGTCTGCTCAGCATATTTCTCTATTAGTACTCTTCTTCGACTTTCCATGCGACTATCAGACACGAATTATGATCGGTGCCTAGATCGCAATGCATCTCGGCATATAGTAGCATTCTGTGGCTTGGCTGTGGTTGCATTTAGCAGCCGGGCCGTTGGAACACACAGTCCATACATATCTCCAATAGCGGAAGAGGCCTGGGTGCTAGCCATTATCCACGACTCACACCACGACGTTAATTAACTACCATTCGATCAAGACTTATGCCTGGCACGTCTCCCACTGGGTCTGTTCACTTGAACGGTGCTATTTGACCGGGGTCGTAAATAGGTGGGGCCCAGAGAGAAGTGCACTCTCGGCCCATGGAAGCGAAGCCCTATGAATCACGCCGTATCATTGAGTAGTATCGCGACTGTCCTCACCCAGGCGTAAGACACGGTAAGAGACCAATGCCAAGCCTGTATAATTCGGTTCCCGGCTCACTATGACAATAACGGGCAATATCACCATAAAAATTCTTCGAAGGATTCAATGCAGATACAGTTTAATGTCCGTATGTAGTAGAGGACAACATGGTGGGGTTATATTGCCGCAGTTTACTCAGGCCGTCCTCGATAGTGAGTGACGAGAGATCGTCCAAGTCGGTAATATAAGAGCGAGTCGAGCTCTCTCCTCAATTGGGGGAGGTTGGCTCAGCTATCAACGCAGTCCTGTCAGCAGGTCGGTGACCTGGTTCATACTATCAGCCATTATGGGTCAAACTTGCTCATACATTCTTGTTAACCCCGGTGACTCGTGCAGCAGTCTTGCCGCCAAATGCGGCATCACTCCTGCTCAGTTCACTCAGTACAATCCCGACCCAGCACTATGTTCAACTTTGATCCCTCGCCAGCCAGTTTGCTGTTCCGAAGGAGTACTTCCGGATCTCAGGCCACAGCCAAACACGGATGGAACCTGCTTCACTTACACGGTTCAGAGTGGTGACTATTGCTACAAGATAGCTGAGGACCATTATATCTCGGTTGCGGACATTGAGACTTACAACTCGCAGACATGGGGCTGGACTGGGTGTTCTGGTCTTCAGGTCGGCTCAAAGATCTGTCTCAGTTCGGGGGCGCCGCCCATGCCCGACCCCATTCAGGGTGCTGTCTGTGGCCCACAAGTTCCGGGCACCCCTAGACCGGCGAACTGGGCCGATCTTGCATCCCTTAACCCCTGTCCCTTGAACGCCTGTGTAAGCCACAACAGCAATGCTTTTCGACATCGTTTGAACAAAGAGACTGACCAATTCAGTGTTCCAAGTATGGATACTGTGGCATAACGCCAGATCATTGCACGCCAGTTAACCAAAATGGCCCATGTATCTCCAACTGTGGCACGGAGATCGTCAAGTCCACGCCGCCCCGAGAGTTTATCAAGGTTGGCTACTGGGAAGCCTTTAACGGGGATCGCCCCTGCCTGAACATGAGGGCGGACCAAATCCCATCTGGTTATACTCATGTTCATTTCGCTTTTGCCGGCATTGCCCCAGATTTGGCAGTCGATTTCTTGGGGCTTGAAGATGAGTTCAGACTATTCGCCAGCCAGACACGCTTCAAGCGCATCCTGGCGTTTGGTGGCTGGTCTTTCTCGACAAACAACGATTCGGTTCCCATCTTCAGGCCCAGCTTCAGCTCAGCCAGCAGACTGCAATTTGCACGCAACGTTGCCAACCTCGTTCAAGAATACAATCTTGACGGTGTGGACTTCGACTGGGAGTTCCCTGCCGATCCGGCCGAAGGTAACACGTACCTGACCTTCCTGGCCTCCCTCCGGAGCCTGCTTCCAGCGGGAAAGACTGTTTCTGTTGCAACCCCAGCGAGTTACTACCACCTCAAGAACTTCCCCATTGCCCAAATGGCGTCCGTCGTCGACTATGTCGTCTTCATGACCTACGACCTGCATGGTCAGTGGGACTACGGCAGCAGCGGGAGCCAAGACGGCTGCCCGAATGGCGACTGTCTGCGCAGTCACGTCAACCTGACTGAGACGAACTGGGCTCTCTCCATAATCACCAAGGCTGGAGTTCCTAGCAACAAGGTCGTCGTTGGCATTGCAAGCTACGGCCGCAGCTTCCGGCTTGCTGACCCGAACTGCATATCTCCGCTCTGCCGTTACACCGGGCCGGAGTCGCAGGCCGAACCAGGGCCGTGCACTCGCCAGAGAGGAATCATTGCGCAGGCGGAGATCGAGGCGATGACCGTCACCCGGAGATGGTATGAAAGCACCAGCGATGCGGACTATGCTGTATATGGACCGAATGGGAATACTTGGACGTCGTATCTGAGTGATGAGAGGAAGCAGTCCAGAATCAACCGCTATCGGTCCTTGAACTTGGGCGGATCGGCTGAGTGGGCGATCGATTTGGCAAAGTTTTTGCCTGGTGATGGGCTTCCCAGTGCTTGAGTGCTCTGACCCTTGTGGCAGATAGTTGTGGGAGAGGAGGATGGGAGCCTAGATGTACAGGAAAGAATGTTTATAGTACTGTATTTCGGCTCTGCTGAGTCTCCTATTTTCTAAAAGGAGTTATGGATTCTTCTGGGAAGTGATAGAGTTGGATAAAGATGTGTGAGTAAGGGTTTCTGGGCATCACAAATATGACAGAAGAGTATAATGAATCAATGATATTGCTCAGTGGAACTTACTGGGTGTACAACCTATCTTACATTTTTTTTTGTTTTTATTTTTACGAGTATGACATCTGAGCTGTTGTACTTGGCATGGAGATCAGCTTTGTGAGTTGCGATGTCTAGATTGCCTAATTCACTTGTTGTCGTTTTCTCCCCCATAATCACCATACCATCTATTGCGTTGTGTCTAAGCCCCGAGTGATAGGTAAAGTAGAAGAAGGGAAATTCCTGACAATGGTATATATGTGGGCATCGGTTATTGATCTCGCTCTTAATATCTGCGCTACCTGTGTAGCTATTGTGTGCAGCCTCGAGAGCACGTGCCATAATCTTCATTTGTTTGCTTTTCTCTGCATGTGTATGAGCCTCAAGACTTCGCCGCAGTTCTCTGAACCTATTCGAGGAAAATACCCCAGAGCCTGAAATTATCCCAGCAGAGCACCTTTTATTCCAAACACTGATTCTATATGATATTTCGACCTGACTTCAACCTCTTTGGTCCTACCACTTCCTGAATAGGATCAAAGTCGCGATCCCTCGGTATCTAAGATTCCCTTGCTCATATCTTTACTAAACTAACTACAACTTTTAACCCAAGGCTGTCTCACCTCTCTCGTTACCTTTCCCCCTTGCCGAATACGTTGTCATTTGAAACCATGGAGAAGATGACAGAGAGAATCTCTAGTCATGAGGAAGTTCCAGCCGAAGAGTGCATCGTTGTTGCTGATGTTGCGATCCCAGAACTCCTGAGAACAAGCGAAAGCATCAATGCGACCACAACGACACCTGCTCGGACGAGAGAACTCAACTCTGTATGTTACCATGACACCAAAGACCTCTGATCAATGCTGTGACTAACGCCTACCAGTTCTCTTTCTGTTCGCCAGCGCCAAAGCTCGAAACATCCCTCAGCGGCGCACCCATCCCGGAGTGCAGAGGCCCGAAGCGCCGCCGCCGGCTCAGAGGCGGCCAGGTTTCCGCCCCGACCTCCAGCGCCGAAGCTGCAGCCGGAGAAGCACAACAACCTGATGCCCACCGGGACTCCTTTTTCACCAAGCGGTACGCCAAACGGACGCGAATGCAGGCTGGGCTGGTCGAGTATTCCCCATCAGCCAAGCGTTGGCGGACAATCGACGCCACAAGCAGCAGCAGCAGCGGCGGCGGCGGCGGCAGCGACCAAACTGCCACGGACATCTTCGGGCCCTCAACACCCCCAGCCCAACCCAATGACATTCCGGCACCCAACCCCCCTTGTGCTTCTTGCGCCAAGCGGGAAGAACCTAAGCAGATACTGGAGGCCGCGACATGCAACGTGACCTACCTACACCAGCAGATGCTCACGTTTAAGGCCCTGTCGACCCAGCTGCGCAGCGAAAATGCAAAGCTGGAAGCACAGGTCAGGGAACTCCACCGCAAGCTGGAAGACCGGGCAGTGCAGACGCGGAAAGGAAGAGAGTTGACTCAGAGACCAGCTTTCGAGAGCACACCGGAGGTTGATATCGGCAAAGCCAGCCGGGGGGAGTGGGAGAGGGAATGTCAAGCTCTCCTCCAACAACTTCAAACGAAGGACGTCCTGATCCGGAAACAGGCTATCTATATCAAGGAACTCCTGGAGCTGAGAGAGAACATGAGCAAGGAGATGACTCAGAGTCGGGAACTTAGCCTGGAACAATGAAAGGGGCGTGGACAAGGTCAGGGAACAGTTTATCAAAAGTTGAATGCTGAAGTATGGCTATAGACTTCATAGTTTTCTGTCAATTTTACGACTATGATACCCACTACCACCATAGAAGTCTAAGTCAGCTCGGTAACCTTCCCAACCAGAGCCAAAATGCATAGAACACGGAGACAATGCTGTCTTCGACCATCAAGACATGAACTAATCCGATGCCTCCTCCCCAGACTTGACCAGAACATCTAATACCACGACCTTCCCATGCCTGACCAACTCGGCACTGGCATGAAGAACACCCTCCAACTCTTTGCGCCTGGCGACCTGGAACCGAGAGCCCCGGGTACAGCCGAATCCCTCTGCAATCGTCATGACATCCACGAGAGGCTCCTCAGCCAGCAGCACGTTCCCTGATTTGTTTTGTGTTACCCTGCCGCGCCCATTAGCGATTGCCTTCTTAGCGCGTTGGTCATCTCCAAACACCCGGCTATTCATCACAACCACAAGCATAGGCACCTTCTTGTTTGCCGCTGTCCACAGTGCCTGGCAGCCGGCGAGGAAGTCACCATCGTCCAGGACAGCAATTGGAATAAGGTTGTGCGGGGATCGACCGAGATGTTTGAGGGCGAGCGCGGCGCCGACAGCGTAACCGGGTCCCAATCCTGTGCGCGATTCACCGTAGTGTCCGAGATGGGCGAACGGATGCATCTGAATGAGTTCATTTCTTGGCCAATTGAGAGGCAAGCGGAGGAAGGAAATTGATGCTGGTGTAAGCACCTTGTAAAAGGCCACCGCAAGGTCCCTAAGGGTAATCTGAGGCGTATCCCTCATATTTAGCGTCGAGAATGCGATACCCATTGGGGTGAGAGGACTGAGAGGAGACGGTTGTGAGGACCCAGACGCTCGACGCCTCCATAAGGAGGACGATGAGGATGCATCCATCCCGCTGGAGTTCGAAGTGCTATTCCTCCCTGTCTTAATCTTTATCGGCTTGGTCTCAGGGATGAGATGCTGGCTCGCGACATGGTCATGATTTTGATGGGTTGATTGGGATGTAGCATCAATCGGGACAGTCTCGGGAGCGACAAGTAACTCCTCAATGAACTTGTCAACGTCAGCATGGACAGCTATGTCTACAGGCGGTTGGGCAGCGTTTTTGGACCAGTAATTGCAGGGAGATGGCTGCTCAAGCGTCACACTGACGACGCAGACCGTCTGCGGGGGTTCGCCACTTGTTTCCGAGAAGGCTGTCCTTAGTGTTCCTGATAGATCGACCCAGTTGAACGCAATGATGATCTCTGACGCGCGAATGATCTGGATGGCGTCTTCATCGAGAAGCAGACTTGGAGTGACTGGATGAAGCGGGTGGGGTGTGGGAAATGCTGATGGTAGCTTCAGATCCGTGAGGACATGGGCTTTGTACTTTGCAGCAAGACTGATGCGCTGACTCCAGGAGGATAGAGACCTGCCGACGCGGCCATAAAGAAAGAGACGGCCGTCTGGGGGGCTTGCGAGAAGGGCTTCTTGTACCCGCTGTACATCGACGCGCGCTGGTCGCGGGGAGTTCCGTACGGTATCAAGATACCTCGACACCTTAGGAAGGTTATGCACCAGCGGGACTGGGATCCTTTCTTCCTGAAGCGAAGCCCCAAGGCAAACGTAAGTCGGGCTTCTTGGGACTTGTACTGCAGTTGTAAAAGCAGTGATGATGCTCTGAAGAGCACCTTGGAGAGACACTGGTCGATCGTAAAACTTGAGAGGTTTGATGGGTGCTGCTTCATCCACCGTTTTCTGCATCCCGTCAGCCTGTAAATTGCGGCGTGTGGAATCCAGATGTTCTTTCCCTCCTAATATGGGAAATCCCACTCGGTCAAGGTGCGCATTATCGATTGCCACAAACGCGTTCATCAGCCCAACACCATCACGAACGGCGGCGGCCATGGGAGATGTGGGTAGAACCTTGGTAAACCCATGAGCGATAGCGATGGCATGATCCTCCAGCAAGCAAACCACGACTTCAGGTTGGCGATCGTATTTGTAGTTGATAATGCTATCCTGAAGGCCCCGAAAGCATGAACCGGGGACGAAGGCGATGTACAAGACTCCCAACTCCGAGAGCACGTCGATGATTGCATCGCTGCCAAAAAGAGGCAAGTCAGCCGACGAGTTGTTTGCTGCCGGTATCAAAAGCGCGGATGACATGATCGTTAATCAGCGTATGGTGAAAAGATTGAACTGTTGACAGGTGCTAGCAAAACATTGCAGATGTGAAGAGGTTGGGAACTCCTCCCCCTCCTCCCCTTTGCTATAGCCTCACACCTGAATGATCAAAACAGGCAGGATTGATCAAGGTGCAATCTCAAGGAACAATTGAGCATAGCTAAAAGGAATAGCAACTTCCTTGTCTTTGCGAGCAAACTCGAGTGACCTCCGGTGGTTACTTCTTGCATTGTGCTTTCTGGATCCTGGAGACGTTGAGCATATGGGATGGACCAAATCCTCTTTAGTGAGATCTATATCCGGTCTCAGCAATTCTATCGCTAATGTCCACTGAGATTGACTGTTAGTGTCGTAGGTAAGGAAATCAAAACGTACTTGTGGCGTTCCAAAGCTAGTCTCATGATGCCCCAAAACTGCCTTTGGTAGGTACTGGATGAAAAACTAAGCGAGCCATGGTTTGTCCTAAAGTATTTAAAAAAGGTTTGGCTCTCCCATAAGCCTTGATCTCAATTTGCTTCCAGGACAACGATCAAGGAAAAGCCTTAGTCTGGAAAGACTTTCTCACATGGGCGGATTCGACCATCTCTCTCACTATAAACTCCGAGAGATAGATGGTTTCGACACAAACTACTCGTTTTCATCGAGTTCTCGTCGACACTTGATTGAACTTGCAAGTCGATCCGATGCTGAAAGGATGCCATCTGTGGCCCGATCGGATGGGATCTAGTGCTAAGCCCCGCACCAACTTCAACTCCAAAGTGTTCAGGGGGTCGTAGCCGAAGAAAGGCGAACGGCAAATTCCACCAACCAGCAACCACATGAATTCTGAACTGGGAGAAATGATCGTTGTTGTTCCATCCGTCTTTCCTAGTTATCCGTCTTTCCTAGTTCGAAACCAAGACCCGTGTGTTTGTTAGATCGTAGACCTGGTTGACGGCGTCTGTTTCACGGCCGTTGGTGGAAACAGAACATCTACCGAGGGGCAAACCCTTAAATTGCCGACAACATGACATTTTTGGGTACGCCGAATGTCCTGCAGAGAGGATAAGAGACTTCTGGGAATTACAACGAACTAACCACATTTTAACCGGACGGGTATTTCCTCCCTCATTTAAGAACAATATCTTTCCCCTCTTCGCTTCTTTCGAGTCTGGTTCAGTGGCTCCTGACGCATTTTGTTTGCCTTCACTTTTTAACATCCCACCATGTTCTTTTTCTTTTCTCTTCTCCTGTCATTCGCGGTTATCACGAGCGCGGCGCCAGTATTAGAGGCTCGCGCTTCGCGGACCTCACCTCCTTCGGGCTGCCTGACTGTCGGCAGCTCGGGCAAATACAAAACCGTGCAGGCCGCTGTCGACGCCCTCAGCACGACCACCACTACAACTCAATGCATCTTCATCTACGGGGGCACCTACAGGGAACAGGTCTACATCCCGGCCCTCAAGTCCTCCCTGACCATCTACGGCGAGACAACAGACACATCTACATACAAGTCCAATACTGTGACCATCACCCAGGGAAAGTCCCAGGATGACTCGCCCAATAATGACCAGACCGCTACCCTTCGGGCGCACACTCCTAACCTGAATGTCTACAATATCAACTTTGTCAACACCCGCGGCAAGGGCTCGCAAGCCCTTGCTCTGTCGGCGCAGAAGGACAAGCAGGGTTTCTACGGCTGCCAGTTCAAGGGTTACCAGGACACCATCCTCGCGAACGAGGGCGCCCAAATCTATGCTAAATCCTATATCGAAGGCGCGACAGACTTCATATTTGGCCAGCGCGGCCGTGCCTGGTTCGAAAAGTGCGACATCCGTGTGCTGGCCGCCAGCGTTGGCTACATCACTGCCAACGGCCGCGACTCGTCCAGCAACCCGAGCTACTATGTCATCAATAACTCGAACATTGCCGCCAAAAGCGGTGACTCGGTCAAGGCTGGCGCGTACTACCTTGGTCGGCCGTGGAGGAACTATGCTCGCGTGGTGTTCCAGAAGACGAGCATGTCAAATGTCATTAATGCGGCTGGTTGGAAGGAGTGGAACACTGGCGACCCTCGGACAGATCATGTTGAGTTCGCTGAGTATGGGAACAGCGGTGACGGGTCTAAGGGTACAAGGGCCAGCTTCTCGAAGAAGCTTTCGTCTGCGGTTAGTATCTCGACTGTGCTTGGCAGCGATTACGAGAACTGGGTTGATGCTAGCTACCTCTCTTGAGCTGGCTGGGGTGTTGGAGCGAGAAGACATAAATAGGAGTGTACATAGCTCATCTCATTTTGACTAGGCATCTAAGTCCCATGTATATACGTTGAACGCTCTGAGGGCCGATGCAAGATCACCATGGATAAACTCATTTCTAGCTTTGTTGGTGAAACGGTGAAGGCATAAGTAATCGAAACAATACACTATAACATGCAAGTTCAGCTTCAGTTCTGGCCCGCGCCGTTGTGGCTGTTGATGTCAAACGGGGTTGTCGAGGAGTTGAGTGCGACAGATGGATTATCTGGAACGAAAAAAAAAAAAAACAAAGTAAACTACTTCTATCGACCACAGTAAAACATACCTAGGATTACGTGTCCTGCTAGAAGGGGGTCATTAGAGTTCTTGACCGCAAGGGAGATACTCTTCCACTGAGGACTCGCCAGATTTTGGTTAGTCTGGATATCTTCCTGCGAAGAATTGCTTCATGCTCCCTGTTCCAACCCCCGATCTTGTCGCCTGCCTGAAGCGATGAAGCCCGAAGAGGCTATGTTGATGACTGGTGGCCACAACTTGGTACGAAAGACGAGATCCCATCTGGCTACAAACGACTTCAGCATTACACACCGCCCCATGCCCACCCACTCATGTTGGGGCTTCCTCAGGCTCTGGAGGTGCCTACATATGGGGACTGTCAACATCTGGAGTCACCTGCTCGGCTGTCTTACCTTTTTGCAGCCTGCCTTATTGCATGTCGGTCCTATGATAACGCACATTCTCCCACAATATGTGACGGATTTGCCTTCGGCGTCTGTTTTCAGTAACCCTCTGCTTCGACCTTGGCACTGCCTTTCCTACGCTGTGAAGTTGCTCGTGTCAAATCCATCACCTCTACGGAAAGCTAACCATCCTGATAATACGTGTCTTAGCGATTTGGTAGGGACATCCATGACACACTACGCTTTCTATGGTTGGCCGGTCGTTCAGAAGGTGTGTTGGAGCATCATCATCTGCTCTGTAGTGGCTACTGAAGGTGTCCTCTTCGACACATGAGGTGGGGGGCAAAATGCGAACACGCTGCAGCGGGGTTCTTTGCTTTGCTTGGGCTATCGATAATGATCTCGCTGTTACATGCCGATGGGGAGATGGATTTGGATAGAGCAATCAATGGGATCGGATTTGGCTAGTACCTTGCCGAGGGATTCATCCTACTTGTTGGGGCATGTCTACTCTTTTAAATAATGCCAGAAAGTTTCACCCCTGGATGGGTTGATATCTGGAGCTATTTGCACTAGCTCTTACGTGCCTGTACACACCTCGGCACAGCATGTAATATTGTTGCGCTCATGGTCAGCTACCAGTACAACCAAGGCTATGTCGGATGCTAACAAGACAGGCCAACCAAGAGCTCTGACATAGCAAAGACTTCTGGGTCGTCTGGTTGAACAGTACCAAGAACAGAAATGCAGAAATAGCACAGGGATGCATGGGAAACCCCACATTAAGTCAAACGACTTTTTGGACGCTGCTGCACGCTAGCAATACCCCGGGTTTTCGAGGGCTGTGTAAAGGATTGCGTTGGTGTAACCCTCTAATGGGGAACCCCCACACTGCTGCTGTTAAATCCTCGGATCATTCACAGTGTCAGTAACTTGATAGTCGTGCTTCTCTTGTGTCTATAAATCCTAATCACTTCATCTTAAGCGCATAGAGTGTGAAGGCATGTGAATACAAGACCAATAACATCCGTGTATTGACGAAGCATGGGTTCCATCTGGGAGTGGAACATTTTTCGGATGTGAAAAACAACCCGCTGCCAAAGCACAAGCTGCTGTCTGTAAGAAGTCAGGCCAGGCATCTGCAGGTGAATATAATACTGCAGGCTCAGGACGGAGGTCTCCGATGGAATGAAGCAGTTTTGTTGAGTGTCAAGATGGGGACATTGAGATAGGTATCGCCAGACAACTGCTGGTCGTCTCTGCAGATACGAGTTGAATAATAGAAATCCACAATAGACACAACGGGTTGCGATTAAGATTCTTTGGATGTTTTTACTCGATCGAGCAGAGCAATGTGTGGAAGGATCAGCCTGAAAGTGCTGAGTATTTCGAAACTCAGGTCAATCAACGCTCAACGATTTGCTTGTCTGGGACGATGAACATGTCATTGGGTTTAAAACGCAGAGGAAAATAAAGACAGAACTTCGATTTTTAGTTAAACACTCATCCTATCAGAATTCTGCTGGAGCTCATGGTTTAAACCAAACTCAAGTTCTTCGTGTGCGTTGTTGCAATCCTTCGAATAGCAGGGACAGGGTTGACGTCAGCGCCACACAACCCCTGGCTGTGGATGCAACAAAGTCACGTGATATAGCTTAGGTTATCGGAAGCTAAACTGAATTAAGCTAGTGCGGGGGTGCCGGGAGCCGACGAGATTGTACTGCGATGGAAATGAGGGGCATGTTATCGCCGTTGCAGCGGAAACTTTTTCCACTCATGGATAGCCGCTGCCCTAAAAAGATGGGAGATAAGCGATAAGCTGTGGTGTTTGTCGTTGGAGTTGGCCAATCGAATGTCACATTGACATCTCTCCATCGGCGAGCACAACTTTCCCGCTCACCGATTTCCCGGCATCCCAAACCTCATCCACAGAACGTCGTCTGAAGATACGGGGAGAGATGGCACATACATGCAGAATCACAGCGTGGGGGAAATGCTGGCATCTGGCCTGTCACAGGCCTGGCTTCAGATGCAAGTTGCTGCAAGCGGGAGGCATCTGATAAGGCACGTAACGAATGCATCACACAGTCATCGGATCGCCCATGCGACAACCCAGGCCTGTGGTTCTGGAAGGATTGAAACCCACGCGCGGGTAGTGAAATCAGCCTTTCGAGATAGGCATATATATCGGCGGATCCTCCAGCGTAGTTCCAGACCAACAAAACGTTCGGTCAATCCGCCAACCATTGTTGCAAATTGTGTGGTCTCGGGACCATCGCAGGGACTCCTGGTCACTCCCACAAAGAGAATTTTAATCGTCTTGACGGTGAATCCACTTCACCAAACGAATTCCAACGTTCCTGGGGTTGTGTCCCCTTGAGGATACCAAACAGTCTTCTCAATTGGCCTTCGAGCCTTTTGGAGAGGTCATTCCTTGACGAGTGGTCTCTCAACTTGTTCCTCATCGTTCAATATTTCTCAGCATAAGTTTGGATATTCTTGATACGTCTCCCGCTCTGTCGTCAGCATTACGATGAATAAGCCCAAGCCTGGCTTCTTTCGGCGCTTGGCCGACAGGCTCGCCACCGACTCGGAACCTGGGTTGACAAACACCCAACTTATGGTGCGAACACTTCACACTCGTTAGCCCCGTCGCAGTATGCTCCTGCGCTGTCATGATGGCTAGCAGGTCTACCCCATACGCTAGAGGCCGCTGACCACCTACCTCCCTCTCAGTTAACGAACGATGATCTCAAACCAGTTGAGCCTGCGCGTCGTCAATGGGGTCCCTGGAACTTTGTCGGCTTCTGGATCGCCGATTCATTCAACATCAACACATGGATGATCTCGTCATCCATGATCGTTGGTGGTCTGTCGTGGTGGCAGTCATGGCTCTGTGTCTGGATTGGCTATGCCATCTCAGGATTATTCATCGCCTCCACGGGCCGCATAGGTGCCACTTACCACATTGGCTTCCCCGTTGTCAGTCGCTCGTCCTTCGGCATCTGGGGTAGCCTTTGGCCTGTCTTCAACCGCGCCGCCATGGGTATGTCTTATCCGAGACTGAATGATCTGGGTAGAACCCGGCCGCTAACTGCAACAGCGTGTATTTGGTACGGTGTCCAGGCTTACATCGGAGGACACTGTGTGTACCTCATGATCCGCTCCATCTGGAAGAGCTGGGTATGGACTTTGCTGCATGTTGTCTCGAGCTTTTTGTTGTCTGACCATCACCACAGGACCGGGAGAAGATCCACAATACCTTTCCCGAGGACTCTGGAACAACTACAGCGGATTACATTTCGTTTTTCATCTTCTGGTTCTGCTCACTTCCAGCTATCTGGTTCCCTGTACACAAGATTCGCCACCTCTTCACCGTGAAGGCCTATTTCGTGCCAGCTGCGGGCGTTGCCTTCCTCATCTGGGCTGTTGTCCGGGCCGGAGGTGTTGGTCCCATCGTGAAGCAGCCCGCCAGAATATCAGGCTCCGAGCTCGCTTGGGAGTTCGTTAAGGGAGTCATGAGTTCTATTGCTAACTTCGCCACACTGATTGTCAATGATCCCGATTTCGCCCGTTTTGCTGGCAAGCCTAGAGATGCTTTGTGGTCACAAGTCTTCACCATTCCCATCGGCTTCGCTGTCACATCATTCATCGGCATCATCGTTTCGTCCTCCTCGACCGTCATCTATGGTGGCGAGCCCATTTGGGACCCTCTGGAGCTCCTGGAGAGGTTCATTGACGATGGCGGCTCGGCCCAGCGCTTCGGCGTTTTCGTCATTTCTGCTGCCTTCACCCTTGCGCAGCTCGGTACCAACATCGCGGCCAACTCGGTCTCGGCCGGCACTGACATGACAGCGCTGTTGCCACGCTGGTTGACCATTCGTCGTGGCGGCTACATTTGTGCTGCGGTGGGCCTGGCCATGTGCCCCTACACTTTGCTTACATCCAGCAACAAGTTCACAACCTATCTTTCGGCCTATAGCGTCTTCCTTTCGTCGATTGCGGGAGTCATGATCTCCGACTACTACTTTGTCCGCCGTGGCTACCTCGAGGTCAAGGAGCTGTACGACGACCGCAAGACAGGGCCGTACTACTTCACCTGGGGTATCAACTGGCGCGCCTATGCTGCCTACATTGCTGGCATCCTGATCAACGTCGTTGGCTTCGCCGGTGCAGTTGGCAGAGAAGTTCCGATTGGAGCTACATACATTTACAACCTCAATTTCTTCTGTGGGTTCATCGTCTCGGCTGTCATGTACTGGGGGCTGTGCAAGTTGTTCCCCATTCCAGCTACGAGCGACAAGTGGCTGGAAGTGGGCGATCTCATCGACGAACTGAGACTCGCATATGACACCGAGAGCACTACCGATGATGTGGCGCATACAAAAGCTGTGAATGCAATGGTCTAAGGGAAAATACCCAGCAGATTATATGTTTGCAATGTTTGTTTATTTTGGATAATTCAATGCAAGTACGATGGAAACTTGGATACCCGGAGCAGCGTAGATCATGGGGAGTTGTTACGTTTAATGATTCATTCAATTGGAGTTGGAAATGATCGACGTTAAGACGTCCAGCGTGCTGTCAATGATGACAAATAGATGGCTTTCTTCAACTTGAAGTGAATTGCATATGAAAGTAGTTTATATGATGCAATCATTGAAAGCTTCTGATGGGTCACGGCTTCAATCAGATGTTCTCGCGTGAAGTAGTTGATTTGACGATGACGCGTCGACACATGCTCTGCGCATTTTGGTCGAGACAGGTCTGTGGACGTTCCGACGTCAGATGTGGAAACATGCAAATCAACCCTAACCCTGGAAACGCATGTTTCTTGGCGCCGCTCGCGGAGTGGGGCGGGCGGCAGAATGTCTGTCCGCCAAAAAATTCCATGAGAGCTTCCTGTCTGCGACTTTCATCAGACGTGAACACTTGGACTGCCATCGCCAGTCGGCCTTCCAGGGTTCTCAGTAACTCTACCACAATGGCCGCGCCTGGGACAAAGGGCAAGAAGGCAGCGCCCAAAAAGTTAGAACCGTCGAGAAAGGTCAAGCGCCAAAAGGAAAAGGAAAACCTCGAGAAACTGCAAAATGCCATCGACCAGCTCGACCCCAAGAATCCCGATCTCAAAAAGTTCGCCGACCTCCCTCTTTGCGAACCGACCGCGTCCGGCCTGCGCGCATCCCACTATGAGGTGATGACAGACATTCAACGTGCTGCGATTCCACTTGCGCTCAAGGGTCGCGATATTCTCGGTGCCGCAAAGACGGGCAGCGGCAAGACCCTCGCCTTCCTCGTCCCTGTCCTCGAGAAGCTCTACCGCGCCCAATGGACCGAATACGATGGCCTCGGTGCTCTGATCATCAGCCCAACCCGTGAGCTGGCGATCCAGATTTTCGAGGTGCTGCGGAAGATCGGGCGACACCACTACTTCTCGGCCGGTCTGGTCATCGGCGGCAAGAGTCTGAAGGAAGAGGCCGAGCGCTTGGGTCGTATGAACATTCTTGTGTGCACGCCGGGTCGCATGCTTCAGCATCTCGATCAGACGGCAAATTTCGACGTGAACAACCTCCAGATCCTTGTCCTTGACGAAGCCGACCGTATCATGGACATGGGTTTCCAGCAGGCGGTTGACGCACTCATCGAACACCTGCCCAAGAGTCGCCAGACTCTCCTGTTCTCCGCTACCCAGAGTAAGCGCGTCTCCGATCTTGCGCGGTTAAGTCTGAAGGATCCGGAGTATGTCTCCGTTCACGAAGCAGCCCCGACAGCGACCCCGGCGACCCTCCAACAACATTACATTGTCACCCCGTTGCACGAGAAACTTGATACTCTCTGGGGTTTCCTGCGCTCCAACCTCAAGAGCAAGATCCTCGTGTTCCTATCGTCGGGCAAGCAGGTGCGGTTTGTGTACGAGAGTTTTAGGCGTATGCAGCCGGGTATTCCTTTGCTACACCTCCATGGGCGACAGAAGCAGATTGCGCGCATGGAGATCACCAACCGATTCGCCGCGGCGAAATACTCTTGTCTCTTTGCAACCGACGTCGTTGCCAGAGGTATCGACTTCCCTGCTGTCGACTGGGTTATTCAGGTCGACTGCCCCGAAGACGCCGATACCTACATCCATCGTGTCGGACGGACGGCGCGGTACGAGAGTAAAGGGCGAGCTGTCCTCTTCCTGCTTCCCAGCGAGGAGGAAGGGTTCTTGAAGCGGTTGGAACACAAGAAGGTTCCGATCCAAAGGGTACATGTTCGTGAGAAGAAAAAAAAGAGCATTAAGAACGAGCTACAAAGCTTGTGCTTCCAGTTTGCAGATGTGAAGTACCTAGGGCAGAAGGCCTTCATCTCCTACGTCCGGTCTGTGTACCTGCAGAAGGACAAGGAGGTCTTCAAGTTTGATGCGCTTGATCTAGACACGTTTGCTGAGTCCCTTGGTCTGCCAGGTACACCGCAGATTAAGTTCCAGAAGGGAGAGGACGTCAAGAGGTTAAAGAACATGCCACGTGCGCTCCTGTCAAGCGACGACGAGAGCGACTCCGATGGAGCAGGCAAGAAGAAGGAGCAGGTAAAGACTAAGTACCAAAAGCTCGCCGAGAGGCAGAACCAAGACGTGCTCTCATCCCACTATCGCAAGCTCGTGGAAGACGATAACCAACAAGACGGCGAAGAAGACGACTTTCTTCCCGTCAAGCGCGTTCTCGAAGGCGACGCCGAGCTCGACGCCGCGGCCGGAGGCTCCGGCGCGCCGGAGGAAAAGCCGAAGGTGGTTAAGCTTGGCAAGACCGAGTTGGTCATCGACTCGCACCGCCGCGAGAAGCTCCTCAAGTCGAAGAAGAAACTGGCCAAGTACATGGAAAAGGGGCAGAAGCTTGTGTTCGACGACGAGGGCAATGCGCATCCCATATATGAGCTGCAGAACGAGGAGGAGTTCCACCGTGAGGGTCCTGTCGATGAGCTGCGCAAGCGCTTCCTCGAGACGGAGACCGAGAAAGTCAAGGAGGCGGATATCGAAGACAAGGAGATCGCCAAGAAGAGACTCAAAGAAAAGAGGCTCAAGCGCAAGCTGCGCGAGAGGGAGGAGATGGGGCTCTTGGCTGGTCCTGCACCTGCTGGTGCTCAGTTGGCTGTCGATGGGGAGGGGTCGGATGGAGAGCAGGAAGATCCTCTTGCGTTATTGCGGTCGTTGCCTATTGCTGGAGGTGGTGGCCGCGATAGTGGGAGTGAGAGGAGCTACAGTGAGAGTGAGTCAGAGGAAGAGAAGCCGAAAAAGAGGAAGTGGTTCCAGAAGGATGAGTCATCGGATGAGGAAGGCGGAGACAGGAAGAACAAGAAGCGCAAGGGAGGAAAGGTCATTGAAATGGGACAGGAGCCGACAACTTTGGAGGATCTCGAGGCACTGGCTACTGGGCTGTTGGAGGATTAACGAGAGTTGCTATGTCTGTGAGCTTAACGGTGGCTGGATTTTGATACACTTGAACATGATACCTTTAATGATGACAAGACCGGATTGTCATGTAAGCCAAGTGTTTTATTATGGGTTGTAGCTCTGGTAGGCAAGGCATATAAGGCGTAGAGGGTGAACATTTGGTCCACGACATGTTGTTTTTAGACTTTTCAACAACCAAGATTACAAGTTTGATACACACTATGGCGAACGCTTCATGTCCAGTTTTTTTTTTTTCTACCAATGTACTGAAACCCAAATTACATGCCGTATGATGAGGAAACCACCCGAAGTCCCAGATAGAATCTACTTTGTACGAAAATAAAACTCGGAATGGTATCATGCTCAAGTCTTCCCAGGGAAATGAAAAAAAAAAAAACGCCGAAAGCCCCAAACCCATACCCTACTTTCTCTTCGATATCATCCTTTGTACTTCGTAACTCAATTGAGGTCAAAGCTCACAAGACCTTGTCCAAGCTTCTAAACTCACCACGGCCATAATTTACTCTTTTTCTCCGGCTCCAGATCCGTTACCTCATCACCATACAGCTTAATCCTAAAGAAGCATGTATGATCCTTGGCGCCATAGTTCGTGACAGCCCGTATGATCACCAGGTCCGTCGCAGCCTTAATGCGACTGAGCTGGTTCGACAGTTCGTACACGAACACGCCGCCATTGGCGGGCTCGTATGTGTATGTGAACTGTCCGATTTTGTACAGGCCCATGTTGTTAAACTTGTCGTTCCACGCCTTCATGCGTGCGTCCTCGTTGAGCCGCGGGTACTGTGCCAGCGACCACTCGCTCACGCGCTGGCGGCGAGAGTACTCGTCAAAGAGCGCCCAGACTTCCACGTCCTTGGGCATGGCGTCCGGGTCGCGGAGAGACTGGGGGTCGGCGTGCTCCAGGACGACGTACTGCGGGATGATGAAGTCGGTGATGCGGACGGCAAGCTGGGCAAACGTCGGGGTCTTGGTGCCGTTAGGACCAATGCCGGCGCACCAGCACTGCCCGGGCTCGTTCCACGCCGTGAGCGCATGCACGCGGTCGCCCATGAATTGCGGGATCTTGCGCGAGTTTTGGAGCCATGCCTTTGAGCCCATAAGTGGCACCTTCTGGGTCCAGACCGGAGACGACAGATCGGGATCGGGGAACGCGCCGTGAGCCGGATGGAAGTAGTTGATGCGGCGGGAAAGGAAGGAAGCCGCGCTGGCCTTGAGACCGGCGCTGAGCTGGCGCGAGCCGATCTCACGCAGGACGATTTGTCGGATCAACTTCTGGACTTGGTCGTTGGTCATGCCGCCAGATACTGCTTGTGCACGAACTTCTTGGACGAGGCCGTGCAGCTCCTTACGAAGGGAGTCCATCTCCTTGGCGATCTTCTCTTTATTCTCGGCAAATCGGGAGGTGAGCTCGCGGATGAAGTCGTCGCGTGAGATGACGGTCTCGCCGTTCTTGCTCGAGGAGCCAGCGGGGGCGCCAAGGATGTCCTTGACCTTGCGCTTGTTGTTTTGCAACCATTTTTCCCAAGACACGGGACCTGATTTCTCGATGATCTTTTCAACGTCAGCCGTCGTGAGCTCCTTCTTACCGAGCAAACCGGCGCTCTTAAGGCGGTCTTGCACGGCTTTCCAGTGCATGTCGGAGATGCGACTCTTGCCGTCCAAAGTGAGAATGGTTTGATCTTGCTGGATCCGTTCACGAAGCGCCTTGTAGAAGTCGTCTGAAATGACGACACTGCCGCTCCAATCTTTCTTGACCGAAATCATCTTGGGCAGAATCTTCTTCAGGTTGTCGACAGCAAGTTCGGTGTTCGTCATTCTCTCCTCGAGATAACTCCTTAGGTCGTTGTATTGGCTCTCCGACAAGACACCCATAGGATGGAGAATGGACGAGGGGAAGAATTGGCCGATATTCTTACCCATGTTGCTCCATCCATACCAACGGGGTGTCAGCGTGGCATTGAAGAGGTCAGGCCGATACCAGCTGTGAGCCATACGGATGGCCAGCGGGAGGACCAACAACAGAATCGCAACGGTCTTGAGCCATCCACGCACAGATGTGGGATACAGTTGTTGCTGTTCCCTGATGAATGGCCTGGCAATGCTGGGGAAAACCGTCATCGCCTCTCCGGGAGATAGACGCAAAGGCTGGACAACATCCTTGAGACCAGAATCCCTGGTGAGGGCAGAAGATGCGACCTGCTCTGGGGATGGAGGAGGGGATGGAGATGAACGGGGTTCTATCGGTGAAGGGGTTCGTCGCCTCGGTAAAAAAGGCTGCTTTTGAGCCTTGGAAGCCGGTACGGGTGTCGAAACTGACGCATCGCGGAAGATGTTCGTTTCCTCGATAAAGCTGCGTGAGGATTGAGGGCGCTCAGTGACGATCGTCCTGGGAGGGGTTTGACGAACAGAAGCAGGAAGGGGAGGGGGAGGCATGACGGCTCTGGCAGCAGCTTCAGCTCTCTCTCTCTCGACGCGTTCCCGCTCAGCCCTTTCTCTGTCGGCCCTCTCCCGTTCTGCGTGCTCCCTTTCGAGCCGCTCTCTCTCGGCCTTCTCTCGCTCAGCTCCTTCCCTTTCGGCCTTTTCCTTGGCCGCCTCGGCTTCCTTTTGACGCTCCCGTCTCAAGCGCTCGTCTCTCTCCTGACGCTCCCTCTCGGCCTTCGCATCGGCATCGGCATCGTCGCGGGCACGCTTTTTAGCGGCCTTCGTTGCCCGGGGGGCAGTGTTGTTTCCGATGTCGCTGACGCCAGCTCCATCCACGTCCATCTCGGTGAGAGGAGGGAGACTGAGCTTGCTCGGGGCAACTCGTTGCGGCACTGGCGACATGGTTGCACCGTGCCGACCGAGAGCCCTCTGTTCTCGCTGCTTGCGACGCTCCTCGGCCGCGCGGCTGTCTTCCTTGACCTTGGTGAAGATCTCAGCAGCAACCTGCGACATGTTTCCTGCGGCGACCACGTTCGAGCGGTCAGGTAGATGAGCCATGGGTGCACCGTAGGAGATGCTGAACTTAGTAGGCAGCTCTTTACGAGGGGTCACATCTTTGACCGCGGGGCTGCTCAAGGCTGCTGGCGCGGGGGAGGGGCTTGGAGCCACCCGGGTTCGACGTCGCACAGCCATCGGGGACAATGGTGCGGCAGTCTGCGACTGGAGCGCTCAATATGAGGGATTTTAGGATGAGACAGGCCAACTGGCAAGAATGTCAGCCATACAATTCTTTTGTACGGTAAAGAAGTTAGTAAGGCGGCCATGTCAGGGGTGCGGGTCTGTGTAAGTGCCCCCCTCCCACGCCCTGGTCTCATCGAGGCCAGAGTGAAGTGAGCAGCACAACAAAACCGGGGAAGAAAAAGAAACAGAAGAGCGACTAATGGGAAGGGGAAACGAGGACATTTAAAAGGACGGACAAAAAAGAGTCATCGTCATCTGCAGGGGAAAATTCTGTTGGGCAGGAAGATGCAGAAACGCAGACAATTGCAGGGCGACCGTGAGAGCGAACCGAGTAGAGACGAATAGGGGGGCTGAATTGGGTGGCACGCGTACCTTCACCTTCAGCGCAGCGCAGTGACTAGTGACAGCGTGGCGGGTGTCCCAATGCTGAACGCGGGCGTCCAGTGCTGGATGTTGGCCCTGCAAGCAGCAAACTCGCCAAAAGGCTTGATGGAACTGGAAGCTCCAGTGACAGGCACCGACACGTCACAGCGTGAGCTGATTGGGCTGTCGCACGCCCGCAGAAAGCCGGCAGCAGCGCAGTGGCCAATGGCCCTCGATGAGTCGATGAGTCGACGAATCTCAATTCCGTGCCGCGGTAATGGTGTCGCCGATCTCTCCGCAGCGAAGCTCGTCGTGTGTTCTCGTGGTGTTGAGCTGTTCGTTTGCTGTACTTGTAGCAGATGGAGTTATGGAGTTTGGGCGCTGTCAGTTGGTCACAACGACCATAATGGTGGAGACTTGGAGAGTTGTTCAGCTTTTTAGGTTCGAGATCAGGTCGTCGGGATGCACCTAGGCAGCAGGCAGATGCGGCAGATGCAGGATGGATAGAATCGGATCGATTTTTGACTGTGGTGTTGGGTATTGGGCGCGAAGGCGGCTGCTAGCCTATTGTGAGTGGAAATAAGAGGCCAATCGAAAATTGAAATGAAATGAAACGGCAGTCCGAAGACTTAAGTCCATGGACGACACACGCGCGCAACGTCGACGGACTGCACAGAAAAAAAAAGGACAGAAAGCCGAGTGGGATTGTTCTCCCCCTGCGGTCTATTCATCGCAAGCGGAAGAGAAAGCTTTTGTCTGACAGCTCACAATAGCTGAAAACGGGCTTTCTCTGTCCTGTTCTTTGAGTGGTTGAATAGCAGGGCTCTTTCACCACACCCAGCGCTGCGTAACCAAGCCTCGAGCCTCTTTGTTCGTAAATGGCCATTGGCACGTTGCGCGAATGAAGCCACGCACTGCGTCTTCACGCTTCGACAAGGCCGCGAGGCGCGTTTCTTGCCGACGCCAACTCACGCTTCGCGCCTGCGCTTTCTCATCGGGTGGACCCTCGCCAAGCCAACATAATTCTTGGCAGTTCCCTGAAGTCTGCTTATGTAAGTAGGTAGCTGCAAGCGATATTCTGATACTCCTGTCGGATAAACGGTTCGACCGGATCCGAGCTCATCTCAGACCCCGGACCACGCCAGGCCAGCGAACCATGGGTCTCTGTCCCGGGCCCAAGGTTTCACAGCACGAAGTCAAGATGCCCATTTCCACATTCTGCAAGGCTGCGGCACACCTTTTTTTTTTTTTGCTTCACCTACGCCAAAGGCCGTTTGTCCTTCTGGCCCTGCCTGCGAAGGACCTCGTGGAAGTGTGGTTTATACTGTGTGTACACTGGCAATCAATGCAGTGTGTGCTCATTACACGAGGTTTTGGACTCGACAGTCGGTATTCCGTGACGTTGGAGATCTGGTGTCGCTCGTGTTCAGCATCTCAAGTTTCAGACATGGATGACATGGAGTGCAATCTGTGCTGCGCCCAATTGGCACTTGACAAGTGACAACACACGTGTTGTTTGCACCCTCCATCGGCTCCGTACCGTCGATCTGCCTACAGGCTAATATGTACACGCTCAGCCCAGGGGAATGGATTGACAAACCGCCTGCAGCATGAGCCGCATGCCTTCCCAGTCTTCTGGACAAGAAGAGCAGACAGAGAAATCTTTGTCTTGGCCGTCAAGTCATCCCTGAGTCTGTGTTCGTCGTAAGTAATGTTGATGTAGGACACCAGGGCTAGCTGAAAGCCCACAGAATAGCGGGCTTTTTGTGTCTGCTGTTCTCTTGCAAGTCCAGGCGGAGCAGGCCCGCGGGCGGGGGGGGAGGGGGGGGGGGAAGAGGAGGGAGGGGAGAGGATTATAGCATGATGTTGACCTCTAAAAGGCTGCGCAGCCCTGTCCTAACTTTGGCTACCGTCCACTTGTTCCTGGCAAGACCTGCTGCGCTTCATGCAAGGGTCCAAAATCGGCGCCGCGGAGAGATCCCAGATGTTCAAGGTGGGACCTTGCTCATATCCCGGCGTTATCGCCGCGCGGACGTCTCATCTCACCATCCAGCGGCCAGCAGCAAAACAGACCAGGCAAGCCCCACGCGCCCTGCACGGCAGCACCCCCAGCGGCCACAGTGACCCCGGGTCTGGGCTTCTGGACTTGGGGCTAGTGTAGCGAGATTCCATCTGCGACATGTGCAACTGCAACCACAACGACTACTCCCATTCCATCTTAAATTAATATTCGCTGTCTCCTCGCTGGTCGTGTACACACCACGCTCTTTCTTTTCTCTTCGTTCTCTCGCTTGCTCTGTCGTTGATACTCGCGCTCTCACTAATCAACGTCGCGAGCACCGTCCTCTTTCTCCCGCTGCCACGTTACCCAACCCCCTGACGAACCCAATTTCGAATATCCCAAGATGGCTGGGGGCAAAGGAACTGTCCTTGTCACCGGGTATGTACGGTCGATCACGAGGCCACCCCAATCCCCATGCCTGTCTTCTGCAACGGTGACGCAAAGCATCTTGCTTGCGTTGAGCATCGCGTAGCGGCTGCCATGACATACATAAGCATGTATGGCATGATGCTGATAGGTCCTCTCGCCTAGTGGTACCGGGTACATTGGCTCTTTCACCACCCTCGTTCTCCTTGAAGATGGCTACGATGTTATTGTCGTCGATAATCTCGCCAATTCATCGGTGGTCGCCATCGATCGCATTGAGCGTATCTGCAAGAAGCGCCCCCTCTTCTACGAAGTCGATATTACCGACGAGCAGGCCCTCGACGAGGTGTTCGCGAAGCATCCTGAGATCAACAGCGTCATTCACTTCGCCGCCCTGAAGGCTGTCGGCGAGTCAGGCGAGATCCCCCTCGAGTACTACCGCGTCAATGTTGGCGGCAGCATCTCGCTGCTGCGCTGCATGGAGCGCCACAATGTGACCAATGTCGTCTTCTCCTCGTCGGCCACTGTCTACGGCGACGCGACCCGCTTCCCCAATATGATCCCTATTCCCGAGCACTGCCCTCTCGGTCCCACCAACACATACGGCCAGACCAAGCGCATGATTGAGCAGGTCATCACCGACCAGATCGAGGCCCAGAGGCGTAAGCTGAAGGCGGCTGGCAAGCCGTATGAGCAATGGAACGCGGCGCTGTTGCGGTACTTTAATCCTTGTGGCGCTCACCCTAGCGGCATCATGGGCGAAGACCCTCAGGGCGTGCCCTACAACCTTCTTCCTCTGCTCGGAAAGGTGGCTACTGGCGAGCGTGAAAAGCTTCAAGTTTACGGTGATGGTAAGTCAGAGTCGACCATATATATATATATATATATATGTGTGTGTGTGTGTGTGTCTTCGAAACCCAGGAATGCTTAATGCCCATCATTAGACTACCCCTCTCGCGACGGCACTGCGATTCGTGATTACATCCACGTCCTCGACCTTGCCGACGGCCACTTGGCCGCTCTCAACTACCTGCGAGAGCACAAGCCTGGTGTCCGCGCCTGGAACCTGGGTTCCGGCCGCGGCAGCACTGTCTTCGAAATGATCAAGGCCTTCAGCAAGGTTGTCGGCCGCGATCTCCCCTATGAAGTTGTCGGCCGGAGGCACGGCGACGTCCTGGACTTGACCGCCAATCCCGCCCTGGCCAATGAGGAGCTGCAATGGAAGACGCGACGCACGCTCGAGGATGCTTGCGCGGATCTGTGGCGCTGGGTCAAGAACAACCCTAAGGGCTACCGGCAGGAACCGCCGGCCGAGCTGCTGGCTGCGCTCGACGCGCAGAACGGAAACTGATGATATGACCATGACACGACTTCGCTTCGGGTTATAGCACTGTTATTGGTTGGGACAAGGGTTTGGTTTTCCTTTAGACTAGTACTACTACAACTACAACAACAACAACAACAACAACTACTACTACTACTACTACTACTACTACTACTACTACTACTACTACTAACTTTCGTAATGCTCTAATTCTTAGTCATGTCATGACTAGGAAATGAGCCCGTAGGGGGGTTATGGAGTAATTGATTCCTTTATTTTTTTTTAGACCTTGAGCAGCAACTTTCCTGTGGTTTTTCTGCCTTCGAGGTCAGAATGTGCACGTCCGACCTCCTTAAGCGGGTAAATGTCGTGGATCTTAACGTTAATCTTGCCGGTGAGCAGCAGGTCGAAGAGCTCCTTGGTGTAAGCAGCCCGCTCTTCCGGGGTGGTGATGTAGCCGAACAGCGAAGGCCTCATAAGCTTGAGGTTCTTAGGGGTGAGCTTGAACAAGTCGACGGGAGGCACAGCGCCGGACTAAGTCCAAAGTCAGCAACTTTAATCAACGCGTCTCAGACAAGCGAACATGGAAAAGCAAAACATACCGCGTTACCGAACATAATAAGTGTCCCCTTTCTGGCAATCATGTCCAGATCTGCCTCAAACGTCGCCTTGCCAACACCATCAAAAATCACGTCAACTCCCTTACCCCCCGTAATCTCCTTCACTCTCGCCACGACATCCTCCGCGCGACTGTCAATCACCCACTGAGCCCCATTCTTCTTCGCAATCCCCACTTTTTCCGGACCGCCAGCCGTCCCAATTACCTTTGCTCCCGCCAGCGTCAGCAGCTGCACCAGCCACGACCCGGTCCCCCCGGCTGCGGCATGCACAAGGACCCAGGGCCCGGAGCCGACCCCCAGCGGCTTCAGTGGGGACAGGCCAACGGCCTCGTGCACGAAGGTCAGGGCGGTTAGGCCCTGCAAGAGGGAGGCGGCTGCCAGTGAAGTTGAGACGCCGTCGGGGATGGGAGCCACGTTGGCCGCCGGGATCGCGGTGTACTCGGCGTATGTACGGTCGCCGATGTAAGCGACACGGTCGCCTTCCTTGACGGGGGAGTCGCTGGACGAGACGGAGGGGTGGACTGAGATTACGGTGCCTGCGGCTTCTTTGCCTGTTATGAAGGGAAGGGGGGCGGAGTACAGGCCGGTGCGGAAGTACCTGGGTAGAAGGGGAAGAGAGAGCCCTTGGTCAGTAAAAGAGGGACTGTGATGGGGGAGACGTTGGAGGCGCAATAAAAGACTTACGTGTCGATGTAATTGACGCCAATAAACTCGTTGCGGACCAGCACCTCGCCCTCCTTAAGCTGCGGGACGGGCAGATCGGTCTTCCATCTCAGGACTTCGATGCCGCCCGTCTGCTCGATGAGGATGCCAGACATAGTCTGCGGAATGGGCGTCATGGTGGAAGTTTTCATGGAATAGTAGACACTAACGCAATAAATGTCTTCCGGGTAGTGACGATGTTACTTACAAGTTATGATGCGGAGCTCGAATAACTTGCGGGGCTCTTCTTTTTCTTGAAGTGAACGACATCAAACTATTTATCTGGTGAGGATTATTAAGCCGAAGCTTTGCGTGATGCCGCTTACCGAGCACCTCAAAGTTATCTCCGCCTGCCCCGCCCTCCTGAACTTTACCCTCACAAGATCTGTGCGCCGGAGGTGAGCTTGTGCCACATCCTGTGTACTCTTGAACTCTAAAACTGGGCATATTCCAAGGTTTATTGATTGTCTTGCATTTACATGATTTTCGGACACGATGCCCTACCGTAGATGTACTTGGACTTTCTCGAAGGCAGCGACTCAACAAAGACACGCACCCCACTGGCTTTGCGAAGCGCCCCCAGAATTGCGGGGTTTGATGGGGGTGGTGGAGCTTTATGGGTCCTACTCCCCTGATGAGGGGTCGGTTCCTGAGCCCATGACCCTTCAGTCGTCAGGTCCCGAGAGAGAGAGAGATGTGGTGCCTGAAAAATATCCTAGCAAGCTTTCAACGGCAGAGCTTTTGGCCGAGCAGTTTTTGCTGTCTTCAGAACCCGAACAACTATCGAGTACGTTCATTTTTCTTTATCCTTACTCTTAGTCCCTGACTCGACTCCTCCCAACTCTGACGTGTGAGCGTCCAAACAGTGCCAAGAGCTTTTAGGAGGAGCCAGCTTACGCGGACATCAAAGTCTGCTGTGGAACTTGAGACCTTTTTTTTTCATGCACCAACTTCATAGAAACTAACAATTTCATTAAGATAAGACTTGGAGGTCTGACTTGAACGAATACCGAGTGCGCATGACGACGACTCCGAAATAGGGTGATGTCATTGGAGAAGGGCATGTTGGCTGGTTTCCGAGCCCGGCCCGAGGCGGAGACGGCTTGGCAGCAGAGCATGGAAATGCCAAGATGTAGTGGGGCAAGCCTGCTAGCATTTCCATCCAGCTTTAGCCAAGCTAGGCAGCACGGTTGACTAACCCGCCCACCGAAGCTATGCCAAATTGTCAGTCAGGTCCATGTCCATGTGCGTGTCGATCCAACATCTTCTGCAGACCCGAGCATAGGGAACAATGAAACGATGGCGGTGATCGCTGGTCTCTGTTGCTGCTGTTGGAAGCTGCCGTGATACGGCTGGGCTTTCAGATGCTCTCGGTCTCTGTCGCCTGCACCACTTCAGCAGTATTAGTCGGCCACCCTTGACCTTCTTTGGTGTCCAGCAGAATTTCTGGAGCAATTTTTAGTGCTGTGACGACCAGCGCAGTTCTTGCATGGCTGCATTCGTTCGACGCATCGACCGTCAAACGTGTCGCATTCGCACCAGGAGATGCTGCAGAAGCCGGGCTTTTTTTTTTGTTGGGTTGTGCTGGACCCGCCTCATCGAGGCTGTGCCTGGCGCTTTGAGTCCCGGTTGATGGCCACATCCCCAGCGGCCCGGCTGCGGCCCTTGACAGCCACTCATAACCCGTCAGTCGATGCAACTTCAGTGGTGTTCCCGAACTCTAAACCACCTTGAGTGACGGTAGGACTCGATCCTATTCTTGCTAGGGCTCTGAGCCTTTGCCGGACAAGGTGACACCCAGCCCGTGCTTGGCCTGACTGCGCCTTGTCCTCGAGTGCTTGTGTTGCTCGGTTGAGTTTCCGAGTGCCTGACTCGTCGACTTATTTGCACACACTTCTCTGCCCTTGGGCTCATTTATTTTTGTTTTTTTTTATTCTTAATCTTGATTTCTCTCCATGCTGGTCCCAAGCAAGAGGTGATGCTCACAAGACTCATTGCCATTCTATTCTCACCCTTGACCGGAAACCAAGGATCGCCTGATCTCGAGCGCAAGTCCTACAGCTACGAGCTTTTCGTCAGAGTCGCTCTCCTCACTTTCCAGAACCCGAGCACCACAGTCATTGTGTTGCACGGGTTTCCAGAACCAAGGCGTATGCACCGTCAGCGGGACCTCCCTTCGGCGTTTCTTTGATAATTGTTCAAACTTGGGCCTAGGTTTGTTTCGCCAGCTTATAGGACTGGTCGCTTCGTCAGAATATTCCACCATCCAATTCTACGCCGCATAAAGAAGATTACTACGACTTCCTGACAAACACGATATTCCTACTTCCTCCCTCCTCCCTTGCTTCGAGGAGCTGAGAACCCAACCAGAAATGTAACTTTGGTCGAAAGTTCCTCGACCCAGATTATTCAAGTCCTGTACGCTCGACAATGACATCCTCTTCTGTTGCAAGCCAGGATGCCCGCAGGGCCCGGCTCCAGCAGCTGGCCGCCGAATGGGGGATCCACCAACCGAGTCCGGTGATCCCACCTCTCCCAGCCCCGGTTGCCCGCACCCAGCAGGACGACCTCGAGGCAGAGGAGCTGTTGAAGCGTCGGCGATTGTCGTCGTCTTCTGGCATGGAAAGGCATTCGCATGGTAGCCTCAGGCGAGCCTTCGGTTCCAGCAAGAAGACGTGGGAAGCGAGCGAGATCTTCGAGGCCCTCGACAACCATATCGCCAACCGTGGCTCTCCCGGCGTCGCCGATGCTCTTATTGAGAAGTTGAAGTCAGCTGGCGGCAACATCAATGTCCTAAATGTCAAGAGCAAGACGAGCATCATCTCCCGGCGGAGGAGCCTCGAGTCGTTAGAGCGCAGTCGTGTTCTGCAGAAGGCTATCGAGAACAGGCAGGCTGATATGGTCGCCTTGTTGGTTCAATATGCCGACGAGATCGCTCTTGACAATTCTTTGTCATATGCGCTGCGTACCACGGATCCGGTGATGGTCCAGTTACTGCTTGCTCGCGGTGCTAATGCCTCCCAAACTGACGATGCCAAAAACGCTTTCGCAGAGCTGTGCGCCATGGGGGGGTATTCCGACATTGTAGGTCTCGTACTTCAGTCCGAGGGCCGACCACCCCCCGACTGGTTGTCGATGTGCATGGTCAGTGCTGCCAAAAAGGGATGTCTCCCAACCGTGCTGTGGCTCAGCCGAGCCGCTGCTGATGGGGAGTACAGCAAGGGGGAGGCCCTGAAGACTGCCATCGAGCAATGCCGTGTTGATATTGCTTTGGCCATCCTCACGGGGGCCAAGCCTCCCATCAGCGGAGGTCAAGCTGTGACGGAGAGCTTTATCCAGCTGTTCCAGAAAGATACCATCAACCCGAACGAGAAGTTGGTCCTTGCTGAGGCACTGCTTTGCGCTGGAGCTTCAGGGGATCCCGTCTCGGCTGCCCTTGTGGTGGCTTGTGAAGCTGGCTTCTTCGACATGGTTAACCTGCTTCTGTATTACGGCGCCTCGGTCGATTACCAGGACGCGTCAGTCATCAAGTCGGCCATTGCCCGGGGCCATACGGGCCTGGTCATGTCCATGCTGAATGAGCATACGCCCCTCAGCCCGGTTTACGCTTCTCAGTGTGTCGAGAGCATCCCGAAAAATCTCCTCCCTGAAGACCGTCACACCATTCTTAGCATCTTGCTCCGCAAAGGCGCGAAAGGAAATCCCCTTTCTGAAGCTCTCATCGACGCAGTCAAGGCCTCCGATCTTCAGTCCGTGCAGCTCTTGCTCACCCCTCACTTCGCTGTCGGCCAAACCGTTTCCAGGCAAGGATCCCAGAGTAGCCATGTCAGCGTGGCCTACATCAGTCATGATGTGGCCTCAGTCGACTACAAGGACGGCCTTGCTTTGATGATCGCCGTCCAGATGGGCAACGTCGCCATGGTGCGACAGCTCTTAACCGGCAGACCATCGACCCACACGCTTGACCGGGTGTTCCCTCTAATCCATCATCTTCCAGATCCCGTCCGTTGTCACATGGCTGAGTGCCTTGTGCCAGCGGGCGTCTCGCAGTCGTGCATCTCTGCAGTGTTGCAGGCTGCAATTGAAGAGCAACCGCCTAGGAGGAACGAGGCCTTGATTGGCTTGCTGCTGCAGAATAATGCCGATGTCGATTTCAATGCGGGAGCGAGCATTCTGTCCGCAGTAGTCAACCAAGATCTGCCGTTGCTAGAGACGCTCCTTCAAAGCAGGCCATCGATCCATACCATCAATGGTGCTTTGTTGAAGGCCATGGAACTTGGTGATAGGCTCATCAGGTACCAAATCATAATGCGGCTCCTCCGGGCTCGGATGGGGCCGATTCAGCCAAGCGCCGAGTTGGCTCAGGCTTTCATTCAGTTGCTGTCAACGAAGCCGGTTGATAGCCACTTGGTGGCCCTGTTCCTGGATCATGGTGTGATTGATGCCAACTACGAACAGGGCCTTCCTGTTGCCATCGGTATGTTTATTGAAAAAAAAGGACACATTGGACCGCGACACTGCTAACTTATCCCAGCTGCCGAGGATCCAGAGCCGGCATTACTCGAGCTCCTCCTCGAAAAGGGCAAACCCAATCACGATACCCTTTACCGTGGCCTCGATTTGCTCACAGGAACACCTGGAAACTCCACAAAAGCTAACAAAGTTCACTCCATCCTTAGCCGGACGACTGAAAACGGAATCCTCGATGCTATACTTTTCAAAGAAGTGCAAACTCTTCTCCAAACCCCTCCCGAGAGGCAAGACCTCTCCATTCTGCACTCCCTGCTCTCCGCCGGTGCCGATGTCAACGCTCACAATGCTGCAGCCCTCTGCTGCGCCGTGAGGGCTGCAAATGAGCCCATCGTCGATATGCTCTTCAGCGCGAACCCGTCCCCTGCTTCGCTGGGCCGCGCCCTACCGCAGGCCCTTAACATCTTGGAGCCAATGGACCGTCTTACCTTCACCCAGAAGCTTATAGAAGGCGGCGCGCCGGCCACCGAGGTGAACAGAGCGCTAGGCTTTGCCGTATCTGCGCTTTCAAACGATCGCCCTCTGATTGCGCTCCTCGCAGCCTATGCAGAGTCTTCTGACGGGAAGGCGCTCGCGAGAGCCGTGATGAGCGAGAACCCGGAGATCGTGCAGCTCATTCTGGAGAAGAGCCCAGCAAAGTACTCGGTTGCGGTGCTGCGGACGGTATTCCAACATGCAATGGATCTGAAGAATAAGGATAAGCGGCTTGCGATTTGTACGAGTCTACTCAAGAAGGGGCTCTCGGGTCCCATTGTATCCGATGCACTGCTAACCGCTGTGGAAGAGGGGGATATCGCGCTTGGGAAAGTTCTGGTTGACTTTGGAGCTGATATCGATCACCAAGATGGGCAGGCTATCGTGCAAGCTTGCAAGAGCGGGTCATACGCCGTGCTTGAGATGCTACTTTCTAGCAGGGCCCAGGTCACGAAGCATACTCTTGTCAAGGGCTTCCAGGCGGTGACGAACGTCAAGGACCTGCCCACCCTCGAGCGGGTCTTCCGCCTGCTCCTCGAGAGAGGCGTTGACGGCGAGGTTGTCGATGCGCAGCTCGCTGCTGCATCGCGCTTCGGTCTCGACGGCGAGCCCTTGGTTCGTCTGCTGATGCAGTATGGCGCCAGCCCGGACTTCAACTATGGTGAAGCCGTGTGGAATGCAACCCGCAGCGCGGTCTTCAGCACCCTAAAGGTGATGCTTGGCGTCGAGCTTGTCAGCGAGACACAGAAGCGGCCTGGCAAAGAGACCCTCTTGCGCTCTTTAAAGGCAAGCAAGAAGCTCAGCCGCGATGCCAGGTACCAGGTTATCGAATGGCTGTTTGAAGCCGGGCTGCCGCCATGCGAGGAGATTGACATCACGCTGAATCGGGCAGTCAAGGATGAACCCGATGCCAGACTAGTCAGGCTGTTGCTTGACCACGGAGCGTCTCCAACAGCTAATGGCTGCCAGACCTTGATCGATGCAGCGCAGTTGATGATGGTCGATATCTTGGGGATGCTGCTCGAGCTCGAGATCTCGGAGAAAGACATCTCCTGGAGTTTTCAACAGGTGTTCACCCCCGAGGCCGGAGAGACTTGGATGACAGAGCGGGGATTCCAGGTTGCAGAGTTGCTCTTGGGGAAGGGCGCTGAAGGAAAGGCGCTGACTTTGGCACTGGCTACTTGCATTGATGCCTTCGACTCGGAAAAGGATGAAGTGGCACGCAAGTTTGCACGCAGGCTCTTGCAGTCGCCCGTGGACGTTAACTATGAAGATGGTTTGGTTCTCCAGAAAGCAGCTCAAAAGGGAGATGCTCATCTGATCCAGCAGCTGCTCAATCAAAAGCCCTCTCCCCTTGCAGTGTCTCTGGCATTCCCGTATATCTTTGAGGCTGGTTTGGATGAGAGCGAGGTGCTCAGGCTCATCCACGTCTTTGCGGATTACAGAAACGGAGAAGATGGACTTGATACCGTCTTCAACCACCCCTCCTTCATGCCGATCTTGTTCCATGCCCTGGATAGATTCCCACGATCCGTGGATATTCTGGAAGCCCTGCTCAATGCTGGTTACTATCATGACCAGGTTACAAGAGTGCGTGTCACTGATGAGGTAGAAGAAGAGGAATTTGTCACGGTCCTTTTCTGGGCACTCCTCCAGCCGGAAAAGAGAGTCAGCAGTGCATGCATAGAACTCCTGATTGAGCGTAATGCCAAGGTCAACTTTGAAACCGACATCTCGAAGAAAACACCGCTCATGCTGGCAGTCCAGCACCGGAGGCTGGATCTTGTTAAGACATTGATACTCGAAGGCGCAGTTGTTGATGTGATGGATTCAGCAGGCAATACTCCTCTAACCATGGCAACCCAGATTGGCGGAGAAATGGGGGCTGCTCTGTTGGGAATCCTCCTTGTGGCTGAGCCGTCCATCAATGACGGGTCGCTTCACAACGCCGCGAGAGAGCTCGATATTGCTGCGATGGAGGCGCTGATTAAGCATGGCCATGAGCCCGATTTCCCAAGTCCACTGCATGGAGGCCGCAGTGCCCTCGGTGAGCTGTGCCTAAACGCCGGTAGCACTGGTGAGATGAACAGGGAGCGTATCAAGAAGATGGAGCAGGCCATCAGATTCCTCATCGACCATGGCTCTGACCCGACTATACAGTGCGAGGGCAAGACTGTTCTGCACCTGGCCCTCCACTCGGCAAATCCCGTCCAGACCACAACTGCCCTCCTCAGAGCCATTTGGCATGACATCAACAAGCCCTGTTATCTTTACTCTGATGGCGAGTACACTTATTCCCCAACCCAATATGTTGCTCGCGTCATGCCACCATCCCCGCTCAACCAAGACCTCATTAAGGTCCTCCGCATGTCTCGCTGCAAAGATGTCTACTACGCCAATGACCCCACGGTCCCCCAGCCCGAAGGCGCAGTCAACCTCCCTGAGGAACTTCTCCGAGCCGAGCGTGAGCGCAAGGCCCGCGAGTACCGCATCAAGAAGGAAGAAGAAGACCACAAGCTGGCATTGGAGCGCACAAAGGAAATTGCGCAGCTCCAGAACCAGATCTTCCTTTCTCGAGCCGAGCTTGAAGATGCGTGTGCCCGCCGCCGGCACGAGAACGAACTAGCCACCCAGCGCGAGCGGCAGCAGATCGAGGAGGAAGCCTTTGCTGCGGAGCTGAGACGGCGCAAGGAAGAGCGCGAGGCAGCCATCCAACACGAGCATCGGTTGACAGAAGCCGGCCTTACCAGGGCCCGGCTGATCGCCGAGGCGGAGATGGAACTGGAGGAGAAGAAACACGAGATGGCACTCACGTGGGAGATGAAGCAGGCTGCGGAGAGGGAGAGGAATGCTCAGCAGCTTAGCCGGCTTCGGATTGAGGAGCGGCAGGCGATCGAGAGGATCGAGAAGGCTGCGGATGAGAGAACCATCAGGAGGATTACGGAGCATAAGCGGTTGGTGGACAGCCAGAATGTCCTTGCTACGAGGTTGGCAGCTGGGGGGCTTGATCAGAGGAAGCAGATTGGCTATGTTACTGGGGAGTTGGACTAAAAAAGCATTATGCAGTTTAATCGGCGGGATGATTTATGGAGTTGGCGTGGGAAGGTGATTTTCAGGAGTCTCTTCTGATCCTCGGGGCTGCACATAGGTAGGCAGGCATAACAGAGCTGTTACAGCACAGATCGAGAGTTGAATGGTAGCACACACCTTCAGGTTTAATGGCTTATGCCGCTCCATTCCGATAAATAAATCCATGGGTTCCCTCCACACTTAGCTTCCACTAATCATGGTCCTTTGTCCACCTTGTTAACAGCCTCTTTTCCCTCCTTCTTTTTTGCCGCACTCCACCCTTCCACCTGCCCCACGCCTCCCTTCGCCATCTTTGCCAATTTATTCCCATTCTCCATCCTCCATCCTTCTTTCACATTTCAATCACACAAAGCTGCATCTGTCACTCGTCAGCGTTCCCCTCTCTGCTTCCGAAACCTACCGATCCCCCTTCCCCCTCACCCCAAGGCACTCATTTCTTCCTTTGAGCCCCCCTCATCCACCTCTTATACCAAATTTACCCTGCAGACATCGATATTCCGGCATTTTGAATTCAATTATTCATGAGTGAAGAGTCACCCTCATATTCTTTGGCATCTTCCTATCAGAGGAACAAGGGGATTCAGCAAGTTATCCTTTCCAGTGATACTTTTTTTTGTCAAGTTTCCCTCTCTTCGACTACCACCTTCATCATATTCTTGATGCTTGCATTTTTGTAACCTCTATTTCTCCCGGTTTTTCTCTAATAACTTTAAACCGCCTACTTTCGGCTTTACTTCCGCCAGCTTTCTGAAGCATAAGGTGTCAATCTGAGTTCCACTAACACAAAAAAAACGAATATCACACACCTCTCAGACTGGCCTGCGAGACTTCTAGCTCTGGTCTGTTTCTTTGATTGAAATCACATATATAAAATCTCGTTTCCCATACAAGCTTCCCTGAAGACTGCCCTTTTCACGTGCCCTACTGTCCTCCAAGACAAACCATCATCCCAGACATCCACGGAAGCGAAACCATTCTCGACTTTATTTCCAACCAGGGCTGATAGAATGGCCAAACAGGAAACCTCCTCCTCCCAAACTTTCCAGCAACAGAAACACACCATGGAGAACATAGCCGCCTGGAAAGGAACCAGAAGATGAAAGCAATATCAAAGTCAAGATAAAATATCTCAGTAATGACGACTGAGCTATCATTTGTAAGCGTCCGGTCTAATGGCCTGCCCAGCCGAAGTCAGGCCATACACTGTGCAGTCATACATTTTGTAAAGAGTTTTTCGAGAATACTCTAAAAGAAATTGATGTTTACCCCTATTGTGAAAATCCTCAGCTCAATCTTAAACGGCTCGTCGAGCCCGAGATAGGTGAAAGATCCGAAGAAGAGAACAATAGTGGCGAAGATCAGTTCGCCTACGAGAGAGCCCCAATGAGAAGGGGAGGGCAGAGGAGGAACGAACATCAACATATTGACAGCAATCGCATTCTCAATTTTAAGGGCCGTTCCAATCAGGCCCACCAACAGGATGAAGATGACCCCAATCAAGTGCTTCTGGCCAGTGCCAGACAATCGCTGTCAAGAAGGAAATCTTGGAGTGGCAGCAACAGGCACCTGAGGGCAAGATTGCCGGCATGTTCCTGAAAAATAGCTTCGTCTTGGTGATTAACACAGCTAGCTTATTGACTTCTTGTGACAGTTAGTCTCATTATTAATTAAATAAAACTCACCGGCATGATTGGCAGGATGCTCTTTGAAGAGGGCATTGGTTTTCTTTATTACGTTGATGAAGTGACGAACTATTCAAAGAACAAAGTCATAAAGACTTTTAGTACCAATCTTGAAGTTCAAGATCCTGGTGAGTTTAGACTCAATTCTCTTGGCATCTGAGGCACATTGCTAAACCAGATCGCACGATAGATTGCCTCTATCAGGTTTGGCGCACAGACTCTCAGCCTCTTAGTGGCAAATCACTTTGGTCGACCAGTAGTGGGACACGGTAATGAAAACTCAAGCTTTTGGCCGCATTCACCAAATCTGTCATACCAAAGAATCCCACTTTGCAAAAGTCATTAAGGACAGCGTGGATGAGAGAGACTGATGGAGTTCCAAGAAGATGACCACAATTGGTAGCGCGCTGCAGACATACAAGAAACAGAAAATGATACCTTCAATGGAAGAGCCGTTGATGCTCTTTAGTGAGGATGAGAATGCTGAGAAGGACGGCAAAAATGATATCGTGTTTCCACAGAACATAGGGAAGATGAGGAAGGGGAGAGGGCTACTCAGCAGAGAAAGGGTAAAGGGAAGCAAAATGGTGGCATATTGGGAAAGAAGCAAATGAGAAAGTCGAAGGAAGCAAATGTCAAGCTGGAAGAGAGTAGGGTGAGTCTCGGAGGAAGGTAAAAACCATGGCGGAGGATATGGCTGAAGTCCTTGAGTCGTTTGAGAGCAAGTAGACTGGTGAGATGGGTAAGGACAAGACAGGTTTTGGAGAGCTCATGGAGTCTCTATAACAAGAAAATGAGTTTTCAGTGATGATAGGTAAGTCATTACTGAACTGCTCAGGTCATGAAAGGTTGACAGGATTCCCGATGTCCACCCCCTGAGCCCCTGAAGTCTTGGCAAACTAAACCAGTAAACATTGACAATCGCCACAGCAACGTCTGGTCTTGGCATGTGAGTTCTGGTCGACGAACGAGATCCGACAGGCCATTGTAAAAATCGCAACGATGCCAAAATGTGACCCTGTTGAGAGTAAAGTTCTGGAAACCTCCGAATTTACCTTATTGCAAAGTGAATGGACGCAAGAGTAAAAGAAATAAGGCCGGGAAGATATGAACATGCTGTTAGCCTTTTCTGTGAGGGATCAATTCCTCAAGACCTTCCTGCATGATTAGCTAGTCACAATTTGGCCCAGTCGCACTATGGCCGAGACTCTGTGCTTCCATTTGCCTGAGCCTCATGCGCTTTGATGTTAGGAATAATGGCTCTGGCTCAAGCCAGTGACAAACATGAGATATCGAGCAGTATGCGGTTTGTTTACTGATTCTGGGCGGAAGGTTAGGAACTTGTTCTTCCGTCCGAGAGTCCGAGAACACTGTGCTCAGATCATTTGCTGGTGAGTACAAATGGATGTGACGCGTTTTTGCTTGTGTTTTGGCCGTTCTTTTCTCTGCCAATGCACCTGATCCATTGTCTACAAATCTCGGTGCCAGAACTGTCTGGGATGTCTTTCCGTCTCTCACCCCTCCCCCCACCACTTCTCCCTCGTTTACCTCAGCCTTCAATCTGTCCGTCCGACCGACTCTAACAACAATTGCCAATGGCTGAGCAACAGCATCTCAGAGGCGACAGCCCCTTTCCTAAGAAAATGCGTCATCGTGATTGTGAAGTTACTACTGAAACCTTTCATTCTGCGGGAGGAGATATGCTAGCCGCTTCTTCAACAACGTCGGCATCGGCTGAGCAGCGCGACACCGACCCTGAAACGCCCAATACGTCTGGCATTGAAATCGTTGAGCATACCCCTCCCGACGGTGGCTACGGCTGGGTGTGCACCATCTGCTCTTTCATCATCAATGCCTGTACCTGCGGGGTTAACTCAGCGTGGGGAGTTTTCCTGGACTGGTACACGGTCTACAACACGTTCTCCCACGCGACTGAGTTTGAATACGCCATGATTGGCGGCCTAGCTGTCTCGCAGGCACTTTTGATCTCGCCCATTTGCGTTGCTCTCCAGGACAAGGTTGGGTCAAGAGTCACGATGCTGTTGGGGGCCGCCATACAATTTGCAGGGCTGACTGCCTCATCCAATGCAACCACGATCTGGCATCTTTTTGTGTCTTATTCTCTTTGCTTCGGTTGGGGACAAGGTCTTCTTTACATTCCCGTATGCAGTCTTAAGATCTTTCCTCCCGGTCATAGACACTAGCTAACTGGCGAATCTAGGCCATGTCTCTCTGGCCGCCCTGGTTTTCGAAGCGTCGCAGCCTTGCCCTCGGCCTTGCTACTTCCGGTGTCGGATTCGGCGGCTTTGCATTCAATCTCATTACTGGCCGTCTCATCAGCAGCGTCGGAATACTTTGGGCATGGCGTATCCTCGGGTACATCTGCATAGCCGGCAACACCATCTGTGCCCTTCTCTTCCGTAAGTACAAATCACTAACGGGGTCGAACAACACAACTGCTGGCGTTTACAAGCCCCGTTACTCAGTCTCTATCCGTCAGTTCCTGCACACACAGACTTTGCTGGTCCTTGCCTGGGGATTTATCACAGAGTTAGGTTACGTCTCACTCTGGTACATCCTTCCGACATATGGTACGTCAATCGGTCTTACTCCCACTCAAGGCTCTGTTGTGCAGGCGATTATGAACCTGTCTTTAGGCCTCGGTCGACCTGTGCTCGGTTATTACAGTGACTTGCTTGGGCGTATCAACACAGCATTATCTGCCCATCTCTTATCCGGTGTGCTGTGCTTGACGGTTTGGATCTTTGTGCGGAGTTATCCAGGCCTGTTGGTGTTCGCTGCATTGGCAGGCCCCGTATCTAGCATTTTCTGGAGCACAGTGAACCCTATTCTGGCTGAGGTGGTGAAAATTGACCAGGCTGCGAGCGCATTTGGAGCTATTTGCTTCTCATTGGTCTTGCCAGCTACGTTTGGGGTTGCCATTTCGCTGCAGATGGTCAAAGGTCATGGTATCGAAGAGTTCTTGCCATCTCAAATCTACATCGGCATCACATTCCTTGTTGGCGCATCTTTCCTCTGGTGTCTGAGGGCCTGGAAGCTTTTCGATGTTGAGAAAAGGCAGGCTGCCGAATGTCACTCAGCACCTGAAGACACGGAAATAGCAGGAAGGGTATCTATGGTGATTTCCAACAGCTCTTTTTGGCTCACTCCCAAGCGCTTATTTCTCCTCGAGAGAGCTTGAGACGGATGGAAAGGTTGGCGGTAGTATTGATAGGAAAGAGGGAGATAGGGATTGCTCACAATGCCCTTTCTCCCTTCACTTCGCAAAACTTTTGAGGTTATTTTGATTAAGACCCTGTGTTCTCCTCCTTCCCTAGTCTTTCCACACTCCTAATGTACGGCTCCATGGCCACGGCACCCAAAATACATTGCTTACTTCCCGATCTTTCCCGTCCTTCTCCTTCACTTTCTTCCAAGTTTGACCTTCACATACTTCCCTTCCACTACTGCCACATCAAGAAATTATCTATTCTTCAATTCTCCACTTTTTTATCATAGCGCAAGGGTTGAAAAGTGTAGCATTGGGCTGCTTGATCCTCCCATCCCACATACCAAAAGGTCATCCAGATCATCCTGCGTGTTTCACCAGCAAGTCAATGCTTTTCATGCAACTATCTAGCAAACTCCAAGTGATCTATTTTTGGTTCATGGCTGAGTTCCCTCCCCGTATCCTTTATTTCTCTGAGCTGGCCGAGTCTGTCGCCGACGAGCCATCTTCACGCCAAAAGGTTTCCTCACTTCATACATTTCCCAAGTGTGGAGTGGCCTGAGAAATATGCTCTTCCCGTCGGGTTCTAAGAATTAGATAAGTCATTGAGGGAAACTCTCGAGGGTATAGAAACATGCATCATGAATATATTTCTGCGTTCGTTCCCTCACCCTGCAGTATTATTGGTAACAAAACTCTTTTTCTTTTCTTTTTTTTCCTTCCACCAGGCTAGCGATTGCCATATATTTTTCCACATCCCTGTCTCGTATTTTAGTGATGCATCACATTTCTACATTCCTTCTTCTCGGGTACGTTCTTCTGTGCACCTGTGAATTCCCGATATTTGCTCACTACTCGTTTTTGGCTTTGACAGAACCTACAAGCGTCGCTTTGACCCGATAATCGTTGCATTTCCCATATGCGAGCTTTCTTATTTCAGAAGCTTAGGCTTTTAATAGACGTTCTGGATACAGTTTAAACTTGAGCGTACCTTCATTAGGCAAGGACAAGCTAGACATGCCCCTTCATGATGCCACCAAAACATCTCGATTAACTTCTGAAGAGGAGCTTTACATCCCCCACACTGTTGAGGATTCGTAGACGGAAGATGTCTACCATCGAGACGCACAAGAATTTTTGATTCTCACAGCCAATGATACAACGGATCCAGGTGGGCCGGATGCAGAGCCGACTTCTCATTCCCAGTTCTTCAGGCCGCGACCTCTAGTGCCAATTCAGTCCAATCAGTTGCCGAAGGTTCTAGACAGACTGTCGACGGAGTCGTCATCAAGCAGGAAAGGATGGTGACCGCGATGGACTTTTCATGAAGCAGACACAGACACGGTCTGCATCCAGAATTTTAAAGTCATTGAATCAAGTGGAAACACTGGAGATGAGTCCGGTTCTCGAGAGTCGACTGTTCCTAGCTTACTCATGACGCTTCTAATGACAAGTAGATCAATCAAAAGGAGGAAGATGAGAGCTGTTTCAGCTCCGACAGAGACAGTAAACACCATGCTGAAAGAGAGGATGAAAGCAACAAGCCTGATCTCCGTCGGTCCCGTACTCGCAAGAAGGGCAAAGCCAACCGCGGGCAGACACATCAAGCGAAGTGGATGGGAAGAGGTCACAAACATGATCAGGATGAGCTGACCGTACAGCAGAAAATGCTTCTCAGCAAGAAGAAAATTTTAAGATCAAGATCTGAAAAGAAGCTACTACAACTCTGTCACACTAATAAAGGACTGACAGAGCATAACAAGACCCTCCTGACATTAATCATTCGAGAGTTGACCTATGTGGAAATACATATTCAAGATTTGAAGAATGAATACACTCAAGTCCGATCGCAGCGAGCTGTGAAAGACAAAACGATTGACAAGATCACAGTCACTTTTCGAGGATGTTCTTGTCAAATTCCCATCTCTGATGACTCTCCTTGAGTCACAAAAAAGTGCAAAATCATCACGGAACCAACAGCCAAAAGAGCCAAAAGACTCGGAGATACCAGCAGAAAGCGATCCACCCGAGATTCTTGCCAAAAGAGAACAAATACTACCCAAAAAACCCTGCCAAATCCTCTTGGAGATGTTGCAACATCCTCCGCCGATGACTCCAGAAGAACTGGTTGCCTCTTGGGCATTGGACTAGTTTGAAGCCATAACAGCTAGAAAGCAGGGCGAGAATTTCAAAAAGCGTTGCGCCATTGAGGGGAATCTTAGCTGACGCATTGGGATTCGGTGAAATGATCCAAGCTGTTGCTTGCATCGCCGGCAGCCCTCCAACGGATGACAAATTCCGTCCAGATAGAGAGGCGCAGATTACGTTGATCACTGTGCCAGCCAACCCTGTTAATCAATGGATTGCTGGGATATCCGATCACGGAAACGGTCTCCAACCTTATGAATACCGACAAGGTCCGCATTGAAATGAATACGCTACATGAACGCAGATATATTGTAGGATGAACCTGATATACCATGTATTTCGAATTCTCAAAAGTTTTCAGAACTAATCCTTTGCAATAGGGTTATGACCTATGAAGAACCTCTGAAACAGTTCCACTCCGATAAAAGGGTCAGACAACTTGAAGGCGATTAGTCTCAGCAATAATCAGTGCGAAAAGCTCAAGGAAAAGTACCCTGACAAGATGTTTCGGGTCTGGTTTCACTGCATCATGCTTGACGAAGGACATGCTATTAGTAACCTTAAGTCTCTGAGTACGCTGATTTTTATCATGTTGAATCTGTGCAAAGACGGAACAGCATCCTTACTGATTTCAGAGGCCAAAGCATGCTTTGCACTTAAATGGTGAATATCAAGGATACTTAGTGGAACTCCAATCAAGAACGACGTGGCTGATAAGTAGCTGGTTATTGTGTGTTGCTTTTTAGCATCAAGGTTCAGTTTTCGAAGAGAGTTCTGGATTTCCCTCTCAAAGAAGCTTGTGCTTTGAGATGCGGCTTTACATCGAAGTGAAAAAATTTTCTCATGTTTTACTTCATGCTTTTTTGTTGGGAGAGGGAAGTCAATATTGGACGGAGATGAACAACTGAACTCTTCTACTTCGAATAGTAATCTATTCCATTACCCCCGGAGTCATCCGGACATACATGCGGAACAGTTTAATCATCTAATAACAGCTCTCTTGGATGAAACCTTGCCTATCCCTTACAAGCCATCATCTATCAACACTTTGTAGTACTTATCCTTGCTTTTTGGTAAGATAGTACACCCCGGGGTTATTTGGGCAAAAGTCCCGCACTCTGAACCCTTGAGGAATGAGGAATTATCAGACCCACATGAGATATCCTATAACGCTGAAGTCCAAGATATCCAACGAATTCCCCCGATGTCTCATTCTTAGTGCTTAATTTCCAACATTCGAAATGCTCAGGCTTTCAAGAGCACCAGAATTCCACTCCTCAGCAATATCAGACATAGCCCCATGATGGGAAAGCCTGAACGGCTGCGTCACGTGTGTTGCCCACACATATCCCAAACGTACCAGAAGGGTCTTATACTAACAAAGAAGGTGGGGAAGATTTTTTTTTTCTTGAGATGCTTCTGTGCGTTTTATGCATCAGTCTAGTGCGCGGTTACACCGGGCGAGCGGGGGCAGCCTGAGGAGGAAGTATTCCGCGGCCAGCTGACCTCACGTGGGGTGCTAGGTTGGTAATTTATGGTAAGGAAGATGCTAGCAAAACTCTCCAGTCTGCAAGCTTGGAATAGAAATAGAAGGGAATCAGGCATATCCAAGAATACGTGCAGCTAGAAGCGGGAATGTGCACGGTACATCCGAGTTGAGCTCTGGGTGGACAGTTGTTCAGAATGAAAAAGGGCTCCCCACTCTGTGAAGAGGGAAAAGGCTAAACGCTGGTCCCACTTATCCAGAGCCTTGTTAGCACGGAGGTAAAAGAACTGGGAAATGGGTTGATCAGCATCAGCTAGATTTTCAAAGTTAAAACCGGCTATTATCACGATTGAGCTATTGGCTAGCCTTCACTCGCATGAAACTGTTAAGCCGGGAGAGTTATGATTAGTGTTTTGCTGTGTGGTTCAAGGGGTTTACCTATCTGCTGAACACCAGAGTTAAAGGCTAGATGAGTCAATGATGCCAGCAGGAGGAAGTCTTTAATAGTTGTCGATATTGACTGGTAAACTAGGCCAATTCAAATACAGAGATATGCTTTTATCAATAACAGCATGATGGTACTCGTCCTAATCGATGTAAAAAGGCAACAGAGTGACACTGAACGACCATCTTTGCCGGCCAGTCTTGAGTTATGGGAGAAAATTCCGGGTATTGAACACCGCCATAGAGAATCTTTACCAAGACATCCGGAAATGCTGTGAAAAAAAATTGCTCAGTAAGACATGATGAAATATATGACTTCTTCATGTCCTCACATCGTTTAGCTTTATAGATAATTGATTTCACATCCTACCTCCTATGCCATGTCTCCATAATCGTGACAGCTATCCCTTTATCCCGTCTCCCCTTGTCCATCCACACCCCTCTCTCCATGCCGTTCCTGCTGGCAACGGCACTTTTGCAGCTTACTCTCTGCTTCGCGAGCTCTCCTAGCCAGGTCTTTATTCCTCTGTTTCAGGTCCTTGATAAAGCCAACAGCCATTTCGACCACATCCAGCTTGCTGCTTGGCACACCCGGACGGATAACGTAGTCACACTCGCTGCGTCCTCTCTCCGACCTCGAGCCTAAGGTGGATCCGTCTCCCAGAAAGTCACGATCTCGGTCCATTTCCGTGGGTAACAGCTTTTGGATCTCGCGAATCGCAATTGTGAGCCGGTTCCGGCGGGACTTCTCTGAAAGCTTGTGGGCGATACGCTTCGAGTCGGCTTTTTGATTGTTATGATTCGACGGCGACGATGAAAAACCCGTTTCCTGCGGTGGGAGGAAGAAGTCGGCGTCGGTCACGTCCGAGGCGGCATATGGAGCAACCGTGCCCATACCGCCGTGGGCGGTCTGGAATGCCTCTGTTAACTCACGCCAGTCGATGCTCGTCGAGGCAGGATTGAATTCTTGGACATGAAACCTGCTGGTGGGTGAGTGCTGACCAGGCCTCAGGGTTTGTGATGGCTTGGTGATTCGATACGGGCTCCTTCGCCGGGGCCTTTGATTCAGGGGCCATCCTGCGGTAGTAGGAGACGAACCGTCTGAGCCGTCATTTGCGAGTGGGTTTCCATCGAGCTCATCCTCAAGGGAGAAATCATGTTGCGTGAAGTGCCCAAAGTGACTTGCGAGGGAGTGTCGACGTAACAGATCGCATTCTGCCTGCGCTCTGGATGCTGTCTGAGAAAACGAGGGGGTAGAAAGGGGGTTTTCAACAAAAGGGGCAGCCTGAGAAGGCTGGCCGGATGTTAAGTTTCGCCGTCAGACCGACTAAGCCCAAGATTGGTCAGGAGGATGCTGATAACTTACAAGGTTGCGATGATGCAATTGCTCGATTCGGCTGGACCAGCCCTCCGACCAAAGAGAGGTTGCTGCTGGCTCGATAGGCTGAGGTTTCGATACGGCCAATTGGCCGTGGACACTGTCCACAGCTGGGTCCTTTTCGTCGTCGTAGGATAGCGTGAAATGTCTCTCCGGAAAGGAGCTCTCCGCCTCGAGGTCTGGGCTGGTAACGAAATTGACGTCGTCTAGATGATACATTTCGTTACTTTTTTTTTTCTCTTTTTCGGTCTGCGGTAGGATGCAGCTGGGTTTTCAACAGCACAAATGAGAGGCGGTGGGCAAGGAGATTTTGTAGTTGGCGCAAAGATGATTTAGTCTTGCGTTTTCAACTGTGCCTACGATATCTGCATTATCTCGAGTGTTGCACCCGCCGACCAAGTCGGCGACCATTCAGCAGCGGGCATTGAGACCATCATAAGGCAGACAAGGTGGAGGGGAAACAGGCCAGATTCCCTCGGCCCGTCTCTCTCCCGATGTTCCCTTCTAACGTGACGTGGCTGGGCAAGATCGGGGGAGCCTAGAATCAAGACACAGCCGGACATCAGTGGTCGGAGCCAGTCAATAGAAGCTTGGGGGGCTGAATATCTCTACGTAAACAAAAATATAGGGCCCTGTAAGAACTTCTCGCTCATAGGTCCATCAAGGAGAAGATCATCTTAACGTCGAAAGATGTGGACGGGATTGTCGACTTGCATTGCGGAAGACAGGTGCTAGCGCCACTGGCACAGATGACCAGGCCACAAGAGAGGAATGTGCTAATGGGCATCGGGCCCTCAAGGTTACCAACCTGGGGTTGCAGCTCGCTTGGCCTTGCCAGCAAGAAGACCCAGGAATCAGCCTATTCACATCCAGTACTTTCACCCCAAGCCGGCCCTTACTTCAGCTCGGCTATCAGTGAACTATATCATGAGAATTTTTTATCCATGGTCTTGCCATTGTTTAGAAAATATTCACGATCCTCATCATCTCCTTCAAAAAGTGCTGCAAGTTGTGCAATCCACATCACTCTGAGCCCGGATCATTGCTTGGGTGACCGTCCCGAAACCCCGAACTCGGGATTGCCGAAGCTGAAGAGCAAGTTGCAGGATACTTCTCTTGTCAAAACAAAACAATGTCGCAAAGAACGCTCTCAGCTGTGCCAAAGCTCGGTGTTTATTTACCCGGGAGAACGAGGATGTCCGCGGCCTTCTCCATAGAGCTTTGCGGGATGTGTGGCTATTTTCGGCTGGCCAGTACCAGTGGGGGATTGGCCCCGGCGCTTACCGGACGCGAGAGGGGGGGGGGGGGAGAACCTAGCGAGGACACGGTCGTCGGGCCGGGAATCACGAAGGCTCGGTCGCTACCGTCGCTTCGCAGTGTCTCCGGCTCCGTGGGCGCGGCGCTCTTCACTTCAACTTCGGCCGCATGGGAAATCGGTCCATGGCCGAAAGACGGAAGGCCGGACTTAGCACAAACGCCGTGGCCGACGGTTGCGAAGATACCGAGATAAAGACCCGACACAAAACTCGGACCGGACCCAAGCTGCTGGGCACTTGGGAGAAGGTGAGAAGGCGACAGGGGCCAAAAACAGTGATCCAGGCGACGTGGAAACGCTAGCGTAGGTCGGGCGTTGGGCGCAGGACGGAGCGTCAGCGAGAGTGCTGAATGGCTAACAGCCGACGACTGAGATTGATGGTTGATCGCGCAAGAAGACCCCTGGATGTCGTCATGCCCTAGAGGCGGGCGAACACGACGCTTTTTGAATTTTCCGAGCTGCGACCATGGTTCGGCCTGCCCCCCACGCCGGGATCAATCTATGACAAAGATGAAGAGCTGGACTCGAGGAAGCTCTCATCCTGTTGGCCAGATATGTGCATTTTGTCGTACGAAACGAATGCGACAGAAGAACTCTTTGTGAGTGATGTCGGGCTGAAGCTTTCAGAAAGGAAGCTGCCCAGAAAACTGGAATCTGGACGCCAAGGCTTTGGAGATGAGAGGGGTTCCGGAGGAGAGACCGTGGCAGCCACTGAGCCCGCTCAAAGCATGGGTAAGTGGGACTGAAGAGAATCGTACTTTGGTATTTATTTCACCGCCTTCCAGGAACGGAATGGTCCCTGTCTCGACTGCCGAGCCTGGCCGTGCTTTCTCGCGGTCTTGTCGACGATGTTGTGCTCGCGCTTTGCCATGAACTTGCTGCGAGAAGGTCGCACTTGACACGCCCTGTTCTCCCACTCGGCTTTTGCCTGTACACACCTGTGCACACCTGTGCACACCTGTACACACCTGGCCATCGAAGTTGACGTGATGCAGTAGTGTCCGTCCCGTCTCATACTCGACCAGTCCTCCCCCGTCCTGCCCAGCAGCTCATCTCAGCCCTGTGTGCCCCTTCCCCAGATGTCGCAATCGCTGCCGAGCCAGAAAGCTCTGGTCTGATTCGCAGCACAACGCTTCTCCATGAACTAAGCATTCCCGGCATTTCGGAAGCCAAGTTAGAAGTACGGAAAGCTGTGAAATGTGCGGCCTGCCCAGAGATCTGGCATCTCGATTGACGTGTGCCGAGCCTTGAGCCTCATTCCGAAGTCATCAACACCAAAAATTATCACCAAAGTCAATATCAAGTCCTCAAATGGTAGCTAGGCCTCTCTCTAGCCACTAGAGCGCACCCCGCGATTCGATCAAGCAGGCGGCTCACGCTAACGGCGGAGATACAGCATACAGTACAGGGTTTACCGTGTCCCTCGGTTGCAGTCTACCAACGCCAGTCAACAGCTGTGAGATAGCGCAGCCCAGCTCCGGATCAAGGTCCGGATCCTCCCTCCCCCCCCCCTTCCCCGCCGCACACTGTCGTTTTTGCATGGTTCACAGCGGGGAAAACGTGCTCTGGGACGGGTAGAATTTACGCACCTCCACCTCGTTTCACCCATGGCGTGCAGATCATAGTGTTTCCTTTTCCATTTTGTTGCGTCGTCCCGCCCTTCTGGAGGCTCTATGCAACGGGAACATCCCAGCAGGCAAACATTTTCATCCCACACAAGCTGCACAGACTCGTCAGCGCTTGGCCCGTCGTACATGCACCTGGTACACGTTGTCCGTGGCCCTGGCTTCGCCACCCTTGTCTCCTCTTCCTTATTGTAATCACAGCATGCGGTGGCAGAGCACACAAGATCTCCAGCTGATAGCCAAGATCCGAATACCACCTTGAGCGGGAGCCTCATCGGTCCCAAAGACCCTTCAGCACTTTGGCTCCTATAAATATAAGACCCGAGTTTTCGTCCCCCGTCATGTCGCGCCCTCCCGCAGCCCTTGTCTTGACTCTACTAGAGCTGTACTAGTAGTCATCTATAGACGGGCAGCTGACATGGCTTCACCCAAGTTTGCCGACCGTGTCAAAAGGTTCCTGGGCATTGACCCCGAGGACACCTTTGACGACTCTTCCTTCTATGATGATGGCTCGTACATCGAGTCCGAACCCTCTACCAAGGACTTTGTTCGGGGACTTCTCCCCACAAGCACTGGTGTTATCAATTATCTCAAGGAACTTTTCCCATTCGTGAATTGGATCTTCCACTACAACCTTACGTGGCTTCTGGGCGACATCATTGCTGGTTAGTAGAAGCTCGATCAAAATAACGGAGAGAAAAAAAAAAAAAAAACTAATGCGTGAGATAAGGTGTCACCGTCGGCTTCGTTGTCGTGCCGCAGGGTATGGCTTATGCGCTGCTGGCCAACCTCACTCCTGAATATGGCCTTTACACTTCTTTTGTTGGCTTCTTCCTCTACTGGGCCTTTGCCACATCCAAGGACATCACAATTGGCGTACGTAGCTGTGATCATTTGAGTATGTTGGATATTCACTGACTAATGACCATGACAGACGGTGGCTGTCATGTCCACAATTGTTGGCAACATCGTGGAGAGGGTACAAAAGGAGCATCCTGACATGAGCGCAGATGTCATTGCCCGCAGCCTGGCATTGATCTCTGGAGCAGTGCTCTTGTTTTTGGGCTTGATCCGAGCTGGTTTCATTGTTGAGTTCATCCCCCTTGTGTCCATCGGCGCCTTCATGACTGGCTCCGCTATCAGCATCGCAGCTGGCCAAGTTCCTGGCCTGCTGGGCATCAAAGGGGTCAACACTCGGGAGGCTACTTACAAGGTCATCATCAACACACTCAAGAGTCTGCCGAAGACCAGGCTCGATGCAGCAATGGGCTTGACCGCTCTGTTCGGCTTATACTTCTACCGCTGGTTCTGCAACTATATGGGCAGGAGGTATCCCAGCCGGGCAAAGACATGGTTCTTCATCTCTACGCTGCGCATGGCCTTTATTGTGATCCTGTACATCTTTGTGAGCTGGCTTGTCAACCGCAAGGTTGAAAATGCCTCGGATGCCAAATTCAAGATTCTTGGCACCGTTCCGAGTGGTGAGCATGCCCCCCCTCCCCCTATGACCCTCGATCAAAGTGGTTTGAGTACTAATAATCTGTTTTCCATTCAGGCTTCCAACACACTGGCGCCCCTGGGATCAACAAGGAGGTCCTCTCTGCACTCGGACCGGATATCCCTACGACAATCCTGGTCCTTGTTATTGAGCATATCGCCATCTCCAAGTCGTTCGGCCGCGTCAACAACTACATCATCAACCCTTCTCAGGAACTCGTCGCTATCGGCTTCACCAATCTCTTCGGTCCCTTCCTAGGTGGCTACCCCGCCACGGGGTCGTTCTCCCGCACAGCCATCAAATCCAAGGCCGGTGTTCGAACCCCACTGGCTGGTGTTTTCACTGCCGTCATTGTGCTTCTCGCCCTCTATGTTTTGACATCCGTCTTCTTCTTTATCCCTAGCAGCGGGCTATGTGCTCTCATTATTCACGCTGTCGGCGACCTTATCACCCCTCCACGGGAGGTGTACAAGTATTGGAAGACGTCACCTATTGAATGCGTTATCTTCTTCGCAGGCGTCTTCGTCTCGATCTTCACCAACATTGAGAATGGCATCTACGTGACGGTGGCTGCCTCAGGTGCGGTCCTTCTCTTCCGTATGGCCAAGAGCCCCGGCAGATTCTTGGGCCGTGTGGAGGTTCACTATGCTACAAGAGAGAGTATCCGTGGCGCTGGGCCCTTGTCCGACGCTGCTGAGAGCGAAAAGGCACATTTGACTTTTATCCCTCTCGATCGTAGCGATCTGTCCAATCCTCAGGTCGACATCAAGACCCCTTATCCGGGCGTCTTCATCTACCGCTTTGGCGAAGGTCTCAACTACGTCAACTGCGCACGCCACCTCGACAACCTGACCATCTACGTCTTCAAACACACGCGTCGCACCCAGCTCAACAAGTACGAGAAGGTCGGCGACCGCCCCTGGAACGACCCTGGACCGCGTCGCGGTAAGGTCATCAACAACGAGGAGATTGCTGCACGCCCAACCCTGCGTGCTATCATCCTTGACTTCTCAGCTGTAAACTTCCTGGACGTGACTGCCGCCCAAGCACTGATAGATCTGCGCGACCAATTCAACCGCTACACAGCCCCTGACCGTGTTGAATGGCACTTTGCGGGAGTGCAAAACCGTTGGACTAAGCGGGCGCTTGTCGCGTCTGGGTTCGGGTATGAGGCACGGGGTGCCTCAAGTGAGGAGCGCGATGCGGCTGGTCCGCTCGTTGCTGTTGCTGAGGCGGTCGTCACGCCATCGACAGCTGAGGATGAGAAGGCTCAGAGCCAGGAGAAGACGGAGGTTGATATTGAGGCTGCGGCTGCCTCGAGATCAGCATCTTCAGGTGGCAGCAGCCGCGAGGCGAGGTACGTGCCGCTGTATGGCATTAATAGGCCGTACTTCCATGTGGATGTGGAGACTGCGCTGGCAAGCGTGGTCAGGAACTTGGAAAGGAAGGGGACTGCTTCGGCGGGTGAGGACTCGTGAGGATTTAGAAGCACACATGGTTTCGTACATATCCTCTTTTGGGGTTATTGGGGTTCCTTTTGGGATAGGTCTAGGTTTGTTACTGGGATTTTGGGTTATCACTACTTGACGGCATGGACATTCAGAATCAGTCAGATCTCTAATTTGTTATGTGTGGCCGGTTTGCTTCATGAATGATACCACTTTTTGGATAACAGGTCGAGTCATGCTTTGTGTGATCTAGTCGTTGATGTCAATCCGTCAACCCACTGACGAGACCAGGAGCTCATCACCCCAAGCTTCTAACTTGTTGACATTCCAGGCTCCTGCTAACTCTTTGAAACCCTACCCATCTAGTTTTCAGGAAACGATTTGCGCCAAAGCCCGATGCCAAGACTCGTTCCGGGCTGGTACTCTGAGCTTCCGTGTCGCACCTCTTTTCATAGTGTTCAAGAGGAGGGCTCAGTGAGATGCTGATTATGGCTAAATGGTTCCCTATGAGCAGTGGACTTAAGTCACTGATGGCATTGTCCCAACAAGGACTCAGTGAGGCCTTCTGCGGCGAGACAAAACAAGGTATATCGTCCATTGGCTCGTCTATCATCCTTATTACCGCGTCAAACACTATCATAAGCCCCTTAAGAACAACAGGATTATAGCTCAACCAACACCCAGCACCGGTCACAGATGCTATCGGTAAGGTTTAGAAGCCCCTCAAGAACTCCTCCAACGAAATCGGCTTCCGCACGGCATTATTGATACCTTCGTGATATGTCACCCACACCTTAATACCTGATCCCGACCCTGACCCCTCTTCTCCTTCTGAGCTCATGGCCCTCTTGCGTTTCTTATTTGAACCACCATCATCCGTGCCCTCGCCCTTAGCAGGTCTTGCTGTGAGTACCGGACGGCCGAAGAAGTCACGCTTGACAGGCAGTGAGGAGGTGTTCTCTTTATTTTGGCCAAGTGGACGGTTCTCTTTGTCATCGTCCCCGCCATGCTCGTTATGGTCATGATCAGAGGTACGAGAAGAACCGCCCGCTTTGAGACGGGCCTGTCGGGCAGCGTTCTCCCGCTGCGCGATGACCTTTTGGAGTTCTTGGTCGAGTACTTGACGCACAGCGTAGCGAGTTGGTGCCTGCGCGGCAAGGACATGGGCGCCGGCTGATTCAAAGGTTGCCAGGGTTTCGAGGTCTCTGTTCACGGCTGTTAGTATCACGGTTCGTTCACTTTTACACCAAAATGGGGAATAGTGATACATACGGTTCCATCCGATAAACCCACTGCGTCCGTCCTCCAAGTCCATCCCCTTCCAGCCGTCCCTTCAACAGTTGCACGCCAATCTCGGCCAGCACCTGCGCTGCCCTTCTGACCATGGCCTTCTCGCCCTCCCGGCGCACGCTCGCCACGGGCCCGCTACCCCCTCCGTCCTTGCTGCTCCCGCCAACCACGACAGGCTTCACATCCGGCGACACCATCCTCAACAGATAGGGTAAGAAATCCGTCGCAATATGTTCCGGCGAACGGAACGCGCGGGCCAAACTGGGCGATAACTGCGCCTGGATGCCTTGCAGCGCAGCACGGTTAGCCTTCTCGGCCTCGTGTGCTGCAAAATCCGCTCTGGGACCAGTGAATGGCAGCGGCTGGGCATTCTCCTGCTGGTCATCGCCCAAGTCGGCGCCGCCGGCGCCCCAGCGCTGATTCGTGCCGTAAGCCAGCTGGGACTGATACCGACGCGGCGTGGCGAAGAGGTAATGGCAGGCAAGGATGGGTTGGGCGATGTACTGTGTGAGTTCCCATTCTTGAGAGCCTAACACGCGCGAGGAGCAGGCGTCATGGAAGTACAACCATTCGTAGGCGGCGTCTGGCTTGGAGAGGAAGGAATCGTCGTTGAAATCGTGGTTGGGGTAGTCGAGAAAGACCTCGGTCATGATGCGATCTGCTTCGCCGCTTGTGTCGATCATCTCGCGTAGACGCTCCATGGCGTACTTGCGAGTTTGCTCGAGCACTCCCAGCTGTTGTTGGGGTTGTTCGTGGCGCGTGGTCTTGTCGGGCTGTTGCCGGGATGGGCCGGAGGAGAGGGGCTTGGGGAAGCCAGCGCCCTCTTGGAAGATGCGTGCCACGATCTCGCGGACGTTACCTCGGCCAAGGCCACGAGCACCTCCGCCGCCGTGGGCAAGCTCGTGTAAGACATGCTTGTCGATCCATTCTCTGGTGAGATGAGGGACTGGATCCTTGGATGTCGCTTTCAGCCGGCCAGCTACCCATTCGCCAACGACCATGACACCGCGCAGGTCGCCTTCGGCGTTGCTTTCGGAACCTCGCTTGGCATCAATGGCGTTAGTTATGCCCCATGTAGCCTCGCAGAGCTTCCGAGCAGCATCCTTGTCACAGCGAATTCCCTCCTTCTCAAAGATCGACTTCAGCCGGTTAACGACAGCCTCGACAGATGGCTTTCCAACATGAATGATCTCAGCCAGCCCTGACTGACGGAGCGGTCTGAGAGAGGGATGATAAACATCATTACAGATGAGTATCAGCGGTCTCATTTGCCGAAAATCGTCTGCTTTTTTATTCTTCCTCTTCCCTTGACCAGACGTCGTGCTGCCAGCCCCTGAACTGTTCTTCTGGTCCAACAGGATCAAGTCAATCAACGCCTTCACGAAGCCGCCCTCGCCTGACCCTCCAGACCCGCCAACCACACCATCGACTTCATCCACAACCACACAAACAGGCCGAGCTATCTTTTGCTTCTTGCCCGGCTCAGCTTTCCTATTTTCAACTGTCTTAACTGTCTCAGTCCCCAATGCTGTCCTAATCCGTCCCTTGACCACATCCTTGCTACGTTCATCGCTCGCATTGATCTCCAACACTTCGTACCCAGCTTGTCGAGCACACACATGGGCTAGAGTAGTCTTGCCCAACCCAGGAGGACCATGCAGCATCAGAATCTTGCGATGCAGCTTCTCCTCTTCTGTCTGCTGCTGCTGTCCCCCCTGAGCATTTGCCCCAGCAGCACCGGCCCTCTTGGCCCCAGCCACGGCCTTTGGCTTCGCTGAATGGGGGAACACAATCGGATCCCAGCGCTTCAGCCAGCGCAAGACCTGGCGGTTAGTCAGGTCGTCGCCGACCAGGTCCATGAATGTCCGGGCGCGGTATTTCTCGGTCCAGAGCATCGCGCGCTTGGGCTTCTTCAGGCTTGTGTGGCCGTCTTCAACCGAACGGACCGGTTGATCGCAGGATGTTGCGGTAGTCGACTCCTTGCAGGCTCGGGCCAACTCCTTGTTGGCATTGTCTATCAGTTCGTGGATCGGAATGCCGTAGTAGCTCTTGTGTGCGCGGCCTTCCTTGTGGCGGGAGCGAGCAGCTACCATAGCTGAGTATGGGACTGCTTCGGCGGGTTTGCGTTCCCAGATGGGGATTGTTTTACCGGAGCATGTTGTGATGCGGTATGTTGATGAGCCGAGCTCGCTGCCGAGGAAGGGGTTCTTTTGGAGAGAAGTTTGCGTGCCGAAGAGACGCTCGTAACGTTCTGCTTCTTCTGCATCTTCCACAACTGGCTGACTATCTGGAGGGGTGGTGACAGAGTTTTGAGTTGGCTGCAGGAAAGGGTTCACGGGGTCTTTTTCAAGCTGGCTGTCGATCATTGCATCGTCGTCGGGGGAGCACTGGCTCTCTTGCTGCAGCATTCGCCGCTTGGGAGACGGCTGCTCGGCGACGTTGTCATCATCGGAATCGTCGGCGAGGAAACCACCAAACACTCGTGGTTTTGCAGGTTTGGGGGCATCTGACTGTTGTGGACGCGGCCGTTTGGCGCTGTTGAAGGGAGATGGGCTCTTAGGAAAAGCAATTGGCGACGATGACACCGTCATTTTATAAGCTTTCTGGGAGTTGGGTGCGCAATTCTGTCAGTCTCTGGTTAAGGGACCAAAGATATCGAGATAAGAAGGCAGGTTGGCGCTTGTTGCGCTGAGCCTGTTGTTGACAGTGTCATCACGCAAATGCAAATGAAACGCGTCCAAGACGCGGTTGCATCGCGTCCTGAGTCGCGTTGAGCGGTCGAGTGGGGCACCACTCAGCCCAGGGGTTAGCGTTAGGGTTAGGGTTTAGAGGTCCAATCACGCCCTTGTCAGGGGTTCATCAGACCTTGGGGAGCCGGGACTCACCGTCATACATATAAGACAGGCGTCTAACGGCCGTCGCTGCCAACGGTATGCATCTTTCGTCAAGAGACGGTGCTGAATAAGCCAGTAAAGTGTGGATGAAAGCGAAAAAGTTTACTTTGGAGCAAACCGAAATCCAACCCAGGCGCCCACTGCCAGGTGGGAGGATCAACCCCAGCCTCCCAAAGGTTATGCCCGTACATGTATGTCCCAGGAACCCACCCTCTACCACCTGGATTGGTGATGATCACAGTTGGAAAGTTGCCTTATATACTACCTTCCGTACGATAACACCACAAGGCTACCCCGAAAGAGTTCGAAAACCAGTTGGAACAAGGCCAACGCTGATTAAAGTTGTTGAGCCTCCGTGACGTCATCTGCGCTGATCATGAGCAAACAAGCGTATTGAATTGGCCTTCCTTTATATCTGCCTTATCCCTAGATGCTGAGCTTCCACAAGTCTCGTTGTCCACCATGCAAAGTTGCGGGCCATCAGTTCCAACTTCCAACTGTCTGGATTAGACGAGACATGGTTAGTATTCATCGTTTGGCTTGACTGGGCCGCATACGGAGTTAACTATTGTCAGTTCCGAGAGTGTGGTACAGATTCTATATAACTATTCGATCTTCCAGAACCACCAATCGCATTTGGTAAACTTCCGCCACGAAGCTCTTGTCAATCCCGCTTATGATCAATAAGCCCCAAAGTCTGATTGGATTGAAAAAGCCATCAGGATTCTAGAGTTCATTCCCCTCGAAGAATCCATCCAACATCTGTTATCGAGCTACAGCAATATCTGACTTTCACAGCCGTCGTTTGAGCCCTTGACTGTAATCCCGTAACTTGGAAGTCCCACTATGTATCTCCTTTTGTTTCTTCTCGCTGCTCGATGGCTTGGCATTGCCTTGCCCATATTCTACGCCGGTAGGCTTTCTTTTTCATTTCCCGTCAACCCATCTCAGTTGTTGTAGCCAACACTTTACTAGGAATAACCTTCCAATACACCCTAACAACTCACCTCCTCTCTCATATCCGCACTGGTCCGGCCCCTCCAAAAGTTCTCGCCAAACAGTGGCTCGCCCTGTACCAACTCGGTCCCTACTTCGTCCCGCCGCTCATCCTGCCCGGCACACTATCCAATGCGTACCTCGCCTATGTATCCTCTTACTACTCTAAGTCACAGTTCTTTCTCCACTCCCTAGCGGCAGTTTTGACGATATCCATTATGCCTATGACGTTCTTATACTTCGAGCCCGGGATCAACGGTGCATGTAAATGGAAGGTTGCAATGCTACTTGAGTCGGAAGAAACGAAACCCAAGCTTAGCAGTGGGGGGAAGACTGAAGGCAAGGTGGGCTGGTCGACGCAGCGGCACTCGACGAATGCGGAAGCAAAGGTGTGGGCGGAGCGGGCAGAGATGGTCGAACTGGTCGCGGCGTGGGCTAGCAGGAATCATATTCGCTGGGTGGTTGCTGCCACCGCCGGGGTTGTAAGCGGGTTGGCGACTTTGGGGGCTTGGTAGCAAGAGCTGAAGGTCTTTTCGAGGATCAAATCGTGAAGCAAACTCGCGTCGAAGCCTTCAAGTTTGGGATGCCCTTTTTAACACTCTTCGGACCCGGCCTGTAGATAATGCTGTTAGCCTAAAGCCCAACGGGAACAATGACCCATCCCCGTTAGCATCGTGAAATCAAACTTCGCAGCATGCATGTTTTTAACGGCAAGTTAAAGATGGAAACCTCCTATCATATTGAAAAATCGCTCTGGGGTATATATATCAATCGCAGCCCTTCAAAGGACCACCCATCTTCTAGCTTACAAGGCATGCTGTTTCTCCGACATTAATAGAACTGGTGATATGCAACTATCAAATCCAAAAGGAAACAGCCGTATCCCCAAATCCCGTTCATCACTCGTAAAATCAAGTCAACTGAGATGTTATTACCCCTGAACAGGGGTTCCCTCGACGCTGTCCAAGACAAGTACCTTAAGTCTCGAATCGTATCCTCAGACTTCTGCTCGGAGTCCATTACTGGCTGTAAGGCTGTTGTGCGGGATAAGGCTGCTAGGGATACTACTGAGAATTGTATGACTGCTGAGGATAGGGCTGCTGAGAGGTGGTAGAAGCCTCAGGCTTGACTTGACCGAGCTCAGCCCGGCCAGAAGTGTTGGGGTCGAGGATGCTACCGCGGATGAAGAAGACCAGGTGGACGATGACGAGGACCCTATGGGCAAATCTGTCAGTTATGACATTTCAGGAGGAAGTAATAAGTGTGTTTTAGGTGTACTGGCTGCTTACCAGTTGATAGCGCCAGTGGCAGCAGCACCAGCCATTGCACCTCCGAGATTATGTGCATCTGTACCCTTCCAGCTCAAGTCGAGCCACAGAGCGGCGACGTTGGCCGACCAAGCCCAGGCCGAAAGCCAGAAGATGGTGGCCAGGATGTACCCAATTAGGGCGACAATGCGGTAGAACATGTCGGGCCTATAGTGCTCAACGGCGAGAGTGCCACCGTAGACAATGTATGTCCATATGGCCTTGGAACATGTGTCAGTCACTCCAAAGGGTGTGAACTCGTCCAGGGAAGCAAGGAACATACAATGAAGATGTCCATGCCGGCAACACCACCACTAGCCAGGTATCCAAGAGAGCAACCATAGGCACCAAGAGCAAAGACAATGGTTGCCAGGAAGATGATGGCGGCCTTGACGTAGAGTATCCATTGAGGTTGGGGCGGAACACCCGTCTCAATCAGGCCGCGAGCACCCATGGTGGTTTTGATTTGAGGGTTATGTTTTCTGTCGTATGTAGACTGTCGATTGGATGGCTGAGTGTTCTCAGAGAGACAGAGGAATCGAGAAATTGTCGACGTGAGGGACTGATGAGAAACTAAGATTTACCGGATCGACTGACTGATGAAACATCGAACGAGCGACAAGCAGGAGGGGATGAGCCCATCTTTATCTTCGACTCCCATCTGGCTCTGAGTTTGCACCATCATTCAAAGCCTGCCGTTTCTGTTCGTGCAGCACCTCATTTCGCACTCAACGCCCAATGGGCGACGTGGAGCCCCAGACGGCGGCCTCCCGAAGGGAACAGGGCTACAGCAAGTCCCAGTCTCTGATGATACCACTTCGACCCGCTGCCTGGGCGTTGTCATCACACACCGTTTCGTTTTTTTAACACTCCACAGAGCCCTAGCTACATACCACTAGTTCCAAGAGAGGACCTCTTAGAGCTACCGGTTGCATCGCAGTAGCGGCGTGGCTTGCGGCAAACGGTGCTTGTCTTCGGAGAAGAGATGGAGCATCTGGGCAACCAGAGCGCCGATTGAGGACTTGGCCGTTCGCAAGCGCGCGTCTTCCATGCATTTTCCGTGAAGCCAAGGAAATTAGCCTCTGATCTTGTGCAAGACTGGCCCCAACGGCCTGCATCCAGCCATCTGGTGATTCGCCGCTGCCGTCGTGCCCCGAAGGCTGAAGAAAAGGTTAACATCGCGACGTCCCGTGGGGCTTCAGAACAAATCCCACAAGCCAAGACAGGAAACAAGTTCGAACTGCCAGCATGACTCCACCAATACCGCAAGCGTTGCAGTTGCGCTTATCCGTTCAGCGAGAAAAAAGCGAACGCTAATACTCAGAAGAGTCAAGACTAGCGAGAGATGCCCGATTCGTGCATCTGGGCTTTTTTGATTGGCCTCACAATTACCGGGGTTTTGGAGATCAGTGTGGCTTTGCTGGTGGAGATACTAAGCCTGCACCGCCCCCTCAAATGTTGTTTTGCTCCCGTAAGGGCTGGACTCTTGGGCATCAGCATTCCTTGCGACTCACGGGACACACATGCATAAGGCTGAAGGCCTTGGTTGGGCTGCAGGTGGCTTGCATCAAGATCAACTCTGTGGAAAAATAACGAAACAAATTGCATAACGTGTTCCCACATACCTTAGTGTACACCGTTCTTCACATGCAGCATCACAATCATCCGGCCTGCTCTGGCAGTCTGCAAGTCGCGGATGCCTGGATGATCTCAGGTTTGCTCGTACACCTTCAACCTGCCATACAAGTGAGTCCATATCTTGCTGAGCTATGATCTTGAGTCCAGGGCAAGGCTAGCTGCCTGTGGTGCAACCAACTTCCGGAAACGGCTCCCTCAGATCATCAATCGTTGCACTGAGCCAAAAAGATAAGCTCATCCGGCTCTCAGCCGGATCAAAACCACGAGTCAGTGAATGCACAGCCTTTGTCACAAAGATCAGCTTGTGCGGCTGAACTCTTTGCCCCTGATCATGCCGCTAAAATCTGATCTCAAGTGCCAGGAGGTGTGATCGATCAGGACTCAAAGAGAAGGCTCTAAGAATTAGTTTGTGGCGGTGTGGCTGTGGTGGCTGGTCTTAACCCGAATGGTTGGAACTACTTTAGTCCAACGGAATGCCGAACTACCAGTTGCACCATGGATAAAAGTACAGTTTTTGATTTTATGGTCAAAATATCTTATCCAATCACATTGTTAACAAGGGCTGGATGGAAATTCAATGGTAACACAACATGAATAATTATAGGGAAAAAATACAGCGCTTACATTGATGATTGGCTCCGGGAAAGATTGTCTCGGAAGTACACTGTAGCTTCCGATGACTTAATTCTAAGAATAACACCGGTATTGAACCTAGCAGAGAGAGTAGCACAGCTGATTTGACTTATCTCAGATTACACTTCCGGTTATTTGTTTGTCTGTTTGTTTGGGTAGGTAAGGTTTCTCCCACTGACGGCCGGCTGCAGTGAAAGGAGTTTCAGTTTCATAATCACTCAACATGAAGAAGCACCATCATGACTACCAGTCGATATCCCTGGGTTTGACTAGGACATGATGAGGATATAACTCACCAACTGGTGTGCAGACTTAGATATCAGAATACTTCAAAACCAGAGCAGCATTTTGATGTTGGGCCCCTCAAAACCAAGCGGTTACCCCGACAGTTATCCCCAAGACCTACGAATTAGAATTATATAGATATCAACATTTGCGTCTGGCGCAGATAGGCCAAGATTTTCTGATGTTGCAATAATTATTCTAGTTTCTGATTTTGCACATGTTTATATTTAGAGTTAACTAGTTTGATCTGATTGGTCCCTTGCTGTCAAATCACTACATAGCATGAGAGTTCGCAGTCTATCTTTGGTCTATGAATGGTCAAAATTGTAGCTTTCGGCTCCAGGCCTGCGGCCTGACAGATCCAGAGGCCGCATTAGGCAGCCACAAGACTCTTAAGCTCATGATCGTCTCAAGCAAAATCTCTCCTGAGTATTAACTTCCACAACTTTAGGACCACAGCGCCATCGCACCTTCTTTGCTTGATGATGTCTACCACGACATATCCAACAATGACCATCATCCAGATCATTATGATACTACTTCAAACTCCCTATAGCTGCTGGGTCCTGGGCTGCGACAGATTAGACGGACCTTGCAGTTAATTTTGCTACCAGCCTGGCCCCCTTCCTAGCACTCCTCGGTGAGCGAGTGACCGCGCCGTTCAGTTCTTGACTGGGAGCACATTGTTCCTCGACAATATCATATTCGAAATGGCTCCAGTTGGGTTCCTGACAGCGCATGTTGCTGTGATATGGAAATCCGTTACACAGGACTTTCATCAGTCGGGCCAGAAAGCACATGGCCTCGCTGAACTTGGATTATGCACCTCAATGAGCGACGAGGTTTGCGAGCTTTGGTCAAAACATGGTGTCATCTGTCATTTACTAGGCAGGCTTGGAATTCTACGGACAGTGTTCATAAAGAACGATAAACAAACTTATACCCGATAATTTACTAGATAAAACACTTGAACTACTGCGTTGTCAATCTCCCTGCGGTCTCTATGTTAACCCAATTGACATACTTTGGAACGATGGAGGGAGGTATTCATTAGAACGGTAGGTTCGCATGGCTATCAGCACAACTCCTTCCTGGACTTTAAACTGCTAAACTTTACCAAAGTTTTTGGAGATGGAAAACAAAATACCGATGTATGAACAGCGATAGATTCAGGGAACGTTTGAATCCGGAATTTTCCCAGGATATGGAAGTACACGGATCGAAAACACTTCTACTCTGCTCAGTAATCACTGGCATTTTAATCCAGCTAAGCTTCCTCACCTACGCGCCATGGGCAACTTTCTACAACCGCAAGTTTTACGCAGATACTATTGGAACTACACTATGGTCTTTTGTCTTTGAAACAATGGGCATGTTTCTTCTTGCCTGTGACCATGACAACTCGTCTGACATTTGTCGAACGCTACTCAATGGAGAACCATTGAAGCAATTGGCGTCCCTTGATCACTGATGTTTTCCTCTTTCTCGCTTATTGACCCCAAGGTGGAAATCAAGTAGTTTATGATCAATATTTTGAGTCTTTATGCGCACTAGAAACAAACTGCGGAGTTTATTACGTCTCACTTGCAGCCAAAAATAACAAAAGCTACAAACTTTACGCTAGATTTACTATCTGGCTTGCGCTTTCATTTTCTGTGATCGGCTTTGTATTTCAGTGTGTGGGTCTCCGTGGTCTTCATGGATTCATCACGCTCTATGTAACGGGGACTTGGTCTGGTGCAGGCAGCGATCAAAAATGGGTCGAATGTGTTAGATGATAGCCACTGATGATGTAGGGTGCACAATAAAGTCAACTGATACGTGTAATAAGCTTACTTGGTTCTCAGCGTCCTTGTGTTCGGGAGAGGAAAAACCAAGAGAAGTCCTTCAACGTGCCTGAGCAGCTTCCTTTATGGAATCTTCCTGCCCTTGTGAGTCCCTCGGCCTTCCAGGCTTTTCAAGGGTCTCGTCCTCCTGCCTCGACCATCTGGCTCATTCGGTCGTGTGGCTCCGTATATCTTCCAGGATCAACCACGTATTTTTGTCGTTCACAATCATTCTATTTCTGGTGTCCGTTGTTTTGGCAGTCGGGGATACCCCTTTCCTTGGACTGCCGTGTCTGTATGACAATGGCATATCGATGAGCAAAAACTTGCCACCCTCCTCTATTTTGGCGACATGATTCTAACCGTTGAGATGCTTAGCTGCATTGGCTAATGCAGGAAGCGCCTTCTAAGGTGATGCAGGTGACAGATTCGAAGAGCAGCGCCATGGAAATCATTCGCTTTTGGGTTGGAAGTGATTACAAGGCCTACTACGAAACTTGCAAACTAAGGAAAATTGAAGCAGCATACTATCCGGCTCTCGAGCGAGAGGGCTTTGAGTGAGTACATCACCTGGTTGGAAGAGTGGAACAAAAATCCCTGAACACTTAGCGGTATTACCGTGTGCAGAAGCAATGGAACCTTTGGGGCTCTCAACTGCCGCAACATATCTTTTCAGAGAATATCAGATACGGCTGATACCGGAGTAATTGAGCTGTTAGACATGAAAACTTCAGCTATTTTGCATGAAAACATGGCCCAAGATATCTACACTATCTTCATGTATGAGATGGCATCAATTAACGATGAACTGCGCGACGTCAAGCCTCACCGATCTCCAGTCTTTTCCTCCATTTAATCTTATCGAAACAATAGCTCCAGTCTGGTCTACAACCAATACCTCGATACCCTGGCCAGGATTCCTTGCGAGCCAAGCTGGCTACAGAGTCAGATGCTTTATTTAGTGTGGTTCCTGCGTTCTGTCATTAAAGTGAAACACCTCAGCATCGAAGCAGCGGAAAGCTGCGCTGCAGGACGATAGATCTTAGGAGTTAGCAAGCCTTCTGATTGATGGGACTTCGTCTACTTTGTTGAGGACTTTAACATGATGAGAGGGGAGATCGGACTTCGGGCTGCTCAAACACTCGGCGGTGATTCAGTTGGTGATATCAGGAAGCCTGATGCAATTTAGGTCTTTAGAGTCGACAATATAACAAGAACGGAAGGATGATCCGGATCATATAGTCATTTTGGTCTGGAGAAGGCTGCTTTCCAGGATAATTAACGTCATTTTTCATTCCTTGTGGGCTTCATTACTACCGAGTAGACTTGGGTTTCAGACTGTTAGTACGAACTCGTAAATAGGGCCAGATGCCGAGATTATCATCAACGATTATTAATCACCTATCTGTGATATCTACAATACCCAGTCAAGCGTTCTCCGAACCCGTTAATCTCTTGTTGCACGTATATAAAGGAGTATTACCGGCAACACTAGTGGCACGTGTCACTTTGCAACGTTTCTCATGTACTTTATGAGCAGCACGGATTTAGCTTTGTGGGACGAATATTGTAACGTATAGAATTAAGAGGACTCTGATGACGGGGATATTAGTATACCCGAATAGATAGTTTGGATGAGGATGCGGAATGCAGTAACTTGTCGCAGATGACCTTTCTGCCAACCGAGAATTGTATTACCATGGTATGCTATGACAAAAGGAGTCCCAAGGGCGCCTTTGTGGCCCTCAGAGAAACATGTTTTCTTGTCACTAGACTTTCAGAAAGAGGACAAAGGCTTAGGAAGGTTACCGCTAGCCCATTCACCGTATGCGGTCTCGTACGAGACTACACCCTGATATTGTTTTATCCTCCTCGTCATGGAAGCTGACGAGTGTCTTCGGCATCCTCCAACGATACAACACATCCATTGCATACCGCATATGGCTAAGGAGTCGGGGCTCATAAGCCAGATGCTGTGGACGATCTGTGGCGGTGCTGTAGGACCGAGCGTTGGGGCAAATTATATAAGGACTGGATCATAGCCAATGGCGAGACGCCGGGGATGAGCTTTAACGGCATGACTCTCGGTGAAGATGTATTTGCGGGAACACCAGGCGGAAGCGGCACCGACCAGGCACGCAGGTAGAATTGTCTTCTGTCCACTTCGATTCCAACAATGCAGCAGAGGCATATCGAAGGCTGCTTTGAGGCCCCGGATCAAGTCCTGCGACCGGCGAACAGATCGGCGAGACCATTAGGAGCAGCATCCTGTCATACATAATGCTTGAACCAATGACAGAGATTTCACTTGCTTCTTAAGAGCACGGAAGGCATCCCAAAAAGAAACACCTATTGTGGGAATAGACAAAAAAGAAGCTCGGATACGGGGAGTCGAACCCCGGGCTAGCGAGTACTCATGTTTGAGAGTCGCTGATGTTACCGCTACACCATACCCGACTAAATCGCGTATGTTTCCCGATTTGGCAAGAGCGTAGCGCTTGAGGCGCTCTTTTATTTAATAGAATTGCTGAAGATCAAGTGGGGTTGGGCTGCGTCGCACATATGTGGCGTCTAAGAATCTCTCAAGTCAGCAGATTCGAGAGCAATGAGGACGTGTTATGATCATCGTTGTCCTTAATTGCAGAAAAGGGTAATAAAAAATTATCTCGCTACGAGCAGACAACTGATATCACACACACACACACCAAAAAAAGAGGTTCATCGTATCTTGAACCGACCCTTCAAAAATACTCTCTTCAACCGCTCCTCTCCGGTCCTAGCTCCAACTCCACCTCCTCTGATGCACTAACCGCCCCCTCACCCAAACCATCTTTGTATTTCGATCATCCCCGCAATACACCCACTTCGCAATCCGATCCGGCCAGCTCTCCCACCCAAACACATCCACATTCCCCCTCTCTCCCTCAACCTCATCCTCCATGCCCCCATCCCCCTCCTCCCCTACGACCCTCCCAAGCGACACCAACTGCGCATCCCACTCCATCCCCTCCTCAAACGCGCCCACTTTCCCCTCCAACCCCACGACCCTCGCCCCTCCTCTTGTCGCAAGCCACAGAACCTCCTCCACGCTCAACTTATCTCTCTCCCCATCTCTCGGAGCATTAAAACACACGTGTCGACTCACTAGGACCGCCTCCCGCGCCGCCTCCAAGATGCTGGCGCTGTACCCACCGCTGACGTCGGTTCCCAGGCCAACAGGGATGCCATGATCAAGAAGGAGTCGGCGGATAGGTGCAGCGCCGCTGGCTAGGGAGCTGTTGCTGCAGGGGCAGTGGGAGATTGTAGCGCCACGATCGGCGATGAGTTTGAGCTCGGAGGGAGTTAGGTGCACGCCGTGGGCGAGGATGGTGCGGGACGTAAGCAGGCCGAAAGCGTCGTAGACGCCGGCGTAGGTCGATTCGTGCTGTTTGGCGAGGGATTCGTCGCCTGTGGCGCGAGCCAAGACGGCTGGGGGGAAGAGCTCCTTCACGAGGGCGATCTCGTTCTTGTTCTCGGAGATGTGCGTCTGGATGGGGAGGTTCTCCTCCTCTGCCAGCTTGCCCAGGCGCTTCATCAGCTCGGCTGAGCAAGCAGGCGCAAAGCGGGGGGTGATGATCGGTCGGACGAGGTCCATGTTCGGGTCGACCTGCTTGATATAGGCAATGCACTTCCGCGTGGCTTCCTCTCCGGCTTCAGGTGAGGCATCTTTGTAGAAGTCAGGAGATAGCGCCGAATCCATGCATACGCGGCCGACGAGTGCGCGCTGGCCGGCTGTCAGACACAGGTCAGCCAACAGGTTGGTTGTCTCGACGTTGATAGTGGCATAGTATGCCGCGCAGGTGGTGCCGTGGGCGAGAGTCTTGCGAATAACGCGGGCATAGACGCGACGGGCCTTGACCGGGTCGGCAAGCGACGACTCGAGAGGAAAAGTGTAGGTGTTGAGCCAGTCGAGGAGGGTGGAGCTGCCGAAGATGCCCGCATTGGGGTACTGAGAAGCATGAATGTGAGTGTCTGATGGCGTGTGACGATAAATCAGCCCCTGATCCCTGTACTCTTGTGGTGGATGATGTGCTGCAACAACGGGCGTAACTCACCAATAAATCCCGGAAAGAAGAATTCTCCGTCCTTAGACTGGACAAACTCAACGTCTGCTTCGTTCCACCCGAGCCGCGGAAGTAATGTCTCGCGGGCCTTGGCAAGGTCACCGCAGTCCTTGTCAACAGCAACAATCTTGCCAGTCTCGTCCACGGCGATTGCTGAGTCGTGGAGATACTCGAGCTCGCTGAGAGCCTTCGAGTGAACAAATGTGCCGAGGAACAGCTTCCTCTTTGCAGTCGATGCTGTCATGATGTTGCTGAGTTATATGGCCTGCTGACTTCAGGACAAGGAAGTTCTCTTCTGAGCGGAGAGATCTGACGGTTATGATTTGCGAGCGGGGTGGGGATTCAGAACGGCGCTGGGGAAATTGACAATTAAGTCGGGCAATACAGTCGACGACCTAATTAAATAGAAGATCAGCAACTTCTTTCGAGAATAGTCTTCAATTGAGGGGAAGCGAACGTTATTCCACCCGATCGACTCTTAAAATGCCCAAAATGTTCCGGGTTGAACAGCCAAACGCACCTTGTGACTGGGCAAAATCACTATAGATGATAGAACAAACAATGGATGCTATGAAACCCGCAGCTTTGTCACTTCGGACTTTTTGATCAAACAAATGACTGGTACTGCCTTTGAAGTCGCACCCGAGAACTGAACACCAAGCCCGAACCAAGAGACCAGACCAAAGCCCACGACTCCGACACAACGGCGGAGTCTGGCCTCTTTATCTCCAAAAGTCAACACCCACAGTCTCTAGTCTCCAGTTGGCAGTCCCCACGCCGCCTTGCGATACTTATCGCAGACCCCTGCAGATCTCAATCCCCGGGCGGATCCCGTCTTGGCAGCCAAGCCCTGGTCTGCTCGGCCAGCGCCGCCGCCCGGAGATCGCCAAGCCCCCATGAAACACGGGGAAGCAGCCGCGCCGTGGATGGGATTCCATGCCATTTCCCATCTTCTCCATCCAAGCTTTCCATGTTTCCGCGTCCGACCCACCTGCCTGTCAACTGCATCACGCCGACGACCTGCAACATCTGCGACGGCGTCCTGCGCTAGAACAGCACGGGCAGCTCCTAACGGCCTCTACAAATCTGTCACCTGTCTCAAAATCACGCTTGTCACCTTTGTCGATTCCGGCACTCTGGGAACGCGGCACGTCGCTCTGCCGCCCGCATGAAACCATGACACCCCATTCTAAATTAGTCACATCGGCCATAGCCTTATCTGATATCTATCTCCGTCTACCTAACACCGGCAAAGTTATGACCATTCCCTGCGATAAGCCCTCTAATAGAATGCAAAGCCCAAGAATAAAGCACATCAGCCCTTTCCATCAGCAAATCACAGCTGCGCTGTCGCAATCGCTGCAGCTTGGCTGTCCGTGTAAGAGATAGACACGCTCACGCTCTTGATGCCCGCCTTCTTGGCCGCCTCTGCCGCAGCACCATGCAGCTGTTCAAATGTCAGCAACCAATCATTGCCCGTTCGCACGTTAGTGAGTCAACTTACTGATACAGTGGGGGCGCCGTTTTCGTCTACTAGGATCTCGATGTCCTTGAGTGCAGCGCCCGCACCCTTGCTAGACACACCAAGAGCCTTGAACACGGCTTCCTTTGCAGTCCAGCGGCCGGCAAACGCCTTCTGCGGCGACCGACCACTCTTGGACGCTAGGCAGTACTTTTGCTCAGCCTCCGTGAAGTTGCGGTCGAGGAAAGTGTCGTTATCCGTGTTAATAGCAGAGATGTCCTCCACATCGACACCGACCCGCGTGTTTACGCTCTCGAGGCGCCTAGCCTCGCGGCTGAGCACCGATTCCAGAGACACCTTGGGCTGCGCCGCAGCCTGCGTTTTCTCCGACAGCTTCATGAAGTTGGGAGGAAAGATGAGCTGGCCCGTCTTCTTGTCCTCAACAACACGAGCATCAGGGTTCAGGAGAACAGCGCTAAGCTGCTCATCGGTGTACGGCGCCTTCTCCTTGGCCTGGAACAGCGTGTTGTTGATGAGGCCGTTGTGGAAATAGCGGTACGCCTTCTTCTGGCGGGCCTGGACCTTGGTGCAGTACTCGTTGTACGTCTGTTCATCCAGCGTGGCGTACAGATACTTGGGGTGCACACCAATGCACTGGGCTCCCTTCTGGCCGAAACCGAACGAGGTGACCGAGAAAGCCTTGATACCATCGGTCTGGATGCTGCGGTTCGGGTACACGATGTAGTCGAACTGCTCCATGACCTTGTCCACATTGTCGGCGTTGCGATTGCCAGGCACGAGACCTGTGTTGAGCACCTGCAGGCAACCGTTAAGCATCCAGGCACCAGCGGCACCCTTGGGATGGCCGGTGAGGTACTTCTGGAAGATACCTAGGACGGCATTGCCCTTCTTGCGGCCAAGGTGAGCAAGCTGCTGGCAAATGACCGACGACTCGTTCTTGTCGTTGGCTTTAGTCGATGTGCCGTGGAACGAAGCAACATCGAGGTCATCGATCGTAAGACCCCATACGGCGAGTGCACCGCGAAGAGGAGCGATCGTCGGATCATTCTTCCAGAAGAAGTTGCCAAAGCTGCGGAGAATCTCCTTAGCTTGCTTCTCGGCCGTCTTCTCGATGTGAGCAGCCCTGTGCGCGGCATACTCCTCAATCTCGCTCTGAGGACGACCTTCGGCCTTGAGAGCCTCGATCTCAGCAGCCAGGTACTCGAACTCAGCCTCCTTCTCCTCCATGACCTGCTTAGTGCGGCGTTCGATCTGGCGGCGACGGTAGTTGATGTCAAGCAAGGGCGACGGGAACTTGCCGCGATGCTCGCGGGCCGTCGTGAGAACACCCTGGCCGGGAGCCGGGACGGAACGGCCGATCTTGTCCGACGCAGTGGTCGTGAGCGCCAGAATACCGTAGATGGGGACGCCCATCTCGAGCGCAAGCTTGGCAGTCATGATGACCTGGACACCAGAACCTTGAGACTCCATGAAACCATTGCGGGTAGTGGTTGTCGGGCGAGACATCTCCTGAGGGGTGCGGCCGTGGGCAAACTCGTCGACAGCGTTGCTGGTCGCCTTCATGTTGGCGAACTCGTAAGAGCCCTCCTCACCAAAGTCGTCAAAACCGCCGACCAGGCAGATGCGGGCCTTGCCCTCCAATATGGTCTCGACACCAACGTCGACGGACTCGACGGCCGTGGCGCAGGCAGCAACAGGTGTCTTGATCGGACCAGACGAAGAAAGCAAAAGCATGTTCACCCAAGCCGACATGGTGTTGATGAAAGACTCCTGGAGGATGTCATTCTGAAGCGGCTTGTCGAGGAAGCGGTCGCGATGCATGCCACGAAGAGCTGTCGCGCCACCCATACCAGACCCGATGCAGTTGCCTAGCTCCGAGACGTGGACATACTTGTAGAACTCGTACGGGTCGGTGATACCCGAGGACAAGAGAGCCTCAACGGTGGAGACGAGCACGAACAGGCAGACAGGGTCGACCTGCTGGATGATGTCGTCTGGGATACCATAGCGCTTGGCGTCCCAACCGGTCGGGATTTGGCCGGCGACGAGACGGTCGAAGCGCAGCGCCTTGGGGATCCAAAGAGTCGCACCCTTCTTGAAGCGGACTGTGTACTCGCCCGATTCAGGAATCTCGAAGATCTCGACCTTATCCCCGTGCTCGCGCTTGAACTGCTCGGCCGTCTCAGCGGAGCACTGGAAGGGATCCAGATCCTCCTGGATGACGACCTCGTGCAGCAGCTGCTTCTTGTTAGGATCGTAGCCACCGAACAACTCAGGCTCGATGAGACGAATGCCAGAGTGCTCCAGGATGTACTTCTCGTACTTGGGCTTGACGTCCTTGTCATCTACAGGCTCGCCAGTCTTGGCATCAACCCAGCCCGAGTACGGCTTGCCCTTGATGAGACCATTGTAGTTCTTGATGAGGCCCATGATCCACGCCATCTCGATGCAGCCCTCTAACGAGAATTCTCCATAGGCTTCCATCTCCCAGCGAGTACGGGAATTGCCCCACGGGCCGACCTCGGCGAACCCGGTGACAACGATAACTTTTTCGAGATCGACCATGCCTTTAAGCTTGTCATTGAGGGGCTGGATGTCCTTCTTCCAATCGGGAAGGGGAGGGAAGTCGAACTTGATGTTGGCCCGACGCTCAATGATCTTCTTCTTGTAAAGAGCCTCAGAGGCCTCGCCGTTGACGACCTTATTCTCGGCAGCCGTCTCCTTTGTGACAGCCTGGCGGATCTCGCTGGTCTCGGTGAGGTTCTTGCGCTCTCTGGTCATCAGCTCATTCAGGTTCGGAATGAACTGTAGACCGCCATTCAAATCGGCGCAGACGGGCTCGTTCTGGCAGAGGTCAACGATGGTTGGCGCCATCAAACCCAGCAGGTTGAACGCCATTTCCTGTTGCGAGAACGTGCGAACGCCAAACTTCTCGACAGCCTCCGCAACAATGTTGTTGCCAGACATGAGACCTGTCCCACGAGTCCAGCCGATGATGGCCCCGCAGATGGTGAGGTAGTTGCTCCAGTTCTCAGATTCCCAGCGGTTGAAGAGAGTCTCAAGACCAAGCTTTGACTCGGAGTACAGACCGTCGCTGCCGAAAGTACCATGGTTGGGCGAGAGAGGCAGGATGACCTGCGCGGGACGAGTCTCGTAACCGCGGCTGGCCTTCTGTGTCTTGACAGCACCAAGCAGACGAATAAGGTTGGTCAGCATGATACGATGGGCCAGCTCGGATTTGGAGTCAATGCCATCGATCTGGCGACCCTGCTCGGAAATGGCGGCGAACGGCACGATGTAGTCAAGATCCCAGCCGAGACCGTTTTTGGTGTCGTAGATGTACTCAACGAGGGCGTTGACGTCCTGCACGCTACCCTGGTTGAAAGGCACGACGACGAGCTGGGAGCCGCGAGCACCATAGCGGGAGTACATGGACTGGTAGTACTCGGTGACCTCGCGGGAGTAGCGGCTGGTCGTAACAATGACATGGGCGCCGCCGCTGATGAGACCCTGGAGCACCTCGGCACCGATGGAACCGGCACCGGCACCCGTCATGAGGGCGTACTTCCCGGCAAAGGTGAGACCATCACGAGCAGCTTTCTCCAGGCAGTCAAGGTACAGGCTGGTAAGCTTCTTGTTGTACTCCCAGCCCATGACACTCTTCTTACGCAGGTGAAGGAACGGGATAGTCTCGGTTTTGGCCTTGGGCTTGCCCTTTTTGGGCAGGCCAAGGCTCTTGCCGTTCGTCTGACCGAGAATCTGGTTCTCGTTCATTTGCAGGGCACGGATGATGTCGCTGTACAGGGCCTTGATCTCCAGCTGCGACGTTTTGGGGAGCTTGTGCTGCTGCTTAATCAACTTGTAAATCTTAGCGAGGTCGTTCTGGACCTTGATCCGGTTACCATATTCCGAGATCTTGCCTCCAGCCGCCATCTGTTGCACATAATGCTCCAGCTTGCGGCAGCTGGGCCGAGGGACTTCCTCGTACTTCAGGTTGCCGCGGGCATCAATGGTGGTCTTCGGGCCGGTAGGAATGGCGACATCCTTGTACACGGGGTTGGCATTGAGAACCTCCTTGCAGTTCTCAATGAGTTGAGCACCGAGTTCCTTGGCAAGCTGGTACGTCTCGCCACGATCCGTGGGGCAGTTGTCGATGTGGTACTGCATGAACTCCAGGAGCGTCGGATTAGCGCGATTCATGATCCGAATGCACTGACTGACGATCTCGCGGTCGACCGTCTTGAGCCTGCCAAAGATAATATCATAGTACATGCTCAAGGCATCCTGGCGCGCCCAGTTCCATGAGGAGTCGTAGACACGGGCCTTCAGCGGGCTGAAAACCGGTTCAATACCCGATGCGTAGAAGTCTCCGTGCTCAGCAAGCCACAGGTCAAGCTGGGACTGCAGGACCTTGGCCGACTCCTGAGAGGCCTGGTAGGCCTTGTCTCCTGCACGAATATCAAGCTTAAGGTATCTGGCAATGAGCTCCAGCTGCTGCTTGAACAGAGCCTTTTGGTCGCTCGTGAGGGCTTCCAGAGCGGCAGGATCCATCAGCATGCCGCCACCAGCGCCGGCAGCCGGGCCAGCAGCCGCAGCCGTAGACAGGCTGATGCCGGCGTTGGCGGCATACTTCTGGGAGACATCGTCCAGGAAGGCCTTGGCATCCGCCTCTGATCCGAGGCGCGATGGGGGCTCCATGGTGATAGCCAACAGGAGCACACCATCTTGGCGACCCGGACCCAAACCCCACCTCGTCTCTAGGTACTTGCGTGCTGTTGTAATGTTGAAGCCACCAGGCATCTTGGACGAGATAAGACGGGCGATAAGGCCCTGAGAAGTCTTGCCCAGGTTGCCGTCAAAGGTGGCCTGCATGGCGGCGCCGAGCTCATCGAGCGGGGTGTCTTCCGGCTTCTCGGGCGTCGAACCGAACTCCTTACCGAGATCTCCAAGAATTTCATTCTGGAGCGTTGACTTGCCTGAAGAGACAGATTGATCAGCAGAGCAACAAACACGTGGGGCCACTCAAACTTACCGCCAACTAGGTCTTTGATAGCCTTACTAAGAGGCACTTCTTGGTATGGCTTCTTGAGCTTCTGAGCGATCAAGGCGCGCACGATCTCAAGGGCCGTAACAGGGGCATCGGGAACCTGGGCGGCGGGACCGACACCAGGCGGTGGCGGGGCAGCGACCGGGGCCGGCGCCGCAGCAGGGGTGGCAGCCGGAGCCGCGGGGGCAGTCGGAGTAGCAGCCTGAGCCGGAGCGGGCTCGGGCTCCTCCTCAATCGGATCGACATCATAGTAGATCTCTTTCGCGTCCTTGCTGTAGCACAGAATCTGGCGCTGAGCAGACTTGGCAGCGTCGTAGGCTTCGTACTTGGAGGCGAGAGTCCTCTTGGCCATCACACTGAGGGTGTCCGCGGGGCCAATTTCGACAATGCGCTCGGCCATCTGCTCGGCCAGGAAAACATCTTGAGTCTCAATCCACCTCACCGGCGAGGCGAATTGGTAGGCAAGAAGCTCCACAAGGAGCGTGTGGGCAAGCTCCTGCTCGACTTCAGGACGCATCTTCGCGTTCTCTATCCCTCGACTGAATGGGAGCAACTTTCAGTTCGGAGACGTTGCCAGCAGTCAAAAGAATGCCCAATTACGCGTTTGGGGGCAGAAGGGCGAAGTCAGCGAATTACGGGGTATCTCGATGGAGAACTGACTATCACCGATCCTTCCCAGACGTGAGAAAATAGAGGGAGAATTAGGTGTCGTCTTGTAGCGGCGAGGGACTGGATGTGTCTGGGAGAAGGAAAACGTGATTTCTTCGATGCGACGTAGGCAACTGCCAGCGATTTCAAATGATAGGTGAAAAAGTGAAAGGTGCCCCTCCAGTCAAGGGCCTCCGTGTCCCAAATTCAGGTCTAACGGCAGCAGGGCAGCTGGAGTAAAAAGATTGACGGATTGGAGGGGAAAGATCGGAATGCCAGAGGCGGAGATCTACTTCCTTAACCACAGACAAGCCACGGGGCGGTCCGGCTGTTCCTTGGTACGAGGGCAAAAAAATGGCAGCAGCCGCAACGACACGCCGCATCTGTTGAATGAATTTTGGGTTCAACACCCCTGCCGGCGATAGCTGCCATGCACGCTGCTTCTCAACCAAACAACCCCAACTAAACCTAAATTGGAATAGCGTCCCGCCCGCTTGTTACCCCAAGGGGTTTTTGGGGGTGGATCGTACGGCCTTTTGGCATGTACTGTACCCGACCCCACGGTTGTTTCGTCTCAAATTACGCCTGATACGCATGTAATAATCATGGGGCGTCTTCCAGCCCGACTCCATGGAGTCCACCTCACCGTCCATCCGAAGAACCAGGACCGCTCAAACACAGCGAAACGAGAGTTTTGGCCGAACGCAACCGAGGACATCAGATCTGCTTCCGAAAACCATACCTGCAAGGTGTAATCATCTCTGATTTGACTGGTCGCTCAACACATTCTGACCGAAGGCACGATGGTTTTTGGGTTGGGATGCAGACAGAACGCCCCGGCTGATAGTGATGAACCCTTTCCCAGTGGCGCAGAGGTGGTTACCCAACGTAAAAATCCAGATCAGATCGTCTTCAGGCTTCGAGACAATGAAGAAGCCCAATACAAGCGCAAGGCATTCCTTTAGGTGCAGCTCAACCCCTCTTCCTGATTTCTCCACGCTGTCCTCGAGACTGCCATCTATAAAAAGAGGGGTTGTAACCTGATGGATGAGGGGCAATGCTTTACTCGCAGCCCAGAGAGTTTGCCCTCGCTTTTTCTATGGGCTCGGCCTAGATGCGATCGAGATGCCCTGATGATGAGACCCCCTCAGATGGACGTGCCATCCGTTGCATCCCCTCGAGCCACCTAACCGTTGCGTTGTGGGAGCTTCTCCGGGTTTCCCGGCTTCCACGTCAGCCTCTTGCAACCCTACCTTCGGGATTTGCGGGCTTCGATTGTGCTGGGTGTCCACGTCGCTGCATACCCCGCATCCTGAAGAAGGAACACTGCAGCGGCCAAAGAGACTTCCTGAATGCTTCATGGTTGACTTTGAACCCTGCTCTGCCCTTCGTCGCCATCGCCGTTATCACTATCATCGCTTTGATATCTTGCCACTCCATCAGCCCGACTCGGCCCCGGCAGTCGCGGTGTGTGAACCTTAAGGGCTCGGGCTGATAAGATTCCCGATACGCAGGCACCCCACCACCTTACGTACCAGAGGCTGTCAGATGTATCGGTACCTCAACGGGGGGGCAAGTGGGTGTCAGACGTGACAGGTAGGGTTGCCGCTGTGGGCTCGGCTATCCGGGTTGGATGGAAATAGGGTGTCCTTGCGACTACCGGGCAATGAACCGCAGCGCAGGCGTCACCGACTGGAAGATCGGGCGACAGGGGTTGGGGGGCTGCATCACAGTGCCGCGCCTCCCCAACAAGATCCAAAAATTTTGGCGTTCCGCAACAAGAGCAGTCACGATTTCGCGGGCGGCTTCTGATTCGGTTAATTTTGTGTTGAGTGAGAGGCCAATATCTCGTTCCCGTCCGTCTTTTGCCGTCTTTTGCTCCCCGGTTTCCTTCCCAAAGAGGGTCGCTACTCCAGAAAAGGTGCAGAGCCCATCATTCTCATCAGTGTCGATTGAAAGCCAGGAGCCACACCTAGGGCCCGACTTCACCCATCTCTGCCCCATACCCCTCGCCCTGGCCACCTCTGATATACGTGCTGCTCCCTGGACAGCCGTCAGGCAGGGCTTCTTCCAGAAAACACACACCCACTTCTAGACGCCAGCCAGTTTCAATTCTGCTCTTATTACCGTCCCCATCGTCTCGAGGACTCTCAAAGCTGCGGGGCAGTCATTCATTGCACGCTTCTAGACACGCTCAGCCAATCTAAGGTTGGGTACTTCCGAGATCTCTCGTGGTGGCCGTCTTTTGCAGTCCGGTTTGGTATGTTTGAACCCCTCTTCACCGCCTGCTGCAGCCCCGCGTTCCTGAATTGGACTCTGCTGTTGCTGCCCGTCTGTCGTACCCCGCATTGGGAGACGAAAACATAGAGAAACATCGAAGAATGAAAGCTAACCGGTCTCGAAAAGCAACGAGCATATTAGATACCCCCCAATCATCATAATGTACGGCACTGGAACCGGCCCTCAGACGGGCGCCGTGACACCCCGCTCTTCGGCCTCTTTGCGGCCACTCACTCTTTCTCATGGTTCCCTCGAGACCTCATTCTTAATACCAACCGGTTTGCACTTCCATGCCTCCCGGTTGAAGGACGAGTTCATCGCAAGCCTGCCCCCGCCGACAGATGAACTGGCACAAGATGATGAGCCCTCATCGGTCCCCGAGCTGGTGGCAAGATATATGGGGTACATTGCCAACCAGGTCGCCGAGGGTGAGGATGACGCGCAAGGGTCTTACGAGGAGGTGTTGAAGCTCATTCTCAACGAATTTGAGAGGGCTTTCCTCCAAGGCAACGATGTCCATGCCCTGGTTGCCACTCTCCCTGGCATTGACGCCAAGAAGCTGGAGGTGATCCGCAGCTATTTTGCTGCCCGCGCGGCCACAAACAGGGCCATGAGAGCCCATCAGTCGGCTCTGCTGCGGGCTGCGGAAGAGGGAGAAGCCCGCATCTACAGCATCTTCGGCGGTCAGGGTAACATTGAGGAGTACTTCGAAGAGCTCAGGGAGCTGTACAAAACGTACCCGTCTTTCGTGGGCCATCTCATCGTCTCTTCTGCAGAGCTCCTCCAGATCCTGGCCAGCCATCCCAGCGCCGAGAAGCTCTACTCCAAGGGTTTGGATATCATGCACTGGCTGCACAATCCAGACGCCACTCCTGATACCGACTACCTAATCTCTGCGCCCGTCAGCTTCCCCCTCATTGGCCTTGTGCAGCTCGCTCACTACCAGGTCACCTGCAAGGTCCAGGGCCTGCACCCCGGTATTCTCCGTGACAGGATTAGCGGGACGACAGGTCACTCCCAGGGCATTGTCCTTGCTGCCGTGACGGCAGCCGCGGATTCATGGGAGTCTTTCGAGGACTTGGCCAAATCTGCACTAACCATCCTCTTCTGGATCGGTGCGCGTAGTCAGCAGACGTTCCCCAGGACGTCGATGAGCCCTTCCCTGCTCCAGGAGGCGATTGACAATGGCGAGGGCACTCCTACCCCAATGCTCAGCATTCGGGACCTTCCCCAGGCGGAGGTTCAAAAGCACATCGACCAAACAAACCAATACCTGCCTGAGGATCAGCACATCTCGATCTCCCTCATCAACAGCCCCCGCAACCTTGTTGTGTCGGGTCCCCCGAGGTCGCTGTGTGGTCTCAATGCCCAGCTCCGTAAGGTCAAGGCTCCCACAGGTCTTGACCAGGCCAGGATCCCCTATTCCGAGCGCAAGATCCGTTTTGTGAACCGCTTCCTGCCTATCACTGCGCCCTTCCATAGCAAGTACCTGGCCGGTGCTGCTGAGCTGATTGCTGAGGACCTCAAGGACATCTCAATTGAGGTTGAACGTCTCGGCATCCCTGTCTACGACACTAACACTGGCGAAGACATTCGGCAGACGGTCACTGGCAACGTGGTTCCTGCTCTGATTCGCATGATCACGAATGACCCGGTCCACTGGGAGAAGGCTACTGTTTTCCCGGAGGCGACCCACATCCTGGACTTCGGCCCAGGCGGCATCTCGGGTCTGGGCGTCCTGACCAGCCGCAACAAGGACGGCACTGGTGTCCGTGTGATCCTCGCAGGTACCGTTAACGGTACCGTCGCGGAGGTCGGGTACAAGTCGGAGTTGTTTGACCGTGACGAAGAGCATGCCGTCAAGTATGCCGTCGATTGGGTCAAGGAGTACGGTCCGAGACTCATCAAGACGTCATCTGGTCGCATTTACGTCGACACCAAGATGAGCCGTCTGCTCGGCCTGCCCCCGCTCATGGTGGCCGGCATGACCCCTACCACCGTCCCCTGGGACTTCGTCGCCGCGACCATGAACGCCGGCTACCAGATCGAGCTGGCTGGTGGTGGTTACTTCAATGCTAAAATGATGACCGAAGCCATCTCCAAGATCGAGAGGGCGATCCCTCCTGGCCGTGGTATCACGGTTAATCTGATCTACGTCAACCCTCACGCCATGGCCTGGCAGATTCCGCTGCTTGGTAGACTCCGTGCCGAGGGTGTACCTATTGAGGGTCTCACCATCGGTGCCGGTGTTCCCTCGATCGAGGTCGCCAACGAGTACATTCAGACTCTTGGCCTCAAGCACATCTCTTTCAAGCCTGGCTCGGTCGACGCCATCCAGGCTGTCATCAACATTGCCAAGGCCAACCCCACGTTTCCCGTCATCCTCCAGTGGACTGGTGGCAGAGGTGGTGGTCACCACTCGTATGAGGACTTCCACGCTCCCATTCTCGCCATGTACAGTCGCATCCGCCGCCAGGAGAACATCATCCTCGTCGCTGGTAGCGGTTTTGGTGGCGCTGAGGACACCTACCCGTACCTCACTGGCGCATGGTCGACCAAGTACGGCTATCCTCCCATGCCCTTCGACGGCTGCCTGTTTGGTAGCCGCATGATGGTTGCCAAGGAGGCCCACACCAGCCCTGAGGCCAAGCAGGCCATCGTCGATGCTCCTGGTCTGGATGACAGCGAGTGGGAGAAGACGTACAAAGGCCCCGCTGGCGGAGTTATCACTGTGCGCTCCGAGATGGGTGAGCCAATCCACAAGCTCGCCACTCGTGGTGTCTTGTTCTGGGCCGAGATGGACCAGAAGATCTTCAGCCTGCCCAAGGAGAAGCGGGTTGCCGAGCTCAAGAAGAACCGCGACTACATCATTCGGAAGCTTAATGCCGACTTCCAAAAAGTCTGGTTTGGCAAGAACAAGAAGGGAGAGGTTGTCGATCTGGAGGACATGACATATGGCGAGGTTGTGCGCCGCATGGTCGAACTGCTTTATGTCAAGGATGAGAAGCGCTGGATCGATCACTCGTTCGCCAAGCTCACTGCCGACTTTATTCACCGTGTTGAAGAGCGTTTCACTACTGCTGCTAGCCAGCCTTCTCTCATCCAGAGCTACTCGGATCTCGACGAGCCATACTCCGCTGTCGAGCGTGTCCTTGCCCACTACCCCGAGGCTGAGACTCAGCTCATCAGTGCCCAGGATGTGCAGCACTTTCTTCTGCTCTGCAAGCGTCGTGGCCAGAAGCCCGTCACCTTTGTGCCCGCTCTCGACGAGGATTTCGAGTTCTACTTCAAGAAGGACTCCCTCTGGCAGTCCGAAGACCTCGCTGCTGTCATCGACCGTGATGTCGGCAGAACCTGCATCTTGCAGGGTCCCATGGCAGCCAAACACTCGACCAAGGTCGATGAGCCGATCAAGGAGATTCTTGACGGCATCCACAACGGCCACATCGCGGCTCTCAAGCGCGACCTATACGATAATGATGAGTCTAAGATCCCGACCATCGAGTACTTCGGTGGCAAGCTCAAGGATCCCGAGGTGCAGCTCGACTTCGAAGGCGTCACCATCTCTTATGACGTCCACAAGAACACCTACCGTGTGTCGAACAACCCCTCCGTCCCGCTTCCTCCTTTGGATGCATGGCTCTCTGCTCTGGCTGGCCCCAACAGGACCTGGCGCTACGCCTTGCTGCAGTCTGAGGTGATCGTTCAGGGCCACAAGTACCAGACCAACCCTATGAAGAAGATCTTCGCTCCGGCCCGCGGTCTCTTCGTTGAGATCCAGTACCCCAACGATCCTGCCAAGACCGTTATCACCGTCAAGGAGCAGCCGCGCCCCAACCGTTACATTGACGTGATCGAGGCCAAGCTGGTGGGTGACAAGGAGATCGTTGTCAACCTGATCAAGGATACCAACGCCCTTGGAGAGCCTGTTGCCCTCCCTCTGCGCTTCACCTACCGCCCCGAGGCCGGTTATGCGCCCATCCATGAGATCATGGAGGGCCGCAACGATCGTATCAAGGAGTTCTACTGGCGGTGCTGGTTTGGGCAGGACCCGCTGGATCTGGATGCCCCTGTTACCAGCAAGTTCGATGGTGGCGAGGCAGTCATCACCAGCGAGGCCATCAACGAGTTTGTCCATGCGGTTGGCAACACCGGTGAGGCGTTCGTCGACCGCCCCGGCAAGACCATGTATGCGCCCATGGACTTCGCCATCGTAGTTGGCTGGAAGGCTATCACGAAGCCTATCTTCCCTCGCACGATCGATGGTGACCTTCTCAAGCTCGTGCACTTGTCGAACCAGTTCCGCATGTTTCCTGGCGCTGAGCCGCTGAAGAAGGGTGACAAAGTCTACACGACGGCCCAGGTCAACGCTGTCATTAACCAGGAGTCCGGCAAGATGGTCGAGGTCTGCGGCACCATCACTCGCGACGGCAAACCGGTCATGGAGGTCATCTCGCAGTTCCTGTACCGCGGTGTCTACACCGACTACGAGAATACCTTCCAGCGCAAGGTCGAGACGCCCATGCAGGTTCACCTTGCAACCACCAAGGACATTGCCATCCTGCGGTCCAAGCAGTGGTTTGTCCTTGACGACGTCGCAACTCCCGAGGAGTTCCTGCTTGGCAAGACCCTGACCTTCCGTCTCCACACTCTGGTTCACTTTAAGAACCGGAATGTGTACAGCCACGTCGAAACACGTGGTCAGGTTCTCGTCGAGTTGCCGACCAAGGAGATCATTCAGGTGGCTACTGTCGAATACGTTGCTGGAGAGTCTCACGGCAACCCGGTCATCGACTACCTGCAGCGCAATGGCCAGTCCATCGAGCAGCCTGTCAACTTCGAGAACCCTATCCCACTTGGTGGCAAGGCTCCTCTACAGCTCCGTGCACCAGCATCGAACGAGACCTACGCGCGCGTGTCGGGCGACTACAACCCCATCCATGTTTCGCGCGTCTTTGCTGCTTATGCCAATCTCCCCGGCACTATCACGCACGGCATGTACTCGAGCGCTGCGGTCCGCAGCCTGGTTGAGACTTGGGCCGCCGAGAACAAGATTGGCCGCGTTCGCAGCTTCCACGCTTCCCTCACCGGCATGGTGCTTCCTAACGACGATATTAACGTCAAGCTCCAGCATGTCGGCATGGTTGGCGGTCGCAAGATTATCAAGGTCGAGGCCACCAACAAGGAGACCGAAGAGAAAGTTCTGCTTGGCGAGGCCGAAATTGAGCAGCCCGTCACTGCCTATGTTTTTACTGGTCAGGGTTCTCAGGAGCAAGGCATGGGCATGGACCTGTATGCCAACAGCCCCGTCGCCCGCGAAGTCTGGGATCGCGCCGACAAGTACCTCAGAGACACTTATGGTAAGAAGTTCTCTTTTCATTGCAACAGACTTTTAGTTGTATGCTAACAGTCTCCTCAGGCTTCGCCATCACCGACATCGTGCGCAACAACCCCAAGGAGCTCACGATTCACTTCGGTGGCCCTCTCGGCAAGAAGATCCGTGCCAACTACATGGCCATGACCTTCGAGACCGTAGCTGCCGATGGCAGCATCAAGTCGGAGCGCATTTTCAAGGATATCGATGAGAACACTACGTCCTACACTTTCCGCTCCCCCAATGGTCTCCTGTCGGCTACTCAGTTCACCCAGCCTGCCCTAACCCTCATGGAGAAGGCCAGTTTCGAGGACATGAAGGCCAAGGGTCTGGTCCCGCGCGATAGCACCTTTGCCGGACACTCGCTTGGTGAATACTCTGCGCTTGCTGCGCTTGCCGACGTCATGCCCATCGAGTCTCTGGTCTCGGTAGTCTTCTACCGTGGTCTGACGATGCAAGTGGCCGTCGAGCGCGACGCCACGGGCCGCTCCAACTATGGCATGTGCGCCGTCAACCCCAGCCGCATCAGCAAGACCTTCAACGAAGAGGCTTTGCGCTTCGTTGTTGGCGCTGTTGCCGAAACGACTGGGTGGCTGCTCGAGATTGTCAACTACAACATTGCCAACATGCAATACGTCTGCGCCGGTGATCTCCGGGCTCTCGATACTTTGACCAGCGTCACCAACTTCATCAAGGCCATGAAGATCGATATCGAGCAGATGCGTAGGGAGTATTCGCCCGACAAGGTCAAGGAAGAGCTGGTCGAGATCATCAAGAAGTGCGCTGCCGAGACCGAGGCGAAGCCCAAGCCTTTGGAGCTGCAGCGTGGCTTTGCCACCATTCCTCTGCGTGGCATTGACGTGCCTTTCCACTCAACCTTCTTGCGCTCTGGTGTCAAACCCTTCCGTAACTTCTTACTCAAGAAGATCAACAAGACGTCTATCGATCCTGCCAAGCTTATTGGAAAGTACATCCCCAACGTGACGGCTAAACCGTTCGCTTTGACCAAGGAGTACTTCGAGGATGTCTACCGCCTGACCAACTCTCCCCGTATTGCCCACGTCCTGGCCAACTGGGAGAAGTATCAAGATGACAACAGCACTCTGAGCGCTTCGGTTGCCAACACTTCCAGTGAGACCAATGGAGTCAACGGCGTCAATGGTGCAGTTGATGTGAATGGGCAGAATGGCGTCAATGGAGTGAATGGTCATTAAAGGATTGGAGGATGTTGATCGCGATGGTTTTTACTATGGTGGCATTAAGAGTTGCTTTTGCAATGATTTCGCATAAATATGGTTTTGCTGACGGTAGAGTTTTGTAATTTTAAGGCACCTCAAGGCGTATGGGTTAATGATAGAAAATAGATCTGGACTGGCGTCTTAAACCCCGAGCCCCTAACGTTATGTAGCACGAAAGGTGTTGCTCATTTCCCAAGACTACCCTCGCCGTCTCTTGACAGTTCGCGTGGGAAAGATGGTAGCCAAGTGTACTGCAATGATTGAAGACCTCGACGTACATACAAGAAGTGGATAAAGCGCTCGACTGTTGGGTTGATGCAGGGAACATAAACAACCCTAGCCTTGGTTAACCCTAGACTCCAGCACACTGTATCAACGCGAGATTTCAGGCGCGAAGCAGAGGTCAAGAGAGATGAGATCGTCGTAGTGCATTCAACAAAGGAAATGTATTGTCGTCTAACCGTTTTTCACCCATCGTAAAGCACGAGGGTGAGTTGGATGCTATAGCGGCATGGTCAGCCACTCATCTTTTTGCTCTGTAACTACAATACCCATGAGAGCCCAAGGTATCCTTCCCAAACAAAAAATTTCGTTTCCACGCCATGCGTCCATTTCATGCTAACATATATTCATATCCCTTTCCCTTTGGTTCCCTTTCCCTTCCTACCTGATCATGTACGATTCCAATCTTTCCTGCAAAACACCCGAAAATGACGATGAACAGACTCTCGTGAGAAAACCGACCGGGGTAACACGACAAGGAAAAGCATGAAGAGAAAGCGCCACTCCCCACCAAACCGACTCCGACATGCACCAGCCACCGATGCTCATTTCCTTCCGTTCCGTTTATGTATGCATATGTGCGTGTGCATATATGTATGTTGCCTGAGGTATATATGAGAAGTCATCCATCCAACCAGTGAGCTCCTTTTTTTCGTATGCGTGAGAGCATGAATGATAGTATAACAATCTTCGTTTCATGCTGTCCATCCATCCACGGCTACATTCATAACATTGCATTCAGCGCCGTTGCTTGCGTTTCGTGATAGGTGAAATGAGATGTGAGAGAAGGAAAGGGTGTATGTCGTGAGGGAGTGATGAGGATGAGGGGTATCGATGAGTATGGAGTGAGTATGGGGTGAGTATGGGATGAGTAAGGTAGTGAAGTCCGCCTGTCGACCTCGATGTCAATATCACTTGTTATCAGCACCTAACCCATTGAATTGATCGATCCATGAGTCCCCCTCAAGTCCGATAACGGATGGGGTCTCACTCTCCTTGACGTTGGGCACCAACTACCAACACGTGGCACGGCTTAGGGACCTAGCGCAGTACGCGCTCCCGAGATAGCCGGGCACAGATCGCGAACAATTCCGTCATCTGTTGCAAAATGACAAACTTCCCCGCAAAGTGTCTCCATTCAGGCCCGATCCAATCCAGTCAGGTCGGCTCAGATCGGCTCGGGAAAGGGAGCCAACGCTCGAAAGGGGGGTGGTCCATCTTTCGAAGGAAAGAAAAAAAAACCTTCTGGGGACCAACTCGCCACCTAAACTACCAACGGAAAACCGTCGCCGGCGGGCAGCGGGTCGCTCAAACCCAGTGGTTTCCTCCAAGACGAGCCACAAGCCCTCAAGGCTCGGCCCTAACTCTCTCCCGGACCGAACCAGTACCTAACCAGAAACCACACAGTCACTCACGCCCGGCTAGAACCTCAAACCACCCCTAAAGCAAGAAAGGGGGGGACATTCAGCAGGCGGCAACGGCGTGGGCAAAGCGGAGGTGACTTGACGGAGCGGCGGAGGAGGCGACAGGGACACGATGATGGTGAGTAAGTTGTGGAGTATTGTTCGCAGCGGCGGCACAGCGACGGGGACTAAGCATGCTGGCGCCGCCAAAAACGTGCTGGATGACAGCCTCGAGGGAGATGGGCTTTTTTGGGATCAACGATGACACCGACAGGCGGCGAGAGTTCTTAGGCTTCTTATCAGATTGCCAGCGAGTGATGATGCAGTCGTCGACGAGGGCGATGAGGCCGGTGGCCATGATGACGCTGGATGACAGTTAGCTTGGATTTTATTTTTTTTTATTTTTTATTTTTTTATTATTTTTATTTTATTTTATTTTTTTTTTTGTGTAGAGGAAGGGGAGGAAGGGAGAAAGCTTACTCAGCAACGTCAGTGATGGCCGTCACAACCGACTCGTCAGCAATCCACATGGCGCACGGCGGGATCCAACCGCCGGCATGCTTATCGGCAAGAACCTGGCTTGGTGATCTTGTCTCAGGAACGATGTGAGCGATGGGGACACTGCTGTGACCATCCCGGACAAGATGGAAGGAAACGAGGCCAAGCTCCTTGTCGACAGTACGCTTCCAGTAGTAGCGATGTCCCCACCACTCGAAGACGTAGCGAATGTTACCCCTGACACGACGGCGAGTAACATCGACGCGAGCGTAGTTGCTAAACTCAAGCTTGATGGTGTTGGTCGGCCGGGGCTTCTGGGACTTCGCCTTGCCATGGCGGCTGTCGAGCGAAAGACGAGACAGCGAGAGGTTGTTCTTGGAGTGTACCGTCTCGTTGTCGGCAGCTGTCGAGTAACTTGTGCCGGGCCGGCCGGTTGTCGTCGAGCTGGCTGACCCACGACGAAGCATGGTTGACCTGACGCCGGCACCGCTCAGTGTCTTGAGGGCGGCCGACATGGACTGCTTCAACGTGGGCTTCTCGTTAGGAGAGGGGGCGAGCTGAGGCTTGGGCTCGCGGTACTTGCGCTTCGAGTTGCAGACCTCACGGCCGGAGTCACGGGAGTAGCGTCGCAGGGAGAACTCGCGGTTCACAAGGTCGTACATGCGCAGATGGAAGAGCTGGATGGCAGTCCTCCTCCGGCCGGTCACCACCGTCTCGATCCTCAGATTCATGTTCCCATCGGCGGTGAACTCGTCATGGCGGACGTTGAGACGGTTCAATGAGGGAAAGTATTTGGAGAAATCGTGAGGGGTTGAGACGCGGACATTGGGCTCGACGACACCGGGCTGGTATACTGGAAGGGGCGGGATCGGGTTGTCCTCAATTGCGGAGGACTCATCGATGTCCATGCTGTCCAGGTCCTCACATGACAACGTTGTCGATGCTAAGCTGTCGAGGGATGAGCTATAGAGCGAAGTTGTTGGGCTGACATCGTTGTGGTAGTCGTAGACCTGGCGGGCCTTGTACGATGTGACCGAGGAGGCTTCACTGTCGGTCGACCTCGGGGAGCGCTTGTAGTCTGAGGGAATGGAGGAATAGTACGAGGTCGGTGCCGTTGACTGTGAGCCGTACGAGTCATTACTCCTCCTGCTCCGCGAGTCGTGAGTGGAGGAGGACTGACATGAGGCTTTCCTCCTCTGTGGGATCTGAGAAGGCATCTTGAAGGTCTGAAAAGGAAATTCCGACTGCCTTGAAGGAGGAAAACGAGAGACGGCGTGAGAATAAGCAAATTGAGCGTGAGTGAAGGGTGTGGATGTGGGTGTGGGTGTGGGGGAGGAGCAGGAGCCCGATCCGCCGAGGAGATTGATGGGAGGGCTGGAACGGGGGGCTTATAAATAGGCGAGGTAGGCAGGCGTGGTCGTGGATGCTGTGCTGCAACGAGCCGAGCCGAAGATGGCGAGAGAAACACGCTCGACAGATGGCCACATAGATAGCCAGAGCAGGACGCAAGCAGTAGGTAGGGTAGTGTATGCAAACAATTGGAGATTGAAGGTAGACCGGGTCCGGGATACGGTGCCGAGCGAATGTCGAACGGGACTCGGGGAGACAAGGGAGACAGGGAGACAGGGGTGTGTGTGTGTGTGTGTGTGTGTTGTCTCGGTCGTAGCAGTCAGGTTAGTCAGGTTAGATCGGGCATTAAACGCGGGGATCTCTGGTCCTCTTTGGTTGTCTCTGGTCCTCGATGGACCTTGCTAGTGCTTGCTGGCAGCTGACATCCGGCGTCAACATCAATGAAGAGCAACAACAACAACAATGATGAACAGGGAACAAGTCCCAACCTAGCAGCCAGCAGTTGTCAAAGCAGCGTGACAGAGTGGGATTGGGATGCAGTCGCTGACGCAGTGCTTGTCCGGTGGCTGTCCAGCGGCAGGGCAGGACTAGGGTGATGCGCCGTTGCTGTCGATTTACATCGAACTTCTATCTTAGTGGGGCCCAACCTCCGAGCCTGGTTCCCTGGACTTTTGAGCTTCGGGGGCCCTGGCACCAGTCTCTTGGGCCGCGTGGGAGTCTCCAAACTGCCGGCTGTCGTGGTCGTCTGCGCTTGGCAATCTTGACTGTCGATGGTCGAGTATCGTCGACTCAGAGAGATATCAAGTTGTCAAACGACGGGCAGGCAGAGCCATCAGCCATCCGAGCAATTGCATAGAGCTAACTGTGTAGCTCGCTGCAAGGACCGAGGGGACAGCTGTGACCTGTGCTGTGTGGACAGCCTCTGCTATGAAAACCTTCCTTCGTGACGCACTGCAAGGCAAGCTTGCTGTCGGCCAATGGCCAATGAGCAGAAGGACCGAAGCAATAGTCGTCCAGCTCAGATCAAGATCAAGCAGATCTAATGAGAGGAAAGTTGGGACATCGGGATGTTGGCAAACGAGTAATATTGTAGAGGGGCACAGAGCACACTAAGTAGGCAGGTAATACGAATGGAAGAGGCGGCGCAGGTGAGGATGCCCTGGCACCAGCAGTACAATCCCATAATTCTGCACTGATTGCATTTACGGATCTGGCCTTCTTCCCGCGGCCACATGGCCATATGGGCTATTATGAACTATGGGTTCATGACCACCCATCATTAAGTGCTGCCTCGAACTGGCACTCGCCCGTTGAAGGCCTATGTTGCGACTCCTGTGTGGGGCAGCGAGCAGTGTGAGCAGATGAATGGCGGTTGCAATTGAAGAACGCCATGGACGACTCATCATGGAGGGGCTGGGCGAATGGCGGGGTGGGACCCTGGGCTGGCCGGCGGGGCTGGGAACTTCGCGGTTTTCAGGGCTTTGCGAGAGAGACCGGAAATTTCATTGGCTGAAAGATCGGACAGATGGAGCAGACCTCTGATTGGCCCAACAGCCCACAGCCTCGACCGATTGGGAAGTCGCGCTCTTTTGGCCCTTTGGCACTGCTGCCACTCGCGCAACTTTTCCCACTGGGCGGCAAACTCGCACAGAGAGCGCCTACAGGGACAGGTGAGCGTTTGCCTGTGACCGTGGTACTGTAGGTGACCGTTACAGCGTTAATGGCTCCAGCTCTGCCACACCCTATGTACAATAACGCTGTTGCGACGCTCGCCAGCGGATGAGCCCACCACTAGAAGCTAACGTCCCACAATATTCGCATTTGCTGCGCCGTCAGAAGGTTGTCAGAAACTTTATTCCCCCGAGCATCTGACACCAACAACACAGCATGACTTCGAACGTCATCGATCCGGACGGAAGGCTTATCGAAAATTGCTGACTCAAATTCAATGCCGAATCCGCCAGAACGGAACATTTCGATTGCTCACACGAATTTACCATCCATCCGCAGGACGCAATTCCGGATGGCGACAGCATGGGCGGTACTTTGAGCTCTTCCACATTGCCGGCCGATCCCGGGGGACGATGTCAGTTCGTTCACATGTTCTTGGCCTTGGACAGCTGCTCTGCTCAGCATCAGCACTTTTGCAGCCATAGCTCGCGCAGAATAGAATGATCTGGATGACATGGCAGGTTTTTCCCAGCCGCCCTCCATTCTTGACACGGCTTGGGCTGACACTCTGGCAGTTCACCCCGGATGAAAGAGGGGATGTACTTCGTAAAATCACGGTTGTACTCTGTACTTTGGCGTTGAGATACCTTACCAGCCATCCCCCATCCTCGGACCTCAATTGGCATTTGGCCTCGTGAAAACTTTTTCATCAACAGCAGTGTTGGCGTCGAGGTGCTACCATTGTCGGGTTCCTGGGGCTTGCGTGCTTCGCGCTGCACTGCTGCACGTAGGTACGTGGCCTTCTCAACGCATGCATCACTCATCACTCCCAAAAAAAAAGGTCGGTTGCGTCGCTGCCCGGGTGCCCAACTGCCACCTTTCTGGGTCCCCGCGATGGCTTCAGCCACACAAACCCATCGAGCGTTGAGGCTGCACACGAGGAGCCCCGCGATTGGCTGCAAAAGTCTGGGGATCCCCTAGCACGAACACACGCTGTCAGCCGTCCACTCACGACACTCGGTGAAGTGATCGACAAAGTTGCATGTCTGCCCATCACGCTGCTCCCAGGAAGGCTTCCGTCGGAACGCCGACCGCCGGCCCCGGCGACGGTCGGGAGAGGACCACAGAGTATCTACTAGGAAACCATCGGCGCCGGTGACCTCCCCTCTAAAATGTCGGTGACGGCCGCTGACCGAGCCTCGCACACGACAGCAGCGCGCCCCCCCCCCCCCCCTTTTTTTCCCCCAAGCCACAAGGTCGGGGCTTGACGAGTGGGCCTGCCAATTCTTCAGCCAAGAGAGACGCAGCAACACAACAACGCCGGTGACATCAACAGCCATGAACTCCATTGCCAAATCACCATCCCAATCCCAATTGAGGATCGACGCGACAACTTAGCACTTAGTACCAGGGCCGTCAAGCCCTTGTCACGGCGAGTTTGCGCTTCGCTTCTGCAGCCAGGCTGCACCCGCAGAGCGCAAGATTCGTTGTGTCTGGAGCCAAGTCAACTGCTGACTTGTGTCAAGCTCTCATTCGTCCGCTCCGCCACTTCTTCCCTCGACCCAGCCCGTTGTCGCACGTGTTCAGATACCACGCCATTCGCTCACACTACACCCTCCACGACTTGCTTGTGGAGCCGCCTGCTAACGTCCAACCTTCCAATCACCCACACACACACTCGACAATTTTGCGAGAATTTCCCGTCTGCGACTCCAAAGCCAGGCCAGCTGGCCAGCTCTGGCCCCGAGAATTTGGTTTCCCCATAGAACGGTTCCTGACGGCAGATAGAATGTTCCGGGATCCGTATCCATGAGACAAGCAAGGCTTATGACGTCTGTCCGGGCTCTTGTCGTATCAGGTGTCTTTCTCCCCGCAAAAGGCCCGAGCAACCGATAGGGATGGCATCATGATCTCCCACCTCATGCCGAGTCAATTCCGGTGCCAGCGACCTCTCGTAACTCTCTCTGACCCTTCTCAGCCGACGCTAGTGTGGAGATGTCACCGACTTACGGCATCGCAACCGGGATCAAGGGCAGCGAACGGGCCCGACGTTCATGTGATCGGCCCCTCCGTCTCCTGCTGAACCTGCCGATCGTCATGGACTGATGATGACCGGCATCTTCAGAGTTCGGGACCAACGTATTGAGTATCTCGAGACACTTGTTCGGGTGATGCCGAGTTCCTCCAATTGCGTGGTAGGCGCTCGGTCCAGCAACGGCCCCGCGGCCCGCTCTTGCGCCTTATTCTGCCCGAGCATGTCTGCCAATCGCAAATAACGCAGCTTGCTTCAAGCCCCCCTACACTTCAATGGCTTGCTCAGCAGTTGCTGATTCAAGCAGTCCTGTCAAAGATCCCGCGTTCTGATATGCTGGTTGTCTGTATGGTGACGTGCAAACCGGCCTATCAGAAACAAGACACAGGTGGGAAAAAAAAATCTTTTCAACTCGTTCATCCATTCAATGCCGCGACGAGGGGCTGGAAGAATATGAGGCGCGTCTTGCTATTTTCATTCATCTTCACCCATCCCGCACTGTAATGCAGCCTCGGGTGGGTGACAACGACACCAATTTTGTCTCTTTTTGGTTAATATGCCGTCATTAGTCTGACTTCTAACACTCTGTGCTCAATCCTACCAGATTGGAAACACACACACGTCCTCCCTGTCCGGGTATACCACGTCTGTCAGCGAGTACCAGAACCTGTGTGCCTGTATGCCGTAGGATGCATCACGAACAACTGTTCCAACTCACACATACACACTCAGTCCTAAGAACAGTCACATCACACCAACAGTGAACAGGCTTTCCTCCCTTCCCTAAAACAGCTGAGTGAGCAACGAAATTGTGTGTCCTTCCCATGCCTTGCTGGCTTGACTAGTTCTTTGCCAGGTGTTTTCCCGGTTCCCAATATGGACATCCCTCGATGAGCTTTTCCTCGCGTCTTCCTTCTCGCAGCTTCCATGCCTTACAGGCACTGACACCTGTCGACTCCTGACGGGATGGATGTGGATGGATGAACATGACCTTGGCCACATTGTCTTCCCCTCTGGACTCGTGTCCGTTCTGTACAAGATGATAGACGGAGGGCACGGGGACACAGAACCACACACTCACGATGAGCTGGGGAATTACTTGGCCCGGTAGGGCCAGCACCACGAAGACTAAACAGACCATGATTTCAGTCAACCATTCGTGGAATCGGTCCAGCCCAGCCCAGCGTACGTTGCACCCGTGGCCGTTGGGATGGAAACACGGACACCGGGACAGCATGGTCATGTTGTGGTGACAGCCAGCTCAGCTCAGACTGTGCTGTGTCTTGACATTGACAGGCTCTCCTCTCAGTCACCCTTCCTCTCTGCATGCGCGACTTATTGCTATTGGGCTGCTGGCTCTTGTCTTGGCGCAACGGAAGGGAGGAGTTGGGGGCTAGATGGCTCTTTTCTGGATTCCATCTCGTGGTTGGTGAGTTGATGGACCACGGCCTGATAATTCCCGCGTGGTCTGTTGCTGCCCACGGGTGGCTGTTTTGGGGGAGTGGAAGGCCGGGCTCATGTCTTTTTGGAGGTTTGGATTGGGAGGTTGTGTACAATGTGGCTCTAGACCTCTTTGTGTCCCTCCCTCTTTATGAAGGCTGTCGTTCATTGGGCCTGGGGATGGGGTTAAGACGGAAGATGATCCCCGGTTGTATTGGTGGGTTGTGTGCTTGTGAAATGGAGTCTCGGTTGTGGATCAAGTAGATGGAGGATTCTAGATGGCTGGTGAGTGAGAAATAGCTTAAGGTTGGAGGACGAAAGTAGGTCCGTGCTATATTGGGACGTTGAGAGGGCAAAGCCCTTTTCGCGGGGTTTGAGTAGAGCTTTTTTTTTTTTTTTTCCTTTTTGATGGGGGGATATACACCTCCAAAGTTGCGATTGCCGACCTCCTAAGCTTCCTGTGTACCTCCCTCTGAACCGCAGTTTGTTTAACGTTCGCAAGTGACTTTCTAATAGACCTCTATGACGCCGAGATGAGCACATAACATCAAAGCTACGTCCACCTCCCTATCATGAAACGGATTTCCCCCACATCCCACAGCAGCCATAGCTGTACCAACGGTGACACAACATCTGTTCCCGGTCAACACACGGCAACACCAAGTCTGGGCTGGCTGCTGGCCTTCCCCTCTGACCTCCTCCGCCTGCATGCAACAATCCTGTGGCCATAGGTAAGGCCCGGGATGTGTTCCGAACGGTTAATTCTGGGGAAACAAAGGGGGACTGTTACGATGGACCGAGACACGACTCTGGGGGCGCAGCCTTATGGGGGCGAACAGTAATCATTCTGTCATTCTGTCAAAAAGTGTGTGTGTGAGGGGATTATTATCTCCAGCCATCGTCCAGCCTTCCCGTCCCTACCTGCCCGCCTACGGACCTATCTTGCATTTTGCGTCCGCCTCACAGCACGTCCAGTGCGGCAAACTCCATGGGAATCATGGCAAAGCGACCGCCCTGCACCGAGGGAACATTGAGTAGTAGCATGCATATCCATCTTCTCCGGGATCGGCCTTCGAACTCAGAAGTTTGTATCATGAAACTTTCGGAAGACCGGAGAAGCCTGATACTGTCTCGGCCCGGCATTGAACCGAGTGGGAGGGCTGTGTTGAAGACGGCCGGAACTTGGTGCCCTTGATGCTACCTATGTTAACTTGATATATTGTACCGAGACATATAATCCCCATGAAATTATTGCGAATAGACACGACTGTGATGGATATTACATGGAGTACATAAAAACTGAGAGCACGCTCAATCGCAGGTGAAACATCCCATCCAAAATTCGACGATAAAACAGCGAGTCAACAAATGTCGATCTTGGGTGACTCATGGCCACACAAGCAAAGCGAGTCATATCGGACACATCATCTCTTTGTGTATCTGAGACTTGGGTAATCTGATGGGGTAAGTAAGTAAGTAAGTAAGTTGTTCAACTCTCCTACCGGATGTCTCGACTTTTCGTGCATCGGGGAAGAAAATCGAGTAGGTTGCACTCCGGTCCTCACTGCGCTACGCATGTCTATTGGGCGTGTCGAGTTTTAGCTCAGGGGCAGACTTGTTTGTCATAGGCCCGATAAGTGAGTTAGAGATAAATAGGTGAATGATCAAAGCAGTTGATGTTGACTATCTGATCAAATTCCTTTGCCAAGGCTTATATCTCCCAACCAAACAAGGTATCATCGAACACATGAGGGATGATTCTCTCACCATTCTTCTTAGCAAAACATTGTGGATAATCCCATCGTAACCGTGTAAAGTGATAAAAAAGACACATGTATCGATTCGGCAGTTTTGTAATGTCATGGTCAGGGAGAGTTTTGCTTCAAGTTATGCTATGTCGCTCTCTCCTAGGCACCTAATAATCTTCTGTAGTGACGCACTTACAACCCAGCAAGACTCCGGAAGCCTATCAGGATCTCTAAAAAGATGCTCAGACAAGGTAAAGCATAATAATATCCATGCTCTGTGCTTCCTATCTCAGCACACGTAATGAGTAATTGATATTGTCAATCATCATGGACAAAATCGGGATATCTCAGGCGCTTTCCTGTTGTGACTTTCAAAATACCTAACCCGAGTCGATTCTCAATTGGCAGTCCGGGATGAAAGAGTAGCATAGTAACATCAACATATTATCATCCCCAAATAGCGTTATAAAAACAACTGATGCCATGTATTGAACCAGATAAACTAAGACAATACTATGATGATGATGATGATGATGATGATGATGATGATGATGATGATGATGATGATGATGATGGTGGTGGTGGTGCTGAATGAATCCAACTTCTCCACACCAATCAACCAACCAACCAACCAACCAACCATCCATCCATCCATCCATCCATCCATCCATCCATCCATCCATCCAGACATTAACAACCAGTCAGCATGATCAGAAGGAAACAAAGCCATGCCTAACTAAAAGCTATTGCCCCATACAAAGGCGACTCAGTACCCACTTCTTGTCAACAAAATTACATCAAAGTCCATCGACAACACAAGGCTAGACACAAACACCAGACAAGACTAGACAACAGGCCTTCTTTCCAAGGCCATCACCCTCCCAATCCCACCCTCACTATACCACATCTTTCTTCCCCCACGCCCCTCGACACCCATCACAACCCCAACCAAAACCCTCCCCCCAATCAACTCATCTCCAAGCATCGTCCGTTCCCCTCTTCCAGGCAAACCCCATGGCCACACCACTGTCGATGGGCCCACTACTAATCCTTGCACGTTACTGTTACCAACCGGGACAAAAACCTCCTAATTCCCGCTCCCGGGAGCAGCCCCCTCCCAGCCAATCCAACTCCTGGGCATGACCCTCCAAATCTTGACCTCGCCACTGCGTAAATCATCCAGCTTGTAACTCTCCATCTTTACCTTCTTACTCCCTCCCTCACGACCCTGTTCCCATGCGCGAACCTTCTTCTTGGTCCCATCCCACTCCGCAACAATCGCCACATGCCCGTCAGGCTTACCCACTTCCATGGTGTACTTTGCGTGCATGGCGCCATGCTTACCCTGGAACTTGGCGTTGCGGATGGAGAGGATGTCGCCGGGGCGGATCTCGTCGTTTTGCAGAGTTGATGCGTTGGCTAGATTGGCATAGACCAAGGCGCCGTAGGCACGGTTACCGACGGGGAGGAGGGCATCCCGCAGGGGACGCAGGAGGTCGTAGATTAGGGCGTGCGGGGTACCGTCGCCGACGACGGTGTCTTTGCGGGCAGCAGCGGCGTCGGCGATGGTGCGGCCGAAGCGGTCATAGGCCTGTTCGAGCTGGTCCTGGCGCGGGGGACGAGGAGGAGCCTCATGGCGCTGTTCCAGTTGCACGTCGGACTGGTCGTTGGGGTTGAAGCGGACGGTGATGATGGTTTGGGAGTAGTCCTGGTACAGGATGTAGATGTCGCGTGTGATGACAGTCTTGCCATGGTCGGTCGACGTGGACTCCTCGGATTCGGAGAAGATGTCCTTGCGGCCGTGCAACTGGGGCGGCAGGCCGTTGGGCTGCAACCACCAGCCCGTGTGGCTAGCCAAGTCAAGATCGTTGGCAACGTAGCCTGAGTCCATCGAAGTTGACGGACGTGCCACGTCGATGGATCGGCGACCATGGCCATGGCCGAAGCCGGACCGTTGGATGTCGACAGACTGCCGACCCCGACTCGAAGGAGGGGGAGGAGGGGGCGACCTCGGGACCTGTTGAGGAACAGCATAGGACTGGGGCTCCTGGTGATAGTAGACCTCTTCCTGCTTGGCTTGAGTTACGGGGGCAGCAGGAGCAGGAGGTTGGCTAGTAGGGGGCGGGGGAGGGAAAGATGGCGCTACAGGGATGCTGGGAGCAGGGGCACTGGGAGCAGCAACAGCAGGAGCAGCAGGAGCAGCAGCATTGTAGTTGTATGGATCGTACTCGTTATCGTATGTCAGCGCCTCCTTTGGCGGGGAGGGGGGGCGGCGGGGCCCTCGGCATGTCGACGGACTGCCGAAGATCCGGAGGGGGAACACTAGGGATTTGAGGAGGAGGAGGAGGAGCCGCTCTGGGGGGAGTGGAGACCGGGATAGGTGGCGCCCGAGCGGTTGGGGAACGCGGGGTCGACAGCTCATCGAAGCTCGACTCACGCTCAGGATGGGCCTTGAGAGCATCTTTGTGGGGGACCAGAGGCGATGTCGGTGTCATAGTCTCCTTCATACTCAGTAACCTCTTCGTCACCTTCCTGGTCGCTCTCCTCCTGTGGCTGGGCCTTAGGCACAGGTGGCGGGGGACGAGGCGGGACGTCAGTCGTCGACTCACGACGCAACGGAGGAGCAGCAGTCGGGGGCGGCGGCGGAGGCCTTGCCTGGATAATGGGAGGAGCTGGGGCCAACGCAGGTACGGGAGGAGGAGGAATGGGGGGAGGCGGCCTGCTGTCGCGTTTGCTCGACGGAGACTGCGGAGGAGAGATGGGCGATGCGTCCTCGATAATCGACCTGCGGTTGCGGTCCTGAAAAGCACGGGCAGACGATGGGATCGGAGGTGGCCCAGCAGGAATAGGCGGAGGAGGAGGAGGAGGAGGAGGGGCTCCGACAGCCGGAGCAGGAGCACGAGCAGGAGCAGCCTCGCCACTCAGAGTATCAGGCTCCTCACCTGGACGTTCCGAGTACTCATCATCCGAGACCGAACCCTCACTAGTGGACTTGACTATCGGAGCCGTCGGAGCAGCCGGGGGCGGCGGGGGCGGCGGGCGCGCTTCGAGAGATTAACAATAATATTCCAAGGAGCAAAACAACGGGTCCAGAGATACTCACAGTCCACAGGAACAGCAGGAACAGGCGGAGGAGCTGGTCTTCCGCCAGGAACAGGAGGAGGCGGCGCTTCCGGCTCGTGGGACGGAACTACGTGCAAAAAAATTGGTCAGCTGTACGACTCAGTCATAAGTTATGGTTTGCCAGGCGCACATACATGCCGGGGTAGAGGCCCGAGGAGAAGTAGGCTGACGGGCTTCAGGCTCTTCCTTCTTCTCCTCGTCCTTCTCCTTCTCTTTCTTTTCCGGCTCCTGTTCAACAAATTCATGTTCAGGCTCAGGCTGCTTCGGCTCCTGCGGCGGGGCAGCCCTCATCAGACCAGGCAGCGGGATAGGAGCAATGCGCACAGGCTCCGAGTGCTCCTCCTCAGCAGGCTTAGGCGCAGCCTTCTTCTTCTTGGGCAGCACAGGAGCCGGAGCACCGAAAAGAGCGATGCCTGGCACACCAGCACCGCCAGCGAGCCTGGCCATTCTGGCGCGAAGCTCTTCCCTGCGCCGAATCTCAGGGTCGACGTCGTCCTCCTCTTCCTCCTCTTCCTCCTCTTCCTCGTCTTCCTCTTCTCCGACATCCTCCTCATGTTTCGGCACTGCCGGAGGAGCCGGATGTTTGGCCTTGCTGTCGCTCTCATCCTTCTCGGTCAAGTCGTCTTGGCCCTCGGTAGTCTCTCCAGCGCCAGACATGTCAGCCTCGTTGCCATCACGAGGCTCGGGGCCCTTTGAGGACCTGCGGCGACCGGATGGCACACGCGGAGGATGAGACTCCTCAGCGGAGGTCGTCGTTTCTCCAAGCCCATGCTTCTCGGCCTCCTCGCCCTCAGCAGCAGCAGGGGCAGGAGCAGCCTCGTGACTTTCCAGGCGCTTTTTGGGCGGCTTCTTGGGCTTCTCCTTCTTGGCAAGAGCTTCGGCATGCCGGGCAGCAGCCTCCATCTGCTGCTTTTGCAGCAGGGCCAGCCGCTCCTTCAAGCTCATGGGCTTGGGCTGGTCCTCTTCAGCAGCGCCCTCGGCCGTGGAGGAGCTGGTAACAAGCCCGGCCTTGGCTGCTTGTTCCTGAACCTCGGCTTCCTGGTCTTTCACTTGAGGATCCTCCTCTCGACGGTAGATCTTGGCGACGGGAACTTGAGTCGGAGGAGGCACGTAGGCATTCCTGCTGGGCGGCGGGGCCACGAACGGCTTCTTTATGAACTGATTGGCGCTGCCCGAGCTCAGACCAGCCGGCTTGAACGGGGCAATGGGTGCCGCAGCAGCCTTGTTGAAAGCTGCGATGCGGTCCTTGAGGGAGCCTCCGATAACCGGCTTCTCCGCAACGGGCGGGCGCTCCTCGCTGGGCTTGGGCGACGGGGGAGCAGGCTTAGGAATGCTCGGGACAGGAGGCGAGGCCGTCGCAGGGGCCGAGGGGACAGGAGGGTGTGGGACTGCCGGAGCAGCAGGGGCGGCAACGGGCACAGGGGGAGCGGATATAGGGGCTGCCTCGACGGATTGCGCGGGCACCGGAGGCTCGGGAGGGGATGCTGGCGCCGGAGGAGGCGGCGGGGGAGCAGCTACAGGAGCTTCCTGCCGCTCCGGGGCAGGCTCGACGACGGGAGCAGGGACAAGAGGAGGAGGAGGGGGCGGCGTGGCAGCAGGCTCAGGCTCATGTTCGGGCTCGGCCTCCTTCTTGGGACGCGATCTCGTAGGACGAGGCGGGGGACTCGGCTCGTACTTCTCGACAAAGTTGCGTGGGAAGATACCCTCGTGCTTCACGCCATTCTCGTCGACATACTCGCCGCCATACCAGTCAGCGTCCTCCTCATCGGTGACGGTGATGATCTGGCCCTCATAGAAGTTGAGGTCGTCCTCGTGGTTCGAGATGTAGTCGTACAGCGCCTTGACCTTGAACACCATGGCTGCCGACGTGTTGTGGTATGCGTATGCGTATACGGCAGTTCTGGGGTTCTGGAGAGAAATGAGGGATAAGGGATGCAGTCGGCGAGTCGCGGTGGTGCAGACTGCAATCAACTGATTGATGAAGATGTGGCGGGGCTTGGGAGCTAGCTCCAGTCCAAGCCACGATCAGCCGGGGATGGATGACGAGTGGGCTGCAGGTGGGCTGCGGGACAGCCTGGGCCCAAGGTTATTGTGTTATTGTGGTAAGAAAAAAAAGTTGTCGATGCTTGTCTTGCTTTCTGGGGTCTAGATAGGGAGAGGGGAAAGGGGGGGATTGGAAAATGAAAGTTCGAAGTTTCAAGTCTCTCACACTCTCTCTGACGCAGGCACTGTAGCGTTCACTGGGGTCCAAGTATTGGTCTGAAGCTGAGGTTCACTGTCAATGCCTGGTGCAGCGATGATCAGCCAGCCAAGAGCCGTGGGGAGAAAAGACCCGTGCCCTTGCTCCTGGCTCCTGCTCTTGCTGCTAGGTGCTATCCTGCTTGACCCTCGGGGATTTGGGGGCTTGCTGTGGGAGCTACCTGGGCCCACCCTGCGACACGAGCCACGAGCTTTACCCAACTTGTACCAGATGCCATGTATCGTTACGTACAGTGTCCGCGGAATGACGATACCTTAACAGCTTTCCGCCGTTTCAGCGGGCGAATCCGGATGAAGAGGAGAGCCTTGGATGTCGCGACTCAAGCTGAGCTTCAGAGTCAGTGCATAAACACCACTCTGCTCAATCACACCTTCCCTGAGGAAATCTGCCTACATATGTCGTGTCGCGACAGACAGGCAGCAGAGCAACTGATCCTTCGCCCTGCTCGCTTTACGCTCAGGAGGTGGCTGGGGCATTGTTGGTGCAGTGTATCCACGGTACGTAATGTCAATGAGAGCGGTACAGATACCTTTTATTTACAACATTACTGTCACAACGACATCTCGCCAGTCTTTGTTGGGAAGGTGTGGGGAACGTGGGAGGTGAGGACGACCAAAGGAAAGCCCCTCCTCAGAGGTGGGAAGCGTAGTGGGTCCGACTGACGCTCGGGCCAAATGCCAAGAGCAGGATGGTGAGCGCGACATTGATTCTGCTGCGTTCGTCGACCGCGACTCGTCGAGGCGAGGATCGGACTTTGATCGACAAGAGTCTCTCAATTCCTCTCCTCTGAACCAAAGACCTCCAAGCCAAGTTTTTTTAATAGTGAACAAATCGATTTCATCATGAGCTCAGAAGCATCACCCGAAGCAAAACCCAACCCCAAGCCCCTCAAGGGCATCCTCAAGAAGCCGTCAGCCCCGCCAAACCAGTCAACTCCCACCAAGTCGACCTCCTCTCCATCATCATCATCAACGAAGCCGTCGTCGTCTACGCCAGCCAAAAAGTCCGCGACAACACCAACCAGGCCCTCGACTAGACGACCCTCTCAAACTCTTTCCCGCTCCTCCCAGCCCCCAAGCCCCCAACAATCCCAGTCCCCCACCAACGAAGAAGAAAACGAAGAAGACCTCCCCCTCGCCGAACAACAACGCCGCCGCGAAGCCGCCGCCCGCCTCCGTCTCCTCCAACAAATCAAATCCCAAGTTCTGCCACCCCCCGTCCCAATCGAAGTCTTCGAGCACCTCTGCACCCTACCCACCACCTCCAACCCGGCGTCCTCCCCCTCAGCAGAGGACATCCAAACCTTCTTGAATGCCCTCCAGAAGTTCCAACCCAGGGAATACCTCGACCTGATCGAGGAGCGCAATTGTTTGGGCAAGTGCGGATACACGCTGTGCCCTAGGCCAAGAAGACAGCTGCCGGGGCCGTACAAGATTACGAGGAGTGGGGTTGGCAAGGCAGAGGAGTTGAACAAATGGTGTTCGGATGCGTGTGCAGCGAGGGCTCTATATATCAAGGTGCAGCTGGATAATCCAAGCTATGAACGGAGGAAGGGACCTGGGGGTAAGGATGAGCTCTTCATTAAGCTGGAGCTGAGGGCCGAGAAGGGGCAGGAAAATAAAACGGAGATGGGGAGGAAGACGGCCTATAAGGATGAGCAGGCAGAAAAGGACCTGGCTGATGCCATGGCTCGGCTGGAACTTGACAAGGCCACTAAGGCAAAGAAAGATGCCGCCCAGCTGGCGCTTGAGCGCGGCGATGCTGCTGGTGGTCTCTTTGCCGCTGAAGGACGTGTCGAGGTTGTCATTCAGGAGAAGGAGATTGACGAACCCGTAGTGCCACCCAATCCAGGCGATCAGGACAGCCACTTGTATGTTGAAGGATACAAGAGCGGTACAGGGACGAAGAAGCGTTCCGAGGATGATGATAGCGATGACGACGAATTTTTCTCGATCAAGTTTCGATAGACTTACCAACCTTCATTATTTGTTTGTCTAATGATGGGCTAAACTCCGTCAAAGTGGCGGGTCGCTGACAGATGGGCGTCGGAGGGATGTGTGAAGGTTTACAAAAAAGATGGAAAGATACCCAAACATAAACCTACCTTTGCATGCCAAGCAGCAATAGTTCACCATGAGCTTATCAGCAGATCGTGAGATCGTGCTGTGGGTCAGTCACAACACAGGGAAGCAAAGCCCCTGCTGCACAAATAAGACAGCATCATGCCTCACATGTTCCCATGGATGGGAAGAGTATGGCGATCAAGCTTCATCCCCGGAACTACCCTAGGGAATCCGCGACACCTCATGTGGGCAACAGATCTCTCATTTTTGCGAGGATCTATCCCGCTGTCCATGCTACCATCCCCTCCCGTAAAGACGCCGTGATAAAGACATGTCCTATGAACCAAAATAATGCCATCGTGCCCCGCAACCGTCCGCCTTTTTTTTAGGCCGTCGTCATCGCGCGAGCCCGAACCGTGGGTATTGGTGGTGGTGATGGTATCGTGGTGCTCGTTCGCCCATAGCGACGCGAAAAAGCCAGCCGAAAGGTTCACAGAGGACACGCTTAGTCGCGACGGCCGTAGCGGCGGCCACGCTCGACGGGCTGGCTCTGGGTGACGGGGATGACGTTGACAGGGATCGAGTCGAACTGCGAGGGTCAGCACCGCCCCCAACAACCGGCAAAAGGGAGAAGAACGTACGCCAAGGTGCTTGAGCAGGTCCTTGGTCTCCTGGTCGATGTCGAGCATGCCGGTCTCCGAGTTCTGGTGGAAGTCGAGAGCCGAGACCTCGGGGACGTACTGGTCCTTGCGCTCGCGCTCCTCCTCCTGAAGCTTGAACGAGATGCCGCGAACAGGACCACGCTGGATGCGCTTCATCAGGTGGGTAGTGTAGCCGGCAATCTGAGTTTGTCAGTAACAATATCTCCGAAAAAAAGAACCTTAAATAGGCTCCGCATACCTTGTTGCGCAGGCGCTTCGAGGAGATCACAGCAATCTCATCGCAAACCCGCTTGTTGGTCTCGAAGTCCAGGGTCAGGCGAGGGTAGTACTTCTCGATGATGACCTTGGCGGACTTCTTGACGGTCTTGGTGCGCACGCGACCCATTTTGGCGGATTGTTGTTGTCGTTAAAAACTAACGGGATTTGGCGACCTGGCAATGCTTCTCGGGACGGAGAGACAAGAGGAGAGGTTTTGTCAAGTTAAGCTCGGCCCTCGAAACTTTTGAGTGGTTACGCTTGTGGGGTTCGGAATTTTGTGTTAGGGCATGCCAAGACTTCTGTGTATGTGGCGCAACAATGGCTCAATGTGGCTCATGTGGCAAGTGGATCAGTACGTAGCTGTTCTTATCGATAGCGCTGCATCCAGCGCCAAGACATGCAAGGCTGGGAAAACTTCCAAAACTTCTGAATCGCAGTGAAGAGTCCGCGACAAGAAATTTGGACGAACTTGCGACAGAGCGCGGGCGCTGGCAAAACTGGCATCACTGACGGACGCTACAGAATTTCAAAGCGCTGCGCCGCCACAATGCCTCACCCTGAGCCCGATTTCCCGCTCACGAAGCGGCAAAAGCTCGATGCCGCTCCCAAGGCGTCCTCGTCCAAGAGGAAAAAGCCGGGGTCGGCCATCTTTGCGCCGTACCGGGTATGTTCTCTGAGCGATCAGGATGTTGCTTTGCCTGAACATGTTTTAACGTATATATAGACAATTGGTCTGATTTCGCCCACCGGCGTTCCCTTCACCTCGATTCCCCTTGGCAAGACGACCTTCCAGATCACCACCTCCGTCGGCCGCGCCCTTCAGACGTACGATCTTAAGCGCGGTCTCAACCTTGTCTTCGTCACTCGTCCTCAGACTCCGTCCGATATTACTGCCACTCACGCTTGGAAGGAGAGGGTCTATGCTGCCTTCGGCGACCCGCGCAATGGCGAGCCCCAGGGCCTCTGGGTCTTCCAGCGCGGCAAGAAGGTGGCCGAGCTGCCGCTTCCCTCCGACCTGGACCAGCCTATCAAGCAGATCCTAATTTTCGGCGGCTGGATTGTTGCCTGTGCTCTGACAAGAATAGAGGTCTGGAAGGCGGCGACCCTGGAGCACTACACCACCATCTTCCCCGCTGCCTCCAAGAAGGGCGACAACGAGCTGACCGGCGGCGCTATCAACATGCCCACGTTCCTCAACAAGATCTTTGTTGGCCGTAAGGATGGTTGGGTCGAGATTTGGAACGTCAGTACCGGCAAGCTGATCTATACGCTCCTGCCCCCGTCGCCCGACTGCGGTGCTGTCACCTGCCTGCAGCCGACCCCGGCCCTCTCGTTGCTGGCCATCGCCTACTCCGGGGGGCCTCTGGTCATCCAGAACGTGCTCACAGACAAGACAGTACTTCTCCTCGAGGCCGGTACTGACGATGCGCCTGTTACCAGCATCTCTTTCCGTACCGATGGCCTAGGCGCCGGCCAAGACGGTCGTAAGGACGGTGTCATGGCCACGGCGACGAGCGTCAGCGGCGATGTCACCTTTTGGGACCTCAACAAGGGCGGCAGGATCATGGGTGTGCTGCGGAGCGCGCACAACCCGCCGTCCCGTCACAACATTGTCCGTGGCGGTATCAGCAAGATCGAGTTCCTGGCCGGACAGCCCGTCATCGTCACCAGCGGTCTCGACAACTCGCTCAAGACCTGGATCTTCGACGAGTCGCCGTTCTCTCCTGTGCCTCGAATCCTGCACCAGCGAAGTGGCCATGCTGCCCCTGTGCGGTGCTTGCACTTCCTACCTTCCGACTTTGACGGTGCTGAGGGTGGCAACAAGTGGCTGCTGAGTGGTGGTAAGGACAGGAGTCTCTGGGGCTGGAGTTTGCGTCGCGACGGCCAGAGTGCCGAGCTCAGCCAGGGCGCTATCCGGAAGAAGGCCCGGAAGATGGGTCTTCTCGCTGGCGGCTCCCATGGTCCTACCACAACCCTTGAGGACCTCAAGGCTCCCGAAATCACCTGCATTGCCTCATCGCTGAACCGTGACGGTGGCATGGGTGCTATCCCTGGCAAGCAGATGATCTGGGACAAGGGCGACGACAAGAACCGGATCAGCAACGCCGAGCTGAGCGGGAACACTGGCTGGGAGAGCGTCGTCACCGCGCATAAGGACGATCCCTATGCCCGTACCTGGTTCTGGGGCAGGAGGAGAGCAGGCCGTTGGGCCTTCAAGACCGGTGATGGGGAGCCTGTCTCGACCGTTGCTATCAGCTCATGCGGTACCTTTGCGCTTGTCGGTTCGACCGGTGGCAGCATCGACATGTTCAACCTCCAGTCTGGCCGGCATCGCCAACGCTTCCCGTCGCGCCTTACTCCTGCCCAGCTGAGACAACTGAAGCTTCAGCAGCTCAGGAGGCTGGACGAAGCCAACAAGTTGGCCCACCGCTCCCAGCAAAAGACCTTCGCTCCCGGCACCGGACGGCACACAAATGCCGTCACGGGCATCGTTGTCGATCCTCTGAACAGGCATGTCGTCTCGTGCAGCCTGGATGGCAAGGTCAAATTCTGGGACTTCATTACCGGTAATCTAGTCGACGAGATCGACTGGGCGCCCATGACCAAGATCATCGGGTGCCGCTACCATCCAGGCAACGACCTGATCGCCTTCGCCTGCGACGACCGTTCCATCCGGGTAGTCGACATCGAAACCAAGAATACCATCCGTGAATTCTGGGGCTGCCGTGGCGACATCAACGACTTCTGCTTCTCGCCCGACGGTCGGTGGATCGTGGCCGCGTCGCAAGACTCCATCATCCGCGTCTGGGACCTGCCGACCGCACATCTCATCGATGCATTCCGCCTGGAACAGCCGTGTACCGCGCTCGCCTTCTCCCACACAGGCGAGTACCTTGCCGGCGCAATGGAAGGGTCTTTGGGCGTCCAGATCTGGACAAACCGCACGCTCTTCCGGCATGTGCCGACACGGCAGATCTCAGAATCCGAGATCGCGGACGTCGCGGCGCCCACGACCTCAGGCGAGGGCGGTCAAGGCCTTATCGAAGCTGCTCTCGAGGCCGAAGAAGAGCAAGCCGAAGATGACGGCGTCATGGCACCCATCATCGACCAGCTCAGCGCCGACATGATGACGCTATCGCTGGTCCCGCGCAGCCGCTGGCAGACGCTACTGCACATTGACATCATCAAGGCGCGCAACAAGCCCAAGGAGCCGCCCAAGGCGCCAGAGAAAGCGCCCTTCTTCCTGCCGCCGGTCGGCCAGAACGGAATCAGCTCGCTCATTCCCCAGGAGGACGCCAAGGCGAAGAAGGAGAAGGCGGCTGCGAACGGGGCGTCGAGAATTACGAAGCTGGATCTTACGCGGCAGGAGCAGACATTCACCTCCAAGCTGTTGGTTGGTGGTGCGAAGGGGGATTGTAAGTCTCTACACATGACTTTCGCACAGATTTCAGCAGAGCTAAACTAACGGACGTTCTTAGACACCGACTTCATCGAGCATCTCAAAGCCCTCCCTCCCGCAGCGGCCGACCTGGAACTGCGCTCTCTCTCCATCGGCAACGGCGACGAAGCCACCAACGAACTCCTGCACTTCATCCGTGCACTTACCAGCCGACTCGTCGCCCGCCGCGACTACGAGCTGACCCAGGCGTGGATGACAGTCTTCTTGCGGCTGCACTTCGACCTGATCATGGAGAACGAGGAGCTTCTGCAGGCATTGGGCGAGTGGAGGGAGCATCAAGCTCGCGAGCGCGACCGGTTGAGCGAGTTGGTCGGGTACTGTGGTGGTGTAGTGAGCTTCTTGCGGAGTCCAAGGACATAATACCTAGTGTTGTGTTTCCTTTTACTGCATATGCATATGAGATCTAGAGCGATGCTACGGTTCCGGTGTCCATCACACACCGTACACAAACTATTTTTATAACTTTGTTTTGTTTTGGGGTATCTCGGTGTTCAGAAAACGGAGTTTCATCACCAATGATGTGGCACATCCAAGACACACCTGATTTGTTGTGGTAGTTACGAGTCTATCCAAAGAGCTTCTCCAAAACCTTTTCAAAGAGGTTCCTGTAATTTAGTCAGCAAATACGGGAGTGATTGGGTCCTTACAGACTTACGATGGCGGTGTCGGCACATAGTTGCGCTCGTACTCGGCAATCTCGTCCAAATTCTTGACCAAGTCAATCTCAGATGCCTTGTGTATCTTGGTCTTCTTGAGTATCTTCCAGCCGATATAGAGAAAGGGGAAGACGCCGATCATGGTGTAGCTGTTACTGTCAGTACTTCACACAATCTTCAACATCCAGAGCAGAGAGACTCACGAGAACAAAAACGTAGGCACATCCCAATTCCCGGGCAAGAAGACGGTATACCCTCCCACAAACGTCATGACAAATGTGCCAGCCAACGCATACCACGCCATAAACGGCTGCCCAAACCCACGATACGGCAGCGTCTTCCTATCCAGCCCCTGTGCCTTACACGCGGCATAAAACCTCAAATACGACACCGTAATCACACTAAAGTTGATCAACTGACTGGCCGTTACCAAATTAATAAACCATTGCAGCACCACAGCCGCACTGTTCGACACCTGGAGAAAACTCAACAACGACAGCGCGAGCACCAGCAGCACCGCATACACGGGCACACCACGCTTTGTACAACGGGCAAAAATCTTCGGCGCCTTCCCCTCCAGCGCCAGGCCGTACAGCGACCGCGAGGCGCAATAGACGTAGCTGTTGCCCGCGGAGAAGGCCGCTGTGAGAACCATGGCGTTGACAATGTCGGGCAAGATGCGGATCCGCAGCCGGTTCATGGCTATCACGTACGGGCTGGCAGCCGCGCCCGGGGCACCCGTGCTGTACGCGGTCTTCAGGTCCTCGTCGTTGTACGGGACCAGGATGCCCACGGCGAGCGAGCCCAGGATGAAGAAGACAGTCAGGCGGGAGTAGACGGCGTTGAAGGCGCGTGGCATCACTTTGCGCGGATTCTCGGCCTCGCCGGCCGCCATGGCGACGTAGTCTGCGCCGGAGATGGTGAAGGAGGCTTGGATGAGGCATTGCAGGAAGCCGAGAAAGCGGCCTAGGGAGCCGGAAGAGTAAAGCTCGGTGAAGGCGCCGGGATCTTTCCAGTAGCGGAAGCCGATGCGGTCGTGCATTGGGTTGCCGCCGAGCATGACGATGAAGGTGAAGATGAGTAGGCCAGTGATGAGGAGGAACTTGCCAAGGGAGGCCCAGAACTCTGTTTCGCCGTAGTATTTGACCGCGAGGAGGTTGATCGTGCTGGTCTTGAGTCAGTACTCTTTCCTCCAGGAAAAAAAAAACGTTGGTTAAGCCCTAGGTAGATAGGTACCCATAAATCACGATGGTAATCGCAATAATCCCCCCGGCGGGCACAATATCACTCCAGTAGTGAATAACCACATTACAGGCCGTAATCTCAAACGGCACCATGGCCGCCTCATAGATGAAGAAGTTCCAGCCGGCAGCGAAGCCGAACGCCTCGTCGACATAGCGGCCTGCAAACCGGATGAAGGGCGACGAGATGGGTAGGTATGTCACCATCTCGGCCAGGGACAGCGTCATGCCCAAGATGAAGGTACACCACAGCGTGAAGGCAAGGAATAAGCTAGCCGGACCGCCGTTCAGAACGCCTTTGCCTATGTTGACGAAGAGCGCCGTGCCGATTGTGCCGCCGATGCCTTATGTTTGGTCAATCAATGGAGCAGAGGACGGTTTTGAAGTATGGGATAGTACCGATGAGCTGAATGTGCCGGGCCTTGAGCCTGCGGCGCGTGTTATCGGTCGTGCCATTCCCGATGCTATGGAGAGAGACGGTCTCGGAAGAAGCCTTTTCGCGGCTGGAAGTCCCCTTCTCGGGGATGGTGGCGAGAGGAGACCGCACGAGGCGGTTGGCCTCAAGGTCAACGGCTGATGAGGCCATGATGGGTTGAAATAAGACCCCGGGTAGGATACAATCGTGATAATACACACCGAAGACACCGAATAATACGTAAGGAAGGATAAGATGGCGGACGCTTTAAGAACGGAGTGTTTCTGTTACTGTCTCGCTCAGGCTGCTCAAAAGGCCATGAGGCTCAGGCCAGGGCTTCCTAGAAAATTTGTTTGAGCAGGAGAGAAAAGAACTCAACAACAAACTTCATGTGGAAGGCGTGAAGGAAGAGTTCCGTTTCTAAAATCTGGAGAGTGGGGGAAGGCCGTTTACCAGCACAGGGTAGCTGCAGCATCTGAGATGTTTGTTGACGTGCGACCTGACTTGAGACAGTTGATAGTGGCTGGGACTATGGCCTTCTGCGGGAGCTACGAGGGTATCCCACAGCAGTAAGTAAACTTTCACAAGCCACCATTAACCATATAATTTTTTTCGATTGTTCCGCGGTTAGTTGTCCCAAGTGCAGGAAGATTGTTACCCTTGAGTAGATATCGAGCTATTCGGCGCTAAGGCCGTGCATCATCCGCCCGTTGACAGCAGGGAACACAGATCGAGAAGCATCAGCTGTCACCCGTTCACCGATCACAGCTCAGGCAATCCTCATCCCAACTCCAGGAACAAAAGTAACATTCTCGCCACATGGCTTCCCTTGGGCCATATTCGACCCTCTAGGTATCTCAGAGCGCATCTCATCCATCAATTACAGTTTTTTTTTCTTCGAAACTAACGAAATGGCACCATCCCAGGTCTCCAATTTGCCATACTAAGGAAAAAAAAAGTTCGCAAGTCTCCAACAAGCTCCAACAACCAACAAAGCCCAGCCTCTTCCATGACCCTCCCCACAATCCACCACGCAAGAGAATCCACTCTGGCGCTCTCACTGTGGGGAAGAAGCGGGTGACGGGCCCGAGGCCCTCGGGGTAGAACGAGCAGTAACCCTGTTTCTCGGAGCGGACGTTCGGCCGTGAGAGGATGCCAAGGCCGTGCAGTTCCGTTGCGATGGGGTCAACTCGGCGCCGAGGAGGGGTGATTGTGGAGAGTGTGTTTCTAGGGGTTTAACTTTTGGATGTGGTATTGGAGTCGAAGCGTTAGAGTCTTGGAGATGTGTGTGAAACTTAGACAGTTGGAGAGCGTTTCACCGCTCCAGGACGGCAGTTGATCTAGCTGGTAGGAGTTCATATGATCGACGAGTCCAGCTGAGCTGAGAATGAAGTTGTTAGCGGTGAGTACTGTTTATTTCAATACAGGACCAGGAATGCATCAGCAGCGGAGACTGACTCTAAGGCTAAGCTTTTCTCAGGCTGTCAACACTCAACATTAGCGGCATTGTTTAAAGAAAAAAATTAAAAATGAACATACAAATATGATATAAAATACCAATTGAGAACAATACCTATTCACATCGCGAACCCAAAAGATAGCTTACCAGGTTGAAAATAGCTCGCCGATCTCGACATCACACCAGGTAACCTCTATACCACGACTACATTCCCATTTCATCACCCCTTGAGAGACTAAAGCTCACCGATGCTTGTTCAAGAAAACAAAGGCAAGACCTCTGCAACAAACTTCTTCACTGTCTCTTCCTTCATATAATGTTTCGTAGCAAACTCTGCATATAGGAACCAGGTTTTGATCTCTTTTACGATCTCTTTCATCAGGCTGCTCCGAGGATCGGCTTTGGGTTCAATCTTGTCAATGTCTGCTGGTTGGAACTGTGCAGCGGCGAGTTTCGAGGGAATCAACGGCGGGGCCATCAACGACGTACCAGGAGCGGAAGTTGTGCGGACTGGGGACGGATTCTGATGCTGAGACTGCTGTTGTGATGGCTCTGTTTGAATGGGCTATTGGGAGAAGTAGGGATGTTGGTGGGGTTGCTGACAGACTGGACGTTGTTGACACGACAGCTGTAATTGCATAGGAGGGTGGAGTTGGTTCTGGTGCTGCTCCTGAGGGCCTGGTGGTAGTTGGCATCCTCCACCTGAATGGCCAGGGAAAGCAGTTGCCGTCGGCGAGTGCTGAAACTGTGCCATTAGATGATGGTGAAGCCCCTGAGGGGCACCACTGAATGCTCCTTGCTGGCGCAGACACTCTATACAGGAATGCTGTTGAGCTATAGCAGATTGTCCATATGAAGCCGGCACAACCCCCTGGGCCGGGACAGTTGACGACTGGGATAGATGGTGAACTAAGCTGGGGTGCGGTGCCTGTAAAGGTGTCATGTTGGAAGACACCATCATAGACCCAAGCATTCTCTTAGGAGCAGCCTGGGGACCAGGAACTCGCCCTATAGAATCAGACATTGCACCATTTGCAATTCCCATATCTGCTATCCCAGTCTCAGAATGTTGGGATGGAAAGGCCTGTTTAACGTTGCTTGCTGGTGAATTGGTCGGCACGCCGTTGATGGTAAGACAAGAGATTCTGTCCGGTGTGATTGACGGACTCGGACTTGGAGCCAGGACAGGCCCAGTTGTAGAGACAGGAAACAACGGAACTGAAGTCACATGTATTGACTGTGTCCTCGGGGACAAGAATTCCTCCACTTGGGGATGGCCAGAGGGTTGTTGGAAAGTGAAGTTGTAGAACTGTGGGAGCGATCCTCCCCGCACTGCTTGAGACATAACAGAAGTTGGAGAATCAGGCCACGCCGTGGCCGCGACACTGTGCCTGGAAGACACTCGCGGTTGGTTGGAGGGATTGATATGAGGCTGCGAATTGGACAACTGGCCATCTGCGATTGATACTGTCAGATTGATTGATGAGTTGGTGTTGAGCCTGCGCTCTGGCTCCGTTAACAGCCTAATCGGTCGTTCCAAAGACGAGCATGGCTTCTTTACTACACTAGAGCCGATGACAGCGACATCATTCTCGCCTGGGCGCAGGGGTCTCTTGGCTGGTTGGTTTATCTTTACAATAGCCATTGTGCTCTTGATGTTGTAAGGTGATGGCTGACCAAACTCGGACTGTGGCCCAGAGACTAGCCCCTGATGATCAGAGACGGAGTAGAGTGATGGAAATTTCCTCCCTACGTCTGAAGCTGGCCTAAATCGGCTTCTCTTGTAAATATATGCCAGTGCTGATGAAAGCCGCCGGGCCTCAATAGGCCCATTCACTTTGCTAGTAGTTGGACTCCAGTGAAAACTCATCGTGCTTGCATGATCAAACCCGTGAACATTGTGAAAGATGAGCCTGGATAAAGGATTGGAGCTAGCAAGGTATTGCTCCGCGATCCGCGAAATAGTCATGGCTCAACAAAGGTGAAAAGAAACTGAGAGTAGAGACACAAGGAGATGCCGAGAAAAATCGGCTTGAACATGGCATTGCACTCATATAAGCTGGACTGAAAGACATTTTGTAACAGTTAAGAAAAACAATATCTAGATATTTTATTTCATATCTGAGATGTTTTTATAGAGGAGAACCTGAAAGCAGATGCAAGGGTTTTTGATGCTTGGTTGGGCGTTGTTCCAACCCAGGGGAAGAAACATGAATGCAGCGACGGGGCATGGCCAGCTGGCAATGATGACTGACAGTTGTCAGACCCACATCCCAATTGGAGCTGCCCCTCCTCAAGCTCCCCGAGCTCTCCAGCAGGGCGAGGCTGCACTTCTGCCTTGCCAACAACCCCTCGACTTCCCACTATCATCCCGTTGTCCCCTGGCTTCCCGCCCTCTCACAAGCAGGCTTGCCTCCCTTGATTCCAGCCGACCTGAATCTAGGTCCCCGATAGCCTTGTGAGAGCGACAATATAAACCATGGCAGATCAAGCAGTCAACGAGTTGCTTTCCACCCAAAAGGCTGATGCCTTGGGACTCCAGGTCGTCCTCCATCCCCTGCCCGTCCTGGAGATATCTGACTATATTGCCCGGGCCTACCAGCGCGGTCTACAAGGCGCTGTTGTTGGTGCACTGCTAGGTCAGCAGGATGGCCATCAAGTCACTATCGAGTTCAGCTTCAGCTGCAAAACGGTCAAAAATGATGAGGGTCTCTTTGAGCTGGACCAGGAGTGGTTCAAGCAGCGGTTAGAGCAGAGTGTGTCCCTCACCCTCACCTCCGCTAATTTTCTTGTAGACTGACCTTTTCTTAGTGAGGACGGTCCACAAGAACCCTCCTCTTGACCTGGTTGGGTGGTACTCCCTGGTGCCTAAGACCGGTCCTACACGTTACCACCTCCCTATTCAACGCCAAATCAGCGCCGTCAACGACTCAGCCATCCTTCTTGGCTTCCATGTCGAGGATATTATCAACCCCGCCCCGGGAGACCCTCTCCCCATCACAATCTACGAGACCCTGATGGAAGCCGAAGAGTCGAGGGAAAACGACGGGGAAGACAAGGAGATGATGGATGTCGAGGCGGCCGCTAAGATGGTGCTGCGCTTCCGCAAGCTGCCCTACGTCACCGACACAGGCGAGGCCGAAATGATCGCACTGAAGTACATCCGCGAGGGCGGCGCCAACGCGACCGCCGAACCCAGCGACAGAAGTATGGTGGAGCAATTCGAGAAAAAGATCGCCGTCGACGACGGCAAGGGCAAACGCCGTGCCGTCGCCTATGAGGAGAGCAGCCAAGCCAAGAAGGAAGCCTCTTCCTCCGCCACAAACACTCCGACCAACGAACAGCAGCAGCAATCTAACCCCGACGTTAATCTCAACCGCGAAGAAACAGAGTACATGTCCGCCCTGCAAGCCAAATATAACGCCATCAAGATGATGAAGTCCCGCCTAGCCCTCGTCATCGCATATCTGGCCCAACTCCCACCCGCCTTCAAACAAGGGTACCAAACCACCGCCAACGCGGCAGCCGACGCCCGCGCGACCCACGGCGTCCACACCATCCCCTCTAATACCATCCTCCGCCAATTGCAAGCCCTCCTCACCAACGCCGACCTCGTCACGCCCTCGACGACTTCCCCCTCAGACTCGCAACCCTCTGCCCTGGCACAAGAACTCCAGCGCGAGGCAAACGACGTGCAGCTCATCTCTCTCGTCAGCGATCTCCTCTCTAGTGTGAGCGAGATCCGCGAGGCGGGCAAGAAATTCTCCGTGCTGGAGGTCGCGCGCATGCAGCGGCAAATGGGACGTGCCGATCCCCGCGATGGCGGTGGTGGGTTCGGGGATATGGAGTTTGATCCTAGGATGTTACTGGGCGGTCGGAGAGGAGGTGGTGGGTTTGGAGGGATGGAAGGGGTTGGGGGACCGGGGTTCGGGAGCAGCAGTGCGGCAGCTGCCATAATTTAGGGAAGTGCTTGGCACCTGAGCAAGAGTACGAAATGAGATTCACGACCTGGTGTCACGTGAATTGTTTTTCTTTGCTTGATCGGCGTTGGAGAGGAATTATGGGACTACATGAGGTTCTTGCATGTCGAGTAATGGAATGGAACTATGAAGCAGCAGCTTCGAGTGAAGGGCTTACATGGTAATGATACATGGGTTGGTGACCTCAAAGGGTAGACGGGAGATGAAGCTTGAGTGACATATCATGAGCTGTTGATATGATACAGCTGCAATGCAAATGAAAGGTGTTGTATGAGCCATCCAGCTTCATAAAAAGTTTTTCCTGATACAATAAGTATTTATTATTATCCGAAAGGGGCAAACCCTGAAGTAGCAGTCAATTGCTTTCAATAGCTGTGTAAAAAATACGGAGGATATTCGCACTAAAAAACTGTCCCAAGGAGTACCATCCCAGACTCTATCATCAAAAAGGAAAAAAAAATTATAAGAAATAAAGCTGCACTCTATGAAATAGCAAATCTTCCGGTAATACTGTCCCGGCGATAAATCAGAAGACCAACGTTGCCCAGAGCTTCCCGAACCCTGTTCATCCGTCTATATTATAACTTGTCTCTCCATGAGCGGAGGGGGGCCACCCAAAAAGACTTGTCAAACCATCTCGAAACCGAGGAAACGGTAAAAGGGCACTATTCTGAAAAAAAAATAAATTTACCCCCCCCCGGGCAATTACTGCTCAATAACAACCTTCAACACCAAATTCCCCTCATTATCGGACGTCCTGCTGGCGAGCTCAAACGCTTTATCCGCGTTCTCAAGCCCCTTGAACCGATGGGTGACCATCTGGTCAAGGTCAGGCAGAACATACCCTGCGCAACCGACGGTAGCTCGTTTCCTCTGCTCGCGCGCCGCACTCAATAGCTTGATACCTGTGGCGTAGGTATTCGCGTAGCGGAAGATCCCGATGATATCGATCTCGCGCAGATGGGCAACTGATAGCGGCAGCGTCTGGATGGGCGTGCCCATGCCAACCATGACGACCTTCCCTCCGGGCCGTGTCGCGTACAGTGAGGTGTGCATGCAGACCTCCTTGCCAGTGCACTCAAAGGCAAGGTCGACACCGTCATCTTCGTCCTCAGAGCCGTAGAACGGGTTGACGTCTGCGAGCAGGGCGAGCATCTCCGTGGCCTGGGTCTTGGCGTAGTCGAGCTGGGCTTGGAAACAGAGTGTCTTGGCGGGCATTACACCGTCAAGAGGGGTTGATGTGCCGGAGCTGCAGCAACTGGAAGAGTCGATGATAGATGAACTGCTGGGAGAGGCATGCAGTGGACGCTGTACCACGTAGCCATGCGTCGCGAAACCCTTGGAGATGGCAAAATCGACACGACCTTGGTCGACGTCAGCGATAATGATGGAGGTACAGCCGGATTGCCGAGCCATGGCTGCGGTTAGGAGACCGACAGTGCCGGCGCCCATGACGAGAGCCGTGGAGCCAGGAGTCGGCTTTGCCCGGTTGACGGCATGGATCGCAACAGACAACGGCTCAAGCAAAGCAGCCGAATCAAAGGAAACGTGATCAGGCAATCTAAGAATTTGTTAGAACAAGGAGCAATCACTCAGATCGGTTCAGGCAACTCACTTATGACACCAGATAGCAGGATGGTTAATCCGCTCCTGTAATGTACCCTGAAAATGGGGGTACGATTTGGCGCTGCTCCGGAACCTCATGCGCTTGCAGAGGTTATACCTCCCTTGGAAGCAGATAGTGCACTTGCCGCACGGGATGCCGACCTCGAGCGCCACGCGGTCGCCGACCTTGAAGCCCGTGACCTCGGGCCCGATGGCGACAACCACGCCGCACGATTCGTGCCCGAGAGAGAGCGGCATGCGGGCACAGAGATCGCCATTGGCGAATTTCTTGTAGTAGGAGACATCAGAACCGCAGATGCCGGTGGTCTTGATAGCAATCTGTAGCTCACCGGGACCTGGCTCCTCGATGGCTCGCCGCTCCTAAAACTTTGTTAATTGTGATGCTCGACGCTATCAGATGCGATACCGCAATAGAGGCAATTCGCGCAGGCTAAAGAAGACAAGCTTTCGGGCTGTGTAACCAAGATCCTAAGGGTAATCAGGGGTAATGCGCGGCACGGCCGCTGGACACATACCAGACGCAGATCTCTGGGGCCATGGAGGACAGATGCAGTGATGGATGAAGCCTTCGTAACAGCGGGTAGCTGCATAGGGACAGGCTCTTCTGTAGCAGATGGTGCCATTGTGATGGTTGGACGTGGGATGTCAACGTGGGATAGAGTCAAGCTGGCCCACGAGAGAAGGTCCCCACGTGGCTCAAAGTCCTAGGTACGAGGGAGCTTGTCGAGCGTAGGTTGTTGTGGCTCCTCTAGTGCACAATAGAGCGTGGGATTTACGACAGAGGTATCCCAGGGATAGATAGATCACGTAAGAGCAGGGCCGCAACCGTCGTGATGAGCGGCAATAGCTGCTACTGATGGAAGAGTGCCCTCAACACCTAGGTATCGGGAAGGAAAGGTGTCGATACAAGTCTATAGTTGACCAGGAGGGCATCGGAAGCAGAGAAGAGGTCAAGAGAGACCCCCACTCCTTATGTAGAGTAGAGGGAACGGTCTAAAAGCCATGGTAGGAATCATTGACATGCCTGCTATGTGTCAATCCGTGATGCGCGCGGTCCGGGGGTTGCAAGACGTGAGGAGCAAACGGGGGATACAAGAGACAAAGATCCACGGCGGCATGAGCCAGAGCGGAGGGGAGGCGTGTTGGAGTCAAGAGTCTGGGTGCGAACGACCGCGCCAGTCAGATATCGACAAGTTATCTCTGACAAGAGGAATGGGTAAGCATAATGCGCCTAGGGAAAGGGACACAGGGTCCCGGTAATCTCGGGAGGACATAAAGCAGGTTAGTGTCCCAGGTTTGTCTTCGGCAGCTCCCACGACCCAGCACCCATACCCGCACGCGCGCTGTCCGCTAGCCGTCTGCTTCCTATCGTCTCCCTGGGCCACGGTCAAGGTGTGAGCCGGAGCCGGAGCCGGCAGCAAGCAGGGGAACTCCTAGTGTGGGCTTGTTGGTCTGTCCAGAGCTACCCTGGCAGTTCGGTATGGTTACACTCGACATGCCGTCTCTGGGGACGGGACGGATCCTGGGGACAGCAACGGGTGAAACGGGCGCACATCAGCGTTTCTTCCTGTTCCTCCTAACTGGTGAGCTGGTGAGCTGAGCAAGTTTCGATATGGAATGACCGGCATTAAAGGAAGAGGCCGTGGTCTGACCAGATCAGCAAGGCAGGACTATAATTGCGTAGGACAGCCAGAGTCCATTTTATTTTCCATGAGAGCTATTCAGCCATTCTGCGGAGCTTAGGTTGTCAACTATGGGAGAAACAACACCAAGAAAGCTTCCGAGGCGTGTCTGCTCCCGGATTAGCTCGGGTGGCGGGGATCTCGCTGCAGAACATGCTATGGCTGCATTGCCTCTCTGCAGGAGCATGCAGGTTCCAATGTACCCCAATAATTTGCTGGACACCTACAGCTAGCTTGTGGTACGTCCGGGAAGAGCTCACCTCAGGCCGTTTAGCATTCATCTTGTTGTCTTTTGTGCTTCCTGGCAGCGAGTGGTTGTTAGGAGCCCAAGCACGCAATCGCCTACAAAACCCATGCCCCATTGAAGAGAGCTACTGACAGGGGGCCTTCATGACCGTTGGGTCTCGGAAGACCGTCTCCCATGATTCCATTAGCCGGCTGGTTATCAAAACTCTTTTGCATCGTAGTAGATGTTATCTGCGTTTGAGATGCCAAGAAAGCACAGATGCTGGACTACTGGACTATGATGCCTGTCGGTAGGTAGGTATTGGTAGGGTATTATAACGCGGAGAGACGGGGCGGTGACGACGACGGTTGAGACGGCTAAGAGACCAGAGAGTTCGAAACGGGAGAAATGTGGGGTTGAAGTCAGGCACTTGCTTGGTTATGGCTCCAAACGGAAATAAGGGAAAAAAAAAGGTTACCTAAGCTACCCGGTCTTTTATCTGGGGTTGGTTGATGGAGAGGAACGTTCATGGAAGCCTTGTGAGACTGACATGCCTTCCAGGTAACCCTTGTTAAAAAAAAAAAAGGAGGGGTGGGGGATGTCACCTCTTAACAATTCCCAACCTCTTTCACCTTCCCTCGATTACCCTGACTCCTTCCCTTCCCCCCCCCCCCCAAACCACAAAAGTCTGGACTTTGTGAAGTCGAGCGGTTGAGCGAGATATTTAGCAGCATTGTCGATGCCGAAGCTTTTGAATTGAGCCGATATTGGACCTTGAGAAGGTGTGCATGCACAATAATTTTTTTTTAACTTCGTACTGGAATGAGTAAAAAGCTGTGGTACCTCCCACCTCAACCTGCTATGACTCTTCTCCGCGCCGACGCCTGCCAAATGCTACCTGTTGCTAATTGCTTGCGGTGACCCGCGGACCAGCCTGCTGGCCATGTCATTTGGTGCGTCCAGTGCCGGAAGGGTACTTAAGACCTTCGGTTTTCCATGAGTCGACGCGGCTCCCGCGGTCGATAACGTGAAGGAGGAAGATCTGGAGGCTCGCCTTACCCCCGCGAAGCGCTCCAGAAGGTGTCCAACCACCCCACATGTTCCTTGCTGCCCCAGCTCTCGTCAGGGGTACATTGATCCAAACGGCCCGGTAGCGGGTCCAACATCAAGCGCGTTAAAATCGACTGCAGCTCGCAGCATGATACGCTGGAAATTACGCACACTTAACACTGGCGAACCAAGCTCCCGAGGATTCGCTCGAAAACACGAAAATGACGAATGCTTCAGGCTAGGGATGGCAGCCACTCTGGCCCCGAGAAGCCAGGATCCTGGTGCGCCCAGCGGCCAAGCCTGAAGTTGTTTTTACCATATGCAAACGGAGGAGCCGGAGGAGCAAGCTCCTGTTCGAACAGGCCTGGCTGTTGCCTCGTTCCTGGCAGTAGCCAGGGAACCTTCGACAATAGTGACATCACCCAGGACGGCACAGCCGCCTCGGGACAAGCGCAGAGGACTTCCGGAACGCTGCTCGGGGCACGGACGGAACCATTATGTGCGATCTGTTGGTGTGTACCGCGGTACGCCGACTTGTATATGCTTTATCAACTCCTTATCAACACCTGGCGGCAGAAACGGGGTTTCCAGGTGCTGTGTCAGGTCGAGTGCCGTCCCATCCACGGCAGATGCTGATAACCATGACCTTATCAGCAGTGATTGCTGGCATCCATCCCCCGGGGGGTGGGGGGGGGGCACTTCCGCTACTCATCGGATGCTCTCCGATGTCATTCATGATGGAGGGTTTGTACTCCTTTAAAAGCTAGCAAACAGGTTTGCACTCCAATTGCATCGCGATGTTGGAGGCTGGAGAAAAGTTGGAGTTGGGCTGGCTGACAGGGTCGGCATGGAGGCTGAAAAAATTCAAAATTTAGAAAAAAAAAATAAGCGGAAGAAAACACTAAACGCGGAGCCCCACAATTGATCGCCGACCCTAACGGGGCAATGTGGACCTGTTAGCATCCTCGGGCCAAAAAAAGGCTGCGAGCTTCTGACGAGCTCTCTTCATTGCTCTCTCTCTCTCTAGACATCGATACAGGTACAACAGCAAAAGCTTCCATTTCTACTAAGTGGAGGGTATCCCTAACCGCTGCCTTGTCATTGACCTTCGAGATGAAAGTATCGCAAGCCCTATCGGGCAAACCGAACGAAGTAATGAATGCGGGACAGCCTCGTCTAGACATCTCTGGCTCCCTTGTAACACTCAAGGATTCATCCAGTATCCCCAGGTTCAGAGTCCGGCTCGCCTTGCCTGCGACCGTAGCAGAGCCGACGCCGCGTGCGCATGTGCGTGCTCCGGGCCGTATTCCTGCCGCTGCACAGCCCGAGAGAACCAGTGTGCGCTCATGTAGCCTCCCTATCCGGGGCCTTGACAGCCGAAGATGTCCCGAGAACAGAAAGGCCCCGGTAGGTTCCCCAAAACTGCTATCTCTCCGGGTCAGCTCGAAGCTGATAGCCAGAATGGGGATACTGCCATCACGAATACGGATCATGGCTGTTGTATAAGCTCGGCCCTACATAGAAGCATGGTTCAAAACACTCGGTGGTTCGGGGGTAACACGCTCTGTGTAACGGAGCCACTTATCCACAGCTACGGGAGTACGGATACCGGCAGACCGAGGTACACCACAACAAGCAGTCTATAATGCTACCGTCAATGCGAGCGATACGCCTTGCCTTGATGTCATAATGCAAAGACGAGGTCTGAGGCTCGTATTTAGCTCTTTATCCAAGAGGCTGCACGTCTTCCTGGGGCCTACTTGACCCAATAATACCGACGACGGAGAATGTCATCCTACGTCTGCTGTCTAACAGCAACAATTTCTTCTGTACAACACATACAGGGCTTCACTGGGCGCAAGCCGACGGCATGACAGTAGTTCGGTGAGTATGATAGATGAACAGCGTGTCATTGGGCTGGTTAACACCCCTACCTACCTACCTATCTATCTATCTATCTACATCACGCCTTGTATTCTCCTGTCCCGCTGTCTAAAACAAGCATAGGCTCGGAACACACATCCGGACTGCAAGATGCCCATCCATTTGCAGATTGCGTGTTCCCCCCTCCCCCCCCTCCCCCCTTCCTCTCGTTCATGTCTAAGTACCTATGTACAAGTACACACCTGCCGAAGATCTACCTGCAGCTGTAGAGAGGTCTGACGACATCGGCATTCCGCTATCCGTAACTGAACCCACATACCTACCTTCTCGAGCGGTGAGGATTACCACAGCAATGGCCATCTAACACGTCTGGAGTAGTCGATTGTGAACATGCTCGATGGGATTCAGCCACAGCTGTCGACGGCGTTACTCATCTGTAAAAATGGAGTCAAGCCCTTGTGTCAAGTGAGCATCTCAGAGTTGTTGATCAACTGCAGGCTAGCTCATGGCCTGTACTGGGCCCCTGAGCCCCTCTATGGATGACTTTCTCGCCCTTATTATTGGGCTTGAGCTTGAACCCCTGGACGACACCGACTTAAAGGAATATTCGTTCAACCTGTTGGCGGACGGATCGAAGTCTGCTTCAACATCCATATCGACAAGACTCATAAACTGAAGCTGTCCCCAATCCCAAACCCAAGAACGTACGTATAATTACACAACATGCCGTGTACTAAAGAGGGGAAAGAAAACAAAAAAAAAAAAAAAAACTAGTATAGCAGCTCGATACATGCATCCATCCAATCTTTCCCCTCTCGCCTTCACATATTAGAAGGTACTCTGCGCCAGTCGGCTCGCCGCATTCCTCGCGTCGACACGATCCTCATCATCCTCCTCTGCCACCAAACCCGCCAATGGTCCTCCAATGCCAACACCATACCCAACCCCGCTGAGCGACCTCGCTCTCCTGCCATCCTCGCCATCACCAGTCCCATCCTCCTCCGGAATCCCGCCCAGTCCCAATCCAGCCGTCACCAAGGTCGCGACCGACGCCCGACCCAGCACAGCGTCCGACCTGCGAGGCACACCGCTCCAAGCATCGCCCTTCGGTCCTTGGCTAGCCTGTAAACTCGAGCGGCGCGGCGCAACAGGGTGGTTTTCCCTCCCCAAACGCGACAGCCCACCAGAGCCATCAATCGACCTAATATCCGGGCGCACAGACTCGAGCAGGGCCAGCGTCCGGCGTTCAGCTTCAATCTGGCGCAGCACATACTCCCGGATAGAAGCGCGCAGGTCGGCCGAGGTGCGGGCGAACCAGCGGCGGCGCTCCTGGACCAGGTTCTGCGTCACGCGCGAGGTCTTCTGGTAGAGGGCTTCTTCCGCGTGGCGGGCTTCGTCCAGGGCGGCGAGGGCCTCGTCGACCTTTTCGCGGCGGACGCTGGACGAGGCTTTGAGGCGGTCGGCGGCGTTCAGGCGGCTACGGGTCGTGTCTTGGGCTTGGAGGAACTCGCGGATGAGGATTTGACGGTTGGTTAGGGTTTCCTTGACGATAAAGGCATCGGAGGAGTGATATTGGAGAGGATCACCGAGCGTGGTGGCTTCGGCGGTTGCTTGTGCGGCGTGGAAGTCGCCGACGGTTTGGATGATTTTGCCTAGCTTGCGGTAGGCGTTGGCGAGGCCGGGATGCGGCTCTTGGACGTTCATTTGTGCCAGCTTGACGCCAAAGTCGGACTCAGTGAGGCCCAGGCCTGCTAGGGTTAGCCTAGGAGAGGCTTGAGGGCGTAGGGGTTCAGTAAACGTACCTCTCCGCGACTTGACGAGCCTGTCCAGCTTATGGCTGGCATCCAGCGAGCCGAGATAGAACAGCTTGACGATCGGTCGAGCCTCCTGCAGCTCAGGGGTATCATCCGGCGGCGGGGCAAACTGCTTGAGGATCTTGCGGCGCACACCAGTCGCAGGCTGCTTCTTCTTGACCATGGGGCTGTAACCGAAATCACTCTCGACGAACAGCACCATCTCGTCATCACGCATCAGCACCTCGTTGCTGCACACGTAGTTGAACCAGCGCTGCATCAGGGCCTTGACGCGCAGCTCATCCTCTTCGGTACCAGCACCGGCCGAGGTCACGGCAGGCGGTACGGCGGGGACGATAGCCTCTGGGTTGGCCGAGATTAGGTGCTCGGCCAGCTTTTGGAACTCGGAGTGCAGCCGGCGAACATCCCGGTATTGGGTTGTGCGGAAAGCGGGTAGGTTGGTCTGTAGGGTTAGCGAGTGAAGCTAAGCAACTGCGTAACCAATGGCTCCGTACATAGACATCGAACCGGATAATGGGGTCCTTGCGACCTGTCCTCTCAATACCAGTAACCTTCGCTTGCAGCTTGAACTGCGGCGGCGGGGCTTTCCGGGGTTGCCGCTGCTGCTTGGGGCTCTGCATCGGCGCAGGCTCGGATGTAGGCTGGGGCTGAGGAGGGGCCTGGGCTTGCTGTGGTGTCGTCTGCTGTGCGGGAGCGGAAGGGGAAGGGGGCTGTGGCGGCTCTGGCTGGGCGACTTTGCTCGTCGGCCCTTGTTGTTCCCCCTGACGTTCTGGCTCAGGCAGAGGCTCGATGGGGCCGGGCTCTTCAGCATGGAGAGAGGTGCTCTCAGTCTCAGGCCGCCTGCTATCGTCGTACGTCCTATCACGCGAGTCGCCGGCGCCGAAACCTCCCTCGTCGTGCAGGCCGTTGCTGGGTGCCGTGTAGCGGAAGGGTGAGCTCGGGGGCTCCGAGCCGAAGAGGGGCCGGGTTTGGGGCGACCGCTGCGGGTCATTACCGCCCCAGACGGCCGCCTCAGACTGGTCGTGGTCGTGTATTGAGGAGCTGTAGTCCATGGTCGTAGGGCGAAGAGATGATGATGGTGGCGATGTTGCTGGTGATGAGTATTACTGTGTAGTGGGTCGAGCCGCAAGTCGACGTTGTGATCGCTGATTAGGGGGGCCCCGTCTTTTCGTAGAGATTACGCGGTGGTGGGGAGGGAGGGGGGGGAGGGGTGTGCGTGGACGGCTCGAAGTGTACGGATACGCTGCGGATTATCGCAGCGGTGTCGATGTTCCAGGACCTGGCTGAGAACCGTTTCGATGCGAGGGGCGGAAGTTCCGCAAGGAGGCACAGCTCTCGTCGGAAGTTTCGATCAATGCTCAAGTGCGAGAGTCAGGCTGGACACCAAACACAATGGATTTGGTAAGCGTAACTCGGGCTTGAACCTGAACCCGGAAGTTGCGCTGCTCCGCATCATCAGTCGGCGACTGCTGCTGGGAAGCTGAAGCGGCGCAAGCTGTCCCTGTCTCGTGTCTTGGCGCCAAGTCCTGATGGGGAACTTGTGATGCACGGGCCACAGCAGCCGGCCGCCCCATAATGTCAACGGATCTAAGGACCCCACCACGTCCAAAAAAACACTAATGAACCAATGAGGGTCTCGGGGCCTGCAGCGTCAAGATCTCATGACATCGACAAAGCTTCATGCCCTCCTCAACAACGGGGAGGTTGCGTTGGCTCTGCCTTTATTCCACCTGAAGAGGGTTTGTCGAAGTAAAGCTGGCTGGATATGCGGCTAGCTGGGAGTCTACCAGAGTCAATTGAGTGAATTGGAGCCTTTTTTTTTTTTTCGCTCATACCTACCTACTTAGACCACCATTACAAGGCTCAGTTCAGAAAACTTCAGTTACTAGCTTACACCCGCTTCGTCCAAGTGAAATAACTCGCCCGTTTTGCAGTAATCCATGCTCGCCGTCTCCCTACGCTGTGTTACTCGGCCTGGCGGTAGTAAGTTGGCCATATTGGTGCTGAAAAATGCCCAATTGACCCTCCAGGCCGTCCAGGTCCGAGCATACAGCAGCGAGTATTCGCACCACGAGGCCCGGGTTGAGAGCATCCGCAATATAGGCATTATCGCCCACGTCGATGCGGTGTGTAGATTGGCGCTGTATTGGGAGGACTGGCGCTGACTCGTCGCAGGGCAAGACGACGACGACGGAGCGCATGCTGTTCCAGAGCGGCCGTACTCGCCATCTCGGAAGTTGGTAACATCTTTTTCTTCTCCCTCACCGCCCTGACCTCCAATGATGTGATATCAGGCATTGACACATGAGTAGACGTTGATCATGGCAACACCACTACGGACTTCCTCCCCATGGAACGGGAGCGCGGCATCACCATTCAGTCGGCAGCCATCACCTTCCAATGGCCGCCCAAGTCGCTGTGTCCTCCAGGCATTGAGCCCCAGACGATCAACTTGATCGATACACCTGGTCACCAGGACTTCCGCTACGAGGTTGACCGCTGCATGCCCATCCTGGACGGTGCTGTGTGCATCCTGGACGGCGTCAAGGGCGTTGAGACGCACACTGAGCGCGTCTGGTCCTCGGCCCATCTCTCGCGCATCCCCCGCCTGCTCTTTGTGAACAAGCTGGATCGCGACGGCGCCAGCTTCCGACGGTCAGTCCAGGAGGTGGCTACTCGACTGAAGACTTGGCCGCTGTTGTGTCAGATCCCCTGGTGGAATAAGGACGACCTATGGGGCGTTATCGACGTCATCCACCAGCACGGTCTACGCTTCAACACCACAAACGGTTCCATGAACGTCGTCAGCAAGGACAGCATAGCCCGCGACAATCCGGCACTGAAGGACGAGATGGAGACGGCCCGTCTGCGCCTGATTGAGACGCTCTCCGAGCACGATGACCAGATTATGGAGGACTTCCTCGAGCACGAGGGCAATGTCCCTTCGTCGTCCATCAAGCGTGCCATCCGCCGTCTGATCATGGACGGCAGGGCGCGGTTTACCCCTGTCTTTGCCGGTGCCAGTCTTCGTAACATCGGCGTTCAGCCCCTGCTGGACGCCATCGTAGACTACCTCCCGAGCCCCCTAGACCGGCCGCCCCTGGAGCTTACGATGGGCATGAAGGCAACTACGTTGACTCAGGTCCTCGAGCAGCGCATCAAGAGAAAGGGTACTCACCATTCGGAGGCGCCAATTGCGGCGATTGCCCACGTCTTCAAGGTGGTTAACGACCCGCGCCACGGAATGATGAGCTGGCTGCGTGTCTACCATGGCACCTTCAACCGCAGCAGCAACATGTGGAACAGCAACACACATATGTTCGAAAAGCCACAGCACATCTTGCACGTCTCGGCCAAGGATCACCACAGCATCGCTCACCTGTCGACGGGCCACATCGGTGCCATGACCAACCTCAAGTCTGCTCGCACCGGCGACACACTCATCACCTTCCCGGGCCATCACGGAGGAGGCAACCACGCTCCAGAGCCATTCGGAAACCTACGCATCAAAGCCCCCGACACGCCCCCGGCGGTAGCCTTCATCTCCATCGAGCCCTATACCCGCACAGCGAGCGAGAAGCTTGAAGAAGCCCTCTCCAAACTCGAGCGCGAAGACCCCAGCATCCGCTGGAGCAAGAACGAAAAGACCGGCCAGCTCATCCTCTCCGGCATGGGCGAACTTCACCTCGAAATTGCTCAGGACCGCCTTTGGAACCACTACAAAATCGACCGCGACTCCGCCGTCTGGGGCGACATCGAGGTCGAGTACTCCGAGTGTCTTCTAGCGCCAACCGGCCCCCATCGTGCACTGTATGACCGCACTATCCGCGACAAGCAGGGCCGTGCTGGGTGTACCGTCTCGCTGGAGCCGCTCGAGGCGGATCCGGGACATGAACACCAAGGTGCCCTGCTGGAATCTGCTGTCGAGCGCGAGGGTAACATCCTGCACGTCTCGATCCCCCTGCCAGAGGATTCGACGACCCTGCCCTTCGACCCCGATCTCGTCCGGCAACAACTCATCAACGGCGCCATCGCTGGTCTAGCCCGCGGACCGCGCCGTAATGCTCCCGTCCGCCGGTGCAGAGTGCACATCACGTTTGACCCGGCCACCGACTACTTCGGTGAGAGTGTCAGCACGGGCGGGCATATCACCAACGCGGCGCTCGCGGCGGTCAAGGCAGCCCTGAAGGCTGCGCATGAGAATAAGACAGTTGGCATCTTGGAACCGTTTACTCGCGTGCAGATTCATTGCCCCGAGGAAGCAGGTAATGCAATCCAACATGATTTGGTGGCTGCCCGCGGCGGGCAGGTGGAGGAGGTTAGACGGCCGGAGGATATGGATAGGTCTCAGGTTATTCAGCCGTTCAACACTCCCTCGAAAGGATCCTCTGGCGAAGATGGGGAGCAGGGAGTAGAGGAGGAGGAGGAGTTTAAGGTTGATCCTAGCAAGGTGTATGTCCCACCCGACCCGTACGAGTCCGTTGATTCCTTGAGGGGACCGAAGAAGGCGGTCGTGAGGATGTTGACTATCATTGGTAAGGCACCGCTGAAGGAGATGATGAAGTATGATGGGCATTTGAGGAGCTTGACGGGTGGTAGGCATACTCTGGTGCTGGATCCGGCTGGATTTGAGCTGGTTGTTGGGCCAAGGGAGAGGGCGTTGGAGGAGGGGAGGTAGACTGGTTTGGGGGTGTGTTTGGTTTGGCTTGGACAGAGGGTTGTAAGATCTGGATGGATGTAAAAGCTGTATGTAACAGTAGGTACCTGTAGGTAAAGATGTTGTCTGGGGAATCGTGCAATCTATATTATATATATATATTATATATACATATATACATATACATATATATATTATATATACATATATACATATACATATATATATTATATACACATATATACATATATATATATATATGTATGTGTGTGTGTGTTTGTGTGTTTAGGATACCTGGGAGCGAGAGGGAGGGAGTGTACAATTAAAAAAAAAGGAACAATGACATGTATCTACTCCAGAAGGCTCACCTCTAGCTCGCTTTCGCGCCATTGATCAAGCTCTCTTTCGCTCCAATATTCCCCACCCCGCCCCCTCCCCCCTTTTGTCCTCATCCCTTGACCTCAAATCCCAGATGTTTGGATCGTCTTGTGCACATACCTGCGAGCATCAACCATGGGACACAGGTTGGCTCGTGGGGGTCACAACAGTCGAGGTATGCATCGGAAAATCCTTTCCGGTATAGCATACTGGTGTTCTCGTGCCGAGCCGAGCCGTTCCGTGGTTAGTGCATATCCGCTTCCGGGTGGGGGTTTCCACGTGGGGGATGGCACAACTTTGTCCGGGTATGGTCAGGGAGATGTTCATGGCCTGTTTTGTAGGTTGACCTATTTATTATGTATGGGGCGAGAGCAAATCTTACCTAAGCTGTGTGATCTCCGAGAAGAGCGTTAGGGAGGTAGGCGAGGGGACAAGAGAGCCATATCCCAGAGACAAGAGTGTGAGGGGGTCATCAGTAACTCATTCCTTCTTGGTCTTTGCCCAGTTCATGGTCAGCTTCCCCTCCTTTATTTTTCTTGCTTTGAGAAGTGCTTTATTGGGAAGCTCTGGCTAATATTTCATATATTGGAAACACATCATCTCATTGTGTGCTCTTGGTATAGTGGCTGAGTTCCTGGGTGTTGAGATCGGGCTGTCACCTTCCTGCAGTCTGCTAGCAAGTCAGATAATGTAAGAACCCTCCTCTCAGAATTCTGATATTGGTGTGGTTTGTTCCTGTTAACTTGTTTCTGGTGACTTGATTGTGTATCATGACAGTGTGTGTTGATGCTTGCCCCTGAGCGACAACATGAGTCATAGCTCATTGAACACTCAGGTCCCAGATCGTGGAGAATTATCGTTGGGAATCTGACAGCTGAACCCTAACGTGACCTGGCTGCCAGATAGCTGTATTGTAGCCTCTACTTCCAACCGCCTTAATTACCATCACCGCCCTCACCGCCCACACCCCGCTCAAGGCGGTGTCGTTCCAAGACCGGCAGAACGCCGTGACTGCCCTCTCCCTCAGGCAAACACAGTGCCTCAGACGGACCGACCCCACAGAAACTAAGTATATAAGTGTCTTCTGGACCTCTGACTTCTAACAAAGAAAAAACTCGTCAAGATGGCGCAGTTGGCTCGTGTTTCACCCTCAAAAAATCGAGTACTACCTGTGTTGTATTGCGAGAGGTCAGGACAGGATGGCTAACACTAGTCTTCTAGACAAGTGACGAGACGTCCAACCCCGAATCTGGTCTAGGGGTCAACACATCCTGCTCTCCCAAACGCAGTGTGGTCTCGGTGAAGCTGACGGTGTGGTCGACGCAGCTTGCTCCCGCTGACAGTCAAAAAAAAAAAAAAACGGGATCTGGTCAGTCCCGCAGCAGGAACCTGGTCAGTCCTGCAGGACAATCCTCGTTCATGTAAGTACCTCTCCCCCTCCTCTGGGTGGTGCTCGAGACGTCAAGGTTCGAACCGGGTCAGCTAGGTCATCAAGACGAGTTCAAACTTTTTCGTGCTTTGCTTTTTTAATTCTTCTTCTCGTCCGAATTTGGTATACCTTACGTAGCATGTGAGCCACATGCCCCAACCAAACAGTTTCACACAACTGTTTCCCTACGCACACACAAACTTTTCTTTCCAGCCCTGTGTGTGATTAGTCACTATAAATCGGCACTCTTCCGCCCTCTTACAATTGACTGCTGTGTCAAACCGAACTCAAGGATAGGTAAGTAGTAAGTAAACAAACCAGTACTCTTATTAATTACTCCCTCAGTGATTCCCGAGTTACATTCCTCCCTAATTTTCTTCACGTTGCCCAGGCAAAGCCTTCACACCGTCGTGCCCAAAGACGTGAAGGAGAGAGCACACGGCTGATAATGGACTTTATTCAAGTTATAGAAAAAAAAAGGCTAAAATAAAGCTGGCGAGATAAAGACATATTCCCGTCAATGACTAACAACAATGAGTCAGAATGTTTGAAAGGTGTCCTGTATTATGCCCAAAGAAAGGCTACCTATAGACATGGATCCATGGATGGACAGCAGCAAGGCCATCAAGCTAACAAGAAGAGAGTTAGGTATATAGAAAGGAAAAAGAGGTATCCAAGCTCTCAGACCCTCATAACAAGAGAAAAATCCAACACTATTTTCCAGCCATCCCATTCGACCCATCACTCATTAACCCAATCCCTTCCACAAACCCATATATCCCAAACCAACCTGGTCCCATTTACTTCCTCTCATCCACCATATCCTCTGCCCTCTCTGTAAACATACTCCTCCGTGCCGGACTCCCCGGCACCCCACCCCCCACACTAGGCACAACCCTCAACCTCAACATGGGGCTTTCTCTCCCTCCCAACCCTGAAGAAGGTCCCTGCCCAGGAGTAGGAATCACATCCCCCTCCGTCAGGCCCGACACCCCGCCGGGTACCCTCCCCGTCCCGGTGTTAGTATTGGGATCAGGAGACCCAACAGCCGTGGTGACCGAGCTCACGGTCGTGTCGCTCAGTTGTCTGAGATGGGCGCGATCGCGCTCAGAGAGGTTCGAGATCTGGGAGACAATGCGGTCGTAGGGTGGCTGGTCTTGGGGGGAGTTGCGCAGGCGGGAGATGTCGTCTTTTTCTGCAGCAGGAGATGTGGGGGAAGAGGTTGCTGTTACGCCTGGGGGTACGATGGCTGTGTTGGAGTGGTAGACGACTGGGGATTCGGGGGAGGTTTGAGAGGAAGTTCCCGTACTAGTAGGGGCAGGGCAGGGGCCGGTGGCACCGCTGCTGGGGGTTGTGCCGGTACCGGGGGCTGGAGAAGGCGTTGAGATGGTCGGAGATGCGGTACTCAAGCCCGAGGGAGGGGTCAGGGCGAAGTCGGTGCGGCACGGGCCGTAATAGCCGTAGATGTTTGAGGAAGGGGTCTTGGTTGCGGGCCCTTGGAGTTCTGCTCTGGCAGGGGGATCGGCTGTTTTTTGGGGGAAGGAGGGGAGAGGAGGGTCGGGTTGTTAGTCACTTCATCAACATCCTTAATTGATGGGTGAGAGAAAAACATACCGGGCAATTCAACAAGTGGCTTGATCTCCGTATCCATCATCTCGGCGATGGTCATTTGCGGGGGCAGGGTCGGCAGCGAAGACACATTACTCTCCGCATCCAGGACACTTTGTGGGAGATAATCCGAGCTGGTGACCGTCGGCGTCTTGACGACGGTCGGCTGACCGCGTAGCCATTGTCTGATCCGGCGCCGACTAGCCTCCTCCGTCCCGGCCTCGCTAACAGCACCACGCAACAGCTTTCTTCTCCGCCACAGTAAGATCAGCACCGCGACCATAGTCAGGAAGACCAAGCCCAGCACGGAGCCCAGGACCGGAGGGAGATATGACGGTACGCCGCCGTCACGGTCGTGACTGGTGGAGTCTGTGGGCACCGGGATCGTCGGGTTGGTGTTATCCGTCGGCGCAAGCGACTCGTATGGATAGTAGGTCGTGATCTTGCTAGTCGGATATGGCGTGTCAAAGATCTTGGCCAGCTCCTTGTCCGCCCAGCCCGACGGACTCGGCGTGGTCAGCGTTGCGCCGCCGGTTCCGGTCCCGCCGATCTTCTCGCGTACGGCTGTGGGCACGGTGTAATTTGACCAGACAGCGGGATCATAGCGGGTCATCCACTCGCCCGAGGAGAGATTAAACACGCGGATAGTCTCTGGAAGACACTCCACGCGATTCCCGAACCGGCCCAGGTACCCGCCGATAACAAACATCTGATCCGGATAGGGCATGACACACTTGTGTCCGGCGCGGCCCTCCCTTTTGCTGCTCACCAGCTTGGTCCAAGTAAACGACGGCAAGCTCAGCACCCAAACGTCATCATTAAGCGGCTGCTTGCGATTCAGCCCATCGTACCCGCCATACCAGTAGATATTGAAGCTCGACGCGTCCTGCGCGCGAGCAACGACGGCACATCCGCGCGTCAGCTGTCCCGGACCTCCTCCGCTCGTGCCTTGGCGGTACCATTTCCCGCTGGCGACGTCGTAGATGTCGATGGTGGTCATGAAGGTCGGGCTAATCTCCTTGCTCGCTGTTTCGTTGGCCGATTTGCCGTCTACGACGTCGACGAAATCGGGGTAGATGACGCCACCCAGGGCGACGAGGATACCGCGCTGGCCGACGGGCACCCAGACTAGCTCGGGGTTGGCTCGACCGGGAATGTCGGGCGGCAGAGTGTAGTTGGTGAAGGTCTCTTGCTGTTGATCGGACAGGTCAACGACGATCAGCGAATTGGAGACCTCGACGGCGTGCGTCTCGTCGCTTGCGCCCGACGGGGTGTGAATTGGCCCGCCGCCAGGGGCCCGCAGGCCGGAGAAATACCATGCCAAGTTCTCCGACGGCGCGCTGGCTGCCCCGCCGTAGGTGATGTATCGCGTGGTGTTGGGCCGGAGCATGGTGTCGATAAAGGGCGCGAAGTTGTCCTTGAACCCGCTATACTGGAAGCGCCGGTAGGTCAGGACGCGGTCGCCGGGCGGATCGGCGAAGGCGCCGGTGCGCCGGGTCATGCCGCCAAAGAGGAAGAACTCCTCGTTGTTGCCGAGGAGTGCGCCATCGTAGTAGTCCGGTTGAAGATTACCGCCGCCGGTAGGGGTTTTGCGCAGTTCCTCGAGGATGGCGGTAATGTTTTCCGAGGTGTTGAAGGGCTTGCTGAAGTTGAGCGTCCAGATGATGCCCGCGTTGTCTGTGACGGGTGGTCAGTACTTCGTAGGTATTAGTCACTGGTGTAGTGACTGTAGTCCAGTTGACAGATACTTAAGACTCACAATCTATCTTGGGCGGCTTGACGCTTCCATCAGCGAAGCCCGGCTCCCAGTATAGATCGCCGCCATCGAGATAAACGGCATCCCGGAGGACCGTAGCTATGAGATTGGTTAGACGTTGTTCGTTCGTGTTTAAGAATATCAGAAGTTAAGAACCAACAGTAGCGTACCTCTAAGACCTCCCCACTCGCATATCCGGGTATTGACCTGACCCGGTTCCCAGTTGATCTGGCGAATGACGTCGGCGACCACAGGCTGGGCCGTCAGGCCGGCGACTAGCGCAATTGCAGCCAGGGGGACCATGGGGATTGGTGATTCAAGATCAGATCCTGAACGCTGGGCAGGACCGCAGGATACTGTGTATTATCGGATTGCAAATAAAGATAACGCCCACAGCATCGGGGGGGGCACGTGGCGGCGATGGGCGATGTGCTGCGTGCTCCGTAGTCTGTCCGTACAGATAGATAGATTGGTTACAACGAAAACAGACTGAGTGACAGGCAAAATGTTGGACCGCCCTGCTGCAAGTCCGCTCGGATCAGCGATCACCGCTGTTTTCTCTGCTTCTCTTCTCTCAAACAAGCATCCTCCTCGACGAGTTTTCTTCCATGATGCAAGCATAGGACTCGGGAAGAGACTACAAAGGGCTAGACCAGCCCGGCTTTTTTTTTTGACTTTGATATTGGTGAGACAAAAGCTGCAGAGCATCAGAGCCTGCGCCTGCATTCTCATTACTTCCTAGTTTTTACCCTGAGTGGTTGCTTGGCCTGCTGGCGGTTGGGTGGTGCGGCACAGCAAAACCGCACAACCGGCGAAAGCGAGCAAAAGCGGCATTCTCGAGCCCCCGACACGGCACGGGGCCAGGGCAAGGCTCCAATTCAAGGATACAAGGCTTTTGACAGATCCCCGCAGTATATCCCCCTGCATCTCTACCACAGCGGTTCCCGTGTATTCAGGCTTGCCTCGATGCTTCCTATTGGTGTGTTGGTTTGACGGCTGCACCATATAAGAAGCTGACCAACACAACAACACACCAACCCACAAACACAGCGACACAGCGACAGAGCCATACGAGGACATCAGAGGTAGCAGACGCGGTTTTCTCGCTGCTTTGCTCCTGGGGCTTCCGTAGTTGTCTCTTGGGACGAAATATTCAGCAAACTTCAAACTTCTTCGGGTCTTGTTAGGTTTACTGCTTGTCCCGGATTGGGTCTGGGGTGGCAGCAGCTTGGCGATATTTCGGTTTATTGCAGCAGTCGGTAATGCTGCTGTCCCGAAACCACGTGGGTGTACTTGTCTTGTTTTGACCCGTCTACCACTCCGTGCCAATGTGCTCGAGATTGGGGTCACCGAGTCTGGATTGCTATGCTTCAGCCAGCAAACAAGATAAGGCCTTTTTATTTTTATTTATTTGTTTGTTTGATAGAGATCTTCAGAGGCACCTAGCTAGGCATGGAACACATCACACAGTGTCCCCTCGTACTATGGCAGAAAAGGCTGTCTTACAGCTTACGTTATAGCCTCGAAACATGGACAAGCCAACTGAAACTACGAGCACAAAAAGTGAAGCAAACAGACCCTCACACAGCCCTGGCCAGGCTCACACAGCAGCATGAATTGGAAGCCAGGACTGCAATTCAAATGCCGGGTGTCCTCTCTCTCATAGGCTTTTGGGAGGATTGCAGACACTGCCACTTCCATCGCGTCGTCAGGAACAAGTGCGGAGCGAATGCCTAAAGCCAATCCAGCCCTTGTTTATATTTGCCAAAGTATCAAGCAATAAAGATAGATAGGTAGATACGTAGGGGAAAAATTTCAGGGAGAGATCCGGAACCAACACTGAATTCGCTGAACTGGGTTAATGTCTCCCTTAAAGCTTCATCTTCAACTCTTCGAAAGTGTGGTTGTGTCGACAACATATCGGCCAGGGTTGTTGGCCAACGACCTGCTCGTGTAGAATCCGATCTTTCGGGCAGGGGACACTAGTGCATGAGGTGTACCAACAGACAGCACTGAACTACAAGTACGTACCTAGAGGTAGGTAAGGAATGCTAATGTGCCAGCAATACACCACCTACCTTGAGTAGCAACCATTATATTTGCCGGTCTGAGTAGTTCAGCCTTGCCTCACCTTGTCCTGCCTTATTTTTTTTTTTTTGCACTGCGTGGTTCATGAATGAAATGAGCGAGGGGGCCAGGTTCCCCCGCAGGCAGCCCCGCCACCTAAAAGAAAAAAAAAAGAGAAACAAAGACCAGACAGAGTTGCATCCACGGACCCGGGCACCGCCGACCCTCATGCCAAAATACAACCGTCGAGCCTCATAGGCAGGATAATCAGGTCAGCATTGGGCTGATGGCATCGACAATAATGTTGCTGGTATCGAGATTAGGTATGTACTCTGGGAAAACTCCAAGTGCGGGGGGTCTCCGGGCTGGCAGGTGAGGGGAAGGAAAATAGCCGCCGTGGTGTGATAAGCTGAGGGGATTGCAGTGCATACATACGAGTAAGGTAGCATAGAGCTGTGACAGTAGATCTACGTGGAGCGAGAAATACTGTATGCCCACAGCTTTGGAATTTGCTTGTGAACTATTGCGTACCATTGATATTAGTGCTTACCAAAGCGACTTCTTGGCTGTTGTTGAGAAATCATATTGTTAGCTAGAGCCTAGCGCTGTTTGCTGGTCACGTCGTGTAATTGATGATCCGCAACAAGCATTCGGGGTGCTCTTTGATGACTCTCATTTGAAGGCTTTCTTTTTATCGCATTCCTTGCGTTTACACTGTTCTGCATGCGGCTTTGTGCCACGAGGGTTGAAGGCTGACGATCTTGCACTTGGGGGGTGTACAAGTAGGTAACGTAGCACAAGCAAATACGGCAGGTGCTCGGATACAACGGTTAGAAGTCAGCAGTTACTTGATCCCAGAGGAGCTCTGCGTCGTATTATTGACTACTGTCAAGGCGAATGAGGCAACTGTGCTCACAACGAGATAAACCGTCATGAATGGCATTTGGCAGCGATGGAGTCACACACGAAATCGGAGCCTTGCCAACAGCGGGACTCGAGAGCGGAGAAAGCCAGTGGGTGGGTCTTTGTGCACCCGATCCGGTTCCCGTTGGAGCTTCCGCATCCCGGCTCCACAGCAGGCAGACTTCACCGCCCTAGCCCTGTGGGCTAGACCAAACTTGGCATCAGCCTAAGAAGAAAATGGGGCCAATCAGAGAACTCCAAGAAACACAAGCTCTTTCTGGGGTAACAGCTTGCACCCCGCGCTGGCCCAGCCTTTCCTTCACCTTCTGTTTGTCCATCACTTCTTTTTTTTTTTTTTCGTATTTTTCCACGAGGGGCAAGGGGAGTTTCTGGCAAACTGTTTCGGTGTTGTGCACAGCGGAATACTCGAATACGGCGAAGTCGATCGGTCGACGATCGGATCGATCGATAGGAAGTGCTTGTTCCCCTTTTGGGCACCCGACATTGACGTTGGCGAACCCGACAGGGCAACTCTTCAAAGCATTCAACCAGTGGCAGTGCGCCATTCCTTCGGCCTGCAGAAGCCGATTTTCCGATTGTGCAAGCGAGCTGCTCACTGTGCTCTGAAAGTCCCCTCTCAACAGCCAACGCTACAATTGTGAAATGCTCTCCCACAGTGTTTGCGGAGGAGCCTTCACTGCTTCTACGTTGTTCTTTGAGTATACCGTTTGAGGCATAACTGACTGGGGAGTTAGATGTTTGTTAATTGATTTGATGTCGATGGTGCTGATAAGAAAAATCTCGAGAGTAACTGACAACATCCCGTCCATCACAGAGATCTCCAGGACCTCGCGGCACAGTACGGATTGCTAGACGAACAATACCAATTATCGTCAGCATGAACTATTAAGCCCAAAAACACGGTATCGCGGCTGGCGATCCAGTCAAAAAAGGAAGCGGAAGGGGCCGTGGCTCCCCAGTGAGGGGATCACTTACTGTCGGACTCTCTTGGGCCTTGGCCGCCGCTCACAGCCTCTCTCCCGCGTTCCATCATCCGGTGAGAATCTGTCGGCTTTCAAGCTCCCTTTCGGCCCCCATTGGTTGCTCTCGCTAGCTCCCAGCCCTCCAAGTCCATCCCAGAGTGCCATCACAAACTGAACACTCATGATGAGCATTCTCGGCGAAGGACAAGACCACAACACTCGTATGATCCCGTCCACGAGGAGGATTATGAGCCAGCTGCCGACAAGACCTGCGAGCGCAAGATCACCAATGGCCATGATGATAACGTGGTCTTAGTAGGACAGACAAGCACTGCGATACTCCCGAGTCGTGAATAGGCGAACAGCGAAGTTGTGTTCAAGCCGGAGTCCAAGGCCAGCAAAGGCTGGGGGGCAACTATGCTCGCAATTGCCATCGGGAGCGGGCGGGGCAGGGCAGTCATGCAGCCATATGCAGCCATGCAGCTCACATCAGCGAGTGAGAGCACTCTGAGCGACCGAAGGCCCGCCGCTCTGCTGGTCCTTTGCAGCTCAGTGCTTTTCTCCCCGGGATGCTCATGATTTTGCTTGCCAAGTCTGTCCCCCCCCCCCCCTCCCCCTCCCCTCGCTGCGGTCCACTAGCACCATTCCCCAGTCCCGGTCGGCCCAGCCACTCCGCCCGCGGTCCCTGTGTCTGCAGGATTGGGGGAACTTATATAATAACTGAGGGCGGTACAGAGCCGACACACTTCCGCTGCGCGGTTCTGGGTTCTGCCATTTGTTTACCGGTCGCTCGCTTCCCTCAAGCTCTCCCCATTGAGGTTGCCCTCTTTGGCATAGCCTTCGCTCGTTTGGCCCTTCGTCGACTGCTGCTCGACGTGACGGCTGGGACAGGGCATCATGAAGCTCAGCACCATCTTTGGGGCTTTGGCCCTGGTACCGGCAGTGGCTGGTACTCCTCCTCACGAGGACTACGGCCATAGTAAGAAATGCACGACCACAATCACCGAATACACAACCTCAACGTATGGACATCCGGTTCCTTTGAGAGAGTGTGTGTTTCAATGCTAACCTTCAGCAGGAAGACAACGGGCACCTGTAAGCCAACCACCTCCTGGAAGACGAAGACCGAGGTTGTGCCCACGACGGTTTGGGAAACCAAGTGGAAGACGGAGACAAAATATGTCCCTACGACTGTCCGGAAGACCGACACGGTATACGTGCCAACCACTGTGTGGAAGACAAAGACAGAGACGGAATATGTCCCAACTACCGTCACAGACACCCAGCATGTGCCGACCACGGTCTGGAAGACGACCACGGAGACAGACACCACCACGCTCTGGAAGACAAAGACAGAAACAGAAACGGAGACAGAGTACGTCCCCACCACGCATTACGAGCCGACGGTCACCACGACGACCAAGAAGATCAAGATCACCAAGACCATCGTCAAGACCGACACGGTTTATGACACGTCGACGACCACGGTCCATCAGCCAACCACAACGACCGAGACCGAGTATGTCCCGACGACAGCGACGACTACTTCCACCAAGAAGATCGTCAAGACAATCATCGAGGTCAACAATGTCACTCAGACTATCACCAATACCGCCACGACAACTTTGTTTGAGACTGAATACGTTCCGACTACCACCACAGCGACAGAGACGGAGACATTCGTCACATCCTACCCGGTTACCGAGACGGTGACGGACAGCACGACTAAGATTAAGATCAAGTGGAAGACCACAACGTTTTACAGCACCCATGTGGTGGTCAAGACCACTGTGCGGCCCGTCACGCACACCATTACCAACGTGATCCCTGGCCCCAAGGTTACGCAGACGGTGACACACTACGTCCCGCCCGTGACAGTGACCACCTGCCCAGCCACGACCACGTCGGTCTGTCCCGTGCCGACGATCGCTCCGTACATCAACAGTAACAACAACTATAATAGGCGGGAACTTGTCGGGCGCACTGGCAAGAAGAACGACCAGAAGCTCAAGCCGGGCGAGCAGCTGCTCTGGGGCTGCAGCCCAGGCCGCGTCTGCGATCTGCCTAAGCCCGGCACCTGCACGATCTGGGAGGATCTGCCGCCGAAAGAGTGGACTTGCCCTGCAAAGTATTGTGTTCCCGCGCCCCCTGTCCCCAAGGTTGAGTGGCCCGAGGGCGCGACCGAGCGCTACTACCCGCTCATCAAAGGTTACTTCAACCTCGACCCGCGCGCGTTCGGCCTGACCTACGACATCTTCCAGCCGCCCAAGAATCACTCGAAGCGGCAAGATTACTTGGACGAGACGCGTGTACATCCCGACTGCTACGGCACTTGCAACGATGCCAACCTCGAAGCCCAGAACTTTGGTCTGAAACCAGATCTGTGCGAGGAAGAAGTCAGCCCCTTCCTCACCTACTACCACAGATGCGTGGCGTGCGTCGCTAAGAACGCCGACAACATGATAGAAACTATGCGCGCGTACCTCGAAGGTGCCTTTAACAACTACCTTGGCTACTGCAACATTCAGCCCCCATACTACGCGACTCAAGCCCCGACCGAACCGCCGCCGCAGACCCAGGTCACCGAAACGCCGGACATCTCGACCACGTCACAGGAGCCTCCCAACACCTCGGCCACGCCTGTGCCGATTGAGACTTCGACTGAGTCGGAAACCCCGACGCCTACTCCTGAGCCATCCGTCGAGACACCCACCCCGACCCCGACTCCGACTCCGACTCCGACTCCGACTCCGACTCCCGAGCCGTCGAATTCAAGCGAGACGGCAACTCCAGAACCGACCACCGGGACTCCTACCCCGTCCTCCAGCTCAGAGAGTGAGACACTTGAACCGACAGCCGAGTCGTCCAGCTCGACTTCCTCTTCGTCTTCATCATCAACTGAAACCCCCACGCCGTCTGAGGCCTCTCTCCCTCCCGTGCCGACGCCTAATGAGGTCGGAACTACTCAATTTATCACGCCTTCGGCCAGGCCGACCGATATCCTTGTAACGGCCGGTGCGGGTAAAGTTGCCTTTGGGTGGTTCTGGCATATGATGGCGGTCATTGCAATGATCATGATGCTGTGAGTTGGCGAGGCGTCATTTGGTGATTTTTTTTTTTTTGCATTTTTGGGTTAGTCTACAGATTAATAGTAATGGGCATTATCGGGAAACTTTGGACTGGGTGGTTTTGGATGAAATGGTATGGATATCTCGATGGGTATTTTTGGATCATCAAGGACGCCCAAATCCCATATATATATATATATATATATGTGTGTGTGTGTGTGTGTGTGTGTATGTGTGTATATATAGGTCATGATCATGTTTGTCTTGGGTCTACGGATCAAAACCGAGACTACTTAATCTAATTCGCTATATTTGTTTAGGTATGGTAATGTCTACGGACATTGAGTTATGTTTATTTGAGGATCTATGCGTGAGGCGTATTTGTGATACTCAGTGTACTTGCGGCGATGGATTAATGATATTACAGGTTTGGGTATTTTTTTTTCGAGATTCAATGGGCGAATGCGACCTTGACCTCTCTCCATTGGGAGCTGCGGTGTCTGTGTTTTGCTGACACGGTCATGCAATTTGCTCCCCCGATCTTCAGCGTTCAACTCTACCTACCTATTTCATACAGCAATCCGAACGCAGCCAGCGAGACTGAATACGATGTGTTTTCACTTAGCTCTACAACTGTTGGGTGCGGCTCTGCCTTTATTTTTTTTCTCCGAGTTATTGATGGGTGTGACCTGCTGGGAGTTTAAGGGACCGAAAGCAAGGGGTATGGATGTTTGCTTTGGCTTAAAGGTGAACTCGCACCAGCGTCAAGGGGTTAACTTACTGTAGACGATGGCTGGTAGGTACGGCATGTGATTGATTTACTTCAGTTGGGATACCAGTTTCCCTACCTACAAGCACTACGTACAGACGCAAATATTTCCCTCTTGTTGTGCCTCTTGCCCCTTCAATTTTTGATGTGTTTATTCGGAATCAGGTTTACAACAGCACAACAGCGGCGGCATTTCTTCGAGGGTCATGACGGGCGCTCCTTGGTGTGGCTGACACCAGTTCCAACGATATGACGGCAGCTAGGTAAGAGTAATAAGAGGCGTTGTGTACTATAAGTATGGGGGACCATTCATGTCTTGGATGTTTTGGGCGTGGTGTTGGTAGGGTTCCTCGACAATTTTGCCTCGTTTGGGGACGGTATGGAGGTACGTGGCACAAGCAGACGGCGAAGCGCGTAGGTAACCCGCATGACGTGACGTGGAAGGATTGGGGAGGGATTCAGATGAGTAAGGTGGTTAATGAATGGAAGGGATTTTTGCCATATAGGGGTTTAGAGTGAAGGATTTTGTGTGTATTGGTGGAGCAAATACGCTAAGAAGAGTTGGTGTGGATGAAATACACGGCAGTTGATACACCCGACGAGAAAACCATATGAGCGAGATATTCGAAAACAGACAACCCCCTGTCCCTAAGTAAAGCAAACCTATCGATAGTAAACAGCCCCGAATCAGAACCAGCGTTAGGCAAGTATACCCACGTAAACCACAAATATACAGTAACAACCAACACTGCCCAACTAAACAAACCTCCACCTCCCTTCCTCCTATCGATCCGTAACCCAAACCCCTCACTCACCAAACCTTGCCCCCTTCAACTTTAATCGGGACATGCAACAGCCGTCCCCCCTCCTGCTCCCTCGGCAGCGCACCAGCCCTGATATTTATTTGCAGCGCCTGGTGAATCAGCCTCGGTTCAGCGAGCGTGGCATCCCTCTCATTGCGCCAGCGTACAAACTCCTCCTCGGAGGTGCCCTCCTTGAGGTGCTTGTTGTGCGCACGCTGGTCGGCGACGGTCGCGAAGGGCTGCGGGGTGTCGCGCGTGTCGGAGGGTGGGTAGTCGTGGCCAGTGTAGATTTTGGTCGTGGGCGGGAGGGAGAGGAGTTTATGTGCTGATTGATAGCTACGGAAGAGATGAGTATTAGGACCTAGGTACCTGTTGGGGGTGTAGAAAAAAAAAAGGGCGGGGGGGGGGAAGAAGGAAAGGGAAGTATGACGTACAGGGCTTTGGTGCTGCCGCCGGGAAAATCGCAACGTGCTGAGCCGACGTCGGGGTTGAAGAGGGAGTCACCACAGAAGATGTTTTCTAGTAGAGATATTGCAATAAGCCGCATACTCTTTCACCATGTTTGAGAAGGGGTAGCACTCACCTCCGATCAAATACCCCAAATGATCCGGCGTATGTCCCGGCAAATGCACCGCCTTTACCTCCAACTCGCCCAGCTTAAACACCTCATCATCTTCCAGCAACACATCAAACGCCCCTTCCCACTCCTCCTCAGGAACTCCATACCTCTTCCCAAACCGCTCCTGCACGCCCTTGATCCTACGCCCGATACAGATCTCTGGCCTGTGCCCCGTCTCCTCGGCCAACCTCGTTTGCAGGTACTTCGCCGCCGTGAGGTGGTCGGCATGCACGTGTGTTTCGAGCAGACGCTGGACGGAGTAGCCCTGCTCGCGGACGAGGGAGAGGATGCCGTCAGCGGTAGACGTGGAGATTGTGTTGCGGGCTGGGTCGAAGTCGAGCACGGGGTCGATGATGACGGCGGATTTGGTGACGGGGCAGGCAACGACGTATTGCCAGGTTGAGGTGTTGGGGTCGAAGCAGGCGTGGATGGCGGGTTCTTTAGCAGTCATTTTGACGGCAGTCCTTGGTTCGAAGTAGAGACACGATGGTGGGAGATGGGATGTATCCTCGTGTTCACCCGATGCGGATGGAGTGGAGGACGGGGTATGGATAAGGCGGAAGGGAAGATATATACATGGTAAGGGGCAATGGCGAACACGGTGTTTGGCATTAGTAAGGAGGATGTTGTGATGGTGTGATCGATGGCTACGGGGCAGAGAAAAGGTCGGCGACTCGAGACGAGCGCGTGTTGGGATGAAGATGAATTTGTCAGCGCCAGCGCGTGGGAGGAGATTCAGGAGAGAGAGTTCAGGGACCAGTTGAGCAGAGCGGAGGAGACGGAGGGTTCGGGGAATGGCAGCCATCGATGACCCTGAAGACGTCATGGAGTTCGCGAAGGGAAAAAAAAAAAAAAAAAAAAGTCTCCGGATAGCGTCTCCACGAGTTTGCGAGTTATGTCGTCCGTACTATCCGTACTCGTGTCTACAGTAACGTCTTCGGGTCTATGCAAGTCATGATGGTCTGATGGCCCCATTGAAGAAACAGTTTCTGCCCTACCAGCCATGCACGACGTCATCATCGGGACGGACCGCCCCACAAGGCGCTAGGGAGAAGGTTCTCTAGTGTCATCGGCGACTCCATCCGCCCCAAATCATCTGTAGCATCTCCATCATCTCCATCTTCCCGGTCCCACCCACGGGGACCAGTTCCCGAAAGCACGATCGGTGGGTCGCCGGGCTCGATCCACTTTTGCCCCATGCTCCAGGTCTTGGCATTAACGTCGACGGTGTGTTCGGCGACCACCCGTGTGCCGCCGGCGATGTGCCCATTGTATCCTACCCGTGGTCGCCGGCGCGCAACAGTCTACGATCTTATGAATCCATCTAACGAGTTGTCTCACATATCTTGTGACCGGCCGTTAGCCAGGTACCTCTCGGAAGAAAGAAAGACAAAAAGCCAAAAAGTCCCGACTCCCGACTCCCGACTTCCGATGAGGTCAAAGCCCGCCAGCCGCCGACGCAGAGCAGACGTCACTGCAGCGGTTGCCCTCAGCAAACAATTGAATGGGCTCATCTCCTTAGGGGGGCCTCGCATTGTAAGGTTTCGCAATCGCCGGGCAAAATGGGACATGGCCACAGGCAAGCCACCCCTGGCGGTTTCGCATCATTAAGGATGCCACACCGGAAGTGCACCCCACCACACCATGCTACTCGCTGGCCGTGTGTTCCGAGCAGGGTCTTTGGGGGGGGGGGTTATGGTATAAAAGAGATGTGCTAGGTTTGTGCAAACGAAAGTCTGGTGCTGAGTGAGCAAGCCGAAGCCATCTCAGTAGAAAAGGGATCCAATTCTATCTTAGAGATATCGCCCACTTTATCACCAAACTGCTTTAAGTCTCCCGCATCACAAAGCTATCCATCAAGATGAACAACATTCTCACTGGCGCCGCCATGGGCGCGGCTCTGACCACCGCGGGCGTCTACAAGCCCTCCGTCATCCTCTCCCAGTTCAACTTCTCCGACTTCACCATGCTTCAGACCTTCCTAACCGCCGCAGCAGGCAGCACGTACGCCAGATATCCCCATTTACTCAGCTATCCTCCCTTACACTAACGCCCCAAATCCAGTTTCTTCGTGACGGCCTTCCAGTCCCTTTCCCTCACCTCCCTTCCACCCCGCCCTTGCGCCCCCCTCTCCTCGTCCGCCAAATCCTTCCTCTCCCGCCACGCCGGCAACATCCTCGGCGGCGTCATGCTCGGCACAGGCATGGCCATTTCCGGCGCGTGTCCAGGCACTGTTCTCGCCCAGCTCGGCGCGGGCGTCCCGTCAGGCCGGTACGCCTTCGGCGGTGCGGTGCTCGCAGGCTGGGCGTGGAACGTGCTGTTTAGCAAGCGCATGCCCAAGGCCAGCAAGGACAAGGCTGATGGTGACGGGGAAGGCAAGAAGAAGCAGGCCGAGACCATCTACGAGATGCTCAACACCCCGTACATCAGAGCCGTCGCTGCCATGGAGGTCCTCCTCGCCACGTGCATCGCCCTCGCGGTGAAATATGCCCCTGCCGAAGCAGGTTACACCCGTAACGTGGTGCCCCCTCTGATCGGCGGCGCGTGCATGGCGCTTTCTCAATTCATCTCGCTCGCGCTGCGGCGCACCACGTTGGGGGCATCGACTTCTTTCGAGGAGCTGGGGTCGAACCTGTGGGCTATTGTCAAGGGTCAGTGGGATCAGATCAAGAGCTGGAAGAACGTGCTGTTTATGGGGGGCATGGTTGCCGGTGCCAAGGCGGTGACTGCGTTTATCCCCGCCGCGGCGGTCAGTTTGGTGGAAGGGACGGCGGTTTCGCCCCTGAGGGGGTTGTTGGGTGGGTTCTTGATCGTGTTTGGGTCACGGATGGCTGGTGGGTGCACGTCGGGGCATGGGATTAGTGGGTTGTCGTTGCTGTCGGTGTCGAGTTTCCTGACTGTGGCTATGACCTTTGCTGCGGGTGGCGTCGTCGGGCTGTCGATGGGCTAGAAATGTTTGGGGTTCCTGGTGACGATAAGGAGTAGGGGGGGGGGGTTAAGATAGGAACTGTACATATGGGGGATGTGTGCTACGTAGTATCATAACCTAATGCAGTACATAATGGTAATCCTGTGTAATTGTTAGGTATCATCAGCAACATGGTAACATGGTTCGATAAAAAAAATTTTGAGAAAAAAAAGAAAAAGAAAAACAATGTCTGCTCTGTGTCTCGTCTCTCTTAACAACCACCCAAGAGATTCAGGGCCCAGAGGTTTGTCTTCGCTCCGCAGCACGTATTGTGTGAATGATGAATGTGTGTGCTAGCAGATGCCTCTTCCGTGGAATTGAGGCGAAAATCGTGTGGTCTTCTCGCCTATCTCATCATCTCATCAACCTCATTTCCCCTCGTTTCCAGCAGTCTTAGAGTCCTAATGGCCCTTCTGTCCCCTTCCCTACCGCCCTCTCACGGTCATCTGACTTTCGTGCCGTTGCTTCAATCTCGATCTTCATCGCTTCTTCCATCAAACCAGCCTGGATCATGGTTGCTGCCGGCCTGACCTCGCCAAACCATTTCTTCAGCACCGGCCTACGCAACAGCTCAATATCAGCCAGTGACCTTCTCCAGCGATCACAGTTAGAGCAATCGCAGTTCCTCCCAAGTACCATGGCATGAACTGAACTGATCGCACAATCAGGCTGTGCTCACCAAGTCTTGGGAAAGTCAGCCCTATCCGGCAGGATGTATCGCACCCTCACAACGTCTGCCACAGTGCAGCCGGCCCCAGCTAATGCCGCGGCGATGTTCTGCATAGCCTGCTGCGCTTGCTCTACCACGTCGGGAGAGATGGTGCCTGTTTTGTAGTCGTAGCTGTAGTCGGGCCCGCAATTAGAGAACTCTGAATATATCTCACACCTTCACCTCTCGTATTATCCCATCTGGGGACATGGGGCTAGAAACTTTTCGCCTACCCAGTACACCCTGACACAAACACCCAATTCCCAGACACCACGGCTCGGGAGTACCCTATCTCGGCCTCAAACGCGGACTCAGAAGATATGAGCTGACGTGCGATCATGGCTATGATGGCTTTTGATGAGATTCAGACTTTGGGGGCTTAAGGTGTGCGCGTGGGTGGTCGAAGACCGGGGGCCAGAGCAGCAAAATGAGCTGCTGGCGGAGATTTAATTTAGACAGATCTATATGACTCACTCCTTGACTACTTTAGCTCGTGGGCTCCCCATACCATTTGTCAAATATTACGGGGGACTCACTAATGCTTGCAACGAAAGCCAGGCAGCCATCTATCAGCAAACCCTAACCCTGGCATAGATGGGTTGTGTCGCCCCTGAAACCACATAAACCAAAAACAACAAACTCATTAAGTAACCAACTCATCTTTATCCTCAACTACACAGCCGCCTGTACATATTCATGGTACCTACCTATCTAGGTACATAAAGACCTGCCCAGGCTCAACAACCAATTTCATGTCCATTTTGCTCCGTCCTCCCAACTCCCAAGTCCTCATTAAAGCAAACAGAAAGCCCAATCATCTCTCCAACTATCCACCACCCCCTTCACGCCAGCATCGAATGGCTTCTGATGCCCTTCGGGCCAAGCTCACTGCGAATACGTTAGCCTGTGCTTCCCGATCACTGCCGAACAAGGGACAAGGGGGTAAAACTTACTTATAATCCACCCTAGTTAAGCTCATCCCCTTCTGCGCCTCCAAGCCCTGCGCATCCAAGTTATGTATGCAGAACGCCAATCTGGCCGCCACTAACGACCCCAGGAACATGGCCTCCTCAAACCCATGCTTGCTCCACTCGCTCAAATACGTTGGCAGCTGCGCCGTCTTGATTACCGTCGGCGTCTGGCTATGGAAGGACTGGCTCGTGCCACCTCCGGCGTTATTCGCGTCCCCGCCGGGTGTCTGTCCTGGTACAGTGAGGTTGGATTGAGCGGCCGCGGCCGTCGTCGCAGCCTGCAGCAACGGATTCACTCCGCTTCCGGCCCCGGCTCCAGGCAACTGATGCGGCGGGCCACCGGCGCCAACCGCGCTATTCGGGGTCTGGGACCCAGTGCCCGAGGGCGTGCCGATGTTAGACGGCAGGTCGCCTACAAACATGGATGCCGACGACGGCGAGATGAGGTACCGGTGGGTGAGCGTCTGGATGATGTTGTCTTTCAGGCCACGGATGCGCGCGCCGTTGCCGACAAAGACTATGTTTTCCCAGAGCGCGGGGCGCATGTAGATGTCGTCGATGGACTGGATCGCGCGGTAGATGGCTGTTGCGATGCGATCGATTTCGCGGCGCGAAGCGAATTGGAAGCGTTCCGGGCCGACTTCAATGTCCCGGCGTACGCGACGGGTGATGCGCTCCGTTTGTTGGGCGGCGCCATTGGCTTGTTGTTGGTCTGCCTGCGGTTGGGCCTGGTCTTTTTGCTCTGTTTGGCCGTCCTTTTGCTCTGATGACTGTTGTTGCTGCTCTTCTAGCTTCTTCTCGGAGTCAGCAGCCTCCTCCGGCTTAGTTTCTGGGCTCTCCTCAGCAGTCTTGGGCTGTTCACCCTCCGTCCTGGGTTGCTCGCCCTCAGCCTTAGGTTGCTCGCCTTCTGGCTTGCTAGCCTGCTCCCCCTCCTTATTCTCAGCTGGCGCAGCATCCGCCATGGTCACGTCGCCGTTGCTATCCGTCGCCGTCGCCGGCGGCGGCGGCGGCGACGGCTGCACAGGCACTTCCTCGGTAACAAGCTCCTCATAATGGAAGATATTCTTGTACCGCTTCGAGTTCGGCAGCTTGACCGGCTTCGGCGGGGCGTCACCACTACCAGCCTCCTTATCCTTGCCCTTCTTCTTCTTTGCCGCCTCGCGCTCTGCCTTCTCGCGCTCCCTCTTGGCAAGGAACTCCCTGGTCTGGCCGCTGGCAACAATATTCGCGACATCCAGCACACCATCCTCAACCTCCTTGGTGTCAGCGCCCGTGTCGACGTCATCACCCGGCTCGACGATCTGCGGCGCGTTGGGCGCATTGGGATCGATCTCCGGCGGGATCTCCATCAAATCAGGGTGCTCCGGCGCGTACGGCAGCACCTCGCAAATGTTGCTGCGCTTGAGCTGCTCGGCCATGTCGTAGTTGAAGCCCTTGGACTCGAGCAGCTTGAGCAGGCTGCGCGTGAACACCTCGCCGCCGCTGATGTCGGTTTCTTCGGGGCCGCCGACGCCGGGCCGGGGGCCAACATTCTTTTGTGAGACGATACGCCCGTCGTAGATGCATGTCACGTCGACCTTCTCGTAGCCGATGTCCACGACAGTCATATTGGGCCATTTTAGGCCATACTGTGTCGCAAGGCCGCTGTGGATCAGACATAGGGCCGGCGTCTTGGTCTTCTCGAAGATGTAGCGCGCGATGGCCTCGTGATCGGGGCGCGTCCATTGCGGCGAAGCCATCAGCAAGATCGGTGTGTTATGGTATGTCGTCGTCATCTGCGAGTGTACGTGCTCCAGGAGGGCAAGGAAAGCATCCATCTGGACAATCCGACCAGCTAACACACATCGTCAGTTCCGGTTCTAACCTCTTCTCTTACTCTCTCTTGTCGAGACTCACCCTGCATAGGATAAACGGCTCCCTCAATCGAATCCACATCCTCAACCCACTCCCACTCATCCTTGTCCTCCCCTTCACCAGTAGTTCCCTCTTTCTTCCGCTTGTAGGTATGATATGGCCGCCACTTGCTGGGGTCCTCTGGGTCGCGGAACATGCGCGTTGGGAAGCGGCGGGCCGGCGGGGTCAGTTCGTTGCACCCCAGCTGAGCCAGCGTCGTCTGGCTGCCGGGGCAGATGACGAGGACCTGGTCCTCGCGCCACTTGCCTGACTGGCCCGACATTGCGACGTGCGCGGGGCAGTGGGATGGGTTGGCACGAAGGGTTCGTTTAAGGATGGATATTACGTGTTGTTGTTTTGGGTATCTGTGTTTGGTGGGCCTTTCTGTTCTTTAAGTAGTTAAGATGTGACCGGACCGTGACAGGTACCGCAGGTTCGATGCTATCACGGGTGTGAGTGCGGTACAATGGATGCTAAAGGTTGACGCCGACAAGGCTTGGGATGCGCAGTTCGAGCTGCGACCAGTGGAGGCGCGGTGCACGCGTTACAGCTTTGGTGGAAGGAAATTTCGGGGTCTGCTGATTACGTAAGCATCCACCTGAGGGCCTTCGAAAAGTTGCAGCGCAACAAGCACAGCTTTCACTCGCTCACGACGCTTTTAAGAGGAAACTAATCAGTTAAGGAGAGAATACAGCTTGCAGTAGCTGCTCAAATGAAATTTCCCTGTATTCCCCAATATAAAGGCGATTCCCAATTAAAACACATTAACGCCGCCCTAGGAGACATAGATCAGAAGAAAACCAGAGATTCTCCCTCTTTTTAGGCATCACCCGTCCCCATTGCCTCGACTCACCCACCCATCACTCCATCACTTATACCGTCCATTCATGGGTATCTCAGCCTCCTTGCCCTTCCCCTTCCCCGCAACAACCACATTGCCATCTCCCCCTCCAACAATGACGCTCTCCCCCTTGGACGTACGCCCAATGACCATTCCCTTCGCCACGCTCTTGATGATCGCCCGTCTCGACACACCCGTCACGTCAATATACACCAACCCGACATTCTTAATCCCACCACTCAAGCTCCTCGTCACCTCCCCAGCCTCAGGCCCATACTTATGCGCAACCACCGTGGTCGCTGCCTCCGACGTGCTCGCAAGCAACGTCCTCCCCGCTTGCTCCACGCCATCCATGACAGTCGAAAAGGCCATAAACGACTTGTTCAACAACCCTGGCTTATAAGTAGGCAGTGGCTTCCCATCCGGACCATAACCCTTCTTCCTGGGCTCGCCATTCTTACCCTTAGGATGCCCGCCCAGCGTAGCGCCAAAGTTCTGCGCAGCCCTGGTGATCTGCCCAACCGTCTTGGCCGACAGGCTGGCCGCACTACCAGTGAAGGCGCTGATGCGGCGGATGTGCTCGCGCGTAGTCGGCTTGAAGGTGATGGGCTTTGTGGCGGGAGCGTGCTTGCGGGTGTAGTTCTCGGCCTCGGCCTGCAGGATCTTGCCGACCATTTCTGCGCCGGCGATGATCAGGCGCGACGCGGCGTAAGCGTTGGAGACGAGCTTGGATTTCTTGTAGGCCGGGTGCAGCTCGGCTTCGAAGAGCTCGGGGGATATGGGTGCGATGTTGATCTTGTTGCTACCGTCAGTTGGGAGGGTGATTTCGACGGGGTCTGGAAACAGTCAGTAAGTACTCGATCGCAATAGCAGCTAAACATCCGAACGCAGACATACCCTTTGATCCCGGCTTCAGCTTGCTATCCTCCACGATCTGGAACCCATCGCCTAGCTCCCCAATGACGCTCCCATCCTCCTCATCAACGAGCACAATCTGCCCGGGCACACCCCCCGACTGACTCCCCCGAACATAGCCCTCACCAGGCTTAAAATCAGCGGGGTTATACGGCGGCAGCTGCTCGCCAGCCGCATACGCCGTCTTCGCAGCCGCCGAGCTCCCACTCTGCTCATCCACCTCCCACCAATTCGGCGACTCCTCCTTCTTCAGCTTCGGCGGTGGTGCCCTCTCCAGGAACGCCGTACACTGCGCGAGGATCGTCTCGAACGTATCCACGTCTTCCTGGACTCCCGGCCGACTGTTCAGCGGGGGGAATTCGATGCGTGTAAACGCTCCGCTGTTTGGGCCCAGGTCCCATCGCGGGATCAGATAGCTTGTCGGCGGCTGGTGGTAGATCTGGGTTGTCGCTGGCAGCGGCAGGTCCAGCTCTGGAGGGAGGTGCAGGTGCAGGTAGAAGTCTTGTTCCGCGACGACGTCCTGGTCTGGGTCGATGGCGGGGTCAGCGAAGACAGAGGTCGTTGGGACCATTAAGAGGGAGAGAGTTTGGGGCCCTGCGGGAGTGAGGGGCTCCTCGCGCCCGTGGACGATGTGGTAGGCTTTGACACCATCAATGGCGTAGAGGAGCTTGGGGTCCTGGTGTCGCGGTGTTAGTGGACGTCGCCTCTACGTATCCATTGCTGATCAACAGGAAAGTACTCACATTGTGACTCGACGCCATGGTTGATTCTTTGATTCTTTCGTTCTTTCTCTCGACCTCCAGAGGAGAAAGAGTGCTGGGCGGGCTGAAACGGCTGCCCTAAAAGCTGAGACGCTGGCGCCGGGACGGCAGCCAATGTGGCGATGCGGGGTCGGGTTATCTGGTCTTAGGTACCAGGTAAGCGCAAGGTAGGCTGCTCCTCTCGGAGCGAAGGCACTCTTCGCAGTAGTAGAAAATACTGAAAGGGAGTAAAACCGGGAATTTCTCTGCGATTGACCCGATGTGATTGAGCTGTTGGTATGTAAAAAAAAAAATAGCACCGTAAATTCGAGGTTGCCGATGCTAAGAAAGCAGCTACGTCGTCCTAGAAGGAGTGAAAACCGCAGGAGATAACAGCACAATGTGTGTGATTGTGACCTCAAAACAGGCAATTTCGTCAACAAGGCTGGTCCAGAGAAAGTTTCAAACCCAAGGCGGGGTTGCTTCTGCGTCCTGCGTCGATCCCAAGCGAAAGCAGAGGCAAAGTTGAAAATAGAAGCACTGTACTGCTGCACTGCAAGTCAATCAAAGCAACCACCATCGAAAATCCTCAACGAATCGACAACCAACCCCCTTGCCGGGAGTGCACCCCCGCGGCAAGCAAGGCGCTTAGAGTCGACGTATGTGTGGAGCAGCCGTGAGGCCTCTCAAGCCCCGCAACGTCATTGGGCGCGCCGCAGCACGGGCGCGCATCCGCCACACTTTTGGCTCTTTTCTCTTTTGAACATTTGGCGTGCCTCGGATTGGGAACACACAGGGAAGCTTTGCAATGGGCATCCTGAGTCTGGCTGTCTTCACCTGGCTCGGTGTGTGAGTGCGTGTGTGTGTTCCACAGTCAGGTCAGAGCAGCGTGGGACGACAACAACCTCCGGTCCTCCGGCATCGATTTAAAGGTGGAATCCAGCTGAAGCTGAAGCCAAAGCTGAACCTGGAGCCGCAGCCGCACGTGGCCGGCCATTTAGGCGACCCTCAAGATCAGGGCTCAACTCAGATGGCCTGCGGGTGCAACGTTCGCTGATGCTTCTGCTGCTTGGCTCTAACTCTGCTGCTGCTGCTGCTGCTGTTAGTAGGCATATAATTACATAGAGACCTGTATGCATGCTGATGGCTGGCTGGCCGGCCGTGCCATTGGAGAAGCTATAGTAAAGCAGCACAACACAGCATAGCTTTGCCTTCCTCCTCCTCCCTCACCTATAGTTTACTTGCCTCTATGCATGGTAGACCCCATACTGCTTACGAAAAACATGCCTTGCGTCGTCATCATCGCCGAAGAGTCATCTCGTGGAAGCCGACACAGACCGACCGAAACCATCTAGCTGTGACCGTTTCAGACTCCCGCCAGCACGTGGCTATGCAGCAATGGTTTCGGGGATCTCCTCCAAGTTTCTGGCGAAGGAGAGGATCTGAGGAACGGTTCAGCAGCCCACTGCCAGTTTCGGTAGCCCTGCGTTGCCGCTCATGCTGCCGTTTTGACGCCCACGAGCGACGCTGCAATATCACGATCACGATTGCGATTGCGATTGTGATGTGGTGGGCAGCAGTGTACCTGCTCTCTCATGTTCATCCTCATTTCACTTACTTCACATTACGACGGCGGGAGAGCACTGTGGCTGATGCTTGCTTGCTTGGAGGCTTGGGGCCAGTCTTGGCAGAGGGGCTTTCTCAGGAGAAAAGGCCCAATTCTGGTCACCATCTCGTGACACCGCCGAGCAATTTCGCCTTTTGGCACAGAAAAATCCGTTAAAACAGCAGCTCTCTAGCCCGAAAGGAAAAAAGAAAAAAAACAAAAATCTGGGATGCGGTGTGCCAGCAACTTTCTGATCGTGACCACTGGTCTACTCATCCTCATTTTCACAAACGGATGTGCGTACGCCGGGTACCCCGGCAGGCCGTGCCGTACCGAGCGAGATCGCTGTTTCGTTCCATGTCCTCCCGAGAAGCCCCACTAGACCTTCCACAATCGGATCCGGAGCTCGCATGCCGAAATCTTCCAAGTTTGAGGCAATTCCCGCAGCCTAGGTGGGTTGCGGATTGCAAGACGGGGGGGGGGGAGGGGCGCGCATCTGCTTCAAGGTCCTGGTACTGGCCTGGCCATGTCGCGGTGCGATTGCGCCGTGACGGCCGTGCAAAGAAAAGTTGGGCATGGCCATCGAAAAAGGCCGCGATTGCTCGGCGGTGGCTGGCACCAAGAGTGCAGAAACATTGGGGGGTTCTGCGTCACGGCGACATCGGGAGACAAGTGATCCAGCTGGGTCGAATCAGAGCAGCCACTGCGGCCGAGTGGCTGCAGACGATCCCGAGTCGGCTTCGCTTTCGTTACGGCGGGCCATGCCCGCAGGTGCCGGTACACCACATACCGTTAACGGTTAACGTTTTGCTTAGCTACATAGCTACCACGCACGACACACCACATGTCACAGCACGCAGTGGAGGTCGCTACCATTATAGCCTGCCGGTAGGCTTGTGTCAGTCCTTCGATGTAGGGAGTAAGTAGGGCCGTAAGCATCTCGTGCTCCATAGCGCGCATATGGCATCTCGCATCTCTCCTGATCGTGCCGTGGCTTCTGTCGCACACTTGTGTGTCGTGCAAAGAGACAACGGCCCACACATCTGAACCATCATTTCTTGCCCGGTCTTGCTGAGGTGACACTCCGTCACCCCAAAGCGCATGCCCAATACTGCAGCAAGTCAAACCCGTTCCGGCAATCTGATCGCGGTATTCCGAATCTCCCAACAGAGACGCTTGCCGGCAGAGCTCCTGGGGGCCGACGGAAAGACAGGCCTGGTCTGAGACCGGGCCATCAACTGCTGCTATGTGCTGCTGAATTCTGCAGCTTATACCTGAGGTGTCTGACACAGATGGGCATCTGCAGCACTAGTTTAGTAGAGCATGGCTTCCCAAGAGCACTCTTTTATTTATCTCTTTGGACTCCTTCTCCAGGGACATTTGGTCCAACAGCAGGAGCCTGTACCTCCGTCCCTAAGCCCCCCATATCGTCCCCCCGGGCCACCCGACGGCTGGCTCCCTCTTGCTGGCCGAGAAGGGCAACACAGGTGGTGTGCTGAAGAGGTCCAGCCTTGTCCATGGCAGAGTTCGATGGAGTGATAACCGGGCGCCGAGAGGTCGTGTAGCACTTCCATCCGGCGGCCAGCCAGCCAGCATCGAAAGTATGGCGTGTTCAGAGCAAAAAAGCGGGCTCGGGCAGCCTGGTATGTCTTACTTGGTATTGTGCCCAGCAGAGGGCATGTAGGGCGGTCGGGCGGTCGGATAGCGATGGGCAGTTGGGCACATGCGATGACCGAACACGACATGGTACAGCCTTGAGGTCGTGTGCAGGGCCTGCCGATCCTCTTCTCAGCACCGAGGAACACAAAAAGGCCACGGTAGGTCATCACGGCAGGCCAAGCAAGATAGGAGTGCCCTGAGCGCTGGTTCGCTGGGGGGGGGGGGATGAGAAACATCGTGTCCATCGCCGATGGGGCCCGGCCATCCAGCGCCCATCATCATGTCTCATGGCCCTCAAGACCCGCCTACCCATGAATGCCATGCTCCATGCCATGCTCCATGCCGTGCTTCGTACCCTGATGCGTTTCATTGATGGTCTTGGCCCGGAGAATATGCGAACGCTGCCCGTGGAATGTGTGGAAGGTGTGGAATGCAAATCCAAAGTCATGCCCCAGACTGGTCGGGCAAGCTGCCATGCGACCCAGGACGCTCTCACCTCAGCTGTACAGTGTTCGCTGATATTTCTGGCGGGGGCGGGGCCATTTGAGCGTCGCGCTGCCAGCGGGCAATGGGGGCATGGACTCGGCGCCAAGCCGCTGGCGCAGCGAAAGCCGTCCTCTTCTCGTCCCGATGGCCGCATCGGCGTCGTCGGCCAAAATCGCTGAAAACGGCCCACAACAAGATTGATGTGGGTGGGCAGCATTGTGCCATTGGGGCTAGAACTTGGCATTGACGCCGGCTAGCTTGGTGAGGTAAGGGAATCGAGCAGCGTGAGTAATAACCCCCCCCCCCCCAAAAAAAACCTTCGGTAAAAGTAGCGTGTAATCCGCAGTTGAAAGGCAGGGAGGGATACAGAAGATATATCGAATATCGAATATCGCTGTGCCCGCTCTTGCCCATTTGTGCGCAGCTGTCATTGTCATGTTAAAAAAAATGAAAGATGATAGTGGTCAAACACACACACCAAGATGGAAACAACTCCAGTGGCGACTGCCCACCTCGGGTCTATGTGGAGGATGCTCCCGTCCACACTGGCAGGAACGGTGCTGCGGTGTTGGCCGGGCCGTCCCCAGAGCTTGACTCCGGGAAAAGAGCAGGGGCCAGCGCCTAGCAGCCACTGCCTGGGCCTTGCCCTCTTGGCACTTGGCGTTTGGTTTGACCTGCCTGGAGCTCCTGCTCCGTGTCCTCCACATCCCCCGCACTGGGCGACCGGCGATGGCTGCCAGCAGCCAGACTGCAGCAGCTGTCAGTCAGTTGTCAAACGGCGGTTTGTCGGTCAGAAAGTCTTTACTGGTCAATCAGCGACAGTGGTTTCTCCAGCAAAAAGAGCGCAGAGGGGCCATTTCGGCTTTGCAGCGGCCTGTCGCCTCCCGTGGATGGGATCGGGCACAGTGCGGTTGGTGAGACTCCATCTCATCTTGGACGATCCCATCACTTTCACCCTCTGGTCTCTCCGTCCACACCCACCCCAAGCCTAAGCCCACGCTCCTTCGTTTCATTCATCAATTAGATTATCGAAAAGCAGCAGAGGTTAAGGTAGCCCCTCGCCCCTCCACCCCCGTGCATCCATCCAATCTCGGTCGCATCGCATCGCAGCTTGCCCCAGCTCTCCAGCCTGCCCTGCCGTCACGCATCATATCCATTGCCCGTCGGTGCTGCACCGAGCACCGAAGCTCAGTCAGGTCCCCGTTCAGTTCAGTTCAGTTCAGTTCAGTTGAGCGCAAATTGCAGGGATCGTGTGCATGCCCGGCTGCCACAAGCTTATCTAGAGCCTGCATCGTGGGGACAAGTGAACGCTGCGTTGTGGGCTACGGAGCACACCAAACGACACACCAGCACCGAGCCCGAGCCTGCGCCCGCTACTTACACTCAATCGCTCACTCAGCACTCAACATACTTCTAGTCAAAGAGGCCAGGATCCCTCGGGTCGTTTTGCCGCGACGGCCACGCTTCTCTGCGTCCCCTCTTCCACTTCAACCCCATCAACCCACTGATCTCCAGGTCCCGGCGTGCTTCACCTCTGCCAGGCCTGCCGACGTTGCCGACGCTACCGACGCTACCGACGCATAATTGCTGTGTGCATCCCGTGTTTCCGTTTTCCGTCCACACGTCCACACGTCCACAGCACAGAACGCGCTGCCCCAGCCAAATCAAGTCAAGCCACTCCAGCGTGCTGCCCGCTTCCAAGTTCTGTTCTGTTTGCGACATTCAGCTTCTCAAGCAGTACCAGTATTATCCTATTCTAAAGCTCCAAGCAAAAAGCACAGGGACGACTCGGGTCCCACAACTGTGCAGCTGTTTGCTCCAGCCCGGCCTCTCCATCCCACACCCTTCCGCACACCTACCATTCGCCCTCGCGCCGTCTCGCTACCTGCTGCTCGCTGCAAATTGTTGCAGCTTGTGTGTTCATCTCCCGCCGCTGCGCCTCGGGCTCTGACTCGCGAGTTTGAACTTTGTGCTCCAGTGCCTGACCTACTACTCGCTGCTACTGTCGTTGCTGGACGGTTCCGTTAGCTGCTGCTGCTGCTGCTGCTGCCAGACATTGCATCTGCAAGCCATACTGCCTACCTATCTGCCTTCTGCCTCCATACACCGGTCTAGCTCCCGCTTCGGCTCCGGCTCCGGCTTCAGCTCAACCGTCCAGTGCAGTCGAGACTCGAGTCCGACAGAAGCTCCCCATTCCCCCGAGCACATTTCTCCTCCCACGCACTGTCGCGATCCCGTGTCGCCCTCGTCTGCGTCTGCTTCGCGCTCCAACCGCAGTCGACTCGAGTCGACCAACAAGCAACAAGCAGACTTACTCCGTGATATTGTCTCTATCCGCGCAGGAGGCCAGGAAGTGGAAAAGGAAGGCAAGGAGGACAGGACCAGACAGGACCAGACGGGACCACGGATTACTGGCCGCCAGGAGGCACAAGACGCACAGAGTTGCTCCCCGCACCCACTCACTCGTCCGGCTTCCCGCCGTCGACGGCTACTTGCTCCGCTGGTTGATGCTGTAACACGCTGCACAAGCTACCTGTCCTTGGGAGCTCTTCGTCCAGTCTCAGGCTGCTGCTGCTGTTGTCTGTTATTGCGTTGCCCGCAGCCCCCGAAATCACGCCCTTTGTCGCTTGCGCAAACGGCTCAAACACCTCGCGCTACACGACCGTGTCGCCCCCGACCCTGACCCTGACCCTGCTCTTTTGCCCTCTCACGTTTTCGAGTTGAGCAGCCTGAGCAACCTGAGCGGCTTGAGAAATATCTTCGGTACCGTCGCCTCGTTTCTCCTGCGTATTTAGCTCGCACCGGCCACTCGCGGTCCGCCCCGAGCTCACGCCGACCGAACATCGAGTCTCGGCCCTCCCTTCCCGTGCCCGCATCGCTACCCGCCGAGCGGCCTTTGCAGCCGCCTGTTGCACTGTGCAGTGTGGCCCAGGGAAGGCCCCGTTTCTCCCACTCACGTCTTTTTTTTTCTTTTTTTTTTTTCGTTGTTTGCCTTTAGCGGGTCCCTCGCGCGACCCAACCCGCCGTCACGATTGCTTCCCAACTGCGCATCCAGTCTATCCTCTCCCCTCCCGAGCCGCCTGACTCCGATGCGGCTTCCCCGACACCCACCTCCGCTCAGCACCAGCACCAGCATCAACAACAGCCACATCCAAAGCGCAAGTTCCACGACGCCTTCGCCCCCGCGGCGCCCGATGTGCCCATCGAGCCAGCGACGGTGCCCGAGCAGCAACATACCGCCGCCCATCATCCCCCGCAACCCCCTCAGCCCATCCAGCCCGAGCGTTTGCCCAACATTCGCCAACCGCTGCCTCGTAGCCCGCCACGCCCCGCCGCGGTCGGGGCTGTCCGCACTCAGGGCTTAACCGCTCCCCCTGCTCCCTCCCCCGGCGAGGATGACGGTAGGTCCCCCGGGGGACAGCAGCCGACCATGATGGCGGCTGCCGCAGCCAGCCCGAGTAGTCCGGGAGCTGCCCCAGACTTCAAGAAGGGCATCAAGCGTGCCCCCTTGAGGTCCAGCATCGCCTGTCACCGCTGCCGCAAGTCCAAGATAAAGTGCAACAATACTGGTGGCGATGCCCCTTGCGATACCTGTATCCGGAATGGCAAAGAGTGTACCTACCCCGAGGTCGCTCCGGCGCCCCCTAAGCGGTCCGAGCCGGCCACGGGCCCCAAGCTGGACCAGGGCTCCGAACGCAAACGCCCACGCCGCACCGAAGATGTGGTCCGCGCGAGCGATGCCCTCTCGGGTCCTGCTATCGCCGAAGAGGTCCTCTCGGCCAAGTTCCTTACCGAGACAGTCTGGAACCAGTTGTTCGACATCTACCGGTTGCACTTTGCCACCGAGCTGCCCTTCATCCACCTTGCGACCCTCAAGGAAAAGTTGGGCAACAGGTTCCGGTCCAAGCCCAGCGACACAGCCCCTGACTTCAACCTCGTGCTGCTGGGCATCCTCACGCTAACAGCGCGCTTCCATACCACGCTGGTCTCCTACATCACAGCGCGCAGGAACAGCGAACTTGTCTCGCCCGTGCAAAAGAGCCGCTCATCCGGGCCCGCGAGCGATGCTGCCAGCGCGTCAGAGTATTATGCTGACATCCTCACCAAGGCCCTTGGTGGTCTCCGGATGAGCATGACAGTAGCCTCGGTCGAACGCGTCCAGGCTTTCTTGATGTTAGGCCTCTATGAGTGGAGCCAGGCACGGCCCCGAGTCGGCGGGATGGCTGCCTGGATGTATGTGGGTGTTGCCATCCGCATGGCCCAGGCCCTGGGCCTGGGTGATGGTGACCGGGAACCCAGCAGGGTCAGTTTCCACAAGCGGCAACAGACATCTCTGGACTCAATACCCCCGGGCCAGAGGATCATTGCCAAGGAGATTAGAAGACGGACCATGTTCAGCTGTCTGATCTTGGACCGTCTGTTGGGTTGTGGCAAGGATCGCGTCTCGACCATCCGTTCGGAGGACCTGCAGATCCAGCTACCCTGCTCCGAAGTCTCCTTTGATCTTTCTGAAGAGGTCTACACTGGCTTCTTGAAACCGTTGCCGGGCCAGAAACCGGATGACAATCGCAAGATCAGCGACAGCGTTCTGGGCCGCTTCGTCCGGCTCGTTGATCTCTGGGGCGAGATCTCGAAGTGGAGTTTTGCCGGCGGTCGCTTTACGGAAGAGCATCCACCTTGGTCCCCCGACTCGACCTTCTACCAGCTGAGGGCGAAGCTTGAGGCCTTCTACGAGGACCTGCCGGAGCACTTCCGATGGTCGCAGAGCAACTATTACAAGCATGAAAATCATCAAGCAAGCAGCGTCTATGTCTCGCTGCACATGCTCGGCAGCATATGCCGCATCATGCTTCATCGCGAATACATTCCTTTCATCCCGATTCTCTGCGACAGGCCTATCGGCCCGCTCGACGAGCCCACGTTCCCGGCAGGGCAAGAGCCTTCTGGATTCTGGGAGACCAGTGCCGAGCATGTCTTCGACGCTGCCAAAGTAATTGTCGATCTCACTGAGATTTGCAGGGAGAAGCTGCCCATGTCGTCGCTCGTCCTGTTCGCCGTGTGGACCGCAGCATTTGTCGGCATCTACGCCGTCCACTTCCCCCACATGGACACTAAGGAGCATATGCTCCCGAAGGATGTCGTCGGCGACCTAGACGTGATGAAGGACGGCCCAACCGGACTCATGTACAAAATGCTGAGTCATATGGCCACCTACCTCAAGATGGCCGAGACGTACGTCACCTACTTCCGCGAGATGACGTGCTTCTACGAGATGGTCAAGCAGGATTACGAGCGGTACAAGGGCAGGCGACCGCCAGCCAGCAACTCGGGCGAAACCAAGTTCAGCGTTCGCATGGGCGGCGGCGGGCTCGAGGAGTGGAGGCAGCAGGCCTTCAAGGTGGTCAACAACGGCGAGATCCTGGCCGTCGATGAGGACAAGCACAGCTCCTCGCGCGCGAGCACCGTCGAGCCTGCGTCGTCGGTCGGCCCAGACAGCATGCACGCCGACCACGCCAAGACGCCGCGCTCAGCGTCCATGTCCTTCACGCCCATCAACAGCGCCCATCTCTCGCACCCCTCGCACCCCTCGCACCCCTCACACCCGGACCCTTCTGACCCTGAGACTGCTGCTGCCTCTGCCCTCTGGCGCTTCCAGCAGCCGCTTCAGCAACACTCCCCACAGTCTGCTGGTGCCATGCCCAGCCCGCAGCTCTCACACCCCCATCCCCACTCGCACCATCCACACCCGGTCCACCCTGCCACGGCCGGTCAACAACAGCAGCAAGTGGCACTCGCCATGCCCAAGCTGCCGGCCTACTCGTCGAGCGAGGTGGCGTCGTACCTGGAGCAGAACCAGTCGATGCCATGGAGCTTGGCGCCCGGCGGCGTTGACCAGTTTGCGTATGGAACGGATGAAACGGCGCCCGTGGAAACGGGGAATCCCTTCTGGGGAGGGAATTTCCCTGCGGAGCCGTGGATGCTGCAGCAGGTTACGCCGTTGCATCATGTTTAGATAGGAAAAGGGGGGGGAAGGGAATCGGATTAAGGTGGGGAAGGTTGAGATAATGAAATGAAATATGGGCTGGTTTCGTTGGTACTCTTGCATGGAGAGGCGGTTTATTTTTTTTTTGTTTTATCTTGAGGTGTTTTTCTTGGATAGCAAGAAGGACAAGAGGTAGTTTCTCATCATGGAGAGGTTTATGTGATATGCAGGGCGTCTGTTCTGAATCTGATACTGACAATGGCCGACATGGGAGAAGAGAGGGGACATCAAAAACGGAGGTCTTAAGAAAGACGAGAGATCTACCCTAGGTAGTATGAGACGGGTATCTACCTTATGATATCGTGGATGTATCGGCTTTTGGTTATTCTTGGTTTCCTGTTCACATGCATCTCTTTCATTTGGCTTGGTTATTGGTAATCTAAGTGATTACGCATAAATAGCTCCTCGCTCATGTCATAGTCTTATCATCATCATCATTCCCATCCTCTCCCTCACCATTATTACCATCATTCTTGGATCTTGAGAGGACAAAAAGCTATTACACCTAGGCAATTAGATACCTTTCTATTATTACAACAACTGCAGGTACTACTACTCATTCAACTACTGAGACGAAAGGATCCAGGGAGGGTAGTTTACTACTACTAGGTTAAGTAAGGAAAGGCGGTCTGCACCTAAGTCATTGATTTGTTCACTCCAGTTGGTGTACCCTTGCCTCTCATCGTCTGCTGTGATGTGCTTCCTTAGTGGGAGAAAGGTAAAAACCCCGAATTGTCTGTCTTGTCTCTCAAGTTTGTCTTACTTCAAGATAAGAAGGCAGGGGCGGCTACCTCGGCAAGTCTAAGACCACCAGGATCATCGAGAGGAGATTTTCCAAGTTTGCTTTTTTCTTTCATGAGAAAAGATGTGGCTGGTAGAGGAGAAAAGCGACAGTGACGAGTTTGCGTTTCCACAGGTGATGACCCGTTGACGTTGGCCAATGCTCTCTAAGGTGATAGGATATAGGAGCTGCACTGACAGATCAGCTCATGGGCATGACACGCATGTAGAAAAGAATGTGAGACCTGTTTGTGTTGCTCTTTACGAGCCCTGAGCATCGAGAGCCCCAACAGCCTCTCTTTCTCTCTCGACCCTAACCCTGATATTGGACATGCCTTTGCAGCTGACATCACCCTGGAAAGGGACAGCGCAACTGTGTTGAATATTACTAAGCCAGTATCTGATATTATTCTAACATCTTCAGCCTCCGTCATGTGTATCACACTATTACGAACTGTTACACTCACGGCACAAGTGACATATCAGAAGTCAACATCCACCATGAAGCAGTGCCAAGGGGTAAGGTTTTTGGGTGTTACACGCATCATTGGCCGAACCAGAGAGACTCTGGTAAACTTGTATTCAGTTCCCAGATGCAATTCCGATTTCTGCGTGCACTCAGACCGGGTCGAGACTTTTGAGGTTCTTACACACCTACTCTCAGGTCGAACATCTCATGTCTCATATGTTGTCCTTCTCAGGAGTCTCATCCGAGATGCTATTACCGGAGAAAAACCCTAGGCGCCCAAATTCTCCCCTCAACCCTCGGGACCAGGACCTATCATCAACTGGGCCCATCGGCCCGTTCCTACACCGTTCCTGCAAGAACTGGGGCCCAGATTCGGCTTTTTGTCAGCGACGACAAACAGCGCGCTAAAGCCACCAGTCCCCACGGTCCCATGTGAAATTGTGAATGCCCTCCATTGCTGACGCCGATGAGAGCTTCCAGACCGTTTCTAGGGCTCAAGTTTTTCCGCCAAAAAATGTCGTCTCCGATAACGCCGATGATGAGCTAACCGGTTTGTCTCCCAAAGGGGTAACGGGAATCGAACGAGATGACGATGACAGGCAGGCAGGCAGCAGAAGGCGCATCGTAGATCCGAGCGCCACCCCGGCTCCCGCTATGCGGAGAGGATCCAACTGCTAATACTAGCTTGGGTTGGGGAGGGACCTTTAGCGCTTGCACGATGCTTGTGAGACAGGGCAGAGAAAACCTTTTTTAGAAGGGCTCCTGCCCAGCGGTTTCTCATCCCACGCTCGTGCCTGTGCGTGGCAGATACTCCGTTCCAGCTCACCATGGCGTCCGCCGACGAGAAGAGCACCCTCTCCCTGATGCAACAAGCTGACAATGGCGCAAGTATGGCCCGCACCGGGCAGTCAGCTAGCTCCGTGTCCCCGGAGGGCACCGACACGACCGGGTCAACCGCCACGGCAGAGGCTCCGACCCCGACCCAAGACAATGCCGACGCCGAGAAAGCCGGCGCCAAGCCGGCTAACACCTTCGGCGAACGCCCGGCCTGCTTCAGGAACACGGTGCAGGAAGGGGCGTTCGTGTTCCAGGCGACCATGGCGACCGCCACATCGTCCTTCTCCCAGGGCGCCAGCGCCATCATCACCGCGTCCATTGGGCACTCGCTCGACATGACGCAGGGCCAGATCACGTGGATCACAGCGTCAACGGCGCTCACGGCGGGCGCGTTCCAGCTGGGATTGGGACAGTTGGCGGATCTATTGGGGAGGAAGGCGACGTTTATTGTGGGGATGGGATCGTTCAGTGCATTTTCGTTGCTCGTAGCGTTCGCGCAAAATCCGTTCTGGATGGATGTGGTGTGTGGGATTTTGGGAATCAGCTCGGCCATGGTGGTGCCACCGGCGATTGGGATTATGGGTGCGGCGTACGCAACGCCGTCGAAGAGGAAGAACTTGGCGTTTTCGGCGTTCAGTGCGGGAAACCCGTTGGGATTTGTGTTCGGGAGTATCGTTAGCGGGATTGCAACTATGATCTTTAACTGGAGAGCGGCTTACATCTTCATCGCCATTCTGTGGGTTATCTTCACGCTACTAGCGATCTGGACGATCCCCAAGGTCGAGGCATTCCCCCCGGACCAACCGTTCAGGGAGAGGCTTAAGACGTTCATGAAGACGTTCGACTTCGTCGGTACTGCGTTGACTATCTTTGGCACGGGTCTTCTGACGGCTGGCGTTACGTAAGTCTTGCAAGTCTTGCCAAACCTGTTCAACGCTGACCTGAAACAGTATTGGACCGGACGATGAGTGGAAAGGCAAATGGGTCATCGCGCTGATCGTCATCGGCGTCGCCCTGCTCGTCATCTTTGCTTGGTGGGAAACGGTCTATCCGACGCCCCCGATGCCACCGCACATCTGGAAAGACCGTAACTTCACCTTCGTACGTCGTACTATCACAACATCTCTGTGAGACACGCGCTGACAGAAGCAGATCATTCTGAGCTGTCTGCCAGGGTACATGTCGTTCATCTCGTCGCAGTTTTGGCTGTCCTTCTTCATGCAAGAGGTTCAGCACCTGAAGCCGCTCACAGTCGCCGTCCACTTGCTGCCTCAAGCGATCGCCGGGCTAATTTATAATGGCATTGCTGGCTCCGTACTGCATCGCATCAACAACACGTTGCTGTTGGTTATCGGGTCGTGTGCATACGTCGCCGCGGCAGTCCTGCTATCCGTGATGAAGCTCAACAGTCCCTATTGGGCCTTCATCTTCCCATCGCTTATCCTGGCTGTCGTCGGCGCCGATTTCCAGTTTAATGTCGCCAACGTAGGTCCCCCCCCCCTTCTTCTGTGGCTATCTTGTGGTCAAGGCTGACGATTCGCAGATGTATGTGATGCAGTCATTGCCGCCGCATCAACAGGCACTCGCTGGTGGTATTTTCAACACCATCTTCCGGCTGAGCAGTGCGATTGCGTTGGGTCTGTCGACAGCGGTATTCTCCTCAACGAAGAGCTCGGCCGCGGCCATGGCCGATATCATGGTGCCGTATGAGAAGGCCTTTCAGGTGTCGATTGGGCTGAGCGCTGGTAGCTTCCTGTTTCTTCCGTTTGTCAGGCTTGGGACGCAGGGCCATGCGCCCAAGAGTGTGGATGCCGACACCTCTGATGGTATTCAGACGCCGAGTGTGGTGTTGGAGGGGGAGAGGAGTAGAGGAGAAAAGCAAGAGAGTGTCAGCGAGAGGGAGAAGATATAGATTCTCAAGGGGGAATAAAGGTTAGAGTTCAGGTTGAGATTGCAGGTCTGAGGAAAGTTGCAATGGGAAGGAAGAAGCCACTGAGTGACTGAGTGGGAGTCGTGCGTCGATTCTGTGACTATTCGCACTTGGATATTCAATGTTGTCCAATGTCATGAAGCAAACAATCACAATGGTCTTTAGACAATATAGAGCTAGTAATACACTGTAGGAGTTATAGGTCGGTCATAGTGCAACCATAGACAAACGGCAACATGCATGAGCCTCAGCAAGCTATGCAGCTTGTGGTTTTGTGGGCGGAAAAGATGTCAAACAACAGGGCTCACCGCTTAAGTATCAACGCCGTGATGCTTGGGCCAAGTGAGCGGAGTTCCGATGAAAGGAGAGTGATTATGAATCTGGCGAGGCTTTTATTTTTTATTTTTTTTTTTGCTTATAGCATCTGTTAACATTCCTTTGCCTACACGCATACACCTAGTCATTCACTCGACTTCCTTGACTCCATTCATTCGCTCATCCATATCACTGCTGCCCACGTCTTTATCTTTCACTTGTACATACATTGGCTTCCGCTTACATTTCCCGAGTTATTGTATATTGTGCTATTTGTCTCGGGATGAGCGGTTGACCGACATGGCCTTCCAAGTTTTGTTGTGGATTCTGCTCGCCTGGGCGACTTTCTTGCCAACCCAAGCCCTTCTAATCACCCCTGATGACATCTCCCGTCTTCTTCTTCCAGCCTACGACTACATCATAGTTGGCGGCGGCGTGTCTGGTCTTGTTGTGGCTAATCGGCTGAGCGAAGACCCTGAAGGTCGGTCGATCTTTGGTACTGACGGGGCATGAAGCTAACAAGATATAGTGACTGTACTCATTCTTGAGGCTGGTGACCTGTACGTATCCGGAAAAAAAAATTTGCTCCTGAAGACTCTTCCTAACGCTACCTAGTGACTCCTGTTCTGAAATCGTCACTGTCCCTGGCCTCATCGGCCACGGCTTCCCTCCCGCGTATAACTGGAACTTCACGACTACTCGCCAGGAGTTCCTCGACAACCGAACCAGGGACTATGGTCAGGGTCATGTTGTTGGTGGTGGCAGCATCCTTAACGGGATCGTCATGACGAGGGGCACGGTGGCCGACTACAATGCCTGGGAAGCCCTGGGCAACCCTGGCTGGGGCTGGAAGGGGCTCTTGCCGTATTTCAAGAAGGTGAGCATTGTCCTGATGCTCGTATCATGACAGAATTTTTCCTGACAGACATCAGAATGAGCGCTTCGAGGCCAATTTCCCCCAAGCACATGCGGATACCCTGCCGATTAGGCCTGATCTCACGCTCCACGGTACAAACGGTCCCCTCGAAGTGACCTATCCCAACTACCTCTACAACCAGTCAAGTACGTAGTCTATCATGACCAATGCCGCCGATCTTTGCTAACTTGTCCAGGCAACTTCCTGCAGGGCTTCTCCGAGCTTGGCATGCCCGTTCAGCCCGACCCAAACACAGGTGCCCTATTGGGAGCCATGATTGTGCCCGCCAGCATGTTGGCCAAGAACCAGTCCCGCCACGACGCTAGGAGGGCCTACCTCGATCCGGTACTGCATCATCGCCCTAACCTCCATCTGGCTGTTCAGCAGACCGTTACGCGGCTGCTGCTTAGGACGGAGGAGAACAGCACGATCGTGGCACCGCATTTTGGGAGAAGGGTGGCTGTGGCATATGGAGTTGAGGTAAGTTTTGAGCATGAGATCGGACTCATAACACGGCTAACAGATGCGCAGTTCACGACATCCGCGGAGGAGCCTCGCCGGACCGTGTCATGCAACCACGAAGTCATCCTCGCCGCTGGAGCCATCGTCTCGCCTGCTCTGCTACAGGTCTCGGGAATCGGTCCTGCGCCAATTCTCAACGAGCTGAACGTCTCGGTGCATGTCAACCTGCCAGGCGTTGGCTTCAACTTGCAGGACCACGCTATGGTCGGGGCGTTCTACAATTGTATGCTCTCTTAACCACCTACCGCTCACAAATGTGCACGGCTAACGTCACAGACACCAAACCCGGCCTCTTCACCGAGCACTCACTCGTCGGCCCCGTCCTCGAGCGAGCCAAACAAGAGTACTCCGCCAACCGCACAGGTAAGGCCCTTAGGCTTCCCAGTTGCCCCCCCCCCCCCTTTCCCTCTCTCCTCCTCACCCATCAAAACTAACTTTTCCCTAGGACCCCTAACCTCCCCCCTCATAACAACCGTTGCCTTCACTTCCCTCCACGCCCTCCTCGCCAACGACACGAATCACCACCCCTTCTTCAACACCATCGCGAACCTCACCTCCCCCACCTTCTCCCTGCAATCCCTACCCCCCGGTTCGGGCCGACACACCTCGCTCGTCCGCGGGTATACCGCCCAACTCGCCGTCTTGCGCAAACTCCTCGCCCGGAAAGACCTCCCCGCTCTGGAGATCATGGCCGATTCGATCGGCACATTGACGGTTTCCGTACAGAGGCCTCTCAGTAGGGGAAGTGTGAGGGCACTGAATAGGGATTTGCTTGCAGGGGAGAGGGGCGTAGCGGGCAACGTCGCCCTAGACCCGCGCTACTGTGCGCACGAGTATGATTGTGCCCTGTTAGTGCAGGCGTTGCGGTTCAACCGGAGGGTGATTGCCACAAAGGCGATGCAAGAGCTGATGCCTCGACCGGGAAAGCCGTGGGCTGATCCTGCTACCGTGGAGGATGCTGAGAAGACGTATGAGGAGGAGGGAGACAATGAGCAGGATAACGAAGCGCTGCTGGGGGCGGTCAAGGAGAGGATCCAGACCGAGTTTCATGTGTCGGGGACGACGGCGATGATGCCTTTGGATATGGGTGGTGTGGTGAATCCGAGGCTGGTGGTTTATGGGACGGCGAATGTTAGGGTTGTTGACGCGGGGATTATGCCGCTGGTCGTCGGGGCGCACTTGCAAGCGGGGGTATACGCTGTTGCTGAGAAGGTGAGTCTTCCCCGTGTTTTGAGCGTTGTGTAGGGGGAGAAGGTGTGCGCTAACTGTTAGACTCCCTCCCCCAGGCTGCTGATCTCATCAAGGAGGACCGGAAGGTCTGGCTAGGTCCTCCGTCTCCTGCCTCTATCCCGTCGCCAAGTGGCACGGTTTTCAACAAGGGTAATGGCATCTCAGGCCCAAAGGAGGGCAGAAACTGCACCTTCGGCATGAGCAGCCGTCCAAGTCATGGCCATCGTCATGATACTATGCATCGCAAGCCTGCTGCCTGATGTCCCACAAGAAAGGGGTTGGAGACCAGGGGTCACCAAGGGCTCTGCCGTCACCAGAAGTGATATCACTTTAAGGCTTCTGATGCCGCCTTTTTGAGACGATATGCCAGCTGACGATATATTGGGTGCCGGCATGTTAGAGGGTGTAATATCGTTCACTTGAGAGCACGGAGTCTTTAGGGTATGGATTGTCCTTAGGGGTAGCTATTAACCATATCAACTCGGCAGCATTAATGTTAGAGATCAAGGTAGTAGTAGTTAAATACAGCGAGCGCCCTTTCGGACATATCGTCAAAACCACCCAGCCAGACGTGTAGGAAGCAGCGTTTTACCTTAGAAGACGCAAGGAAAATATATTACCGCCCACCCATGGCAAAGAGTGTCAAGCTATCTATACGATTCCAACGCGACTCAGTCTTTCCAGGTCTTGGTATCGAATACTCAACTCAACAAACTGCAAGAAAGCAAGAAATGCGGGTATCAGTTCAGTGCATGCACGCATGCATGCAAACTGTCCATTGGCCACAGCCACAGTAAGGCAAGTCACTTCAAACCATTTTTATCCGTCCAGCAGGAACGCGAAACGATGAATAATAATGAATGGTGCAACTCCCTTCCTTTCCCCCGTCCCTTCCCTGCAGCCAATTTCTACTTTTAATAATAAATCTTCTCCTCCCAAACCGGCGGCCTCGTCCGCTCCTTATCCCAAATGAGCTTCCCGTCCTCGCTCAACGTACACCCTTCATCGGTGATGGGAATCACTCTGCTAGTATGCGCAACCTCTTGCTTGCTCACGCCAGCCGGATCCTCCGGGATCCACAGCAACGGTGCCGGGCTCTTCGTGTTGGGGGGATGGTACGCATTAGAAGCAACCTCCTCGGAATACTGCTCCAGCTGAATATGCCTTGGCACAAGCTTGCGCAGGACATAATAATTTGCATATATCCACGGCTGGAAGAAGCGCGTAAGGAAGTTACCACTGCGGTCGGTGACCTTGGCAGCCTGGCGCGCGGCGGCGACGTGGGCCTCGGTGTCATCGACGACACCGTCGTCATTGAGATCCTTGACCTCAGTCTTCTCGGCAGTCTCGTCCGCCGAGCGGGACGGGCCGACGCCAGCCTCGGGATCCATCAGACGGATCTCTTCCTCCTCCGAGAGCAGCGTGCGCGGCAGGTTGTACAGCAGGGGGTTGAGCGACGAGTTAAGGGAGATGTGGAAGAGGGCAGTGAAGACGAGGTAGATGACCATGAGGATGAGGGGGCCGGGCGAGGCGGAGGCACCGAACAAACCGATCATGCACAGCTCGGCGAGGTACAGGCCGGTAAAGAGCTGCTTGATGGCATACGGGTAGATCAGACCGCGGGTGTCGACCTGAGTGTCGGTGACGAAGAAGACGTTGTAGCGCCAGGCGATGTAGAAGAGGAACATGGCGATGGTGGCCCAGCCGAGCATCAGGGGGGCGATGCACGAGTAGGTAATGGCTGCAAAACGTTTTAGCGGGAAAGTTTCCAGACCCTAAAGAGCGGAGACATACCAATGACGGCAATGTTAGTGTAGATAGGCAGGGTGCTGCCCCACGAGATGGCGCTGAGCGTGGTCCACTTCTGGTAGAGGGCGCGAGGGGTGTTGGCCAGCAGCTTGTACATGAGGTAGAAGATGACGAAGCCGGTAATCTGGGTCAGCTCGCTGGTGGCGATGCTCAGACCCTGGACGATGAAGTAGGAAATGTAGAGATTGGACGCCTTGGGCAGGTTGTTGGCCAGGATGGACGTGGCGCTGGTCGGGTTGTCGACGATCTGCTTAGCCACAGCCGTAGCGGACGACGAGAGTGTTGTGACGAGGAAGACCTGGATGACCTGGAAGGCAAAATAGGCATTTTGCGTGAACAGCTCGATCCTCGACTGTGAGGGCTCGCCGGCAATCCTGCCGCACACTGTTGACAAAAGAGAAGTTAAATCAGCCAGGCTCAATGCTAACCCGCAACCAGGACAACTTACGGCGAATGATAATGGGAACCAGCGACATGAGAATAGACAGCATGACAGACGGCAACAGACCGGTAATAACACCGAGGATAACAGCGGGAATGTCCTTGATCCACTCGAGCCAGCTGATGGTAGCAAGGTAGTTGACGTTGCTGACAAGACCGACAAAGGCAACGGGAATCGCCCAGAATAGGATCATGGCGAAAATGAAGCCAAACACGATGTAGCGGCGGATAACCTTCTGCCACCACGGGATGGCCAGCGAGTCCCAGACAACCTCATCGGGGCGGATACCAACATACGACTGCATGTGATAGCCCAGGTGGTGAGCCAGCGTCTGCGAGGCGACCTCGGCATCGATCTGGGTCTTGAACTCGATGAATACGGCATTGATCCGCTTGTAGCCACCCGTGCGGTACTTGGCTTGGGCGGCATCGGCCTCGGGGACGAGACGGGCCAGCTGCTCACGGCACCAGTTGATCGAGTCGACCTTCTCACCCCACAGACCCAGAGGACCAAGACGGTGCGTCGGGCGCTTCTCGGCGGGGACCCAGCGAGCAGCAACGCTGCCAGACTCCTCATTGGCATGGTCGCCCACGATGGGGGCCTTCTCGGTGTCAGTGCCGTTCTTGATGGCGCGCTGCCGCAGCTTGTTGGCCAGCTTGATCAGGTTGACCTCGGCGTTCTCCAGGCGCATGGCGACCTTGTCGCGCTCAGTAACCAAGTCGTCGACCTCGCTGGTGTCGCTGGTGATCCAGACGCGGTTAACGGCCGAGCCAAAGACCCTGCGCAGCTTAGCCTCGGTCAGGTACGGCTCGGGAACGTCGGTGAACAGCACGGTACGCGACGAGATGCGCTCGGAGTAGAAGGGGCTCAGCAGGAAGGCCTGGCGTAGGTTGATGTAGAAGATGCACTCGCGCATGATCATGTACATGATGAAGCCGAAGTAGGCCCAGGAGACGAAGACGATGGCATAGTAACGGTCACTCTCGGTCTTGTTATCGATGTTGGCGTACGACAGGATGTCGAGCTGGCGTTGGCGGCCGCTACCAGTGGCGTTGACGGGGAATAGGATAGGCCAGGTGACGAGACAGCCGACGAGCATCATGATAAAGGCCTGACGCAGGAAGCGGATGTAGAGGTAAGCATCGAGCGACTGGTGCTGCAGCGCATAGATGTCGGGGATCTTCCAGAAGCTGAAGAACCAGTCGATGAAGCCGTTCGGCAGAGGAGGCGAGCGCTCGCTCTCGCGCAAGCTGCCCAGATACGTTCGAGGAGCATAGTAGCGGCGCTGAGTCCGTCGTAGGACCAGGAAGATAGCGAGGTATGCTCCCGACATCACGGCCACAGGGGCCAGTGTCGAGAGCATGCCCGACAAGCTTGCGGGCGGTACTTTATCAACTTCGCTCATGTCCACTGGGTCCGCCATGGGCGTGCAGAAAGGTCTGCGGCCGGCACACTCTCCTGCTCTGGTTGTTTGATTTGGTTCAGATGACGGATTAATTGGAAATGGCGAGGTTGGTGATGGTCGCTGGAGGTGTGGACAGGTTGAGGATCAGACGTAGAGCTGTTCTTCCGTCGTCGAGATGGATGAAATGAGGGTCGCTGTCGTCTCGTGGCAGTGGACAGCGGCCTCCTGAAAAAGGCACGTCAGATCGCTAAGCGGGAGGAAAATGGAACGCTGGACGGCATGGAGATTTTGAATGGACGCGGGGGGAGGGGGGGGGAGAGGAGGGTAGTTTCTTAGCGCTCTCAGAGAACAGCCAAGACACTGCAGTAGCGCTGAGAAGCTCCTGTGGCCGATTCTGGTCGCGGCCTAACCTGGGTGAGAATGGCCCAATTGTGGCCCGCAGGGGGAGCTGGCGCGTTTCGAGACAGGGCAGTCTCCGGTCAACCACCAAGAGAGCCGTTGATAGGCTGAAGACGGCCAGCTGATGCTCTCGTGTCCAGCAGAGAGCAGACGTTCCAACAGCAAAAGCTCCGAGGAGAGAATTGGATGTTTGCATTTTTTGGCTGAACTTGGCCTCAGTCGCTTAGGTGGTTAACTCTTTGCTCCACACACCGCAGAGCTGGGGATCGCTGGATCATGACGCAACGAGTTACAGGGTTGCACAGCCAGTGGGGCCACGGATGCATGGTTCTAGCAACCGACTCCCCGAGCCCGAGCCAGGGCCCTCAGCGAAGCAAGTTTCGCGGCGTTGCGGCCGGCAATCAACAGGATCGGTGCTACAATGCAACGCTGAGCTTTGACGGCTCCGGGTTCATCAGTGAAGCTAGCCCCCCTGAAATTTGTCTCCTGCCGATTGATTAGACATCTCAATAAACACACCAGTCGTTGCACAGCGTCAGGACGGCGTTTTAGATTGATACCGCGCAACACTGTTAAATTGCTGGCTTCTCGCATTCATCTCCTCACCTAAACCCTTCCGCAGCAACTCATCCAGCCCCTCATGCAAAGCAATCCCTTGCGGACGAGACGAAAGCGCGGGGCATCGGACTTTAGACAGAATCTTCAGCAGATCGACGCTCTCCGCAGGTGGCTGGCCCCACCTTTCAGCTGCGATGGCCATCCCTCTCCCAATTGCTGAGAGGAAAACCTGCTTTTTCCACATCTCCTGCAGTTGTGGCAGTGCCCTCCAAGCTGGAGAAGCGCAGAAATGGCACTATCCCGCATGTCGTGCGGACTTGGGACAGAAATCGATGAAATGTCGGCTGATTTTTTTTGACGAGATTGAGGCAGTTTGACGAGCTCAAGCCAAATTGGTTGGAGATCCCGTTTGCTCCAAACTGTGGGATAAGCACAACCCTAACCCTAATATTGCCCAGCAGAGTATGTGGAGCCATACTGATCGTCGTGGCCGATCGGTAATTGCTTGTGGGGACAGGGACCAGGGTCCAATGGTCCGTGCATTTCAACTACGAGAGCAGCCTTGCGTTCAGGTCAGTCAAGACAGGACCGTGCCACATATCAACGGCCTCCTCGTCGTCGGCATGGATGTTTTGTGAAGCTTGATGCTGCAAGTTGTCAATTCGTTTTATATTTCTGTGTTACCTGTTCGCCAGCTGGTCTCACAGCCAGGATGAGCCACCACGTGTGCCGAAAGTAGACTGCCGATCTGCAAGCAGTCGACGGATGACGCCCAAGGAAGAGATTGAAGGGCGGCTTGAAGCCATCCAGATCAAGATGTGACAAATATACGTCCTCTCACCAACTCAAGCTAAATTCTAAAAGAAGAGAATACCCCAAATCTCGATAGCATAGTCATGGAATCAACATTGAGTCAACTGGATCCAATTGCAGGTTGCTACGCAAACCCAGACTTATTGGACCGATAGTGGCTGGGCGAGTGAGCTGCCGTTTGCGCCAGCGAATCCTGCATTGTTTTTTTTTTTTGATGACCAAACAATGTCTCCCTGGACGGATACGGCTTTGCTGCCCATGAGATACGGCCAAACGGCAACAATGTGGACCCCTTATTTTGGGGATCGCTCAAGACTCCAGAGAGCAAAAAGCCTGAGAAAAAAAAAGTTTCAACATTGGACAGAGCATACCCTTTGATGATAGTAGTTGAGGCTGACCGCGGCAGAGCATCATCGACATAACCTGGAGAACGTCAATATCCCACACCTCGCTGAGCACAGCGATGACGAGGGAGGAGAACAGCGCGGCTATGTCCAGCCGACTGATTACTGTCTTCCCTACATGTCGAGGTAGTCATGTCGGCACTGGAAAGACGTCAGCCGAGGCTTCTTGCGCCATGTCAACTGCAGCTATCTATCGACTTGCGGCGTACCGCCCACTCTGCTCGCCCTCAAGTAGCAATGCCCACTCGCTCTGCATCCTGATTCACATGCTCTTCCCGACCCTACGCTCAGGTGAGGTTCATGTCAACGCAGGCAACAACATTCTCACACACATTCATGACCTGTTCGGCCAGAAGGAGCGCACGTGGTGCGAGAACGGCGTTGCAGGCCTCGCGCATGTTTTCTGGTCTCGACAACAGCTCCGGTGGCAGGCCCCACGCCCCGCGGTCTCGTCCGCATCGACATCATCTCCCGCATTTATCGGCTCACCGGACACGGCCACAACATGCCTACCTTCATCATCCCCGCGTTCGACACGCACCCCCCTACCGCTGGCACTCGCAACATCGAGACGCAGCCGACCATCGTCGCTTGCCTTGAGCCGAAACTCCCGACCCGCTCCACGGAGCTCGAAAAGTCCTACCAAGAGCGCCTAGACAAGTACATACAAGCGCAAGTCGAGGTTGAACGGCTACGTACCGAGCTGCGCGACGTGCAGGAGCAGGTGCAGACGCTGTCGCAGCACAATGAGATGCTAGAGAATCAGGTCAACGGCGCCATCGAGTCGGTCGGCAAGGATGTGAACGAGCTGGGGCAGATGGTAGCTAAGCCGAAGAAGGAGTTGGCAAGGGCCAAGGCTGAAGTCCAGCACGCAAAGAAGGGCAGAGATCGAGCGGTTGAAGAGAAGGCGGACATGAGGGAGTTGCTGGAGGAGGAGGAGGGGAGGGGGTCGCAAAGGTTAAGGACACAGGCCTTCTTTATATTGAAAAGAGGGAGGGGGGAGGGGTAAAAGATTGTGGTAGTTCTGAAGGTTTGGGGTGGAAATATCTGTCTTGAGAAACGACATGTAGTTTTCTTTAAATAAATACGATATGTTTTGCGATAATTACTTGTGCTCTCGATACTTACTTTTCGCGATCCCGATATCTATCTGAAAGTGACGTTCCATGGTTGTGCTTGGTGTGTTGAGCGCCCGCAGATGTTGCCCTCCTGTTGCTATGGCAACGCCCCTCCCCAGCCTCCTCCTACCGAGCCGCCGCCACGCCATGTTGCTGCCCCTCCCCGCAGACAGGAACACAGTCGTCAGGTTTGTGTGATAAACCGCCAATAGAAAATTTAGAACGAGGGTAAGGTTTTTTTAAAGCTTGCCCTCGCTATGGGAACGGGGGCCAATTGATAACGAAATATAGCTTTTGAGTGTGATTGTGTGTCTGTTAAAGTGCTAATGTTGCCCCGCACTGCCCGGTATCGTTTGTTGACGCGCAGCCAAAGCAGCCCGTACACAGTAGCCTGTCACCAACCTCCTCGCTGCATTAGGACCCTGCCTTCCCGTCCCACAGCTGACTGCTGTGAACCGTGTCATTTGGCATCTTGCATCTGCCGACTCAGTAGCAGCCCGACCGGCTCAATGGGTCCTTGTTTACTTTAGCTTCTTCTCTAGCTTATTTTCAAGCCTTTTGGTTGGATACCGTCGTGTTACGTTTTATGCATTGGCTTCTTGGTCCTCTTGGGATCCATCGCGCGAAACGGGCTAAAGCACGAGCTGCTGCCGCGGCATTGCGATTGTGGTGGGGTTGTCCCGAGTCGCTTCTTCAGTCAACGGCACCTCAACGTTGAGGATTCGTCCGTCGCGTTCCTCGACGTCGGTTGCACTCCATCGACCGCATTGCACGGCGGGCACAAGGACGGACGATCCGGGGCTAAGGGCCGACTGAGAGCTCCGCCTCGTCCGACCAGTGACCACGTTTCCCGGCCACATTCCTCCGATCGCACTAGCTCACGGACTGTGGCATCACGGCGCTAGGAGTTCATGCCGGCTCCCGCGATGGGGTCGACAACCCCGATGTGGAGTCCTGGCCCCCGGGCCTGGTCCCGGTCCGGGCTCCATCACCTTGGACTGCTCCAACTCCTGACCGGGCTGCTGGCCCTGACGACCGGGGTTGCCACTGCGGGGCTACCAAAGACACTCCCTTACGTGCCGACTACGATCTTACTCCCTACAAAGGATCAGATCCCTATAGGGGGGAAGGCGAAAGGGCCGGAAGTGGCCTACATCTTCGCCCCTGGTACTGAGGACAATGGGGAAGAAGTGGAGTTTCTGAAGGTGAATCTCACCTCCAAACTAAAGGCTGACAACCTCGCCCCAACGAGGGTAACCAAATCCCTTCCCTTCGTCAGCAAAGGCTCCATCAACCAGGCATTTGCGCCACTCATTCTCGAAAACGGCACGCTGGCTATCGTCAAGGGGGACTGCTCCTCCTCTTCAACCACCCCCGAACTCTGGAAATATAACCCTCTCGACCCAAAAGCCGAATGGACCCATCAGCAAATCACCATCCCCCATTCTTTCAGCTACGACAATGGTTTCCCCGCCCACCTCGGTGCAGCTTTCTCCTTCTCCCCCCAACTCGCGCCGTCCCTGTCCTCGCCTGAAATCTACCTCTACGCGGGCATGTGCCCTAATGAAACCGCCAAAGCGCTGCCATCTTCATCGTGGCAGTCAGCCGCAACATACTCCAATGCCATGATCCGTCTCTCCCCGGTAACCAGTCCGTCATCCTCTGCGGTGGAGGAGTACGCCCCCAGCGTGGTGACACCTCCGAATGCTAGTAAAAACAATGGCGGGGGATTTACACCTCTGCCCGAGGCAGGCTTCTCCCTGACGCAGTTGACGCCCTCCCTGATTAAGTTAGGCGACGGCACGGTGACCCAACAAACGCGCCATCTGCTTCTGGGTGGACATACCGCCGAAGCGTTTGTGAACATGTCCACGGCCGCATTGTTCAGTCTTCCGGACGAGACCTGGCGGTATGTGAGTATCGCTGGGCCGATCCCCTCAGGTGGGGAAGTGCTTCTGGGGGAAGTGGAGAGTCGGTCGGGACATACGGCTGTGCTGAGTGAAGATGGGAAGAAGATTGTTGTCTTCGGTGGTTGGGTCGGCGATATATACACGGCGGCGCAGCCGCAGTTGGTTGTATTGGAGGTTGGGGTTGGGGGTGATGGATGGGTGTGGGAAGTCCCTGCAGTGAGCAATGGATTTCAAGGAGGAGTCTTTGGCCATGGAGCGGCTGTGTTGCCGGGGAATGTGATGATGGTGTATGGGGGGTATGAGATCGGCGAGGAGAGGAGGGTTCGCAAGAGGGGGGTTGAGCAGGGCGTTATGTTCTTCAATATTACGGCTATGAAATGGCAGGCCGAGTATATCAATCCTCTGCAGCAGCCCCTCAACCCTAAACAGGATCCCTCCAACAACCCCTCATCAAACCCTACCCCTGAAGACACCTCGGGCTCCATCAACCACAAGCGCGACCTAGCTCTCGGCCTAGGCATCGCCCTCGGCGTGCTCTTCCTCTCCATCGTAGCATTTTTCGTCATCCGTTCCCTGCTCCAGCGCCGCAAACGCCGTGCAGCCCGCGATGCCGCCATCCGCAGCCTTTCACAAGGCTTTAACGGCTCCTTGCCACGCGGCCTATCCGACGACGATGCCATGCTGGAGCAAGACGGCGGCGACCTGTCCTTCCCCTGGCCATGGAACGGGGATACCGCACGAGCATGGTACACTGGTGGCGAGGATCCGTATGCGTCAGGGTCAAGGTCGCTTGGGTACGAGAGCTTGCGACGTGGGAAGTTGGGCAGTTCGCTGTACATGCCTCCTCCTCCGCCGGCGAGTTCGGGGAATGGACGGCCCAGGGCTGCAAGGGGGCTGTTTCACCCTGGCCCAGGGGGAGGGTACGATTTCTCTCCGTTGGGACGTAGTCGCGGGATTGAGCCTATCTATGAGGCAGACGAGGAGGATGAATATGATGAGAAGGGCCTGAAGAAGGAGACTTTGGCTGAGAAACACCCCCTCAGCCCGACGAATGAGGAAGAGACGGAGGATGATGACCCGTTTGTTACCCCATCTACTGCGACTTCACCTACGACGAGTCTGCTTGTTCCCCGGACTGTGAGCCCCGTGACACCAAGCAATAAGAGCCTTGAAGAGCAGGCTCAGACCCAGCCCCAGCCCCAGCCCCAAGCTCAAGTCCAGTCCCGCCGTGAAGGGCAACAACAAGACCCTGACGTCCGAGGCTGGGTTTCCGACGTCGACGCGACAGAAACGGAGCTCGTACGTCGCCTGTCCCAAAGCGGAAGCAGACCTGGCGCTCCCTTACGCCGTGTCTCAACCAAATCAGCCTCCGGCAAAGCCCCCGCCACACCAAAAGCCGAATCCGATCGCACAGGCAGCGATCTCTCGGAGAAGAGCGCATTCAGCTTTGCCAAGAGCAGCGACGAACACACCCAGAGCGGCAGCAGCAGCAGCAGCAGCAGCAGGATTCTCTCCAAACTTCGCCTACCTTCAGATGCTAAGGGTGATAGCAATCCTAGCTTGAGCAGCAGCAACAGCAGTGCCGGGGCGTCATTTAGCACGGCGAAGTCACATCTACGAGACTTTGCTACGCTACGGGCCGAAGGGCCGAGGCTGCTTTTGGGTCGTGGGCTGGATGACAGTAGCGACTCGTCATCTTCTGACGAGGAAGATGACCTCGAGAGGGAAGTGGAGGAGACAGAGGATGGGTATGTTCAGGTGCCGGGCAGCCCGAGCAAGAGCAAACCGAGGAGACGCAGTTGGCTGGGGAGTTTACGGAGGGTATTTTCTGGCGGGAGCGCCTCGATGCCATCTGCTCCTGGGGAGTCAGTCTCCAAGGACAAGAATGCTCATGTTGGAGAGGGCACATCCACAAATTACGACCTGGAAGGTGTTGTCGGCAGCGCACTGCTACAGCGGAGGAGGCAGGCGTGGTTGGGTTATGGCTTTGAGACGGAAGATGGGACAGGAGATGACGACGATGGCGTGGAGAGGGCTGTGGAAGGCAGGCTGGTGCAGGTCATGTTTACCGTGCCAAAGGAACGGCTCAGGGTGGTGAATGCTGATATTGAGAAGGAGGAGGAGGCGGTGTTGGTTAATGCAGACGATACAGAACCACGAGATCAGGAGCCCGAGGAATCACAGCCGAAGACAGAGGGCAAAACAGAAGAGACGCGCGACGAGCCCAAGTCAACACCAAGCGACCCCTCCTCGCCCCCCGAAACAACAACCGCAGATCTCAGCTCAACCACTACTCGACTCACCACATCCACACTCACAGCAACCATCACGACCCTAACCTCCCCAACGACAACAGCCTCAAACTTCCAACCCCCAACACCCACCCTCCAAGTCCCCACCCCAACCCTCCAACGCACAATCTCACCTTCCCCCTCAATCCTTACAGCCTCCTCCAGCTCCTCCCACGTAGGCGAAACTGTCCGTCCCGAGCGGCCACGCACACGCGTGCTCGACATGGTCGAGACGTTCGAAGCTAGGGCACGGGCCGCATCGGCGGGCAACATGCCTGTGGGGAGTCGGTCTGGAACACCGAGTCCTACTAGACGGGGGACAGCAGGACCTGGGGCTGGGACCGGGACTTCTGGGACAACGCCAGGGGCTAGGAAGTGATGATAGGGATTAGGGAAGAGGAAAGGGGGGGGGGGAAGGTTAGGACGGGAATGACGAGATCACGACAGGCACGATGGTATATTGAGACGAGAATGGCGATGCGGAGGACGGAGGGGGGCTTCGGATCGTACAGAAGTGTACAGGTTGGGTGGGTCGGATGCTAACGGGCAATCAGCTCTGAATGCAGCTTCCGACGAGGAAATTTTAACCTCTTACATGGAAACAGGGGTTACAGGATGGGATTCTAGGGACTTCTGGATTAAACGCGCATACATCAGGTCAAACTTTGGATAGGAACACACAATACACGGTCGCTACACTTGGATAGGATAGTAGGATAGGGATCTAAATCTGGATACGGGCAGACTGGCTCTTACGGTCGGAGGGAGAATATAGCAACGCTATCTGGATTCTTATCTTTGGCTGTTTATTTTTCCACTCAATTTCTCTACATCTCGCCGTCATATGGTTTGGTTTCATGTATATATTTATCAGCCGGGACGGTCCCGCGGGTAGGGTAGCGCAACAGCGTGCTTTATCTATCAAAGGTCTCCCTTTCCGTCCCTCCTTTCCATCGCTACCTTTATCCGGGCTCATTTGTGCGATGGACGGGTTGCTGTTCCTGCATCATGGTGTGTTGCGCGAGAAAAAAAAGCTGCTGTTGGCAATGTTTCTGCCCCTTTTTCCTAGGGAAAATACTGGTGAAGGCTCTGTTGGCATATCACCCCTATAAATTTCTCACCTCAAAGTTATCCTACGTCACAATCGCCAACTCCATCCCGGTACGGACAGCCCGAGCAACCGAAGTCTGCTTTTTTTTTCTCTCCCCAAAGCACCGGAACCATACGGAACAGAACAAACAGCGATCGACAGCGTTGTCGGGCATCAAAAAAAGAGGGGCGTGCCGATCTATCGGCGTGCAGCGACCTACTTCCCTACCTCCCTCTGCCTCGACCTTCCCACAATACTGATAAGGGCAGGTAAGACAGAAACAACGTCGCAGATTCAATTGCCAAAATCGACTGCGATGGCATTGTCTCTGGCTCGTTACGTACGTTTGTAGAGACAAGACGGCGCAAAAAGATACCACCGTCGGCGGTGGCGTCGGTGTTGCACCGCAGCCGGCGTCGTGTTAAGGGCAGTCCGCTTCTCAGCCAGTCAGGAGCCTCATCCTAGGACCGACAGCTCGTCTGGAGTCCAGACGCTGCAAGAGATGCTTATCACTCACTGGGCTAGACGACTCAACCTGGCGTCCTAGTGTCCGAGGCGGGCATGGTTTGGCCTGGGCATGGTTTGGGGTTGGGTTGTCTGGTGTCAATCGCTGTCGCAGGAGAGGTGGCCTGGCTTTTAGAGGGCCCAGGAGCGAGCATATTCGGTGGACGATTGAAATGGCAGTTGGGGATCTAACTGTAATAAGTTGGACAAGGAGCACAAAGAAAACCTGGCCGTCTCTTTTGAAGAATCGACAGAAAAAAGTCACAAAATTGAGGGAGAGCAATGCTGCTGCCACAATTCCTTCTTGGCTTTATGAGACTGGGGGTATGAGTAACGGGATGTCACGGTTTCAACCGGGTACCAACGCCGCCTTGGGGAGGAATGCCGTTGCAGCCATGTGCGCTCACGAGACCCGACCAATACGAGATGCCGGCAGTTGCGTGAGAGAAGGAGAGAGAAACTGAGAGCATCAAAAAACAAAAAAAAAACACTAGCTAAAACTCGTCATTAGGACGCGCGTCGCTGCTCGGAGATTCAGAGATAACGTCCTGAATCTTATCGGCGTGCAATTTGACCCTTTTTATGAAGATATGGGTCTGACCGTGCGCCCAAGCCCACACCAAGCCCTCCCCTGGCAACCGCGCCCCCCGCAGTTATTATCACCAAAGGAATGCCAAAACACAGCGTTCCTGGCAGATAAAGGAAACAAAGAGTGGTTCCGTAGCAGGACACGCAAGAAAGGCTGGCTTGATGATAAAGAGAATGGTTTGGCACCCACACACAACTGCAACACGAAGCGGGGCCGAAGCCACAAAAATGATGACCTCAAGGTGCGGGTTTGGAAAATCCCTGCAAGGAAGTCGCAAGCATGCAAAAGTCGGCTGGCCGCGATGTCCGTGGCGATCGGTGATCGGTGGATGCCAAGAGGACCCTCTTGGCTTGTACCGGTACCTCCCCCTCCCGGAGTACAGCAAGCGCGCTGTTCCTCCACGTGTACCCAGTACTGGCTGGCCGGTTGCCAAGACCACGGCGCACTGGGGGTTTTTGCGCGCTTTTGCTAGCCGTGTCTGCGCTGTTGTTGGCCCGGCTCACCGCAAGGCCGCTGTGAAGAGCACGCTTTCGGCAGGTTTCAGCGCGGCAGGGATCAGCGGGCGCGCTAAACAAGGGACCAGAGGGCGCATCCCAAGGTACCGGGTACGCGTGAGGGGGTCTCAGCTCTAGCACGCGCAAAAGGGGGAAGGCGGCAGTGGAGCGCGGTGACGACATTTTTTTTTCAAGTGGAAGTTGCCGTACTCAGTTGCCAGCCGAGTCTCCCTGTGTGCCTTCCTGCTCTGTCTGGCCTGCTGGCTGTACCTGTTCTGCCTGATGTGGCTTGCCTGCCTTGGAACATAGGGAAGGAACCGTCGAAAACGGGAGAAGAACTTGCCTTGGCTTGTGCAGCCGTGATGGTCAAATGGTCAGTCGGTCGGCAACAGCTGCGCGCGGCCCAAGACGGCTGGCTGGCCGGCCGAGCTGGTGCTGATTCTTGGTTCTCGATGTTCCATAATCCGTGACAGAAACGGCTCCTCTTCAATTCGTCCGACTTTGCTACAAGCTGAGGTGATGGCGCCGTCCAGCCAACTCATCCAGCCATCTTTGTAGCATGCCCAAGTGCTCCGTAACCGTCTGCGGCCTCGGATTTGGCCATTAACTCTGCTGCTGTCTTCCGTTGCCTGCTGGGGGCGCGTTGTGTTCTCTGTCTGCGCTGCTCCAGTGGAGTGGTGCTACAGTGTGGTGGTGGGCTGCAGATCCTGGCCCTGTCAACAAGCTCGCTGAAGTTGCGCCGCTTTCTTCACCGTCTCCACTCCCGGTCTCTCACTCGCCCACAACCTGTTGGCTGCTTCTGCACTGCTGTACCCACGGCTGACGGCTCACGGCTCACCTGGATCGTGGATCATCTCAATGACCAACCTTCAACCTGGAACCCAGCCGAGTCTCACCTGGGCTGCTGCCGATTTGCTGTCATTGTTTTGTGCACACTCCGACGCTTGCACTCGCGACACCTCTGCGACTGTGACTCCAGCAAACTGAACTGCCACACTTTCCCCCTTGCACACTCGTTGCCCACTGCAGTCCAGTGTTTTGCTGCTCTAGGCCTCTTCCATCTACGAGGCACCTCCCATTCTGGCACTCACTCTCTCGTGTCTCCTTCTCTCGCCCTCATCGACGGCACCACCCGCGGCATCCCTGCGATTTCCACTCACTACGGATCCCACGGAGCCACAACAACACATCGCAGGCCGATCGCCCTCCAGTCCCCCCGCCTGCTGATTAATTTTTTTTTTCTCTGGCATGGCCGTGGCTTGAGTCGTTGAGTCGTTGTGTCGTTTCGATCGATCGGTTGAGCGCTGCCGCCGCTGCCCTGTCCTGCTGCCACAACATTTCCTGTCCCCGTCCACATCGCGGCCACCTCATGGCCTAGCAATTGACTCTTTTTTTTTTCGTCCCAAAATACCAAAATCCAAAACCAAACCCTAGATCTCACATCTCTTTTTGCCATTTGCTGGCCCCGACTGAACGCTCGCCTACCGCGAGCTCATCCCCGAGCAGCTGTCCGAGCCCCACTGCCCCGACTCCAAGTTCTCCGGCAGCAGCTGTACCGACTTTCAGCTCCAGCTCCCATTTGCACCTGCACCATGACGACGCATCGAACCCTCATATGGGCCGGCCTGAGCCTTGCCGCCCTCGCCGGGTCGGCAATGGCAAAGCCGTCCATCCCCATGGACTACTGCGCCAACAGCAATACCGCTGAGACCGACGCTAGTGAGTATCTCCCGTTATCGAGAATCCTCAGTTCATCGCTGACCCTCCCCAGGCCGGAGCAACTACCAGAGCGACGGTCTCTGCTTCAATCACTGTCACGGCCTTAACTTCGCCCTCGCCATCGTGCAGGGTAAGAACTGCTGGTGTTCGAACCTCGTGCCCAATAAGGACAACCAGAGGCCGCTGTCCGACTGTCAGAACCCGTGCCCGGGCTATCCATCAGACTTCTGTGGTGGAGATGATACCTACGGCTACATGTTGGTCGATGATGCCTCCCCGACCGGCACTGCTCCTCCGGCTGTCGAGACCTCGTCACACTCCTCTATCACATCGGTAAGTTCTAAGTTCTCACCCGGGATGCTGAGCTAGTTGTGCGCCCGCCGGATGAGTGCCCCTTGCTCCGTGACTTTGAATATGTTAAGCGGTTGATGACGTTCAAGGCTGAGACGGTTGGTTAAGACAAACCTGGTCAGCTCCAGCACCAGCATCCCGTTGTCGAGCTCGACCTCCTCTGACCTTGATATTTATTCCTCTTCCTCCTCCTCCTCCTCCTCCTCCTCCTTCTTCTTCTCCTCCACTTCCTCTGTATGACTTTTTTTTCCTTTATTTCCCCGGCGGGCCCATAACCCCCTCTTCTCCGGAATGTCCCCTCTTGCTCTTGCTGACTTATTTAATAGGGTGGCGCCACCACAGCCACTACTTCTAACGTCCAAACTGTCACTGTCGGCGGTACCGTCCTGACCGTGACGGCTACCCCTACGTCTTCCGGAGTCGGCAGTCAACCCATCATCTCATCGGGAAGCAAGGGTCTCAGCGGCGGCGCCATCGCCGGCATCGTTGTTGGTGTTGTTGGTGGGGTGTGTTTGCTGCTTGCCATGGGCTGGCTGCTCTTTGCCAAGCGGAGACGCAATCGCCTCTCAAGCGACGAGAAGTTCGGCTTCGGTACCTCTACTGGCGGCACCGGCGCCGGTTCTCCTGGTCGGCTTGCCACCCCCCACACAGGCGACTTTTCGGGCGCCTCATCAGCGCACGGCTGGACCGACTCGCACCGTCGCAGCCGCATGATGGCTGTCGACCCACGTCTGGACCCATTTGCCAAGGGTATCTACATGGGTGACCCGAACGGCTCTCGCGAGAGCTTTGGCTCCTTGCAGGATAATCACGACTACTCGCGGCGTGTGGCTCAGCCTCCGCGCGTCTTGCGTGCCACGAACCCCGACCCGATCGAGGATGATGACGATTAAATAATTCAACGCGTTTCACGACGACGCTAATTTTTGCTCAACAGCCCTTTCCCGTCGATACCATACATAGGTACCTATTAGCACCGCTCATACGGGTACGGTAGTACAGCAGATGTGCGTTGATAGGCTTGTCTTTCATTTGCATCGCGTGTGAGAGAGAGAGAGTAGGTTGACTTCCAGCATTCATGTCATGTGCATTTGCATTTCCGAGATACCACGGCGTTTTTTTTACGGTGGGCGAAATGGGGGTTAGGTATCATCGCGTTCTGATTTTTTTTTTCTCTTTTGTTGCTCTTCCGCCAAAAAAACTTTCTGGGAATAAAGAAGGGGTGGTGGTTCTCTAGCTTGGTTTCATGGATATGGGCCGGGTTAGGCTAGGCTAAGTGGGTTGGTTGGTTGGTTCCCGTTTTGTCGCTTTCTATGCTGTTCTGTGAAAGGAAGGCAGCTTGGAATGGAGATGACAGGCTGGACTGGACTGATGCCAAACCTTTTATCCAATGGTGGATTATGCGGTCATGGCTTTGAGCTTTGGCTCCAATGCTCTCTCTGTGTTACTAGGTTAGGGGAAGAACGAACGTACCTACATGATGGTGGGTGGCTTTCTGTGTCTATTGAGGAATGGAATGGCAATGGAATGGAATTGGTTTGGTTCGTCAACTGTGTCAGCGTTTTCTCTTGCGCGTATGCTCGTGCTTAGTGACCGGGTGTTGTGGTTTATGAGAGGGAGACTGAGAGGCCATCTTACGGTGAGAAAAGTAGTGTTCCATGATCGAGAGCACGTAGGGCGATTTGATTGAGCCTCCTTGCCCTCTGAGTTATGGAATAGCCGGGAATTAGATTACTTGCTGTATACTACTATTGAGTTCTATCAAGTCGTCTGCCTTGACTGGCCCAATAACAAAAGTTTCAAGGGAAAAGTTATGAGAGCCATCATGGACTGATGGCCGGCTACACGTGCTTACTGAGACGAGCTGTGTAGGAGCTTGTGTGGCACAGTTCATGACCAAACCAATATGTCAGCCAAGTAATTATAAGGCGCGGGAGTTGACTATGCCGCTCTTTTAGTTGAGCTATGTTGTTAGTTGTGGTCCTGTCTCTGCAGGCAGGCCAAGCTACTTCTCTCTGGGATAACATAGTAGTAGTAATCTGTAACGTGGAGGTGATAGGAAGTATAGCCTCTATCAGATATCAACACAGAAGTGCTCTGTTGGATTCACATAAAACCATCCGCATCTCACCCCCTCATATAGCCTTCCTCCGTCCTCTCAATACTGGCACCCCCTCCCGTTTTGATCACCCTTAAGGAGTCCCAGGCGGTGTCAGCAGTGAGAATTCAGGACATTGTTGTTCTCTGTCCTCGTGTAACCAGCTGAGCCCTCCCTCATATTGAACACAGTTGCCCAATCTGTCCTGCATCCTCACACTTCGCCGTTCCAATAAACCCTTCGAGGTCTTGACGGTTGTTTAGATAGGTGATCTTCTGAGCAGGCGCAGACGCAAGCCCGATCATCGCATATCCAGATCCATCGCCTGTAATCCAGGTGTAAGTATCAAGTAACTCAGTTGATGAGAACATGGCATGAGTGACAGCAGTCCTCGGAAAAGGCTTGTTGAGATGGGGAGACGAAGCGGTTTAAATGTATCTGGCGATCTTTGGTTCTCTCCCTGACCTCGTCGTTAAGCAAGTGCTCCCTTCCCTGACTTGTTCATGTGTGCTCATTCCTCCCCCCACCCCAACCCACTAACTATATGTTATGGTTTATCTCCATCTCGATCATATCCGGTTCCCCATGGATCTCGTGTTGAAGACATGTGTGTGATGCGTGAACACCGCGAATGTGAGGGAAGGGAGAGCTCCTGACCAAAGCGTGATTGGTTGTTAACTACATGGTCTCCCGATCAGATGTCCGAACTAATGTACATAGGTGGGATATCAGCCGCTCAAGTGATTAGCCAAACACACAATATCACAGACCTTAATCGATGACTTATAGGTCGTATAGGATAATACGTCGGGTACGGTACCAGCGCCACAAGGCGATCCGGCTCAACCAATGGAGTACTTAAGAGATACACGAGTGACACAGCATATTGATTACCATGACCTCATGCTTGCAGTGAGGTGGTGCCTCACTTTTGCTTGTCTTAGCTCAGTTTCGTTAAGCTAAGCCGTATGGATGGGGGTGTCGCGTTGAGGTTTTTTTTTGCCAACCAACCAACCAATCAACCAACCGACGGGATTGCGCCGCCTGTTGAGCCACAAATGTATCAGAATGAATGCGGCTCACAAGGGGATGTATACACCCATAAACCAGTTCTTCAGGTTATACAGCTGGAATTGATGTCTATCCAGAATTCAATCCGTGATTTGCGAACCCATACCCGTGTGAGTTGCGGTGATATACTGAACATATGCCCTTTGATCCCTATCCCATGAAGAGACTTATTCGCCATTGTATTCATCCAGAAATAGTACAAGCACGGGCTCGTCCCAACCGATTGTATCCAAATGCTAGCGTCTATCCGTATGTATCTCTCTGGTTTATCTTAGTGGTACATATATCATACATTACACAAATCACTAACCCACAAGTAAGCAAAAAAAAAAAAAGAAAAAGAAAAGAAAAGAAAAAAAGAGGGCAGGGTATCCATATCCTTCAAATAGGTCAAGGTTGCTTGGTAATATAGTACAGCGTTTAATGTTACAGAGGAAAGCTCCAGGAAAGAACGGCCAATCGATTGACGGTGGATGGTTTATGATCGGGCTGTTGAGTGGCTAAAGAGAAGACTGTTATAAAGGCGAACAACCTAGTTGTGTTTGGAGGAGGGGGATGGATGGATGGAGTATGCAGACGCCTGAGCTGCCTTATTCGCTGGAATGCCTCGAGGTGGGGAAAGTTCTGGAGTCCCAGGTCTCTGTCTGTTTCTAAGTATGCATCACGATTGTCGAGTACACTTGATGGGTAGTAAATAGTACGATGAAAAAGCGTCCACTGCCCTTAAGAGAAATCATCCACCGTCCGGATATGGTAATCATCCAGGCAGTTGAGCTCAGTCGTTGGTTACTTGATGAACGTATTCTCTCCAACACGCTCGAGATCACGGATAAGATCGTCGATATATAGTCGCATGCTATGCAATTTGCACAAGAAAACCCTTGTGGTAACAAAAATAGATACCCGAATCGAGGTTGATTTGAGTTGACTCATTGACAACAATGGAAGTCGAACAGTTAATTGCTTCCTCTCCCGAAAAAGAAAAAAAAGAACTTCACAAGGAGGCCTCCTCTCTTTTATCCTGATCGAGTCCATATCTCGACTGGGCTGAGCGAAAAGGTCGATGTATGCATATATGTAATAGAGAAAGACATGAAACAAGTGTATGTAAAGGCATGTATCCTCCATTCTAGCAGGTAGGAATGCTCTCTGACTTGACTTGCTGATGACGGCTGAAAACACGAGACGATTGACGAACGACGAGAACGACGACGATAAATGACGATATAACTCTTGTAGTCCGGTCCTTCTCTCTTTCCTTGTCACGAACCTATCCTTTTCATCCCCTTTCCTTTTGCGTCCACGCATTTCATCCCTCTATCCCCCCACAAATAGACAGCAAACCCAGCTTTACTAACGCCTAGGCCGCTTGTCTACATGTCCTCCATGTCCACCATGTCCATGCCCATGCCCAGAAACCTCCATCGGCGGGCCCTCGCCCCTTCTCTTCCTGTTATTCCTGTCATCGCCACCTCCGCGATGACCATGATGATCATCTGGCGGCATACCACCGCCCATTCTCGACCTCAACTCTCTCGGCTCCCTGGGAGGACCGGGCGGGGGAGGAGGAGGAGGAGGAGGAGGAGGAGGAGGAGGAACACTCGTGGGAGGGGCACCGCGAGACGATCGAGCGGGAGGATAATCCTCACTCATTCGGGAACTGGACCCCTCGCGATGGTGGCTCCCGCTGCGATGGCCGCTTCCATCACGGGGTTCTCGCGGCGGAGGGGCAAGCAGATCCCTTACTGGACCACCGGATGGAGCAGGCTCGCGTCCAGATCGACGCTCGGAGCGCTCCGGCCGCTCATCCCTTGCGCCACTACGATCGCGGTGGTGATGCTCGCGATCTCTCTCCCGCTCGTTGCGATCACGATATTCGCGGTCACCACGGTCTCTGTCCCTCTCCCTCTCTCTGTCCCTCTCACGATCTCTTTCCTTTTCACCGCCCCGTTCACGCTCAGACCGGTCCCTCTCCCTCTCCCGCTCACGCTCACGTTCCCTCTCACCCCTCTCTGACGGCCTAACCGGCGAGCGTTCGCGTTCACGCTCGCGCTCCCCACGCTCACGACTACTACGCCGGGATGAGCGTGCACCGCTGCTACCACCGCTGCCGCGAGAAGGACCCTCTGGTGCTGTCGCGCTACCAGCCAAGCCCGAAGACCGATGATGCTCACGCCGAGCCCTCTCATGCTCGCTCCGGCTGGCGGCGTACTCCTCTTGAGCCCCGTTGACCAGTCCAGCTGGGCCATTACGACCGTGGTGGTCACGCTCGCGGTCCTGACGCTCCCTATCGGCGCGATCCCTGTCCTTATAGGTATTCTCTCTCGAATCGGGAGCAACCTGGATCGACATGGTCAGCGGCATTGGCTCACCTCTGCCTGAGCTAGTCGGCGGGCCCGGAGGACCACGATCCGAGCGAGTCGACTCCCGCAGAGGATGATCTTGTGGCGGCCTGTCATGAGTAGGCGTTGACACCGGTGACGTTCCGGCACCACCAGCCAGGATCTGCGCATCTGAACCGGCAAGGCTCTGCCTAGATGTGCGCTGAGACATGCGCAGGGACCTGGGATCCGGGCTCGCGGCCGCTGCCGCTGCCTTGTCGAGGGTATTCTGGATGCCGCGCAGCTGTCTGCCACCAGACCGCAGCCTATCATTCATGGTGTTGCCAGCTGCCGGACCAGTGGGCGTCGAAGCAGGGAAATCGTTGCTAGGTCCCGTTGGGGCAGGCCGTGATCCAGATCCAGATCCAGATCCAGATCCAGATCCAGGAGCAGACATGCTGGGCCGGTCGGGAGTCGACATCGGGGGAGGACCGCGCGAGTGAGGGCCTGCAGGGCCTGTGGGCTGGCCTCCACCAGAAATGTGGCTAAGACGGTCAGGATGGATGCCGGATGGGCCGCTTGGGGGCATACCCTGCTGCATGTGTCGCATCCTATCAGGGTGAACGCCAGGACCGGCAGGCACGCTAGTCGGAGGAGAGTGCATGTTGGGGTTACTGTCGTACTGTCCTCTCCTAGGCGGTCTTGAAGCAGACGGACCAGTAGGTGGGTGCCGCTCGGATGGGCTGGGGGGACGCATGGGCTCCATCATGCTAGGGAAGCGAGGGTCGGATGGGCGCATAGGGGGACCATTGACGGGTCCAGGGCGGGTGGCATTCCTACCACCGCGGCCGCGCGGGCCCGAAGGAGGACCGCCGCCGACGTCGACAGTCGGAATAGGGTTGAGCCGGCCATAATTAGGGTCTTGCTGGTTCAGCCTGCCTGGATGGTCGTGGTCAGAACGAGACGGCGGGCCACCGTATGGCTGGTCTCTTGGTGGTGGCGGCGGCGGCGGCGGCATCCTCTCCTCACGCTCTTGGTTCCTATCGCGCTCCGGGCGCGGATGGGCATGCGAAACAGGCGGCTCATGAGCCTCGCGTGGCGTGCCAGGACGATCGGAATGACGATGACGGCTGTGGCGATCGTCGCGACTATCGCGGGCACTCTCCTGCTGCGGGGCACTCGGGGGCTGACGGTCACGGTCGCGGTCGCGGTCGCGATCGCGGTCCCTATCGCTGCGTCTGGGCGACTCGGTACGTGGGGGCCTCTCCCGCGAAGGCTGGTCACGAGGTGGATGATCTCTAGGCGAGCGCGACGGAGGCTCCCGTGACGACTCATTGATCAAGGCGGCGCGGGCGGGATTTATAATTTCCGGGCGGTCAGCCTCGATGATGCGTGCACGGTCGGGGTTGATTGGAGGCTCTTGTGGAGAGTTCTGAGCTGAGGGAGCAGGAGCGGGAGCCGGCTCCTTGGGGGCTTCCCTAGACGGTCTGGAGTCGGGTCGGCTCGAGCTCGGGGGAGGAAGTCTCTCGCGCGGGCCGCGGTTATCACGATCCGGCGGCGGGCCGTGATCATGCCAACGCGGCGGCTCGCCTCTAGACGGACCCCAACCGCCATCGCGCGAGCTAGGCTCGGGAGGGGGGGGACGCCTGTCCAGCGGCGGCAAGTCACGAGGCCTATCGAGTCTTGACGGTTCTGGTGGCGGTCCACGGTAGTCTCGGCTGTCCCGACCGCCATGGGGCTCGCGCATGTCGCGAGGGTGCTGGTCTCTCGGGTCTCTGGGGTCTCTGTTGCTGTCACGATAATCACGGCTGTCGCGCATGGGAATATCTCGGCGATCGTGACGGCCCTGGCCAAACCGAGGGATGGGTTCGGGCCGGCTGGGCAGCTCAGGTCGGTTGGGCAGACCGTGGCCGCCAGGAGGAAGAGTCGAGAATTTGGGCGGCTCGGGACGACCAGATGAGGCAGCAGGGGCTGGCGTTGGTGGCTTCGAAGGGGCCGTCGCTGGCGTGCCAGGTCTCTGAGACGAGGTACCAGCATCTCGTGACGGCTGCTCCCGGGACGGCGGGGGCTTGGGCAAGCCGGCTGGTGGCTCTCTGCTTCTCGCAGGCGCTTTGATATCCTTGACCTCTCCGTCTTCGACTTCGCTTTGTTGCTGCGAGCGCGCGGCGCCGTCGGGCTTGAACTCGGGCGCCGCGGCCCTGAGCGTAGAGCTGGCAGTGGTAGAGGGCCGGTCCTCGTCCTTGTTTTCTTTGGCATCGGTCTTCTGTGGCTGGTCAGAAGGGGGCGGCGGCCCAGAGGCTGGCGCACGAGCAGATGTAGCCGGAGCACTTACTACACCTGACCGGAACGCCTGGACGAGGATCCATTTCGAGCGGCGTTTCTGCAACTCCGAGTATGTAGTCTGCGCCGTGACTGACAGATCGACGCGGTGGCCCTGCTGCTCGCTCTCGGGAGCGTTCTTGGAGGCCGCCTCGCGTTCCGTGATGGTCTTGAGCTGTTCCAGGAACTTCTCGGCCATGAAGTTGATGGCAGGGAAGTAGTCGATGACGCCCTTGAGGATGGTAATGGCGTTGCGGATGTGCATCCACTCCAAGCCGTTCAAGCAGGACCTCAGGGCGCTGTTGAGCTCCTTGTGCCAGCGGAACAGCATCTCCTTGAACGGATCGTGCTCGACAAACTCGGTCGGCTTGCCATCAGCATCGAAAGCCGTGGCAAAGCCGAGGTAGTGCCGCGTCTTGGTGCCCTGGAGATCCTTGAGGCCAAGCGCCTCCTTCTCGTACGCGCTTTTGTCGCCATGCCACTTGGATAGATCGGCCAGGATAAGGCGCAAGAAGCGAGCCAGATGCTCGGCCTCGCGCACGGTACACGTGAAGATCATGGCCCGCAGTCTGTTGTGGTTGAAGAGACGGTCGTAGAGCGACATGAGCTTGAAGTTGGGAGCCGAAAATTCGTGCAAGAACTTGATCAAGCGGAAGCAGTACTCCGCGTCAAGCGCGCCGAGCTGCAAGCGTGGCAGGATGCATTCCTCCAGCAGCGTATCCGCCGTCTGATCGGCCTTGGAGATGTCGGCAGGGAACCAGCTGGCGACCTGCCGGCCGATGTGCAGGCGCGCTTTGGAGAAGCGCGTGATGCCCTCGTTGGCCTCCTGCAGCAGGGCCTTCTGCCGATCGAGGATGTCGTCACGCTTACGCGTCTTCTTGTTCATACCGGCGCGCGTCATATCGCTGCGGTCCCTCATAACCTCTTCGGCCTGCTTCTTGAGCCTGGCACCCTCGGCAAGGTAGCTATCCTGCGGGAAGACCAGGTTCCCCAGCTGCAAAGACCAGAAAAAGACATAGCCAGCAGGCGTGATGTACTGCCACGTCTGCCGCGGCAGGACGCTGGGGATCTGCTCGATAAGGGGCGCCAGCGCCTCGGACAGTGACTCGGGGCGACCGCTAGACTTTTGTGACGCGGCAGCTGATTCATCTTTCGCTTCCGGTGTGGCATTCTCCGCAGGCGCAGGCTCCATAGCAACGTCACCGTCGATATCGGTAACGGGCTTTGTAGTTGCGTCCTTGGTCGGAGTCGAGGTAGTAGCAGTACCCTTAATTTCCCACCGGATGCTTGCACGGCGGATCATGAACGCGAGATTGACGTCGAGACCATAGTCCTTGATGAGTTGGATGATGTCGGGAACGAGCTTGTCGAACGTCTCAGGATCAAGATTGCTGCGAAGCAGGTCGAGGTATTGCGAAAGGATCTGGTGAGTGTCATCGACGATGGCAGACAGGTACTTGATATGGGCACTGGCGTCGGCCGTGTTGTAGATGGCATTCTGCCGGTACTGGGCAATGTTGATGAGCAGCTGAGCAGCCAAGTTCGAACGCGAGAGGGCCTTCATGAGGCGAGCGGCACTCTTGACCGAGACAGCGCGCTGGTCGCCGAGGTTGACCAGCGTCTCGCGGCGTAGCAGCTCGCCGCCTGTCATGGCGCGCAGCTGAGCATCAGTAAAGTCGACGTCGGGCACGATACCACCCATGGAGCCGATCAGCTCCTTCAGGATGACGAGGTCGGTCGAGTTACCTCTCAACAGTTGGCTGTGGACGTAGCGCAGGACAGGGGAAGCATCCATGTTAGGATAGCGCGCAAAGACTTTGCCGGAGAAGCGTGACAGCGCCTGCAGCCACTTGCTGGTCAGCAGCACCGACGACTCCTGCGTGCGGCTGCGCTGTTGACCACCGAGCGAGCTCAGGACAGACCAGACGAGCACGTCGTAGCCTAGATCAGTGAAGTACTTGGCGCACTCAACGAAGGCCTCGATCAGGTTGCTGTATGATTCGATCTGCGCCAGCGCGACCTTGCAGACGATGCCAGGAGACGGGTAAGCGATCTTGGCCAGCGCCTTGGCCATCTGCGGGATGTTTGTCAGGGACAAGCGCTTCAACTTGCTCAGTGTCTCCAGGCGCGTGCGGTGGAAGGCTTTGCGGATGGGCTCAAGGCGCGAGGTCTGGCCCTCGTACCACTCAGCGTACACGCCGTAGCGGGTCTTGATCGGGTACTGCTTCAGCAAACTCCAGACAGCCTCGACGATGGACGAGTTGGTCTCGCTCAGGCTCAGCGCCGGGACCAGCAGGCGCTTGAGGAGGTCCAACCAGCGGTTCATGTTGGCAGGCGAGGGGTCGTCAGCAAGGCTCTTACAGCCGATGCCGGCGAGCTTGGCCACCAGCGAGGCGTCCTGGCCAATGTGGACGCCAATGACATTAACGAGGGTGTCGCAGAGCGTGAACACATCGTCGACAGTCTGGCAGACTGGCACGTTGTCGGCCCACTCGTCCCAGTAGAAGCGGTACGAAGGGCCGTCGCTAACATCAGCCTTGTCCGGGAAGGGCCAGCGCAGAGCGCGCCGGACGATCGGGGTAGTCAGCTTGACGCTGCCCTTGGGCACGCCCGACTGGTCGATGTCCGGGAGCTTCTTCATGCCACAGTCCATTGACATGGTAGCCCTGGGCTGGGTCTCCTGGTAGACCTTTTCGATGGAGTGGTGAATGATGCGATGGAACAGCGGGATGATGTCCGGGTAGCCTTCCAAGAGCCAGTCGTGCCGACCGATGATGAAGAGAGACTCGGGCAGGGCGCCGATCGTGAGCAAGCACCTGAGCAGGTCAACCTTTTGGTCGTTTGGCTCAGGCAGCTTGGGCTTCTCCTCGGCTTGTTCTTCTTTCTTGGTCTCAGGCTCTTTCTTAGCCTCGGCCTCGCGGCGGTTGTTGCTCGGGGGAGGGGGCATGTCGTCAGGGAGGGCACCCGCCATGGTGAGTGCGTTCTTCTCACCACCAGGGCGGTTGGCTTTTTCCTTCTCCTCGAGCTCCTTGAACCTCTGGGCCTTGACGCGCTCCATGTCCTCGTCGAGGGGCCAAATGTGGTGCCAGAGATCTGTCAACGAGATGAAGCCGACCTTGATGAGCAAAGCGATCAAGTAGAGCAGGTTTGCTGGGAGGGTATCCTCAGCATTGCGGAACTCAGAAGTGTAGAAGCGCAGCTTGAAACCCAGCATCTGGGCGGCGTCTCGGTTGCCAGGAGGCGGGCGAGTCTGTGTAATCTTGATCCACTCGCGCTCAATGGCATTCTCAGGGCTCACGTCGTCGTCCGAGACGTCACTCCTTGCGCGCTCTTCATCCGATGGCAGGAGCTGGCGACCACCCAGCTCGAAAAAGGCCTTGAGCTTTAGATCACGGGCGCGATCCCAAAAGGCAATGTCGCGCTGCAGACGCTGCTGCTCCAGAGCAGCCTCTTCCTCCTCGGTTGCGGTCCAGCCGTAATGGTCGGGGAGGGCCCAGATGGGCAGGCCTCCAGTGAAGACGTCGGTGCGCATCTGGAGCTGGCTACGTGGCCACCAGGAGCTGATGCGCAGGAACTTAATGAAAAAGCGGAACTGCTTGATGAGGACGGACGCAAAGACGTCGAGCGTCACGTCGAGCACGCGGCCGGGGTGCAGGTCGAAGGTACCAATCAGGCCCATAACCCTGTTGAACGTGGCCTGCACGACCTCGGAAGACGGCGGCTCGGAATTGCTCGTGGTGAATAACTCGGTGACCAGCTTCGAGAAACCCTCGGTCTCTTCGCGCAGCAGGTTGTAGTTGGCCTGGCGATAGAGAAGATTTGTCGAGTTACGGATACCCATCCGTACGAAGGTACTCCGGATAAGATCCAGGTGCTGGAGGATTTCCGGGTCCAGGACGACACGCATCAAAGCCGGCGACACCTCGGTAGCCATCATGAAGTCGCGTAGCTGGGGATGCAGCGGCCCTGACTCGACGTCGACGAAGGTCGAGACGGTGTCGAGGAACAGGGTGTGCGGGTCGAAGGCGCCATTCTTACGATCCTCTTCCGAAATTTCAGGGCCAAGGATCTCCTTGACCACGCCGCCAGCCTCCGCACCCGGCAGGCGGCCGTCTGTGACGGAATGGATAAGCTCCTGGAAGATCATGGCGACCTCGGTCAGGTCCTCGTCGTCGCGTGACTGAATGCCGTGGTCGATAATTTCCTGTCGCGCGCCCTTCGTCCATCTACTTAAGTGATCGTCGGTAATTATGGTGTATTCGTAGACGTAGGGGATGTGAGTAGAGGCAGCTGCAGGAGCTGATGATGACGGGGGCGGGGGGGCCGGCATAGAAGCTGGAGCTGGTGTTGATGTGGCGGGTGCTGGGGTCACCGCGGGAGCTGGCGGCGGTTGAGGAGGGGCTGGAGGAGGAGGTGCAGCCATCGATGAGGATGAGCTCGGGGGTCTAGGAAGCGATGGCGAGACGGGTGCCGATGCGTTAGTAGATGAGTTAGGGGTGTACGAGTCGCGACGGTCGCCGCGACGGGCATTTCTGGGAGGACCTCTGCGGAGGCCGTCGAAGCTTCGCTCGTGCTGGCTGAGCGTCATATCGCCAGGCCGATGAGGAGCAGGCCTGGAAAGACCAGCGTCGTTGGGACCCCGGTCGTTTCTCTTACGCTTTGGAGGCATCATTAAGGTGCAAATTGGTCGAGTTGGCGAATGCTAAGTCGTGTCATTTATCGGTGGCGCGGGCTCGCGGGCGCCAGGTTAAAGAACGATCGACTGGTGTGGGATTGGTCTGGGCCGCGCGATGTTAGCTACTGAAGCGATCCCAAATGAATGATCTGGAAGATGCGAGCGAGCGAAAGCTGCAAGAGGGGGAAGTGGGAAGGCAGGGAGGCATCGAACAAAGCGCGAGGCAGACGACCCAAGGAGCTACAGGAAGCGTACCGAGCAGGGTGGGTTGAGGGCAAAAAAAAAAAAAAAATCTGAAAAATAATTCGTAAGTGGAACGACGGCCGTCGTATAGTAATGCCGTGATGCCGTAGAGATGGTGCCAGATGGCAGCTTGACGATGCTGGCCCAGTCTGAATGGCGGCAGTCAGTTGGCGGGATGATGGATGATGATGAGTTGGAGTGTTTGAGTCGGATCAAGATCGCGTCTGCTTCGTCGAATCGCAGGTCGCAGCTCTGCTGCTGGCCTTGGCGCCTTGCTCCGGCCGTTTGTCTCTTGTGGGTCCCTGTTACGAGCTCTGGTAGGCTGACGCGCAAGGCTGCCAGTCTCCTGGTATGTGGTATCGTTACAACGATAGACTGCAAATTTTTGTGATATTTGCAAGTACCCGTACAGCCGGTCTACAACGTGCGGGATCGGCCAGAGGACGGCTTGGCATATGTACTTGGCGCCAAGAGCAGTGTTCCTAACGGCCGATTGCCGGCGGGGCGGCATCGCAACAAAAAGCACAGGGCAGCGCAAGACGCACCCCACCAAGCCCACCAGAAGCCCACTGTTCCCGCGGGGTCCTAGCCTGGGACGCGGCCAAGCGTGGCCTAGCAGGGATGCTAGTGAATTGCGCAATCGACGCTTGCGGCTCTGACGCATGGTTTTCGGCCAATGAGAGCCATCGATAAGTTTCCTGCTGCTTGTCGTGGGCCATCTTGGCCAGGGCGAGCCGGCCTCGCGCAGCGCGGGACGCCCACTCGCCCACCGGCCGTCCACACACCTCAGTCATCCACACGCCAACCACAGCGTCCACAAGTCCACAGAAGCATGGCCGACTCCATGTCTCCATGTGAGCGCGGTGTTTCTCTCTGCAGACTCGTTCTCTGCTGCGACATGCCCGGCGCCCAGGTTGGCAGGTCCGCGGTTCTCTTTTATCCGGCTCGGCTGGCCCGTACTTCGTAGACCTTCGCCGTTCCCTGTTCCAGTTCCATCCATCCCCAGAAGCCAGAAGCCAGAATCCAGAATTTCGCATTCCATTTTGAACTGGAAGGGATTCCAGTTCCATCCCAGAATTCCTAGCGTCCCGTCTCCAGGGCCCATCTTGCCCTGATCCAGCAGACGTGGTTCCGTTCTGCGTCTTGCAAAGTCCTCGATACATTGCCGTGTGTGTCCTTGACGATTCCGTCTCGAGTCTTGTCTGCCATTGAGGCCCGTTCATTTCGCTCTCCGTTCCGATCCCGCTTCTATCGCAGATCCCATCCCACAGCCAATCCCCCCCCCTTTTTTTTTTTTCATTATATTCCCCTCTCTCTACCCGTACTTACTCCCATGCCCTCCGCCGACATCGCCATGAGCCAAGAAATCCCAAGGCCAAACGCCGCGCGGCCTGGGACATACAAGTACAGTGAGTCATCCCCGCTATCAGCTTGCTCCCTTTGATCGTCCTCTCGTCCCCGAACAGCGCTGAATACCTCAAGAAAGGGTCTCGTCGCAACCGGAGAATCCCTTCGCCAAGCTTATTCCCGACCAGCAGATCGCCATCATCCCTGAGTTCACCCTCGAGTCCGGTGTGACGCTTTACAATGTCCCCGTCGCCTACACCACGAGGGGCACGCTCTCCCCTGAAGCCGACAACTGCATGGTCATCTGCCATGCTTTGACTGGCAGCGCCGATGTGGCCGACTGGTGGGGGCCTCTAATCGGAGGGCCCGGTCGCGCCTTTGATACTACACGCTTCTTTATCGTCTGTATGAACAGTCTGGGGAGCCCGTATGGGACAGCCAGCCCCGTAACTGCCAAGGATGGCGATCCGTCTCGCGGGCGCTATGGCCCTGAATTCCCCTTGACGACGATCCGGGATGACGTTAGGTAAGCAGTCCCGTCGACGGCTATGTTATAGTGACCTTCTAATATCAATATCTATCTAGACTACACAAGCTGCTCCTCGACGACCTAGGCGTCAAGCAGGTGGCCGCTGTGATCGGCGGCTCTCTGGGCGGTATGTTCGTGCTAGAATGGGCCTACTTTGGCAAGGACTACGTGCGGTGTATTGTCCCGATCGCGACATCGAGCCGCCACAGTGCCTGGGGCATCAGCTGGGGCGAAGCCCAGCGCCAATCCATCTACGCCGACCCGAAGTACGAGGACGGCTACTATTCCTTCGACGACCCGCCGACAACTGGCCTGGGTGCCGCGCGCATGGCCGCCCTCCTGACCTACCGCAGCCGTAACAGCTTCGAGGCCCGCTTTGGTCGCAATACACCCGACCCGTCGCGCCGTCAGTTCATCCGCGAGGTTCCCCCGCCGCAGACGCCCGATGAAGCACATTTCCATATCCACAATGACGGCCACAAGTGGAAGCGCTCTCCCAGCCGGCAGAACAGCGTGACAAACGGCAACGCTCCCAACCCCGATCCGCAGTTCCACGGCCCGCAAAGGAACGGCAGTAGCAGCGGCAATGGCGGCTCCCTGACCGGCGGCGCCGTCATGCCCAAGGGCTCAACCTATTTCTCCGCACAATCCTACCTGCGCTACCAAGGCGAGAAGTTCGTCAAGCGTTTTGACAGCAACTGCTACATCGCCATGACCCGCAAGCTGGACACGCACGACGTGAGCCGCGGGCGCGCCCCGACTGTGGCCGAGGCGCTGGCCATGATCGAGCAGCCGACACTGGTGCTGGGCATCGAGAGCGACGGGCTATTCACGTTTGCCGAGCAGGAGGAGTTGGCGGCGCACATCCCGAACGCGCGGCTGGAGCGTATCGACAGCCCCGAGGGGCACGATGCCTTCCTGCTGCAGTTCGAGCAGGTCAACCACTATATCCTCAGCTTCCTGCGCGAGACGCTGCCCGACATCATGGGCAAGGATGCCGAGGGCGTCGTGGAGGAGAGCGTCGGGCAGCTGACTAAGAGTAGCACGTTTGGCGAGGCAGAAGTGGGGGACATTACGGCGTGGTAATTTTTGGTGCTTCCGTCGTCTTCGTCATTCGGCTTTCTGGAATTTTTTTTTTCTTGGGGGGGGGGATCTTTCTTCTCGGTTATTGCTTCGAACATTTTTTGGACGATTGGATTGGCATTCTTCCACTGTTCGCACAATACACCCTTCTCTCGCACTCTCTGCCTCTCTTACCTCTGGTACCCAGGTGCCTTCGGTAATCGCTGACCGTGGTGCCACCCGGCCGCGGGGCACGTTTTTCTCTCCCCTCTCCCTCGCTCGCGCTGTCTGCCCTACACTACCTCACCGCCCGAGGTAATGGAGTGATAGAAGGCTTCGTTCACGTGTCGACGAGTTCGAAGCATTTTTTTTGTCATCTCAAACAAGCCCTTTCCGATCGGAGCTACGTGGCTAGGGGTGGTTATTGGAATTAGGTGACCACTGCATCTTGCACCTCTTTGTCAAATCAAAACGATCCAAATGTAGGAGGATGTTTTTTGGGGGGGGAAGGGTTGTTGGAAAGCAATCAGACGAAAAACCTCGCATTAGCGGCCGGTTTTCCCGTCCTACCCCGGACGAAAAGTGTGTGGTGTGTATGTGTGTGTAATGTGGGGTGATGGAATGAGGCCTGCAGGATAACCCCGCGGAAAGCGTGCTGCTTGGCAAATTACGTGAGGCCTTTCCCAACCCTTCGAAATGGAGCTGAGAGTTGCTTTCGGACAGCCGGGCAGGGCAAGAGACTCTAGAGAGAGTGTGGGTATTTAGTGGACCAAAACTGCTTACCTGGGATATATCAGACGGTTGCGGCTGGAAATATCGATGTCGTCATCGTCCCTGTCGAGTTGGTATCATGAAAAACTGGTTGAGAAGATGAACGGGTTGGATAGCTGCATTCCACTCTGGATGGATGTTTGGAGATGGAAGGGTTCATGGCATTATTTCGTTTCTTTGCCCAGTTTACTTGGCTAGCTTTCCAATGGTTTGTCTTTGGATTAACTTTTTTATTGGTTGTTGCTGGGTTCTTATTGCTTATCATCGAATGCGTTGCTCATTGTTTTTTTTTTTTTTTTTCAATAGAGGATACCTAGGATAGGAAAATCAAAAGTCGCATGTATATACCATCCTATACAATAATGCTCCCTACGTTAAAGTACACATGGCCGTGGACTTTGTGACGGGTGGCATCTTACACAACTCTGTTGGTATATATATCCCTCGCCTGGTCCTAGAGGCGTGATTGGTTACGTTTGGACCAAGGGAGATGATGCTCCAGGTTGCCAGAACTCAGCTTATGCGCAGCTCTGAAGTACATCCTCAAACGAGGAGAGGTAGCCGGCTATGTGCAAGCCATCAGATAGATAACCATTTAGAAGACGTCAACTGCTACCGCCTCGGTGCCTAGGTTGTACAGACGAATCCCGCCTGAGCCATTGGATTCGACGAGGTAGAAACAATGCAAAGTATTTACACACAACGAATAATAGCCCCCGAACTATGGTTAACATCCAGGGCCTGGCATTCCCTGTCCCTGCTGTCCCTTGGTAGTACTCTTTAACTCTCCACCATCCTCTAGCAGGTTCCTCGAACAGCTGGATAATTAAAAGAAAAAAAAAGAAGTTTAAAAATATAACCGCATACGACAAACAAGCATAAAGTGCGCCCTGTACAGCTATCCACACAGACATGCCATCCTTTTCATCAACCATTGCCAATTCCTGATCCCTCTCTCGCTTGTAAACGAAACCCGAAAACACGAGAACAACATATAGTGGTAGTACCATGGTCAAGGAGATGGAGGGAGACGCGCTCACGGCTCCCTCTCAACGAACGGAGCGAAACTCCGTCCCGCGTAGCGCTCCTCGTCCATGGCGTCAGACATAACATCGTCGGGGTCTATGCCGTCATCCATCTCGACGTACCTCGTCTCCTCAATGCGCCGTTTCGTCGGATGCGGCTGCAGATACTGTTGTGGCGGTTGTAACGGCTGCTGGTGACTCTGCTGACCTTGAGCTGACACATTCGTCACAGCAGGCATCGCTGGCGCAGTCGTACTCGTGCTCATCATGACGCCAACATCCCCTCTCGCCCTCAAGATATCTCCATACGCCTGCAGCATATGCTTCGTCTCGTCCCCCAGTGTAACACAAAACCTCTTCAACAGCATATACTGCACTGCCTGCACAGTATCCAGGGCAAACATAGCCATCAAATACGCCGCTACAATCGCCGCGCTGCGATCATTCCCTGTCTCGCAGCACACCAACACCTTCCCCGGTTTCCCCTGCCCTTCATTCTCCACCCTCTCCCTCTCAATCCTCAACATATGCCGATTAATAATCCCCACAACCACATCAAACACCCTAACCAACTCCCTCGCATCACCAACCTCAACCCCCTCCACCTCAACACCCGTCCCTTCCAAAGCCCTCTTGAGCCCTGGCAAACTCACTGCCGCAAACCGCTTATCTCTCGCCGCCAGCACCATGGTGATCCCCTCCCTCTCCATGAAAACCTTATCCCTAACGACACTCGCAGGCCCCAGGTAAACCCAATCCAGAACTTGCTGTGCCTGCCGCCGCGATTCATACACCCAGTTCGTCGATGCATCCTTAGCATACTGCGGCGCCAAGTTACGCGTCACTAGCGCGAGGTCGGCGTGCGAAAGGGGAGTCGGCGTGTACTGCGAGTAGTGCACCGCATTGGGGGACGGCGTGATGGTCATGAGGATGTTGCTGAAGGGAGAGGGGGTGCGGGCGCGGGTGTTGGCATCGCTAGGGTTTGATGATGTGGAGAGGTTGCCGGTGGTGGTGGTGCTGGTAGCGGCTGGGAAGGGGGCGGCTGGGAAGGGGACGGCCGGGACGTGAATGTAAGGGGGAGAAGGGGGCCGGGTTGAGTAAGGGGCTGTGGGGAGGACGCCGGGTCGGAGGGGGGAATGGGCTCTTGTGCGGTCGGAATGTTGGTTGGAGAGCATTTTTGGCAATTATGGTGAGTGTGCAGAATTTTGGGATATGAGGTGTGGTGCTGGCGAAACTTGGAGATGGTTATCGTTGTCGGTTAGTCCGTTGGATGAGATGGACTTTGTTAGGGCTTAAGGCCCGCGAAGCTTGGGAGGACGACTCGGCGAGTTGTATAGATTTGCTTGAACGTGCAGTCGTAAAGCCGCAGTTTTTTTTTAAAAAAAAATTATTATTATTATTATTATTGATGGCCTCTGACTGCGTGCAACGGTGTCGCGTGTCCTCGATGAACGCCAGGTGACCACGGATGACACAGGCAAACTTTATTCTAAGTCGGCTTGTTGGTTGCTGTTTGCTGCTTGCGGTCAACTCGATAGCCGAATCATAGACCGATTTCTTAGCTCGATACTCGTAGTGAGCTTGGCTATGTTTCTCTGCTGCACCACAGAGGGAAATGATACAATGTTGTGATGCAATCTTACACGAGTTTGCGGAAAATCGATGCGGCTTCAGAGTCGGTTGACTAGCCGACGCGAGTCCACGGAAAAATAAAGAGTGAAGAGAAAGAAGAGAAGGGTGAGAGGTGAGCTGGATGAAGTGAAGTCGCGACTGAAGGTAACGGTCCAAGTGTCCCCTGTCTCTCCCCAACAACCAACTGCCTGGGTTCTGCCTGAAGTGGGCCTTGAACCCTAACCCGAACCTTATCGCTGATCCAGCATAAACATCCATCACCCTAAGCCAAGGCGGTTTGAAAAAAGTTAGGAGTAAACCATCCATCCGAAGTCCCAAAAAGGAGGAGGCAGTCATGAATATACTCTAATTTTCTCACTATGCATACCAATTACACTACGCGGCATCAGCCACACTGCTCTCGCGACTCAGCGGCGACGGTACTTCGGGCGTAGCCGACCGAGACTCACGCTCCCGTTCGCCGCGCTCTCGCTGCCGCCCCTTGCTTCCCGGCCCCAGCTTCTTCCTCTTTTTGTTCTCCGACGCGCTGCTCGATGTGCTGCTTCCCCCTTTCTTCTCTCCATCCAGCAATGCCGCCGCGGCTGACCCAGAAGTGCCGCGCGACATGCTGCCCCGACGTATGCTGCCGCTCCGGGCGCGCTTGTGCTCAGCCGCGACAGCTGCGTGGCGTGGGTGTTGGGCTTTCTCAGCCACTGCGGAAGTTTGTGTTGTTGCCGGAGGCCGGTCGGGGATGCGACGCCACGGAAGCCACCACAGCCAGCCGTACTTCTGCTTGCGCAGCTGGCGGTCGCGCTCCTTGAGCTTGGCGCGCAGCCGGGCACGGCGCTCGTTCTCCTTCTCCCAGTACTCTGCGCGGTAGAGCTCCCAATTCTCGCGGAAGGTGGGCGAGAAGGGCTTGGCAAGAAGCAGCAGCTTGACGTAATCGCCTCCAGGTGCTAAATCCTCTTCATGTCCCCCCTTCTCGGCATCCCAGTGACCAACGTTGACGGCCGGGTGTGTGTCCTTATCCAGATTCATCTCGCGGTCGACCTCGCGTACCAATGCCGGGTCAACCCAGCGGTACGAGCTTCCGTTGTCGGAGAACAAACCATATGTCAGAAACCAGCCGATGGTGCTGAGAGCTTCCTTCCACCACGGCTGTCTCAGCAGCACCAGCTTGCAGTTGAATCCTCTCAGACCCCGATTCGACACAGCGAACCAGCGTCGCGGCCAACGAATACCCCGCTCCCAAATACCCGTCACCCACACGAGCAGTGCAGTGACGATGCCAGCGAGGAAGCACATGCGTTCGGCGGTCTCGACGGCCCAGTAGACGGAACCGCCAACACCGCGGCCGTCCTCGCGCGGCGCCAGAAACAGGGCGTAGCCGAAGAAAGCGGTCCACGCCGTTAGCAGCGACAGGAAGAATGTGTGATGTCTGCGACGTGCCCGCAGCTCTAGGTACTGTGCGCGCAGCGAGGCCTCGAGGATCAGCAGGTTGAGGTAGATCATGGACGGCGACGACGGCGTGTGGCTGAGGGGGTCGCCCGGACGGTGTTGCAGGAGCGATTTTCCCTTGAGATTGGTGTTGTTATCACGTTCGTCGTCGCTGCCGCTTGCGCTGGCGGTGCCTGACGACAGGTCGCCTGGCGGCAGCGAGACGGGGGCGCCCTTGACGATGGAGTCGACATCGGCCATTGCTTCGGTCATGATGATGGGTGTGGTGTGTGGGTGAGCCGTGGGCCCCAGACGGGCGCCCTGCGGACGGATCGCGAGAGATTCGGCTCGGAGGGAGAGAAAGAAGGGGGAAAGGGGGGGGGGTGTTTGTCCAGTGTAGACAAATCTGCTGTGACGGTGGTCAAAGGGGGATAAAATCTGAATGGTGGTTCGATGGCGTGAGCCGGGTTAGGTGGCTTGTCTTACTCGTAGCTGTCTCAGCTTCGGGCCTCGTTGCGTCTCGACTCGGCGGGTTCAGGCGGTTATCGGCGTGTTCGAGCCATTCCAAGCTCCGCGCGACTCATGTGCTAGAGCAAAGGTACCTAGCTTGGTTGTTCGCAATGGTAACGCTGAAAGTTCTGGTCTTGCGTTGTTCGTATCAGGGCCGCGTCTCCATTGGGTGGAAACGGGAAGCGGAACGGGAGCTCGAGACGGGACTGGAATTTTGGCCGACTGCCCCAACCCTGAACTCGAACCCAGAACACTGGCTTTGGTCCCACCTACCGTGCTCCAACCCTTACCCTGACGCTGACTTTGGGAGCTGGTAGCTGTCACTACCGCTGTCACCGTCCGCGGCTCTGGATGCTGCCGAATCCGTCCTCTCGTTAACTGCCCGTGACAGCTCCACTGCGGTGCTCGGGCGCCCCACCCCCAGAGTGGCCGCACACAGTGCCGCCAACAGTGTTCAACGGTTAGCAGTCATGTGCTCAGGCTTGGGGTGCCTTAGTGGCTATTAGTGGCTGTCAGCGGTAGTCAGCACCCCCAGATCGGCGGGGATTCAGTGATGCAATGCCTGAATGTCCGCTGGAGACAGGCACATCTTCCCTGCCTGCCCCTGTGACCCGAACACCCGCAACCCGCTCGGTCGTCGGCTGCAGAGCGCAGACGAGTGCAGACGAGGTGCAGCTGGAATATTCTCAAGCTACCGCTAGGACACTTAAGACGGATAGGCAGCCCGTCTGATGTAAGTACCGCATCCCTACTCCCTCAAACCCGTTCCGTCTGAATGCCATTGTCTTCCCCCATCAAAAGGAGCGCCGCTCCCAACGCGCGCTCTGCCTGGTCTCTCTCCCGTCCATCATGGTCATTAAGCCGTGTCCCACAGCGACCACAGCTTTTCTCCTCCCGAAGCGACTCAAGCTCGCGTCTCTCGCGCTAGCAGGTGGCGTCAGCAGTTCTGGAAATAGTAGCCCTGACTCTCGCTCCGTCTCGACCGTGACCGTGACCGCGACAGCGACAGTCGCCTCCGACACGCTCCCTCCAGGCGTCGATCCCCGCCAGCCGATTCTCTTCCCCTCACACATGTCGTCCTCCGAGGCCACGCAGACCGTCCCGCGCCGCAAGGCCTGGTTCCCGCTGGGCTTCAAGGAGGCTGCGCAACAATGGGTGTGTCCTTCACTCTCCAAGGGTCACTTAAGACACTTGCTGACTCCCCTCAGTGGACCTGCGTCAACGCCCGGCAGGCTGAGCGCAATGTGCTCTCGTTCGTGCCCTACATCCGCGAAGCGTCAGCCGAAGCGACCGGCTCTCAGCTGCAAGAGCTCGCCAAGAGCGATCCCTTCGGCCAGCGCGTGTGGCGCTCGTCGCTTGTCTCGCTCTCCGGGAAGGACCGCGCGCTCAACGAACTGGCCATCGAGCGCGTTGGCGAGCAGATTGAGGACACCCTCGTCATGTTGCATGGCTACGGTGCCGGCCTGGGCTTCTTCTACCGCAACTTTGAACCGCTGACCCGGCTGCCCGGCTGGCGGTTGTATGCCTTGGATATGCTCGGCATGGGCAACTCTTCGCGTCCGCCGTTCCGGATTCGGGCTAAGGACCCCAAGGAGAAGATTGCCGAGGCTGAGGCCTGGTTCATCGATGCGCTCGAGGAATGGCGAAAGATCCGTGGGATTGAGAAGTTTACCTTGTTAGGCCACTCGCTAGGCGGCTACCTCGCCGTGTCCTACGCCCTGAAATACCCCGGTCATCTTAACAAGCTTATTCTTGCGTCTCCTGTCGGCATCCCAGAAGACCCCTGGGCCGTCAACTCCGAGGCCCCCGAGCCCGAAGAATCTTCCTTCGTCAACGAGTTCACCCAAGACCAAGAGAGCATCATTTCCGGCCGTTCCTCCAACATCCCGACTCCAACCTCCTCTGATTCCGAGTCTAGTAATTCTATCAAGATTGAAGGTACCATGTCCGCACCTCCTCCAAAACGCCCCATCCCCGGCTGGCTCTCCTTCCTCTGGGATGCCAACGTCTCCCCCTTCAGCCTCGTCCGCCTGGCGGGCCCCCTCGGCCCCCGTTTTGTCTCAGGCTGGACCCACCGCCGCTTCAACCACCTGCCCCCTTCCGAAAAAGAAGCCCTCCATTTGTATTCTTATGCCCTATTCCGCCAAAAAGGCTCCGGCGAGTACGTCCTGCCCTATCTCCTCGCCCCCGGCGCGTACGCCCGTTCCCCCGTGATCCATCGCATCGACAAGGTCGGTCGGCAGGTCATCCAGCCGGCGACGGAGGACCGCCCTGCCGTGCGCGAGACGGGCTTCCCGATCGTGTTCATGTATGGCGAGAATGACTGGATGGATCCGGCGGGCGGGTACGCCGCAGAGGAGAAGATCAAGCAGGCGTGCGTGAAGGCGTTGATGCGTGCGCAGACCGAGGAAGAGAGGGAGAAGGAGAATGGGGGCGCCAAGGTGGTGATTATCAGGCGAGCGGGACATCATTTGTATCTGGATAATCCGGAGGAGTTTAATGAGGCTGTGAGGAGGGAGATGGAGGAGGTTATGGAGGAGAGGAGGAGAAGGCAGAGGAGGGGATGGGAGTGAGTAATAAAAAGATGTTTGAGTAGAGGACAAGTTTTGGGAACTTCCCTCCTTCCCCCCACCCCTCCACCCCTCTTCCTCCGGCTGGCTGGTAGGCATAGCGTGGCGTTGGCAGAGGTTTGACTGTGGTTTATCCAGCATGGCGTTTTCCTGTCTTGATAGTGTGCTTTGACTGTCATGAGAAATGAGTCATGGCTGTCTATGACTTGGACAACGGATGGATGGATGGATGGATGGATGGATGGATGGATGGATGGAGGCATCGTACATAGGCTAGGCAGTTCGGAATGGTTTTTGGTTTCCAACTCACTGATAGGTAATACCGTTACACGGAATTTTATTAAAACTTGCATATTTGTTGACGAAGAGTCGTCAATGTTGTTATCAAGCTGATTCTGATCGTTGGCCCAACGATGAATGTCTTATCTTAACCTATCTTTTTCTATCTGGTCGAGTGATTAGTATGGTCGAGAACAGCAAGGTTGAGGCATCACATCTCTACCGCCACAGGAGTATGCCTGTCTTTGAAAAACTTAAATTGTCCGCACTACAAGAAAGTACAAGCTACTCTAACCGGCCTAGAAGAGGTAAGAGGTAGGGTAGGTAGTTAAAAGCCATATATATATGTGTGAGCTCTAAAAAAAAAAAAAACCGGGTATCAGGGAGAAGGCCAAACAGAGAATAAAACCAGACATATAGTTAAGAAGAATACAAGCAGACCGGATAATAAAAGTATAACATGAGAAGAGAAAGAATGGTCAAGCGTCAACAGAAGTGGATAGGAAATAAAGAAAACTCCTACAGAGGCTCCCCATCAACCGCTCAAATCAGAGAAAAAAAATAAATCATTTAATCGTGTGCCCTTAACACTGTACCCCAGTACAGCACTCCAACAATCTTTAGACCAGCAATCACCACCATAAACCCACCCCTACAACGTCATCCCAAGCAATTACTTCTGCTCCTCAGGCCTCGGCGCAAAAGGGATATGCCCCTTACTTGAGAAAATCGGCAAATTCTCCCTCTTAATCGGCATTGGCTGGGGTTTCGGCGGCAACGAAGCCTGCTGATTAAGCGGCTTGGGCGGCCAGTCAGGAAGCTTATTCCTCTTCGGCTGCCCATCCGTGCCAGGGGAGATAGAGGCACTACAGGCAGGCTCGACGCTGCTGGCTGGCGAGGACGGGACCGTACGCGGGGCGCTTGTGGGAGGGGATGCGAGACCCGGTTCTTGGGTCTGCACCTGGGACGGCTGGTCATGAATGACCTGCTGCTGCTGGTACAGGAAAGACTGGGTCTGCCCCGGTGCGAGGGAGCACGGTGAGAGAGAGAGGGATGGCGTCGGGGAGGGGAGTGGTTGAGCAGGTGGGGCTTGAGCCTGTGGAGTAGATGCTTGCTCCTCCTCCTCCTCTTCCGCAATCGATTCGGAGGCTGGGACATCCATACGCTGGCCTTGAGCTTGGGCAAGCTTCTCGCGGACAAGGCGCTCCCGCTCGCGGGCATCCTTCTGGGCCTTTTGGATGACGGTGATTTTGATTCTCTTCATATCACCGGCGATCTTGTCGACTTCCTCGCCACCGTCTTTCTTATCAGATGTGGTACCGTTAACAGCGGGAGTTTTTTTCACCTTGATTGTTGTCCGAGCAGCCGTCGTGCTTGCAGTAGAATCCTTCTTCAGCGATGCCACCGAAGGTTCTTTCCTCAGTGTGGCCGTTGACCTCGTCTTCTTAACCGTCAGTCCGTTGGAACCTGCGACACTAACACTCCCCGACGACGGTGGCCTGGCAGGTACCTCCGACGACGACGCAACAGCCGATGCCGCACTAAGCCGGCGACTAGTCGCTCTCATCATCTTCCCTGACAAATCTCCTGCCCCAGATACCGTCTGCCTCCTTGACTTGGACTCCACATCACCACCAATAGCATCCTCAGCAACCTTTGGCTTCCTCTCCCGCAAGCCCGTCCGTGTCGGTGCTCGGCCCTCTTCAGGCACAGTCGGCGGCACAGCAGGCTGCGGCGGAGGAGCAAGCGTGCCAAGGGCGATCTGTCTCTCACGGCGCAGCCTCGTCGCTTCAGCATTAAGCTCTTCGGCGGTGCAGCTATTGGTCTGCCGATCAGTCGGGATGAGGAGCTTGCTGAGCTCGTGCGTGGCGATGGTCCAAGGAATGTCTAGGCATGGCGAGGAGGGGGGAAGCGAACGGATTTCGGCGCCGTTGGAAGCAAGACCAGCCGAAGGGAAACGTGGCGGGGCCTTGGCTTTCGCGATAGACGCTTGCGTCGGGGACGAGTATGTCGGCGGGGTGATGTTACGAATGACGCGGGGCTGAGGAGCTGGTGTGGCCACGGTGACCTCGAGACGCTCCAACTCGGCGGCAGACCACCACGAGGGCTCGTACCGACGGGATCCGCGCTCGCTAGCTGAGGAGTCCTTACGTCCTCGCAGCGGCATAGAAGTTGGGACGGGGGTTCCTTGCGGCAACTGCGAGAAATCGACGCTGGCGGGACGAGAACGAGGCTCGTTACTGGCTCCGTCACCGGCCAAGCCGCAGAGATGGGCAAAAACGCCGGAGCAGAGGGCCCGGTCGCTGTAGCCGCCCTCGAGGACGCTGATAATGCGGCCCTCAACGCTGGTGCCCTCCTCAGCGGCGATGCGGACGATGTCGCGGGTAAACTTGGCATAGAAATCCGTGGGCACGTTGACGTTATGGCGCTGCATGCCAGGGTCCTCCCACTGGCTGGCATCAAAGCCGGCTGAGATGAAGATGGCAGCTTTGGAGTTGAGCCCGGCTGCGCGAAGCTTCTCGGTCTGAGCCTTAAGGTAGCCGCGCGCACGCTCAAGTAGAGCAGAATATTTGGTGTTGTAGATGGTCCAGAAGTCGGACTCGGTCTTCCACGGCTCCAAGTGCACATTCCAAACGGTCTGACCGTGCGCGTTGTCGATGCAGATGCTGGCGTTCCTAACCTTCTCCTCATCGCCCGTCTCGCACGGAAACGAATTGATGTCGTGCAAACTGAAGTAGCCGATGGACGTCTTCTTCCACAGCGCCGCGTTCTTAGCGGAATTGATGGTCCGTGTGTTGTGTTGCCAGGCAATAGCCTGTGAGCCGTCACCATGGTGCAGGTCGAAGTCGATGATGGCAGCGTGGGTCAGGCCATGGGCCAGGATAGCATGCATGATGCCGACATGCACGTTGTTGATCCAGCAGAAGCCCGACGGATGTGACGCGGAGCAGTGGTGGCCTGGCGGCCGGATGGCGACGAAAGCACGCTGCGGGCCGTGAGGATTGAAGACGATATCGACAGCATCGCAGACGCCGCCAAGGGCACCTTCCAGAGCGTCCCGAGAGTCCTCACACAGGTACAAATCTCCCTCATGAAATGCCTGCGGCTCTCCAGCGTTCGGGCCGCGGTCCATGTCGGGTCGCTCCAGTTCTTTGCCTCCCGATGCCAGCTTCGTCTCTGCCGTATCACACATATGCCTGAGCTCCTCCATCCACTTGACACCGTGTACGTTTGTCACAACCTGCGAGGTCAGGGGCACTCGACGGAACGACTTCTGGATACGGAACGGAATCGTGGGCAGCGTGGCAGGATCGCTATCGGGGTGAATGGGGAATGCACCATCCTGGTGCCGCTCGCCCAACCGAACGTAAGCAGCGGCGATACCGAGGATGCAGGCCTTGATGCGCTCTGGGCGCTCAACGATGGTGCTGAGGAGCGACTTGGATGCACGGGGGCGCGAGTAGCGATGGCCGTAGCAGGCGTCCTGCAGGATGACGACGGTCTCGACGCGACGAGTCGGCTCGGGCCCATGGTGGATGTCGAGCTCAGCCTTGAAGTGGGCGCTTGCGACGGAATGCGGAGTGGGAATGATGATGGGCTCGGGCGAGATGTCTCTCAACGGCGACGTGCCCGACCGAGATTTGGCCACCGACGAGATATGGGCGATGCTCGCGCGGCGCGACGGGCCGTGGGTAGTTGCCGTGGTTGCAACCGAGTGCAGAGAGGTCATGGACGCTTTCCGTACCAGCGTAGGTGTTCCCGATCGCGAGTGTGGCTCCTTGACGGCAGCTGAAGCGCTGCGAAGGGGGGTTCGCATGGCGCTGCCTGGTCGGGGGGTATTGGGCAGATTTTCGGCGAGGGGATTCATCGCAGCGGAATTGACAGGGCCAGGACGGCCAGGACGAGCGGTCTTCGCAGAGGGAGATGTTTTGTTGATCCTGAGTTTCTCCATGGACTCGGTCAGGTCATTGTGGTGGTCCTGCCTGTCATCCCTGGACGTCGACGTCGCGTGCGCATCGCTGGTACGAGCCATTGTCGACGATCCTTTCGGAGCAGCAATGGGTTTAGATGCAGACGACACCGTGAGTTGTTCCCTAGATTACCTAGTCGTGGTGCTGAGTGGATTGTAGGCAAGCTGGAGCTGATTGTAGCTGGCAGCCAAAGCGACCTCAACGTCGACGAGGCAAATAGGGGGCGGGGTCTTGCATCGACAGCCCGGCGCCAAATCCAATTACGATTTGAAATGGCACTGCAGCTGGAGGCTCTCAATTTAAGGCTTCGGTTGTTGATTCGATTCCGTTTCCCGGCAGCCCTGTATTCCGTATACCGACGTCGACTGCGCGCAACGCTGATGCGAGTAAAAAAATAAAAAAAAATTACAGAATCGGCAAGTAAACAAACACAGATGATCAGATCTCGATGCAACGTGGGGATGAATCGAGCAGCTCCAAGCAACGGCGGGTTCGATCGCGAGCTGTGAGGTCATCAAGCGTCGAGCTTCCTAGGCGCCGTCCAGTCGCTGTCTGCTGTGCCTGTGTTTTGGTGGAACCTGGCTGCAACGGCGCTGCATCCAATGACTTTTGGTGCGGCCGAGGCCTGCGACCCACGGTCTGTGCAGGGATCTGCCTGGACGCACGGATCGCCTGGAGCGCGTCGCGCCCCTCTCTTGGCGTCACTACCTGCCAAGAGCTCATAACGCGTGAGACCCACCGATGCCTGCATATTCACGTGATTTAAGCATGTTGGGGGAGAGTCCACTAAGGCGCGACCACAACCCCGGCACGTTCCGTCTCCCGTGGTTCCTAGCTTTGTGGCTCAACCTCACCCGCAGCTCCCCCACCCCTCAAGTTTCCCAAGTGACGACCTCAACCAGCCACGCCAACTGCTCAACCAAAGTTCGTCACGTTGTCGCCAAGAACAGTAGAACTCAAATCACAATTCTGCAAGCAAGGGCCTGCCCGGCCAATCAATGCCGCTCATGCTACTCAAATCCATGCGTTATTGTAGCTTGCTCTGAGCGTGGCTGAGAAGCATCTCCGCATCCTTCCCCGGATTATGAAACCCCCGCGTTATCGGGCCCTTCTTGTTGGGAAGGTATAGCGAAGTCTCAAAGAGACGGCAATAGTGCAGCAGCCGATGCGTCCTGTTGGCTCTTGCTGCAGCCTAAACGACGTGTCCAGCGGCCTTAGGCTCTTGGTAGCGCGGTTCTACACAAAGAACTTTTTGGAGGGATGGATCGAGGTAACATGCAGCTTTTGCTTCACGTCCTCAGCCGCATTTTGGCCAACCTGATAGTAGTCTGGTCATCAAAGCGTAGCTAGCTATGGGTTGCGCGCCCTTGCTGTGTAGATATAAGTACCTGGGAGCATTTTTCGTAGCTCACGGCTCTTCAGTTCCTCAGAGTCGAGGTTGTCTTGAACGAGGCTCTCTGTTCCCTGTGCTCTCCCACTCTTGGCCCCAAACCATCCTCAAACTCCTTGACAAGAAAGTGACTCCAGTAACAGTCATGGCGCGCGTTTTTTCTGCTCTGGCCTTGGCGCGCATAGCCACTGCCCTCTTGGACGGCCACATCGATGTCGTCGTTCACAAGAACGTTGACATCAAAGTTCCCAAGGTCAACAACAACCCTTTTTCTACGGCTTTACCAAACGTCGCTGCCATACATAACGCCGCTCAGGGCTTAGCCTCGCCAGGGAACCAGGATGAGGGCACCGCAGCCTGCATGGTCGCCCAGAAGGTGATCGACCAATGCTATTCGGCGGGATATCTAGAAGAGGATGTCCCAAGAAGCGTCGCGGAGAGCTGCTTTTGCTGTTATGAGGGACTGCGAGTTTTCCCAGCATATGACATCTGCGCCAACTACCTTGTCGATGAGGGTCTATACGACGGCGTCTATATGTCCGATGTGTACGAGAGTATGTGATCACCTGCCGGTCCAACTTGAGTTCAACGTCTTTTCAGCCTGGCTGACCATCGCTGCTAGTGGCTTCGATCTTTTCGTCGGTATGCATTACGAAGACGAGGTGTACCTCCACCCCGACATCTACTCGGCCGGTCACGACAACTGCCCCAAGAGCCTGCACCTCGATGGTAGAGCTCTACGAGTACTGCAGAGATGTAGAGCTGGCTCACCTATCGACCACCTATTTTACTGACATGGCCAGCTGCTTCTGGTTCGTCTTTAATGTCTTGACAGCGATGTCTCACCATAACTAATCTTCAAAAACAGTTATGATTACTACGGCAACTTCGACACACGTATTCAGGACTGGGCCAGCGCGTGCCTGCCGTGGATCAGGACGGCTGCTCCTAATGATTATAACGGTAAGTTTGCTGTCTTTTCGATCACGGTCACTTTCTATCCCGGACTGGACTCGATCTAACCTGCCTTTTGCCAGCCGTCTCAAACTATCAGACCGCCTGCAGCCGCGTTCCGCCGGCTAGAAACTCTCGCTCGAGCAGCTTTCAGTTTACCGCTGCTGCCTCGCGTCCCACTGACAACGTCGACAATGGTTTTGATGACCCGCCGGCCCCTACGTCCTCGGAGAGCCAACCCACGCCGACCACGCTCTCCGAAACTTCTGCCGAGAATAATTCTAACACCCGCGGCGGAGCCGCAGCTCAGATGGCTCTGCCTGGGTTTGCTACCCTGATTACTGGCCTGCTAGCTGTTCTTTTGTCTGTCTTTTTGTTCTAAGTATGCCTGGTGACTTATCTTGGTGGTTCTATGATGGCTTCCCCGTCCCTCCGGGGCACGTAACTGCATGACTGATGAGCAATTACCTACGATATGATATGAAACATAGGAGCGTAATGTCAGTATGAATTTCAATCTCTTCAGTTAGGGCCCATCTCTCCCCGTGATTGTAAGGACGATCTGAAGGCGCTGATCTGACGAGGCATCTCTGTCCGTGGCAAGAATATGGTGTCCCAATGTTGAAAGTTGGAGTTCCTGTTCCAGTTCAGGAGCCAGCAAACCTAACCGCGCGATTTCTGGTGTTACAACTCCGCGAGGAAGGATCTCAGAGGAGACAGAGAAGTTGGGTAAGGCGGCTTCAAGATGCAGTTTGTTGTGACTCTGCCTTGTGGAACCGTGGAACCGCTGCCAAGTCTGAAGTCTTTGGTGGGGCCGCAGAATTGCGGGGCAGGTTTCACGGCTCCAGTTTGCGCCTGTCGGGACCCTTGAGCCTGTTGACTTTTGACACAGAAGCACTCATCTGGTGGTTGGGTGGGAGATGTGGGCAACGTCACTAAGGATGGCCTCGAACAAGTTTGTAGCTCCTGCGCTCACCTTTGAGCTGGTCGCCAAGTGCTCGGTAAGCCAATTGCCCTGAAATACGGCCGCCTCGACACTAGCTAAACTTGCTTCACGCAGACCACTCGCGCCCGCGCCTCCATCCTGACCCTCCCCCATGGGCCCGTCAATCTGCCCATCTTCATGCCCGTCGCCACCCAGGCATCGCTCAAGGGCCTGACCCCCGAGCAATTGGAGGCTACGGGATGCCGTCTATGCTTGAACAACACTTACCACCTCGGTCTCAAGCCTGGCCAGGAGGTTCTGGACGCTGTCGGCGGCGCTCATAAGCTCCAGGGCTGGAAACACAACCTCCTTACCGATAGCGGCGGGTATATTCCCTCTTCATACCCTCTCCAAAACTTTCTGCTGACTGTCTCAGCTTCCAGATGGTCTCTCTCCTAAAGCTGGCCAACATCACGGAGGAGGGCGTGTGCTTCCTGTCGCCGCACGATGGCACACCCATGATGCTAACCCCCGAGCACTCAATCGCGCTTCAGAATTCGATCGGTTCTGACATCATGATGCAGCTGGACGACGTGCTCGTCACGACGTCGCCCGACAAGGTGCGCATGCGCGAGGCCATGGAGCGCAGCGTGCGCTGGCTGGACCGCTGCATCGCCGCGCACAAAAAGCCGGATCGCCAGAACCTGTTCTGCATCATCCAAGGCGGTCTGGACATCGACATGCGCCGTGAATGCGTGCGTGAGATGCTGAAGCGCGATACCCCTGGTATTGCGATTGGTGGGCTTTCTGGCGGCGAGGCCAAGGATGACTTTTGCAAGGTTGTCGCAGCCTGCACAGAAATGCTTCCCGATTTGAAGCCGCGCTACGTAATGGGCATTGGATACCCGGAAGACCTGGTTGTAAGCGTGGCGCTGGGTGCCGACATGTTTGACTGCGTATGGCCAACACGCACGGCGCGGTTCGGCAACGCCATCACGAAGCATGGCGTGCTGAACATGAAGAAGGAGATCTACGCGACGGACTTTGGTCCGATCGAAGACGGCTGCGGCTGCCCGTGCTGCCGGCCGGCGGACCAGGAGGGCGCCATGGGCATTACGCGGGCTTTTGTCCATCACAATGCCGCGAAGGAGACGGTTGCTGCACACCTGCTGACGATGCACAATGTGTGGTATCAGCTGAATCTGATGCGGGAGGCGCGCGAGGCCATAATCGAGGATCGATTCCCGGCGTTCGTCAGGAAGTTCTTCGCGAACCTGTACCCGGATAAGAGCAATTACCCGTCGTGGGCGGTCGACGCTCTGCGCGGTGTAGGCATAGACTTGATGGAAACATAAACTTTGACCTCATGCCTGATTTCATACCCCTGTTCCCCGATCTACGTTGTAGTGGTGGTGCTCGTGGTCAGAAGGTTACCTGCCCCTGCGAGCGGTCAGGGGCAGCCTTTTTAGCCGGGGAAGTTGGCCAGTCGAGTCAGGGTTAGGGTTGCCCCACAAGGCTGGCATCAACCCGCTGCCAAGACTCAATTGGACCAGATGCTGGCCAACAGCAAGCTCGAATTTTTGCATGCGACTCGCAACACCCGACTTCCCAACGGCGACGATACCGGCGCTCCTGGGCCCAAAGTCACCCTCACACCATGGCGACCAAGAGGGTGTCCCCCGGAGGCGCGCTGCTGCGCGCCTCACGCATGTGGTCCCTGCCGAACCCGATCCCCCCGCCACCGGAGAATTCGACCGGCCCGACTACTTCGGACACGGCCACGCCGCCCTTCCCTACCCATCAGATCATCACGACGCTCAGCGGCGCCCGGAAACAAGGTGACTGGGGTCTCAAGCGGCCCCTGCCGCTGCGGACGACCGTCAAGACGACGCACCCCATGATCCGTGTCAAGGAGATAGACAGCATCGAGATGGTGACCGACTTCTCGTCCGCCACAGACCTCGGCATGACCCTGCGCAAGTTCCAGGAGCTGCACCTGCCCATCACGCTCCGCTTGTCCGACCCCTCCGCCATGACCAACCTCAACCTGCCGCAGCGGTCGGTGTTCGACGACGAGATCGACTTCACTGCCGGCTCGGCCAAGAAGTTGGCTGAGAATCGCGACCAGCGCTGGAAGTTCAACGGGCCCTGGCTTGCCGGCATGACGCAGGGCGAGTTCCAGAAGTGGCTGATCAAGGAGGTGCGGCCGAAGCGGGCAGCCTTCCGCGAGTTCCTTAAGGAGAAGATCGCCAAGGACTTGATGAGCAAGGAGGCTGCGGAGAACTTCGAGAAGGGCGACTTCAGCAAGACCGTCAAGACCATCCGGCCCCAGGACGTCACGGAGGAGCAGTTGACCGACGGCCTACGCAAGTTGCGCCACAACAACCAGGAGCTCTTCGACATGGTCGGCCAGTTCCTCGACCTGGCGCCGCTGGCCCCGCCGAGCACCTCGGCTTCGCTCCTCTCGGCGACGAGCACCACCCGCCTGACTTACCGCGACACCCAGAACCCGTATGCTGAGCACGGCCCGCCGATCACCCACCCGTCGGCCGGTATTTCGTACCTCCGTACATCCATGTATATGGAGAACCATCCAATCTATGGACCCCAGAAGCACCACACCCCCGTGGTGGCACGCATTGTGAGCCCACGGCGCCCGGCGCAGGCTCGCCCGGCTCGCCTGGGCGTGGCGGGCTTCATCGTCAACACGCCCCTGGGCGACACGGCATCGAACCAGAAAACTGCAGCTGCCGCGATCTACGACCGCATCGACCCGGCTGTGGAGGGCGGCGCCAAGACATGGGTGCTCCCTCAGCGGGCGTCGGTCGACTCGAGCGGTCGTATCCAGCTGACTGTGGGTGATGCCAGCGCCGAGGCTGTGCTGATCGCGCAGGAGCTGCTGGGCGACGCCGAGGTGCTCAAGGCGAAGCGCGACGAAGAGCGTACACAAAGCGCCAGCGATATTCGCCGGCGTTACAGTGCTGCCCGGAAGCCGCAGCCCACTATGTCGAGTGCCGGGAGTTATGGGTTGAGACGGTGAGGGGGCTGAGGAGAGGGGAGTGCTGTGCAATTTGGAGAGGCTATGTGTAACAATACCATGTAGACCAATGTGTGCTTTATTCCATGCCTTGATCTCTCTCTCTCTCTCTCTGTGGACAGAAAGGAAGGCTGTTGATGAGTGATGATGAGACTTCCACGATGCCTCAACTGTACAGATATTGGAGACTCTGAACTTGAATTCTTTCTGCTGACTTCTCAGAGCGTCATGAGGATCATTTAGGGCTTAATTGCTTACCATAACCCTCCGACTGTTTCCAACCCAGGCATCACGACTTCAGGAAGTCCAGCACGTGCTGATTATCCTGATGAGGATGGCTGCGCTTGTGGCTTGCGCTCTTGTGGCTGGTAACCTTATCGGACAGATCTCTTGGCGAACAGCTTGGCATGCAGTGCCCTGGGTGGGGAAAATGGGCATAAGAATTTCAGGACCGACGGTCATGCATGTCTTGTCCCTCCAAGCCGAAGGGATCTTTCTATATCCAACAATGGCTCTACCGGCTCCCACGGGGATGGTTTGTCACTAAGACATCCAGCATCTCATCAGAGACAGCGCCATTTTTTGCTGGCAGCATATCGTCATCCCTCTACCTCTCCCACCTTTTGTGTGCCCCTCCATCCCGCTTTTCACATCCGCACGTCCGCCCCACCAAAATTTCGGCTTCACATCCCTGCCATTGACCGCCGCTCTGAGGTTGGGTTGGCCTGTTCGTCCGGCCACGCACACGACCACCGTGGGACAGAGCAGTAGACAAGAGCCATACAAAACAGCTTCTAGACGGATTGTGCCACGAGCTCGGGAATATATCTCATCATATATACCTATCCACCTATCGCTCGGTCTTGGACTGACGAGGTGCGTCTTAGCTGTCTAAGGCTTTACTTACCTAGCTGCCGGTTAGCTTGCAGCCGATTGCTACGCGGCTTGCTGCTGTACGTTCCCGCCCTTTTCACGTGGAAGTGCCTGTCCAGCCTGTCGAGAAATAAAGTTGGTTTTGCGCCCTTCAGCTGTATTGAGTCCTGTCCTTTGTCCAATTTTCAGTTTAGATTGATTGCTAGCCACTGCCTTGTCTACTTGTCGCCTCAGTGACGGCCGTCTGCCTGTCGTTATCTCTCTGTCTCCCCGTCTTGCCACCAACGCTCAATTCGCATCCCCCTTGGTTGCCGTCGCACACCTCGCCGAGCAACCATCATAGTTAAACTCTCCGGTGACACTTCTGACGCTATCTGCAAGCCAATGGTTGCCACCTGCAGCTGCCCAAGCCCGAAGTGATGGAGCCGAACCCAAGCTCGACCGGGGCAGACCCGCTCTGTGCCCCATCTTTGTCCCCTCCTGCCCCAACTACCGTCGTCGAGGAAGGCGCCTCGAGTTCAGTGAACGGCAACCTGCTCGACTCTGCCGCTATCTCTGTTTGTTCCTCGTCCTCGAATCTCGATTCGAACCCTTCAGCTCCTGCAGCAACTGCAGCGGCAGCATCTGAGGGAGCCAGCGACACCAGAGCCGACACTGAGGCTTGGCCCCAGTCTGGCATCCCTTCGCAGCCTTCGCAGCCATCCCAGAGCGACGGCGATACGACCGAACCGTGTCCCTACCAAGCTCGTGCAGAGCAAGCCGACTGCAAAGCAAAGCGAGAGTCGTTCTGCTCGGACCGTCCTGAGTGTACCATCGACCTCAATCCCGACGACCAGGACACGCCCCGCTTGGACGCCGTCGCAATCACTCTTCACAGCGCTCGTTCGTCTGTCTCCGAGCCGGTCCCTGCGAGTAACCGTGTAAGCATCTGCTCCGTGTGCAGCTTGGGTGCTCGATCTGTTCCGAGTTCTTCAGCTGTCGCGTCCATGGCGACGAACAATGGTTCCGGCGCGACCGAGCCGGTCGAGAGTGCTCAGCAGCAGCCGTCGGCTTCGCAGCAGTCGTCTGCTCAGTCGACAACGACCCAACCGTCTCAACAATCACCACAGCAGTCCCAAGCACAGTCTCCCCAGCTGCAGGCCCCGCAGCCTCAGGCCATCTCCCGGCCGCCGCCGAACCGCTCACGTAGTAGGGCGCAGCGTCGGTTCAGCAGCAGCACGGCGGGTGGCAGCAGCCATAGCACGAGTGCCGACCGCTCAGGTGGCGTTATCTACCGTGCCGAGAAGGAAGAAAAGAAGCCGGCTCCCTTTGGTGTCATTGGCGTCTGCGCCCTCGATGTCAAGGCCAGGAGCAAGCCTAGTAGGAATATTCTGAACCGGCTGATTCAGAATGGCGAGTTTGACGTGTGCGTGTTTGGAGACAAGGTCATTTTGGATGAAGGTGAGTTTTCCGAAACAGACGAGATCCAAAAAAAAAGAGAAAAAGAAAAAGAAAAAGAAAAAAAACAAAAATGCGATTTAGAGTTGCTAACCGGGACAGAAATCGAGAATTGGCCCATCTGGTAAGTTTCGTGATGGCATAGTCATGTGTATGATCTACTAACAAAACAGTGACTACCTTATCTGCTTCTACTCAGATGGCTTCCCTCTAGAGAAGGCCATTGCCTATGTCAAGGCGCGCAAGCCCTTTTGTGTCAACGATGTACCTATGCAAAGGATTCTTTGGGACCGTCGGTTGTGTCTGCGCATGCTCGATCGCATCGGTGTGCCGACCCCCCAGCGTGTGGAAGTCAATCGCGATGGCGGTCCGAGGATCTTGACGCCTGACCTGTGCAAACTGATTCGGGACGTCAGCGGTATTGTCTTCGAACCCGTCGACCCCGATGTGGAAAAGGCCAAGGCGGCTATGTCGCCGAAGAAGGTTGAGCTGCTTGACGACGGTGACACTCTGTCGGTCGACGGCAAGCTGATTCGCAAGCCGTTCGTTGAGAAGCCCACCAGCGGCGAGGATCACAACATTATCATCTACTTCCCACGCTCAGCCGGCGGCGGCGCTCGCAAGCTGTTCCGCAAGATCGGCAACAAGAGTAGCGAGTTTGTTGAAGGTTTGACCATCCCTCGCTGCATCACCCAGCCCGAGAGCAGCTTCATCTACGAGCGCTTCATGCAAGCCAAGGACTCAGAGGACGTCAAAGCCTACACAGTCGGCCCCACGTACTGCCACGCCGAGACCCGCAAGTCCCCCGTGGTCGACGGCATTGTGCGCCGCAATACCCATGGCAAGGAGGTCCGCTACGTGGCCCACCTAAATGCCGAAGAGAAGGAAATTGCCAGCAAGATCAGCCTTGCGTTCGGCCAGCGCGTTTGCGGCTTTGACCTGCTTCGCACCGAGGATAAGAGCTACGTCATCGATGTCAACGGCTGGAGTTTTGTCAAGGACAACGACGACTACTACGACCGCTGTGCCGCCATCTTGCGCGACCTGTTTATCAAGGAGAAGTCGCGCAGAGAGGGCCGCACTCCCGTTACTTCACCAGCCATGCAGTCTGAGGCCGACTCGTTTACCCGTGGTAAAGATAGCGCGCAGAATAGGTTGAGCGTGGATAGGTCCATCCGCGAGTCCATCAGCGAGTCGATTACCAGGCCCGAGGTCAAGTTTGGGAGCGTGCCGCCGAGTCCACTTACTAGTCAGTTCTCGACGTCCGTGTCTGACCAGACCCAGTCGACGGCCCCATCAACAACCATCTCAGCTGCGACCTCAGTTATCCACGAGCAGGCGATCGAAGAGGAGGAGGAGGAGGAGCAGGAGCCTCCGCCGCCGCCCCCTCCTAAGCCCAGCTGGAAGCTCAAGGGTGTTGTGTCGGTTATTCGCCACGCCGATCGCACGCCCAAGCAAAAGTATAAGTTTACGTTCCACACCGAGCCCTTCATCGAGCTGCTCAAGGGTCACCAAGAGGAAGTGCTCCTTATCGGGGAGCCTGCCCTGGCCAGTGTGCTAGACGCCGTCGAAGTTGCCCTCAAGGCCGGCATCGAAGACCGCGAGAAGCTGCTTACCCTGCGTAATGTCCTCATCAAGAAGGGTAGCTGGCCTGGTACCAAGGTCCAAATCAAGCCCATGTTCCGGAAGAAGCCCGACGCGAAGGACGAGTCCAAGCAAGGCAAGGATGACGACTCCAAGGACAAGTCGTCGGCAGTAGTCGAGGAGAGCGATGCCGGTGCTGCCGATAAGGATGGCAAGGACGGCGAAAAGAAGAGCCGCAAGTCCGGTAAGCGCTCTGACTCGTTCTCTGGTGTCACCATGTCCAAATTTACGGCAGCCGAAGAGAGCCTCGTGCTCGATAAGCTGCAGCTCATCGTCAAATGGGGTGGCGAGCCGACACACTCGGCGCGCTATCAGAGTCAGGAGCTAGGCGAGAGCATGCGCAGCGACTTCGGCTTGATGAACCGTGAGGTCCTTGACGAGGTTCATGTCTTCAGCAGCAGCGAGCGCCGCGTTCTTACCAGTGCTCAAATCTGGGCCGCCAGCTTTCTTAAGAAGAAGGATCTGCCGGAGGATTTCATTACCATTCGTAAGGACTTGCTGGATGATTCGAACGCAGCCAAGGATGAGATGGACAAGGTCAAGAAGAAGCTGAAAGGCCTGCTGCGCAAGGGCAACGAGCGCCCGCCGCAGTTTGCTTGGCCCGAGAACTTCCCCGAGCCGTCGGAAGTGCAGACTCGCGTCGTGCAGTTGATGAACTTCCACCGCAAGGTGATGCAGTATAACTACAATAAGCTGTATAGCGGGCAGGTTGGCAACAACAAGGACTCGGCATCGTCGTCCGGCTCCTCTGAGAAGGGCCTCAACGAGGCGGGCGGATCTAGTGTGTCGCTCAGCTCGATGGCCTCGGCGTCGCTGAACGCGGCCAACAGTATCCAGGCTCGATGGTGCTGCGGCGAGGATGCCGAGCTTTTCCGCGAGCGTTGGGAGAAGCTGTTTGCCGAGTTTTGCGATGGCGAGAAGGTCGATCCTAGCAAGATCTCGGAGCTCTACGACACCATGAAGTTTGACGCCTTGCACAACCGCCAGTTCCTGGAGTGGGTCTTCACGCCGCCCAAGCACATGCTCGAAGAGGAGTACGGAATCTCGTTAAATGGCAAGGACAGCAAGTCGTCGTCGGCCCCGTCTCTCGAGAAGGTGCCCGAAGACAGCGAGCGGCAGGAGACGCAGAGCACGGCCAGCAGCATCGCTGAGAAGATTAGCGATTCGGGCTCCAAGGCGGTCAAGCGCCTGTTCCATCGGCGCTCGTTCCTCAACGGCCTACGCTCCGCCAACACCGAGGCTGAGCCCCCTGAAAAGTACTTCCACCTACACCGCGGCGGCGGCCAGACCAAGGCGAAGACCGACGCGCGTTTCGAGCCGCTGCGAGAGCTGTACCAGCTTGCCAAGGTGCTCTTTGACTTTATCTGCCCGCAGGAATATGGTATCTCGGATCGCGAGAAGGTGAGTCTTAGCTGTCATACAGGCGATTGTCAACCAAAAAAAAAAAAAATAAAACTAACTGGACATCCTAGCTCGAAATTGGTCTCCTTACCTCTTTGCCCCTGCTTAAAGAAATCGTCCAAGACCTCGAGGACATGCAGGCCTCGGAAGAGGCCAAGTCTTTCATCTACTTTACAAAAGAGTCACACATTTACACGCTGCTCAACTGCATTTTGGAGGGCGGTCTTGAGACCAAGATCAAGCGCGCCACTATCCCTGAATTGGATTACCTCTCGCAGATCTCGTTCGAGCTGTACGAGATGCCGGCCAACCCACCCGTTGACGCCGAGGGCAACCCTGCGTTCAACTATTCCATCAAAATCACCATCAGCCCCGGTTGCCATGTCTTCGACCCGCTCGACGTGCAGCTCGACAGCAGGCACTGCATCGGCTGCGCGCCGCGCAGGAGCCTAACTGCCCATGCGGACTGGAAGGTGGTTATCGAGACGTTGAGGGCCAAGTTCCATCAGTATGTCCCCCTTCCTCTACTGTTAGTCGTGCTGTATTGATGCTAACATCTCTTAACAGGGTCAAACTTCCTAAGACCTTCTTGGCCGTCAACCTCTCGGACGCCTTCACCTTCCAGGAGAAGCAGCACCACGACGACAACAACGGCGAGCAAGGCGAGGAGGGTAAACAAGAGGGGGAGCAGGAGGCCCCGAGGGATGCCGCTGGCGCTGCTCCCCAGGCGCCGGCCACCCAACCCACTGAGGCCACTGCTGCCATTGCTGACGACCCTGGCGCGGATCCGCAGAAGATTGAGGCCGCTGACGCTGTTCCTGCCCTCACTGAGCCAGCTGGTCCTGCTGAGTCCCAAGCTCATGATCAGGAGTCAAAGGATCAAGAAAAGCAACAACCGGCCCAGGATGCCTCCACGACCGCTTGAACCGGCGTAAACGCGAATACGGGGTTAGAGCCACGGAAAAGGGGGTTCTATAATGGGGCTATAATATCCCTCACCGACATCGAAGCCCAAAATAACCGCTTCTACCGTCTCCTTGATGTCATTATTATCATACTTGGTGGATGGAATTGACATTTCTCATTTAACCGCCCGCCGTTTCGCGACACGGTTCTCTCCAGCGAACCAGCCAGCTAAGCAGCCAGCACTCTCGGGGGTTCTTGTTTCTCCGAAAGCCTTTAACGTCTTGTTTACTTAGTTATGTTTGTGTAATGAAGCGTATCGTATTGTTCGTCCGGGCCTACGCTTTAGTCGTTTTTCGTTACCATGGGTCCGAAGTGTGTTCATAGCATGGGCGGTGGTAGGAAAACCGGAAACCGAAAAATGGGTGTCAATGTACAACAAGGCAGGTAGGCTTGAGCTGGGTCATCATCATGGTGGTAGACAGGTCGGCCAGCGCACTACACATGCACAGAAGAAGCACATGTACGAATACACCCCCTGAAGGGTATCCACTGATAGACTACAGCATCGTAGGAGTGAACTGTAGATAGAATGACAGACAGACAGATAAACCAAACCATTCTGGGCGTGTATAGGTGTAAGCGTGGTGGCGTGGGTGATACCCTGAAAATGCACCGGAAGAACATCCGGGTGGACGATGAACCAGAGTACGAGTGTACCTACAATGCTGTTACCATACCCTCGAGTTGATTGTGAGGTCAGAAAACGTCACCGTTACCTGCAGATGCAGGCGTCAATATCTGGTTCCGGTTTCGCGGGAACCGTTGGATGCGGGCCGGGCGATGCCGCTGTCGTGTTCACAAGCGGGCGGCAGCCTTGCCTTTCCCCATGGGCAGCTCTGACGTTACTAGTTGTACTTATAAGAGGACGTCTGTTATTAGGCCTGTCAAGCTTGCTCCTCAGTGGCGCGGGTAGGTGATAAGAAAAAAAAAAAAAGGTACATGTGCTGACCCCCCAGCGCTTCTTGTAGACGGTAGCGGAAGCTAAGACGGGACGAGGGCATCCGCTCTCATCGTGTGATCTGTAAGATGCTTATGACAGACAAGCTTGCTGGCAGCTCGTCCCAAAGCCGTGATCCTTCGGCTCTGATAACAGTCTGTCGCATCCTGTTCACCGGTCTCTCGCTTACCTTACCACGCTCGGAGCTGTTATCATTCTTGCCGTCCCTCCATGACGCAAGACCCATGGATGTTGGGATACCAATCACCCAGTTCTCAACAGGCATCTGCAGGTGACGAAAGATGGTAGGTAGGGTGAAGAGATATGCTCAACTTAATAGTACCTATGGTTCCTGTTAAGATGCGAAATCTCGTCGTTCTTTTTACGGTGACACCGGTCCAAAAGTATCCTGAACCGGTTCGGACAGGTGGAGGCAGGGGGGTCGAGAACATGACGACATGGTCCCTTGACATGATCGGCCCGAGGAATGTCACGTCTAAGTCCATGCGCTGACCACTTGTCAATGTCCGTCGAGGAAGCCGCATGATAAACCCTCCGTGATGAGTTCTCCCGTAATTGTCAAAGACATGAAATTTATTACTTCGAGAGGAGGGGGAGGAGAGGAGGAGGAGAGAGAGAAGAGTTATTTCCCACAACTTTTCCTGATGCGCAATGAAACATGAGTGAAATGGTTGCAATGCAAAAACCGTTGAACGGGATCGTCCTTCAGGCGCCTGTCAGCCATTCGGAATCGCTACCGCGTCGTTGGGCTGACTTTCCCCTAGAACAACAACCAGAGGGGTCAATGATACCGGGTTCACGGCAAAATTGTCGAGCGCCCAGGCCTGGACTGCCGGCCGACCGTTGTCTGCCGGAGGCCATGACATCTTGTGTGTGGAACGCTGAGCGACTTTCCATATACACTGCGGGCTGGAACATCCGGGGAAGCGTTTACTCGACACGTAGCGAGACGATCGGATGACATGCTGGTTTCCACCGCAAAACCTTTCTTCAGGCGGGTGCCGTGTCTCTCGGAGTGATAGCTGCCGCGCGACAGCATGCATGACGCTCGAGAGATATCGAAGCCCACCAGCCTGAAAACGGCGTCAACGCGAACGAACGGCTACAGAAAGCGTGCCATCGAATGAAGGGAAATCCGGCTCCTTGAGTGTGCCCATGCTGTACGTGCCGATGGAGGGTAGCTAATTCAAAGCTGGCGATTGTTGACTTGTGGTCCGTTTGGTTGCAACGTTCGGCAGTCGACCTCATCTACCAGAACCAAACCGTCAAAAATGCTGGGGTTGAGATAGGATGGGCGGTAAAGGGACAGCAAACGACCCAGTCTGCGAAATCGCGCGCAACTTGCCGGACATCAGGGGCGAGCACTGCGCCTGTTGGTGTTGTGTTTTGGAGGTCGCGATATTGTTAACGTTGACGACGCATAGACCATTGTCCCTCCCTGCTGCTGCAGGAGGTCGTCAGGACGGCCGCATTCGTTTGAAGTCAGCGGGGACCCAGGAATGAGCCCAATTGGCCAGAAGACGGCTTCTTTTTCGGGGTGCAGACGGGAAAATCATGGACCTGCTGCAGCTACGTAAAACACAGGAAGCCGGCGTCGGCAGAGCCTCCGAACCATCAACAGCTGCCGAGCGGACCAGCTTCAGTCCGCCGGACGCTGGTTTTCCTCGTGTTGAGCATGATCGAGGGTGAAAAATGCCATCGCCGTGTGACGTCTGAAACTGCGGAAATCCCGCCTACACAACGGGGATTTACGCTTGGCCCCTAGCTGGGCCCATGATGAGGCGTTCAGCTCGGACAAACGGACCTAGTCAGCCAGGAGTCGTGTTCGGTGAAGCATTGATGCCGTTCCAAGCTGATGAGGCTGGAGTTTGTCCAGGGCCTAGCGCTGCCTAGCGCCGTGCTGGACCCGCTGCCAGGACGCTAGAAGCTCCTCAGAATGTTCTTTGCTGGGGTGGTTGGGCGGTTCGGCGCAAAGCTGGCGCACAGGGCTGTGGAATCTCACGATGCAAGCTTCCATGAGGCTCAGCCTGAGGGCCTGCCCGATGCCTGTTTTCATCCCCTGCAGCTCCACCGACGGGGGTACTCAGACGCTCATCGACATCACCACTGCCGACAGGCCTTGTCGCTGGCCTGATCGGGAGTTCTGTGCGGAGAGCACCACCGAGCGATGAGGCAAGAACTTCTGGATAATGTGGGTACGTGGAAGTTCGAGACGAGTCTCTATGTTTACCACTGGTACGGCACAGGTATGGAAGGGCAACAACGGCCGGAAGAAGGCTATCCGGAGACGGCGCCGACATGCCGGTCAAAACGGTTGTGCATCGTGACAGCAGCGACACAAAGTGGCATCCGCGCGGAGGCGTGGGCTAGATGAGGTGACACCGAGACGCCGTTTGGGAATATTGCGGGTGGTGTTGAGGAGAAGGAGGGGGGGGGGGGGAGGGGCGGCGGCGCGGGGGGTTGAGTGCGCTCAGTACGCATGACGGATGTTCCTGTGTTTACTTACCGTACGCGGTGGCTCGGTAATTAACAGATCCTTAGCGCCCGTGGGTGCTCTTTCCATGGCAGGCAGTGTGGGCAGGCAATGGGCTGCGCACATCACGGCAGGTGCTGCTAGCGCTGTCGAACCTTGTACGTACTGGGCAGGAGATTAGCAGCACCTTGGTGGACTGCCTCTGGAGAACCGTTGGGGCTGAAACGCAGTTTCCCTAGAGCTGTCCCCACAACTGCCGCTTTACCGTTTGCACCTTCCAGTGTCTCTTTCGGACGGTTTTGGGTTTGCGGCCTTTGTTGCCTGGTTTGGGCAATGCAAGTACGATTGGTGGTGTTTTTTGCGCTGTTTCCCTTGTCCGGCGTTCCCGGCGTGTGTCGATTTCTTGAATTGGTCCTCATCTACAAGCATCAGACAGCGCTGTGGAGCCTTGTTTCTGATCGTATCGTCAACAACTGACCACGGCGCATTTTTGCGTCCTTTGTGAAGCACACCGACGGAGCGCTCGGACGCGAGAGATCTCTGCGCGGCTTGCGGTTGTGTGGGTTTGTCTGGGTTGTGTTGTGATGCGTCGCGGCCTGCTACGAGTCTGGATACACAGGTACGTAGTCTGTTGCAGTTGTGGTAGTAATAGGTCATCGTCACAATGGTAGGGACTGGGAGTAAAAATGTGGTTGTTAGTTGTAGTTGTTGTTACTGCAACGTCTTATCCGCCCTGTTTGAATCGTTCAGGCGGGCGTTGCCAATCGCAGAGCGCTGTGCTCTGATTGCTAATTGCCCAATGGCCTGCTCTGTACTGATCGCTTTTCGGCTGAAGGAAAGGCCTTGTGTTGCCCGGCGCCAACCTGAGATGCAAGGTACCCGCCGTTAGCGTTTGACAGGTGATATGCTGCTACAGTGCTACCTTGTGCAACGCCACGCAATTCCAGCAAGGCACTCATCTTAATGCCGCGACCATCCTCAATCTTTGGTACCTAAGTCTGCTACGACGGTGACAGCGCTGCTCACGCTCCTCGAGCCGGTCCAGCAGCAGCCCACTTAGGCATCGCCTGAGCCAGCAGTCTAGCAGGAGCGAGCCTGTTCGGAGCTATCTGATGAGATTGTCCGTGTGCTTCGAGCATCTCGGCTCACCAGCTCCCCTCTGGGTCAATCGCGCCGTGTTTGCATGCGTCTTCAAACCTTCCTGCTCCATTATCCATGCCTAGGCTAGACCGACGCAACGCCGAATTCCGGCCACAGCCTGTTTTGCGCTCGCTGGCTTTCTCGTTGTCCCATCTGTTCCCAGAGTCTGCGCCAAGGCTGGATTGTCGACGTCGAGCAGCAGGAGTAGCAACAGCAGGAACATCAGGTTTTTGTTAATGAGTCGCTGCTGCAAAGCAACAGCATCCAAGGTTTGACGGCTAATATTCCATAACCCATCCAATAGGTAGTTGTATTATAACCCTCATCCGTCCATAGACATCCAAAGGGAGTGGAACGGCCTGCAAATGGCTCGATTCAGGAAGCTTCA